ACTAGACGACGTCCCATAGGTAACTAGTTGAATTAGTAAGACGTTTGATTATGCATATATGGTAGTTATATTAGGCTTATGGAGGCTATTAATATAGCAGTTTGATGTAAGAAATGCGTTCTGAAACACGTTCTCTTTATCCCATTTGACTAGTAATATGCCAGTTTGATAATCCACCTTATATAACTAGTTACTAGCTTTACCTTTAAGGTAGCTAGTCTAGTCGTTGAGATACATACCTGCTACATGTGTACGCGAGGCGGAAATGAGGTTGACGTGGAATGATGGGGAATATGCGACGTTATAGAGGTCAAAGCGGCTATTTCCCTTAGTTAGCTGGAACGAGACTAATCTAACACCTAGAACCGGCGTTCTAGTATCTCCGACTTTGACGTATGTGCTCTATTCCACGAAATTAGAGAATAGCGATCTATCGTTATATATATATGTGTTTAACCCTATATCAAAGGCCTAATCTAGATAATTCTGTGGTGCTAAAATGTGGTATGACGTCCAAATTGGGGTCTTTTACGGTTGATTTAACCTAATCTAGTTAAATATAGTTAGTATGCTAACCGCGTTAGTACCTATATTATCCTTTTTGAATTTATCTAAGGCTATCTTAAATGGTAAGCTCTTACTAGCTACTCTCTTAAAGCGTGAATCCACGTCTTTATCCTATGTTTAATTCGCTGGTCTCTTTAATGGATTAAGGTAGGCGTAGTCCTAGAATCGGTGATTTCCGTCATTTAGCATATTCTAATAGGGATAGCGAGGTGTCCGTTTAGTCGATTTGCCTGGTTTAGACTATTCTGCCTGGTCTAGAATATCCTGGAACGTGGCATATAACTGGCGGAATGAGGTCGTCTTGGGTTTTTTAATATCAAGATTCTAGCTGAAACTTAGATAAAGTTCGTTAAAATCCACTTGAATATTTTTCTTGATCTTTGATATAACCTCGTTATAGGTTTAGTTATGCCATAATGGGGTAATATTATGCACGGCGTCCATGAAGTCTAGAGGTGCATAATCCATCGTCTATATAATAGTAATTCCCTCTATAATACCTTTATGATATATTATCTACACCTAGATGACCTAATCCTTAATTTTCTGACCCTAAGATGGGCCCTAGATTATCTTCCTCCACCGTTTTTCGACTATTCTCTAGTGTAAGACGTCTCGCTGATTATATAGGAGATATAATGCTCGTAGCATCTTAAATCTAGTTATTTTATTAATTAAAAACTCCTTTATCAACCTATTGATCGTAGATTATAGGGCAATTTCCACTTTTCGAATTCTCTCTAACACGTCTTTAACCTCTAGACGACGTTTGACTTATCTATTATATAATGCATCGTCCACGTTGATATCCGTGATATCTGGTACCCTAGGTAACGTTGCTTGAGGTGCATTCTGTTCTAGATTGATATAATCCCATATAGTTTGCTGCTTAGCGAGACACTTAATTTAGGTATACTAGAGTTACTAGGTGGTAGGACCCGTTAGGATCATATCTGTGGATGTAGATATGGTGGAAGTAAGGTCAAAATGAGGTCAAAGTGAGAGATATATGAGAGATAAGTGAGGCTTGAAAGATAGGACGTGATTCTTGGGGACTTAGAGATTCGTATGGAGGATTCTGAGGATTCTGGACGTTCTGGAACGTTCGAGGATATGCAAATTGTCGAATTCTGAGCTTGACGAGCTCAATTTTGGCGAATATGGAGATAAGGTAGAAGAATATGATAGACAATATTGTGGGGTAGGCCCACAAGATCAGTCCGAGCTCCACCCGAGCTCCACCAGGTGGGATATTAGAATTCAACGTTGAATTCTCCACGGAATATGGAATAGAAAAAAAATATATGAAGAAGGAAGAATTCTCCACACGAAAATGGGGTATATATAGCAGGATATTGCCGGAATTTTCCAGCAAACTTGCAGAATTTTCACCCATAAATAACAAACATAAACAACAAACACACAATTTATGTGTTTGTATAATATAAACAACAAATAACAAACAACAAACACATAAACACGTATAGATACGTGTAGGTAACACACACGTGACACGTGTGGACAGAGAACACAAATTCTGACTTAGAATTGCGTCAAAAATGGTGAAATGTGAAAATATCACAATTCAGAGGTAATTCTATGAGGCTCTAGCTAACTAGTAGGCTCAACAGAATAGAATATGAGATATCTCTAGACTAGAGACTATCTCTGAATAACCCACACGTACAGCTACGTGTGGTCAAAACGACCTAAATCGTGTCTATCTGAGGTTGGTAGGGTAATTGGTTACCAATCTCAGGAAAAAACGACACGAATAGCGTCAAAATATGAGGATATTGTTGTGCTTAGAGAGGGCACACCGGGCTCATAACTGTCTGAGATTGGCAGGGCAACTGGTTACCAATCTCAGGGAATTAGATCAGATGAACAAGGCAATGTGGTCAAGCTGAGCTAATTCAGGGTCTTCTCAGGAAATTCTCAGGATAGAAAATGGAGAAGAAATTGGCATGAGATTTAAACTATTCTGCCGAAATACGAGAACTAAATACCTGAGATTTAGAGTAGAAATCAAACAGAACAAACAAATCAAGTAAAATATCACATGATATGACATAAACGAAATAGCGGAGAATTCCGGTAAAAAAGTGCGAACTCAGAGAACACGTAAGGACTCCATTCTCTGACACTAACCTATATTTCTATAGAACTCTTACCTAAACTAGTTAAAATAGAGCTTATAAGCTTATATATAAGGTTAATACCTTATAATATAGCTTATTCTTTATTTAAATTATATATAAGGGGTGGTTAGGGCGAAGACCTAGATATATGGTTAGTAAGGTAGTGAAGCTACACGTTCTACATATATATATCTCCCCCATCAGCATAGCAAATCAACCACTTTAAAAATTACTACTTTATACCATATCTAGCTACCCTAAATATAGGATAAACTAGGGTATTAGGGTATAATAAGCTTATATTAAGCTATATTACACATAATTACAATATATATAGTAGAATATAGGAGGAAAAGTGGTTGCTATATATATACAGACCAGAACAGATTGTAATATAAAAAGGCTTGGCAAAGATTATGCTAAATCAGGCCAAAATCAGGCCAGAATCAGGCCAAATCAGGCATTAATTGTGGCCTTATGGGCCTATGGGCCCCCATCTGGGCCCCCATATATGTCACGGCGTGACCTCTGGGAGCATTCAGAAGCTAAACCGCTGCGCTATCAGCAAAAGACTAGTATGTAAAGCCAAAGCTTTACACTGCTCTCGCATATATATACCTTAATCTATAGGCAGAACTCAGGCAGAACGGTTGTACGCATACACACCGTGACAATATAGGGGCATGGATTTTATGGGGTGGGGTGGGCCCTGAAATTTTGAAATGGGGGCCATTTGCCAAAGCCTAGTTAAATAGGTGCTTTTTAGGGGTGGATTAGGTATGATTAGGTAGCGTCTCGGCCTATCCTAGTATCATGCCCTATAACGAGGTTACGCTGTAATAGATAAAGTAGCTCTATATATAATAGAGGAAGGAGTATTAGAACTCCCTAAAGAATATAAGGAGTTCTAGGATATATTTATATTACTACCTATTAGTTAGCTACTAGAGTATAGACTATATAACTATAAGATTATGTCAGAGAATGGAGTCCTTACGTGTTCTCTGAGTTCGCACTTTTTTACCGGAATTCTCCGCTATTTCATTTATGTCATATCATGTGATATTTTACTTGATTTGTTTGTTCTGTTTGATTTCTTCTCTAAATCTCAGGTATTTAGTTCTCGTATTTCGGCAGAATAGTTTGAATCTCATGCCAATTTCTTCTCCACTTTCTATCCTGAGAATTTCCTGAGAAGACCCTGAATTAGCTTAGCTTGACCACATTGCCTTGTTCATCTGATCTAATTCCCTGAGATTGGTAACCAGTTGCCCTGCCAATCTCAGACAGATTAAGATTATAGAGGGTAAGAAACTAACCTATATACTAATCTACTAACTATTAGAAAAAGAATCCTAGACCCTAAAGAAGTATATTAAGACTAATCTTAGAAAGAAATATATCTAATACTCTATATTATTAATAGGATACCTTATCCTATTTATACTAAAAAAAGATAAAAGTCTATAATTATATATTAACTACTAATAATTAAAATATAGGCGCAAGATTAGGTAATTAAAATTAGGAAAACGTAACTTTATATTCTATCATTAGTGTTTTATGGTCTCCAATGTTTTAAATAAGTCCCCCATTGTCGATAAAAATGTACTAAAAGAGGAAGAAAGCTAAGTGCGATCTTGAGCGCCTCATTTCGTTTGTTCTCGTGATCGTAAACCAGATTGGTTAAATGGCGGCATAGGCGCATATGTAGACTTGACGGGATATTAGAAAGTCATTAGGACTGATTCGGCTTACGGTAGAGACAATCCCATAGATATCCCCATCCCCGTCGCCGTACTTATGGAACGCGGCCCATGTCTCTTGCATATCTCCATTTTGAACGGCTGAATCTGCTTCCGAACCTGACTCCTCCTGTGATAAAATTTGCACGTTGCTAAAGGACCCAGAAACAACTGTTGATGTCCTTTGCAGAGATAGCAAAAAACGAATTCTCGATGCTATGGGAGACTCTTCTTTTACTGGTAGGATGGTATGAGTTGTAGAGTTCAAGATGTTCTCAATGATCGAACTTTGAGCCTCGGCAAGTATGGACCAAGCATGCGACTGTGGACATTCCCGAGGGTATGGAGAAGTGGGAAGAAGCGCCGCCTGTTGCGAACCCTTTAGAACGTTCATTGAGCTTAAGTCCGCAAATCCGTCTTCGACAATGTAGTTCAAATAAAAATCTCATATTTGCAAGATACAAGTTTAAAATTGCCTATAACATGGACCTGTGCATAGCTTCACATGGTGAAAGCCCTGGAAAAAACGAAACGAAACGAAACGAGATTAACCAGTCATAGCGGTCCAGCCGTTGTCAGCCGCAATACAAGTTCCGTTCACAATGCCGAATCCCTTACGACCAGCCAGATGCAAAGAAAACTCAGTAGCTTCCTCCAGCTCGCAAAGAGGAATCTTAAGCGCTTGTATAACGGCAGTGGCTCTCTTCATACCCTCCATATTGAAGCTCGACGCCATTGCATCAGAAATGTTGGTCTGCATACCACCCATCATCAAAGCATTGCAGCGAATACCCTTGTCGCCATAGAAGGCGGCAGTATCTTGGTCAGGCTAACGAGACCATGCTTGCTGGCAGTATAAGCCGCGCCTGAGGACAAAGAAAATACTGATTAGAGATGTCCCACCACAGTCAAGAAAAGGGAAAGAAATCAACATACCAGCAGCACCGCCCGCCTTTCCAGCGACGGAAACAATATTGATAATTCGACCCTCGGGCTTCTCTTGCTCCAGCATGTTGCGAAGAGCCAGCTTACTTAACAAAAATGGAGCAATAAGGTTGATAGCAATGACCCGATCCCAAAGCTCGGGATCAAGCTCTGCAACGGCATTGAATTTATCCATAATACCAGCATTGTTAATGTTAGGTCAGGTGACCGCAACAACCGTATCCTCTCTCTCTAGATAGACTCAGACTCTCTCTTCTCCATACCACACAATTATATCATTCTGATACGCACGTTACATCTCGCACGTTCGTAGAGTTAACAAGAACATCAATCTTGCCAATCTGCTCAAATAGACTCTCCACTTCACTTTGGCTGGTGATATCTGTCTTGATGGCCTTGAAAGGTCCCATAGGCGACAGCTCCGTCGAAGTCTGCTGCAGACGCTCTTCATTGACATCGCAAATCACCATATTGGCGCCAGCTTGGAGATATTTGGTGGCAATGGCTTTTCCAAGACCACCGGCACCACCGGTAACGAGACATGTCTTGCCGACGAGGATTTGGTCTGTCATTTTAAAATATTGATGGTTGTTGGAAAAGAGGGGGTGGATCGTTGGCGCGGTCTGGATTTTAAGTAAGTGGTACTTGGTGGTGACGGAAGACAACGTATCCGTATTCCGTTGTTATTAGCTCTGTTCTTATCCACTGTGAGGTCCGCATTTTGCGGGTCAGCTGGTGAGTCTCCGAGAGGAGAAGATGTCGAACCACCCCCTGGAGAGTGTGGCTGCCGAGCCGTAATGCCGTATGCCACCCGTCACGGATGCTAACCCCGAATGTGTTACAATGGATTGAATGATTTACTAGAAGATTCAATGCGTTGATTGAAAGAAAAAAGTCATTGCTCAAATCATAGACCGCAAAGTCCAATCCATTTTCGTTAACATTCAAGCAGGTCTCTTGTTATCCACGATCTACATATGCAAGCCGTTTGTATTCCAACAATGTTGATTCGCTGAAATTTGCGTATTCAGCATTACATAATACGAGGTGGGGCTTCTCTCGGCTGCTTAATTTCCAGGGTAAATGTCAGCATGGCTCAGCCATGGCAAGAACCTTGGAATTGATATTGGGTGCTTTAGATCTTGCTGGGTAGGTAATTAGTGGTAATCATTGCAGCTTCCAAGATTATGGACTAGCTTCACTTCTCATTTCTTATTTCATTATTTGATCTTCTATATAAATAACTCGGAGCCACATAAACAGATCCTAGACCATAATCGTACAATATAGTTGCGCAACTTGGAACTATCTATATCGCGCTTGGCCTATGAGGCGTCCCGTTGAGCGGTTCGATCCATCTGAGGGCCTATTTTACGATTCTAATGTTATCCTTTCCCATAGCTCGTTATTCACTATTGTCGTCAATAGGTTCTTGCCCAGAGTATGGAGCGTAAACTGAGATAAATTAGCGCATTTCGCAGTTCTTTGCCGAGATCGAAGTCCTCAAAACGTAGAGATTATAAATGCATAAAAAAACTCCTGTAGAAGCTCACATCCCTCTACCAACTTTTCTCGATCAGCTGGGTAAACAAGCATAAGATTGTTTATTCTTAAATTGAATTGACGTTATGAACGAGGGAGAATATCATCTTTCGCCAAAGGGGTGAACCGCAGGTACGGTTTGACCACTTGCATATCTGGGAACCGGGCCTTGGCATCCTCATCTCCAATACTGACAGGGACGACTACATTGTCACCGGGCTGCCAGTTGACGGGAGTATTGATGCAATATTTGTCGGTAGCGAGTAAAGAGTCAATCACGCGCAGCATTTCGGCCGTATTACGACCCGTGGAGGCGGGATAGGACTGGATCAGGCGGATGACCTTATTGGGATCGATGATGAAGACGGAACGGATGGTGTAGGCAATTCCTCTGGCGTCCACATTGGTGGTATCTTGGTAATCCAACCTGTTCACATGTGTGGATCAGTGCCTGGAATGCCTAGGTGGGAGCGCGAAAGGGAAATGAGAAAGGAAGCCTTACATGTCATAGGTAAAGGCGATCTGGCGATCCTTATCACCGATGACGGGAAAGCTCAAGGGACATCCCGCGATCTCAGTAATGTCGTTGATCCAGCCATCGTGTGACTCGATGGAGTTGGCTGAGAGTCCAATAAGCTTGACATGGCGCTTGGTGAACTCGGGTTCGTGCTTGGCCAGCGCAGCCAGCTCGGTTGTGCAGATCGGGGTGTAATCCTCCGGGTGGGAGAAGAGGATCACCCAGTCGTTGCCCACCCACTCGTGGAAGTCGATGGGGCCTATAGTGGTTTCCGCTTGAAAGTTGGGGGCAATTGACCCCAAACGGAGACTAGTAGACGGCACAGGAGTTAGTTGAAACTTCGGGAGTAAGATGGCGATATTGAAAAGACGTCAATCAAAGTACCGAATAAGGACAGGACACCTAATGAGGGCAAAAAACCATGTGTCTAGGAGGGAAGGGGGTGAAGCGGCAGGAGAGACAAAGTGGCGGAAGGGAGGGGTTAAGGCAATAGAAGTTCCATAACACTTACGGGGTGGCCCTCGTCTCTCCTGACATTGTGAAGACGGCGACGACTGTGCTCGATCTATCAGAAGAAGACACTTAAAGTGAAAGGAAGAGGCGAAGATAAACCTATAATCCGGGCGACCAATTTAAGATATAGATATTGGCGGAAGGGAGATGGAGATCACTCGGATGGCGGATGGAGGGAGTTTTAAGCTGGCCGGTTCCAGATTCGATCACTGGTATTCCTTGCCCTTCATTTCCCCCACCTCAAATCGCTGTCACAAGCAGCCGGCAAGGTGGATACTGCCGCACCGTTCGAGCCCTTTGTCGAATTGCATTTTCTTAGCCTTGTCCCTTCGTCGTGGAGAAGTGTAAAGATTCCGGGGCAAAACTCGCCAAGAGGACCGATCACGTTGCGACCGAGCTCTACTCTACGTTTGTCATTTCGCGGGGATTACTGTGCGTCCAATGTCCATTCGGTGGCGCCTCAAAAAGCGGACAGGAAGAGGAAAGAAAACCGGTTTTTCGAATGGTAGTTGTGCCGTTTTTCGGGTGCTTTTCTTTTCACTCTTTCCCCTACAGGCAACTATGCATACTTGAATCTCTAAGCATCATAACTGGACGGATTGTCTCCATTTACTCTCTCTCCATTTTTATCTGTTCTTTTGTTGCTTTTACGCTTAACTGCGAGAGGACCTCTCTGGAATCTCGGCGGAAACCACGACGACCATGACACCGACCGGCAGTTGATCCTCCTACCCGATTCTCAACCCTCTCTTTCCCCCTTTGGATACGAACAGGCTCCAAAGCCTCCAGGCCCGATGGATAGACTGAATTGCCTGGTGGACTATACTTGGGATGAGTCGAGGCAATATCGCTCAAGTTATGGCGTATGGTGGGTGAACCAATTCCCCGTGCCTAGACGCAATGGAAAATTAATGCTGAAGCGACTCTTAGGCACGTTTTTGGTATCAAGCACCTCGACCGCGCCATTTGTTCAGATCATGCTCACACCGCTCGCCCCCGAAGTGCCTCCTCTCTAGTCGACTTGAGCCGCACATCTGCCCCATGTGGTCCAGGGGGGGGACGGCGACGTCGGGGATCAGGGCAGAGGGTCAGAGGGAACGATCGAAGTGGTGGCGCGCCTTGGTGAAAATCTGGCCCAAGGAGAAATAATGCAAGAGGAGTATCAGATGCTGGCATCAGTTGACGTTGCTCACCGCAAGTATCTTCTGCGGCCCGTGGAGATGCAGCGCTTACCTAACCTCGATGCCGACCGCACACCACCGCTCCTGGTCTGCATCTACGAAAGTCCCGGTCCCAATGATCTTCTGCGCTACGTCGATTGCGGCGCGACCTGGTATCACATCCGCCCTGAGGAAGATGTGAGTTACGAGACCAGTGATGTTGGCTCGCGTCGATCCGATCAGGACGAGCTCATGCCCTTGCCAACGTTTATGGATTTTGCCATAGGCGCGGCGGAGTGCATCCAAATGCTGCATGACCAGCAGATTGTACATGCGCAGATCCGGGGGAGGCATTCCACTTCGACCAAGAGACCGGCCGCGTGCGCTTGATCCATCTCGGGGCGGGTCTCCAGTCGTATAATACCGCACGAGTGAGCGCTGGCTGGTCAGCCCTTGAGAAACAGAATGATGCCACGGCCCGTATCTCCTATTTGAGCCCCGAGAAATCTTGGCGAACACCGATCCAAGCTGACAATCGCGCCGATATATACTCCCTTGGTATTATGCTTTGGAACGCTCTCGTCCGTGAGACCCCGTTCGGGGGCAAGTCTCCCGAGGAAGCGGTTAGTCAGGAGCTGCCGTCTGTATCGACCTTGCGACCCGACGTGCCGGAGGTCTTTGCACGAATTATCGCCAAGGCGACTGCAAGGAATGTCTCGGAGCGGTACAACTCTGCCCGCGGTCTGCGACATGACCTCGCGGAGGTACGGAAATTACTGGCAGCGGGAGATGCGGCTGTCCTGGAAAGCTGGGAAGTCGCCGGCAAAGATGTTTCTCCGTTCTTCACACTCCCGCGCACGATGGTGGGCCGGACGGCCGAGCAGGGTGCCATCGTGGAGGTCCTAGATCGTACTCAAAGACTGTACCAGGGAGGCAGAGGGCTTCATTTGTCGTCGCTGCCGGAGGACCAGTTTGCAACCTTTACTGTCCTTTCCTCAGCAGGCAATACCCCCGCGGAAGAGGTAGGCCTTAATTTGGGCGATGGATCTCCCAGTTTGAACGGTTCCATGAGCGGGACATCTCCTGGCGTTACACCATCGTATCTAGCCAATACGAGCCGCATGCGTTCCTCCAGAGATTCACTTTCCGCCTCGAGCGAGAGCAGCGAGTCCGACCCTGTTATTCTAGAGAGAAGAGGAGTAGAGAAACTAGAGAATCGATTGTCTACCTCCTCATTTGACAGCACGAGTGGCGAGGGAAGCTCACGGTCTAGTGACAACGCGGGAAGGGTAGCTGCACATGGCATCGCGGCGCCGAAAGGCCTGTGTGAGATTATCAGCATTGAGGGAGGGCCTGGTTTGGGCAAATCTCGGCTGATCACATCAGTTCAGATTGAAGCCCGACAAAGGGGCTTCTTTGCCAGCTCGCGCTTCGATGTCGCAGACAAAGAGCGTATGCGTCCGGTCTTACACTTGTTTTCGAGTCTGTTCCAACAGGCATTCTCGGAAAATATGAATGAGCCCAGTTTCCTGCCAATGTTGCGAAATCACATTGGAGGTACATGGAACACTCTGCACAAGATTTTAGGCCTGCCCAAATTTCTTCTCGGTTACAGCCCTAACTTGTTGGGTCATGTGCCGAACAAGTATGCTCCTACGACTCTCGTATTACCACATCGGCATCCCCCTCCAGAGAATACTGGAACGGAGAGTTCTCAAGAATTTCTTCGGGCCGGATCCTCTACCAAGACTTTGCCTCTTGTACGGACTTTAGTGGGTATCCTGCGGGTCTTCGCGCGATACAAGCTGGTATGTCTTTGCCTGGACGATGTCCACCTGGCAGATGAAGAATCGTTGGAATTTATTGCCCGGATTGTGTCGGCTCGAATCAGAATAGTGGTGATAATGGCATACCGACCAGAAAATGCTTGCTCGGACCTTATGAAGCGGATCCTTCCATTTAACAATGAAGGTAAATCACCCGCAGTTATCCTTTAATTTGATCGTTCTGCCAGTGCGGTCTGTCATGTAATGAATGATGCTTACCAATATAGGAATTTTGGCAGGAAGAGATGTAGATCTTACCACCATCTCACTCACACCGCTCAGTGAAGACTACGTGATGCAATATGTAGCGAAAACCTTGTCTTTGTCTGTCCCCGTCATCTGGCCTCTGGGGGCATTCATTCAATCAAGGACTGGTGGAAATCCCTTCTACGTCCGTGAAATATTGAATGATTGTCACGAACACGGATTCATCTGCTATGATTTCCAGGAGGGGCTCTGGTCGTTTGATCTTAGCCGCATCTCGGAGCATTTCGAGGTGGACAACTACAGCGCCGCCGCATTCGATGATTTCTTAGCCAGGCGCCTGAGCAGCCTTTCGCCTGTCTGCAAGTCTATCCTGGCCTGGGCATCCGTTTTAGGCATGACCTTCTCATTTAAGTTGGTCCAAAGGCTTCTCAACAACGATCAGATGGCTTCCGAACCTGGCTTGCCTGAGCGAGAAGTGATTCAAGGTCTGCAGGCGATCATCCAAGCCTACGTTATTGTGCCCACAGAGGATCATGACGTCTTTTGCTTTTCATATAGTCATTACATGCATATCGCAGCGTCATTCCACACGAGAGACAAGGATCGTGTGAACCTGATAAAAGCACAAGTGCTGTTTCAGTATCATTCACAGGACGACAAATATCGCAGCATGTTGGCATCGGCTATCATCGAATCCGCACCGATCATCAATAGCTATGTGCAAATAAGAAAGCCTTTCAGACACTTCATGTTCGAGTATGCGAACGCTGCAAGTGAGACTGGATTACGATCGACCGCTATCAATTCGTACGCAAGCTGCATCATACTGCTCCAAGAGGACATGTGGAACGACGAGAATGTGGATGTGAGCTACGGCGAGACGCTACAAATATTTACATCCGCTGCCGAATGCTACCTTTACCAAGGACGTCATGAAGAAGCTAGTCAGCTGCTGCATGCTATCCTTTCTAATGCCCGTAATCCAGTGGACAAGGCTCCTGCCTGGATCTTGCAATCGCGTATGCTTGCACAATTGGGCAATTCGACTGCTGCTTTTCATGCCATAACAGAATGCCTCATGGCTCTAGACATCACGATTGATGAAAATCCAAGCTTTTTTAAATGTGACAAAGAGCTTAGACGGCTATGCGAGGCCGTTTCTGCTGTTCAGACTGAAACCATTGCTGAGACGGCCCCTCTTGAGCATCCCACCTTGGCTGCTGCAGGAGCGGTTCTTCTGGAGGCCACTAGCGCGGCTTTCTGGTCAGACACGCTAACCTTCTACCACATGACGCTTGTCATGGTTGATGCCTATCTTTCGCGTGGTCCTTTTCCGCAGGCGGGCATGGGGCTCATGCAGTTGGCTGTGGTAGCAATTACTCGAGACAACGCGCCAACCTTCGCAAGGCATTGTGGGGAACTTGCCCTGGCACTGATTGAACAGTCAAAAGATCCACATACTATAGGTCGTGGCATCGCTCTATACTCCTCCTTTGTCGGTCATATTCAACATCCTGTCCAGTCTTCAATCTCGCAATTGGAAAGAGCTGTGGATTCTTCTATTCGCGCCGGTGACCGAATTGCCACCATTCTGAACTTCGGGTTCTTGGCTACCATGAAGTTTTTTGCTTCTGAAGACTTGGCCGAGCTGGAGGCCTTTTGCATCTACAGCTGTCAAGACATTCCCAACTGGCAGACGGATACGGCCGGCGGTACGATCCTCATCACAATTCGCCAGCTCAGTCGTGCTTTGCAAGGCAAAACATATACGCATGACTCGTTCAGGGTAATGAGTGACAAAGAACACAGTTCGGTCGAATATAAGTCTTGGCTAGTAAGAACAATCAAAAATAGCGACCGGCCGCTGATGCTCTATGAGAGCATGGAAATCGCTCCGTTATTTCTGTACGGCCACTTCCAGCGAGCGGTAGCACTGGGGAACTCTTGTCTCAAGAAAATCAACGCCATATGGTCCGCACGAAAAACGCGGTTTCTCATGTTCTTTCATTGCCTTTCTCTGGCTGGATGCGTGTGGATCCGAAAGCAGCAACAACTCGATGTCGCATACCGTGCATGCTCCCCCCAGCTGGCGTCCGATTTAAATGGGCGATCTTTCGAGGCGGGTTTCGAGGAAGAAATGACAGGCATGGCAAGGATGTTACGATATTTTAAACGCAAGATTGAACAGTGGCAGGTTATCGCAGACGTGAATTATCTGGCATGGACTAAACTTCTGGGCGCTCAGATCGCCGAGATGGAGCATGATCAAAACGCTGCTCTTTGTTTCTATCAAGAGGCAATAGACCACGCTTCGATGCATGACTTTGGGTTCGAAGAAGCCCTTGGCCACCATCTACTAGCCGGGCATCTGATGCGTGAAGGCTCTTCCCGACTAGGCACACTGGCTCTGAAGGAAGCAGTTGGTCTCTACCGACAGATCGGGGCTACGGGGGTGGCTGATCACGTCCTTCATTCCCATGATCTAGAACAGCCGACATGGAAAATCGCACGAGACGCCGCTACTCAAACTGAACCAGACGACAATATTACACGGATTCATCCTCAACCATCCGAACTTGGAAACGACGAGACACGGAGCACAGGAGGGTCCGTGGCAGAGCGTGTCCTTCATATTTTAGATCTCACCTCCATCCTTGAAGGATCACAAGTGATATCAAGCGTTCTCAGGGTTGATGAGTTGCTTCGGACGATGTGCAAAATCGTCATGCAGAGCTGCCATGGCGTTGCTACAATGGCAGCCATCATTACCAAGGAGGACTTGACAATTGGGTGGGCCGTGGCAGCCAGTGGCGACGCAGCTGGTATCATAAAGTTACATGATCCTCCGACATCGGTTGAAAACTCCCGCCTTGTCGCGGAAAGCATCGTGAATTATTGCATTCGCTTTCGCGAGGCAGTGTACATACCGGACGTCTTGGAGGATCCGCGATTCAGCTACGTTAGCGAACCGTGGGCGATTCAGAATACCGTTAATAAATCGGTCATGGCATTGCCCATTCATCATGGGGGCGAGGAGAACGAGCCCATTGCGCTTCTTTATCTGGAGGGTCCGCCCAACGCCTTCTCATATCGCAACCGCGTTGTTCTGCAGTTGCTCGTCGTCCAACTCGGAATAAGCTATTCCAATGCACTGACCGTCAGGGAAGTGGAACGAGTTTCCGTAATCAACCAATCCATGGTAGACGCTCAGAAGAAGGCATTAGCGGAAGCGATGGAGGCCGAGCAAAAAGCGAAGACTGCTACGGCGGAGGCTCTGCGTCATGCCCAGCTAGCCGAAGAGGCCACCAAGGCTAAAGGCATATTTCTCGCCAATATGTCCCATGAGTTACGAACGCCACTCAACGGGGTTATTGGGAATTCAGAGCTTTTGCTCAGCTGTCCACTATCGGGAGAGCAATATGAAATGGCAGATTCGATTCGCATATCAGCGAACCTCCTACTCACCGTGATCAATGACATCCTCGACTTCTCCAAGATTGGAGAAAATAAGGTGCAGCTGCATATTCTCCCATTTTATGTCGACAAACTCGTCAAGGAAGTCGTTAGCTCAATGCCGGTCGGCTTTGGAAACAGGCGACGACTCAACAATGTCCGCATTATACAGGATGTCAACCCACCCCAAACCCACGTATATGGCGATCCCGCTCGGTTACAGCAGATTTTGGGCAACTTACTCAGTAACAGCCTGAAGTTTACCGAGACAGGGACCATCACAATAGGATCCAGGGCAGACGATGAAACTGAGGACTCTGTTCGTCTTTCTTTCTGGGTGACGGATACGGGTATTGGCATCCCAGCGCATATCATACAACACCTGTTTAAGCCGTTTACTCAAGCTGATGCTAGCACCGCGCGCCGTTTCGGAGGCAGTGGTTTAGGCCTTAGTATTTGTAAATCTCTTGTGGATCTGATGGGAGGCACCATCGAGCTTAAGAGCGTCGATAAAGTTGGTACGAGTGTCTCTTTCTCAATCATAGTGCCGAAGGTCAATTCCGGCGGCTCAGGGCCTCTTACTCCATCAACGCCCCCTGGCAAGTCAATGGGCTTGCTCGACAAAGCAGCCCCGACTCACATTGATCTGTCCCAGATCCCCCTCTCCGACCTCCGCGTCTGCATCGCGGAGGACAATCTTATCAATCAGAAAATCACGATCCAGTTTCTCAAGAAACTAGGTTTTACCCGAGTGGATGCCTACGACAACGGCCTTGAAGCCGTGGAGGGCATCCAGAAGAAAGCTAGTGCAGACCAACCATATCACATGATCCTGATGGATGTTCAGATGCCTGTCATGGACGGGTATGTTGCCACTCGTCGTCTGCGCAGTGATTCGATGGATGCTGTGCGGCGTATCCTGGTTATTGCTCTCACAGCCTCGGCAATTCAGGGCGACCGAGAGAAGTGTCTTGATTCAGGAATGAATGATTACCTGGCGAAACCGGTCATGTTAGCGGCTTTGAAAGAAAAGGTTGATCAATACCTACAGATCAAATAATCTGGTCTGTTCTTCATACGTGGAGGGATGACCGATCTGTACGTTCGCTTGCGGGTCGCTATGTGTGTGCAATTTATTTATCCCGACCACTCGCCTAAGTTGATTTACCATTAGACCAACATGTGAACATGTAGGGTGTATTACTTCCTAGATGAATTTGGAGTCTAGCCTATCGTGGCTTCACATTGGCGCATCGTTTTATCAGGAAATAGCCTTTGCGCTCGGGAAAAAGAGAGAATTTCCAGGCCACAACCATCTTGAGGCTGATTGTTGAAGGCTATTTACACTATTTACGAAGGTATACAAAAGCTCAGCCCCCACTAGTTTTCTGAATGAGGTTTAGAACCTCCCGCTCTTACCTTATTGTTTTATAGGCAATTCAATGAATAAGAAAAACCCGGAATTTACGGTGGTTAGTATGAAAGATTCCAACGTCGATTCGATCTGGCGAGTGTAGAAATCATAGGGATTGCTAAATTTATAATTTTCGGTCCCAATTTCTGACTAGAGTGCGCAATTCTCAGACGGCGACTTCTTTTGCTTTATTATGTGATTAGGGTTTGAAAGATCATCTCTATGTATTTCCGACATGGAAGGCGATGTCGGGGCGCGACTGTATAATTATCCTCATCACCAATTGAAACATATGGAATATCCATGGATCGCTCTATTATATCCCGGGGCCGCATTATGTACCTCGTATTTCATCAATTCTGCGGAACTTTTTCACCGCTCTTCACTTACGCACAGTTGAGCTAACGGCTATCTCGTGCCCTATGCGATTGCTTTATTCCGGATTGCTTCAGTATCTGCACAGCGCAATCCGCGGACACATTGTAGGCGCTCATTACAAAGGCTTGTCAATCGAGACACCTTCATTAATGTGGCGAAGATGAGACAAACGGAACTTAGCTTCCTGTTCTTCATGCCCGAAGATATTGGCCGGGAGTATGATACCCAGCAACCTACTCAGTTGATGGCCAGCTTGTATGACAGGATCCAGAAAGGAACTTCTCCACCCTTCAACCACAAACTCTAGACGGCATCCCGTTAGACAGTACCCGAGCGTGAATGGTCTGCTACACTACGACAGCAGCCACTCACAGGCAGACGCTAACCTTGTGGTCCGTAGAATGGTATGACAGCAGTATCGGGTGAGCCTAAGCAAAAGATAACTGACCATTAAATCTCTCTTGATACAAGGAGGGGTTTGAGGTGAGCGAGATTCTGGCGAGCGCAAGAATGCTTAGTGCCTCTTCAGCGGTGTGAGATGTCATCGAGCTTTTCCAATCTGCAATAGATAAAGTTTGACTCTGTATCAAAGGCAAACCTTGACAGCACGTCAACAAGGTGCCTCTTGAGTTTGTCTACAGCGCCCACTGATCCAATCGATAACGAGGATTGTGAAAATAACTAGGCTGCCACATTGGACTCGATGTTTGTAGCATATTCTGCTTTCTCTTCTCCAATAGGTTGTCTCCTCTTCACGAGATTGCACTTGCTTTCGTGTGCTCTTCGTAAAGATGAAACTGGGCTTGGCAACCCTGTAAGAATCGCTCACAACTGCCAAGGTCCATGTTCTCCCGGGTGCGACGGACGTGAAGACCCAGCCACACTTGCGTCCAGAGCTCGGACCAGTCAGTGATATTGAAATAACCACCAAACAACCTCGCGTCGCACGCCTGAAAATGGCTGACGGCAACAAATTTGGGTCTTATCTTCTTCCGCGCCATGCTCAACACCGAGGAGGTTTGCTTCAACTTGCAAGCAGTCGAAATCCAGCTTCAAAATCCTGTCCAGACCCAGAGCTATGCCAATGAAAGTTCCTTCTCGTGTCTGCAACTTCGATTTTGATTGAGACTGGCCCGTATATAGGTCATATCTGACTGTGCATCGCACATCGATGATCCCTGAAACTTCTATTTTCAAGGAGGTCCCGCCTCCGAACTTGGCAGGTTCTCAGACTCCACCCAAAGAACTTAGTGGAATAGCCTTGGCGTGAAGTATCTTACCTGGTGAGATGCTCTTGGCATAAAGTTTCCCGCTAAAATTTTGATGGGATCCGGTCACCCCCGTCGATCATCCTGATCCGGCACTAGCCCCACCCCCCGGTCCAATAAGAGCGAGGTTGTATCTTCCATGAGGCACTGCACTTGGCATCTCGACGATTTACCCTAACTTCAGCGGTCCTCGTGGCTTCACGCTAAATTTCACGCCAAGTTTCACAGGATGAAACCATGGAGTAAATCTCCTCGACCTCTCAGATGACGCCGATAAGTCAAGACACCAATCGAGGACACCTTGCCAAGACCGCCAAGTGCAATTATAGAATTTATGTTTTCAGACGAGGCATAACAGATAACGTGTTTATTTAAATGGTCTTTCTGGAGCCTGTCATGACAACTTTTAGGAAGGACAATCCAACCTGCAATTCGGAAAATACCGACTTGAATAGAAAGCGTTACAGTCTTTTTACATTCGTATTCGTCCCTGAGGATCAACCAACCCCTGCTTCGTGACGGGCATCAAAAGCCACCCGCAGGCAGATCCTTGCTAGCGTTATCCCGTGGAGTGTGTGCCTCGCGAGTATACCCAAGGTTGAGCTATAAGTGTTGCCAGATCTGACCCAGACTTCCCTTGCTACAGTCGCTGTTACAGTTTACCCAAAATGAGCAGTTCCAGGGGATCACCTGTATCTACAATAACTGAGAACACATCTGTTGAGAACACTAGGGCCTTGAAGTGTGAAGAACATGACACAGCGCAGCATATTCGTGCGGGACACTCGGTCCCTCTTCCCTCTCGTCCTGCGGAGCCCAGAACCGATGTATCGTTTGCTGGAACGGTAATGGATGCTGCCAAAAAGCCACAATACCTTTCCAGAATGTCGCAGTATCTCCTCAAGGAACTGGATCCTAGACGTGCAGATATTATTCTCGTTCTGTGTGGTTTCGTTGGTGGCCTAGTCGACGGCCTGTCTTTCAATGCTTGGGGTAGTTTCTCGAGTATGCAAACAGGTATGTAGCCCTCGCCCTTGAAATTCCTCGCCGAGCTGACTAGTAGGCAGGGAACACCGTCTTTATTGCCTTGGGTGTATCCGGTCAACCAGAATACCCGGCTTTTCTGTGGGCGAAATCCCTCATCGCTTTAACTGTTTTCCTCTCGAGCAATGTCTTCTTCAACCACCTAGGCCGCGCACTTAACCCACTACGACGATCTACATTAATTCTTTCATTCGGAATACAGACCGCTGCTCTTATTGTTGCAGCAAGCGTGGTACAGGCTGGGATCGTCAGCCCCAAACCAGAAAACCCCCGGGCCCCCATTCAGTGGAATCAAATCATACCTATCACGCTTCTTGCTTTCCAGGCGGCAGGTCAGATTGTGGCATCGCGCCTGTTGGCCTTTGACGAGATCCCAACTGTTGTCCTCACCACTCTTTTATGTGATCTTTTGGTCGATACGGATCTCTACACAAGGCCGTGGTCGGCAAACCCCAAGAGAAACAGGAGAATTGCGGCTTTCTTGGCGCTGTTCCTTGGAGCCATGACCGCAGGTGGTCTTTCAAAGACGACATACATGGCAAGTAGTTTGTGGCTTGCAGTTGCTTTGAAGGGCTCTATTACACTGTCTTGGTTTTTATGGAGAGAAACATCTGGTCCTGGAAGGCCGAAAAGGGGCTCTGATGGAAGTCCCGTCTAGCGTTGTCTTGATTACTTCATACTTAATCTGTTCTGCATGATTGTTTCGCACCATTTCGATTCCAGGGTTTCTTAATATACAATTTATACGCACGAGGAACTGTGCGACATTCATTGAGGACAAACTGCCCCTAGATATATTAGGACCTTCTGATCATTTATTATCTAGCCATTGTTCTATACCTTGATATTTCACAAAGCGTAAGTTAATCATAATAATGACTTAATAAATATAAACCGGGGGAGCGATATTCCTGATCCTTAGACTGGTCTGATTTCTACCAAATATTACTTCTCTCGAATACACACGCTTTCATGGACCGCAGATCATCAAAATACTATCCGGGACAACACTCCAATCCGCTACCATTTCAAGTGGAGGTCGATTCAATTTACCTAAGACATATGCCCGCCGTATCGAAAATGCCCTTCTCAAAGTTAGCAGACTATCTCCTACAGCAATTCTTGGCGCGAGGAACAGACAAAAAACAAAACAGCCTCGCCGTTGCTTGGGTATGGCTAGAGCAAGTCTTGTTAGCTTTGAGCAGGAATATGAAAAACCTAGCCTTTACCTCATCGCCCCAAGGAGATACAAGCGACCAATCACTCCAGACTCTGTAACCTTTTCGATAACCATTGGGTCTTGCAGTAATTCGTGGAAATCTTCGCTTGTTGGAAGAAGCCGGCTACTACCGACCGCCGCCCACATTCCGCGAATCTCGTCCCTCAAAACACATCAGCTCTGAATAAGTACCTTGAAATTGAAACTTACATTGGTTTACCTTGTAAGGTGAAGGTTTGCCATTCAATATAAAAAAACCCGTGCGGATCAAGTTTCATCTTGTCATGTGGCTCGTCGACTATAGAAATGCACCATGCATGTATACCCGGACTGAATGAACTGCAAGGAACGCCTACATCACCAATACATTGTCCTCCCGCTGAGAGGTTCATGATATCCTGCCTTTTCTCGGTATTGGTCAGATCGAGAAGATCATTGATAACATGAATTAGAGACTTGGCGGCAGAATGCGACTTGGTCAAGCTTTCACGTGTTTCCGCATCAAGAACACCCCTTAATGCAATCTCAAGACCGTCAATAATTGCAGTAAGCGGTGTATAGACCTCATGAGCAGAGTTGGCCAGTCGCAATGTGGTGAGCTGGGGGTTCTGCATGATAGCTTCTTTCTGGCGCCTCACTTTGATGAATTCACCGTAGACATGGCACAAAATGGACGCTGTCTCCATATCGCCTTTGGACCATTCCCGGGATTGACTTAGAACGGTCTCTTGCCAAGCTGCAAAGCTGCTACGGGGTTCTAGATACCCCGCAGCCTCCTTGCATTTTGCTATATCATAGGGGTTGCCGCCCCATTTGATCTCCGTCAGTTGGCCCTTACGAAAGAACACAATGAAGTCGCTGCCACTGGTAGATAACGGCATATATAGAAACCCTGATATAGCCTTTAGACCAGGAGGGTAATGTAAGTCAGGAAATTCTTTATTGATATCGTGAGAGGCGAGCACTAGGTTGACTTGGCGTATACGGAGGCACCCAATAAGAGCAAGAATTTCTTGTGAATTAGAGTTGTCGCCAAGAATCTTTCTTTTATCGCAAATCGAGAGAACGCCGCAGTTTGCATCAAAAAGCTGCAGCAATGAATTTGATGACGCGATGATATAGCTGGATGGATTGGTACCGGCGGGGATATTGTTGATCAATCTTCGTGCATGCAGTTGAGATGCGAAGGAAAGCCTTTTAACGTTATGCGCAACTATATCGCCTAGCATACGGCACATCTTCCGAATAGGAAAGGAGACGCGCATGCCTTTGTTTCCATAGGAATGACAAGAGATCAAGCCCCATAGGTCGTTAGAAGTATTAATGCTAATCGACATGGACGAACGGATCTCCATATGGGCAAGATACTTAACATGGACAGGTGACATGGCACGTAGGTATGCATGTGTCATATCTAATGGCTTTTCTAGATCTTTTAATGTTCGACAAACTAGTCGGGATGTAACTTGGTCACGATCATAGAGTAGCCGAACTTTGTTGATCTTGTATAGCTCGCGAGCCTGTGTAGGAATATCGGACGCCGGGAAGTGAAGTCCTTTGTATAGATCAACAGTGGCCGTAGGGTCGACCAGTTCTGCAACAACCAGTCCATTCCAGCTGCTATCAAATTGGTAAATTAAGACCTTGTGGAAGCCAGTCAGCTCCTTGAATAGACCTGTAGTAGTGTTGAGCAAGGTGTCGAGGTCATGAGCTAAGCCTAATTGCTCCTGGAACTGAGTCAAGAGACCCAATACCTCCATTGCCTCCGCCTCACCCTTCCTTCGTCTAGCATTGCGAGAAATTCGAAATGGCTGACTGGTGTTGATAGTGCTGGCAGCAAATTGCTCTGTAGTGGGAAAAAAGCCAAGAGTGTCGGTCGGGCTGAGCGGATTCTCGATTCCACCATTATTTAGCGGATTAACCTCGTCATCCACTAGTTCAAGCTCGCAAATAATCAGGTTTTTCTGGGCTTGGCTGACGTGTAAAGCGCACCAAAAGCGACGGATATCCCCTTCACCCGTTGTAATAGACAAGGAGAAAACGTCAGGACCATCCAAGCTAAGATCGCATACATTTCCGCAAACATAATCAACATGATCTAACAGTATTTCTGTTTGGTCAGATTTCAGGATATCACAAAAACTCTCCAACTCAAATAATTGTTTGGGAGAGTAACCTATGAGTTCGTGGGAATTTTCGCTGACCACACGAACTAAAAGCTGCTGGTCGGGTGACTCCACTCGCAGAGCGATCATAACACCAAAGCTTTGGATGGCACCTGGGATTCGAATCGGTTCGTCCTCGCAATATTGGAATGAAGTACCATCTCTTCCTGTGATCACAGCGTGGCCATTTTCGATCATGACATGTTTGAACCTCGCAGTAACGTAGCCACGGGGCTCGTTAGATGAACGTACCGAGTAAGATAATTCCTGAGTTGGGGAGCTCGTCATAGATTGATCGTCAATTCCAGACCAGGAAGTGTTCGTAGACATGCTTAACCTCATTCAATAATGTAGATTGATAGGCAGGGGAAGTGGGGGGTAGAGGTTTAATGGGGTTGACACGACTGGTTACACCTGCTCGCCAACCTGTACAACTTACGTAAGGCCCTTTCAGAGCGGTGTATAGTTAGTTGACGAGCTCTCCTCCAGGCTAGCATTTATGAATTATGCACCTTGCCGTGATGGCGCTCGTCACACACGGTCTAGAATCAAGCCACATACGCGACAGAGCGCATTTTGCCTGGCCAGTACCTTCCGAATCCCAGCCCACGACCAGACTCAACCTTCGTGAAATCAAACAATTACATCAGAAAACACGCAAAAGTAAAAAGAGATACTTGATGAATTGTGCAGTGCAAATTGTGGTGTAAATTATTGGCGCGGTCGGGAACATTTTGGATACGAGCAAGTTCGTGTCTACCCTATATCAAATCCAGGCATTGACCCAAGACTAAAAGGTTAGTGAAGCTAGATCGGTGGACCTGCGATTTACACTTGATGAAGGGACTACCTACCATTCAGCATCTCTTTCTCCCAGGTCCCCATCTGGTAATCTCCCAGGCCGTACTGCTTGTGCTAGTCACAGAGCTAGAGCAGGTACTCGCCCATAGCCTCCATATGATCTCGACTGAGCAGACTGCCCTTCGCGGGTGATGGCATGTCGCAATATGAATCTCAGTCAGATCTTTCTGCTTCTGACACACGGCCAGCCAGCAGATGTTGAAGTCATTCCAGAGCTGTAGACCGAGCGACGGGAATCGTTAGTGGAGGAAGTAAAAAGGAAGTGGCGTTATAAAGCCAACAAGGATGATGATACTACACCACTGGTAGCGCGAATCGACAGACAGCAACTCGTGGGCTAGACCTCCCCATGCGACGGACTGCAGCAGTGGTTAGTCAAAATGGAAGACCCGGCCTTGGAAATTAAATACCAAGGTATTGTACTGCTGGGGCTGTTGGCCAGACCAAATGTTGGTACCTTCGACCGACAGAAGAATCTCTCGCTGATTGGCGACAATGCTGTTCATCATGATATAATTGAAAATAGCACCAATGAAAGTGCCGATCATTTGCATGGTGAGAGTGACACGAGGGGCCAGGTGACCGTATTGAGCGAGCTGAAGGTTTTGACACAACAGCGAACCCTAAATACCTAAATAGTTGGATAGATCTGATTCACTTAGTTTACCACCATGGATAATGAAGATGGCCAACCATCGCTACCAGATCGATAAGGTCAGGGTAGGGTCTCAATCAATTATGTATCTAGCTCAGTTCCCCATTCCAGCGGGGTGTTGGAATTGGACACTGTGCGAGGATGAGCGGGCCGTATGATTTGTTGCTGCTTCGCCGCGCAGTTCCTTAACAAATTGATAGCGTCAGCGTTTCGACCTGAACATTTCCACGCGAAAGCTAGTTTAGCCATGCTCTTCAACGTGTCCGGATGGTCGTCTCCAACCTTCGTCTTGCGTGTCTCCATTCGGTTCGGCACTGAAATACAGCTTAACCTTATTTTTTGCTATTGGCAACAGCGTTTTCGTTCGAATGTAATCTGAGTCGTGTAAAATCAGCTTTTCCATCTCAGGGTCCACGCTACACAGAAAGTGAAAATATAAATTTGGGGACATGAAGTCAACAGTCGGAAGAAGGGGGGATTTCATACTTGCTAGTAATCTCATCTAGAACCACAATCTTGCCAGGTCGGAGAAATGCTCTGGCAATACAAAAAATTTGTCTTTGGCCGTGACTTTAGCGACTCCTTTTTCAGGTCGGCATCCAGGCCTCCATTCTGCTGAATGAGAGGCCACAGCTTCACAGCATCGAGTGCTCGAATGAGCTCCTTGTCATTGGAATGATCATTGCTCATCAATTCTTGATAAGGGTCAAGGTTTAGCCTCACGCTACCAGCGAGAAAGTACGGGTCTTGACCGAGGCCATTCAGCCGTGAACGGACAATTTCTTGATTGAGCGTTGCTAGATCCTGCCCATCCACCAGAATTCTACCGGAAGAAAGCTCTAACAACCGAAACAGAGTCAGTGCGGTCGAGCTTTTCCCGCTGCCTGTCCGGCCGCATATTCCAATCTTCTGCCCTGGGCGAATGTGAATCGTGACGCCAGCTAGGGCTAGCCGGTTTGAACCTTCAACAATATCGTTATAGGATGCAGAGACTTGTTCCAGAATGATCTCCCCCTTCTCAGGCCAACTTGGGGGTGGCTGCTTCCCACTACCACTGGATGTGTTACCGGGCATTGCAACGATGTTGTTTTCGAATTTCTTGATCCGCGCGATTGCACCCAGCGTAGTTTCCAGCATGGTGTAAGTATTAACAAGCTGGTTCAAATAGTTCGACAAGGTAATGATTTGAACAAGAGCCACGGCAAAACCAGCCGTCCCGATTGAAGAGCGTAATTTGACCGCAATTCCGACAATCAGGACTGTCAAGGCTGTTGTGACCAGGTCACGAACGAGCAAGAGCCATCTTTGGATGATGAGTAATGAGTACCATGGCTTCTGGGCTTTAGTCACCAAATCATAATTTGCTTTCCAAAAGCGATCCTGCCATTTAAAAGCGCGGATTGTAGGCAGGCCGCCTAGAGTGTCGAGATATTGGCTGTATACTGGGGCCTTTTCAGACAAATCCAGTAATCTCATTTGTTTGGCAGTTCCCAAGTAAATCCTCTGAATCACAAACGAAATGCGATCAGCGCAGGATAGCTCACTGCCACCCAGCCAACCCCAAACCCAATCAAACCCGCCTGTGCAATGCAGGTGAAAAGATTTTGAGTGAGGGTCAATATCTGTAAAGGCAAGTTCATATCGACCATTTGAATATCCTGAGAGAACCGAGTCAAGATCTCACCACTATCCTGCTTCGCAAAAAGATGAAGTGGAGCGCATAAGGTCGCCTTAAGCAAAGTATTGTGCAGCGAGAGGCCGGACTTGCGCGCCATGAAGCTAAATGAGAACCACGTGGCAAGTGCAGAGGATGCAAGTGCAGCGACTTGTAAAGCAGCATAGACACCTAGATAAAGTCCAAGGTTATTATTATCATGGGATGTACTGTCCTCGGCCCACCACTTCAACCACTCAACAGGAAAAACGGAAAGAAATCCCCGTACTGTTTCCAGCGCGAGAAATGTCATCACTGGGCTTAATCCAATTGCTTTGATGTAAAAGCGATGAGCTGAAGTATCGCTAGTCGTCTTCTCTTTAGCAGCCTGTGGCGTTGACTCTGGCTTTTGTGTATCATGAAGAGCATTTGGAGTGCCTGAAGCTCGTTTTTTGGCTGTATTCATCTGCGCTGGATATTTTTTGGTTGATACATCAACTTCATCTGAATAATTATTTAGCTTTTGCTCCAGTGGGTGCTGTCTGTGGCCATGGGTTCTCTGTAGATAGCCTTCGGCTCCGATGAGTTCTTGATAGGTACCGCGCTCGCTAATGCTTCCGTTCGAATCCAACGCAAAGATTTGGTCAGCCAGAGGAAACAAACGTGAAGAATGAGTCGCTATGACAATGGTTTTACCCCAGCGCGAGAAAATTCCAGTTTTTCCGAAACGACGACGAATAACATTGTTCTCCGTGGTGACATCGAGCCCACTAAAGGGGTCATCAAGTAGAATGACTTCTTTCCGGGAATACAGAGCGCGAGCCAGGGCAATCCTTTGTTTTTGACCATCGCTGAGTGCGGTGCCTTTGCTGCCAATCCAGGTTTGATCGCCGGCGGGAAGGCTGATCAAGTCTTCCTGGAGATCGCAGCAGTGAACAACTGTTGAAAGTAGTGTCTCATCCAAGGCGGATCCAGACAGTATGTTATCCCGAATAGTTTGGTTGACCAACCAGGGGGTCTGTTCACACCACGCAATGTCTGTCACAGTTGTAGCAATAGTCCCCTCTTGTATCGGACATTCGACTAACAACGCATATAGCAGCGTGGATTTGCCGACGCCTGATGGGCCAACGATGAAGTTCGAGGTGCCTCTCTTGATGGAGATGTTAATGTCAGTTAGAAGAGGAGCTTTGTCTTTCAACCATCCTAATGATACCTTCTCTAGTTTTATTGCCACAACAGTGTCTGACCATGAAATTCGATCATTGGAAGAGAGTTTTGTGATTGTAGTCTCCTGTACCTCCGAGTTATTCATCTCAACCGACATAGTGGCAGAGACAGCATCGCAGGTGTAGGTGCGGTTGTCCATATGGCTTTTTTGGTAGAGGTAATTCTCGATGCGCTCAAAGCAGCCGATTGCTGCTCGGGAGTTGACAAGAGAACCGAACAATGTAAAAAGTGGCTGCGAAAGTAACGAGAGAATTGACAAGGAAGTGAACAGGCGTGAGACATCCATAGGATGCCTACCCCTAAGTGTCATCGCGGCGTAGATGACGAATACGAGTAATGGAGATAGGATCTGCGGTAGTAGTGCAATAGTTGAAGTTCCGGCACCCGAAAGTCGAAATGGCTTTGAGGCATCGACCTCCTCTTGGCGGAAAGCACTAACAATTGCGAATAACTGGGCCGTCAGGCCGGAAATCTTAATCCCTTTGATAGAATCAAGCATGGCGGAAACAAGACCAACACGTACTTGCAATCTCCCCATCCATTGGTTTTGAAACTTCTTAGTGCAATCCGATAGATAAATTATGGCTAAGAAGCAGCCAAGAGCAGTAAGGAATGGCGCAATGCACGCATACTGAAGTTCATTCCCGAGAAAATATGTTGCGATGATGATTTGCAGGAAGTTGGCCCATAACTCGTGAATCTCGCGCAGACCATTCATGATGCGATCGACGTCCGTATTCATCAGTGTTACAGCTGCCTTCTCAGTTGCTATACCCGCTGGTAATTGGAGTGTTTTCTCAAAAATATCTGCCATTAGCATACTTCTGATCAACGCCAAGGAACGAAACCATGACGCCCAGTAGAATGCCGTGGAAACCTATTGTAAGTTAGATAATAGCTCAAACGGTGCGATTAAATTTGGGACCGAACCGCGATCCCGAAGTAAAAGAGGAAGTATGCCCCGACCATACCATAGCCCATATTCACACTCTGTTCCGGGTCCGCTTGTAGGTATTCAAGGGATCGTCTCAAACACAGTGGCTGACTGACGGTGAAGCCAATCAGTAACAGTCTTGGATTGAGTCAGGAGATTCCAGCGCAATGCGCAAATAAACGTGTATATTAGTCGACGACGATCCTTGCGGTCCATCTTTTGCCATGATGCCAAGAATTTCTTGTCCAGAGTTTCAGCGGCCATAGAGTTGTCCAATGGGTGTAAATCTCTGGGCCTTATCTTTTGTCGCACTCCTTGCCGCAACAGCCCATTCACCCACCAAAACACCGCCCTATTGTAGATACCACTCTTCGCATATGGGCCAAGGGCCCGATCCTGCTCCGAACAGAAGTAACGTCGCTTCTCCACGGCCTCGATTATCAAAAGGCAAGCCTTCAAGACAAACGCCGCTGTAAAGACATTGCGAAATACGTTGGTCACATAGCTAGCTAGCCAGAGGGTGCGGACCACAATCGCGTCTAGGAATGTTGAGAGTAGGTACGTATTGATGATGGATGATGGGCGGAGAGTACGAGTGTGTTCAAAAGATGATAGCAGGGCCAGAAAGATGCTTGCAGCGGTGTTCAAGCATGAGGCAGCGATTCCCGCGGCGGGTACAGGCATCGGATAAACCGCCCATAGTGCAATGAGGGCGAGTTGCAAAGCAGCGTATCCGATCGTCACTACCAACTTAGAATATCGGAGCCACAGACCATCGACACGGCGGTCTCGAGCAAAGAGCAGGTAGATACGAGTTGGCGCCACCAGCAGAAACAATGCCGCGGGTGCTATAAGAAAGAAGTACAACTCGAAAGCGAGGGTAAAGTCGAAGTCGTCGCGATATCCTGACACTAGGGGTCCAAACGATGAATCTGATTGAAAATAGGCATTATAATGAGCGTCCATTCCGATGACTTGAAGATCGCCAATCAAAAGCTCTTGTGAATAGCAAAAATGAAAGAATAATCTCCAAGACCCTGAGAGACAGGGGAATCAGGCAACAGAGGGCGATAAGCAAAACTAGGGTTTGATTGGGCTGTTCCTCGCTGGTAATTTACGGTTATAATACAACCATATCAGAGGACTTCAAAATGCCCGTTTTATTACCAAACCGTTATTTACCCATAAATACAAATTGCGTCAATATAGGAGAAGTGCACATAAATTGGTCCTGTCCGCTCTGTATCCTAGCTCTCTTCCTAGCCCTCTACTACCTTACTCACGCCTCAATAGGCACTCTTCGATGTCTACTATAATTAGAATCTCGCGATCAATGACCATGTTTACCATAGAGTCTTACTAGGAGTGGTCAGCCTTTTTATTCTTGGAAGGTCTCTTCGGGAATTATTGGAAGGAAAACTGCTTTTGATCAAGAGAACATAAGTTCGCAGCAAGTTGATAAGAAATAACACTACATTAATGAAGTCAAGAAGATGCCCTCTAAGATAACGACTTATCTGCCGCTGTTGGTACCGATGTTTAACGAAAAATTATCAACACTCTCGCCGCGTTGGTCACTGAGCGGGGTTTTGGGATTGCTGTTGAGCCATAAAGCAGCAATCACCAGTACTACAGCGGCATTTTCTGCAACATAGATGACGACAGGGCGTCTCAACTGTTTGGTGCCATATGACATGCCGGCCGGCAGAGGAGGTCTTGATTCTATCCCAGACTACCTGCCAGGCCGTTTCTAGTCTCTATCTTGATACCTTGACTAGGGGATTTGCCACTACCCATGACTCGCACTGTACCAATGACGCACTGCATTATCGTGGCCCAAGTAGCTATGGGTATGCTCGGAGCTTCGTTGGTACCCATGTCCACCGCATCTTTGACGTCAAAGTCGGTCAATTTTGTATCTTCAACTCGCAAGACATGCATGAGGTTGCCGCTATCGAATACCCCAATGCGCCTCGCATTGTTCTGGCTGGTCAGGCTGCTCCTGTCTAGCGAGGCAACTAGGAATAAGCCATGGTTGATGCTCTACTCGTATAGACCGTCCAACAGAATGAAAAGGTAAGTATCAACACGCCATATTCTGGTCGAAGAGTTCAGAGGAGACAGTAACAAACTAGCGTACAAGTCTGTTATACGAACACGATGGGAGGATCAAACAGACGAAGCAAATCTCGTTGTATGTTGACTGGAGTTTTCAAAGAAGGAAAGAAGGGAAGAAAGAAAGAAGAGAGAGATAAGCGCTAATCTACGCGACGGAGGGCCCACATGATCTCGCAACAGTAGGCACAGCGAAATTGGAATGATTTGGAGTTTTGCTTTAATTATTTTTGATTCCGTGGGCTTATTTCCGGTTAAGCCAGTTATCTATGCTTGGCAAAACTCCTGCTAAAAGCCATGTTCATTTCGAGTCTGAAATTATTTTAATAGATGGGATCCCATATCTATAGTTATATCATAGTATAATAATTGTTCCTCCACATAATTTTCGGGATTCTGGAATTTCCTGAACGAATTGCTTGGAATCATGTAAATCATGTAAAGCGAGTCCATTGTTGTTGAATCAATTGTTGCTCGTGGTATGGTAATTTTGTGGTAGTTACTGACACTCGACATGCTTACGTTGGACAATCTGTTTAAACGAATACGAACCCAAGTCTAATCTAAATCAGCCCCTCCGTCCCCTCATTTCTGTGATGCCACGTATTAGAAGACCTTTTTCTCCACTTCGCCAATTGCATTCTTTCCAGAACCTCATTCTGGTAGCAAATGGATTCTGAGAAGTTTTGAGTACTTGCAGAGCAGCCCAAGACCCTGGGCCAAACGCAAAAATGGCCACAGTTGATCAAGGGAGCGCCATACAGGTGACAGCTCCAACACTGGTTCTGCAGTTCCTCCATTTCGCCGTTCAGATTGTCGGTCAACTCCATGAAATCCATAGCCTTCACAATGGTGAACATCCTGTGGAGGGATGGGAGACAAGCGGCCTATACGCCCAGTTGATTACGCTGAGCGACAGCTTGGCGAATGATTGCCTAAAACAGATTGGACCGCTATCTGAACAAGATCAGGCGCTGGATGACCTCTGCACCACCTGCCACCTCACTCTTCTGGTTATTTTATCTCGTTTGAGGTTAATACAGGAGCTAGGGCCCGATGCACCCCTACATGTCTGGGTATTACAAAGGTTTTGGCCCAGAGAAGACGTGGAAGCATTAGAAAAACGCATTATGTCAATTAAATTGAGACTGGAAGAGGCGACTCAGTCAGTGCAAAGGTGTGTTTCTAGATCCTTTATTATCGCTAAATAGGCCTTCGGTGACTGATTGAACATACTGCTCAAACAGCCCAATAATCAACAGTGAGGCTCTCCTCTCCTTGGGCATTACCCAAGACAGGATAGAGCCCAGAAATTTCCACACGCAGAACCAAAGACCGGAGGAAAGCGAAAGGTCCTCCAAGTCGAGCATTGCGACACTTTTCGTCAAAGATACTGCTAGAGTACAAGACGCAGTGGAGTTTGAGATTGGTAAAGTTTACTCGAAAGACACACTATTCACAGACCACGAAATAACCATTCAGGACTTTCTGATGGAAGCCATAAGATTTTCATCGATGACTGACCGAGAGGAAAGTGTCACTGTCGCACATAATAAAACATTTGACTGGATATTCAACTCCGATGAACCGATATCTCTATTTGAAGGGTGGCAGTCGAAGAATTCTCTCAGTGATTGGCTACAAGATAGAGAGCGTCAAGAAGGTATCTACTGGATTAGCGGCAAAGCAGGGTCGGGGAAATCTACCTTGATGCGTTTTGTGATGCACCATGCCAGAACCATGAGTCTGCTCCGCTCCTGGGCAAGGAATGAGCAACTCATCACCGCCGGTTTTTATTTCTGGATTAGCGGTACCGTGGAGCAAAGGTCTCAGACTGGATTATTACGCCACCTCCTAGCCCAACTATTAGACCAGCATAGATATCTCATCCCAATGGTCTTTCCAGTGAGGTGGAAACATCTTTTTTCTCTGAGTACGCGAGAGCGGGTAAAGGCCTCGATATCATGGGATCTTGTTGAGCTTACAGCTGCACTAAAATCATTCCTGAATTACGCAGGCCGGGGAGGCAAGGTTTGTTTGTTCATTGATGGTCTAGACGAATTCGCAGGCAACCATCAGCAAATCGTTGAATTTTTCAAGGGTTGTGTTGCTGCATACCCTCACGTCAAAATCTGTCTATCTAGTCGACCACTTTCCACTTTTCGTGCGGCTTTTGGGATGAATCCTGGCCTTAAGCTCCACGAACTGACCCGAAGAGATATGCTTCAATTTGCCCATGATCATTTACATGGAGAATCCTTGATTAGCAAACTCCTCTCCAAAGATGAAGAGGCGGGATCGCAACTCATCGAGAAAATTGTTATGGGGGCAGACGGCGTTTTCCTCTGGGTCATGCTTGTGGTTCAGTCTCTAATGCGCCGTGGAAACTATCAAGATGTTTGGCAAATGCATGAATATCTGGGCCAACATCCTACCGACTTGAGTGAACTATTCACGTACTTCCTTTTTGATCCTGCATCAAAACATCAAACTTTGATCGCTTCACGCCAGTTCCAACTCATTCAGGCAAGACAAGAGGCTTATCATGCTACTCGACAAGAAGACGCAACATCAATGAACCTTTGGGAATTTGCCCTTGCCGATCAATTCGAGGACATCATGAATCACATTCCAAAGGATGTAAAGCAAGCGAGTGAACAGAAGATCATTCGTATATGCGAAGTGACCAAAAGTCGACTTTCCAGTGAATGTGCAGGGCTGATCGTAACTCACACCTCAGGGGTGTCAACAAGCAGACTTCAGCGCAATACGTCATCGCTGGCACAGCAACTAGGCTACAGTAAAGTCTCGTTCGTCCATAGAACAGTGAAGGACTTTCTCTCACTACCTCATATTCGATCCCGCCTCTTGGAACCCATGGTAGGATCCACTTTTGAGCCCCATATATCACTTCTCACCTCTATTATATTCCAATTCAAATGGCCACTAGATGAATTTCATCCCAACCGACAGATTGATGACCGATGGCCCAACATACTTCTTGCATTTACCCATGCACGATTGTCTCCAAATCATTGGCAGTCACAGCTAGTACTTATTCCTGAGTTCGACAAAGTTATGTGTCAGCATTGGGTGTCCCGCGAGGCGATTCAACATGATCATTGGGCACAAAGCCTTTTCTCATCTTACGAGAAACGAAAGAATTTGAGCTTTCCTAATGCATTTCTCTCACTGTCTGCTAAGTTCGGCCTAGCAACCCTGGTACGGAAACGTATCTGCGAAGATAACAGCTTATCGCAAAGTAGTGATAGCGGGATACCCCTTCTCAGTCATTCCATTGAGCTACTCGCCAGTCGGCGACAAAGCGTGTATCCTTTATCCAGTCCAGAAATAATCAGTGGAATTCTCACGAGTGGTGCCAAGCCGAACCACTCTTACCAAGGTCTGAATGGAAAAGCCCAGACTCCATGGTTGCTTGTCCTGGATTATCTCAGAGAGGCAGAGCGTCGCCAGTGGATTGGGTACTACGACACCAGTGAAAATGGGACCTCTCGTCTGTCGGCCATTATATCGCTTTTCATTCAGCACGGCGCCGACCCGAACGGGCTACTTGCTGAGACCAAATTCGATCCATCAGCTTCTGCCCTGGAAATCCTTACTGCCATTTACCTGAAATATGCCGCTCCAGAATTTGGCCGACTTCGCAAGGTGTTGATTGAACTGGGAGCCCAGGAGCGAGAAGGAAATGGCCTCTTTTATCGAACATATGGTGATTAGTGTCGTGAGGAGCATCAAGCCTCACAAAGCGCACATTATTTCCTTCCTTCAAGCAATTTGCTTGTCATTGGAGGGACTTTCAGGATCCTCAAGTCTCAGACTGCTCCACAATTACACCACGACCTTTTGTACGTCGGAAAGAATCAGAAAACACCCTACATCTCTACTCAAGTGATTTCATTAAACGATTTTCTCAAGGAGACTATCTTGAAACTCAAATATCTCAATTGTTTTATGTAACTCATTAAGCAGCTTAGGGTCGTGTTGAATACCCATATAACATAGTGCAGTCAGACTATGCTCCTAGATCTGGTTCACATAGCTACTGAGGAAAACTTTGACGATTTAAGAACGAGACAAAGCTAAGCAGACATCATGTATTGTTTAAGAAACACGCAAGTTAGGTATACAATAAGCCAATAAACTACATTAAACACTATCTCAGTAGCCTGTATCTATTATAAATTGAAAATCATAGTCGTGTTTGCTACATGGGGACTTTTTTATCTCGCTTCCCGCCCGCCTATCTTTTTTAGAAGTATCGCTATCTTCGTATTTGACCCGGCTCATTTACAGGGAAAATTGAGAAAATCACCTCAGAGTTATAGTTATTGCAATAAACAATCCAGGAAGCTTCATCGACTTATGGATCCATTGAGATAGATTACCAATGCATACTGTCATAAACATCATGCGATTGCTCCTGTAGATAGATCAGCGCCTTTCCCTCATCTTCTTCCCTTCTTCTCCCCGACAACCCACTCGATCATGATACAGCAGATTGATCTTTCTATATTCTCCCTTTCCCAGCGTTTTTGTATCGCAGTCCTTCATTATCCTCAGTCGGCGTCAAGGTCTTTATCAACAGAATGATTCTAGCCCCAGTTAGCAGCGAATGCTTTATCAATGGAGCGAGCAATAGGTACTTGACTTAATAGTCTGCGATTACATATCAAAATCACGCAATGGAACGAGGATTAGACTCTCAAGGAACTATAGGAAAAGCCACATCCACCCAAGCAGGGATGAACAGACTAGCATCCTGACCGTCTTATTTTTCGGTACTTGATATTTGAAATATAGCGAACCTATCAGTCAGAAAGGGAGAAGAACATCTGCGAGTTCCATTAGGTAGACCTGAAAGCCCATTTTGTGGAAATTTGAGCCAAATTTCAATTTAGGAGATAGCATAATCGCCATCCGTCTGTTACCTCTCTATGCTAACCACGCGTTACCTTATTCGACCCTAGTAGCTATAGATAAACCATGTGCTAGCTCAAAGCCAATCATTCTTCGATGCAGATCATACGATCTGATATGATACGACCATCAGCGCAAAGTGGGGAGGTCAAACATGCAGACATCCAAGCCCTGGACCCCAAACTAATCATTCCGACAACGGGATGTCCAACAGTAAGCTTACTATATATCCCAACTCTCCTATACACAGAAAACCGGGGCAGAAATAGCTTAGATACCCTGGAAGCCACCTTGAACTAGACGCCGTTAACTGAACGCCCTAGGCGGGGTAACGTCGTTAATCACTGGTCCGCTAGGCTCATCTTTCGTTACCCTTTACCATTAGGTTAAGGTATAACTTTGAGTGAAAATCGAAAATTCGACCTAAATACCTAGCTTTCCCAAAAAGTTGAAAAAAGTTGAATTTATAATTCTAAGTTATCCGATGAGCTGAGTTTCATCAGACCGATCAGACACAGGTTTCGCTGACACCTTCCAACGATGCGCAATTTTTAGTGGTCTTAAATGAAGACCTAACACGCTAGTTGCTTCAGAAGATAAAGTATGTCGATAGTGATTCGCAAGATTAGTGAGTCTCTACTTTAAAAGATTTCCCTCTCACCATCCTGTTCGTTGATGAGAGGCCTGGGCATATGCAGATATGGAAGACACAGTGCACAGATTTACGGTGCCTTTTACGAGAGTGTTGTTTTCCCACGTGTCAATTAGAGTTTACAAAGTGCAAGTAGCAGTTTGGCATTCCTTGCTCGGGGAAAACAAGCTTTCCAAGGTCATTTTATAAAGCGAATTCAATATATTTCGTGCTTCGAGGAAACTTTCAATTCGGTCTAGTATTACTGCTATGATGAGAGTTCGTCAATAAACCGTCCTCCGTTCGTTTGACTTGTCTTCTTAATTCTAAATGCACGGACGCGCCGAAGGCGTCTGGGTAGATGGAACAACCCAATTGGAGAAGGAGGAAGGGTCTTCCATTGCCTAATGAGTACTACGTAAGGATTTCCCTCTCATATAAATGATAGCATTAAGATACTAGGGGAAATTTCCAATTAAATGAAGTCAAGGTCGGGTGTCTTGATGATATCGAGTATTCAATGACACCGCAAATAGCACCTTTTTCCAGGGAATGACTTTATTACAAGGAATGAAAATATTTACGTGCATGTTGTCCGAGATAAAGAATGGGCTCAAATTCAAATCATCGCTTGAAGATGCCTATGAAATATACTTAAATAAATGTAGCAGATCTCGGGGTGGGCCCGGAAGTGACTTGCTTTTCGCTTCTCTTCCTTTATGGGTGAGATCATTCTACGGGTAAGGTGTTCTGAAAATTTTGCATTGAAATCCACAAGTCAGGTCTTGGTTCCAAGATTTCGAAGAATCGTGGCGGTCTTGGCGATCCAGGTGCACTTTCAACAGAGTTTTCTGAAACTTTATCGACGGCTAGAGATTGGATCTTACCCGCATTCAAGATTTGACAAGTCCTTAAGAGAAGAATAATAATCAGATCGATTGATTGGTCAACAGTTCCTTCAAATATTATATTATAATGTTGTAAAAGACATTATGATGGTTTGTGAAACATTAGATCGATCTGCATGGTGATAGCCTCTTTTGGGAAAAGGGAAAAAAAACACGGACGCGATAGGGTGCACCCTAAGAGCCTCATGCTGAAAGCGGGGTCTTATTACTAGCACTATCAGTACCAAGCCCAAATTAAAGGAGAACCCTTTCATCAAATTATTAGACCATACGATCAGAGTAGCCCAAAACGGCAGGTGGGAGCTGAAGCGATCTCCAGACCTGAAAGTATAAATTATGCCTCGGAGCTCAGGTCCTCACGGAGTGACTCTAGACAAGGAAAAATTAGGGTTCAATAATAAACGCCTTCGATAAACATTTCATGCAGACCATTAAGGCGGATAACGCGAGACACACAAATCATCAGAGTGGGTACAAACAGAGCCCCGCTGGACTGCTCTAGACAGAATACGGATGATTTGCCCGATCCAGCAGATCAGACCGAGAGCCCTAGAGCCCTCTAATTGAACACCACAAAATTAGCTGAACACCCCCTCTAACCGTACTTAGAATAGCGCGGTACTTGTAATTCATTAAAATGCCATCTCGAGTATTGAGCAACATCCACCTCACCTCGACTTTAATGTAAGTGAACTGGTGATACATAATGCTATTTTCGAGTCGAGATAAAGATCAGAAAAGGCGCTAGCTCAGTGGGTAACACTCTTCAATCATGATCGCATTTCAGGATAGTTTATGGTGAGAAAACAAGCACATGGGTATGGACTCGATAAGTTTACTGCTCTGTATTACCATTATTGTTCTGCCACAGACATGGGTCAGTGAGGTGTTCAACTAATTTTTGTGGTGTTCAACCATAGCGGTCCGGAGCTTTTACCTCGGGAAATTAGGACAGGTCTCAGGCGACCCAAATTATAGCCTTCGAAGCACTGGTTCCAATTTTTCAGAGAAACGCCATCGTGTGAAATAAATAACCTTAACGCTGAATTCCACGTGCTTTGGACCTTTTGCCGCGACGCCAGGCTCCACGGTACCCGTCTAGAACAATTGTCCGGACTCAGAATGAAAAGCAACCGGTCCCCCACCCGAGATGCTCTCCATTTCGTAGACCTCTGACGACCATTTTGAAGTAGTCGTTCGCCATCATGAGACTTCACCTGTATTGGCTCTGTGTCTTAGCCCTGCTGGTGGTGGGGTTGCACGCTACAGACTTAACCGCTTTCCCATCCTGTGCTGTACGTTGGGATATTGATAGAGAGACTCAGGACACTACTGACTATCGCTAGATAACCTGCGATGAGAACCTTTTTTCAACTTGCTCAATCACCACGGATACGACTTGCTTCTGTGCTAGTGATCTGCGCGTCACTACCTTCCTTGACGCAGTCGAGAGCAACTGCACAGTGAAGGACTTTTTTAGTGGGTTTCACGTCTGTTTGATCGGCAATACCCCAATTTGGGCTAATTGTTCCAGCTACAAAACGGCTCTATCAAAAAGAATGCGACATTACTCCGCTCCAGAGGCCTCCAGTGGTCAACCCCTCAACCCTAGTCCCTTTCATTCTTGCAACAGTTTTTTTCGCCGCCAGAATTTTTGCCAAGAGCATTGGGCTTGGAGGCGGATGGGGATTGGATGATCATACTATTATTGTCGCATATGTAAGCGCACCTCCTTTAACTACTTCCCGTGTTGTAGTATTGATAGGCATCAGGTTCTTGGCACCGCGATCTATTTCCTCGGCATGCAAAGTGAGCGTTCTCCAAATCATTTCCTTCCACATGAAGCTAATAAAACAGTGATTCGTCTTGGGTTTGGCGCCAACATCTGGGATATCACACCGCAAAGTGACATAACTCTTATCTACAAGGTGCGACATTTATCACGCGGACCTATGATCATATGTTAACGGAAGCAGCTGTTCCAAGGTCTCGCCGTGATGTATAAGATACAAATCTCCCTGGCGAAAATAAGTGTTATCCTTTTCTTATTGCGAATTTTCCAAAAACCCAACTTCAGATATCTTTCATATGCTCTGATCGCCACTAACGCCGCGATCGGAATCATTTGGGCATGTGTCGATTCATTTCGTTGTCTTCCTACTCATCTGACATGGGATGGCTGGACGGGAGAGGAAAGTGGGAAGTGCATTAATTTTATCGACTCGATTCTCGTGAACTGTCTTGTCAACATCTTCGTCGACTCCGTATGGACAACCTGCAAAGGCTCTATCTATAAATTCGACTAACGAACTCTACAGGTGCTTATAATGATGCCTGTCTATGAAGTGAGCAAGCTACAAATGCCTCTGCGAAAGAAACTCACCGTGGCGTTGATGTTTATCGTCGGTTCAGTGTATGCATTCACTCGCTGCGTACCTTTCCCTTTCTCTTCTACTAAATACTGACGGAAACTCTAAGCCTTACCATCATCGCCATTATTCGAGTCGTCGTTTTCTGGAACAATCGCTGGGGCTATAATCAGACCAAAGGACTCTATCCGCTCATCTATTGGTCCGTCATCGAATGCCAGATCTCCGTCTTGTGCGCTTGCTTGCCTGCATCCAGGGCTCTTCTTGGCCGCTGGTTCCCTGGATTCATGGGTGGCTCCTCTCAACGAACATATCCCTCTGGGCCGGAATATTTCAACACAGACGGATATGCACGTCAGGACAGCAAGATCAACAAGTCTGTTAGCTATACCGTGAACTATGGAAATAGGTCGGACCACGGCGACTCTAACAGTGATGTGGAGTTGGTATTGACCAACGGAAAAGTGATGCGTCGGTAGTCCTTCATATTATCATTGTTTCACTTCATTGTAAAGTTTTATCATTCGAAACTTTATGATTATCAGCTTTGGAATATACTTCATCCTTCTTTCACATACCTTACTTCTTTGCTGTTTCCCGACGTCAAAATCATTGGAGCCAGGCAACGAGTAGCAAAGTTGTCATGGGCCAAAGATTCCTTTGATCTATGGTCAAGGCTGGCCAGATGCCGGCCCTGGCAATTTTCTGGAACCTTTCTCTTTTTCACCTTTTTTTTTTTTTTGTGCTATCTCAATTGATCAGCATTTGCCGCGTTTGGCGTTTGGGATTGTTTAAACCATTCAAAACGAATGTATCTAGCCTCAAAGTGGAGGAAGATCCATTTGTCATATGTCTGGGTACAAACCACATTATAAATCGTAGGGCAAATCAGACCAACCAAAATTTATATTGATAAGTTACATTAACACTCAATAGCGTGCACGATAGTGGAGAATTTTGCGCCAGACCTATACCTTACTGGTTGAAATATTTCTCAGCAAGTCATGTGCTAGTGGAAACGGTCACAGGAACCGGGGAGCGTACGAGGATGAATACGAATATACTATAGACACAAGATAGGTAGGTAAGCATACTATATCATGAAGGCGTCGATTGTTTGGGGAAAGAAGAAGAGAATGAGGAGGCGAGAAAGCACTGGTCTACAACGAAGGAGTCACTTGGCCTCACAACAATGTTCCATAAACCTCCTGATAGAAGTCAACCACATCTTAATAAATCCTACGATTGAAATACAAAATACATGGGCCAATGTAACAGACACCATCATATTTAAATTGAAGTTCTTGAGTATAGGGTGATAAACGTTGGCTAAGTTCTAATATCTCGAAGGTGCGATGTTTGCTACTAATCGATCTGTTAGACAACTCGCCTTCAGCCTCAATGGCCCATCGCCATCGGGTTGGGTGGTTTTGTCAATGTCTAGGCCGTTAGGTGACTTTTCATGACCCCGTGGCCCTCTGGCTACCCCGCTCCTAGCCTATGTCTTATATCCAACTTGAATGCGTATTGCGCAGGTTTAATCCCTATCTCGCGAATCATTTGATAGCTAGGTCTGCGATGCCAGCTAAAGCTTTCTGTTTAATTCTGAGCGTCGACCTAAGTTAGGCCTTGTGAGAGTTCATTTGCTATAGCTAAGGAAATCTTAATACTTGAATGGTCTTATAATTTAGTCAATAACCTAAGAGTTTCGCCATCTAGACTTTCTCTAAATACCGATCGTACATACTCGCTAAAATGACCTCACCCTTGACCTTGCATATATCGATAGTCGAAATGAGAAGCTTCATGAAGTTCTCTTTGTGTCGTCCAAAGTCCTAGGGAAATATTAGAACTAACCTTACATATCTCAGTGTCCAATCCAAGTTCTTCACTTATGATTCGAAGTTCCTTAGCATGATCATTGCCCCCTGGGCTCCCTTTGCCCGTGCCCGCCCAGAAACTCCTGAGCATAATCGTATCCAGCAGAGGTGTCCTGGCCTGCACAGACGGGAGAAAGTCCCGAATAGCTACCGTGACTACATCATCGTCCATCTCGTAATCCTCTGACTGGATCAGTTGATCTCGGATAATTAGTTTCTGAAGATTTTGGGGCAGAACCTCAGACATGGGAGGTGCATCGCCAATAGTCCAGCCGAGAAGCATGACCGATGGAATTTCGGCAGATTTGAGAAGCTGGAAATGCTTCAGAATTCCAAGACAATTTTTGAAACTTTCCTTTGGGTCTCCGTTGTCGCGGTTGTAAGAACTCCACGTACTGGGGTAGTATAGTGGACAAAGCTCCATGCCAACCGACAGATGTTCCACTGTATCTTTTACGCTCATCAGTCCTTCAATAAGTACGCCAGCCTCTTTGAGGGGTGGTCGGGCGGAGGCTTCGCTCCAGCCGAGCTCCCTGTCCTGCGAAGGATATACAAGGCCCAGGTGAAGGCTCTTAAGTGAATGCAGGTGAAACAGAAGATCTCTAACTTCACACTCTTCAAGGGGAGATTCAGCCAAAACGAGCCTCTTAAGCCGCGCTAAGTGTCTCAATTTGCTTGATCCAGCGGGCTTGGACAACAATTCATTTTTGACACCATTCAAACTCTGGAGCCAGATCTCCAAAGATCTCAAAGAAGGCAGATAGAACCAGCCTGCAAATTGCTCCGAATCACACGGAGGAAATGCATCGATAAATGGCGCTCCAAGTTCATGGAACACTCGTGATTGGGGAACATTCATCCCATACTCCACAATAGATAGCTCTGCAAAGCGAGATATTAAATTTTTGGGCGCAGAAAGAAGAGCATGTCGCATCATTAATCCGGGGAATCCAGACTGCCACACGAAAGTGTAGTCTAACTGCAGCGACTGTAAATTGTGAAGCTGGGAAAGGAGAACCGCCACGAATGCGTATGGATCGCCGTTTTCCAGAGCATGGATCCATTTGGCTGGTGAGGGAAACTGCACCTTAGTGATAATATTCCTTGCAACGTTGACTTCATTCTGGAATGAAAATGAGAGCTGGCTCCAGTCTCCATCGATCTGCGGCGGTTTCCACTTCCGCATCTGGTCTTCCGCCGGATACTCCAGTCTGGAAGGGATCATGCTCAGATGGTGAATTTGGAATGCTAGATCTGGACGCTCGTGAATGACTCTGAATAGAGTCAGGACCCGCTTGAGGGGTGGTTTGATCCAGTCGATCTTGACATGACGATACAATGAGCTTTCCGCGGAGACTTGTAGATCTCGCGATGTAGCCACTACAGACGCAGCGTCGGGCGGGGAGAGTTGTTCCAATATTTGCACCCAACAATCTTGGGGCATATCTTGCAGTGCGCTGGAGTGGATGAGCGCATGATTCTCTTGGGTGACTGGATATACTCACTTCCGTGTTGTTGGTGATTTTGCCATTTGAGATCTCCGGGAGATTTTTAGGAAGGAATTAGATTAAAGGGGAAGATTTCCAATTGTCAAGGTCAAAAATTGTCGGTGTGGGAGGAGCAAGTCTTGTTTTCCCGTCTGTGATTTTGCGCGGAAGCGTCATTTTTGGCCCCTGTCGATCGAAGGCTTTTTAAGGAATTCCAACACGACATATGTATAGCCTACTTTCAAATTGCGGGCATTTCGATATTCCGTTCTAGCAAATGGCATTGGTTAGAAATTGTTACATATTCAGGGCCCCTTTTTCAGACTTTCCAAATAGGCTCACATGGAGTTACATCAAACAAGCAAGCCAATTGGACTACTGGTACGACACGGATTGATCACTACGTATTCCCCATCATAGTACTTGTTTCTCTGTAGACTTTTCCAATGGATTATTATCAACCATCGTTATGAGATCACATGCACACCCGACCGTAAAAATTGTCCCTATCCGCTTTTAGGCAGGTCGCCCCAACAACCAGATAGGCTGTCTTTTCTCTCCTTCACCGCCACCATCTATGTAGAAGAGCGCTTAAAAAGAGTCTTCTTCCGATTTACATACCTGGAAAATTCTTTCAGCAGGAAAAAACGAGCATCTATTACGCGGAATTGACAAGACACTAGTTTAAATAGCAAGGGATTTACGTTGAAGATTAGCCCGCACACTCACCTCACTTAAGCCCAATCGGACCAGTGTAGGCATGGTTTAAGCTGAAGCTATCTTAGCTTCAACCCGGGGCTATCTAGAAGGATCGATCGGAGACCGGTATGCCTGTTTCAAAACACATATAACAGAACCTCGGTGGGCAGTTTCCCAGCTGCAAATCGATGGTTTGGTCATTAGTATACTGAGGCGGATGTGAAGGTTCTTGAGACTGAGCGGTATTAGACGCTTCAATAAGCGGGAAAAAGTGGTGCAATGTGTGCGTCATATCTAGTACCTGAATGATCATCTGTGATCATATACAATTTAAGTAAAGTACAGTACGATGGTGCAGTAAATTATCTTGTGAACATATATATTTGATGAGGTGGAGCCATAACCCGATTCGAGACAATATTTATGACTGGGTAATGTATAGGTCTGAGATCTATAAGTTGTCTTTCTCTTGTCTTTAGCGCGTTTCTACCATAAAAATAAGCAGTTTTCAGGGAGAAACTCAAGCTCTTCCTACTGGAAAATAGGTAAATATGGACTAAACGGTTATGAAGTGCATATAGATTTTACCTAAGATATGCTTATGGGATCCTCTTTTCAATTCTCGCTTACATTAGGCATGCGTAAAAATCTATGGAGCTTATTATGTTACATCTTTAGCTCCATCGGAGTCAGTGAGCTCCAGGTGCAAAACATTGGTTTAGATTTATTTGCCGCCGTGTCATCTAGTGCTTCCTTGTTCTTTGCCTTAATTACGGAAATCAGGTTACTTTGCTCTATCAAGGATTAGATATTCCGCTGAAGTCTAATGAAAAGCATTCAGCACCTCTACACGGTTGCTTTATGATCTTTTGAATCACCGCAGTAGAATTGAAAGGCATTCATATAGCTACCTTAGACACTTAAAGACTCAAAGTTGTTGTGAGGCCCATTTATCTAGTGATATCACCATCGTGTGCTTCTTGCCATGGGAATGCTCTAGTACTACCTTGAAGCGCTGGAAAAGATTATCTTCTTCTATACATCGCTTCTCCGTTGATGCGCTGTTCTCTAAATATGGTTTATTGTTTCTATTTAGAACTGCTTTCCCTGTCGTGTTTGATCGTAATTGGTCATTTCTCTGATCATCGTGTTACGCCAAGTCACGGGAAGTCGTTCTGTGGATCCTGCTTTTCTTTATTGTTGTTTTGGTTTTTGCTCTTCTTATCTTTCATTTATTATCTAAGGAGTATAGTAGGATCTCTCCTCCCTTCGGGCTAAGTCTTAGTGATGAAGGAGAAAACGAGAGAATGGAAGCTGGTCAAAGAGTATGAAGTAATCTATTGAGAGCGACGAGGAAGGAAGAAGGAGAGACTACAAAAGTGAAGCTTAAGTAGTCAGAAGAAGACACTAGTCCCAAAGTGGACGTCAACACTTAGTGTACCACGCTGTGCATAAACCTAGTGAAATGCATCGAAAATTGGCATCCTGATTGACTAGTATAATCTAGGGGTCTATGACTCTAGCTATGAATATTTGCTGGAATTCAATAAGTTGGCCTGGGAATGATTATTTCCCAAACATTGAAAATAGTCCCTATCTGCTTCTTCCTGTTGGCCATCCAGTCTCTTGCATCCATCGTCATGATTTTTGAGAACGCCTTTGCTCTCAATAGAATAGGAACCACTGGTATCTTTCAAGATGCTGGCTCATGTTTGGGTAAGGTTAGTAATGCTTGATTTTGGATTGCGATTTTCTTCTAGCTTCTAGCTAGGTGAGTTTTCTATTCTTCCCTCTCTTTTTGGAATCTACATTTTGCTGAACTTGAAAGCTTTGGCTTTCTTTCCTTCTATCGCGTTGAGCAGCTTAATGGACTATGAGGATTTTCCTTAATTCTCTCATGCGAGGCCACAATTCAAACTAGATGACCATTTTGTGAGAGGGCTGTCCTTATAATTACCAATTTTCTTCTCAAAGAAAAATAAATCTATAGAATGAGTAATCCTTTCACATTCACCAAGTTAAGATAAGGAGTATTAATAATATGTTTAGCCTTGACTCTTCTTCTCACTGCGAATCGAAGGAAGAAACCTCCCTGGGTGGAAAAGGGTGAAGGATAAGGTCGCCATCGCGATCATCCTATATCCGTCAGAAACCATATCGACCAAAAGGCACAGAAAATGGACTTACATTCCATCTAGAAGCAGAAATTCATCCTCTTTCCTCATGAGTTTACTGCCCCAACCCCCAGCCATTTCTGGAATGCTGTTTATATATAATTAGCTGAGTTACTGGCCATGGACGTATCCTTGCACACAGACTTACCGATAGATACACCGAATCAAGACAGTGAAGTAAGCAAAGACTTCCGCAGCGATGATAAGTCGCATCCGATTCGGAGAAATAGCAGGAGCAGCGGTACCCAGATTGCTATCAAGAGTCTTTTCCCCTACCAGACCGTTGCCCTTCCGTGCAACGTTCCAGAAGAAATGCAAGGCTAGAATGCCACACACAGACATAGTAAATACCTGGAACGCGATACCGGCGATAATGATATCGTCGCCAACCTTCAGCAGGAACTGATTTGTATTACCTGCACCCGCGGCGGCACCACCTCCAGCAGCTTGACAAACAAGTGAGAAAACGTCCGCCGTGATGAAGATCCAGGTGAATAGGCGCGGCTTCATGATCGAATGCTCCGGGCCGAGATTTAGCACGACGTGCTTCAGCGTCAGATAGATACCCGCGGCAACAAACGTCGGTGCAAGGACCAGGCATACAATTTGGAGCTTGAAAGCGCCCTCGTTCCAGGGATTGTAATGCATCAATACCCGTCCTATGTATCCTGCCATCTCCATGAATGTTCCTACACCCAGCGCGATCAAAAAGGTCCATGTTCGATAGTAGACGCCTAGTCCCAGCTGGGCGACTCCGAGGACGGCGAAAAATGCTGTAAAGAATATGTTTCCGCCAAGATTCGGGGCATAGCCGTAGGTAGTGTCTGAGACAGGGCATTCCAGGCTAACATGGTGGCAGGTTTGGTAGCTCATCCTGATCACTCAATCGGAGTGAAGAGAAGGTCAAACGCGACGCTGTAGGTGTGGTGTACGTTTCCTGGACAAACCGCGCCAGACAGAAATTCGGGCGAACCGCATGTTTTCTATTTATCTTGTCAGCATGGAGGTCCCAGCCAAGGAACTGACGGGTCCCGCATAGGTGGAGATACTAATATAAACGGGCTGTGTAGAGGCTGCGATTGGCGGGTTGATTCGTTCACTGGCTCGTTTTCGTTTTCGGTTTCGCCTACGTTATCGTATGAGACCCCACTTTGGGTCATCGACGAATCGGCGATTTGAGAATGGTCCGCGTTCTGTTCCGGAGTTAATTTTAATACGTTGATGATCGAGGCTCCGTTGAACTTCCAAGGTTGGCGCTCTATCCCGAAGGCCTAACCGCAAGGGGTGAATGCATGTTTAATGATCGATATTGTTATTTTCTCGGGTGGGTATTGGTATAAGTGACATGAACCTCAACGCTCTGTACAATATGCTGTCCTTATAAGGATCGGATCAATGCCGAGCATTCGGCATTGACTTTCCTCATCACATGATATCAAAGACCCTTATTTCCCCCGCCGCACCAACAGCGACCATCTCCATCTCGCTCCACCTGGACCACAATATCCACATTCTTATCCTTGAGATAATCCACTGTTCTCTGTCGAACATCTTCAAGGTCCGATCCACGAGAGGCAATAACGTGAATAACACCAAAAACATTTTGAGCTTTATGTTCGTGGTCATGGTCATGGTCATGGTCATGATCATGGCCGTGACCGTGTGAGTGCCCGTGGGCATGGTGGTCATGACCGCAGCTATGATCGGTGTGGTCGTGCGAGTGTCCGTGATCAGACGAACCCGTATCATCGAGCCAAAATTTAGGCACAGTATATCCAACAACTCCCCGCAAGGTGCTGACCCCGGCTAGGGTTTCACGAATATTGTACTCTGTGTCGGCTGGCAAGGCCAGAAGCAACGTTTTGGCCGTGCTAATGACCAGCGGAACAGCCGAAGCAAAGATCAGGATTGCAATGAAACACGAGGCTAAAGGATCATACCCGGCCCAGCCAGAGTAATGCACAAGAATGGTGGAAATAACCACAGCGACAGAACCAAGCGTATCAGCAAGAATATGAAGGAAGATACCGTGCATGTTCTCGTTGCCATGGGAATGATCGTGCCCATGGTCATGGCCGTGGTGGTGATGACCATGCTCAAAGCTGAAAATCCCGACCAAGTTGACCAGCAAGCCAGCAAAGCTTACTGCCAACAATTCGCCTATGCGGTGCATTTCACTGCCCGAGGACAAACGCTCCACCGCCTCATAGATGATTTCCACACTGATGATCCTAGTATTTGTTAGAACCGACCGTAGGCTCAATGCGCAGTAGAACTTACATGAGGAAAATTCCATTAGCGAATCCGGACAATGTGTCGACCTTTCCATAGCCATATGGGAAGCGAGCATTGGGTGGCCATTTACTCATGACCGCAGCACAAAGTCCAACAACAAGGGCAAGACAGTCGAAAAACATGTGGATACTGTCGCTGAGAAGCCCGAGAGATCCCGTCAAGAAGCCATATGATAGTTGGACTAGCATGAATGTAAAATTCAAACTTCAAAAATTAGCATCACGTATCGCGGTCCACATTGGCAAACTTACCACATAAAGTAGAAAATACTGCGAGAATCCTTCTCTTTTACAATGCTGTAAAGTAAGGGATACGGTTCGCTACGACGGATGACCCATTTCGTGATCCGAGTTGTAGACTCAGAGACGTGGGAATGGCTGGCTGCGTGGTTGTGCGTGTGATTATGCGAGTGGGCATCCAAGCGGAGGTGGCTATCGTCCATTCTTGAGGCAAAGAATGAGACAACAGCCAGGATGCAACGCGCAGCGTAGACAGGCAGAATTTCATCCCGGACGTGGGGGGAGCAAAGAATGGCAGCAGCTCCAGTACAAACGGCCAGTCCATGCTTATCTGGAGAGCGAAGGCCCGTTGGGAATGAGACCATCAGGGATATGGCCAAGAGTACAGCGGGGACCAAAATATAGAGCAGCTCTGATAATTGAAAGGGTAGACCCCGGGAAACGATTATTCCTAGAAAAAGAAGAAAAACTCCTGAAACCAGAGCCAAAGGCGCATCGGTCGTGACCACGATGGCCGATCGGTTGCCGGCAGACTTGGCCTTCGAGATCGATTCCGCAACGAGACCAGGCTTTGGAATGGGCCCTTGATGACGAAGAGATGGAAGAGGTGGAGAAATCACAAAAACCGAGGTCAAAAGCGCTAGATACCCCATGAACGGGGCAGAGTCCCAGGGCTGATTCAAGCCAATAAAGCTCAGTACCATTACACTGGCCAGCAGAGCAATGGTCAGAACCTTTTGACTATATTTCTCCGAACTCGAGCCACGTAGCTCCGCTTGCACAAGGTTCGGGACCCCGGATGCCGTTGAAAGAAGCAACGCAAATGCGACCAGAAACCCGCCCACTTTCAACGAAGCGTAAATCGGAAGTCCGATCGAGCACATCTGCATAAAGGCAGCTTGGGCGATCTTTGTATTGGGTGTAGGAAACTTTGTCGAAGAAAAGAAACGTCCCGCTTGGCGTTTACGCAGAATTTGGCCACATCCAAATGCTAAGAGCGTGAATGCAGTCAGAATTCCTGCCGTCTGCCCAGCGTGTCCAATCCCTCCGAGAGGGAGGTTCTTCGATGCAGCGCTTGGCGCCTGGCACGCCTCTGCGCACTTGTGCGGGTACCAAGATAGAGCGACCCAGGGCAAGGCGATCAGGGAACCGGCGAGAATGGCGTGTCTACACCATAAGGTCAATATACTTTCGTCAAATCTGTTATGATCCCCGCGACTCACAGTTTCTCAGGGCTACTTTCCGCGTGCGCTTCTGGCCCCGAGTTTAGATGGTGTGAATGCGACATATCATGGATTGAAGCGACGCTGTGGTTATGGGCATGCGAATGCGAATGGGTATGGCCATGATGATCGTGGGACATCGAATCAGAACGTGGGTGGTATGAAGATGATGGTTGAGAGGCGTGGTCGTGAGAATTGCCTCCTTTGGCAGCGTGTGTACTCTCGGGCGCTTGCGATCCGTTCACATTGGCGAGGGAGGACGGTGGTTGTGCATAGCGAGAGCGAGTGTGGCCGCGACTGCGGCTATGGCCATGTGTGTGACCATTGGATAAAGGTAAAGGAGCGAGGTCCGCATCTGATGACGGCTCCATCGACATTGTTCGGTTCGATAGGAGATTGCGGCGAGTGAAGAGGGGGTGATGCCGGTCGCCAGAATCCGGGGTTTTGAAGCTCAAATCGGGAGGCAGGCAGTCTGAGCCAGCATTGCGCGTCGTAGCTGCAGAAGTGGGGATTGAGGAGTCGAACTACAGCTCCGAGTGGGCGACCACGTATTAAACTGGTTCTTCACGACCTTGGGGGAAGACACGTGATATCCCTTATCGCAACTCAATTTCAGCTTGACATCACTCTGAGGATTGGGATACTTCATCATGATTGAAACCTTCATCAATGTTGCCTTCTGTGTGTCCAGTGTGGTAACGGTGTTGATGTTACTGCTCCCATCGCAGTATGATCCCCAACCATCCACACTCAAGAAGACGAAAACAAGTGTACAGATCCTCGTGCTAGGCGACATCGGTCGTAGTCCACGCATGCAATACCATGCCTTGAGTATTGCCAGAAACGATGGTCAGGTGGTGATTATCGGATACACAGGTACGAAAGAAAAGAAAACGAAAAGAAAAGAAGAAAAGGAAAGAAGCAGTAAATTCAACTGCTAATCCATGCAGAGTCCGAGCCTCACCCCGACCTAACCTCCCACCCAAACGTCACTATTGTTCCTATTCGTCCCCATCCAGCGATCCTACAAACAAGCAATAAACTCCTTTTCATTCTTTATGGACCGTTGAAGGTGCTATTCCAGGTTATATGTCTATGGCGCTGTCTAGCGTATACTGCCCCGCCATCGCGGTGGTTGCTAGTGCAGGTAGGATAGATACACAAACACATGGAAACAGAATTATACTGACCCGTCAGAACCCGCCCTCGATCCCTACACTCGCTGTCGCTTCTTTGTCCTGCTTCCTAAGACAAACACGACTTGTCATTGATTGGCATAATTTTGGGTATTCTATTCTAGCTTTGAAGCTCGGTCCCAACCATCCGCTCGTGAAAGTGTCTCTATGGTATGAGAAGGTGTTTTGCAAGTCGGCATTCGCTCACTTCTGCGTAACCGACGCAATGCGTTCGGTTCTCAAACAGAATTTCCACTTGCAGGCTCCAATCTTGCCATTGCACGATCGCCCCGCGAGTCATTTCAGCCCCATTCAAGATCCCGACGAGCGCATCAAGTTCCTTGCAAATCTGCCTGAAACAAAGGAGATATGCTCGAAGGCCACCAGGCTACGTGTTCTGGTCAGCTCAACCTCCTGGACGCCTGACGAGGACTTTTCAATCCTCATTGAAGCACTGCTGCAATACTCCAAGCTCGCAACCTCAAAACCGGACCTTCCCGAGATCCTGGCAATTATTACCGGTAAAGGACCGCAAAAGGAATTGTATATGCGGGAAATCGCGGCCTTGGAAGCGGCAGGTAAGCTTGAAAAGGTCACGATTCGTACTGCGTGGCTGAGTGTGTCAGACTATGCCAAGCTCTTGGCATCTGCATCGCTAGGGGTGAGTCTGCACACCAGTAGTAGCGGAGTAGATTTACCCATGAAGGTCGTTGACATGTTCGGTGCTGGCCTTCCGGTCGTGGGTTGGAGCCGCTTCGAAGCATGGCCGGAGCTGGTGACAGAGGGTGTGAATGGCATGGGCTTTGACAACGCGGATAAACTGGCGGAACACTTGGTCAAGCTGTTTGGTGACGACAGAAAGCTCGAAGCCCTTCGCGTGGGGGCACAAAACGAGAGCTCTCGGCGTTGGGACGATGAATGGAATCCCATCGCGGGTAAGCTGCTTGGTTTGATCTAGCAGAAGGAACATGCAATCCAGCAATACAAATCATGCTGAAACACCAAACTGTCTCCCCGCCCTTGAGTTCCTGCAACATCCATGCTCGACTGTGATTCGTAGAGATCGCTAACGCTAAACGCTAGCCTGAAATTTCATGTCGCAGTAGATGCACGTATCAAACGCCTCAAAAAGCTGCATGAACTTTGGGCCAATATGACCTTTGCGCACGCGGGCTAGAAGATCTTCGTCGAAATATTCGGTTCGGCAAATCGGGCAGTACTTAGATATACCAGGCTCCTGTATCGCCAAGAAGCTAAGTCCACAGCGTACTAGATATTTATTAGCCTTACTCGACTCTGCTCGGTGTGGGAACTTACCCAAAAGATGCCCATTTGCACATTGTGCTTCGTTCGCAGAATCCCACGTAAGGCCTGTTCCGCAGATCTCACAATATTCAAACAAATGACCACCGGGCATTGTTTGCTGATCAGTTGACTTGGCCGAAATGGTTGAGGATTCAAGGTCACATTTGGAGATTTCGTCGCTCAGGTCCGCCCCTGTTTTATTTGCCAGTCGCTCTAAGCACTCTCGAGCTTGGGCTCGAATGGAGTTACTATGTCCATCCACGAGAGCGCAGCACGCTGCCGCGTAGACGAGCTTGTCATCCTCTTTGTTTTCTCCTTTTTCCTGTTCACCGCTAGCAAGTACCGATGAAATGGCCTTTTCCCGTTGATCGCGAGCGAATTGCGGTTCGCTGTCCACGGAATGTGGAGTGAACAAGGTGTGGAAATCTGGGGCCTCTAGAGTATTTTCGTTCGTGAATACAATTATTGCTTTCTCGTTGGAGGAAACACGGTATTCAACCATATCAGTCGGATGCATTGTGAAAAGGGCCGCAGTTAGACCGCGATACATTGACAAGCCCCAAATACGAGCCGCAGTGTATCCTCCCAGGTCACGGTCCAGGTCGTAGTCTTCTCGAAAATCTTCGACTGCTTTCATCCAGAGCGGAACTTTCCACGGTCCAAGAGCCCCGGATTGATCCAGGGTGATGCTAGTCCCCAAACCACCCAAGGTGCCTATTTGAAGAGTACATGTTTTGTGTTGTTCGGCTGTTGTTGTCAAGAAGCCTGGAGAGATTAGTTGAAATTCAGACAATAAGGCCAGGACACTCACTTGAAATGCGCTCCAGAGTCCGAGAAAATGACTCACCATCCGGAGTAGGCCAGGATGAGCGAGGCCACTCTTGAGTCTTGATTCCGGCAAGATTTTTTTCACTGCCATCACACACGGACCGGGGTAAAGATATTGTGACAACGCCATCAATAATACCCACTGCGAGAACAACCCAATCGGACTGGCCCTGGATTCGTAGTCAGTACGAATAATCTGAATATGACTCTCCTTTCCGTACTGTATGTAACCATCCGAGAGGACCTGACATTCGATGAGCCCAGCTGTCGGATATGATGAAAGGGTGGGGTTTGATATCCATCATTACGTCGTATCGTGGCGTAACTTCCACCTCGTGGTCTGACTCCCCTAGCGCAACAGTGGCCTGTAAAATCCGTAGCTCCGTTCCATAAACGACCGCAACCATTGTCCCTGCGGAGTGTACAGGACCATTCTCTGACGTAGGTAAGTTGAGCCATGGGCTACACATGACCGAAGTGATGCGTGCTTTGGCCTGAAGGGCATTTTGCAGAAGTGATCCAGAGCCGACCATTGGAAACTGCCTCTCAGCCCCATCCAAGGGGTAAGCAGTCAATTTAGTTATAATGTATGCATCTGATGAAGCTTGCAGCCCACTTGGTCGAAATACCCGAAGTAGAACCACCTCATTAGCATCATTCGTGATGGCCAGCATCTGGACACCCCAGCGGGACTCAGGCGCCGTTGCTGATTCCGGCCCATCGGCGGGTACTTGAAGGGGCGAGCACCAGTTGAAAGAGCGGATGCTTGCCCTGCGAAGGACAATACCGCCGATATCTTGAAAGTTTCCTAGGTTCGGGTAGAGTGCGTGGTTCACTATACAGACCCGAGCCCACTGGCCATTGATTCCAACCGGCTCCCACAGGGAGAGAAGCAGATTGGAGGTCCAGATAGCCAAGACACTCCGTCGGTACCTAGCTAGACCTGGCGGCGACCATGAAAGACCTACCACAGAACTAGCTGACTGCTCCACGGCGATGGAAAAATTATCTCGACTCTGCGGGTAAATCATGCCCCACTCAGCAACCGTGAAGACATTAACCTTTGGAATGCGGGTAAGTTGCCAGCCATTGTGGTCCCCTTGCTCTGAGTTGTGCTTAGGAGGCCTCCATGTCTGTTTGATGGTTAGCTGTGCTTGGTTACACTATGTTTGGATTGAACCTACCCATATCTGAACTTGGTCGCCCGCAGCCACTGCAAGCTCTCCCTCTGGTGACCAGTCAAGGGCCCCGAAACAGGATGGGAAGAGAGACAGCTCCACCGAGCTAGACATCATTAGTGAGTTGGTATTTACCTCTTGAAGTTTTAAAGACGCGTTAGGTTTGTTTTGTCGGAGCAGCTCATTTTTCCGAGGAAGAAGTAAGAAGAGAAATGATTGTTCACTCGACGCGATTGCTATAGCTACCCGATCGGGTTAGCGCCATTCCGTTGGCATCAAATTTCATTTTCATGAATCGTCTTATCTCCTAAACAAGCCTACTTGGCTAAACTGATGGACCATTTTGGATCATCGAATGGGAATCCATTCCGTGCTGGTGAGCACATCGCGACTGCTCCTAAGACCGGTACACCGTGCAAGTACATACTATCTAAGTAGTAATATATATATATATATATATACAACTGCTGGCATGCTTGATTTGACAAGAACTTTGTTGAATCTGAATCGAAACCTGAAAACAGCAAATGTAAATTTGGAATCTACAGAACCTTGCGCTCGCTGAAGGTCTGGTGGAGTGAGGGTATCATTAAAATGTTCATAGCAAATTTACTCCACGCGATCGAGTCTCTGTACAACCATAGCAGAAGCTGCACCACCGCCGTTGCAGATAGCAGCGACGCCATATTCACCAGGTTGGAGCTGGTGGAGAAGAGTTACCAGGATACGCGATCCAGAGCTGCCGAGAGCATGACCCAGGGAGATAGCACCACCTAGCATATTGACATTGGCATTCTCCAGACCGAGAATCTGAATTAATGAGAGGTTAGCTAGATTTTGGTCAATCGCTCGTGTAATATAGAGACTTACTTTCTCATTGGCCTTGATAACTGCGGCAAAAGCTTCGTTGAACTCCCACACAGCCACCTGCTCCTTGGTGATACCAGCACGTTCAAGTGCGATCGGGACAGCCTTGGCCGGGGCCACTGGGAAGTCAACCGGGTCAATGGCAGCATCGGCAGTGGAGAGAATGCGAGCCAGGACCCGTCCTCCAGTACCAAATTCACGAGCCAAGTCCTCGTTGACCAAAACCAGGGCAGATGCGCCATCGTTCATAGTAGACGCATTGCCTGCAGTGACAGTGCCAGTTCCATCCCGCAGGAACGCAGGTTTCAGACTGGTCAGCTTATCTGCACGCAGGTTCTCATAACCCTCATCTCGCTCCACAATAGTCTCGCCCTTCTTGTTCTTGACCGTGACGGGGGCAATCTCGTCTGCAAACCGGTTCTCTTTCCAGGCCTGCTGTGCCCGCTCGTAAGAGCGAATGGCGTACTGATCCTGGTCTTCCCGCGAAATCTGATACTTCTTGGCGGTCTGCTCCGCGCAAATACCCATGTGGAATTGATTGTACACGTCCCACAGGCCATCCTTGATCAGACCATCCTCTAGCTTGATCTCACCGAAAGGAGGTAGCTGACTAGACCGAGGCATGTAGTACGGAACTCGGGTCATGTTCTCCATGCCACCAGCCACCTGCGCCTCTGCTAAACCGAGTTGAATATTTTGGGCGGCAAGCGCCACTGACTTTAGGCCGGATGAGCACACCTTGTTGATAGTCACTGCCTCAACAGTCGAAGACAGACCGGCAAAGATGGATGCCTGGCGAGCGGGCGCCTGACCAACTGATCCCTGCAGAACATTTCCCATATAGACATCACTGATTTTCTCTACGGGAATCTTGGACTTGCTCAGAGCAGACTTGATGGCGACAGCACCTAGTTCAGGAGCCGAGACGGAAGCGAATGAACCATTGAACTAATGAGAATATAGTCAGCTGTCGAGCTCTGATAGCTTTCTTTAAGTCGACACACCTTGGCTGTCGGGGTTCGGGAAGCACTGATAATGTAGGCATCCTGAATCTCTTTCAGCATCGAGCGTGCGGAGCTAAACTGCCTCTGTCCGCGGAATGCGGGGACGATGGCCCGCTTGGAAAGGCGAACAGACAACCCAGGAGTGATGGTCATTTTTTTTTCCCGATATACTGAGGATATGTGGCTATATTCAGAAGGGAAGATGGCTGTTCGATGGCAAAGGTAAGAAGAAGAAGAAGAAGAAGAAGAAGTCACTGATTCATAGCCCTTAGGCCGAGTACACGGAATGCACCCGTTCCCGCAACCGCCGTTAACCGCCTGGACCGAGGCTGCTAGAGATCACATGATATGACATAAGTGAAGATGTCGGATAAACATATATTACCTGATGAGGGTAGTTTCCCCATACAGAGAGTAGCTCCGGATTGTTCCCCTCCTCGTGCTCTCGCAAAGAAACTCATAGTGCTTCAACGCTGTAGCTTCTTCTTCCCTTTACAAAACCGTCAGCTTTTGTGCAGCCTTTTCATAAAACAGTCTTTCATATCCATCATGTCGACCTCTGCTCGCCGTCGCCTCATGCGTGACTTCAAGGTATGTTCAGCATCATTAGGCCATTGAGTGATGTCAATTAGAGATTGAATCGGGATTCAAGCTCAACTCAATGATCTTGGCATCCATGAATCTTTTATCATCATTCTTCAGTCAGCATGATGTGATTCTCTAGATGACTCTATTCTTCTCCTCGCATGGTCCTCATGGCAACCTTGTTCGCCCCGCTAATTCAATCTTCCAGCGCATGCAAACTGACCCCCCCGCTGGCGTCTCTGCCTCGCCAGTAGCTGACAATGTCATGACCTGGTACGAATGAATCAAGACAACTTTGAGTTCAATCGACTGATGAGTTGTTAGGAATGCCGTCATTATTGGCCCCGCAGACACGCCCTTTGAGGATGGCACTTTCCGCTTGGTGATGAACTTCGAGGAACAGTACCCAAATAAGCCCCCCGGCGTCAAGTTCATCAGTCAAATGTTTCATCCAAATGTCTACGGCACGGGCGAACTTTGCCTTGATATTCTCCAGAACCGCTGGAGTCCAACATATGATGTGGCAGCCATTTTGACCAGCATCCAGAGGTAAGGCTCCGGATTAACTCAAATCGCGCTGCAAGATAATCTAACTCCAGTCTTATAGTTTGCTCAATGACCCCAACACCTCTTCCCCGGCCAACGTCGAAGCCTCGAACCTTTACAAGGACAATCGCAAGGAATATATTAAGCGTGTCCGAGAGACCGTGGAGAAGAGCTGGGAGGATTAAGTAACTCTTTACTCTCTTTCTCGTTCCGGTTGGGAGTTTTGCTTAAAGCTTGTCCCGACATCAGCAGACAAGTGCCGGGATGAAGTCAAGGTCTTCAATGAAGCTTTTTATGCAAAGCATGGGGTTTAGGCGCCTGGTTCTTTTTTCTTTTTCTTCTCATCTTGTCCCTGTGCAGATTTTCTCATTGTTTACTTATTTCCCCGGTGCATTGGTCACTTCTTTCCATAGCTTCTATTGCATGAGCATTTTTTATTTTTATTCAACATGGTCGTTGCTCCTGTAATAAATAACAAGCAACAGCAATTGGACCAATAGCTTAAAATCGAATTGACGCCTTGATCTTGGTGTTTTGCGTATTATGGAGTATACTTTTTCATCCATGCTCAGTCTGGGGCGGTCGGCCAAGAACGCCAAACGGGCGACTGTCAACAGATCCACCCACACCCACACCTCTTCTCTCTTTGCACCTCCCGAATCCGCCTGGTGTGTTGGATCTTCTGCGTGTTACATTTCTTTTGCGTTTTTATTCTTTCGTTCTTCAATTTTTCGCGCTAGTGGAAGAACCCCTGACCCTGGACCCTCCAGAAATCCCCGTGACATAACTCAAAGCCCCTCGAGCTTGATCTGCCCCTCTTAGGGGGTTTATTTGTTTCCGCGGGAGGCTCTCTGCTAACATGGCGTGGGTGCTTCCTTGGTCTCTATGAGCTTGAACGGATTTACTGACTGCATAAATAGGTCCGCGGGGTCGAACACTATTAAGGGTACGCACAGCACGAGCGTCGGATGAAATTATAGCTAACCCTCAACGTGTCTAGTGGTCGCCCGGTTCCGTCCCCAGAATAAGGTGGAATTAGGTTCTGGTGGTACACCGATCGTCGACTTCGAAAATGAAGAGTCATGTGCTATTAACGTGAGCGCGGACTTGGGATCTAGTCTGACGCAGGCATGCTAACAGACTCTAGTCGCGAGAGGGCACGGGATCCTTCACTTTCGACCGTGTGTTTCCTATGGGCTCACCGCAAGCCGATATCTTCGATTTCTCGATCCGGCCCACGGTGGACGATATTCTAAATGGATACAACGGAACGGTATTGGCGTATGGTCAGACGGGTGCCGGAAAGTCGTATACAATGATGGGTTCTGACATTGATGACGAGGAGGGCAAGGGTATCATTCCGCGTATTGTCGAACAAATCTTCGCTAGCATCCTGACCAGTCCGAGCAACATCGAGTACACCGTGCGAGTCAGCTACATGGAAATTTATATGGAGCGCATTCGCGATCTGCTAGTGCCTCAGAACGACAACTTGCCCGTGCACGAGGAGAAGTCCCGTGGAGTCTATGTCAAGGGACTGCTGGAGGTCTATGTGTCGAGCGTGCAAGAGGTTTACGAGGTCATGCGCCGCGGTGGAAATTCTCGCGCCGTGGCAGCCACCAACATGAACCAGGAGTCTTCCCGTTCACACTCCATTTTCGTCATCACTGTCAGCCAAAAGAATATCGAAACCGGATCCGCGAAGAGCGGCCAGCTGTTCTTGGTTGATTTGGCCGGTAGTGAGAAGGTCGGCAAGACTGGAGCAAGTGGACAGACATTGGAAGAGGCGAAAAAGATCAACAAGAGTTTGAGTGCGCTCGGCATGGTCATTAATGCACTGACGGACGGCAAATCAACTCACATTCCATACCGTGACTCGAAACTCACTCGAATTCTGCAGGAATCGCTGGGTGGTAATTCGCGGACTACCCTGATCATCAATTGTTCGCCAAGTAGTTACAACGATGCGGAAACTATTTCGACCTTGCGATTCGGTGTGCGAGCCAAGGCCATTAAGAACACTGCCAAGGTAAATGCGGAACTGAGCCCGGCTGAAATGAAGCAGCTTCTACGCAAGGCGCAGAGCCAGATGACTACATTTGAGAGTTACATTTCTGCACTGGAGACTGAGGTCAATGTGTGGCGTGGGGGTGAAAGTGTTCCTAAGGATCGATGGACCCCCGCTCGCGGCAATGAAGTCGCCAGTGCTGCTAGGGCAGAGGCGCGTGCCCCTCGACCGGCCACGCCATCGCGATTACAAGAGACTGCCCGTTCGGAGACCCCACGACCGGACTCCCGGTTTGGAGACCGCTCAAGTACCCCCAGCCTGGTGTTGGAAAAGGATGAGCGGGAAGAGTTCCTTCGCCGCGAGAATGAATTGCAGGATCAAATCGCCGAGAAAGAGACCCATATTGTCAACGTCGAACGTGGTCTCCGTGAAGCTCGAGAGGAGCTGAAGTCCATGAAAGAAAATGCTGGGCGCTCGGGCAAGGACAACGATCGGTTGAACACTGAAGTCAATGAGCTGCGCATGCAACTTGAGAAGGTTTCTTACGAGGGCAAAGAAGCGGCAATCACCATGGATGGCCTCCGGGAGGCCAACTCCGAACTCACAAGTGAATTGGATGAGGTGAAGCAGCAGTTGCTTGACGTTCGCATGCGAGCCAAGGAGACCACGGCTGCCCTGGATGAAAAGGAGAAGAAGAAGGCCGAGAAGATGGCAAAGATGATGGCTGGGTTTGATCTCGGTGGTGAGGTATTCTCCGACAATGAGCGCAAGTTGCAGGATTTGATTCAGCGCGTTGACGCGCTACACGAGGTCAGCGCAGTTGGAGAGACCATCGCCCCCGATGACATCCTTGAGCTTCGCGCCAGTCTGCTAGAGACACAGGGGTTGATCCGACAGGCCGAGTTGACGATGAATGACCGAGGCGACTTCAGCGAGCTGCAGGACAGCCGCCGGGTGGAGCTGGAGAAGAAACTAGGCGAGGTTCAACAGGAGTATGAAGATCTTTTGACCCGAAACCTGAGCGAGAATGACATCGAAGAGATCCGGGAGCGGCTGGAAAAGTCCTTCACCAGTCGGAAGGAAGCCGAGACTGCGGCGGTCGAGGAGCTCCGCACTGAAATCATTCGCAAGGATGAGGAATTGACCACGATGCGACAATCGCTAGTTGACACGCAGTCGCGAACCTCCACCAACGGCACCGCCAGCAAGACCCTACAGCAGCAGATTGCCGAGTTCGATGCCATGAAGAAATCCCTGATGCGTGACCTGCAGAACCGCTGCGAGCGAGTGGTTGAGTTGGAGATCTCTCTGGACGACGCTCGCGAACAGTACAACAATGTGCTTCGGTCGTCCAATAACCGTGCCCAACAGAAGAAGATGGCCTTCCTGGAACGCAATCTAGAGCAATTGACTCACGTCCAGCGCCAACTCGTGGAGCAGAACAGCAGTCTGAAGAAGGAAGTGGCTATTGCCGAGAGGAAGCTGATTGCACGGAACGAGCGCATCGCTAGTCTGGAGGGTCTACTCCAGGAGAGCCAGGAGAAACTGACCCAGGCGAATCACCGGTATGTATTTCCGTGTTTCATTTTTCCGCCTTTATACTAAACTCTGCATAGATTTGAAGCGCAACTCACTGCCGTCAAGGAGCGCCTGGAGGCTGCCAAGCAAGGTTCCACCCGCGGCCTTCCCGTCATGGACAGCAATGGGAGTTTCAGCTTTGGGAGGATCGCCAAGCCTCTAAGAGGCACAGGGGGCTCGGAGACAGTGAACTCCGAGAAGAATTCGCAAGAACCAAAGAGAAGTAGTTGGTTCTTCAACGGTAAAGCTTCTCAAACCTAAAAGCTGTCTACCGTGGACTCCGACCTTCCAAAGTTGTCTGGATACATGCTTATTAACGCCTCTACGATTTCATTCATCTTGCTTTCTTTATGATTTATTGTGCCTCCCCGCTCCGTTGGCTTCCCTCTGTTTGATTCCTTTATTCCCGTACATTAGATCGTGCCCTGCATGGCCGGGTCGTGAATTTTGATATTTTCCTTGTACATCAACCCAGATAGATTTGGTCGAGCTTGATGGATGCGTTTTGAGGAATCGCGGAGACCAGGTATATGCAATGACAATCCAGAGATTTGATCAGTCCTTGAAACCGAGGTTCAAAGCGAAATCCGAGTAAGAATTTATGTCTTTGTATTTCATTTTTCTCCATTTCATTTTCACGCAGAAGGTCCCATTTATCCTTGAACTCAGAATACTCAAGGGAAAAGGCAACAAAGAATCGAAGGCTCTAGAGCAGTGGCTGACGCCCTAAGTCAATAAAAATAATCTCCGAGGCATGCCTGCCCATGAAGTGGTCGAATTACATTCCAACGGGGAGGGGGAAGACATACATCCTGCACCATTGTCCTTTTCGGTCCGGAAATCTCACATGCTTTTACAGCTGATTCGATAGCCCGGTCTTCGAAGACCTTGTGTCAGGACTTGCATTATTCGACCTTACGCAAGGACGCAAGGGAGGAACACTGAAAAAAAAAAAAAAAAAAAAAAAAGAACGAAGAAACAGCACCAAGCCATGAATTGTGTACTGAATGGGGGTTTACGTCAAAGCCTGTGAAAATTTGAAGAATGAGGTTAAAGAGATGCCTGACTGCCTTAAGAGCATTATCTCTGACTTCACTGCGTCCAATGCCACTAATGTGGTGAATCCAGCAAAGAAGACAAAAAGGAAGTGGAAAAAGACGCAAAGACGCGCCAGAGACACGGGATGCACAGGAAGGGGAACTATAGGAGCCACCTCTATGGCTACAGAACAAATCCTTGTCCTTCACCATCCATATCTGAAACCTGGTCCTCGGTTGAATCAATCAAGATCAATAGGAAGGCGCTTAAGGGGTAAAATGGGGTGACAGAAGAGGATTTCCGAAGCATCAACTGAAAGGATAAGGGCCATTAGAGTCATATTTGCTCTGGTATTGCTTGATATGACTGTCATGGCGATAAATAAACTTGGAAGATTGAAACAGCCACCTTGGCTTATATTCCCAAGATCCCGAGCTGGAGGTGGATCAGTAGGCTTCAATATTCCTAGTGGATACTTCTGTAGTAAAGGTACTAAGGATCAACCTTGGAACCATGAAACTCGGGTACCTTTTTCCAAGGTTCTAGCGTATGACATTTTCAGGTACTTGAGCCCCATCTACATGTGATCCGAAAATTCATGATTCGAGGAATCCCATGCAATCAATTCTTCAAAGAATATGTACCTGCGACCACATGCCCTCTACTCTGGTTTGAACCATGTTCTCCAGCGTTGCGGTACATCTGGTAAGTCCTAGTACAGTTGTTGATGACGTCAAGGGCGCGGTGCCGGTAAGTGGCATTTCCTCTTAGCTCTTTCACATGAAAGAACAGAGCTATGGCTCCACTTATCCACGTCACTCATTGCAAGATGGAAACCATACAAATGCAAGGTCCGGAGAATTCCTAGGCTTACACTCGCTTTTCTTTTTCCCTATACTCACACACGTTCCGATCGTTCCAAGTCATGGCGCCCTCCGCGGAGTCCTCCATCCCGGCTATCATTCGCCATCCATTCGTAGAGACCTTTACTTGGCTCTACCTGGTCCTTCAAACGGTCCTAAGATATATCTTTGCGCCTGTGCCCCCTCCTCCCGCGGCCAACAATTCCGATGCTCCGCGAAAAAGAGTTGCCGTGATTGGCGCCGGGCTGACTGGGGTTTCCTCAGCTGCCCATTGCGTTGGTCATGGTTTCGATGTACAAATATTTGAGGGTCGGTCCCAGGAGAAAGGTCTTGGTGGGATTTGGAGTGTACGTGTTCGAGGAAGATTTTTGACCTCATACTAATGCCTTTCAGAGAGTCAATTCCACGTCTGCGCTTCAAATTAACAGCCTCATGTATCGATTCCACCCATCCGTCCAATACACCAGTGCCTATCCAACCCAGGCCCAAATCAAAGAGCAAATTGTCGGTCTATGGAAGCGTTATGATCTGGAGCGACGAACCGTCTTTGACACTCCTGTCACATCCGTCCAAAAGAACAAAAGCGGCCAGTGGATCATCAACGATGACGAAGAGAAGTACGGCGTATTTGACGGCATTGTCACGGCCGTAGGTGTCTGTGGAGATCCGCTGATGCCTACTTTACCTGATCAACAAAACTTCAAAGGCCATATTTATCATTCATCCAATCTCGACGGCAAGAATGTCAAGGGCAAGAAGGTTCTCATCGTTGGTGGTGGAGCTAGTGCTATCGAGGCACTAGAATTTGCCGTCAAGTCGGGTGCTGCGGAGATTGATGTTCTTTCGAGATCTGACAAGTGGATCATTCCTCGGAATATCTTAGTCCAGTCCTTGCTCGCATGCAATATTTTTGGCCAAGAGACCTCTCTGTCCTGGATTCCTGAATGGCTTCTGCGAAAATTCTTCTATCGAGACCTCCAAGATATTGCCCCGGTCAATGATGGAATATTCACCCAGACCCCTATGGCCAACTCGGAGCTCTTTGAGCAGATCCGGGAGGGCAAGGCCCAATGGCTACGGGGTGATATTGTCTCCCTCAAGGAGACTGGCGTCCTATTCAACCACCGAGCTCAAGGTGTGCCCAAGGGGGGCCCCGGCAAAGAGCGGTTAGTGGAGGGTGATGTGATTGTGATGGCAACTGGATTTAAACGCCCGTCTCTCAATATGCTTCCAGACCAGATCCTTGACGACGAAGACTTCGGCCCACCAAACTGGTATCTGCAAGTATTTCCTCCCTACCCTGAATACCTATCTATCGTCGGCACGAATAGCACCTATGTTGATGCAATTGGGACGGTTGGGAACATGCATATCGGTGTCTACACACGATTCTTCCTCATGTTCTTGCTGGATCCACTTGCTCGCCCTACTGAGCAACAAATGAAGACTTGGATAGACTTTACGCGCTTCATGAAACGATTTGCGCCCACAAGTGCTTTTGAATTTTTCACTTACGCCGAGCTCATCTATTGGTACATCTTTGTGCTGGCTGTCAATCCTTTCCGGTGGAAGTGGGCCCTTTTTGTTCTCTTCGGTATTGGACGTGGTTTACCAATGATGGTTGTTGAGAAAGAGCGCGAGTTCCGCAACGCGTTGCAGAGGCAGCACAAAAAAGAGTAATTTTTCAGCACGAGTCATAATCTGCGACGGAATAAGATGACCGAACTCACGGGGGAGCCCCGCTAGCATTGAATTTCATGAGTAGCTTTCATGCTCAAGGCATTCAATACGTACTCCACCCAGAGTTCACAAGGTGACACCTCAAATTCATCTTGCTCAATTTATGTGAAATAAGCGTTTTTTTCAAAAAGAAACTCTTCCAGGGCTATTAAAGAATCAAATTCATATACATCCTGCTGTTCTATCTACTTAAACTCAGCCCAAGATCACTTCTGCTTAATATCCCTAATATTCCGACCAAGATCATAGGCTATATTACCTTGTGCAATTCGACCAGGCAGGTAGTTATTTTCCTCTAACCAGAGCATTGGCCAAAGAGCATAAGCACCGATGATACAGAAGAAGGTTGCGAATAGATGCCAGGCCGAAATTAGCCAGTGGCCCACGTGGGGTAGTAGGAACTTGATAAACTCCGACGTCTGATACAGATCCTCCTGTCTTTTGATGTAGTACAGGGGTTGGTCTTGACGACTCTGGCTGGACTCGGGTGTCAGGTCAAGCACCGTCGTAAGAGTCACAGGTGCGACATGGAAGGGTACGATCCAGATTGAGAATATTTGGGACATGTGAACATAAAGCTTAAGGCTCTGCTCATCAAATGCTGAACACTTTTAGTCAGTGGAACGACGTATAGCGCATGATACGACTCACCGACAGAATGTATTTCCATTTCAACCCGCGGTGACATGATTTTGTACCATTGGAAAATCTTGAGCACGAACCACCGGCTCCCCTCAAAGCTGGGAACATAACAAAATGGATGATAGAACGAGGCATCCGCAGTGAAATATCGCTCGAGGCATTTTTGTTGCAACGAAGGTGAGGACTGGGTAAGCAGTTGGATGACCACCTTTATTTCTTCCACTATAGACCTTGATTAATGACATGTCCGCGAAAAGCATTATACAAGGTAACGGACCTGGGCGCTCCATTGTATTAGTTGAGCCGTGGAATGATGAAGAGAGAAGGAGGATTGACTGGGATCAGACGATGTTTGATATCAAGGTTTCGAGCTTGGACAATGACGTCATGCGAAATCGGCCGTATACAACAGCTCTCTGAAGGGAGGTCCTCTCTTCTGGTGATTGTACAATGAAAGAGCAATTTGACATGGATTTTTAGCATGCAGAATTTCTGCGCATTTTACTACATTGGCTAGTGATTCTGGGAGCTTGGGAGACTCTACGTTGTCTGTGGAGGCTATGACCCCTTTAGACCGAGGATGAGCTCCTCATTCTGCTTCCCATCACCACTGCTGTCCACAGGACATTTGCGACGTGATCTGGTACTTGCCTCTGAATAACCCCTCTGTAGTTATCATTCATAATACTTCCTCCCAAATTGACATGACTGCTAAGGTAAGTCAAACCTGCGGGCGGGGCTGAATTGACAAGAAAGATTATTATCAACAATACCACCTAAGGTAGTACGTATAGTAGGTATAGCCATTATCAAAGGCTATTTATGAATGCCTCAAATGTCCAATCTTGATTAACCCGTCTCATTTCAGACCACATTTACCTGATTACCCTAGCGGATGCATAAATGCGAACCGGTGACAACTTTCATATAGACATGGGTCGGGAGAAGCCTTCCTATTCTACGTCGATGGATTTGAAATCCTTGTTGGACTTGACCTCCTTTCCTGGTGTCTCGTAGTATGGGTACTTCAGGATCGAGCAAATGCACACAGCCAGTGGACGGGGGATTGTGTAAATACAAAGTGATGCGACTTAACTGGCTCTTGTAGCTTTGTATAGTTAACATGGTTTGGTAATCTTCTGCCTTTTCGAGATTTGAACAACCGACAATCCCCCTGTGCCTTTTGATTCCCTCTTTCTCTGGCCTCTCAGCCTTACTAGTGCACCTACCCAGCAAGCTCGCAAGATATGAGAACGATGAAACGACTTGATCGACCGGGCTGGGAGTCCTCGATCAGAGGGCACAGCACGGAACAGTTGGAAACGAAAATTGGTCTTGAATGAATGTCTCGCTACGCAGTTATTGTGGCCGCTCGAAGCCATCATTGGTTTATCATTTTATCATTAGAAGCACTGTTGGCTCGGGGTTTTTTGTTCCATTTGGAGCGAATAGCTATACTAGACCCGCTTTTGATGAAAAGCCGGTGTTGCAACGCCTTGTAATGGAGACTGTCACTTCATCTCAACTATCTATTAAAGCGCTTGAAGAACGGAACCATCCTTATTGTCTCTCCTCGTGAGCATCCTCTCCACCTCTCAAGTGGCCTTGGATCCATGCTCGGATTCCATACCATTGTTCAGGGTCTTGAGGTATTGAGGTGATTTTCTGAGAAATATCATGCACCACTTTCCGGGACGAAAACTAGACAGCGTTCTCATTTGCCTTGCCACGAAGTTATCGAAAGTTCCGTCCCTGGTCTCTCGCATTGCATGTTTCTTGGATATATACCCGACAAGGCCCAACAACATCTTGAAAAAACCATCTATGTTTGATCTCGCTAGAGGTCTTCAGAGGCACAGAGAAGGCAGGACAGATATCGCAGAGAAAATTATCGGTCGACATTAGTTTGTAGAACCAAGAAAATCATACCAGACACCAGGTGCTTCGCACCAATTGAATGTGCATATACTGTACAGTAACAACATAACAGAATGGCACGACTACGAACCGATTTTGAAGCCCTTCTATTCCTTCAAGTCTAAATTTTAGCCAGATTTGCGGGGTATAACTCCATGTTGTATTACCATCAACTATAGTAAGTCATCAAACCAAAAGTAGACCCGAATGTGAGTCGGTAGATCACGCAACTCCAGTAACCCAGATTGTGCAAAGAAAAAAAAAGGAAAGAAAAGCGGCAGCCACGAATGAATGCAATATCATTCCACCCTTGTAAGATTCCCCATCTCGCTCACTCTATCATGCAAAGGAGAGCCCACCGAGCACAAAGAAATGGAACCCGAGGTCGATCATGAGTCCCGGGGGTAAAGAATAAAATGACCATCCAGATGCACCTTGACAAGTAGATAATGATCCTGTTCCCGTTTATTCCTCCAGACTATCGCGCACGCACCGACGCACCCGCTTCTTGAACTCAGCGGGATCCTCCCGCCACAGCCGGGCAGCTTCCACATTGGCAGGGCTCTCGTCGTTGGGGCTGGACAGCATGGAGATCACGGAAAGCAGTATGGTCTCGGGGGTCTGGACCGGCGACCAGCGCTCGGCAGCAGATTCGTAGCCGTATTTGTCCTCCTCTGGGGGGTGCAGAATTGAGATACAAACTTCTCCGTTGGGGTAGACTGCAGAGCACACAGATTAGCAAGACAATCATGCGTGCGTATAGAGCACCGGGTATTCCCTCCCTGCCTCGCCGTTTCCCAAAGGTCCTCGTATCGGGATGTCACAACTTACTGTTCGGGTGGAAGAGCGACGACTCAAATTTCATCTTCGGGGGCATATGCGGGTATTCCAAGGGGAAGGTAAGGCGAGCTCGAAAAAACCCGCCTGAATGTAGATGTTAGCATTTGGGAATTTCCTTGATCTAGACCTTAGGTGGCAAGGCTGGTTGTTCAGCCCCAGCTATAGCCAAGTCGGCTGAGCAGTTGCTCAAGAAATGGACATGCGCACCTCCATATAATTTAACATCGTCGGAGATCATCAGCATGACCTCCCATTCGAAGATGTTGTTATCTACCAGACCACAGCTGATCCCAGGAATGTCCTTGTCAGACTGCATCTGCTGCAGTTGACGGGACAACATGCGGCCGGCGGGGGAGGTCGCCATATTGGGAGGTCAGAATGATGAAGCAACAAGTAGGAAATAATATAAATGATGTGAGTAGACAGCGGGGTGATTAAGAGTAGGTGAGGGGCGACGGCAGAACAAGAATAAAAAAGGCGGTCAGCCAGTCAGCCGGTGTTCCGCCAAAGGAAGCTATTACGTTAGACGACGTATACGACGCAGTTTACACGAAAGAAGCCATGGTTGGAATAAATGTAACATCGATCTTTACAATGAATTGAGATTGACATATACAGGAGGCATCAAAGGTGGGATTTAGGGGAAAATCACGGAGAGTGAGACGGTCAACGGCTTAGTAGTCAGTGGTGCCACATATTCTTAAGGTAGCATTCTAATCCCAACCCAGGTCTCAAACACATCTACCCAATGACAGGCTTCTCGGGGGAGCCATTTCCCTGGGTGCCCTTGGGCATCATGTAAAACAGTTGGCCACCCAGGACAAGAACGGCGAGCGCACCCACGGCCACTTCCATGGCAAAGGTCTTGAAAATCACCTTCACAAAGCGGACCCGGGAAGCCCAGTCAAATGTCTTCCAGGCATCGAGCAGGCCAATCTTGCCACTGCCCCCAACAATTGCGGGCTGGACCTTGCCGCCAAAAGAGCGGTCAAACGGAACGATAGTCTCCTGCTCCTCGGGCAGCATGGAGGCTGCAACACGAACAAAGATGACGCGGGCGGGGACAGTAACCAGGAAGGCCAGGATGGCAGGAACAGTAGTCACAGCGAGCCAGCGGCACATATCAGCGAGGGTGTTGTTGTTTCCGGGGGTGATGTTGAAAGCACCCGCGAATTGAGCAACGGCCATCGGTAGAAAGAAGGCCGCCGCGGTCAACGCATCCTCCAAAAGAGCAGCGGGGGCAACCTTGACCCAGGTACGGTAGCTGGGAATACGCTGATAAAAGCGCTTAGGTGATGGTTCCGTGATGACTATCCACACCCATGTCATCTGCAAACCAGACAAAAGAACGCCGACAAGGGACTGCACGAAGAACTGGCCGATGAACGAGCTGGAAGGAACGGGAATGATAGCCGAGAGCATTGCACGGGCAATGGAATAGGTCACGAACATGCTGAAGCCGCGGAAACGCGACCAGAAACCAGCACGAGCACGGAGGTGCTTGACGGTGGTGCGTAATTTGCTGGTGATGGGCTTCGGAGTTGGGGCCGCAGCGGGCTCAGGGTCGTTGGGGTCATATGGCTTGGCAAGATCATCGTTGTCGTTATCGATGCGAACGTAGATGTCCGGGTTGGAGTCTTCCACAGCCGCGAGCGTTGCTACCACACTACCGTAGGTGTACTCAATCTATCACCGGGATGAGTCGGTTTCCATAATTTCGGTACGGGTTGAAACTTACGGCACCTCCTATCAGTACAAACACTAGGGCTGATAAGATGAACAGAGCGACCAGGCCACCGGGGGTCTGCTCATCTTCAGGCTTGGATGGCCGGTGTTCCGAGGCAAGCTCGACACTGCGGCGCATCAAATGTGCGGTGACTGCAGACATGATGAATTTATTGAGAAGGTGAAGGATGTAAGAAAGTAGAAGCCCGGGAGGGAGAGCTCAGGAATAAGTAAGCGTCTGTCAACAAGGCTGCTTCGGTGCGCAGGCAACAGAGCGGGACCCTGATCTCACACTCCACTCCCAATTTCCATAATTCCTACTCCGCACCTGTGCTTGTCCTTACTATTCTACGCTGAGGTTCTTCTTCTAGACTCTTCATTCTAATTCATATCCGTCCTTTTTCCCTCAAACTATTTGCACCTCAAGGGCTGGAAAAAAACTTCTCTCTGGTCAGTTTAAATATAGGTCCCCCTTAGTCCATCGGTGTTTCCACCCCGACCGTGCCGATTTGCCCAGAATTGGCCCCCAGCTCCAAGCCAGTCCTAATTGAGGGTCAGGGTTCTCAAACAGCGCACTAAGGCACTTTAATGGTCTGTGCGGCCAATCCAGGGACGCCCTTGTCAGCGCTATCGCGAAAACTTGGCATAGCTTCGGGGCTATGGACCACTCCCTGAGGCTCAAAGTGGGGTCAAGCAAGCGAGTGCATCCGAATGGACACCTACTCTTTGCTTTGCGATGACATTATACAGCTCAGCCACAGACAAATGGAACTTTTGTACGGGCGCGCCACGTAGTCAACTAAGTGAACTCTCCTTCTTAACGTAATTCACCACTGAGCGGATCATCCCGGTCGGGCGGATCAATTAATTCAAACCAGCACAATTCACCCGAAATAACATGATATTAAATATCTAAGCTATTTAATCAAATTTGGACAATGCGTTCTCTTATGACCCTGGATATTGCACTCAGAGCATCTTGGTGGCGCCCTAGGTCGTCGTTTTTGTGCTTCTGCTTGACCGGTTGGCTGGTCGAATGGAGCTTCAATTTGACTATTTCGATCATTTTGAGCCAGTTCTCGAAGCTCAGCGACAGATAGGCCTCCTGGAGCTGATATCTGGAGTTTAGAACGTGCTTTTTTTTTTGCTCTGTTTTCTCCGCGCCAGCGCGTAAGAGCTGGTTCTCACGAGCTAGAAAAGCTGTCTTTTACATCATGATTTAGCACGCTTTAAACACCTAATCTACAGCGGAATTGACTGGGCTTGGTGGGCTCTTAGAGCGCTTTTATAAGAGCTTCTTAATTAAAGAAGCTTGCTTTTAAAGCTACTTATAATTTAATGGTGTCTTAGGCTCCCACGCGCTGCTTTAGCTTCCTTGAGATGGTGGTGGTGTAGGTGTCCGGAGCTAGATATTAAGCTTTAAAATAACTCGATCTGGGTTATATGGAACTAAACTAGTTACCGAGAAGCTATTCTTGATCGTTTCTGCTTTGAAAGCTTCGATTCGAGCGGTCGGAAAAGTGTTAAGAAAGTCTATCTTATCGATATGGTTCTGACCACGCCGCATCATATCCTTAACGCACTTCCCGTACGCGCGCTTTAAGACCGCAAAACAACCCACGTCGAGCGGTTATAAAAGATATGATAAGTGCGCTGGCATATAGATTAGAATCACATGATTTTAAGAGTAAATTTCGTCGAATTTTGGAGTTAGATGGCTTCTATGACCATCTAGAACTAGAAGTCGATATATCCCCTTTAACCTTAAGAAAGTCGATAGAAGAAAGACCTTTTTAAGCCAGCAAAGTCTAATTTCGTCCAAGGTCTATCCATTTAGACTAACCTAGAATTACTAGTCGTCCGGAAGTATCAAATTTTCAACCTAGCCTCTAATAAGTATTTTACCCTTAAAGATAACCATTAGAGGAAGGCTATATCTAGACGCGCCTATACACTTAATCGAGGTTACCTATTCACGATTTCTAGGCTATAAAAGAGAGCGTCGACCATAATATTCTACTCTTGTAATGACTTTTGCGGTCGTGGTTAAGCCCATCGCGAAGCCTGTCTTATTAAAGTTATAGATATCATCTTACTAAATACCATACTTAAGGATCGTCTTTTAAACCAGGTCGAACCATTCTATAATGATTCTTGGGTCCTCGCACTTTGCCCGCTTATAATTATAGCGTCTAGAGAACCTTATATCGAGTTCTAGGTGTCGTTTAACATATTTTATAACCTAATTTTTGCCGACGGTTTAGATCGGGGTTATTCCACGTGTCGCGAGTAAGAGATTAGCCATTTCTTGCACTATAGAAGGTCGTGGTGCTACTCCACGTATATCCATAGAAATCACCTAATTTCTAAGCGAATTCTCCTCAATTTCAGTCAATTTAAATAAATTTGCGTGTAATTCGACGCGGTTTTGACGTCCGTGAAGACGCGCGTATAACGTTATATATGGGATATTATATATATATGCTGCTTTGCGAATTGACAAATTTTCCTGCTTTTTGATAGCCTGGATAGCAAATAAGATATTGCCTTCTTGTTGTGTCAATTTTTGACGATTTTGGGAGCGAATTGGTGGCATGGTGGTTGGTGGAAGAAAGATGGTCTAATTAATTAACGCGTTTTGGTTGGGGTGATCCGGCCGACCGGGATGATCCGCTCGGTGGTGAATTACGTTATCTAGATGGATGAGTCAGCGATAGCTTCTGATGGTATATATCACGTGATCTGGTCACATGGTCACATGATCATCCTGCCAATAGTATCAAGAGAAAAACCCAGTGTCAGTCAAAGCGGAAGTTACTCGATCTCGAAAATACTGTGTGATATGCGTATTAAATTTAGGTGGAAGGTAATAAATCACGGCCTTTTCAAATTGAGGGCCGTGGAACTCGCATCCCGTCCATGGATCGATCGATGTGGGATCCTTTGGATTCCTTCCAATTGACAATTTCATAATCCGTGGACTGAATGATTGTTCCAATGATCCTATTAAGATGATTCTTTGATATTCTGAGGTCGTCTTAATCACATCATCGGTAGCTTCCTCAAAGGTTACAGTGACCGGATAGAAATACTCAAACGTCAAGTTGCCAGCTATGATATATATCACACTAAGAATGCCCACGAAGGAGTCTGCTGTGTCTGCCTACTCGTTATCAGTTATCGACACTCCAGGTTCTCTTCGGGAGGTCTCTACTGCAAAATGTTGTACTAGGAGATGCTCGTGCGGTTATCTTCAATTTCTCCAGCTCAAAGCTACCTAGAATCGACAACGAATCATTTCTTGTAAAGCGAAATCCAGCTGAATCCCAGCAGAATTAAAGTGGACCATAAGAGTTTTCATTTGAGTACAGTGGGATGTGCCTTCTGCTTCCCATTCGAAGACACATGCTCTCGTTTTCAAACCCTAATCACATGATCTTCTTGGCACGGATTAGAATTAGCGCAAGACCGGAACTTGCCGTCTGTAAGAAGTGTAATGTACCAAACCGGAAGCCGTAAGTTGTGTCTGTAACGGACGGGACAAGAATCTAGACTTTTCTTGGGTTTCCAAACTGGATGCCACGTGGCTATCTGTTGATCCCGTAAGATTGTCACCAACCGTAGGATCTCGTAGGAGCCCCCCACACTCGGCGGCAATGCCTGCCAGAATTAACAATATCCTTTTTGATTGAAGACTATCTTATTAAATCACACAATGAGGCACTGCCCGATGCGAAGGAGAGACATTATATTCAAGTCTCTTACTAACCTAATTGTACCTACATATTCAGCATCTCTGTTTCCCACTCCAGCAACGATTGCGAATTAGATACGGTGTCAGGATGATTGACCCCAAGGATTTGCCTCTGTTTGGCCAGGCAATCTTGTAATAAATCCAGAGCTCGGGTATTATAGCCTGAAGATTTCCAGGTGAAAGCGAGATCGGCCATACTCGTGAGCATGTCAGGATGGTCCACGCCAAGCTTTGTCTTGCGAGTCTCCATGACCTGCAACTAGAGCTACTCGGCCTCCTCCCATCGGCCCTGGTTCCGATACGTCAACGACAGGTTCGCCATACTTGTCAGCGTGTCAGGATAGTCCACGCCAAGCTTTGTCTTGCGAGTCTCCATGACCTGTAACTAGAGCTGCTCTGCCTCGTCCCATCGGCCCTGGTTCCGATACGTCGACGATAGGTTCGCCATACATGTCAGCGTGTCAGGATAGTCCACGCCAAGCTTTGTCTTGCGAGTCTCTATGACCTGCAACTGGAGCTGCTCCGCCTCGTCCCATCGGCCCTGGTTCCGATACGTCGACGACAGGTTCGCCATACTTGTCAGCGTGTCAGGATGGTCCACGCCAAGCTTTGTCTTGCTCGTCTCCATGACCTGCACCTTAAGCTGTTCCGCCTCATCCCATCGGCCCTGGTTCGAATACGTCGCCGCCAGGTTTGCCATACTCCCCAGCGTGTCAGGATGGTCCCCGCCAAGCTTCCTCTTACGAGTCTCCATGACCTGCACCTCGAGCTGCTCCGCCTCATCCCATCGGCCCTAGTTCCAATACGTTGACGCTAAGTTGGCCATACTTGTCAGCGTGTGAGGATGCTCCCCGCCAAGCTTTGTCTTGCTCGTCTCCATGACGTGCACCTCGAGCTGCTCGGCCTCTTCCCATCGGCCCTAGTTCCAATACGTTGATGCCAGGTTCGCCATACTTGTCAGCGTGTGAGGATGCTCCCCGCCAAGCTTTGTCTTGAGAGTCTCCATGACCTGCAACTGGAGCTGCTCCGCCTCGTCCCATCGGCCCTGGTTCCGATACGTCGACGACAGGTTCGCCATACATGTCAGCGTGTCAGGATGGTCCACGCCAAGCTTTGTCTTGCTCGTCTCCATGACCTGCACCTCAAGCTGTTCCGCTTTATCCCATCGGCCTTGGTCCCTATACGTCGACGCTAAGTTGGCCATACTCGTCAGCGTGTGAGGATGGTCCACGCCAAGCTTTGTCTTGCGAGTCTCCATGACCTGTACCTTGAGCTGTTCCGCTTTATCCCATCGGCCGTGGTTCCTATACGTCGACGCTAGGTTGGCCATACTTGTCAGCGTGCGAGGATGGTCCACGCCAAACTTTGCCTTGCTCATCTCCATGACCTGTAACTGGAGCTGCTCGGCCTCCTCCCATCGGCCCTGGTTCCGATACGTCGACGCTAAGTTAGCCATACTTATCAGCGTGTTAGGATAGTCCGCGCCGAGCTTTGCCTTGCTCATCTCCATCGCCTGCACCTGGAGCTGTTCCGCTTTATCCCATCGGCCCTGCTTCGAATACGTTAACGCCAGGTTGTCCATACTTGTCAGTGTGTCAGGATGGTCCACGCCAAGCTTTGCCTTGCGAGTCTTCATGACCTGCAACTGGAGCTGCTCGGCCTCCTCCCATCGGCCCTGGTTCTAATACGTTGACGCCAAGTAGTCCATACTTGTCAGCGTGTCAGGATGGTCCACGCCAAGCTTTGCCTTGCGAGTCTCCATGACCTGCAACTGGAGCTGCTCGGCCTCCTCCCATCGACCTTCTAGTGAATATGCTTCTGCCAACATCGCAGTACTCGCAAGGGCTTCTTCAGCCTAGGTACCTAGCAATTTCACTCTCTGCTTATGCGATTTCGATGCCATGTCCCTCGCATCCGCAATATTACCACTTGTTGACGCGTACCATGCACCTCGATAGAGTAGTGTAGCCCACCTTAATAGAGCCTCTCGTGATTCTGGCCGTTGAGGTATCGCTGCGCGGACATGAGGAAAGAGCGAGCGGCATCTTTCCCAGTTTTCATATTCGCCCGTAGGGAACTCGTCGGATAAATTACGTATAAATCTTTCCCTCCATCGTCCTATTTCTCCATAAGAATTCAGCCATGCGCGCGTAGTCAGTTGCATTAGCCAGTGCATAGTAAAGGAAGTGCCACTCTCGTCCACTAAGATAAATGAGTAATTCCTTAGGGTTGTGATATCGTCTTCGAAGTCCGGACCTTCGCCGGATTCAGATTCAGAGGTCTCCCCGTCAGTAGAGTCGTCGGAGATTTCTGTCCTTGCGGTGCGGCGGGCTGAAGGCTGGCGGCGGATAAGGTCCTCCGGTATCCCTTGCCGATCGAAAAAGCTTATCAGTGAAAGTAGTTCCGCTGCAGAGGACCTTTCGCGGCGAACGTAGTCGAATGATATCTGCCAGGTCATGAAGATCGAGTTCTTTGCTTCCTAATCCCGATCAAGCTGACCAGCCTCTTTTTTGAGCAGGTTTATCGCTTCGCGGTCACTCTTTTGAAAGTCTCTCAGGTATTGTGCTACCGAATAGCGACTTCCTCGTTCTCGAATATAGCTAGCCGCCTGGACGATCGCAAGCGGCATACACTCGAGCTCTTCCACTAACTGCTGACTCTCCTGGCTTTCCTGGCTTTCCCCGGGTTGATCAAGCGTCTTCTGAAGAAGCTCGAGCGCCTCAGATCTTTCCATCGGGTTCACTTGAATAAGATCCGTGTGCTTGACCATCTTGAGCGCAACCTCTCTGCTTCGACTTGTGATAATCGTAAATCCATTCCGGCTTCTGGGAACGTATTCTAGGAGAGGCTTCGTCGAGACGTTTGGTAGCTCCTTTGTTAAAGCTCCCTTCTCTGCCGCTGGGAGTGAACAAAGGAACTTATCATCATCCGCATTGTCAAGGATACAGACCCATCTCCCTTTCTTCTCATCCCGTAGCCAGTTCTCGACCAGTCTGAATATGTTGGCTTTCGGGTCCTGACGACCAGGTATCTTCAGCTGGTCTGCGATGTCCCGGAAACTTTGCTCGAACCGGGCCTCGTTGCTCGCGTGCACCCAGAAAACCCACGTTGCGGCTGACTCGGATCGGATCTGATACGAGTACTCGATAGCAAGCTGCGATTTTCTTGGAGTTGTGAGCACCTGGCCAAGCCCTATTCGCTCGACACTTACCCGACACCGCCGAGGCCGACGAGAGCTATTCTCGACCCTGGGACCGAGCTTTTCTCCCGTATCTGACGGAGCAGTGCGTCACGACTGATGAAATCACGATCGCGCGCGAATGGGACCGTTGATAATGGGCTTGGTGGAGTCTCCGGTCGCTCTAAAGGGGCCGCTATTAGTCAGGCGGCTTTGATCTTAGTCGGGTTCCTTACCTGGGGGCAGATGGAATTCCGCGTGGATGGGGCCACTGTTATCTCCAATTTGGAGCCCATGATTGTCGCCACGAAATGATATTGATGCCATGATGGATTCAAGTGCCTAGCGTATGGGTCATGACAAGAACCTCTGTTGGACTTCCACGAGCTGAAAGACGGGGCGTGTCCTCAGCTGTTCATCACAATGACTCCAAAAACTGAGTCAGGCACTGCTTCCGCTTGGGGTGGGGCGACTGCCGTTCCAAGGAATGGAGTCTAGATTCTTGGCTTTACAATCTGGAAGTTTCCATGCAAACTCAGGCAAACAATCAACGGTCGCCGATTTGGCAACTTGTCAACATCTTACCTTCTGCCTGAACGTGCAGTTGCTCACTGCTAAGGGTCACCGCATCCGAAAGCCTTGCGTGAGGCTATTCTAACCTAAGCAGGATCACCAAGCTCTCCAATACTGGTACTGGATTTAGTGACTTGATGTCTACCCTCCTAGTGGCCATGACTAGTCTCGTGTTACTGGCTGCCGGAGTGGCTAATATCTGACGCCTCCGATAGGTATCCTCCTCAATGATCCCCGACAATGGCGAATGATCGATTTGTTTATGATGACGACTCGCAACCATGGACACCCGATCGATGGAACGCCCCCACACCGGGTAACTTTGGTCGCTCCTCCATATCCTCCTCCCTTAACCCTTCCCCGCATCGTACATTGCAGCCGATCGACCGACTCGGATATCTTCCCTTCAATGAATGGGAGGAGGGGGAGGAATATGACCAGCAGCCACCACAATATGTGTGCTACACAATCAAGTGGATACTTAGAATCAATAACAAGCGGGCAGGTGGTGCAACTGTCAAAGACCTGGTCGTAGCCCCCAGCGAATATTGGGATGAGCGTCTGACAGGTGCCCTTGAGGACATGCTGCAAGCCAAAAAGAAGAAAAACCTGCGGGCTCGGTACGAAGGCGCAGAGCTCACCGTATCTGTTAATGAGAGAAACCAGAGTGATCTCGAACAATTTGAGTCTACCAAGAACATCAAATGGAAACCCTTGGAGAAACAGCTGTGCAAATGGAGCAATCTACTTCGCATCGGCAAGAAGCTTACAATTGACATTGTCTTTGCCTACAGAACGGATGATGATGCCGTTTCTACTCCTGCATCTAGGAAGGGTGACAAAAGGGGCCGTGTTTCAACGACCAGAATGCAGCTTGCTGAATGCGACGCTTATATTGCTGATGAAGAAGAGCGAACAGGAAGGCCTTCATGCTGGGACCATGTTTATGAGCAGATGCGTTGTAGAGTCAGCTCATGCCCTCTGGGTTCTGACTGGTGTTGGGTAAACCCCCGTGACAAGAGACATTACAAAATTACCGGCCGAATTCTAACTATATTAACCGTATACGTTGAGGATGGTGGCAAATTGGACGGCCATGACGACGTCCCAGAAGATATCCAGAAAGATCTAATCGCACAAAGCCAAGGAAGGACAGCCTCCAAAAAGGGCCAGGGCGTGGAGATGCCGTATCACCCAATTAATATAAACGTACTCTCGCCACAACCGGGAGCACGTGAATCTTCGGGAGTGGCAACGCCGCCCCAGCATCCCGCCACTATCAACCATCCGGTAATCCCAGGGCCTGGAGCTGTGAGGAAATACTGCAAGTGGTTGGAGTCCCGGGCCACGGAGGAGGCCTATAGAGCCGACATCCGGAAGGCCTGTCAAGTGGTGCTGGAAAATCTCATGGCCCTCGAGCTGATAATGGTGCCCAGAATCCTGGACTTTTTACTACTAAGGGCATAAAAGAGGGAACAGCGCTCCGTTTCATTCGTGATATCCCTGAGTGGTCCAGCCTTCAAGGGGACTTAAGGGCAAGTGAAATTTCCGGGGCGCTAACTGATGATGACCTTGAATAACCATATCTGCTGGCCTCTCACACTGTGTCTATGTGTATGGAATATTCCTGTTGCTAAGCATCGTTATTATTTTGCTCGAAAGGCGTTACTCTATATTTATAGAAGGACTATATAAACAAATGACCTGCACCTCTTCCAATTATATCTCCTGGATTTCTATTCCTGCATGTCTGAAATGGCCTTCAGCACTCTCTCGTCTCGCACCAACATCGTAAACACATTCCCGGAGGAAGGCACGAAAGCCTTGATCAGGGTTTCGTTCAAATAATGGCCAAACTTTTTTGATATAACCCTTCAGCTCGGCAAAATATTCTTCAATAGGGTTGAAATCTGGTGAGTAAGGTGGCAGGTATAATAGTTTGACTCCAACACGGAGCACAGCTGTTCGACACGCTGTGAGTGGTGGAAGGAAGCATTGTCCATGACAAGGACAGATTTTGGCGCTGGAAACCTGCCACAATGTTGAAGAAGCTGTTCCAGGAGATCTTCAAAAAGCGCAGCATCAGTTGAGCCACTGTAGATACGAGACAGCATCATACCGTCTTGAGCATACGCCGGCAATATATGATACCGCTGGCCTCGATGGAACTTGGACACTTGGACTGGGGTTGCCCCAAGCGGAGCCCATCCGCTTCGCCTATAGCCTACCCGTTTATCACACCCGGACTCATCAACAAAGACTAGCTGATTGATTGAAATTTAGAGAGTTTGCGTTGGTAAAAGGCTCGCAATCGTGAGTTCTGTTCCTGTGCTTTCTGTCGCATCTGCTTCTTCGTCCATCCTTGGCGCGCAAGGGTACGTTGAACGCTGTCTTCGGAGACCCACGCGCCAAATTGGATGGATTCCATAAATGGATTGATACGCGTGTGTGTCCATTGACCCTCTAGGATGGTTCACCCGTGGGATGGATATACTCCAGAAATACTGTATGTAGATGGCCCCGCTTATACCTGACAGCAGATTTCACTGTCGTCAGCCGTAAGAGGTTGAGCTAATTTTCGATTACCGAAATTAAGCTCGACCTAAATTGCCCTGACAAAAGACCTCGGAGACCTCGGGCACCGGGTAGGCAACGACGTTACCCAGGAGACAATGCGATCACACCGTTGTGTAGGTAGTTCAAAGGCCAAGACTGAACACTGGATTTGGTAATAAATTATTCGTGTCACTTCATGGTGATCAAAGAGTCAACCTTGAGGGATTTACGCGATTCTCATACAGAACAGCTGATCATGGCGTGGAAGGTGGTCCATTACCCCGCAGTCAAATAGTCAAATACCCCCAAGATTCATCTCGTATAATTACTCCACTTATGCAGGCTGCAATGCAGTGACAACTATCAGGTGCATCGCCGTCAGGAAAACGTCGAAAAACTTAATTTGAAGTTACACCTGCCAAGGTATTGCACGAGACACGGGTTGTATTTAGGATCGATCAATATTACCCGTGAGGCGCTCCATTGATTCCAAGGGTTTCCAAGGTCCCTTCTCCAGTACGGAGGATAAACCATAAATTTCATGAAGACTTCGGATGGACTCAATGGGTCCCGCCGACCAATCGCAATGAAGCGACAAAATGAATAAAAAACATTTTCGATTACATTTCCAGACCAAAAAAAATTGACCGACGCAGGGGTCGAACCTGCAATCTCTTGATTCGTAGTCAAGCGCCTTGCCATTGGGCCAGCCGGCCTTGGATGAAGAAGACTCATCAGTTTACACTTTATGACCCAGAGAAGAATATACATAGGAATTTTGTTCAGGCATGATCCTCATGGGAGGTCTAGTACTAATAGCGTACAGAATTTGGTAAACGTACATGATCTATCGACGGATAAACAAAAGGAAAGGTTGCTGCTATGCATGGACGCCATGAAAACGGAAAAGAAAAAGTACCCCTGCGCCTGAAATGCTACTTTGGAAACTCTAGACCTCGGACTCTGTCACATAGATCGCGGGTAACAGACCGGCCTTTTCAGATACAATCCCATCTTCAACGTGGGTTGTCCGGTGATGGCGGGGATTTTTGCGTAGTCCTAACCGGTAGGATACGGACATAATGACGTGTCCAACGAGGAAGCCAAGCAGACAAGCGAGTAAGCCAGCCACAGCCCCGAGCAAAGCGGGGAGGACCACGGGTCGCATCAGGCGCATAAAGGTGTGGTCATGACGGCCATGCGAGTGACGATTTGTTCGATGAGAGTAAGACGAGGGCGCAAAGTAAGGTGAAAAGATGTATCCAACAGTCGACTCCACCGCGCTGCTGGTTTGGGGCTGGGCGATATCAGACTTGGTGGCAGAAATGGTAGACTCGATTTTCGAAGGCTTGGTCTCTTTCGTCTCTTTCGTCTCTTTCGTCTCGGTATGCTTGAAAAGGGCACCCATTTCACTCTTCCAGAATTTCATCTGCCACTTTTGTTCACTCTGGTCTTCTTGCGATTTCCCCGGTTCAATCCGAATCTTGGTAATGCGAGGGTTGCCATCCGGATGATCCAGCAGATCCAACACGACCGTATTCGGAGTGACGGATTGACCCTCACGGTCCAAAAATTCGACATCGACTCTCACGATGCCATGTGGGGCGCCAACTTCATGGCTGGAGAGGGGTCGGACCTCCAGAGAGTAGTAGAGAATTTCAGACTCGATGCGCGTCTTCTGTCCGCTTTCGTAACGGGGAGCATGCACCTGCATTGACATGCTCGGGGGGAAGACTAAATCCCCATTGGCGAACAATTTGCCATCTTGCATGGACCATTCCACGGACTGGGGCGCATGTTAGATCGCGTGCTGTAGCCTGTATGGTGATACTGATTTTCAACTTACCAGGTATGAGTCCACTGAGGGGATGGATTGTGAGGCCGGTAGGTAGCTCAGATGAACTTCATGTGAAGAGACGAGTGGGATCGACGAAGCGATTGCCCCGACCAGAAGAACGGACCACGACAGACGCATGATGGATGAAGAAGATGAAAATGAAAATCAGAAGGAAGCAGGGGATATTCTTTCTTAAAAAAAAAAGACAGAACACAAGGCTCTTAAAGTCGACCCCATGCGAAAGAGACAAGGCTAGAGCCAATCTAGGTTTGTTACAGAAATCTGGTAATTGTAAATATGGATGCCTGCCACCAGACTTCGGCGTAACCGTAAATGATTTCCAATTGCTATTCTTATGCCTAATACCGTTCAATACCGCGGCATTACGCAGCTAGTGAATCCTAAGCTTTTCCTCCCGAGCGAATCGGGATCTGATTGGTGCAAATGTGCAAATAGGGGCCAAGGGGTATTTAGTTGGTGTAATTTATTCCTTTTGCAAGGCTTTTACCAGGCATGCGATCTGCACCCATCCTGATTGGCAGAGGGATGGGGGCCATTCAATTCTCATCCAACCCGGCTCTCTGGAACACCATTGAAATGGATGTTGCTGTCGAATCTGAATCTTTGATCAAGTTCGAGTGAAGAAAAAAACGAAAAAAAAAGAAAGACTCGGTATAGCGCCGAAAAATCCATCACCAAGGACGGGACGGAGCTGTATGATCTTAGACAAAGGTTCCACTTCACACCTTTCAGGGTCCGTGTCTCACAATTGTAGATGACTACCCGTTCGGTCGTGGCGGCTCGATTTCTCCATCACGTTATTTCCATTCGAATGGCGTCCATTTGGATCCCACGGGATATTAACCTTGCAGACAGGGCGAATTCAAAAAGACTTGTAGCGTGCATTTGGATTGTACTGTGTAGGCCTGTGGTCGCCTTAAGATATTTTCCAGCATATTCTCTGAATGGAATCCCACGTGTAGTTATACTATATTCAGAGCTTGAAAGACAATCGGTTCGATTCTATTCTTGGCATGTGGGACCTGTGGACTGGCCCATGCCCGGGCGATGACACTAAACGTATAATGCCGAGGTTTCAACTTCTGTCCAATGAGCACGACTCGCAAAGTCATCAAGCTACTAGACTAATTTTTTTCTGTTTGAACGATCGGCAACCCAAATGCCATATATGGTAGCGCTCGCGACTCATGGGCAGCCTTGTCCGACAGATCATAATCCCAGTTTCATTGCCTCAGCCACAGGTCTCAAATTAAATTAAGGTAGCATTGGAGAGTCTAGTAGATCAGCTGCAGCCACAACGGCCCACTCTATGTACAGTACGAATTAGGCGTCAATCTTATCAATAATACGGTGCAGTCTGCCAGTAGCGACAGCGGAAATTGTCGGATAAATCGCGGACCGGTCGAATGGTGTTGTTGCCAATATCTAGGAGCGCATTCTGCGAACCATATCGCGGAAAGTTCGGCCCCACCGGTGACCTGGGGGCACCAAATTGAGCAAAACTGGTGAAGTAGTCCTGCATGGCGAAAGCGACAGAAACGTTTTGGACTTGAAGTCCCGATATTCCACCGTCAATGCCAGACCTGCCAGGGTTGTAAAAAGTGTAGAGGGTGTCCTGACCGTGGAGTGAAGGTGGGACGCTGAATTCGTAGGCAAAGGTGTTGTTTTCATATGCCCAATTGAGGTATTCGGTGTTGCATTCGAAAATGGATTCTGAGATTAGGAATACGTAGCGCTCGGTCGGGCTTGTATAACCGTAGGTGCCGTTATATATGGGCGGATATAGTACCTGAGTCACGTAGTCGATGACATCTTGTGTTATGAAAGGATAGTATACCTTCAACATTTTTGGAAGCGCGCTGCTCAGTATGCTTGCCGGTGGTGTGAACTCGAGTCCCTCGTCCGTGTTGTGTCCACTCATCACGGTCAAATTGTGGTCAAACTTGCCTTCCATGAGCAGCTGCCCTGGCAGCGCTGGCACGAAAGTACCATCCACGACTGGTGTGTAAGTGAAATCCCCCCACTTGGACTGGGTCGCGATCTGATAAGCGTTGGCTGCAATCAATGTCTCCGATGGAAGTTGCCGCGCTTCATCGAGCGTGCTGACATTCAAAAGTTGGAGGAAATTTTGCAAAGTCTGCTCTGGCTGCTTTGTATCCGGCATGGGTACCCAGGCCGGGCTCTGCAGAATTGCTTGTTGGAATCGAGACGGTCCTCCTTTGCCACCATATGCTGTGATCTGATGCATGATGGAGCCTGCACCAGCCGAGTCGCCAATGAGGGTAACTCGCTCGGGATCTCCACCAAACAGGTGGATATTCTTGTATATCCATTCCAAAGCAAAGCGTTGATCATGGAGTCCCGCGTTGGCAGTTCCATTTGCAATGAGAGTGTCGCCTCCCAGCCAACCAAATGCACCCAGCTAACACTGTCAGTGATTTTTCCGCGATTTGGTCTCTCCAGACTTACACGATAATTCATCGCAACATACACAACCCCCTCACCAACAATCATGCTCCGATTGATCAATCCCGAAGGATCTTCCAAGGCTTTATCACCTTCAGCGTACCCTCCGCCGTAAATCCAGACCAAGACCGGAGCCAAGGACCTCGAGACCGAACGATTCCCATGCGACCGATCGAAAATTTTCTTTGGAACGATCACATCCAAGAACAGACAATCCTCTGTGACTTGCGAGTTAGATTTCGGCGGTACATACGGGTAAGACGAGATATTGGTCGACTGGTTGAACGGAACACCCTCCAAGACACTCAAAAGGAACTCCGGCATAATATCCGTGGCCCAGATGGGCTTGGCTTGGGGACACATTCGGGCGACGGAGCCATTCTGGACCTGGGAACGATTCTGTGCCGGTAATGTAGGAGCACGAAATCGTAGATCCCCAACTGGCGGGGCTGCATAACGGATGTTGCTAAAGTTGTACAAGCCTTGGGTGCTCTGAAACCTTATTAGCGATGCCATGAAGAATGCGAGGAATGCTGACAGAGATTGCTTGGTGTAGCTCATACGAGAGGTCTACGATCGGAAGACTTGATGCAGAGCAAGATGCCACGAGGGCAAAGATGAGGCTAAATGCCACCATTCTGACACAAGTTGCAGTCGTGGGGATCTTAATTGATCACTCTAGATGAAGTCGCGGAGGATCGTTCCCGATGGGAACGGAAACGACACGCAACGGGAAAGTGGCGAAAATCACAACTTCCTGTGGGATGAATCAAAAGTCAAAGCACAGTACGTACAAAGGCGAGGTCTAAATAGTAGATGAAATGAGCGGTGAAATCGTTTCTCTTAATTCTTTTACTGCATGCGGCGTTGACCGCAAACTAATAGCGACGCTCGGTCACATCAATCGTTCTGACCTTGGAAGGTTGCAGAGGATCCACATCATGAAACTCTTTCTGTGTTAAGTAGGAAATAGGTTCGTTCAATTTGATGATTCCAAGCTTTGGAGGTTTTCTGTGCATGAGCTACTGCAAATATACTATGTACGCACAGACTGGGCCCCACAAAACATGCATCTGTGGCTTGTGATTGGCTCTAGACAGTTGTACAAGATCCCTTCAAAAAGAATATCCACGACCTACTTTACGTTCCCGGGGTTGGGATTTTGACTCTAGCTAGTTGTGCGATTAGGATTTATCTGCATGATGACGCAGTCCAGGGGTGACAAAGGTGCTCAGTCAACCTGGGCAACCTCAAACCCGATCGCCCTTGGGCCATGGTACTTAAATGCGTTCTCTAATACGATCACCGATCATCAACCTCCCGAATCTTATATTCAATCATTCCGTTCGAGGCCACTCCATGATCCCCCTGCAGCTTATCGGCAGTCTCAGCCCCGGCGGCTGGAACTCGGTATTCGAACCGTTTCCCCGGAGCCGGGACGGAGCCGTCAGGCAGGACATACGGGAAGGGTAGATACTCGGGCAGCAGACCAAGCTGAACAAGCACGGTAGCCTGATCCCATGCAATGTGCTCATGATAGAGTCTGTCGCCGCGGATGTTAACCACCGAGGTGAAGGGAATGCGAAGTAGCTTTCCGGTCGGTGGAATGCCAGGCACACTGGAAATGTTAATCGAGGATTTACGCACGCTAACTCTGAGATGACTTACAGCCAGTCAACCTGTTTCACGTGGGTAAGAGAAAAGATAAACTCATCAACGATGCGATCGGTACCAATCGTGCGGCTAACCAATTCAATCGCTGTATCGTCCGGGTTGTTGAAAATGAAATGGTGGAGGTAGAAGTGGCTCAGACGAGCCCGACCGAGGCCACCGGTCATCTAATACTGATGAATATCATTTGTTCTGGATATCGGAGTGTAACTTACCGTCGGAACATGGTTCACGTAGGGTTCCTGCACCATAGTGGCCATGGTCTTTTCAACAGAGCGGTCGCCAAATTCATAGTATGTGTGTTCATCCCATATCTTTTCAAGATCAAAGTTAGGCCCCCCGAGAATCTTCTTGAGAAATGTCAGGTTTCTCGTATGCACAACACCGGCTGTCGATATCTTGAAGTCCGGATGACCAGGGACAATGAAGCCGGAGGAGACAATATCGGGATAAAAATAAGCCGTCTGCTGGCCAACTTTGCCAAGAAAATCACTCCGAGGGGTGGGCATATGCAAGAGAGATCTTGTATCGCCTGTCATTTCCCACGAGTCAAAACATACCACCGCCTCGACAGTGTCGACGAAAGCGTGCAAAACGTCATCGGAAACGGTGGCATAGTCCAATTTAGATCCATATACTGCACTGAAGGTCAGGATAGGTACCAAGGGTTAGATGCAGTAGAAAAGCCCACCTATCAGCCCAAGACTGTTATCAGAGGTGCACTCCGGGAGGTCGAACAATTGTTGTCGGGCTTGGGAACCCAAACTAGCGATAGCTTCGGTATTGCTGTTCTGCGCATCCAGTGTGATCTGTGCCACTGCAAATCCTTCTTCAGCCCATTTCTGAAGTGGTTCAGGGTCCAGAGATTGGTTTTGCCCCTGACAGTCTGCAAAGGTTGCGGGCCGGATGATAAACAGTCCCGGACCCCTCCCATAACGAGTAAGTGGGGGCTGAATGATGATATGAGGGCCACATGAAATTGGTTTAGCGGATGGCAACAAGGATGAATTGGTCATTCTGAACTTGGCGAGGTATGTTATGGGAATGCAAGAGGAGAGGGGGTTGGGTAATGATCCGCGGCGACAGGTGATGCCGCAAACATCTTACCCCACTTGGAGATGACCATTGCCTACCGAGCTAGTCAACGCAACCACTTCAATTCCGCATAATTCGTGAATCTTTGTTGGACTTCATTCTTAAGAATTATTTTGCTGTGCACGTGACCCGTGTCGTCTACAGACACGTTTGGCGTGATCATAACCCATGGATCTTAATATGCTAACAGGTAGTTGTGGTTTCATTCCAAAATCAACTGTGGCACCGTGCTACCGAGCTACATCTTGTGGATCCAAGACTGAGCTGTCCGTCCCCGAAACTTTTTCCCATACAAGTAAAATGGAATGGCAAAGAGACACCACAGCGTACACAAGCCCATGTTCAACATGATCGGCTTCACAAAGCCACTCGCCGTAATCCATGGCGTGATGAACTTGCTGAAGCCATAGCCCCACAAGTTCTTATTGACCGTGATAGCGACAAAGATAGAGCCCGCAACGGGCTTATAGCTATCGACAGCATACGTGCTGACAATCGCTGGCAGAGCAGCGACCTGTACCCCAGCGGCAGTGTACCCGATGATGACAATTGCCTGTGGCGACGTTAGATTGCACATTCAAGGATTCTTGCAACTTACCCGCCAGTCCCATTTGTACTCGTAGCCAAAAGCCACTACAAAATTTCCAATGATCATAACTACCACATAGATTGCCATTGCCGGAAGTCGCATCTCGGGTTCTCGAATCCCCTTGTTCTTACGAGTGGCCCTTATCGAGATCCAGTCCGAAAATGGCCCATTGGTAGCCAGGCCGATGAACGCCCCGACAAGAATCGCAAGGTTAAAAAGGCCGATCGTTTGGCTGGTGAAATTGTAGGGAGGTTCAGCAAATGCCTGGGCTTGGGTAAGATTTAATGTCAAGAAGCAACTGGCCGACCAGGAGACAACAAAGGCAGAGAGCTCGACAATTGGGAATGCCAATAGCTTCCACGGGAGCCAGAAACTGACGAGAATGTCCTTCCAGCTCGCTCCTTCCAGTTGCCAGATTTGGAACTGCTTTTTGCAAGGAGAGCCTTTGTGTAAGCAGGAATCAGGTGCATATTCTTCCACTCGCACATCCTCTTTCTGACTACCAATCGGCTTGTCGGCCTCTTCAGATTCATCCGCACTTGGGGTTTGCTCCGCATGAGCGATTTCGTTCGGGTGAACACGGCGCCACTTAGTTTCCGGGAAACAAAAGACCAGCAGAATCAATGAAAGACCTAGCAACCCAACATTCAGCCAGAAAAAGCTGCGCCAACCAATGTGGTCTGCCATGGCCCCCGCGACTATCGGGCCGATCATCAAGGATCCAAAATAGAAGGTGAAATATAGGGTATTATAAGCCCCACGCTCATGAAGAAAGAGAATGTCCACTATAACTTGCGGTTGGAGAGTCTACCGGTGTAAGAAGTATTATATATTAGTCTATGAGTTCAATAGTATTACGTGTTCAAAATCGGATCGATCTGAGAACTTACCTCCGCAGGGCCAGCACCCAGACCATTTAGCACACAAGCACCCATATAACTCCCATAACCAGGTGCTACAGCGCGCCAGATATTGCTGGCAAGGCATATCAGAGTCGAAAAAATGAATACAGGGCGTCGACCGAAGGACGTTGAAAGCGGAATCCTGTGACATTAATCAACATAGTGATCGCCAAATCAATATCCATGTCAAACTTACCAAAGAAAGTTGCTGAAGCCCAATACTAGAATACAGACCCCAGTAAATTGCACAATATCGGATAAGCTCCTGTCAAAGGTCTCTTCCATCTGAGGCATCATAGGGGCAAGGGCTAGGGGCCCAAACCCTTGGCTAAACGTAGTCAATGTGGCTGTGAATATCGTCAGAGTTTTCCAAAACCGGTTCCAATTCTGTCAAATGATTAGAAATGCAAAAATACTCGTTATGGGTGAAAAGAGCGCACCAGAGGATCGTGAGGATCATTTGACGGTTGAGGGACCAAGACGCGATTGGACTTGGACGAAGACTTGACGAAATGATGCGAGCCAACGTCCGCCATAATCTCCGTACCGGGTAAGATCGTTGTCCCTAGCTCCTCCTCAATTCTGGAAGAATGTTAGCGATGACTGCAGTTGGCAGGGATTAGGCATACGAACTGATGGAGGACCTAAACACGAAGATAATTAGTTACGTATCTCTAAACAGATCAGTACCTGGCAAGACTCACCCCTTCATCATAATTCATCTCCATTATGGCTAAACAGCCGTATAGGCGGAGAAATCAGGCACTGGAGTGAATACTAGCGTACCGCATAGACGAAATCCAACAACCTGCGATGTCATGCACCGGACGCACAGCTAATTATCTATCATAGAGTGAAAAGGCTAGAGTGCGGAATTGAGACACCCCCCACAGAATTACCGAGCTAAATGATCAACCTTTACCGAAGAGGGGGAACACAAGACCAAGCGTCGCTGGTGGCGTTGCTTACATTTCTCATTGGAAAAAGACCAAAGGCCCACTGAGGTGGCACATTTCGAGAGATAGAGTTTGATGGCGGTCTAATAACCATCATACGGAAGGATCCCGACATACGGTAGGCGATGGGCGGAAATGAAATGTTAGACTCTGTTTGCTTCCCCAGATTCCACCTTGACCCCGGATTCTCCCCGCACAACCCCATGTTGCGAGGACATGATTTGCTGATGGGACCTGACTTTATCGCCTATCATTGCCATAACACCCCCGCAATTCCGCACGGCATTTGGCCGCAATCGAGGCCTGCTTTGATATATCCATCTCGACCGGGGTGGAATGAGGGAGAAACAGGGAGTAGCTAGGCCCGGAGATTATTATATTGGAGATCTCAGCACCCGTTGTGTTGGTGATCATGCCCACAACAGCTCTCCTAATCCCAGACAGACTCGGCCTATTCTCACACATACAGCAGACAGTCGATTGTCGTAATTTGTTAGCTAGATTTGATCATGGGAAAGAGCGGTGAAGTGTAAACTGGCCTAGGGACCAGAGTTCAATCTGATGAGCGTACTGTACTGCCATATTTACCTGACTACCAGTCTTGACTGATATGACCGATTCGAGCTAACACCGTACGAATAGTGGGGGTTTTTCTACGATGTGCAATGTAAATCTCACAGCCTAGTTGACTTGATTCTTGACTGACTAGATGAATATTTAGTCCGACCACCAAGGGAAAAGTGGTATATGTTACGAATACAGAGGCCTGTCTGATTGAAGATTTTGTTATAAGCGGACTTTACTGCTAAGTCTGATGGCGTCCATTCAGCTGCTTTTCCGGCTGAGATCTTCGGTGGCTCATTGTGGCCCACGCTATTATCTGGAATCCGCAATGATCCACAAAATGCTCCGCTGATGACTTCATGCCAAGCTCTTGTCACCGAGCTAATCCGATCGGGCATCTTCAGCCCCCCTCGACGCACATTTAAATACTTTTCATAGCTTCGACACGATGCTCTCTGCTCGTGTCCAAATTATTCGATCGGCAATTGAAGTTATGGTCTTTAGAACTTGAAGATGATTGGCTCGAAGAATAGCTGTTCTACTGTAATTATTCCAAACATAAAACCTTTGGTCAAATATGCGGGATGTATTTGTCACTCGCTCTCAGTTCTGTACAGGAGCAATCAGAAAACACCATGGGAGAAATCAACAAAAAAAAGGAGCGTCTCACACTAAACTCTTTTCGACCGACGATCAAGGTGTTCACGATGGGGATGAAATACTTAACTAACCCGACCGGGGTTGGCGTGGTAATGTACTGAAAGTAACGAAGGCGTGGGTCTACAAAGATCTGAGCACTATGGGAATCCCAGTGTTTCCAGTTCCTGTATAGTGATTTCTAACACTGCCTGGGCTGGAATCCAGCTCAATCAGCGAGATTGTTGTACCATTCAAGGACTATTGATAGTTCACTACCCGCAATCGCCAGGCCGACTTAGGTACTGATTTGATTATTATCGCTGTTTTGGAGCTTGCCAGAATAAACCCACGTATCCCGGGGCTAACAGAAATGGAATTTTAGGAGCTAGCATGGAGGCATTCCGCTCCAACAATCCCTCAATTTCTATCACAGCTGCAAGCCATCGCTTCATCGCTGATTCTCTCTTTGATCGTCGTGAGCCGTGCTGGACTCATCAAACTCCTCGATTCCACGAAGCTTGGAGTTTCTGAACCACAGATTCAGTGGCCCAGCCAAGATCCGCTTCGACACCAACCAAGAGATCCACGATGATCCGGTGCTCGTCTGAGCTCTCCAAGCACTGCCCCACCGCAAGCAACAGCGGGGTCATGTTAACGCGAACCTCTCCTTTGGGTCGCCCCATAGCTATACCAAAAACCTCCCGACTTCGATACTCCACTTCTTTCGTCAAGTCCCGATAGCCTTGCAAGCGATCGAACGCTGTGCTCGGCGCACTGACTACATCCGAAGGCCGATTCAACAAAAGGGCAATCCGCCCGAAATGATAGTGCTGCATCGCGGCTGCACAGGTCGAGGAACTATAGAAGACTTCGGGGAAGGGCAGCTGAGGACCATCGGGTATTTCAGTCAGGTCTCTCGGATTCTCAATCCGGACGCATGGGCGAAAGGTCTCCGGGACACCTTCGAACCAGACCTGGAACTCGAAAGAAAGGTCTAACCAAGTATTCGTGTCGGGATATAGTGGTTGATCGGACCCTGGTATTTCATCTTGATTTCCGCCAGGCGAAGTGGACGGTGGAGATCCGGTCCACTGAGCAATCTGCGACTCCTTTGACCGAGCCAGAAAGTTAACGACCTTCGAGACGAGCCATGATAGACCATTCGCTGCCTGGTCTTCTTGAGTCAGATGTATAGACCCCATTTGGAATTTGTGTTGGTCATCAATTAAGATTCCTGCTGCACGCCACAGTGGCAGACTGGTAGGGACGAAATGGGTGGCCGATCTTGTGAAGTAAGACCCGAGGTAGTCCTGCCGAGCGAAGTTCCAAAAGGATGCACGGATCCCGTGTGAGAAAAAGGTTGAACCTGTCAAGTTCATATTCAGAAAAGATTCGAACAACGGACGGATACCCGAAAGATGCCTGCATCATATCAGTATGTTGGTCAGAAGCTCGAGCAAACTGGAGCTTACTTGTGCCATTCTTCCCCATTCGAATCTAGAAGCCTATAGACTGTCAAAAGTGAGACAGTTGCGAGCATCTCCTCAGCCTTCCGCAGGAGGCTTCCGTCGCTGCAGGTTTGTGCTAACTCTTTTGCTGAACGGGAGTTAAGCCAGCGGCCGACCGTATCGATAGGCGACTCCAGTACAGCCGAGCTGGAGACCGCGGTATAGCCACCAGAACAAGCATTGTTCAGGTCAGATGCCGCCATATAATAATAGTTGGCAGCCTTGAGAAACCAATCCACTTGAGCAGGATTTGGGTACACCTCGGTAGTCGCAGTCCTTGTAAACATGCCATTTCCAGCAGATGATTTTGCGCCTTTCACTCGGCCCAGCTGTTTTGCTGCCAAGGAACCAATGGCGTATTTGAGTGATGGACAGTTGATGGCTCTAATGGGAACATACACGGAGAAGAATTTTCCAGCGTCGGACAAGTCAAGCCTAGTGGGAATCAATAAGTGAGGAGAGGCGGATCAAGGAGCTACATACCATGGGCCTATGATTTCGGCATAATGTCGCGTGAGGAAGGCAATCTCGTGCTCGGTCCCAGTCATGAATTCAGAAAAGATGTCTTGAAACTCTTCCTTTTCGCCTCGCTGGGAAGGCGTCTCTGGAGAGGATACTCGCTGATCACCGGCTGTTATGGGATCTGCGTTATACGCATTTGCATGGGGAGAAGTTAAATCCACAGGGAAACTTGGCGATACCAAGTTGCGAGCAATGCTTGAAGCCCCTTCCCTCCTGGGTGAATTCAAATTGGCTGAAAATGGCGCTCCAGATACAGGAAGCCGAGTTTGTGTGGTCGCAATTGCTTGACTTGGACTACCTGCCGTATCCAATCCTGCTTCTTGAAGCTGGAAGGTGGTATTTCCCTGTCGTGAGATGCCCGATATTTGATCCGGCACCTGGGGCTGATTTGGAATATGTGCAGCCTGAGCATATTCTTGGCCCTGTGGAATTCATGAGCCCTGTTCTCGTCCATAGAAGAAGTTTACATACTCTACCGGAATCCGTGGCGTGTGCGGGATGCACCTCCTGATACGGAGCATACCGGCGTCTTACCGTAGCTCCTTGGTCAATGAATTTGCGCGTTTGCACATAACCGGGGCACTCTACAGCGGCAGCAATGCAGCGCTGGCAATGCGGACGAGTCTCATCGCACTGCAAGAGTCAGTTGATCGGCGTTGACCGGTGTCGAATTCTAAATACTACGAACCTTCAGATGACGCCTTTTGCACCGCTCACACGCCTTGTTAGAAGGAACGCCGGGCATGGTGTTCGGCAATGCGAAAATTTCACCGGAAACGCATTTGATTCACTGGGCGTAAAGAATCAATACTTGTGAGGACATAGGTTTCGGTTGCAAGAGTTCCACTAATCTCCGTCGGAGGAACGATTGACGTAACGAAAAGATAGCTAACCGTCTCAAGGGAGCTCGGGTAAGCGTCGGCGATAACTCGGCTCGGCTGGCCGATTCTAACTCATTCAGATATCTCATCATGAGAAGAGACACAGGATCTAGAGATATCTCCCTAGTGAATCGTGACAATAATCAGATTCGAATTGCATCTTATTTGCCTACCGCCATCCCGAGGTCCTAAGTTGGCCATTCAGGAGAGCACTGAGCTCTGCCCGTCATCGAGTATCTGCCAACCATTTTCTTCAAGACGGAGGTAATCATTGGCATCAAGTATTATTGGCTGAGGGTAAGGAGACCAGAATATACGTAGTTAGGTGGCGCTCAGAGTAGTTAAGTATTTATCTTCATGCTGGTGCCAGGTGGCGTCTGTGGACTCAATATGTGTTCCAGGGTTGTTTAAAACCTAATGAAATCTACCCGAAGTCATTAATGCAAGTGATTAGTAGATGGAAAAGATCGGATCTGCCGATTATATTTTGTTTGCAGGCTTGAAGTACATTAAGCCCTGAGAGTCCTCCTGGTGGTGTCCACGATCTAAATGGGAGCGCGGGTACGACAGCTTGGAACACAACTATGCGTTGTTTGTTCCCCTCAACGATTATCCATCGCAACGTAACGTGAAAAGGTTACATAGGAGGACCGAGTGCAAGTTCTCCACTTGTAGTTTGACGAATCTCCTCACTTCCGGTCCGGTCGCGTTCCCCGCGCAGAGTGATCCATTCGCCAATCCTGCCCGAGTCAACAAGGATCGACACTCTGCCAGGAACCCGGGGATACTGTGGCACACCAACCCAAACTTCTTTCAGTGTATTCTACGTCAGTCATGCGGTCACAGCCGCCCCGTGAGGTTGCTTTTTGGAAGCAATCACCCTGTTTGCCCATGAAGTAACTTGATATCGCACTGCTTGAGCCTGGTGCAAACTCCCAATGCCACATGTTCTCCTGCAGCCTAACCCAGATTTCGGCTGAATATATTATCCTTAATCTGCGGTATCAGCATGCCGATCGATGTGTGGAATGCTTCCCCGCGGCAGGTCACTTGATAAATAAGGGAGCTTGGCCCGCACAACGTTGATCTTGTTTCGGACGAATTTGTCGCATCATTTCAATCTTGGTTGTAAGGCCCAGATTGGATTGTTATTTCACACCTGGCGATCATGCTATCGAAAATATCCCGCCCCCACATGGAGGTGGCCAGTGTTATTACTGCGCTTCTTTATGCCCCAGCTGCTATAGCTTCGCAAAATGCCACTAATAGCTTTGATGTGCTAGATCATGTCGATCCATTCATTGGGACCGCAAATGGAGGTATGTCTGACGAGATATCGGCGTGGACCACGAGTTGACAAATTAAGGTCACGTTTTCGCAGGCGCAACACTGCCATTTGGTAAGTCTATTAATACGAAATGGTAGCAGAGCTAATAAAGAGCAGGTATGGCCAAAGCTGTTGCCGACACAGTAGGAGAGAACCAAGCTGGCTTTGCATATGACGACTCGACTGTGACGGGTTTCTCGCATATGCACGACTCCGGCACAGGTGGCGTATGTTTCCAACTGTACCCAAAGAGAGATAGGAACTGACAATTGCAGTCGCCATCTTTGGGTAATTTCCCCATCTTTGCCCAGCCTGCCTGTCCGCATGATGATATCAACCAATGTGCCTGGCAACAATCTGACAGAGCTGTGGCCTGGCTGAAAAATGACCATTCTCCGGTTGCCCGGCCTGGATACTTTGGTATCTCATTGGAGAATGGTATCCATGCAGAGATGACGACGACCAACCGATCGGCTTTGTATAGATTCACCTTTGAGCAATCTTCCAGCGCTTCGCTGAGCCCTGTGATTTTAGTAGACCTGATGGATCTACCGCAGTCACGAACCAATGGAACTGCAGTTGTGGATAAATCCACCGGACGGTTAAGCGGAAATGGTACTTTTAGCCCCAGCTTCGGCATTGGAACCTATGATCTGCATTTCTGCGTTGATTTCAAAGGCGCTGATCTCCGCGACACGGGTGTTTGGACTAGAAATCGAGCAAACTTCAGTCAAGAATTTGTTTCAATGCTAGCTGACGGCACGAACAGCCCGGCCACTCTATCAGGTGGTACATTTGCTAGGTTCCACGCCCCCCAAAATAACACAATTTTGGCCCGCGTTGGTGTAAGCTTCATTAGTGTCAGCCAAGCCTGTGAAAACGCCGAGAAGGAGCAACCTGACTTTGACTTTGATGGGACAGTGGCAATAGCTGAAAATGCTTGGAGGAAGAAGCTGAACGTTGTCTCCATTGATGCGGAGGGAGTCTCGAAAGATCTACAGACGGTTTTCTGGAGCGGAGCTTACAGGTCCTTCATCAGCCCTCAGGACTACACGGGCGAGAATCCTCTCTGGAAGAGCGATGAGCCATACTATGACAGCTATTACTGGTGAGTCCAAGCAAGCTTTCAAAACGCAGTATCAGGCTAAGTAAAACAGCATTTGGGACTCCTATCGCAGCATTCACCCACTCTTAACCTTGGTCGATCCAGTCTCGCAGTCCCTCATGATGCGCAGTCTTGTAGACACTTACCGGCATGAAGGCTATCTACCTGACTGTCGCATGTCCCTGTGCAAAGGCTTTACCCAGGGAGGCTCTAACGCGGATGTAGTCTTGGCAGACGCCTATCTGAAACAGGTCCCTGGAATTGATTGGGATACTGCCTATGAGGCTGTTGTTAAGGATGCCGAAGTTGAGCCCAAAAACTGGAATGTAGAGGGACGCGGTGGCTTGCACAGCTGGAAAGGCCTTGGGTACATCCCATTTGACGACTACGATCCCTATGGTGTGGGGACGCATACTCGAAGCGTATCGCGAACAGTGGAGTACGCATACAACGACTTCTGCATCGCTGAGATGGCTAAGAGAATGGGACACTCGGCCGACCACGAGAAATACGTTGCGCGTTCTGGTAACTGGGACAACGTGTTCAAAGCAGACCAGAAGTCCAGCATTAATGGAGTCGATACTGGTTTCACCGGTTTCCTGCAGCCTCGCTATACGAACGGTACTTGGGGCTACCAGAATCCCATATTCTGCAGCCCTCTTCTGAACTTTACCTCTTGCTACCTGAACCCTACCGGTCATGAGACATATGAGGGAAGCACTTGGCTGTATACCTTGTATGTTCTATTTCCCTATTGATGTTCACGGTCCCTAATTGCTTACAGCTATGTTCCGCACGATATGGGAGCCTTGGTTCAGAGCCTTGGTGGAATGGAGAGCTTCACCTCTCGACTGCAATTCTTTCACGAGTCTGGACTTCTGTACGTAGGCGATGAGCAGTCCTTCCTCACTGTCTTCCAGTTCCACTATTCCGGACGCCCCGCACTGTCTGCTAAGTACAGCCACTCATACATCCCATCTCAATTCAACACCACAGTTGAAGGCATTGCTGGTAACGACGATAGCGGAGCTATGGGATCATTTGTCGTCTTAAGCATGATGGGCCTTTGGCCAGTTCCAGGTCAGGATGTCTATCTTATTACTCCGCCATATTTTAGGGAGGTGAACATCACCAATGGTATCACTGGCAAGGTTGCGACAGTCCGGAACGTGAACTTTGACTCCAATTATGAATCAATCTATATTCAAAGTGTCACCTGGAATGGGAAACCCTGGACGAAGAATTGGGTCACTCATGACTTCTTTGCGGAAGGTGGAGTTCTTGAATTGGAGCTGGGCACGAAGGAGAGCAAATGGGGAACAAATATCAAAGACTTGCCTCCTAGTCTGTCAGACTATCACGCTTAGGACTTTACTGATATGGTATGTTTAAAGCACGATACTCATCGCATAGAGAATCTGATTGTTCTTGACAAGTTCTCCATGTGTATATCCCTTTTCTTGGAGCCATACCTCCACGAGATAGGTCTCCTAATTCAGTCTCTCTCCACTTCCATTGAAGCGAACCACCTCCCCAGTAAGCAGGGCATGCTGAAGAGCCTGTGCTATCTTCATGGCCATGATGCCAGTCTCAAGCTTCACAGGCACAGGAGTATCTTTCAATATAGACTCCACAAACTCATTGGCCTCAAGCGCGAAAGCATCCTGGAACCGCTGCCAGTACTCCGGCTGGACCTCATGACGCATGCCAAGCTCATCAGCAAGAACCACATTGTTCTGCTGGGGTACAACGTTCACCATCAGCTTCCCATCAGTTCCAATAATCTCTGTGCAGACATCATGCTCATGTGCCTGCGTGCGAGAACAGTAGAAGTAGGCAATCTTTCCGCCCAGGAACTCAACAACTCCGACCGCATTGTCCACATCTGAAAGAGCCTTAAGCTCTGGATGGTGCTGGAGGGTACCCACTGCCCAGCAGGCTTTGGGGAGAGGGTTTGCCAGGTACCAAAGGGACAAATCGATGTCGTGAATACAGCAATCTATAAATATGCCGCCATTGCGAGAGGCGTATCGGACAAAGAAACCAGTCCTGTCACGGAGATCACAAGTATTAGATCTGACCATGAAGGGACTTCCAATTGCTTGCTTTTCGTAAATCTTTTCCCCTGCATCGCGGTAGGAAGCATCGACTCGTCGAGAAAAGCCGGCCATGACCTTTAGGTGCGGATTTTCTTTGGCAGCGTCCACAACAGATTGAGCCTGAAGGAATTAGTCTGCACTGAATACCCTTGAATTAAGAAGACTTACCTCAGCAATATCAGTGCTCAAGGGTTTCTCGCAGAGGACATGGATATTCTTTGCAATAGCGGCCAGCGATTGGCTACTGTGGACATCGGTGCTTAAGAGAAAGGTCTTAGTGTTTCCGGCCATGGTGAAGGAGCAGATCTGAATAATATACCTAGTAGAGATCCACACGGCCTGTAGACCCGGCTGTTCCAGCATTTCATCGTAGTTATCATATATTTTGATCCCGAACTCACGGTACTCGGGGTTGAGTGTGGCCCATTTGATTTCACTGGGGTCAGTGCTGCAGACAGCTACCACATGTGCTTTTGGAACACGGTAGAGTAGAGTGTCAACATGGCGTTTGCCCTGGGATTGTATGAGCTTGCCGTTAAGGGATCATCTCAGCATGAAATTTCACTTACCATACGACCAAGGCCGACGACCGCGATCTGGAGACGCTGCATAGCTCGAATTTAAATGGTAGGAAGCTGAAATGAAGATTCCAAGGCTGACAGTCCACTAGATTAACATGCCAGCCTTTAAAGTTGAGAAAAACGTAGATCCATGAGGGCAAAATAGTCCTTGTATGTAGACATCGCCGCTTGCTACCATTTGCAGAATGAGGTGATGACATCGATGTCAATACTATATTTACTGGGGCAGAGCAGCCTGTTCAAAATTTTGCCGATTGCGTGTGAAGAGTGATATTTACCATGAGTATTCATGCTACTGAAATTCCCATTTCGAGTAGAAGGCGGCGAAGATCGACGCGGGGGAGTGGAGATTCCCATGCGGGGTAATTAATCCCCCAATTTTCCTACTTAAGGTAACCGTCGCCGCGTCACTCCTTTGCCGGTTTGTCTCCAGAGTCCAATGGCTCTCTTCCTGGATTGAAGAATAACTGCAGTCAATATGTCGAGCAGTATCATGAAGGCCCCATGCTTGAATTGCCGAGGTAAAGGTCTTCTTCTTCAATCTCAGCCTTGACTAATACCCGATAGACAGTCACCAGAAGTGTATGTACTGACTTCTGGCTATATATCAGGACTTATCTTCTCATGCTTTGATGAGCAGATGATAAGCGAAGACCTGTTTGCCGAAGATGCCAGAACAGAGGGCTTGACTGTCGCCCTGTGCAAAGGAAAGCCGTCTTTCGGAATGGCTCAACAGCCAACCTAGAGGGGAATTTCACACAAGGCCAGACGTGGGTAAACAGTAAGCCCAAATCGTGGAAAAATACATGTCCTTCAGCCTCGAGTCAATCTCCCGGTACAGGAAACACGGTTTGGGGAAATGGCGAGATAGATACCTCGCCCAAGCCCAGTGAAGTCGACCTCGATCGGGATATTGCGCCAAATATGGTGGAATCGTCATCCCTCCAGAAAGACAGCAATGTCAACAGGACCAACCCTGATAGGACTGTGCCATTGGATCCATATCATGAACAACATTTAACACAAAGCTTTCCTATCCATGTGCTATCCCCTCCACAGTCGTCACTTACCAGCGTTAACTTGCACTGCTATTCGGATTCCTACTGTATTCAAAGTGGAGAAAGACGACTTCCGCTGGATGGCAGTCCTATGTCCACGTGTGGAAAGGATGTTGTCGATTCATTCGGAACGGTGCAGGAGTCTTGTCTGATGAGGTATTTTATAGAAGAACTCTCTCCATGGGTAAGAGGTATCGCTAGTCTCTTTTGATATTAATGTCTCACTAATGGTCTTCAGTTTGACCACTGTGATGACCGTCGACATTTCCAACTAGAAGTGCCTCGACGTGCCTACTGTCCCACACTTAAGAACGCAATATTTGCAGTGGCTGCGCGCCATTTAGGCCGTCTTCCAAAATACAAAACCTCTCGTGGTATTGTGTATTGTGGACAATCACTTCCCGATTTGAAAAAGTCCAGCGCCCTTGAGTATATGTTAAAATGCATCCCCGATCTCATTCAATTCCCTGAGATTCAAGATCCACTTGACCAAGAAAACATCATGGCCGCTACTGTGATTCTACGCCAATACGAAGAGATGGAGGAGGAAATGGACGAAGTCAATCAGGTCGACGGAAGAGTCAACTTCTTGGCAATCACAAAAGCCATCATAGACTCTATGATTGCATCTCCTCTCGATCAATCGTTGGCAAATGCAGCGTATTGGGTCACTGTTCGACAAGAGATTTACTACGCGCTCACAAGAAAGACTGTTCCGCATCTACGCTTTGATTGGCAGCCTAATCACCCTCGCCCTGTGGCCAACAATTTCATTTTATTCACAGGGGAGGTTGCTCAATGGCGGTGGGGGAAGCAAATACCGGAAGAATGGGGTAAATTTCATGTCTCCCATATACGAGGAAGTTTACTAACCCTACTAGCACGACTCAAGCTAAAAGAACAGCAGCTGGTGCAAGGTTCCATCGGAGAGCTTGAGCCAATCCTTGAACTTAAACCGGACAGATCAAAAGGATATATATTCCCTACTACATGGTAAAGCTTTGATTTCCAAGTAACAGCTGTGCAGCACCTTCGGCTCGCCCAGCTTATCTTGGTGGCGGAAAACCCAAACCTTGAGTAAGTTCGATCTTTGATGAATAGCAAGAGGTATGCTGACTGGTAAGAAATGCAACTCGTGCTATGCATCGCAAGGCTGAGGCCCAGGTCCGCTCGACTGTACTGGAAATCTGCGGTCTTGCTATTGACCATCCTCGAATAAAGCCTGCATTAGTCAATGCAGTTATTGCGATTACTTTGTACGGTGAATACTTCACAGATCCCGTAGAATGAGATGCATTGGTGGACATCATCAAGAGAACCAAGGATGTGCATGCCTGGCCTATCTACCAGAAAGTCCAACGACAATGGGAAATGATCGATAACGCAGAGATTTGACTTTGAATCGGGCTAGTACCGACGAAAGGCCTTCAATCTTTATAAACAGGGTGTTTCCCCGAGGTCTCGGATCAGTATCAATTGCTTCGCATTGTCGATTGCGCAAGCCCATAGATAGTGAAATTCCCAGAAGAATGGATTCCATGCTCAATAAATACAAATTTCCCCACACCAACTCCGGCGATGATCATAGTCTCGCAGTAAAAGAAAAGGTATCGTTACAGATCCACTACCGTTTCCAACTATCAATCTTCTTGCGGCGCTTGTCAAAGATCTCACCCATGCCCACGCCATCATCGCGCTGTCCATCCTCGTTCTTTCGCTTCCGGCTCTTGTCCAAAGCGCCGCTGTTCTTACCCCGTCGGGTAAGACGCTCAATACGATCGGCTCCCTCTGTAAGTCCCTTCCATTCGTCTCCGCCGTAAGTTTGACGATCACGACCACGTCGCTTGGACTCCTCCTTCTTAGTCTCCTTTGGTAGACGGACAAAGTTGCTTTCTTCGTAACGTGCTCGGTCGGCCTCCCACTCGCGATCTTTCTTGGTCTTGGTTTCGCGGCCACCGGCAAGAATGGTGCTACCGATGCTGGGTTCGGCCATGGGCGCGGATGACATCTCGGAGTTGACGAATTCGTCGATAACATTAGAGCGGCGGGGTCGGCGATCCTCGCGCTCGCGACGCTCGGTGGTGGGAAGGGACGTGGGCATAATCCTGGGTGGACGGTAAATGCCATCACTGGGCTCTTCGCGTTTGGCTCTGGCTTGTTGCTTGGGCTCAACCTTAGCTTTCGAGATTGCCGCAATATTGGGACGATACGCCATCTCATCTACGTCATCCTCGTCGCTATCGCTGTCGTCTTCGCTACCGTCTGAGGATACTTCGTCACCGGTATCCTTGGCTTTGGGCTTCGCAGTCTTCTTGCTGGACGAAATCTGGGTGCGCTCGGAGCGCTCTGCATCCTCCGCCGCCTTGACCACCTTATCAACCTGGTACTTCAACCGTCCTTCCAACGGGCGTACGCCGCGGTCAAGGAATACCCGTAGCTCGATCAACTTTTTCACGGCGTCATCGCGGAGCGAATCATTAGATGTTTCTGAGTCATCAGACTTCAATTGGGATGATTGTCGTAGTTGAAAGATTATCAAGAAGACGAGGTTGTGAAGGTAGGAGAGAAGAATTTCGCTTTTCGTATCGAGGAGGGAGATACCATCTTGCGGAGGCTCGATCGAGATGTCGGAGGGTGTGTCCTTGTGGGCTGATGGTAGTGAGGAAGTAGCACTAGTCAAACATGATGAGAGGGTCTCGAGGAGCGTTGACAAGCTGTTGCGCGACGGCGCAATCTCGGAAGCCATGGTGATCGTTGAATTCGACTTGTTGCCGGGAAATTTTTTTTTTGGTTTTCGGTCTTATCAGTAAGTAGTTATCACCACGTGACCGAAAGCAACGTGTAGGCAGCACGAACACCGTCATCTCCTGTTCTCAGCCGCGTCTCGTTAAATAGGCCGTGAATCGTTCTGGCCTCAATTGTACACGCCGCGTGGACTGGAGTTCAGCATACTTTCATCCACACGTAACTGACGAAAGCAAAGCCTCGCCATATATGCTGATCTAGGCAGTATCCAAGATGCGGTTCACCGATCGAAACTCCCTTGTTGCTTCCATATTCCTCGCAATCCCTTCCTTCTCGTCCGCCTTCTACCTCCCCGGTGTCGCCCCAACATCCTACGATCAGGGTCAGAGCGTCCCTCTCTTTGTTAATCATCTGACACCCGGCCTCTCCCGAGATGATCAACTTCACTCTGTCTTTTCATACGACTACTACCATCCGGCCTTTCACTTCTGTCGACCCGAAGATGGTGCAAAGGATGTGAGGGAATCTCTGGGTAGTATTCTCTTTGGAGACCGCATTCAAACCTCTCCGCTGGACTTGCACATGGCTCAAGATGAAGAATGTAAAGCTATTTGTGGAGAGGTCAAGTTTGATGCCCGCAGCGCCAAGTTTGTCAACCGCCGGATTTCCCAAGGATACAACATCAACTGGCTTGTGGATGGACTGCCAGGCGCGCAGTTGAACATGGACGAAAATACCCAAACTCAATTCTACAGTCCTGGTTTCGCTTTGGGTGACCTGGACGAAAATGGACAAGCTGTGCTGAACAACCATTTCAACATTCTTATCGACTACCACCGTGTCGGATATGGCGGCAAGGACAAGCTTCGTGTGGTCGGCGTCCTTGTCCAGCCCGAGTCACGCGCTGATTCCCGGCTCCTGGATGACGGCACAGCTCACTGCGGCACCAAAGGAGCCTTGGTCACTCTGAATGAAGATGGAGAGGGTGAGACTCCGGTCACCTGGACCTACAGTGTTCAATGGAAAGAATCCTCTACTGCCTGGGCCACCCGGTGGGATAAATATCTCCATGTCTACGACCCGAAGATTCATTGGTTCTCCCTCATCAACTCCGCCGTCTTTGTTGTCTTCTTGGTGGGCATGGTCAGCATGATTCTTGTCCGGGCTCTTAAAAAGGACATTGCCCGTTACAACCGGCTAGATTCAATCAATCTGGACGATCTGGATGGCACCTCTGCTGCCGTCGAAGATGGAATTCAGGAGGATTCAGGATGGAAGCTAGTCCACGGTGATGTTTTCCGATGCCCCAAGTCCCCTCTTCTACTGAGTGTGCTGCTGGGCAATGGCGCTCAGCTCTTCATGATGACTGGCATGACTGTCGGTAAGTAATACCCTGGATCACTGGTTGACTGCGTACTAATCTTGACAGCATTCGCACTTCTTGGTCTCCTCTCTCCCGCCAACCGTGGATTCCTAGCTACTGCCATTCTTTTGATTTATGCCATTTTTGGTGCTATTAGTGGATACGTGTCGGCACGTTGCTACAAGTCCTTCGGCGGCGAGGCCTGGAAGCGCAACATCATCATGACCCCCTTGTTGATCCCTGGGTTTATCTTTTGCACTTTCTTCTTGCTTAATTTGTTCGTGTGGGCCAAGGGTTCCAGCGGCGCTGTACCATTCAGTACCATGCTGGCCCTGGTTCTCATTTGGTTCGTCATCAGCGTTCCGTTGAGTGTTGCCGGCAGCTGGGTTGGATTTAGACAAAAGGTAGGGCCGTCTGTCCACAGTTTCGCTATTATGCTAATCATTTCTAGGCTATTGAGGGTCCGACTAAAACCAACCAGATTCCCCGTCAAGTGCCTCCAATGGTTGGTAGTCTTCGAACTATCCCATCTATCCTCCTAACGGGTATCCTGCCCTTTGGAGCCATCTTTGTGGAGCTCTATTTCATCATGACCTCGCTTTGGACCAACAAAATCTATTACATGTTTGGGTTCCTGTTCCTGTGCTACGGTCTGATGATCATCACGTCCGCAGCCACCACGGTTCTACTGGTATACTTCTTGCTGTGCGCCGAGAACTACCGGTGGCACTGGCGTGCCTTTGCGGGTGCCGGTATGGCCGGTGGGTATGTGTTCCTGAACGCACTCATCTTCTGGGCTACCCGAGTAAGCTTTGGCGGTATCACCGGAGCGGTGCTTTATGTGGGCTACTCAGCCTTGATAGGTTTCGTCGTATTCATTCTAACTGGTTTGTTACCCCGAGAACTTGACTTGGATCAACACTGACATTTTTCAGGCTCTATCGGTTTTTTCGCCAGTTGGGCATTTGTGCAACGAATCTATGGCTCTATTAAGGTGGATTGATCTTGAGCCTTGGAAGCCGACCTCTTCCCCTTTCTTATTCGTCCCATTTGTCCCGTTCGTCGTATTGATAATCTAACGGAAGCATTGTTTTGCGAGGAGATAGAGCTTTTGGCTTTTTGAGATTTCACTCATGATTAGGAATGAGGAGTACTTGTATATATAAACCTTGGTAGGAATGAACCTATTTCCAGATCGTCGTATGAATAAGTGGAGCCAAACGCCAAATAACGTAGTCGTGTCATGCCAAGCCCCAGACGGTCTGGACTCCTCGCCACTTCAGGTGCTTTCCCTTCCATTCTTTATTTTTCCTTGATTATTCCTCCCGAGGTGCTCGAGACGACTTCACTTTCTGCATCCTTGGTCATTTCGAAGAATCTCTGCGTGTGGACTGGTGACCTCGGAACTCCCGCCAGCACAGCCACACTTCCCCCTCGTTCTACCCCGCGTCTTCCGTTCACTTGCTTTTCTTCAAAGCCACCGTTCGTCCCTGCCGATCCTCTTTCGGCTTGCATGCGCTTCAGACCGTTTACTTGAGACCTGCCACAATTTTGAATCTGTGTGTTCGATCATGGGTAAATCGTAAGTAGCGATGCGCCTTCCCGCGCGAGACCGGAAGTGTTTGAAGTCTGCGGCTCGCCTGTGCAATCATGCGCATGGCTACGCCTGGCTCGTTTCCATTGCGCATTTCGAGACTAACGAAGTACTATAGACAGTCGAAGCTGTCGCCTACGCAGCTTGATGAGCTGCAGCGAGCAACCCACTTCGACAAGAAGGAGCTACAGCAATGGTACAAAGGTATGGGTGAATCTCACTATGAGGGTGGATAGGCTCTAATCACCGGATCTACAGGCTTCCTCAAGGACTGCCCGTCAGGCACATTGACCAAAGAGGAGTTCCAAAAGATTTACCGGCAATTCTTCCCCTTCGGCGATCCGTCCTCCTTCGCAAATTATGTCTTCCGAGTGTTTGATTCGGACAACAGTGGAATGATTGATTTCAAGGAGTTTATCTGCGCGCTTTCGGTGACATCCCGCGGAAAGATGGAGGACAAGCTGGATTGGGCTTTCCAACTGTACGATATCGATGGCGACGGCAAGATCACATACGATGAGATGCTGGCTATTGTCGAGGCGATCTATAAGATGGTGGGCTCCATGGTGAAGCTGCCCGAGGATGAGGATACACCGGAGAAGCGCGTGCGAAAGATCTTCCGCATGATGGACAAGGATGAGAATGGCAGCTTGGACCTCGCTGAATTCAAGGAAGGCTCCGCAAGGGACGAGACTATCGTGTCAGCTCTGTCATTATATGACGGTTTAGTCTGAAATGCCTGGCGATCATGAAGCTGGCAGAATGGTGGATCGAACTGGCTAGAGCGATCATTTTTGAAACCGGCGCAATTGTCATTTATCTTTTGGGGGAATCCTGTTTACTTTGCATTGGCACTTTTCTCTGTTCTGGCCAAGCTTTCTCCATTTATTTACGCGCTTGTGTACAATCATATCCAGATGGCATGCGACTACACTATGTCAAGTGGGTCTCTCCTATTCAGGTTAAGCTTAAATCACGTTGTAATGTGTATACATAAGGGCCAAAAGTACTGCGCCCCACTGTCTTTGATTTGCAGCGTGAGGCGCTGATTTGGAAACGTTTCATGTCCGTTACTGAATAATACCAAAGTGTTCGAATTTCCGAGGTACTCGGGATTGTACTAAAATTAAATTAGTCACGACCAAATTGAACCAATTATAAAAATTTGAATTACCAACAACTACTTTAACATCTTCAACTCCTTTGCCTGCCACCGCCAGAATCAAGAATACCTAGCCATGGCGACAACCGAAGCGGAGCGCGCCGCCAACCTTCAAGATGCACAGGACAAAGCCGTCCAGCTGTTCATCGAGATCGAACGGGATCTCATTCGCCCCGGTGTCAGCGAGAAGACACTCAACACCGAGATCTACGATCTCGGCTTCAAGCGTTACGGCATCAAAACCCATTGGCACAAGCGAGTCATTCGCAGTGGACCCAACACATTATGTCCTTTCTCCGATAATCCTCCAGACCGCATCATTGAAGCCGACGATATCCTCGTCGTAGATCTGGGACCCGTCTTCGAAGCCTGGGAAGCTGACTTCGGGCGCACCTACGTCCTCGGCAACGATCCTCATAAGCTCAAGCTGCGCGACTCACTGCAGCCGGTTTGGGACATTGTCAAGGCGAAATATGACCAAAATCCCGATATGTCTGGTGAAGAACTTTACGACGTTGCATCTGGAGTTGCGGGGGAATACGGCTTTGATTTCGGAGCTGATATTGCGGGGCATCTGGTTGGCTCGTTTCCCCATGAGCGGATTCCAAAGGACCGGACTACGCTTTATATTACGAAGGGCAATAACGAGACTATGAACAAACCGGGTAAAGATGGATTTAAACGCCATTGGATCTTGGAGATTCACCTTCGCAATACTGCGCTTGGCTTTGGGGGGTTTATTGAGCAGCTACTGACAGTTGGATAATGGTATCGGGTGCAAATCGGAGCTGCCACAACGCACGCGTGAGGGCTTACAATAGGCAGAGTTATTGAGTCTTCCTTTCAGCATTCCCATTTTGAAGGTCTGCATGAGATTTGTTTTCATAGGGAGGAGAATTTGCTGCTTCTGATTAGGTGAGTTTCAACTATTGCTATTCATTCCAAGTTGTTGGGGTTACATGCATGGCATCATCGGGCATAGACTGATAAGGTATATCGTTGAGAAGCTTGGTGTAAGGAGGTCCAGCACTTGTGGCTCGCAGCACAATTAACGATCTCGTCAGTGACTCTGGACCCAATCATGGGGTCTATGAAGGATGACAAAATCGATTATTTGATCCCGAAACCGGTAGGTAATTTCTAAAGGAGAAGAATGCATGTGTCATATTAAAGTTACATTTTCGAAAAGAAAAAGGTTTGTTTTTAGAGATTCATAATCCTTTCCCGCGACATTGTTTCCAACTCGCTATCATGAAGAGAATTGAAATCAACAGCCCCAACCCAGCTAAACCAATGCCCATATATAAGGCCCCATGATATCCCCGGAGTACTTCTCTACCTGCGTCGTTGACATGGGTCTCCACCGTACCTGCAAACCCAAGGCCAAGAGAAATGGAGTAGTTGACAGTTGTGGCGACGAGAGAAGCTGCAAGCCCTTGGTGGTGCTTCGGCATGGAATTACTGAGGATAAGTGTTCCAGACGGGAAGGACATATCCCTAAGGCAAATGTGTTAGCACATGACGAGTGAATGATGAGTGGCTAGGGAGCACTAACATTCCCCAAGATGTGATAAGGCTCACAACAAATGCCTGAGCCCAGTAAATCTGATTGACAGGGACAGTGGCGAAGATTGATAGTCCGGCCGTGAAGAAGACCATGGCAAAAAACATTATTACGCTTGCAGGCAATCGGCCAAGCAAGAACCCCGTAATCAGAGCTGCAACTGAACCACTAGCCGCTGCTCCAGACCATTTGGCTGTTGCCAATAGCGGTGAATCTCCTTTGATTACTTCCATGAACTGATAGAAGTAATAGATGATAATGCCAAAGCTAGACCAGCCTGCTGCGATACAACCAAGCACCCATGCGAGTTTTCCGGTAAAGACTGATCGAGGCAGTAATGGGCACATTGCTTTGCGCTCTATGGCCGCAAAAGCCCCAAGGCAAAGAAATCCGACAATCAAGAGCACAAAGGTATAAGGATTCTCCCAGCCTACTAAGGCAGCCTGGTTCCAGCTGAAGTTGATCAAGACAAGACCAGAAATTCCTGCTGTGGCACCAAGCAAATCTAACCTTTCAGTCAAGCGAAGATTGTCGTTAAACGTAGGTTGTGGGGCGTATGCAATGACAAGCCATCCCAGAACTGCCAGGGCTGCACAAGCCATCCCCATGACCCAATATCCCCAGGGCCACCATGCGAGCTGAGCAAAAAGGGAAGAAAACACACCCCCAACAACGAAACCCCCAGGAGCGGTGGCACCGAACAGGCTGAAGATCATCTCCTTTCGGAGGCCCGGCGGATAGGTTCGACCCAAGATCGCAATAGCGTTCGGTAGCAACATGGCGGGCCCAATTCCTTGAAGAGCTCTGCAAAAATTAAAGAAGACCTGATTCGACCAGACACTGAACCCAGCCAGGACCGACCAAAGGCTGAACCAGCTAAAGCCAATGACGAACATTAGTCGGTGACCGTAGACATCGCCCAGTCTGCCTGCCACCAAAATAAAGGTCCCCACAGTTAAACTATAGCTAGCGGCGTACCAACTCAAGGAAGCAGGGTTGGTGATCCCGAAGCTATCCCCGATGATATGGACTGGGGCAATAGACATGCAGAGGCCGGCCTGGGTCATAAACTGCGCCATACACACCACGCTTACAAAGGCAGCTTCTTTGAGCAGGCCATCAGGAGGTTGAAAATGCGACTGTGAGGTTTCCAGGCGAGTTAAAGCCTCGGGGTCGGTGTCACGTCTCGGCTTGTGTAGATCGGTCGAACCACCTATCGAGCCGCATGTCGATTCTGAGCGAAATGAGTTGTGATCCATGATAACATTCATATTTTGAGTTAACATTAAAATCGAACATCCAGGCTTGGTAGACATTTATACTTACCGATACGTCATGTGGATCCTGAACTTCCGTCGGGAGTTGTAGGTTAAAACGGGCCGTCGGCATTTGTCAAGTTTGAACCGACCAGCTGAATCATCTTTACAAGCCCCTACCTATGAAGCTCTTGTATGTTTGTTTTTTGTGATTGATCTGGGTATGTAGGAGCCACCTATCGAAGAAGATCAAGTAGGGAGATGAAAAGCCAGAGCTTGCTTTGGGCGCCTTGCTGTCTTTCCATCCAGAGTGGTGGAAATGGAGCCTCCTTGATTGCGTCAAGATAAGACAGCACGACTTGCGACCTTCTTTTGCAGCTTGAAAGAGTCAAACTGGCTCAATAGTCTTTTCATTCAAGGTTTTCGGGACGTGGTGATACAAAAGAGATTTGCGATGCAGAGGGTCTTCTGCTGGCACGTTTGAGATCGATGGAGCTGGATGTCATCATCACCATTGTGCTGCGGTGTCCTGGCCATCGCTGGCATTAGATTAAAACATCAACATTCAAAGTGAGTGGAATGAGAAGTCAGTAAGGAGAGATGTGAGAAGGGAGCAGTCAGGAGTAAGAAGAGGGAAAATAAGACTATCAAGCTATATAGAGGGCTTTTGAATTTCTGTTTATGACCGAAGTCTATGTTTGAAATCACAGGTTATTCTAGGTGGCTTCCATTATCCATTGCGTACTAGATTGGACTATCAACAGCTCCTTATCTATTTCATTCCTTCTTCCGCTTCTCTTCCTCAACTCCCAATCCAAGTGATCCTCATCGTTACGCTCAGTTTATCAGTATGCCATAGTCAGTATTGACTAGAAGACCGGGAGGACTTGATTCCAGCTGCGTGGTTCAAAAAGGCATGGTGAACTTGTTTATCCTGAACTTTTGTCTTCAATCGATTTTATTATGCTCATCTCTAGCAAATTCCACCACTGAGATCCAGGATCATCCAGACGCAGTAATGGGCCAGTTGCAGTGTACCGTGGCTACCCCATCTATCTCAATCACATACCAGTGTAGAGTATAGAGTAATTATGACACTTCATCTAAAGAACAATCCGGGGTTGATGCGAATCAAATCATCCCACTGGTGGATGGCCATTTTACCCGTGGGAGTCGAGATCTTTTAACCGGAGTATGTAATCCGCCAGCATGTGATAGAAAAACCGGGCGGGGGTGGAGCTCATGCTATTTCTCTCTTTCAGTTAAAATGCCCTCGCTTGGGCTTTCTCTCTTGGAGCTAGCTGTTGCTAACCTTCGCCTTCACTGCAGTGTCCTTCGTTGCAGAGACTTGTAGGGCCACAGGCATGGCGCCCATTGTCTTTATTGTCAGGTTCGTTCCCCGCACTGTCTCGTCGTTTCAGGACTGACCTCGCCAGGCATGGTGCGCGTCTTGATGCTGCCGACAAAGACTGGCATTTGACCTCCCCAACTCCCTACGACCCTCCTCTCTGCTACGGTGGCTGGGTCCAGTCTCGGGCCTTGGGGGTCCGCATCGCGAGTCTCTTGCAAACATCTGACTTCGTAGGGACAAAGCCCGACGAATCCCCGGAGGTCCCGACCAGTCCGCATCCATCCCTCGCCTCGGATCTCTACAGCCGGTACAACGTGATCATCCATACCTCCCCCTACCTCCGATGTCTGCAGACTTCCATCGCCATCAGCGCAGGTCTGAGCCAGTCACGCCCAAGCACCGAAGACCCTGAAGACCCCCTGGTAGACACCGTGAGTCCAGATCTGCGGCCTTTGGTGCGCGTCGACGCTGTTTTGGGGGAATGGCTATCTCCCGACTACTTTGACCAAATCACGCCACCGCCTGGCTCGGATCGGATGGTCGCTTTGGCCAAGACAGAACTGCTGCGTCGGGGTGAAATACTTCCGTCGGTGCGGGAAGGGACCCGGGCATTATCAGGCCACTTCCCGGGTGGCTGGGGGAGCCAGTCTCATCCTACGTCCCCGAATGAGGACGACAACGCTGCGCAAGGACCTTTATCGGCAGGAAATGCTCGTCAACGCGCGAGTACCTTTGACGTGCCCCAGGGCCACGCTCCCGCCGGCCTGGATATCAACCGCCCAGCCAAGTCCAATGCCTCTTACGTGGCTCCAACGCCTGGCTACGCGGTTTCTCCTGCAGACCGCATTCCCTCGGGGTATGTCACCCATGCGCGCGACGCTTGTGCCAAGATCGACTACCAGTGGGATAGTATGCGGGCACCCTATTGGGGCACTGGCGGGGAGTATGGGGAGGAATGGAGCTCCATGCAGGAGCGCGTTAGTGATAGCTTTCAACAGATGATGGAGTGGTACCAAAAGCCGGAATCGACTGCTCGATCCAGAGCGACCACCAATGATGCATTGCGCAAAGATCGCTCTGCCCAGACCGTTATCATCATCGTTACTCACGGTGCGGGTTGCAATGCCTTGATCAACTCTTTGGCTGGTCACCCCGTTCTATTGGACATTGGCACTGCCTCGGTGACGCTGGCTGTGCCACGAAACCGGTTGCCAATCGACACGCCTGATTACGACCGGTCGACGAAATCGTTTGACCCGGTTGATCGACCAATCTCGCACGACTATACACTGCAGCTGGTGGCGTCCACTGACCACCTACGGCCAGGAAGCAACCCCTCCCAGCTGACCTCCCTCACATCTCTCTCCGCACCCCAACCACCACCGCAACCATTTCGCAATCGCCTCGGCTCCCGGCCTCAACCCCTCCAAGGATCGTTCCCGCTTGGTCCTATTGCAGGGGCCACGATGAGCCCTCGTGGATGGTCTCTCGCTCACCGTCCATCGACCTCGGAAGTCCCTCGGGCGTCTGGACTTTGGGGCGCCATGGCCTCGCCTGTCGAGAAAGACGAGGAGCCGGAAGATTTCGTCCCCAATTTCGGGGACCAGCGACCCGTGAGCCATGACTCTCCTCTGCCTGATGGACCTGTGGACCGAACGGGGTGGACCAAACAATTGCCTAAGCGAACGCTCTCCCAGCGAGGTCTCTGGGGAAGTGCCCCGTCCCTGGAGAATCGGGACTCGGCATCGAGACGACGATGGACCTTGGCGGAACAGAAGCTATGATCTACGACCATTTCAATTTAATTTCAGGATACCTCTTTTGCATGGCGCCGGTTTGATATTATGTACATAGCGAGCTCAATTCCAACCAATCATTGTCTCCAGATTACTACCCCACCTTCCTCCAAGTTCCGTACTTTGGAACATAACTATCACCCCTCACGACTTCAACTCTATCAACATCATGCAGTCCGACGGACTTTCGATCACGTATTCATCGGTCCCTGAGGCTGACCGCCCCAATCCCGATTTACGTTTGATTCACTTCAATGATGTGTATCATGTTGAGTATGAGAGCCATTGACTAAACCCCGTGTTGTGCTAAATCATTTAGATCTGGGTCGGCGGAACCAATTGGCGGTGTCGCCCGTTTCCAATCCCTTATAGACTACTACCGTGACGACGTGCGCTTTGCAGGCCAGCCTGATATCCTCACCTTCTTCTCAGGCGATGCATTCAACCCTAGTCTGGAGAGCTCCGTTACCAAGGGCAGGCATATGGTACCCTTTCTGAATAACATTGGTATTGACGTCGCTTGCGTCGGGGTAGGCTGCTTACTGGCTCCTGTTATCGAGTTGGACATTGCTGACACGGTCAGAATCACGATCTTGATTTTGGAGTAGCTCAGCTCCGACATCTAGCATCGGCTTGTCACTTTCCTTGGCTCCTAGCCAACGTACTTGACCCTGCTCTTGGTGACGGTGTCTCGATTGCCAATTGCGGGGCAACGAGCATGCTGACATCTTCAAATGGGATCCAAATTGGGGTGATCGGCCTTGGCGAAAGAGAATGGTAATGATCCTTCACTTTCAATTCCCCACAGATGATAACTTTTTCTTAGGCTAGGAACGATCAACTCTCTGCCCCCCAACCTAATCTACAAATCGGCGACGCAAACAGCCAAAGAGTTAGCACCGCAACTCCGTGAACAAGGAGCGGAGATCATCGTCATTGTTTCTCACCAGCGTGAACCGAATGATAATAAATTAGCGACCAATTTACCTGCAGGATTGGTCGACATCATCCTCGGCGGTCATGATCACTATTACTCACATACCGTAATCAACGGTGTTCATGTGTTGCGCTCTGGTACCGACTTTAAGCAATTGAGCTATATCGAAGCTTTCCGAAACTCCAATGGGGCTCCAGGCTGGCAGTTTAATATCACAAGGCGAGATGTCGTGCGATCTATTCCCGAGGCTCCGGCAACGGTTGCCATGGTCGATCGCCTAACCGCAAGCCTCAAGGCCAAGGTAGAGAAGCCGATAGGGTTTACAGTTACTCCGCTGGATGCTCGATTTTCTACAGTCAGACAGCATGAAAGCAACATTGGGAACTTTGTATGCGACCTTATGCGTTTATACCATTCAGCTGATTGTGCAATGATGGCGGGTGGCACTATTCGTGGCGACCAGATATATCCGGCGGGTATATTACGCCTAAAAGACGTGCTGAACTGCTTTCCTTTTGAGGACCCTGTTGTCCTTCTACGAGTACGCGGCCAGGCCTTGATCGATGCGCTCGAAAATGGAGTCAGTGAGCTTCCTGCACTTGAAGGACGCTTTTGCCAGGTAAGTGGCTTATCGTATGGTTTCGATCGATCAGCTCCGCCGATGTCACGCATTACATTTGCTCGGATCGGGGGCCAGCCTATTGACCCCGAGCATAAGTATACCCTAGCGACGCGTGGCTACATGGCCCGTGGAAAGGACGGGTTTGCATCATTGCTAGTCCAGTCTGAAGACGGAGAAGCCGAGGAGCTAGTCTGTGAAGAGAATGGGGTCCTTATCAGCACGATCCTGCGCCAGTACTTCCTGAGTTTGAAAGTCATCAGCAAATGGACCCGTTGGTGTGCCAGTCTGAACCGGCACTGGGATTCAGTTCATAGCGACCTCCACCGTGACGGTTGGGTGAAACCACCCTCTACTTCTGCGTCGCCAGTATCTGAAAAGGCGCCCAGGAATCACTTGACCCGACCACCCCTTTCGAGAACAGGTCGAGAGTCCTATTACTACGGGCGTTTCCCGCATGAAGTCGAGCAGCGTACTGCCAATTCTGACGGAAGCAATAGCGATGCCATGGACTCGGATTCGGACGAGGATCCCGATGTTCTTCCTTCCCCGGACACCAACTATGTCACGCTTCGGGCCTTGTCCTCGGCTGACGAAGAACGTCGTCTGAGATTGGCGCGGTGGGTGATTAGCCGATGGACGCGCCGCGCTGGCGTGTGCTCGTCACTAAGTGAAAGTGATAGCGAGGCGCCTGTATGGACATCTGGTATCTCGCCTAAGCTGGAGGGTCGCATTATAGAGGTTCCGTAGCTACATCAATAGATTCATCATCAGCTCTATGGCCCGACGATTCCAAGATTGGAAAACTCAGAAGCCGAAATCTGAAATGCCGTTCAAACGCCGACCCCGCATACCCCACATTTCTCATTCTTGGAATGTGCATCTGAAGTCTATGAACGATTTACCGCCGAGCTGGAGGTTATTTCTATGAAGTTCGCGGCTAATACTTGAATGAATGTATGGAATTCCGGAATACGTAGATCTATGCAATAGTTCGGTTGAGTCACAAGTATAACCAAGGCAATTAGGTTGTCATCTTCCACATGGATATTTCCAGTCTCAACCTTGGCTGCTTCGTAATGTAGGACCTGAGAAGTGACCACCTTGGAACCCTGGAGCACCTAGGTCCGTGGAATTACAATATCACAACCTTTACGTGGGAGGGCGTATACAACCTTCCAACTTGGCCGCCGGCGTTTGCCAGAGCTCCTGCGAGCATCTCATTGGTGGATAAATCATCAGATCCCCAGTGTGCCGATTCGGATGCAAAACAGCCCGAAATCGGCACGGCTATTAGTTTTCAGATTGTCTATGAGCTCTCGCCCGAAATGATGGTACGTCAACCTTGGCGCAGTCCAATATTGAATAGAAATATGATAGCGGCTCCATGCAAGTTTGCTTAGTTCGTAAAACACCTAAACCTGATACACAACCATGGCGATCAAGAAAGCACCAACCTGTCTCGACCTCTGCGTGACCACAGATGACTTCGAGGCGGCAGCGAAAGAGACTCTTTCTGAAAAGTCATGGGTCTACGTGTCGAGCAGTGCTGCATCAGGTCTGTCACACCAATCAAACTTGGACGACTGGTCTCGCATCAACTTCCGGCCTCGAATCATGAGAAACGTCAACTCTATAGATACATCACGAAACATCCTGGGTCGAAAGTCTAAGCTTCCATTCTTCATATCGGCCATGGGCACTCTAGGTAGTGTTCATCCTGGTGCTGAGCCGTTGCTAGTTGAAGGTGCAACTCGCAACGGCGTGGATGTGGTGATCAGCACGGCCACGAGTAAGCCTTTGGAGGCGATCATGAAAGCTCATCTGGATGAGCAGGAAAGGTTGGGGAACTTGAGTCCGTCAAGACTGGCCTTCCAGTTATACGTTCCGTCTGACCGGATGAAGGCCAGAGAATTGATTCAAAGGGTCAAGGCTGCTGGGTATCAGAGTCTATGGATCACCGTGGACTCTTCGACTCAAGGAAAGCGCACAGCCGATCGTTATCTGCAGGCTCAGGAGAAATTGGATCAAGGTGGAGAGGTGGTGAGAGAAGCTGCAGCGGACAACGCATTCGGACCAGCGTTTGGTGGTCGTCCAACGGCCGGATACCTACATCCCGCCTTGAACTGGGAAGACCTGGCATGGATCTCGCAAGAATGGAAAGGGCCTGTAGTCCTGAAGGGGGTCCAAAGTGTTGAGGATGTAAGACTTGCTGTTCAGTACGGCGTGCAGGGCGTTTTGCTGAGCAATCACGGTGGTCGTCAAATCCATTCGGCACCTAGCGCACTGATGACACTCTTGGAGATTCACACCTATTACCCCGAAGCATTCGACAAGCTGGAAGTTTTCTTGGATGGTGGACTTCGCGATGGTGCAGATGTTCTCAAGGCGTTGTGTCTTGGGGCCACTGCCGTCGGTGTTGGGAGACCATATGGCTACGCTCTTGCGGCATATGGAGCAGAGGGGGTTGATAAGTGCACGTCAATCTTGACTGAGGAACTCGAGATTTGCATGAAGATGCTCGGTGTTTCATCGCTTCAACAGCTTCACCCTGATATGGTCAATGCCACCCGATTGTTGAGTGAAATGTGGCGACCAATGAGCGTGAGGCCGAGGTTGTAATGGGTTCATCTGCCCAGGTGGGATAACATCGTGTATCTATCTGGAGGGAGAAGATGATTATGCCTACAATCACCGCAGATTGGAATAGGTGGTCATAGTTGTCCTTGGGTATTGTCATAGAGGTATCATTAATTTAAACATAGTTGAAGCTTGACTACTGCACGCCAACAGGTCGTGCCCCGGATAGATTCACCACACGGCCTGCTCCGCCCAAGGCTGGTGCACCAAATGTAGATATCTGAGGCGGCTTGACCCATCCAGGAACACTGTTGTCTTCCTTCTCGCGTGCAGATATAGTTTCCCAGACATTGGGAAATCCAGTAGGCAAGGCACCCCGCAATTTGGCGCCAGGAATGGCAAACCGAGGATTTCGATGTGTCAAGTAACCATGCATCAATCCCTGCGTAAGTAATGAAGCAAGGATGGATTCAATCTCCCCCATGAGCAGAGCCGGCTGCACTTCTGCTATCTCATCGTCGGCATACGGATCCAGTTCGTATTCGTCGTAATCGGTCTCAGGAGTACCATCGATCAATTGGCCCGGCATGTTTTCCTGCCAGTACCCTCCCTCGTCAAAACAACCCGCCGGTGCCAGGTAGTCCCCATACTTCTCCATCAGCTCGGGGTCCTCACTGGTAGTGACGCCCTGTTTCTCAAGTCCTACATAATCCGGATCCATCGGTTCAGAGATGGTCTGTGACCCATAAGAAGGTGGCTTTGTAGTTCCATTAGGAATTTTGGAGCGTGATTGGAGCCATTCTGTAGCCACAAGTAGCTTTTGGAGGTATAGGAATGGCGGAGGACCACGCTGCGCCTGCGCTGCCGGATCCCCATGAAAGCCACCATGGATGAATACCTTGCGACAAAATGACCGCCACACCATGATTTCACATCGATTGCGGAGTGCGAGTAGAATACCCTTTCGCGCAAACCATTGCCCTGTATGCGAATCGAATGAAAGGTGTTGTCGGAATGCCAGGTAATCGCCCCGCACAATGAGATGACAGAGTGGCGCAAACTGCTCTGCTAGTCCTTTCGCTTCTGGTCGTTGAAGGAGAGATCTGGAGGGGAATCGGCCCATGATGATATTGCAGGGGATGAGATATGTCAGGATCAAGTTGCGTTGGTTGAGGGCTTGGATGTGGCATTGATCATAAGCCGCCTGTAGTGCGATTTGAGCAGGATGAAAGAGGTTATTCGAGAAAAGATAACGGCCCAGGTAATAAAGGTACGTTACGCGCTGGGATGCTGGGAAATGGACCAGTGGAGGGGACTGAGCGCTGATGCTGGCAAACATTTGCTCCGCATTGCGCAGCTTGCCACACTGATACGAGTCAGTAAAATCATCGCCAAGCAAGACGAAACATACTTTGAATAGAAGCTTGAGGCATAGGTTTGCCATCAAGTAGATGCCAACGCGTTTGCCCTCGGGCTTCCCGTTGGGCCCCGGGGTGCCGCTGCGATCGGTCAAACATTTGATGAAGGCTTCTCGCACCACGTTTGCCGATTGTTCCACCAATGTCACTTTCTCGATATTTTCCTCCCGGTTCGAGCCGCCTTCCATGCGCAAGATATGCGCGATGAGCTCTGGTTGGCGGTCCAGCCCCATAGCCAATTTCGCCAAAACTTTCGAGAGGTAGAGAACGGTGGGGAGGACAATGACTCCATTTTGGCTATCTCCGAGGGCAAGAACGCATTGACTAGGTAGGCGTCAGCGTCCATTATCTCAAGTTTGTGGGATTCCGAGACTTACTTGAGCAGGGCCCTTAGGAGATTGTACGTTTCGAGTAGGTTTTCCACATTGACATCACGCAGGAAAGAAAAGTACAGCCTCATAAATGTTGGAAATGCAGACCAGGAAGAGCTCCCCTTGGTTCGTGGAACCAAGATCTCACATCGTTGCTGCAGCTCGGTATCGCTCTGGGGTCCGGGTGGGTATCGTTGGCGCAGTTCCTCGATCATGCGTTGGTAGATGTCTGACAGTGGAGGCTCGATTTGAAGGAAATCCTGTAGCTTCGAACCATCGTGTTTCAGAATCAGCTCGGACACGCTGTTAATAAACTGGTTTAGGATTGGTGTTGGAGGTGCCATCCTGCCCAGATGTGTAGAAGCAGCTCCCCGCGTAATTGAAGGATGAAGGAAGCGAGGAAGTCGAGTTAATGTGTAAAGGGTAAAGGATATGACCCTGGCGGAATAATGATTCGACGAAGTTACCCCGCCGAATCACGGGATGTTTATGGTCGAACCCCTAGAGATTTAACATAAAAAGGGCCGTGTTACGGCACGAACAGAGAAGTCTAGTAGTGAGGGCATAGAAGCCTCGGAGGTGTATCGGAGAACACCCGGATATGGGGCATGTAACCGGATCAAGGTTAACCCGAACTCCCACAGGAGTGATTAGCTAAGCCCCACAACAATATTCCTGATCGCGGGAGAACTCCCCTAAGTTCTCCAATTATATTACTATCAATCCAACTATACCGTACCTAGTACGATACTTCTCCGTCATCACTCCTATCCTTATCCTCTCTGGGACCCTAGTCCCAACACTAATGTTAAGAAGCCTAGTGTTTAGAAGCCTAATATCGAGAAGCCTAGTGTCCCGAAGCCTAATATCTAGAAGCCTAATGTCAAGAAGCCTAATGTCAAGAAGCCTAATGTTAAGAAGTCTAATGTTAAGAAGCCTAGTATCTAGAAGCCCGGTGTTAAGAGAGCTTTACGCCATGGTGGCGAAGCGAGACGTGCAGCCATGTGCGAGGCCTTGCCTAGAGCTATAATCCCAGAAATCGCCAAATCTATTGCAACCAAAAATCGCACCTGCAGTAATCTCAATTGCGCGGCGCATGGAACGGCTGGAAGACCATGGCATATTCCCGAGTTACACTGGGAAAACCTCCCCGGCCCATGGATTTGCGACCAATGCTACAGGTTCGCTCGCAATAACAATGAAATAGCGAGAAGTGCAGCCCGTTGTGAGTTAAAAAATTGCTACAGTCCACCCCGCTTCAGGATCGATTCTGCGGTAACCCACACCGCAAGACACCGGTAAAGGAGGTCAGGTCAGAAGGGGACTTCAGGTCCATCGACCTAGAATGGGAAGGCTTCTCCGGTCCATGGCTATGTAGAAATTGCCACTATCTCGCAGTCAAGAATGACGGAGCAGTGAAGTATTCATCGGCCTGAGAATCCGTCCGACCTTTTTTTTGTCTTTTTTTTCGGTTGTCACAAGAAAATAAAAGATCCAGCAGCAAGGCTTGATCCTTTTCGTGGAGCTGCTAACAAGTAGTCTATGAGACCTCATGGATGAAACCAATCAAGCTAAACTCTTATAGGAGTCCTGGTAATGATGAGATTAAGACTTGGTTTAGATTTTGGACCGATGACTTGTATGTACACTTACTATTTTCAGTATTCCAATTCGGCATCATCTCACATATACATGATGCCCCTTCTTACATGATATGATTTCCGCTTTCCGGCCACATTCTCCACCACGAGAGTCCGCCATTTTAAGCCTTGGGCGCCTCTGTGGCGTTTTATTAAAAGACTTGGTAGCTCATCCTTTTGTCAGTGCGAACTGGCTGGCGCATGGAGAATTTGTGTTGGCTGGGGTGCATATCTCCATGGCGAAGCCATCGACGGTATATAGAATCGAACCGATTGTCTTTCAAGCTCTGAATATAGTATAACTTCACGTGGGATTCCATTCAGAGAATGTGCTGGAAATATCTCAAGGCGACCACAGGCCTACACAGTACAATCCAAATGTATTGCGGAGGTGAATCTCCAAGATCCAATGGCGTTTAAATCCATCTTTACCCTGTTCATAGTCTCGTTATTGCCCTTTGTTTCTGCGTCGGTTTTGGCCAATGCCGACGAAAATTGATTCATGATAAATAACAGATTTTAATAGGTTATACTAAATAGCCGGCTTTTGCCAAATGAACTCTATTCAAAGCTGGGGATGACCATTTTCCTTCTAGTGAATTGGTTCAATATCATTCATTCATGGCTCTTACATTCAGGTTGTTGAATATTCAGTTGGAATTCATTTCGTCAAGAATAACAACCTAAACAGCACCCCATCCACCTCCACCAGCCGTCATCACAATCATTCGGTCATGTGTCTTCACGGACACGGTGTTCTTGCCCCCAATGTTGATCTTCTCATCCCCTGTTACTAGATAGTTTGCACCAGACTGGGCCTCCTCGCCACCTTCCAACCCATATGGCCGGTAAACACGTCGCTCGGACAGAATAGAGCACTGCATCGGAGCAAGGAACTCAATATCGCGGATCACACCTTCGCCACCAGGGTGCTTGCCCCGGCCACCAGACCCCTCACGCAGTGAAAACTGCCGAAGCATAGTTGGATAGCGTTTCTCTAGAATTTCAGGATCAGTAATCCGCGTATTGGTCATATGGACTTGAACGCCAGATTCCCCGTTCCAAGTTGGCCCGGCTCCACCGCCACCAGCGATGGTTTCATAGTATCCGAATCCAGGAGTCACCACTGCCCCGGTAGCGTCTAGTTTAGCATTGGTTCCGAAGGTCAGGTTATTACAGCAACCTTGCGAGGCCGCTGCTGCCTTGAATGCTTTGAAAACAACATCTGTGATGCGCTGCGATGTGAGCACATTTCCGCCTACAACAGCCGCAGCCTTACTTGGCGACAAAAGGCTAGGCGATGGCACTTGAATGTCAATTGGAGCCAAGCATCCCTGGTTCAGAGGAACGTCCGCATTGATCATGCATCTCAGACAATAGATGATCGCTGAGTGTGTTATGGAGATGGGCGCATTCCAATTTCCGTCCACCTGGGCACCCGTTCCCGAAAAGTCGAAGACGGCAGATCCGTCAGATCCATCTATGGTGACCTTGAGGCAAATCGGTGTGCCGTCATCCATGTGATCTACCGCTTCCAGTGGCTGGCCGCCGAACTTCTGGTATAAATCCTTGAGCAGATTCCGTACAGCTGTCTCCGCCGTCGCCTGAATGCCATACATGTAGTTCTGCACGGTCTCAACGCCATATTCCGCAAAGAGACTCTGGATCAAAGTGATGCCCCGGGCGTTGGCCGAGATCTGGGCTTTGAGATCAGAGAGATTGTCACTAATGCATCGCGCACCGGAACAACCAGGGTACTGCGAGGGCTTTGTCACCAGCAATTCAATGAGGCGTGCCTCGTCCAGAATGCCGTTGCTGACGATTTTATCGCCCTCAATGGCTGCACCTTCCTGCCAAAGCTCGGTGGATTTGGGAGGCATGGAACCTGGGAGGATGCCCCCTATATCTGCGTGGTGGCCTCGTGAGGCGACATAAAACATAATCTTGCTGCCACCGGGGCGATCAAAGACGGGTGTAATCACCTATTGATATGTTAGTGTGGATTTTATAGATGTCAACTGGCTCTTACGGTAATATCTGGGAGGTGAGTGCCACCACAACTGGGGTGATTAGCGACAAGCACATCGCCATCTTTCAAATTGCCCAGCCACTTCTGATGCTGGTAGCGCACGGCAAACTGCATAGATCCTAGATGCACTGGAACGTGTGGGGCATTGGCAACGAGTCCTCCATCGGGGGAAAACAAGGCACAAGAGAAATCCAATCGTTCTTTGATGTTGGTGGATACCGAAGTCTTCTGTAACGTCCGACCCATCTGCTCAGCGATGGACATGAATCGATGTCCAAAGATAGTCAGACGGATGGGATCAATCTCCGATGCAGCTTTCTCGGGTTGAGATTTTGGCTTGTCCTTCAGGTCGATGACAATGCAAGTTTCCAAGAGATTCGCCACACTGTTAGGAGCCACAACAATTGTTTGGGTCTTATCAATGATAAGGGCAGGCCCAATTATCCGCGTGTGCTTCTCCAGTTCATCCAGCAGGTAGACAGGGGTATTGATGCGCATCGAGTGGCCGTCAAAATAGACCGCAGCGGTGTTGGCTGGAGCGATTTCAACATCCTTCATGCTAGCATCCTTCAGTTGCACCAGTGGGCTGCGCTCTGTGCGAACCTGGGCCGAGGCGATGGTGCGCACACGAACGTCATCGACGAGAACTGGTCGATCAGAATTGAAGTTGAATTCGCGACGGTGGCGATCTCGGAATTGACTCAAAAAGTCCGTCGATCCCACTGGCCGCAAAATCATCAAACTGGTGTCGGAACCTTCGTATCTCATGTTAAGGTAGTGCTCATGTCGTAATTGACTAGAGGAGAAACCTTGGGCCTTCATTTCCTCTGCTGAAGCAGCCGCTATACTCTCAAAGCGATCCAGGAGGTTTGAATGCGAGGAAACATATTCGGAGGACACCGGCTCCTGGGATTCTTTGACAACTTCCGCAAGGGCCAAGCCATAAGCAGAAAGAACCGAAGAGTACTTATGAATGATGACGCGAGAAATTCCCAGGTTCTTTGCAACTGAGCAGGCATGTTGGCCACCGGCTCCTCCAAAGCAAGCGAGGTGGTGCGAAGCGGTTTCAAAGCCGCGAGCTTGGGTGAGATTGCGGATAGGACGAGCCATCGACTCATCAGCAACATTCAGGAACCCAAGAGCAACTTCCTCTGGGGTGTATTCTGCCTGCGACTTTTGACGACGCTCAACATTAACCTTCTCTGTTAATTCGTGGAACTTCTGTGCCGTGATCTCGGTATCTAAAGGTTGGTCTTCATTGGGCCCGAAGATGTTGGGGAAATACTTAGGAAGTAAACGACCCAAGAACAAATTAGCGTCCGTCACCGTCAAAGGGCCGCCCTTTCGGTAACAAGCTGGACCGGGGTGCGCACTGGCCGATTCAGGTCCAACATAGAAGAGGCCATTGCGCCAAGAAAGAATAGATCCACCGCCAGCAGCCACTGTGTTGATATCGAGTTGGGGAGACTGGATCAGAACACCTGCCAATTTGGATCCAAAAACATGATCCAAGTGCCCATCAAACCGAGAAACATCGGTCGAGGTACCACCCATGTCGAATCCAATCACTGGAGTCTTTTCGACAGGGTCCCAGCTTGTCGCAGCAAATCCCACCACTCCAGCCGCGGGACCTGAAAGAATGGCCTTCAAACCACTGAACTTTCGGAAGTCTACCAAGCCTCCATCCGACTGCATAAATTCAAAGCGACATTCTTGTTGTTTTTCCAAGCCCCCTTCAAAGCTCGTAGAAATGGAGTCGATGTAGGTTTTGATGACGGGTGTAAGATACGCGTCAGCGGCAGAGGACATGGCTCGCGGTACCAGTTTGATCATAGGCATTAATTTGGAGGATAGTGTCACAGAAAAGCCCATCTGCTCGGCAATCTCCCCAATCTGGCGTTCGTGATCCGGGTAGGCAAAGGAATGCGCCAGCGCGACTGAAATCGATTTATACCCTTCCTCTCTGAGCCTCTGAAGCTCGGATCGCACGTGGTCTAGTTCCAATTCCTGCACCACTCGGAACTTCTCGCCAGTGATGCCTTCAACGATTCGAGCGCCGGGAAAGCAATCTGTGCTTGCATTTGGGTGGCAAGGAATCACCCGCTCGTTGACTTCAACAACGCTCTCTGGCAGGACTCCGGGCCGCGCCATGGATAAATCAAAGATGGCAGGACGGGACTGGTCACCAATCTTGAGGAGATCGCGGAATCCTTTGGTCGTGAATAACACTGACCGGGCGCCTTTGCGTTCCAGGAGTGCATTGGTAGCCACGGTGGTACCCATTCGAAGGCAGCCGATACGGTCGAGTCTCAATGGCTGGCCACGGGGGTGCGGGTCTCCAACAAGCTCCAAGATTTGGCGAATGCCCTCAGTTGGGGCATCTTGATAGTGTGAGGGGTCAACCGAGAGGAGTTTCAATACAATGTCTGGTCGACCAGGCACGATGGCGTGTACATCGGTAAATGTCCCACCACGATCAATTGAAATTGTGATTTTCCCGGAGGTCATTATGCTCGTAACAGATGTGGATAGTAATACAACTACTTTGGACTAAGGACGGTTGCAATAGTCATTATATGCCTTCAGCGGGATTTCGTTGCCGACACGTGCCCAGGTGCGATCATCGGGCCGATGCCGATAGCGAAGTGGGGAACCCTTGATAACATACCTAAGCATCAACCTACTTCTCGAGGTCACAGATAAGGCATTATTGTAATGAAATTTTGCATTTTATTACATCAGTCCAGGAGGATAAGGCTATCGAAAGAAAAAAATAATCGATTTTATTTACATTCCTATCGTCTCAGGGTATTCTCGATCCAATTCGTATCCATATCAATATTGATTCTGTCTATGGCACCTTCCCAGAGCGCAGAATCATCGCCAAGATCAAACTGAAAGGAAATGTCCTGAAGTGAAGGCAGGTCATGTGGATGCAGCCAGGCCTCTGCCGGGACGGAAGCATTGGCTTCCTGTGGATCCGGGCTCGGGAGGGAGTTCCTGGGTGTATCTGAGTCATTCACAGATAGTCCGATATTATTAGTGACACTTGTAGAGGGTTTAGGCTCTAGAGCTGCTCGCAACTCCAGGAGCAAGGAGTGGCGAGAGGATAAATATGTATTTCCTCGATCTGCCATACTGCGAAGTAGACTGAGGGCAGTCTCCATTGTGCGGGCATTGCCTTCATTGAGTGGGAATGCAGCATTCACCATGATGAGCAAAAGGGCGGCAGAGAAGATGTATTCACCATCGAGATAGCCGTATGTAGCTGTAGGCTAGTAAGTCATCATGATCATAAAGTCCGACAAGGGTGTCACGATGGTCAGTTTTCATACCGATCAGATTTTGTTTCGCAGCTGCATCCATAATCAACGTCGTGGCTCTGGCGGCTTTGATGCAGTTGTCAATCACCGCAATCGTGTTTGGCGTCAGCCCTTCCTTCCAGTCCTCGGTGCCTCCAAGCAATCCGGCATCAATCCGGCGTTGAATGATGTAGAATACAAGCGGACGTGCCGTCATATTGATACAGGAGTAAAAGTGCAAATTAATAGATACTATCTCCCGATCGACGTGGGTATCCAAGGTAGTGAAGTCAATATGGAGACGATCTGGCGCCTGTCGGAGCCAGCTTGAGAGATCGTTGGTGATGCTTTGCACGGACATTATAAGACTGGAGCCGGATCGGGGCTTTTTTCGATATATCTCTGTAACATGTGTCAGGATAAGGCAGTTAACAGACGCGAAGGATCTTACCTTCGCCAATCCGCCCTAGGATACGAGAGAGTTGTGTGTAATGTGTCAGCACGATTGATGGCCATGGATCGGAGGTACCGTCCTGACAAAACGCTTAGTACTATTCAGGTAAAAGTAGAAATTACATGAGAAAAGGCACGTAAATATCACATACCAAGGTCGGCCACGTAATATCGATATCCTCGTCTTGAATGGTAATCGGGTTCCCGGACTTGACCGACAGTAACCTGTCCAGGCTGTAGACCGACCACCAAGCCCGCCTTCGCCGATTGCGATCGGCCTCGCTGATATCCTCGTGAGGCATTTCTTGGTGAAGCCCAAGGGAAATAGACATACGTAAGGCAAGACCAATCTGGTATGTTTAGTCCTGGTTGCATGTGGATGGCAGAGTACTCACATAGAGAAACGCGGCATCTCTTCTGTTTAAATTCTGCAGATAATAAGCAATATAACATAGGACTTCGACGTGTAAGATTGATGGGTCTTCGTGGATATCTGGTAGAAATCGCAAAGCATTTTTGAAGTAGGCGAAACCCGGTGGTCCATCGTCGCCGGACCATTGGTTGATCGAATAGAGTAAACCGAAGGCAATGACAAGCAACGTTTGACAGTATACCAGACATGATTCCCGGTGGGAGAAATCAGGCGGTTTGTGGTAGACAAAGTCAAGCCTTTCGTCGAATTCAGAGGGCTTTAAAAGTGAAAAGATGGTGCCAATGTAGCTATAGTGCACCCAGAAGAGTCGTTTGGCAAATTCAAACGGGGGCAACGGTGGCAACGCACTTTCGATTGGTCGCCGGAGGGACGAGGGCTCGTATAGTGGATGCGTATCCCACAAATTCGTTGAGGTTGGGTTGAGAAGACGCTTTGCCAAATGCGTGCTCGAAGATGCGCCCACAAAGTCTAGATGATGCGTTAGGGGTGGCTCATTTCGGAATGATCAGTACATACGATGTTCACCTGACTTTTCCAGGAAGAGATCTGTTCCTTTATACCACCAGTCATCCCGTTCCAAAGTTTGATCGCTTTCTGGGACACTTTGTGGCATGCTCGGGGCTGACTGTCTGTTTAAATCACGGGAAATTCGGGCTTGCGCCTGTAGATGTCGGTAGTAGCTGCAGAAAATTAGCCTAAATCCCGTATGAGAATAATCAGACACCAATCACCTTTCTGTAATTGATACACGTTTCTCAGCCTCCGAGTAAACACAAGGCTCACCTACATCTACGCATGCTGCGCACGGCTCAGGTGGATGTCCAGCACATTTAGTTTTGCGGTTACGACAGCGATTGCACGCCACCATCGACCGTCTGGACGATGGATCCGGCCGTGACATTTTCCTGCCATGAACCATTTCCGTGAGTCTCAGAGCCTCAGAGCGAAGCACATGGCGGCGGGGCTTCTCCGGAGCCATCGGGCCGAAGCATTGGGATACTGCTTAGCTAATGCGCACCAATCAGTGGAAGCCCGACAAGATGCGACTGTACATAGTGAAGATGTGAAAGAGTACCTGGGAATGTACTCGATGACCTGATTATCCCGAGTTTCGAATCCTACGTCCTGCTTTGTATCCTGGACCTATATTGAGACGTCCCACTCGTGTTTCCGGTGTTCAATTATAGATGTCTCTTTGTTCTCGGTCTTTGTCATTGATAACCAGTCTTTGACATTTTTATAATGTCATTGATGTTGACAATGACTCCCAATTTTGTACCCTGGATCCCTTGTGGTGTTCATCCTTTGTCCTATTCAAAGCACAATGTTTTTCGAGGCTCGGCTTATCGGACTATATAGTACCTGGGTCGACGACCTGGTCTTTGGTCGAGATACCAAGATCATCATCAAATCCCGAGGGCCTTTGCACAATGACCGCGCCTACCTGGAAGTATGGCGAGCGCCAGAAGGCAGGATGATTGCTCCAGCATTGGTTGAGTGACCGCCGATCCAAAGACTGCAAAGTCTCCCGATCAGAACTAACGTCTCGGGACCTCGAGTCTCAGGGCTATACTATCAGCTATACCGGCAAGACCCTGGACATAAAGTATAAGGAACCGTTGTCCCAGGTGGGGTTTCTGGCAGAAGGTGGAGGATTTCACCATATTGATATCAAGGCACCCTTTGCGACTGGTAAGTTCAGATGGGAAGGCTACATTTCACAAGAAATCATAATCCTGGAAGATATTCTTCGGGAAGTCATCCACATATCTCAAAGATTACTCAGGCTGTGTATAAACAGAGATATGATATCGAAAAGATCATATCTATTATCGTTTCTGACATCATCAACCGTGACACGGTTCAATTTGTTTCGCAGCTGTACAATGAGGACCTGAACGGCGAGCCCTATTTCTATGAGGACTATCCCGGTGTGCGGACTTGGGAGTATGATGGAGATGAATATCAAGTTTTGCTAGGCACGCAGATTGGGAAAATCGCCGCATCTTTCGTTCTGGGGGCATTCACCAGGGGCATTCACCGAATTTGCCGAGTTGTTACTTGGATCAATGACAGCCTTATTTGCATGCGATTTGATATTGAGGCTGTGGGCTAACATGTTTGACAGGTCAAACATTTAGTGTCGAGGGCGTTTTTTTGGTTTTAGATATAGATATGGCTGACAAATAGAGTGGATAGATGAAGCTGGGCACATGCGTGAGCAAAGTTTGGATTCCGAGGTGAAGATACTTCGATATGCAAGGAGTTGATGCACATCCACAACCTTGAAATCATAATTTAACGACCTCAACAGGCTAGGGTAGAGAATCAAGGAACTTTCTAGGCTATGAGATAGTGTTTACGGCCACGGTGTAGACCTCGTGCGATAACGTACCTTCTCACTAGTAATTCTGGAGAGTTGCCATGATCGACATGCAGGTTGTAGCTAGGACCTACGAATCATGTAGCTACCTAGCCATCTAGGGATAGACATGCATATATACGACGTTAGAGGTTCGACATTGAAGACCAGAGACGCTGCAGTATGCCTAAGTGCTTAACGAAAGTTGGAAGTCTTGGTTCTGAGAACGTGCAAAAAGGATACCTGTATCGAATCCATCCGAGGTCCCGACTGCGGGGCACCGGTCCTTGGGAAACATAATCGAGCATAGCTCAATAAACGCACTTTATATAGTGACAGGTGACCATGGAGAAATTGACCATGTCCCAGACACGTGAAACAAAGCTAGGAAGGATTGAAGTCGTTAGGCTCTCACCGAAAGAGTTCGGGAATTCCCTAACAAGTGTTGCCTAGGGAATCCCCACGACTTGGCAAAATAAAGGAGATTTCCTTGGAAATGTGGGGCCCCCCCCCCCCCTGGCAGTCGCTGACCGTCATTAGGCGACACTTTATACGCCACTGGCGTGTGTGCGCGTGTCTTTTGCTTGGCATTGCATGCGATCCGCTCAAGGTGATGCTTAACATTTGGAGGGGAGTTGGAAAGCAATGGTTCAAGAGCGTTCAGGCGTTGAAGAGCTCAAGAGTTCAAGACCCTGGACGAATTTCCTAAAAAAAGGGATGGGAGATCGGAGCCTACATTACTATGGGTCCAGCATTGGCCTCTTGGCCTATGATTGCGTGTTGCGTCGATGGGATGTCGGTGGAGCCCATCCTGGACGAGTGAAGACGTGGAATCACCACTTAAAGAACCAACCTTCAATTCCCATCCGCGGTACCAGAGTGTATTCTTGGATCCAACGTGCGGATGAGCCCATGGCGACCCATGAAGATGGTGGCGGGCAAGGGGAAAAGAGAGGGTGTTTCGGATGGGTAGTGGGGACCGGGGGCCTTGATCCTATTAGAAAGAAGGCTCTCCACTAAAGTCATTCTGCGCCTCGAATCAAATTTGATCAACCAAAAATATCTTTTTTTATCCCAGGCTATGCCATCAGCCTTCCAGAACCTATTGGTTTGGATCGTCCTCGATCGTGCATCTTTTTTGATCTCCTAACCACTCAACCGTTTCTTCTTCTTTTTTTCCCCTTCTACATACTTCTTCGCAGCCCAGGAACGATCGCCCGGACGATCTTCATCAGGCGACGGTATTCCACTCCCTGGATGGTCTAGCGCTACGTGGTTTTTCTTTCCTCCCTAAACTTTGAACGTGCGACCCTTTGATCCGACCTCCCAATTCACAATTCGGGAGCATGTCACACCTTCCGACTTCCCCAAGGGGGTCCCCCAATCATTCGCCGCACTCTCCACAGCAAAGCGAGAGCAGCCTGTATTCGCATAACCTCGGTCACGATGCGAGTGCAACCGATCAGTACGGGGTTCAGCATGGCTACGGCTATGAAGAAAAGAATGAACAAGCAGAGAGCCAGCAATCCCTTCTGTACCGCAACCAACCGAGTCCCTTCAATGCGCCCTTTGACGACCCGTATGCCTCCTCCGACTCTCTGCGACGCTACACCCTCCATGACGGTCCCGGCGTGACGGTCTTTCCCGACAGTTCCTACCAGGAAGGAGGCTCAACAACTGGCCTGAACCGCCGCTCAGGGATTCAATCCCCCATGTCTGCCACCTCCGAGACCCCCTCGGAAGCCTGGCAACAACGGCAGGCCCCTGGCTCGGGTCTCCGGCGTTACGCTACCCGAAAGATCAAACTTGTGCAGGGCTCCGTGCTGAGCGTGGACTACCCCGTGCCGAGTGCGATTCAAAATGCGATTCAGAAAGAGTACCGGGAGTCTGAAGAGGGATTCCCCGAAGAGTTCTCGCATCTGCGATGTAAGTAAGAACCCCTATTTGCTTCGACGAAGCTAATTGAGGTAGACACGGCTGCAACGTGTGATCCTGACGAGTTCACTCTGCGAAATGGATACAATCTTCGACCCGCCATGTACAACCGACACACGGAATTGCTCATAGCCATCACCTACTACAACGAAGATAAGGTTCTAACGGCGCGCACCCTGCATGGTGTCATGCAGAATATCCGTGACATTGTCACGCTGAAGAAGTCGGAATTCTGGAACAAGGGTGGCCCGGCCTGGCAGAAGATCGTCGTGACACTGGTATTCGACGGTATCGATCCTTGCGACAAAAACACCCTGGATTTACTGGCCACAGTTGGTATCTACCAGGATGGCATCATGAAGCGATCCGTTGACGGACGTGAAACAGTTGCCCATATTGTGAGTCCGACCGATCGTGTGAAGCCAGGCGCAGCACTAATTCTTGTAGTTTGAATATACCACTCAGCTCTCCGTCACCTCGAGCCAGCAATTGATCCGTCCCCAAGGCAACGAATCCACCAACCTCCCTCCGGTTCAAATGATTTTCTGCTTGAAGCAAAAGAACAGCAAAAAAATTAACTCTCACCGTTGGCTGTTTAACGGCTTTAGTCGTATCCTTAACCCCGAGGTAGTGATTCTTTTGGACGCTGGTACTAAGCCTGGCAAAAAGTCACTTCTAGCTCTATGGGAATCGTTCTATAATGACAAAAATCTGGGTGGATCATGTGGTGAGATTCACGCCATGTTGGGTAAAGGCTGGAGGAACTTGTTGAATCCTTTGGTCGCGGCACAGAATTTCGAGTACAAGATCTCCAATATTCTGGATAAACCGCTGGAGAGTTCCTTTGGATACGTCTCTGTGCTGCCAGGTGCCTTCTCGGCTTACCGTTATCGTGCTATTATGGGTCGTCCTCTTGAGCAGTACTTCCATGGTGACCACACTCTTTCAAAGCAGCTTGGTAAGAAGGGTATTGAGGGCATGAATATCTTCAAGAAAAACATGTTCCTTGCTGAGGATCGTATCCTCTGTTTTGAACTCGTTGCCAAGGCTGGTTTCAAGTGGCACTTGACCTATGTCAAGGCTTCCAAGGGTGAGACTGATGTGCCGGAGGGTACTGCCGAATTCATCAGTCAGCGTCGTCGTTGGTTGAACGGCTCGTTCGCTGCCAGTCTTTATGCGCTCATGCATTTCAGTCGGATGTACCAGAGTGGACATAACATCATTCGTCTGTTCTTCCTGCACATCCAAATGATCTACAACTTTGTTGGTCTCGTCATGACTTGGTTCTCTCTCGGTAAGGCACCTCTTATGTTCTATTTGAGCGCCATTAACAATCCACAACAGCTTCGTTCTGGTTGACTACCTCCGTTATTATGGATCTTGTCGGTACTCCCAGTGAGGGAAACAAGTACAAGGGATGGCCCTTTGGTAACGAGGCCTCGCCCATTGTCAACAACTTCTTGAAATATGGATATGTTTTCTTCTTGATGCTCCAGTTTATTCTGGCGCTCGGTAATCGGCCTAAAGGGTAAGAGTCCCGAGTTTTATCGTATGGACGTACAGTGCTAACCTTAATAGTTCTACCCTCTTCTACACCCTCTCCTTCATGTACTTCTCCCTTGTCCAGGCGTATACCATGGTCAGCTCATTCTACCTGGTTGCGAATGCCTTCATGGGCGGTACTATGGATTTCGATATGAGCCAAGGCGTTGGTCACTTCCTTTCGACCTTCTTCAGTTCTTCCGGTGCCGGTATTGTCCTGATTGCCTTGGTGTCAACCTATGGTGTTTACTTCCTTGCCAGTTTCTTGTACATGGACCCTTGGCACATGTTCACCTCTTCGTGGGCCTACTTCATGGGCATGACTTGCTCGATCAACATTCTCATGGTTTACGCCTTCTGTAACTGGCACGACGTTTCTTGGGGTACCAAGGGATCCGACAAGAGCGAGGCATTACCCGAGGCGCAAACTAAAAAGGAGAAAGAAGATGACAAGTCCAACTTCATTGAAGAAGTGGACAAACCCCAGGCCGATATCGACAGTCAATTCGAATCCACTGTGAAGCGTGCGCTGGCGCCGTACGTCATGCCGGAAGAGGAGAACGAAAAGAGTATGGATGACTCGTACAAGGCTTTCCGAACCAACCTCGTCTTGTTGTGGATCTTCAGCAACTTGATCGTTGTGCTTCTCATCACGGCGACCGGTGTCAAGCGGTTCTGTCTGACGAACACCTCGACGGTGCGAACGGCGAACTACTTCTCCGTCATCCTGTGGATTACGGCGGCCTTGTCGCTCTTCCGTTTCCTTGGAGCGCTTTGGTTCCTGGGCAAGTCGGGTATTCTGTGCTGTGTCTCGCGTCGTTAAGGTCGCAAATCTTCGTTATTGTATATACCACCGTGGCTTGTACTGATAATGAGGTATTGAGGTGGAGGGGTGCTATAGAAGCTTGGATAGAGGTGGTATTTGGCATTTTTGGCATTTTGGCATTCGACATTTTGGTCTTTTTTCGACATTGTCTTCGGGGACGACATCTTTTGGCGGGCTGGATCATGGCCGATCCATGTATGATTCCCTTGGGGCAATGATCAGCAATTTGTATTGGTCTCGCGATTTGGTTACTATTTCCTAAATTTATTCCACTTCCCCACATGAACAGTTACGCAGGTCGGTGGAGACTAGTAGATCCATGGTGATTAGCCCGCAAAAAGTGGTTCTATCTGGAAACCAGTTTTCGTTTCCCGCTTGTTATCTCTCAAACTTCCACTTCCGAATATGTTCATTCGCATTGTGCCTGAGCGTTGCAACGGGACAATACCACAAAAGGTCGGAGGACAGAAATCCGACTTCGCCCGGCGACCAATGAACTCTGAGCGGGCGCTGGAAGATCCGCATTCTCTACACTGCATTGGGCAATGGGATCTGGACCAGGGGGGAAGTGTACCGTGTGATGCACTGCCCACTTAGCATCCCCGACTCTATCTGCACATCGTCGTCATTCGTCCGTTCCCCGCAGTGACCCATAGGCCCCTGTCCTATGTATCGGGTTACTTACCTTGCGGATCAGTCAAGCACACCTTCTCTCGACGACCCACTGTCTCCCAATATGACGAAACTGGAATCTAGATCATGCCGTCATCCACCTAACCGGTTCTACTTGAGGCATTTCCCGCAACGGGAGAACGGAAAGCTATATAAGAGCCCCCATTGACCACGGCTCGCCCCGATCAATTCATTGTTGATTCCAGAGTTATTTCCCCTTGGACTGTAACTCGACCTGACCCACCGCCCCGGCTTCCGAACCCACTCCCCCACATTATGTCGCAGTACATTCCCCAGCTTTCCGCCGAGTCACTTTCAGAGAAGATCGTGCTCATTACTGGTATGTGTCACTTTCCCCCCAATCAATCAATCACAATCTAACTTGCACAGGTGGTGCGAACGGGATCGGCGCAAGTCTCGTATTCCAATGTTTGGAAAGTGGTGCCAATGTCTGCTTTGGTGACCTGGACAACATTGAAGGCGAGCGTGTCCTGAGAAAGGCCCTTGCGCAATTCCCCACCAAGGAACCAGGCCAGCCCCCGCGTGCCGTCTTCCAGTCGACCGATGTCACCGACTACCAATCATTGCTCAGCCTTTTTGACTTGGCCTTCAACACCTACAAACACATTGATCATGTCGCCTCCGCGGCAGGTATCGTAGAGATCGGCAACTGGTTCGATTTTGGATTGACTTTGCAGACAGTCCGCCAGGTAAGTGCGGCGGACCCAGGCCCGAAAACCCATTCTTGATTAGCAAACCTCAGAATTAACAAGGATCAAAGGCCCCCACCCACAAAGTGCTGGACGTCAACTTGATCGGATCCATGTATGTGGCCCGTATTGCCTCGGTCTACTTGCGCCATAACCGTGGCGCCGGCGCCGATCGATCTATTCTCCTCTTTTCATGCTCTTCCGGTTTCAAGCAGAGCCCCTCCCTCTTCGTCTACCAAGCATCCAAGCATGGCGTCATTGGCCTTATGCGCTCACTCCGCAGCTATATTTCATCCCCATACAAGCACAACATTCGGATCAACACCATCTGCCCATGGATGACCGAAACCGAGAGCATTAAGAAGATCGAGCACCAATGGAAGGAAGCGAGCCTCCCGACTAATACCCCACGTGACGTCTCCAAGGTTGCCGCAGGTATGCTCACGGATTCATCTCTCAATGGCCAATCCATGTTCGTCGAAGGTGGACGTGCCTGGGAAATCGAGCAGAACATCGAGCGACTGGAGGCTCAGTGGCTGGGTGTAGAGCCATCCAAGGCTCTGGCTGCTGGACAAGAACTGCTCGACGATGGTTCTGTTTGGACGGCTGCTCCTCGCAAGCGGAGTAGCATCTCCGTTGATGGTATCCCTCCAGGTGTTCCTCTGGCCAAGATCAACGCCATCAATGCCCATAGGAAGAGCCTCTCAAATGGGTTCACCAACGGACATACCAACGGCATTGCGAATGGCATTGCCAATGGCGTGCATTAAACTCCCTCACACTTTTGAGTTCCCATGATATCCATATTTAATTCCCTTCTTTTGTTGACTTTGGAGCTCTGGAAGTCCCGTCAATATTGGTGTGTATGATCAAGACATCGCAGAGGATCATCACTGCCTATTTTGTTATAAATTGCATCTTCAATGGACGTTTAGATTTAATACCTAGGTATACAATTATGCTCCATTATCTTTGCTTCCTATATACGAAATTGATGGGGTAGGCCCGAAGACTGATTTGGGGAAATACTTTTGACTAGATAGTGTAATTACCAACATTATATAATAGTCTATATGCAACCTTGCCCAAAGAAACTCCTGACATGCAAAATGATGCTTCAGAACATAGTTCTCATGAAGCCAAACGCCAATGAAGACAGCAAATAAGAATGAAATAATAAAAGAAGGAAAATTATTTGAATGATTCACGAGTGTGAATGCGGTCGATATTATAGGGGTTGGCTTCGTAAGTTGCAACCCTCTGAATCTCCGTCGACAACCGAGCCAGAGAGTGGACGTCGGCATTGCCCTCCTTTTGCACAGCAGATTGAACGGTATCGTCAGCTTCAGAAATGGTTGGAACGCGAGTCACGGATTCCTCCGTCTCAGCAGTTCCCTCAGCCTGTGCCATGGTTTTGATGATGTTCTGGACAAAGGCCTCTGACTGCGCGGAGTATTTGCAGTGTTTTCGGATGGATAGACCCTTCTTGTAAAGAATGAATGGGAAGGGCACGCACGCCAATGCCAGGAAGGCCGGAACACATGAAGCCCAGTGAATGCCGAGGTTCTCGAACATATAGGTAGTGAAGAGGGGGAAAGCAAAACCAAACAGAGACCGTAGAAGAGAGTTGGCAGCAAGGACCGAAGCAGCAAAGATCGTGTAAGCGTCGATCAAGTAGTTGAAGACACACAAAAAGACGAGAACCATGCCGAAGCCGAATGGCACACCTGCGGCGATACTGGCCATCCAGTGGACCGAGGGGGAGTTGGTCCAAGCGAACCAGAAGAGACCGATGGGAAGGGCGATCGAGGCGACCATACACGGGGGAAGGCGAGCCTCGGGCGGCGCGTAGCCCCCGTTCTTGCTAAGGAGACGTCCGTAGCGATTGTTTTCAGGAATCGAGTAAGCAATCGCACCCAGCATACCCACCATGACTCCAAGGAAGGCCAGACTGGAGACACCCTGGTTCCATCCTCGGTGAATCTCGTAGACGATCGGGTATGCGCCGAAAAGCATATAGAGGGTTCCGTAGATGATGGCGAGGTAGATGGAAAGAATGAGGACGATAGGTTCCTTGAACAGCAGGATGAAAGGACGGGACAGAGAGATTTTAAGCGAATCCTTCAGGTTTGGCCGCCCTTGGTCGATGTCAAGCTTACTGACATACACTTTGCCAGTCAGTTTTGAGAGGGTGACAGCACGTTGGCGAAGCAGGACTGGGGCGTATGTCTCCGGCTTGAGGGCAGCGCCCAGGAACCACATCACGCCACACAGAATGGTCAGTAGACCCATGACCCATTTCCACCCAGCCTTCATACCCAGGAAGCCACCAATGATTGGGCCGATCACCGGGCCGAGGAAAGGAGCCAATGCAAAGGCAGATAGGGCCAAGCCTCGCTCACGAGCAGCAAACATGTCTGCGATCACGCCACCAGAGTTGGTGAATGGAGATGAGCCAAATGCACCGGCGAGGAAGCGAAACACAATAAGAGACTGAATGTTCTTTGCGCCAGTGGTTGCAGCACAGAAGATGGTCAGACCACAGTAGGTGCTGATGAAGACCGCCTGGCGACCAAACATCTCACTCATCGGGGCCCAGAGCAAAGGACCCAACGCAAATCCAAGCACATAGAGAGACACTCCCAATGTTGCGATCTCGGTAGTGGTAATGAACTGTTCCTCAATCTGCACGATTCCTCCGGTATAGGCAGAAGAGACGAGAGCCACGACCAGGGTCTCCATAGCGGCGACCATAGTGATGGACCATTTCATTAGCGTGCTGAGTTGAAGCGGGTTCCGAAAGTCCTTGGGCATCCAGTTGACAACATATGGATCCTCATCCGTTCCAGATCCTTCATAGAAGTGGTCTACTACCTCTTGGGTAACCACGCCAGGCTCGGTCACTAGCCGCCAGAAAGGGACCGAGTTAGGCAGGTTCAATGAGGCCTTGCCCTCCACCGGAGGTGCCTCTGTCGCCATGATGCAGTTGAGCAATGACCAGAAGTGGGTTCGCGCGTTGGATGTTACGTTAAATGGTGATCAGCGCTCACGTCGAGATTGGATGAAAATCCGATTCGAGAAATAAAGTTACAAAGGAGAAAAAGGAAAAACACGAAGACTAATAGGACCTGATTTGAGCCGAGGCAAATCGTCCGTTCTTTTGGAGCCTCTCTACAGATTACTCAACAGAAAGATTTAGCCCGGAGAACTTACTTCTTTTGGGCCAGTGATATTTTCAGAGTGGAGCCTTGACAGGGGACGGCGTCCAGCTCGTTGGCTATGATGCTAGAGCGGATCCCAGGACTGACCAGTTAGAACTGCCGATTGGTCACTCGATAGGAATTGTAGATTGAACGCGCCAACATCGGGGATTCCGACACATCAATCGGGCCAGTAATCGGGCCGATACCCTCTCGGCCTGGTTTTTTATTCGAGTTGGTCCACTTGCCTCGGCTGGAATTTTTCTTCCTATGTTTCTAGAACAACGCTGGAAGACACTGAATCATATATCCTCGGTTAAATTGAACGTTTCAGCCAAGGTCCACTATCAAGGAATCAGAACTCATCTTGACGGGATTCCCCCACTTGGCATGCGACCGGCGTCGGGATTTCAATCACACCACGTTTTTCTATTTTGGTTTGCATAAGCGCATATCTACTCCATCGTGCATTATATTCCATAACTTTATTGTCTTATACCTGAGGGTAGATCTATGTTGAAGCGAAGATCCTTGACTGGACCGGATATTCGCACAGCCGATAGCGCTAGTAAGATTACATGCAAGCCACCCAGGTGCACTGTCGGGTGTGATAGGGGTGCATTGGCTCTATGCACTATACATCAGGCGCCAACATTCGCTTTCCAAGCTCATTCAGAAGCCATCTGACACCCTCAACCCGACCGTAAGACCAAATCCCCACCAATCGGATGATTGTTCTCAAGACGAGTCTTCAAATCGATGATACATTTGTATATGCAGACAAAGCTCGTTCAGTTCATTCTATATGCTATCATAGATTCATCTTTAATCTCTTACAGGCTCTTCTCAATAGCCGCCACCTCTGCCATGACAGACGTCACCGACTTCTTGACAGCCTCTCCCACCGGCTCATAAGGGTGACGGGGGAGAAGCTTGGCCTCAGCGTCTGCGATGCCTGCCGCTACAGCAGAATAACAAGAAACCGCGTACTTGGTGGATGCGATACCACTCTTAATAGGACTTTCGGCTAGAGCCGCTTGTCTTTGAAGCTTAGTAGCCTCCTCCAGTTGACCCTTCTGATACAGCGCATAAATCCGGGACGCAGTCTTGGGGAACACATTGGCAAATGCGGCAATGCAACCAACGCTACCAGCAGCAAGTCCACCGATCAGGAAGTCAGATTGACCACCGAATGTCGCAAATTCTTCTGTGGAAAAGGTCCCGGCCAGCCGTGTAATCTTTCCAACTGATCCACAGGTGAGCTTCACACCCACCACATTCGATCGACCTCCATTCGCGGCGGCCGATTCGCGCACGACCGCTGTGATGGTCTCCGAATCCATATCCACCCCGTTGCACACACCAGGGAAATTGTACATGACCACGGGGAGAGGCGCCTTCGAGGCGACCTCGGAGAAGAATCGCTTGACCACGTTCATGTTGGTGGCCTTGCCAAAGTATGCCGGGGGAAGTACCAGGAGGTAGTTGGCGCCCGCGGTCGCCGCATCCTGGGCCAGCTCCAAGACTTGCTTTGTGGAGTGGGCTCCAACGCCCACCATCAAGGGGAAATCGGGTCCGACCGAGGCGCGTGCAGTAGAAACCAGCTGGGATCGCTCTTCGCGGGTAAGAAGGAATGCTTCGGAGTTCGTGCCGAGGATGACAAGACCGGCCAATCCAGTGCGCGACAGGTAGGCGAAGTACTTCGACTGTGCGGCCAAGTCCAGGGAGTCTGTCTCATGGTCAAAGAACGTAACTGCAGGGCACCAGACGCCTCCAGATGGTACGGGCTTCGTTGAGATCGCCATATTGAAAGAGGCTTTGCATACAAGTGCAGGCAGAGACGGGAACGGAGTGGGAGGTTGAAGCAGGGTTGGATGGTTGAAGAATGTTGGAGAGAAACCTTGGAAGAGCGCAAGCTATGACTTATTATTCAAGTCCCAGTTCAAGTTCCCCGCGCTAGATAGAGGGGTCATTACAATCACTGTGTAGTTCATTTCGGAGCGATGAGCCGACTATCTGGGTGGGGGGTTGTCGGATATACCACCCGACAGCTTAACCCAAACATCACCATCTCCAACGGCAACAAATGTACGGGCGAGCTCCCGCTATCGGGCTTTAATGCCGAGTTTCCTCGCGACGCGTTCCGTTTGCCCCTCATGGTACCGCACTTAATATATTAGCAGAATAGAACATAATTACTTCTATGATTGCTTCTTACAGCATCACGATATGGCTACCCGGGCAACATATAGCACCGGCTCCTGGTTCAACCGCGCCAAGTTCATCGCGCCTGACGCGATATTCGCGTTGACAGAACAATACCTAGCAGACCCGTTTCCACAAAAGGTTAACCTTGGACAAGGAACCTATCGTGACGAGAATGGCAAGCCATGGGTTCTTCCGTCTGTGAAGAAAGCTCGTGAAAGTCTCGCCCGGGGCTTACAACATGAATATCTTCCAATCCTAGGGCTACGAAGCTTCCGAGAAGAAACCGCCAGGCTCGTGTTAGGCGCGGAGCTCTTCAAGGAACAAGAGAGTAAAGTGCGAACCGGCAATCATTCGAGTGATTATATATACAGTATGTACTGACCAATGATGATAGATTGCAACTTGTCAGAGTCTCTCTGGCACCGGTGCCTTGCATTTGGCTGGATTGCTGCTGCGAGCTTGTCATACGACATTACCCAAGGTTTACATTCCTGAGCCTACCTGGTCCAACCACCACCAGGTCTTTCAGTCACTAGGCTTTCCTTGTGAGAGCTTCGAGTACTATGACCATGATACGAAGACCTTGGATATCGAGGCATACTACTCAATGTTGCGTCAAGCGGAGCCGAACTCGGTGGTCATTCTCCACGCGTGCGCCCATAACCCGACGGGCTGTGACCCGAGTAAGGAGCAGTGGCGCGAGATCGCACGACTGATGAAAGCCCAACAGCTGTTCCCACTCTTTGATTCTGCCTACCTGGGTTTCAACTCGGGCAATTTCGACGAGGACGCATTCGCGATTCGGCTATTCCTAGGTGAAATGCAGATGGAAGCGGGTGTATGTGTGTCCTTTGCAAAGAATATGGGTCTGTATGGTGAGTCAATCTAAGACAAGCAGTCACTGGTGAGCAATCTAACGTGGCTACAGGGGAGCGAGTGGGCAGCCTCTTAGTGAGCACAAATGACAAGCAGGTCGCGATGAACACGCAGTCTATGCTGGAAATGCTGCAGCGATCGGAAGTTTCAAACCCTCCAGCCTTTGGTGCGAAGATTGCTAGCCAAGTCCTGGCAAATGACGAATTGAGACAGATGTGGTTTCAAGATTTGATGACCATGAGTGGTCGGATTCGCTCGATGAGAGCAGCCTTGTATGAGAATTTGATTTCTTTCGGTAGGTCTTCGCATCACTGTTTGCGGTCGGTTATTCACGTATGCAGGGGCACCTGGGTCGTGGGACCATTTGATTCGACAGTCCGGGATGTTTGGATTTCTCGGTTTGTCTCGTGAGGTAGTTTTGAAGTTGCGAGGTGAGTGCCAGTGTGGGTTGCATGGATTGGATGCTAAATCGGGCCAGAAAAACACCACGTCTATGTCGCCGACAACTCCCGAATCTCCATTGCTGGGTTGAACTCTGGCAATGTGGAGTATGTCGCACGATCGATAACTCAATGTCTGAAGGATTTGGAGTAGTTCCACTGTGGGACTGATAGGAGGCGTTGTTATCAGATAAGCCCCTGATTCTGCGATGATAACTTGATAAGCAATATTTTAGAGAATGAGAAACGTCATGAACAGTTATGGGAGATGCGATGTCAGCATAAACCATCATGTGACTGCAAGTCACTAGTCAACTATGTATAGGCCAAAAATGACTCACACTAGCTCGAAATGTTTAGATGACTAGGATCCCATCTAATCCGTATCATACCTCGCTCCATTTGGGGCAGCTTAACATCAAAGCGAAAGTAACTCTCACCGCAAATCTCAATTTGCGGTCATGGCGGCCCCGCAGATATTTGTCGACGTACATACTGCCCGTATATGTGAGGAGGTCGAGCGAATGCATATCCGCAAACAAGCCGAAACATGCGCCCAGATCTATCCAGAGCAAAAAATGTCTATTTGGCAGCCTCCCAAGGGCGGAATTGGAATTCTGACCTTACCCATCTTGAAGGGAAAGCTTAATCGGGCCGTTGGATGTGGGAGTGACGGTCCAATCCAGGAAGATGATTTGAGAGAGCTTGAGTCGATCTTTGCTACTATTGGTCTGGGGTGTGAGATCCACCTCAGCCCTTTTGCATCGGCCCCGAAGGCATTGCTTTCTCGAGGATACACCGAGAGGGCAGTCCTCAGTACCTACTGGTATAATGTCAGGGAATGGGCTATGGCTATTCCGGACCGCTTCAGTGACATTGTGGTGCGGCTTGCAGAACCCTACGAAACGAAGCAATTCATCGAGGCATCCATCGCTGGCTTCCAAAGCACGGGTCGCTCCAGAGAATTGCTTGGGACTCTTGCAGAGCTGGCAGTTCGAAGGAAGGATATGTTGTTTTTTGCTGAAGTGGACGGCCAGGTTGCAGGCACCGCTGCGATGGCGACCATAGATACCCCAGATGGTAGAGTTGCCCATTTTTATCTAGATAGTACCATTGAGAGCTTTCGTGGACAAGGCGTTCAACTGGCTTTGATTCAAGAGCGGCTTCGGACCTCCCACCAGCTTAAGTTGGAGATGGCAACTTCGATCACCCAAGCTGGGGGCGGCAGTGCACGTAACGCAGCGCGAGCTGGGTTCAGAGGGGCTTACATAACCCCGATCTTTGTTGGACCTCGAGCATCCTAATGGGGATCAAACAACACGATGCTGAGGCTAGGTGGCACAGGCCTCTAGGCCCATGATGGTTAGAATTTAGAATTTAGAATTTAGAATTAGCAATGGTACCCCGAATCCCGCAATTACCCCAAATCTTGGTGTGCTCTAGAGCGACGCTACTCGGGGCGGTGCGAACGCTAGGCCCGATGGCGTTGGTGGCGTTGTCCCCAGACTTCCCAACCGCTTAATTTCCCCTCATTTCGGTCCCTGGTGCGCGATTTTGACGGGCGGAAGAAAGTCAGCCAAGAGAGGTGACAGTGACCGTCTTGCACAACCGGAACTATCCGGTGAAATGCAAGGAGAACAGGCATCCACGTGACGGAACTGGCGCAACGGGCGGCTTAGTCAGGTGAAAATTTCACTTCCATGAACCCTGCGGCGTAGATAGGGTGTGGCGTTTTTACACTCTTGGCCTAGAGTCTCACGAAATCTTGTTTCGAAAACCTCATATTCTTGTTCTGGACAGTCGCTTTTCACCGGTCAAATGCAGACCATGTCTTGCCCATGGTCCATTTCCCCGCAATGGTTGTAGAATCGTGGAGAAGATGGGCTCCATCCACTGCGTCCTTTTTTTTTCCTGGGGAAGCCAATGTTGCATTTCTTTTACCTAACAAGCCAAACCTTCTTATCGTCTAATCAGCCCGGGGCGTTTCGGGGCACAGGTTGAGTTACCTCGATTGGATGGTGGTGGGTCGATCCAAGCTGCAAACGGCATCTCGTTGGGCGGACGATCCAAGAGTGGAGCGCAGCGTCGCACTCCACGTTGTTGGAGGCAGATGGAAATTTCATTACTAAACGTAATTCCTGCCAGTGATAACGATTCCGTTTTCTTCTTATACCCGCCATCCTCGTCATCTTTGCCTCTCATCCCATTCCCCCCCCCCCCCTTCACCTCTGTCTCGTACCTCCCCATCATCATGGGCTACGAAGACGACTCTAACGGCCATGGCTCTGGAAAGTCTATGGAGAGTGAGAAGGCTTACGCTCCGCCAGCATTCGAGGGCACCATGCTGGGGGAAATGACTGATGCAGAGCGGGACGTCTACGATCACGGTATCAAGAAGTTCAGTCGCCTGGGCTGGAAGCGACTCACCGTGGTGCTCATCGTCGAGGCCATTGCCCTGGGTAGTCTGTCCATTCCTTCTACCTTCGCGAAGCTGGGTATGGTCGCGGGTGTGATTTGCTGCGTGGGTGTCGGCCTGATTGCCATCTACACCAGTTATATCGTCGGACAGGTCAAGTTGCTTTTCCCAGAGGTCGCCAACTACGCTGACGCGGGCCGCCTGATGGGTGGCCGATTTGGCGTTCGGTGGGGTCGGTTTGGCTATGAGATCATCAATTTCATGCTGGCTCTCCAGCTGATCTTCCTCACGGGCTCCCACTGCTTGACGGGTACCATTGCCTGGCAAAACATCACGAAATCCACCATCTGCTCAGTCATCTTCGCCGTGGTGTCTGCCATCATTCTCCTCCTCTTGGCCATTCCCCCCAGTTTCACCGAAATGGCCATTCTCGGTTACGTTGACTTTGCCTCCATCATTATTGCGATCGGCATTACCATCATTGGTACCGGAATCCAAGCTACAAACTCCACAGGTGGATTGGCCGCTGTGAACTGGTCTGCTTGGCCGAAAGAGGATCTGAAATTTGCCGAGGCCTTCATCGCCATTTCGAATATCGTCTTCGCGTACAGCTTCGCCATGTGCCAGTTCTCCTTTATGGATGAGATGCACACCCCGCGTGATTTCAAGAAGTCCATCTGGGCCCTCGGTATCACCGAGATTGTCGTCTACACTTTGACCGGTGCTCTGGTCTATGCCTTCGTTGGACAGGACGTCTCTTCTCCTGCCTTGACCTCTGCTGGAAATCTGCTTGGCCGTATCGCCTATGGAGTCGCCCTGCCCGTGATTTTCATCAGTGGATCGATCAACACCGTCGTCTGCGGTCGTTTGATCCACGGTCGCATTTTCGCCAACTCCCCCATTCGGTTTATCAACACCAAGATGGGTTGGATCACCTGGTTGACCACCATCACCGCCGCCACCGTTATCGCCTTCATCATCGCAGAGGTCATTCCTTTCTTCGATGATCTGCTGTCGATTTCATCCGCGCTGTTCATCTCCGGCTTCACCTTCTACTTCCCTGCAATGATGTGGTTTTTGCTCATCAAGAAGGGTAGCTGGCTTGACCGTGAAAACTTACTGTTGGCCATCGTCAATGGTGGAATCTTCCTGATTGGTATTCTGATCTTGGGTGCTGGAACCTACTCGAGTATCTATGATATTGTAAGCTTTCCGTCTGCTCTTTCGTGTGTCTGGATACTAATGAATTCGCTCAGATTAAAAACTACGACGACGGTAGCGTTCGGGGTGTCTTCACCTGTGGATCTCCGTCCACATAAGCGACATTTCACCTGATTGTTTATCTTCCTGGTTGGAGTATGCAGTGATTCTCGGGTATAGAATCCCTCACGGTGCAGGGCACGGTAGAGAGACTGCATTGCATTGATGATAGATGTCCAGTTCTGGTCGACCAGCTGGCTGTGTATATATAGCATTGAGACCTATTACATGTAATTGTTTTATCCACACTCTGAGCAATTTCAATCTTGGATTTAAGGGTGACTAAGAAGTAGAACATGCTGGCCCTATAGAATACAAACCAGAGGTCATGAACACCTGTGACTGATAATCGGCAGAGAGCAATCATCTAAAAGGACAAAGTCCTCTGCCGGTTCCGGAAGCACAACAACTGCCCAGGTGGTTGCACGGTCACTAGGCGCATCCTCTGCTGGTTTTATTAGCTTCTCATTATCTTCTGTCTTGGATTGTTTTCAGTCATTCTCTTCATGTGCGCTTTTAGCTCCTCTTGGCTTCATGGTCTTGAATCCGAATAATTTTCAGATCATTCTGCTTAGTCTGATCATTGCTAGCTCTGGACCGAGAAAACTCGATATATATAGTGAGATGAGGTGAGAGAAAAGGAAGAGAAATGGCAGAGTAAACGAATAGCTGTGATTTGGAGGTTTCCTTGGAGCTGGAAGGACTCACTTAGTCCACTTAGGTATAAACTGAGTGTAGTCTTTGAGGATCGCCTGGGATTGAGATCAAAGAGAAAAAAGAAAAGGAGATAGGAGCTATGAAAAGTCCCAAATAGATCGTATAGACAGAATAACATTGAATGTAGGCCAAGATGAATACGAGCAATGGAGGACAATGAGATCCCTCATTTCATCGTTCTGTACTGAAGTTTATGATAAGTACTGAAACTCCTCAAGATATACTAAATATTGACTATATTTACATTTTGAATGACTAATTGTAGTGTATAAAAGCATCAAGTGATAGGATTATATTTCTTTATGTAAATTACATTTTCAAGTGACAAAAACATGCCTACTGGGTGTAGACGCAACCGTTAGGGTTGGAAGTCGACTCGACTCGAGCAGCAATGCCAACGCAGTCCGAGTTTCCAGCAGGGTTGGCAACGCCAGCGTCGGCCCAGATAGACCAAGCGCCATCAATGCTGTTGGGGCAAGCAATCAAGTCGTTACCGTCGAATTGGAGGTGGCCATCCTTGGTTGCCCAGCCCTTGCGCTCGGCGTTCTTGGGTGCGGGCTGAGCACCTGTGGTATATCCGATCTTGCCCTGGCCTATATATTGATCAATGGTTAGTAGGGTTCAGACGGGGGAGGCGATGGAAGTCTTACCCATTCCTGAGCGATCAACGTAGACCTCCTGAGGAGTAGCGGACTGATCATAGAGATACAGGGCTCCGTCGTTCAGGTAGAAGGTAGCGTCTTGTTCTTTGGGGCGTGCGCAGCTGGCATCCTGGGACTTGAGACCGGCAAAGATACTGCTCTTGGCAGCATTGAAGCTGGAGTACTGTACGCCGGAGCCAGAGTGGATCGCGACGAGGCCGAAGGTGTTGTTGGACTTGGTGCTGGGGAGAGCAGAGGCAGTGGCTGCCAGAGAAGCAGCGAAGAGAACGTTCTTGATCTGCATGGTGATGATTGGGGCTGATGAAAGCGGGAGAGGATTTAGATAGAGTATGTGAGCTGATACAGTAGATGAGTGAAGAATTGTATTTGAGATCAGGGGAGCGGTGCCTCTTTTATATCTGGGGTCGGAACAATCGCCATTTGCTTTCACGGAAGAATCTTAAGACATCATCACTAGTCTTTGCCGTTATTGTCTTGGACTGTCATTTCATGTATCATCTGCATGGGAGCCTAGTACTCCACTATGAGAACTATTCTTAGGGGCATGGAGTTGTCTCCACTGATCTACCTACCGAGGTTGAGACGTTTTGGAATTGAGCTTCTTTTTACTGTTGTTTTGCGCCCAAGTCAACTCTGGCTATCCATAAATCGATTTGCATTTTACGTAGATCTATTTTTGGCCATCAAATCCTTCCTGAATATCTGTGAAGATACAGTGGCAAGGTCACAGGGCGGTGCTACCGGTAGAAATTCGGTGAATCCCGACGAGACCCTGAATGCCCCACATGTCTTTGGAGCCCACTGAAGGAGAGTCCTGTCCAATCATCGTGTGCAGGTATGTCAAGCCAAATATGCATGGAAACTGGTTTCACGGAGGTTTTGCTCGAAATGTAGAGCCAAGTGCTTCGGTTAATTTGAGCATCGGCTCGGCTCTCTGCAATGTTATCATAATGACAGGGTGTCTTAGAACCGGGCGGGACTCTGGGGTCTGAAGAGTATTTTGTTACTTTAACGTCTTTCAAGGTTGGTCGGTTGCTGCAGAGTCATCATTTGCCGGGAAGGAGAGCGAATTTAGCCGGCTTTAGAATCGCATGGCGGGAGTATTGAAGAAAGAAGTCGGCTCCGAAACTTCTAAGCTGAGAGGGTAGAAAGAGAGCTCTTTTGATAGCCTGAGGCTCAGGTAGTTCATTGCCTAAACTATTGAATGCAAAGGCTTGGTATGTTCGCATGGGCCGTCAATAAAGAAACCTTTTCGGTGTCTGTAGACTAGAATTGAAAGCGAAATGTGGGCGACACGGAAAGCGAGATAATCCAAGTCTTATCGGAATAGTTAAACAAGACTTTTTAAACTTTTGGCTTTCCACGGTTATCTAGGATAAGATAGTCGGATCTCCGATCTCGTTCGATCCCAACGTGAAGGGTGCCTCGATGACCTCATCATTATCCGTAGGTTAACCCCGACCTTGATACTCGGTCCTATCCCCAGTCTTGCAATTCAGAAGCTTCAATGAGCTGCAACTGCGGGCTATGTTGCAGTTTCCATCTGAAATTGAGAAAATGGCCCTCCTGGGTGCGAAGCGTCAACCATGAACCACTGGCTACAGAAACGAGGCGAGGACTTGGATTCCATCAGCCTGGCCACCCAAATCCTTTGTTTCAGTATAATCCCACCCCTGATAGCTCTACGAGCTTTTGCCAAATATAAATTACGCCTCGAGTTTGGGGTAGATGATGGTATGTGTTCTCCTTAATGCGGCGCTTCTCTCTGCTAATCTAACTTTGAAATCAGCATCATGTTATGTAGCATTGGTACGAACATCCCATCTGGACCTACAAGGACTTGTTTGCCTGAGCCTAACGCACAATAGATCCTCTTTGTGGGTCATTCCATTTCGACTTTATTCTGTAAGGGAACTATCTCAAGCCAGCCGGTTCTAACAGCAATGCTAACCAATCTTCTGGTGCAGATACTTATGCTGGAGGCACAATTTCTCATGGCGTCTATACCACGCGGGATCATGAAATTAAATACAAGGTATGTAGCGTGGTAGCCTCCTGTGAAGGAATTGTACTGAAACAAGAAGATATTCTATATTGCTACGCTGTTTTACGTGCCCATGGTTCTTTGCGTGAAGACCATGCTGATTTATATCATGATACGGCTTTGGAGTCCGTATCGTGGAAAGGTGATTGCCCTGTACAGCTTTTTGGCCTTTATCGTCACATATTACACAGTCATTCTGTTCATCAAGATCTTCATCTGCAACCCTATCCACTTGTTCTGGGATGTCAATGACCACGATGGAATGTGTTTGAATCGATCCGTCATCATCATTACCGACTCGGTCATCAGTGTCATCACTGACCTAGCAATTCTCATCTTTCCTATCGTCCTAGCTTGGACATTACATGTGCCTGTTTCCAGGAAGCTATACGTCATTGCGATTCTTGGAGCAGGAAGTATTGCTGTCGCTTTCAGTATCTACCGATTGGTGCTAGTCGTCAGTGAAAGGAATAGCACTGATGAGATTGATGTGTTCATGCGCGTGCTATTATCCGAGTGAGTGTCTTACAGGCTGGTATCTGAGTCGTATCTAATTTATACAGTAATGCAGAAGGGGGCCTAGGACTCATTTGCGGATGTATTCCTAGCATCAACAAGCTATGTCGTCGATTCAGATGCAGCGAAGGATGCAGCGAAGATATCACGGAGGATAGGGAAGGGATAGTTAAATGATCTCTGTGCGAGTCTAATCAAATATATAAACTAAGCCCATTGCATCCTTCCATGAACAAACATGAAGCTTCTGAACCTCTTCCACCGGTGCTATGTCAAGTAGACATTGAAATTTCCCGCCTATCGGTCGTGTACTACAGTAGTCGCATGCTTCGCGGGTAGCCAGCGACGCAAAGACATGTTGGTGCGATTTGGCCTTTTCTGCTTGTATCGTGGACTGGCAATCTAAGAATGTTTGGAGAGAGATCACAATACGGTAATAATCCGTGTGGTGCCGAAACAACAGATCTGTGATAAGACCGAGTTGCCCCGTGGTTTGCGTGGGATGAGACGCGGGATGTCTCCTCCGAGGAACGTGACAGCGGGATACTCCTTTGAATACATAAGTCCCAGACGAAATGAACGTCCTTTGTCCCAACATTCAACAGACCCCGGTATCACAATGGCAGGCCTGGAGTCGATTGATGGTGGAAAGAAATGGTATTCTTGCCCGGAGCCCATGGTACTTGGTGAAGCTCCGATTTTCAGAGCAAGTGACTCGACCCTTCATTGGGTCGACTGCCTTTCCGAGCCCTCGAGACTTTATATCTTGAAGATTGATGACTCAGGTGATGCCATTGGGGAAGCACGAGTGCTTGAACTTGAGGATAGTGTGACCGTGGTCTTTTTCCGGAAGAATAAGCCTGGTTATATTGCGGCATATTATCAAGGAGTCTGTTTTATCGACGAAGAGACGGGGAAAATGGATATTATCAAAGAGATCATCCCCACCGCCGACCGTGATGAGCTTCGATTTAACGACGGTGGCATTGATGCCAAGGGGCGATTCTGGCTCGCGGAGATCGATAAGAAAGCCATGTCATTTGGCCCAAATCAACTCTCAGACAGTTATGGAACACCTCGGGGGCGTCTCTGGCGGTACGATCCTGACGGTAGCCTCCACTTGATGATCGAAGAAGGAATCGTCTGTGGAAATGGGCTGGGCTGGAGTCCAGATAACAAAACCAGTGCGTATCCACCTCTCCTCCAGTATTGACGTGCTAACAAGCGATTAGTGTATTTCCATGACTCGGTGGCGATGGTCGTATGGAGCTATGACTTTAACCTGGAGACCGGCAATATTTCCAACAGGCGGTTGTTGATTGATCGGCGCGATTCGTTTGGGGAACCGGATGGCATGGTAGTCGAGTACGTATACCATTCAATGCCCGTGATCTCCGGTAGCTAACGCCCATCAGTACTGATGGTAATCTCTGGATTGCAATGTTCGACTCCAACCGAGTCATGGTGTTTAGCCCAAGTGGCCGACACCTGAAAGATATTGTTTTCCCCGCCAGAAACCCCGCGTGCACCACTTGGGGTGGCAAGAACTTTGACATCATTTATGTAGCTAGTGGAATCATTCGTCGTGGAAAGCCAAATCCTGCTGATGAGGGCGGGCATATGTTTCGTTATAAGCCGACTGACGCGCGTGGTCAGCCCAAATACGAGTTTGACGGCTGATCATTCTGGTCGACATAAACATTTACAAAATGAATTTGTTCATCTATGGTAGCTTGACTAGAGTGGGTTGCTCTGGGAGAATTGTTTTACCAGGGGATCGTTCTTTTTATATCTACGTATGAAGATAGCAGTGCATATAATAGTCATCCGACAGATTGGAGTACGCGTGCGACATTTACCCGATTATTTCCATCTTCAATGATCAATATTCAACTTGAATACTGGGGTATTTTAGTATTAATGATAATCAGCCAAGGTTGAGAAGCAATGCCAATGGATCCCGCGTAGATTATCCCACGCAACACTTGATAAGTTGGATGCTTTCCCCACTTTCAATGCAATGTTATCAGGGCAGACTTCGGTGATGATAGGACAGTTTTGATCTAAAGTGAGGGGTTATTAGACATTTAACATCCGTCATGGGAATGTTTCACTGTATCATTCGACTGAAAGCGTTTTCCGTCTACAATGCATAGCCCCGAACAAATCGACAAGGCCAATCTGGGCCAGCCCCATGTAAAGCTGGACGTCCCAGCCAGTGACTTGGAAGTGTACCATAAAGTCCCCCAAGGACATCGAATCCTTGGACTTTTCACCCTTCCGGCTTACCGCGCCCCAATCACGCAATGTATTATCATCGCCTTCGTGCATCTGTTAGTAGTAGGGGCGTTTAATGTCTTGAGTGCCCTCGGTGGCGGAGGTCAAGTTGATCCCACAACCAGCAATAATGCCAACACAATCTTGTATAGTCTGTTTTGTGCATTTGCTTTAATCTCAGGCTCGATATGCAATTTCCTGGGGCCCAAGGTGACTCTCGCAACGGGGGGCATTGGGTATTCCCTTCTGTCAGCATCATACTGGAGCTATAACAACAATGGAAACGAGGCATTTGTTTACTTCGGGGGTGCCATGTGTGGAGTGACAGCGGCCTTCCTTTGGTGAGTCATCTTGATTGTAATGCTTCTTCTCGTCTAACGGATTGTACACAGGACTGCAGAAGGGTCGATGATCATGTCACTGCCCTTGGAGAAAGACAAGGGCAAATACGTGGGAATCTTCTACGGGGTCTCATTCTTCGGGACTGTAGTTGGTGCCATAATCCCTACGGTCGAGAACTGGGGGATCACGACGGCCGGAAGCGTCAACGACAGCACTTATATTGCCCTGTTTGTGCTCATGCTCATGGGCAGTGTGGTGGCATGCGTCGTGTCCGACCCATCCAAGGTTATTCGGAATGATGGATCTCGCGTGGTGGTTCCTCGCCAGACAACGTTTGTTCAAGAACTGAAGAACGTTGTGCTTGCTGTGAGACAAGAGCCATTCATAATGTTGTTTCTGCCCTACAGCTTTGCCGGGCTGTGGTATATTCCTTATCAGAGCAACGACTTCAATTCCTATTTTTTTGATCTTCGAACTCGCGCCTTTGGCAGTCTTTGGTTTGACTTTGGCCAATTTGTCGCGGCTGTGGCTCTTGGACTTCTGCTGGATTTTACAAAGCTAGGGGGTCGGCGTCGACGCGCCTTTATAGGGTGGATAGTCCTTTTTACTTTGATCAACGCCGTCTTCATTGGAGGTGTGTTTCCTGCTCGTGAATCTCAGCGTGGACACCCTCCAGTACATCTTCTTGACGTCCACGACTCAAGGGCGGCGGGATATATTGTCCTTTACACCTTTTATGGGGCCGTTGATGGTGCTTGGCAGACATTTGCCTGGTGGATCATGGGAACTCTTTCAAACGATCCGCTAGTTTTATCGATATACTCGGCATTCTACAAGGTTTTTGGGGCGATGGGAGCTGCCATTGTGTTCAGTCTGGATGTCCACAAGACGAGCTACCAGGCCATGTTTGGAAGCTATTGGGGTCTGCTCGCTGGGTCTATGATTATTCTCCTGGTTCTCATCTATAAACGTGTTCAGGACACCCTTACCCGTCCGGCCATTGGTTCAACAAAAGGAGAGGAGGCAGTTTGAGTTTTATAGAAAGCATGATAGTGCTTAAAAACAGTTTGTTGCATCATTGTTTTTCCACAACTTAGATCATCCATTCAATGCTCATGACTCCTATCTTCTTTACGATCACTAGCTTATCCTTGATAAATTTTCGGCTCAAACGTCTTTGACCTTGGCTCGATGGACTCGAGCCGCGGGGGACCATGGAAAATGGCCCAAGGGCACCGTGAAAAAGGAATTACTGCTATCCAGCACACCCGCACATGCATTCCACCAGGCAGCAAGAGCGGCTAATAGTCCAAATATTCCGCCCACTTTCCGAAGCTCGGAGTGACATGCCAGATGAGCGATGCCAAGAAGGAGATAGTTCATGTCCAGAAAGAAGAACAAGAGGAACATAGCAAGACTTGACTTGAGCGTGCCTAGAAGCATCAAGGTAGTGAAGATAAACCATGCCTAAAATCCCTCGGGTCAATTCATATCACTGCCATCTGCGCAACAGCACATACCATCATGAAGACCCCCATAAGTGTCTCAGCTTGGCAAGTGTCACCATTTTCCGTGGTCCCCTCAATCATTGACATGACACCGAAGGTAATCCAGTAGGCACCATAGGAGGAAAAGGATGTCGCTCCAAAGGTATTGCCGATGGCCATCTCCCACATTCCCGAGATCAGCTGAACCAAGCCGCCGTATATCAGCGGCAGCGCAATGGTGATGCCAGTCGATCGCGCATCTGTTACAAAAACATTTGTAGAGTTTGAGATGAACGATGTCAGTGCAAAGGCACACAGGCCCAACGGAACTGGATTTGCAAACTTTCGGCCTCCATTGGATACGTTTTGCTCTTGTCTCGGCAGTAATTGATGGTCTGGAGGGTTGTGAAGAAGAGATTGCTCATGGTCGCAGGGGGGAACTACCAGGGTTGGGCTTTGGTATCCGTCACCCCTGGAGCCATTCACTTCGGTGTTGAAGAGTGGCTTTTCGACATCCCTGACGATGATTGTCTGCTCCATGGGCTCGTCTCACGGAAATCGATTACTAGATCTGAAATTAGCGTACAGACCATGTGGTGGAGAGGCCAATGGATCAGTCAAAAGGCACACTTCCAGAAAATATCTATAAATCCGTTCACACCCAGCCCCCGAGCTCGGCGAGGTCCGCCAGTCCCATCACGCATAGGCCTAAACAGATGTAGTAATCCATTAGCTAAAAGGCGTTCTGTAAACGCATGGTGATGAAACCAAGCGGCACATGACCCTTCGCGGAGAATTCCGGCGTGACCTCACTACAGAGAGAAAGCATGGCACGGTTGAAATCTCAGTCCCAATGAGCCATGATTTGTAGTCTTGGCGGGCCCGTGTCATCGAGATGCTACAATTTCCAGTTGTCATCCAGTCCAGAGCGCTCTAGAGCTTAGAACGGAAACGAAACCCCACGCTCCCTTGTGACCAAGATTTCAAGCTAAGAGCTAGTCAATGCATGACAAATGAAACCTAATTTGGGATTCACACATTTGGTAAACGTAATATCTTCTGGAGCCGGGATGATACGAGGACGGATGGTTCACTTGTATTTTGTGGTTGCTCAACAACAGCAACCTTGAGGCGAAGTCCTTCAACAATCAGCAAGGACACCTCATAACGGCTTCCTTGATGGTAAATGGGCGTTGGAAAGCCTTGGAATGGATTCTTGAATTCCGACAGGTTTTCCCCACGGGGTCCGGCGTTTTCCGATATAAGACCCACCAAGGCGGACGCAAAGTCCACCCCAGCCATGGAGATCTAGAACTGAACACAAAATGAGTTGAACGTTTATATCGGGATAGCGCAGGAATTGTAAAACAGAGCAGTAATCTGACTGAGTACATCCTTGAGTACCTCTTGACTCACATTACGCTACCCATGAACGTGCGTTTCAGATTGGATGCTATAACACAACGTTGGACATATAGGATCAACTTACTGGCCAATCAAATGGTCACAAGAATGGGAAGAACTGAATGTATCCGCTAATCCATCCTTTTCTATATTCAAGTCTCTAGGATAAACCATGACAATGCATCATTTGGTCGTCAAACATGATAACTGGTCAACCAAATGGCATGGCATCAGTTTGACCATGCAGCAACTTGATTGCATTATCTAACTATCAAGTTGACAGAAACGTGGAACACCCGAAATTCTGAGAACTACTTTGTTCTGATTGGAAATTGCAATCTCACTTAGTTACCACCCTATTGCTGCTTCTTGGTGGTTCCTGCAGTCTGGGCTTGGATGATACCAGTACCCACCTGAGCAGACTCCTTCCAGCCTTGCTGGCGCATCCAGAAGCGCTCGGCAGGGTCTGTCTCCTGCAAAGTAGTCTGTCGAGCCTCCTCCTCAAGGGCAGCACGCGACAATCCTAGCACTTCAGAGGTGTTTGCAGGGCTCTCGTCGTCATTCTGCACATTCAATGTAGATTCGAGATATCGCTTGCGCATAAGATACCGTTCAGCGCGCTCCTTGCGAGCATTTGGGGGCTCGAGCTTGGAAAAGCCAATCCGCACAACATACTGGATCGCCAGATAGAGATGCTCTGAGAAGAAGATGGTAAGAAGCAGTGCCCATCCTTTGATATCCGTGGGTTCCCCATTGGGACCGTGCTGCGCGTTCCCACTGAACATATAGACGAGAGCAGCGCTGGTAATGCTGCCCGTCCAAGAGAGAAACCCGAGTGTGTCAAGCCAGGGTCCAATGGTGTCAGACCGGAGCGGCGTGGGTCGGCGGAACTCATTACAGATCTTGAAAAAGTCCGATCGAAGCTCCACCCAGTTGTTGGCAAAGAATGAAACGGGGACCAGGGGCCAAACTGGAGAGAAGAGCGCCAGGTAACCGAACTGGATGCACATCTCCCGCAAATCGTCGGTGACTTCGTATTCGGGTAGCTCAACTTCGTTGCGGACCCGGGTGAGAAACTTGACTTCTTCCGCTGGGTCGTCGAAGACTACTGGCAACGGCCGCTCGGGGGACTCTTTCTCGCCGTTGCGCTCGGCTTTGCCGTTGCGCTTCTTGTTGTAGGCCTTGTACTTTCGGAAGGCATGCTGCTTGATGTAGGGAACGATAGTTTCCATAGCAAATCCGACGATCTGAGCGGTCACCGTGAAATAGATGACCTGATTTCGAAGTCTGGCAGGATCAATTTGGAAATGCGATCTCTTGGCATTGGAATGCTCCTTGGATACAAAGGGCCGCACGGTCAGGCGGAAGACATCCAGGTAAGGGACGATGCGGCTAGCAAAGGGCACATATACAAAGGCCGTCAAGAAGACTGGTAGATAAGATGTCATGAAGTTAATAACAAAGACCTTTTGGGTCAGTGCAACATCGTATGCATCATTCGTCTCGTGGTTCTCGTAGTCATTGAGTTTTGTCGCAACGGACACTAAGACAGCACTCATGGTCGGAACCAGTGCAGAGACGAGGATGGTTGGAATGAAAACCTGGGCGATGTTAATACTGGGGCAAAGAGGGTAGTCACACGAGTGACATACCAAATATGACTTCAGGGGTCCATTATATAGCTCTGCAATGAAGATCTCAATCGCGAAGCAAGTCGCTATGATGGCACCCAGAGCGGTTGCAGCAAGGAATGCAAATGGGATCTGGAGTAGCTGTCTTTGCATGCGTTTGGTGGCTGGGAAAACGCCTCGAACTTCACCGGTGCTCTCGTCGCGAACCTCCTTCTCCGGCTTAAACTGACGCCGCTTGGTCTGGACGACCGAGACGCCTTTAGTCTGCCAGCGACATCGAAGGTCGATTTCTTTGCTTTTCCAATATTCCACAAAGACTATGCACCAGAGCGAATTGACGATGGCGTAGATGATGGAGTAGCCGCCCAAGAAAAACCAGCACCCGAAACCGAAAACTGCGGGAAAGATGAGGAAGCGAAAGTATGCCTGGAGGAAGGAAAAATAGAAGCCGACCTGCTCGTAGTATCAGCTACCGCCCTATATGTGCAGAGTCTTGATGCTCACGCTTTCTCCGAATTTATTGCGGATCTGGTCCAGGTCATCTTCAGAGAGGAAGGTCTTCTGGCTCCACTCGCGCATCCATCGTCCGTTTGTCTCCTGGTCGTGCAGCGGGAAGACGGCGATGACGTTCTTCCATTCTCCATGTTGCGGGGTGATACCGGCACCTCCTTCCTGGGTGGGAAGGGTTATCATGTGGTTGATCACCCGTAGTCGCTCGGCCTCGGTCTCGGCGTGGGGATCGATCGCATCGGCAGGTTCGGGCTCAGCATGACGAATTCCATAAAGCCAGTCGCGGACTCTGAGATGTATGACCAGGCAAATTAGAAAAAAAAATAAAAATAAAAAATTCATGGAGCTCAGAGAAAGGAGCACTCACCGCGATCGGTACACCGCCCGCTTCAGCTGATGCTTGGAAGCTCGCACGAAGATGAGCAAAGAGGCCTCGTCGCCCTGTCGAACTTCGGTCTGCAGGCCGACCTCGGCGAGAGTGCGTAGCAGCTTCTGAAGCTGTTCGACCGCCTCTGGTTGGTCTGGAAATGGGAAGGTTTCAACGTTGCTCGATTGGATCACACAAAGCTTCACTCACCGACATCCCCGAAGCTGTAGTGGAGGACAAAGTCTACCTGAAGGTTAGACCCTGCATTTTCCTCGCTTGCGGTCGCCATGGTGGGTTGATGTAGAATGGGAGGAGAAAGAGAAGAAAGCGGGAATCGCGCGATCTACGTGAAGTCCCCTCGACGACGTCACCGCACAAAGCTTGGCTTTGGGATGACGTCCAAACCATGGTTGGCATTTAGGTTTCAAACATAATCTATAATGATATCGATCCCTCAAGATCTGTGCAACCATCTGGAACTTGGAAATTCTCCAAGTTCCCTAAGTTCCCCCGGTCGCGTGATTTCAAGTGGCCAGTCCTGGCTGGTACCTTCCACAGGGTAAACTGGCAGTGGGCAGTTAACCCGGTTTCAACCTTGTCGCTGGCCTCCTGCCTCCTGTCGCCTGATCTAATAACAACTGCTTGACCTTCCAATGTAATACTATTTTTGTATGTCTGCGAAATGAAACACGGCACATGCGGGGATGCAGCTGATGCCGAGCGCTTAAGCGTGACCTGCTCAGCGGCTAGTCACTTGTCAACTCCTCGTATTCAAAGTCGTAGGCTGTGCAGAATTCTAGATCAATCAACTCCTCCAGCTCTTTGCTTGAACAAAGAGGGACTCACACTTTCATTCCGTCTACGTGTGGCGACCATCAGGCCAATAACGCAGTCGCGATGGCAGAGCCATCTATGCGCGAACCGCTGGACCCCAAGAAATACTACGAAGGCATCCAGGGGCATCAAGGATCTCTCCGCGACAAATTCAACGATATCGATGATCCAGCCTATTTCCGACAGTACATGCACCTGCTGAAGGAACCGGAGACGCAGAACTTTGTTCTGGACTTTGGCAACGAAGACGCCTACTGTGCAACCGATTTAGTCACCGAGGACTTTAAAGCTTTACTAAGTCCACCAGTATGTAATGATGAGTTCAGACCAAGAGCAAAACTGACTCAGGATAGCGATCCAAATGTTTTGGCACACGATGGATGTAAGATCAGACTAAGGCGCTTCCCGACGATATACTGACGTTACAGTCACCTATGGGCCCCAGAAGAACAAACCGAAGCTATCAAGGGGATCATGTCCTTCTACGGTGTGTCCGAGCGACTCCAAGGATTGATGTGCACCGCGCCTGTCATACGTCCACCGGCAGGCACGACACAGCCGAAGAAGAGACGATCACGAACCCGCGATTTGGACTTGGATCTCGACCCTGATGATATCGAGAACACAATTGCTCTGAAAAATATACACGACCAAGACGGCCTTCATGATACCGCCTCATTCAAGCACCTCACTTTTTCCCAAGTCACCAACCAGATCTGGCATTTTTCATCAGTCGATCACGGACCCCGATGTAAGTCTGCACGCAAAGAACAGCGAACCAAATGATCTGACACGAATAGACACCTGCATCGGCTATAATACCGTATTTGTGACCCCCAACGTACCTAAGGAAATGAACGAGAATGGGAGAGACTTGCCCGAGGGCAGACGACTCTGGAACTGGTTAATTCTATGTGACGACGGCACGGTCATTTCCATGCAGGAAAACCCTTTTCCCCGGCAGAAGGAAGCGCTGCTGCCGGATCAGATCAAAACCCTGGATGTTGTACGCCGGAATGTCCGATTCATCGTCTCGGGGGTATCGAAGCAGCATTTGACCATGTCGGAGAGCGATTCCCTCGTGACCATTCGAGTCCGTCATTTCAACAATGTCGGACCCGACCAAGCAAATATTAAACAAGAAGATGGTCCAAGCTTGCTCTACTACTATATCTTTGATGACTGGGTCTCGAGTTATGGTCTGATTGCAAAGCGAGAGCATAAATACGGCGTTGCGCTTGAAGAATTAAGAGGCCAGATGCTTGATCGGCCGATTGTGGAACTGGTCAATAAGCTCCACTGGCTGGGTCGACGGCTAGCGGTCCTAAAGCGACTCTACCAGAGCTACGAACTCATCATGCGGCGCGTCTTACAGCGCCAGCGAGTCCTCCGCGACGAGGCTCGCTCGGCGCATCCACAACCACTGGACTTTGGCGCCACATTTGGAGATATGGAGTTCGCTGACATGCGACAGGGAAGCTTGGTCAGTAACGGCAGCTTTCCAGAAACCAAAGACAAGATGGTGGGAGTGATCTTGAGCTCAGCTGCGGTGGCAAGATTTGAGAGACTCGTCGACCGCATCAACTTGTACTGTTTGAGTGAGATTGATTCATGTTTATTGGAAAAGGAATCCTTGACATTTTTAGTAAGTTCTCTTCCTAAGTCAGTCAGTGATATGCTAACCACAGCAGAACTTTAATCTGATCGCCTTGAAAGACTCACAAGCCGTGGAAAAACTCACCCGCATCACAATTCTCTTGGCCAAAGCGACCATGTTATTCTTGCCAGTCAGCCTGATGACGGCCTACTTCTCCACCGAGCTGCAAGGGGTGAAAGGGGGCTATACAAAGGTGGATTACTGGGTTAGCTTTGCGGTGATCTTCTTCTTGACCCTGGTACTTCTAACGGTCTTTGGCTTTGCCAGTAATACCGTGGAGGGAAAAACGATCTACAGATCCCTGGTCAAGAGTTTTTTCCGTTCTTCGCGAGAGAGGATCTCAAAGCCGCGAAGAAAGCAACAGGATGATAAATAATATGGATACGTGGGCCAGCCCTTCGACCTTCTGACGTTTCTGTGATTTTCTCGTGTACTTATTATAAGCCCATCCTGTACTGCATAAAGTGGATTGCATTGTCAGGCCCGAAGATCAAGTATGTTCTGCTTTATATACTCAGACCAGCAACGAAGTTGCCGAATGGATCCTCTCTTGAATAATTTTGCTCCATTTCTAAAGATTTAACATTAGTCAAACTCTACAATAAGTTGGTTCATGAAAACTTACCTCAGCATTAGCCACGTCCTTAGCCTCAAGACTTTCCACAATACCAGGGTAGGTGGCGCCAGAATAACCGGTCCAAATACCCGGAGCGAAAACAACATGCTTGAACCAGTTACGGCCATCCAGACCGGGCTCGTAGAGGAATGCTCGCTCCAAGCCCTTGTATTTCGAATTGACAGCTCGAATCTGGAAAAACAACTTGACTTTCTTGTACCAGTGATACCACGGCACGTGCTCTCCGAGTTGCTCGGTCAGGTCCGCGGCATGGGCATCGAAGGCCTCCGCCGCCGATTGGAACTCAGCAATCGCGACATCTAAGCCAGCGAACTCAAAGTGCGACCCGGGGGGTAGTTGCTTTGCGACCGGCTCAATTCGGCGAAGGTACGAGGATAGGCCCTTGGCATAGTCGTTGGCTGAGAAGGCGATGACAGGAGAGGCGGCAAGTCGAGCCGCTGCTAGCGCCCACAGTTTAGTGCACGCAATATGGTGGCTCCAATCCGCATCACCAAACTTCTCCATCCATGCAAAACTGTCGTAATTTGAATGATAGTGATAGACTGGGTCCTGATCTCCACGGCCAAATCCGAAGTCTAGACTAGCGACACCCGCGAAGTCCTGGAACGCGGTGAAATCACTGCCACTGCCCATGGTGGTAATCTTCCCGTTCCACGCATCACGGACGGTTTGGCCGGCCACGGTTTGGTTGGGAGACTGCACTAGGCCAGCCACTTCAAATATCAGTTTGTTTAGCAAAGGTGCAGCTCGAGGAGCAAACTCCGTGCCGGCGGCAGCAACGTCCACATTGAGATACGCGACATTGGCCTTGGAGAGCCAGGGGAGGTTATCTTCAACCCACTCCGTGGAGCCGAGCAGGCCATATTCTTCGCCATCCCAGCTTGCGAACACTATTGTTCGGAGAGGCTTCCATCCAGCTTTCAAAGCTTCGCCAAAGCTACGAATAACCTCGTTGAGTGCTGCGGATCCGCTGTTGGGGTCTCCTGCGCCTCCCGCGATCCATGCATCTCGGTGGTTACCCATCACTATTACCTCGTCTGGAATGCTTCCCTTGATCACACCAATGACGTTCCACAGAGGAGTCGTCACGTATTCTTGTTCGTTGTTAAGGTTGATGACGACGTCCTTGGGGGAAGGACCAATGTTATATTCGACACCCTTGTGCGCCAAACCACCACCTTGCCAATACTTGTTGAATTCTGAAGCTTTGGGGCCGTGACCGTTCAAAGCCTTCAAAAAGGGCAGAGCCTCTTTGTAAGAGATGGGAAGAGATGGGATGGATGGGATGGAGTTTGATGGGTCCTGACGCTCCACACCTGGTTTGGATGCGTATCCTGGGGTAGTTGGGTCTCCGGGGAGGATACCTTTGTAGGTCAGTAAATGGCTCGTAAGAGGGTTGAGGACTGGCAGTCACATACTCAAAAACTGGGTACTGCCCCTCTGAACAGCACTGGGGTTCCGGGCAGGTCCGTTGGGGTATGCCTCATATCCATTAAGCTCGGTGATGTCGCCGTCCTCTTGCGGATCCGAGTAGATAACGACACCTACCATTCCGAGCTCCTGTGCGCGTTTGACCTTGAGGCCACGGAAAATACCGCCGTACTTGACGAGTGCAATGTTGCCTTCTAGGGTGATGTTGGCATTCACGAGGTCTTCAAAGTCCTTGTATGTGCCAAAGTTGGCGTACACAAATTGGGCGGTGACATTGCCACTGGCCGAGTAACCATGAAAGACGGGAACTCGATCAGGAAGGCTTGAGGTGGGATCTTCCTCCAACTCATCTTCTTCCAGAGTGGCCTCGAAGGTCACCTCTGTTTGATCGTCCAACTTCTTTAACAAAGCCAGTCTGTGATCCACGGGGTAATTTAAATAAATTTCATAAGTCGCCAGGCTGGTATCCTCCACGCCAAACTCTTTCCACTTTTCCATGGTCCAAAGAGCTTGGCTGAGGTTCTTACCCGCCAGGTGGGGCCCCGCAGTATAGTAGGAGCTCCACTCCCGGGCCTTAGCTGCGGAGGGAGTTTCGAGGAGAATCTGCTGCAGTTGGTCATACGTGAGTCCGTTGCCGTGCGGCCACGACTCATATGGAAGGGGACTAGCCCATGGAAGATAGGACCAAATCGAACCACCCTCCCGCGGCAGAATTGCAGACGGGATCAAGAACAGAGTCCCAGCGATCACCAGCAACGCGGCGAGCAGGAGTGTACAAGTGCGGCGGACCGCATGGTGAGGATAGCGGTACCGCTGTGGCGCAACATACACAGCCAACAGAGGCGTCGTCTCCGAAGACTCCATGGTTTTTTCACTCATCTTTGCAATGTTACATGAGGGGTGAAAAGAGAAGCGGAGATGCCCACACTCTACATATCTTGCTCTTCTCCGCTTTCAAGTTCGCGTCATTGGTTGCTGACTAAGATGCACTGGGCCTCATTGGCTGATCTTGGGCGTTATCGTGAATCCTCTCAATTGGAAGCGGGGTTGCGCAAAGATAGAGCTGTTTCCTTCAAGAAGGTGAATTGACATTCCCGGGTTATAATTGATGGCTGTGTTGGGATGTCGATTGATATGGAACCACGGACGCCTCCAGCTAACCGTAGCTCACATGTCTTAGGCGCGCTCCAACATTGTATTTCTGCTGGCTTATTGAAGCGCACATTTTACAATTGATTCATACCGAGGCCAGGGATCATCTGTCAGTGAGATGGGCGCGTTGAGCTAGCGTTCGGTATCTGCCATGGCTTTGGAGAAGCCGTGATCCATGCACCAAAACATCTCGGCGGATCAAAACTAAGCTTAGGTCAGCAGGCCAGTTGGTTTGGCGGCCATGGAGCGTCGTCGCCAATTTCACAATTCCACAGTTCCACAAGTTATGAGAGCATTGATGAGGCAATGGCCCTCTACCAAGTGGATGGCGTGTAATTGGCCCCAGGGGGGCTTCAAACCTTGGACCACCTGGGAAGCCCGGTCGGACATCTCAGTCGTGATGGGAACTACAGAACTACCGAGTGAAACGCAATGATCCGAGGGACAATTGAGGAGTAAGCAAGGGGATCGTCAATCTTACTCCAAACCTTGCCTGATTGCCCTCCTATAGGGGAGTTGAGAGTGGGAACGCGACCTGCTATATAAGCCGATCCTTGCATGACCCCTTGTTGACCTTTCTGGCCTGGGCTACGGCTGAGGAGTTTCAGACCCTGTTGACGTATTCCTTCGGTCTGTTTGATGGTTACACCTATCAGATCTATTCTCCGTCATGCACAGCTTCTTGGTTGTCGTATATGCATCAGCAAGGTTGCCATGAGACCTGTACAAAGGGCCAGTCCTGTTGACAACCCTTCCTCTCCTGGTTTTGAGTTTAAAAATATTTTCATTACTCTCCTTCTGCATTGTTAAATTCCTTCATTGTCCCTCGTTTTGCATTGAGTAGTTTGATTCTTCTTATTTCTCTTTTTCTTTCCTTCTGTTATTCCCTAATCATAATGTCTATCTTTGGTAAAACAGAGCCTCCAAGGGAGACTCACCCCGCAATGGACAAGCATGATTCCGACACAGATGCCCAGTCTCAACAAAATAACAACTCCAGCCCTTCCAGTGAAAAGGAGAGTACATTGGTCGACGAGCCAACGCGAGATGCCACGGCACCCGACGATACCAACAAAGAGGCCACGACCGACTCCTCCAGGGAAGCCGACTTGAACGAAAACTCCGAGAAGGAATTGATGCCACAAAACGATTCGGAGAAAGAAGCGTCCAACATGGACGAAAAGAGCGAGGATGCGAAGCCAGGTGAAGAGCCCTCAGACGACACGGAATATCCAAAAGCCTGGAGACTGCTCCTCATTACAATTGCGCTGTGCCTCTGTGTATTTTGCGTCGCACTGGTCAGTCCGCGGTGTGGTGACATGACTTGCGCAGGCTAACATGCTAACCGAAATCCAGGATAACACGATCATTGCAACCGCAATTCCCAAGATTACGGATCAGTTCAATTCGCTAGATGATGTGGGTTGGTATGGAAGCGCATATCTGTTGACCACCTGCTCCGTCACTCTGATGTTCGGCAAACTCTACACATTCTACCCAATCAAGTGGATTTACTTGATTGCTCTCTCCATTTTTGAAATCGGCTCTTTGATCTGTGGTGTCACCCCGAGCTCAGTGGGATTGATCTGCGGTCGTGCCATTGCAGGCCTAGGAGCAGCTGGGCTATTTTCCGGGTCCATCTTGATCATCAGTCAAAGTGTGCCTCTGGACAAACGCCCCGTGTATACCGGATTGGTGGGTGCAATGTTTGGAATTGCGAATGTGGCCGGTCCATTGTACGTCTGGCTCTACTCTGATCCTAACGCAGCGAACTAATGGGTTGTAGAATGGGAGGCGCTTTTACAGACAACCTTACCTGGCGCTGGTGCTTCTATATCAACCTACCAATCGGGGCTGTCACGTTCTTCTTCATTGTGTTCTTCTTCCGCTCCACCAAGGCGATTAAGCAGAAGGCTGGGTGGAAGCAGCAGTTGGCTGAGATGGATCTCCTCGGCTCCTTCTTTTTCCTGCCGGCAATCATCTGCTTGCTTCTGGCACTGCAGTGGGGCGGTACTAAGTATAGTTGGAGCGATGGCCGCATCATTGCCCTTTTCGTCATTTTCGGCGTGTTGGGTCTGTTGTTCATGTGGATTCAACACCGTGGTCAGGATCGCGCCACCGTGCCTCCTCGCCTGATTAAAAACCGCAATGTCTGGGGTGCTGCTTGGTATGCCATGGCACTTGGAGGATGCTACTTTGTCCTCGTCTATTATGTGCGTCGCCCGTCTACTTTCAACATACTCTCACGCTAACTTTCCTTAGCTTCCTATTTGGTTCCAGGCCATCAAAGGCGCCTCGGCCATGAAGTCCGGCATCATGAACTTGCCAATGATTATTGCCGTTGTGGTTGTATCGGTTCTGGCAGGTGGTCTCATCACGGCATGTGGTTACTATACCCCCTTCATGATTTTCTCATCCATTATCATCACCATTGCAGCAGGTCTCCTGTCCACTTTGGATGTCAATTCGGGCCACCCCAAATGGATTGGATACCAAGCCCTGTTCGGTATCGGCCTCGGACTAGGCATGCAGCAGCCGATGATTGTCGCACAAACCGCTCTCAAAGCGGAAGATGTGCCCAGTGGGACGGCCATCATGATGTTCACGCAGACTCTGGGTGGATCAATCTTCCTCTCCGTAGCACAGAATATCTTCCAGAACCAGCTCTTCCATAACCTTGCTGTGGATGCCCCAGGTACTGATGCTACGAAGCTGGTATCCGCTGGCGCAACTCTGCTACGCTCTGTCGTGTCTGGACCCATCCTGGAGAGAGTTTTGGTTGCCTATAATGAAGCGATCACGCAAACATTCTACGTCTCCGTGGCAATGGGAGCATTGTCGCTCATTGGTCCCATCTTTGTTGAGTGGTTGTCAGTGAAAGGCAAGAAGATCGAGATGGCTGCGGTGTAAGCCGTGAAAATTGGAGACAGGATGCGGTTTCCATTCCTTTTCCTTGTGTTGTGTGATATCTTCCTTTATTCATGCATATTCTTGAACTATTTGGACGAGCCTCGGACGAGGCGATACAATTAAGCTTATATACCCGTTGGCAACGAACAATGAACGCTAGTCGAAGACTTGAAATTGAACATGGATTCAGTCTTGACATATAATGTTGCTCTGTCATCAACTCATGATAATCGATATTCAGTTCTCCGTCATAATCACTATTAAGCTTCCTTAGTCCTGATGCTTTTCGTGCTCTGATCGTCTTTCTTGCGCCGACGATATCCGCGGCTTCACCGCCCTCCCAACCATCGGTCAATTTCGTATCGCGAAGCTTTTCATTATTTCGGACAGATATGATAGCAGCCAGAGTTTCCAGAGTTCGGCCCTCCAGGCAGGCATTACCTGGAGATGCTGGCCGTCTACGCCGTGTGGTACAGGTGAATCGCAATCACAATTGGTCCCGTCCTGCCTCCGATGATGTTGCCCGCGACGAGGTTGCCCGCCTAGCTTCAACCCCTCGTCGGTCCTTGACACTGGCCGATTTGCTCCGGTGAGTACAATCTCCTCCGATCCTCGCCAGGCGCAAAGCTCACCGATTTTCATGTTAGTCATGGCCGCCCACCGTTATCCAAAGAGGCACTACTCGCCTCCGCCAACTTCACCCTCTCCCTTCTCCCAGCGCGACTAGCATCACGCATTCAGGCATTGCGAAATTTGCCCTTCATCATCGTATCGAACCCTCATATGTCCCGCATCTACCACAACTACCTCCATTCACTCTCTACTCTCCTCCCATACCAGCAACGGAAAATTACCACATTTGAAGAAGAAAAGCAATTCGGGGAGGTGCTGGCCGATCTAGTCCATACGCACACGAATACCATCCCTATCCTCGCGCGCGGTTTTCTGGAATCCCGAAAGTACATCAATCCCGAGGATGTGACTCGCTTTTTAGACACCCATCTGCGCGCGCGCATTGGCACACGTTTGATCGCGGAGCAGCATCTCGCTTTACATATGACGTCTCAGCCAGTCGTCGATGAACTTTCTGAGAATCCTCACGAGTCGCCTTCTCGAAACACCAGTCCGTCCAACTACATTGGAGTCATCGATACGGCATTAAAACCAGCTCGGATCATCCGGTCGTGTGAGGATTTCGTCAGCGAGATTTGTGAACTGAAGTATGGAGTCCGTCCACGCCTGGAAATCGGCGGTGAGCCCGATGCCTCATTTGCCCATATCCCTGTTCACGTGGAGTATATCATTACCGAACTGTTGAAGAATGCCTTCCGAGCGACCATTGAGTCCGGCAACGAACGGGAACCTATCGAGGTGACAATCGCCGCTGCGCCGGATGTTCCTGGAACTGGGCGCTCTTTCCAAGGGGATAATGATAGTAGTTTTGAGCTTGAATCTACAACCGACGAAGCGACTAGCCAAGCCAATCCGTCTTCGCAAAGCATAACAATTCGGATTCGCGACCGGGGCGGTGGTATTCCACCGGAAGTTTTGCCACATATCTGGTCCTACAGCTTCACCACCTTTTCTGATATGGATTTCGAAGACTCAGACAGCAGTAATCTCAGGGCACTGGACACAATAGCTAGCTCCGGGGGCCACATAAGCAGCATTGCAGGTCTCGGTTATGGTTTGCCACTCAGTCGGGCTTATGCGGAGTATTTTGGAGGTAGTATCGCCATACAGAGTCTTTGGGGATGGGGCACGGATGTCTACTTGACTTTGCAGGGAGTTGGGAAGATTGACTGAGGCCTAAACCTGTCGACTGGCGCATGGACGAAGCTTATGATGCCCTGGCGGTAATTATATCTGTGGCAAACCAGATTCATCAAGTTCATAATAATGTGCCATTCTGGTCACCCATACAAACCCCCTCCCTCCTTTTGGGTTGGCGCGATTGTTGAGCAAATCCCTGATCTTCAACCGCCAGCTAAAAATCAGGAGGACTCCGGTAGGCCAATAGTTTTGAGAAAACCGAGATCAGAGAAATTTACTTGAAAGATGCGGGTATATTGCTCTATCTAGGGTTTCAAGCTCTACCTTGAAAGTACTTTTGTGCAATGGAGCTTCATGAGAATTTTTTATAGGCTTCTCCTAGGCAACAGAAGAACATATACTTCAGCTATCCTCGGGCTTTTCATCTCCCGACTCGCCCAAAAGATCTTTCTCAATGTCTTTATCAGACTTCCCACCTTCCTTACGAGACGACCCAATTGTGGGAGCGGAAACCAGCTTGGCGGCTTCGATGCCGCCGGATGTGACATAGAGATAGTACTCCATGGGGAAATGGTCAATATGATTGAAGAAGATGTTGAACCTACAGTTGACCGTCAGCATTTCTAAGAAAGTGGTATGATTGGTAGGGGCTGGTAACTCACGCAGAAGTTTGTTCTTCCTCGCGGAAGATCCGGTCATAGATCTCTCGCTGCTTGAACTCCTCCATTTCGGTTGTGTATTTCTCAAAGCCTACGGGTTCACGGCCCAGTCCACTGGCCTTGGTGTTGTAGGTCTCAAAAATAGGACGCTCGAGCAACAATCCCAGACCAGGGGCCTTGGGAATGGCGATCCGTTCAGGGCCGTATGTCTCTGAAATCCGGCTGGGGATACAGCCACTGCGAACGAGAAGAGCCGCCATAGCAACCATTTTCCGAATTTGGTGCATCATGAAGCTTTGACCGTGCACCTTCAAGCTAAGCCACTCGGTGCCGTTGATCACAACAGGGGTCGGGTTGACCTTGAAAGACTTGATGTGACGTTGGGCTGATGCATCCTTGAAAGTCTTCTGGATGGTGTAGTTGTGGAATCTTTTCGTTCCTTCATATTGGTCCAAGCATGCCTGAAGGCGGGCGACACGGGATGCGGGAACACGGTATGCCCGTTTGGCGGCAATATATGCTGCTTTGATCGACTTGATGGTATCAAGAATCAGTCTTTGACGAGGATCCATGACGAAGGGCTCAGCCTCGCCCGCATCGGTAGGTTGCTGAGGCTCAGCAGCCGGCTGCGGCGCGGGATCCTCGTTAGTCTTCGATCCGGTGGTCGTAGGTTCCTCGTCCTCCTCGTCTTGTGTTGATGGTTCCTGTTCTTCATTGACAAATAGAGATTTTTGAACAATACTGCGCACATCCTCTGGCACCTTCTCCAGAATAGGTTGGATGTATTCTTGATCAACTTTCTCCCAGTATCCCAAGACCTCCTCTTGTCTAGCATTGACATTGTCTAGGTCACCTGCCTTCTCGGCCTGCTCAACAATCTTCTTGCCGAGGTGAGTACTGGGGTGTGGTGGCAAGAGACAATGGCTGGGCATCAAGTATTCGTAAACGCGAGAATCGCACATCTGATAACAGCTGAAGCTGCTCGTGGCGAGCTCATAGCCCCAGACCCGGATCTGCGGGCTGAGATTATCGTTGATCTTCTGAACAATATCGGGGTCCTCCACGATCATCTTCAGAGACACCACATTACCCGCAGCATGGACGCCCTTGTCTGTACGCGCGCAACGAACGAAGGAGGATTTCTTAGGATCTGACGCATTTGCTTTGGAGATAGCGCGGGCGGCGACGAGGGCCGAGAAAAGGTCTCCCTCGATAGTTTTTTGTTGCTCGTTCAGCTGCATGCCATAGTAGCCCGTTCCGGAGTAGCCTAACATGAGCGCAACTTTCTTTTTGGGTCGTCGTTCTTCATTCGCGATTTCTTCCTTGGAGAACTCCGTTGCGTAGATCGGGGCCAGCACTGCCTCGCCATTTTCAATCTTGCGTCGTTTCGTCTCGGCTTGCCGCTCCAGGCGTTCTCGTTTATCTATCGCTTGCCGACTTGCTTAGTTAGCTGCATTCAAGGTCGTGGGAGATTGCCGTGCCAGTACCTCCATTCGTTTCGCCCCATATCGCGGTTCTTACGCCTTCTACCAGCTCCTTCTCCTGTTCCTTTGTTGTCGGCCATGGTGTGTGATTGAAGATTTCAACTGGCGTGGGACGATTAAGCTTGATCCAAAAAGATCGTGATGGGGATCGAGTGAGGAATTGGGGCTTCTGGGAAGCAGTGAGAGATCGCAGAAGAGGAAGGTTTCCTGTCAAACTGCGCTGCCAGAAAGTAGAGGCGCGCATGAACTCGAGATGTCAAGGTCGAACATATATATGATGGGGGGTTTTTTTTCGAATTCGACGTTTAATGCGACGGAAGCTAGTCCGCTTACAGTAACTATACATGCCTCAGGCCTCAGCAGTGACCACGGCAGAACTCGTGAGGCCATCTATATAGGATGATTATAGTTTCTTGATCTTCTTCTGTTTCATGATGATGCGGGTGCCACTAACGAGAATTGCTAATTTCTTGAGTGACTGGTGTCGTAAAGCCATGCTCCAACAAGCGGATACAAGGCAACAACTCAAGGGAGAGAGATAAACCATAGAATACATCGAACCTCCAGACTCGTAAAAGACGCGACGAGAAGAAGTAGGGTCCAATGGAGCTGCTGAAAAACCTGCAACTGGCGGTGATGACGTGGTCACGGGGAAGATTGCTCAACGGCCGCTAGGACCAAGCACGTGGCACTGCTGACTGCAATATGCTGACCAGACAATCGTCATGAATCGAGTGAAGAACTCTAAATGCATCGTCGAAGGGCTTTTCAGATCTACATCCATTGCACATGCTTCTATTTCTCCGTTGCTCCATTAAAATGGCCATGGACAGCAGTAGGTTTTCTGAGCTTGGCACACTAACTCAATAGCCAAACAACGCTACCAAAACGCAGCACTGAATGTAATCTAATTTTTGGTATCCGATTTCTAGTCTTCGTTTTGGTGTAATTAATGTCTCGGGTCATGTTTCTTAACAATACAGTGAATCATGAATACATCGTGCCATTCCAAGGTTATGCACATTGACCCATCCAAACTCCCGGCACGCTGGTTCTCCGTTTCTCCTCATATGCAAGAGCGTCGAATAGGCGACTGCCTTGATACTCCATTCTTTGGCATGGAAATGACCGGGATGTCCTTGCCCTCTGATTGGGTTTGTCTCCTCGCAGAAGAACATTCCATCCGATGGTTTGGTAAGGGTGGACCCGATATTTGGACAAATGTCCGGATCTCCATCTGCGCGTCTTTTACCCCTCCATTGTTGCGCCCCGCTATGCATTCAAATGCACACGGGACCTCAATGCGTTGCACCGGTGGCAAAACTATGCAATCAGGCACCGTTTTTTTGAACAGTTTCCTTTCAGTCAAACACCAGGGGGGTTTCGAACGTTGAAATGATTGAAACAGACAAAACATTTTATTGTGGACAGTCCACTCATAGCTACAGTATATGTATATACGCTGATAAATCCCAAAAAGATAAGTAACAAAAGGCAAAATGTGAGAGCCACATAGACGATTTGCTCAGGCCTCGAAATCGGCCGTGAGTATCCGGCTCTTCCGCTTCAAAAGACTAGTTATTCAGACCAGCTATTCCGCACCATGTCGTCGGCGTCGGCACGCTTCTCTGACCAGCTGTTGCGAACCATGTCGTCGGCGTCGGCACGCTTCTCTGACCAGCTGTTGCGAACCATATCGTCGGCATCGGCACGCTTCTCTGACCAGCTGTTGCGAACCATATCGTCGGCATCGGCGCGCTTCTCTGACCAGCTGTTGCGAACCATATCGTCGGCATCAGCGCGCTTCTCGGACCAACTGTTGCGGACCATGTCGTCGGCATCGGCGCGCTTCTCAGACCAGCTATTACGAACCATATCGTCGGCATCCGTTGTGGCTTTATAAAGTCAGTAAACACGACGCCTTCTTAGAATGGGGAAGACATTTACGAGTAGGGAGAGCTGCCGCTGTGCTCAAAAGCAGCATAAAAATTGAAGTGTAAGTCACAGCCCGCATTTTTGTTGATTTTATGGCAAAGAATGTCTAGGTGTTGCTAGGCGGATTGGGTTCAAATTCCGTGGTAAATCTTGAAAGGCGTGGTTTCAACAATTGGGACATAGACCTATATATGCATGCTCTGGATACGACGGCCTTTAGAGGCACGTGGACGATACAACCTCGCTTATATCGTATCTAATACCGGCAAGCTCAGGAGCGCTTACTACCTTTCAATTGGGTAAGAGCCTTGAAGATACCCTTGCACAGCAGACGATAATATACAGTATTCAACAGATCTAAAACATGGTGTGACAATGATGAAATAATAATAATACAATCCAATCATTTTCTGCTTTCTGTCAAGATGACCCACCATCCAAGCACAGCGTCTCGCACGAACAGTCCTGTCGTTCAGGCCGTCTTTCATGCAACGGGATATCTGGACAATTCCATCCCGAACATCAATTATATCATGAGTTTTAGAATAGTTGCTAAGGGTCTTGCCACATCTGATGTAAGTAAGAGCACTCTGCCAGAGCCCCTTGCGGCCACCCCTGCCTGGGCGACCACGCGATGAAGAGTGCAGTACTCCGTATATGTAATGTAGAGCTGAGGGGTACCAAGAGAATGGTAACCAAACAGATTGCAGGGAAAGGATTTTGAAAGTGGGGACCATCATCTGTGTGAGTTTGCAACTCCTTGGCTTGGGTCTGCGCTTCGAAATTAACTCACATACGTGGCAACGCAACACCGCCACTGAAGGCTAGGGAGCACAACCTTCCAAGTTTCTGGTAATCCATACGTAATGCGCATTGGAAAATGCGTCTGGGCCGAGGTGCATACATTTAGCGCAAGGGCCTAGGACCCGGAGACTGTAGCGTGAATTACCATTACATACGCTAGTATTGTTACCGGTTTCGAGACCTTATCGTTTCCTGCCATCATGTGTAAACTCTCCTTCGTTAATAGACCTAGAGAGTGAATGCTGATAAAAGTATCCCATCATGGCACTTTCATCCCCTCACAAAGAGACAAAATATCAACCGCTTGCGTCAGGCGAGCCTGAGGCTTCAGCGTCAAGCCTTTCCAAGTCACATTCCCTGAGCAGCAGGGCAACGGTGATGATTGTGCCGGTTGTGGTGACGTTTACGATCGCCCTCATTCTAGGCTGGGTTTCTGGTCAGCATTTCTCAGATAGAAAGTGGGATGGGCTGATATGTAAGAGCGATCTCCTAGTCCACTATCTATAGGCCATCGTGCTAAAGCTGAACAGTACCACCGGGGAACGTCGCGACTGTCTTTGAACATGATCTCCTCTTTTCAGAAAGACCGACACCAGAATCGGAGGCCGCATGGAACTCTCTAATCCCAGGTAAATCGAAAATTCCGGCTGCAATACCCATCTACTGACCGGTAACTTTACTCAAGTTGGACGAGGGTTTGTTCATCATCCCGAAATTGCACCATTCATCTCGAATTTGGCTGTTTTTCACCAGCTGCATTGCTTGGTGAGTAGCTTGCACCTTGTGGTTAGTATGGATTTTACTAACAGTAGGGGATCACCACTATAATAGCATGCGATTGTGGTGTCTTATTACACGGCCATTGAAGAGGTCGATGTCGCAAGAGGAGGCCAGCGCCCAGATGATTTTCTCAAGGAGACAGGGACCAGAATGGCACAGTCGCATGTTCGTCATTGCTTTGATTATATCCGACAAACTTTGATGTGCGGTGCAGATACGAATTTAGAGGTTCTAGACCACGAGACACGTGCCACGAGCGGCTGGGGACAGAAGCGACAATGTCGAAATTATCATGAAATTTTTGAATGGGCTGAGAAATGGGCTAATTCAACAGATACCGGCATTCTCAGTTAAGCAGACTTGCAAGCTTGCACTGTGAGGAGGTGAAAATTCAACATGTTACAGCATCTTGTACATATTTCCTGCATTGAAGAATCGCATTTAAGACCATTCAAAAGGTTCCAAAGACGGATGGGTATTCAGCTCAAATACAATAATATAAATATCTTGAAGTATAATGCTATCGCTCTAGCATATCATAATTGCTCATGTCAACCATTCTCGACCTCGCCCATTTGTCCAACGATGCCCAATTCACGCACTCATGGTCACTATAGACGCGTGAAAATGGTAAATCTTCCTCCCAGCGAAAGGTGGACAGAGTAGTGTCACCTCGGCACATGGCTGCTTCGCGCCAGTACTCAAGACAATGATCCACATGGATCTGCTCGCGGTTCCATTCGTCGTCGGTCATATTAGGATAGTACCGGTCTAGGTGGAAATGGCGACGTATGCGTTTCTAGAACCCGATATTAGTGTTGTTTGCCTTATTCTGGCCATTGGGATACGCACAATGCAATGAAGCTCATGGTATACAGCCAGTTCTGCGATATACCCGGATCCGTCTTTGAAAGCAATACTCGGGTCAGGGAGATGCGACAATTCTTCGCCGGATATTTTAATTGTCATCGCTGGTTATACAATTAGCGCTGCCATGCTTGATAATGGAAGAAATATCTCACGTTCTATCAAATGATTCCATGCTGCGTCAAATTCAGGATTAGGCTCCACGCGAGGATCGTTGCTGAAAACATTATGCTGGATATCCCGGTAGAGACGTGTTGGCTCATAAGAGATGACGTGTTTAGCCGGAGCTGTGGGTTGAGTCAGCCCAAGCGCACAATCCTTGGCTTGAAGGGAATCAACCTACAATATGACACTTTCGGTCTGACGCAAATATCTTCTAGCTGCGTAGCCCGCCACCATAGACCGAGAAAGACAATGTTTGATAAGAGCAAGAGGGTGCAGGCCCCATATTGCAGATAAATGGATCGGAAATTCTGCTTCCTGGCTCCATATAACTGCTCATCTGAAGAAAGCGACTCATCGAAGTCAGAAGTAGCCACTCGTGAGTATCTCTCATTTTTGCTGTTCATGGTGTTAACTTATGCCGTACATCGCTTGAGATTTAGGCAGGAAGAGTAGATAAAGGATTCGCTGACTCCTGCGACAAAATGCTACCCCACCGTAATAAGCAGACCGCTAGAACATCAGAGTAATACTGAAACATAACTTCCAAGCTTGGATATTTACGACTAGACCCTTAGGGCTGTACTGGAACGGACCTGTATTGTAATATTGAAATACAGCGGCTCAGTACTTTTGCCTTAATTACCAGGCTATAATTCCCCACGTCTACGTGGGGCAACATAGTAAACAGCTGTCGGCTTAAGAGAATGGACTTTTAACGGAGAAATTGTTCGATGAAGCCTTGCATCAATTCATTCATATCTTCTCGTCGTATTCCAATAGCTGGATTTCATTGAAGGCCTCATATTGAGCTTTCAAGATTGTTCTACATCGAAAACATCCTACACCAGGGTAAGCCCAGTAAAGCAAGCATCATTTCGCACCAACTCAACCCTCATGCAATCATCCAATGAAACAGAGCTTAAACTTCCCCTCATTTCTGCCACGTACACAATGTTGTTGACAATGTCCAACTTCGATCCAATTGGTTCATCAAATTGTCGGGCCAGAGTTACCCTTTGAATCAAGGCTATCTCCACCCACGTAGGCTCGGTATAACGCACATCCCGTTGGGGTTCTCTCCGCGAACGGTCAATTACAGTGCTTATGTCCAGTTATTGATCTCGATATTAATAGATTCGGGCAAGCTGTCAGACTCAAATTGGATTCCGGATCGATTCACGGCAGTCTCTCATGGGGGTGTATCAAGGCCAGTGCAAAACACGCGACGACGAGCAGCCCTGCTGAGATCTTTTTGTGTCCAGTAGACCCACCTGATCCAGAAAGCGGTCTATCCTGAAAATGTTCATCCATAGGAGATCAATTTCACTCGCAGCGCTAACAAAATCATTTGACGGCACCCGAAGTCGATTAGAAACGAGATCTAGGACCGTAGCTCATTGGTCCCTTGACACGGCAGCCCACTATAGCTCCATTAATGAATATAAGACACATGCCCCGCTGACTCGCAGTGGGCCACTTTACCAAGTATATCCTCCAGATATAGAAATATCTCCCGGTCGGTCTCGCCACTGGACATCAGCTCCACGGTACAAATTGCAGGAAAGAGAGCCAAGTTAGTAGTAAGTGTATGCTTCCGGCGCTCGAAAAGGACTTTCCATATCATGTGGCTGGACTAAACTAACGCACTATTGGATCCCAGATATAGTCGGCCGGCGCTATCGCATCCAATTCGCCAAGTATTTCGGTCTTAAGGTTCAGCTTTTCAGGGACGGCTTCAATTGCTAACCAGGCATTGGACCCAGCGTGTTCTGATTCTGTAAATGGTCTGCAATGACTGAAAGGGGCATGGGTGTAAGACTCGATGTCAGCTTCAGTGATAGATGGTTGAGTCGCCTTTCCCCCGGCACCACCAGTGGCACAAGTAATGTGCTGTCTCTTTGCAAATTCGCGGCATCATAGAGTAATCCTCTTTATATGTATCAATATAGCCAAGTGCCAATATAGCCAAGTGCCAACTGTAATGCGTCCGGTGGTAAATCCCATTAGTAGTGGTCATTGATTTGAAGTCCAACTTCATTGAGTATATACCAATTAGATTGGGTTAAGGGGTACTTCTGTTGAATTATGTACATATTCGATCTCATCACTCTCATCATCATCGTCATCATTCACGTCGTCTCATCGTCTTTCCTGTCATGTTGAAATAATTTTTGCAGGAAACAGACACCAAGGTCACCAAGACCGCAGATCAAGCTTGATCACTTATGGCTCGCCCCAGATCTCATCCGCAACCTGGCGGACCAGACTCAGCTTGTTCTTCTGGTCCTCAAACGACAACGGATATCCGCTCTCGTGAGTGCTGAAACCACACTGGGGGCTAACACAGACTCGCTTGAGCGCTTCCTCGCGGGTTTCACCGCTACCAGCTGCCACAAAGTCAGCAGCCTTGTAGATACGCTCCTTGATGGCGTCCTTGTCCTCCAGCTCACGAAGTTTCGTGCTGATCACACCGACAACGACGTTCTTGTTCTTGGGGAGGAACTTGAGAGGCTCAAAGCCACCGGCGCGCTCAGTGTCGTACTCAAGATAGAAAGTGTTGACATTGAGGTTCTCGAACAGCTTCTTGGCAATGATATCGTACGAGCCCTCAGAGAAGTGGCGACCACCAATGAAGTTTCCGCGGCAAAGGTGAATACCGGTGTGCATATCCGCAGGGATTTTGCTGATGCAGTCGTTGTAGAGTTGGATATAGGAATCGAGAAGGTCATCAACGGTACCGATGTTGTCCTTGTCCTCTTCCCATCCCTTGCGGAAAGACTTAGAGCAGAAGTATGCCATGTTCGGATCATCGAACTGCACATTGCGCAGACCGGCCTTGTACAGCGCGTCCAGCTCGGCCTGGTAGACCTGAGCTACGCCCTTAAAGTACTCCTCATCATTGGCATAGGCTTCTGGTGTGTAGGCCTTGCCTTGCTTATAGCGCATATGGAACCAGCTTGGAGTAATCAGAGTCACCTTGACGCTTGCTGGGGCTGCGGTAGCTGCCTGCACTAGCTTCAACTCATGCAGGTTGGAGATGGACCTATCCGGGCTCCAGTGTAGCTTAGACCCGGCGATAACCGAGTCGCCGGGCATGACCTTCCGGTCTTTTTCAATAAGACTGACGACATCGGGGTGGTATAGACGGAACATCGACGCATCGGCATCTTGCAAGCGAATGGTTCCTCCAAACTCATCAAAAGTGAGTCCCCAAAACCTAGTGCGGTTGAATTCACCGGATGTGACGGCTTTGAAGCCGAGGTCAGTCTGCATCTTCACCACATCGGCGATAGCCTCGCGTTCGACAGCAGGCAAACCGGCCTCCTCCTCGGAGGCACCGTCGCGGATCTTAGCCCGAGCCTCAAGAAGATTCTCCGGGCGGAGCAAGGATCCCATGTGCTCTGCACGGAATGGGGGCGCGCTGTGGAGTTGAGCCATGATGGAACTGTTTGTTGGTTGAGATGTGGAGCTCCCTGATCAGTCACAGAGAATTGAAATCAAAAACTATTAAGAAATGACGAGAAGGGGAAAAGAGCTAAGCCAATGTGAATGTGGTGCTATGTATGTGGGGCTGATGGGGCTCGGCGTTCTCGTGGGGCCACTTTCTTCAAAGGCTCAAAAGACTAAAAAATAAGATTAGAGCATGGTGACAACTGAATTGATTTATCAAGGCCTTGCAAAATCATGCATAATTCGTTTTCTCACATATTCCACGCTCTGCAGGGCGTTGGAGGTAAAATTGACGCCTATGAACGTTGAATGTTAGGGTTATACAGCGTATGTGGGGCCAAATGTGGGCATCATCTACAAAACAAAGGATGGAGGATGCAAATTGGCATGGAAAAATTCATGAATTCTGCTCGATATACGAGCAAGGATGCAAGTACCCACCATTTCTAATGTAGTTTCCATTCTGTTTTTACTCGGGTATGGGGATTGGCCCACCCGGGGAGTCGGGGAATCGGGCTGTGAGAACCTCCACTCCATCTTCCGTCACTAGCAGAGTGTGCTCGAATTGGGCCGACAAAGTTCCGTCGGCAGTGGTGCTGGTCCAGTCATCGGGCCAAGTGCGATCCCGATGTGTGCCAATGTTGATCATGGGCTCGATTGTGAAGCACATGCCGGGCTTGGCGGTGCCGACAGCCTTATTCTTGCCGTAGTGAGGGACGTTCGGAGCGCAGTGGAAAAGCTGGTTGATACCATGACCACAGTAGGTCTTGACTACACTGCAGTTCCGGGACTTGGCGTGTTTCTCGATCACATTTCCAGGGTCCCGGAACAGCATGCCAGGCTTGACCAAGTCGATTGACTTATCCAAACATTCACGGGCAGTCTCCACCACTCGGACCGCTTCGGGGTTGGCGCGAGCCTTATCTCCCACGTAGTAGGTTTCATTGATATCGCCGTGGAATCCTTTGTGGTAAAGGGTGACGTCAATGTTGACGATGTCTCCATCCTCCAGCGGCCGTTGGTCAGGAATTCCGTGACAGATGGTCTCATTGACTGAGGTACAGACAGACTTGGGGAAGTGCATGTAATTGAGCGGTGAAGGGTAAGACTGCGCTATGTTAGTGCCCATGATTTGCTACTCTGGTTGGATAAATATCTCACCTCGCGCTCGAGACAAGCCTTATGGACCACCTCATCAATATAGTCGGTTGTCACGCCGGGCTTCAATGCGCGAGCTGCAATGTCCAAGACCTCGCGGGCCAAGCGGCAAACTTTGCGCATTCCCTCCTGCTCTTCCTTGTTCAAGATCTTGATGCTATGCTGACCGAACAGCTTCTGCTCCGATCGAGGAATGCCATCTCGGGCATAATCGGGGTAGGGGATGGACTTGGGAACGGTCCGGGTGGCCGAAAGTGGGTAGAGAGGACGCAAAGAACCGGCAAAGTTGAACGTGGGAAAGGGGTTGAAGTGGCCGGTAGCTGGGTCAGGTTCAGAAACTACCTTCGGAGGGAATAGATTGGTGAGGAAATTACTCTTCTTATGGATAGTCTTATGTTCGGTCTGATGGAAGCAAAGGTCAGAATGGAAAGGTCCTGGAGAAAAGCGCCCCCTATGTCAGAGTTCAAGAGTGCATACCCAACTCCGCTTGAAACAGTCTTGCGCGCAGAAGAAACTGTCAGTGCCCATCTTCAGGCACGTCGGACATTGTAGGGTGCCTGCGTTGTTGGCGCAGTCCACTCCGCTGCATTTCCGAGGGGCGACGGCGGCCATTGTATACACCACGAGAATATGACGAATAAGCCAAAGAAATTACAAAGAATGTGGACGATCAAGATGCGAAATCCAGAAATCGCAGAAATTCGACCCTCCCGCGGTGATTTGAAGGAGACACTAGTCCGAATTAGTGATAGCGTTGACTGCCGTTTTGGCATGTTGCCTTGCTGCCTTACCCGAGCCATGAATTGCTTATCTCATCATCCATCAGACTGTGAAATCATGTCATCCCTTGAATGTTTGATTCATTTGCACCTGGGCTTCGGCTATCCGCGGCGTTTTGTTCCCCGCAAACCCCAGGTGTAAAGAAGACAAGGAATCCGTGTTTTTTCTTATAATATGGATCAGGAGTTTTCAAAGCCCCTTTCTATACCTTTCAACAACCTAGTAGTCTTGCTGGCTTCCTATCAGATATGGTGCCGTTGAGACCCTCGCGGGCTCGGATCCCACCAGTCCTCCGCCGCTACTATTCAGGTGCCCCATCGCCCTTAGCCAAGCTCAACTTGCCAATCGACTACAAGTCCACCTCACTGCTTCACCATACACCCTCTTCCCTTTCTGGGGTTGCCGACTTCCCAGCTGCCGCCACTAGCAAACGTCTGAATCTGTTTCAGGCCATTAATTCCGCGCTGCGGACCGCGCTATCAACTTCAGACAAGGTCCTGCTCTTCGGCGAAGATGTCGCATTTGGGGGTGTTTTTCGCTGCTCAATGGACTTGCAAACAGAGTTTGGCTCAGATCGTGTGTTCAACACACCCTTGACCGAACAAGGTATTGCAGGATTTGCTATCGGTGCTGCGGCCGAGGGGATGAAACCCGTGGCAGAGATCCAATTTGCTGATTATGTCTTCCCTGCATTTGATCAAATTGTCAATGAGGCTGCCAAATTTCGGTACAGGGAGGGAGGGACAGGGATCAATGCGGGTGGCTTGGTGATTCGGATGCCGTGTGGTGCTGTTGGACATGGTGCATTGTATGTTTGGCTGCCCGAGGAGCTCTCTGACTGACGAATTTAAATGCTGATATTTCTGATATCAAGGTATCACACTCAATCCCCCGAGTCACTCTTTGCCCACATTCCGGGCGTACGTGTGGTGGTGCCCCGGTCACCTTCACAAGCCAAAGGACTACTCTTATCGTCCATCTTCGAGCACAACGACCCCGTGATCTTCATGGAACCGAAAATTCTGTACCGAGCCGCAGTGGAGCATGTGCCCAATGAATACTATACCATTCCCTTGAGCAAAGCGGAAGTGATCAAACCTGGCAAAGACCTCACAATCATTTCCTACGGTCAGCCATTATACTTGTGCTCAGCCGCCATATCTGCACTTGAGAAAAGCATGCCGGGTGTCAAGGTAGAGCTGATTGATCTGCGCACCATTTATCCGTGGGATCGCCAAACTGTTTTGGAGAGCGTACGTAAGACAGGAAGAGCCATGGTGGTACACGAGAGCATGATCAACTATGGTGTTGGTGCCGAGGTAGCAGCAACAATACAAGAGGGCGCATTCCTTCGATTAGAGGCCCCAGTCAAGCGAGTGGCTGGATGGAGCACTCATACGGGGTTGGCCTACGAACAATTCATTTTACCAGATGTCGCAAGTAAGTTATTGAGTTGCCCCCATGGGGATCTTTTCTAACGGACGTCCTTTTGCCATAGGAATTTACGACGCCATGAAAGAAACCCTGGAATACTAGTTTCAACATATCTTGAAACCACATCCAAAACAGCATATCAGCCTTGAAGCTCCCAGGCTTGGCACAATAGAATTTCCTGAAAAGATCGCGAGCCTGACCAAAGCATGGGTCTAAATAGCTAAAGAAAACAAATTTGATTCCATAAAATCATTCTCAGGCTTTTCAAAGGATCACATCCGACGCCAAGCGCATCATTAGTTTCATCATGAAACCTATGATCCCGTCAATAAAGGACTTATTGGTACACTAAAACATCTCACGATCGCTCAGAAGAGTGAATGCTAAGAAAATTATACCGTCGTGGATCTCTTTGTTTGCCTGTAGCATGAGATTCCTATCATTCCTTTGTGCCTAACACTTTTTTGAAACATCGCATTATATGACGACCTGGTTCACGTATAATAGATCCGACTGTCGTGGCTTTTCTACTGTGGCAGAAATAGTAACTTGCCTCGCTACCCAATCCACCCACCAAGGTATCTCTCCTTTGGTACCCGACTTAACCAAAAATCAAATCTCAGATACTTCTCTTGTATTCCTATTCATTACTCTCATTCATGATGGCCTCTCCAGCCTCAGTTCAGGATGTTTCATGGCAACACGAGCTGAATTCGGAGAATGCCCTGTCAGAGAACCAGTCGAGCATGGACGCGAATGAACCAACGGAATCCGAATGTGATCTCGACCAAAAGGCCTTAGATCTCGTCAAAAATGTTGAAGAGATCCATACCAACCTCATGAACGCACAGAGGCACAGGGAGAAAACCATGGAAATAGTCTCGTCCATGGAATTACCTGTGTTCCCATCCAACATCGATAAACGACTCGACGATCTCGAGATATCCTTTGCGCTTGGGATGGTGATGGACGCCATGCGATGGAAAATATATGCTCTGGCTACGCTGGAGGCCAAAAGAGCACTCGACATCGCTAATCGTCAAGGGAACGAAGTCAATATCGCCAGGTGCTACTACTGGATGGGCCGAATCCAGTTGGAGCAAGACGACATACCCTCCGCCTACAAATTCTTCCTGGCTGCACGGCCCTGCGCCATGGCCGACCAGCATGTAGAAGGGTCAAGCGTGGGATGGTATTTGAACTTTTCGCATCCCACACTTGGTGAGGAATTTCGAAGGCGCGTCTCTACCGTGCGGTGTCGCACTACTCCCAAGGGGACTCTCACAAAGGTCGATCGAAACCACTCGGATGATAAACAATCAAGGAAGCGCAAGCAGGAAGCCTGGATATCAGAACTTGTTCTACGACCCTCGACATCGGCTGGTCCTACACAAGTAGCTTCAGTTACTGCAAAGGAAAATCGGAAACAAAACAGTCGACCCGTTGTGTGGGAAGCCAAAAACACCGAGGACGCTCTCCATGCTAACAGCCCTTTGGTAATCATTCAGAAAGGCGAAATCAATGCAGACGGAATGGAATGGCTGGCAGTTGCCAATTCTGGTCCGCGTCTTCCTCAGAGCAAATTTACCTTTCGTTGCTACTTCAATGGCCTGGCACCACGTACGCGTCCTACAAAGATATTTCCTGAGCAGCCCGGGGAGAATATTCTTTCCGCCGAGGAATGGCAGGCTTTGCATCAGCGTTTTCAGAACAAGAGAGTCACACTGGCCTACTTGGAATTTGAAAGATGGCAGAACTTTAAATTGGACAGCAATTTGAGGTCCTTGAAGAAATTGCCGGAGCGTATTTGGGGTACCACTTGAGCTGCAGCGAGGATCATGGAACTTTAGTCAATCTGGATTTGAATCTCAATGCTTTGCGAGGGAATAAAAAAATTAAAAAGAAAAGAAAAGATAACCTTGTAATGTATGTAGCAAGTTATTTAATGGAACTTCAGCGTAGCAATGGTTGCGTTGAGGCAATTCCATGGAATAACGGAAATACGCAGCGAGCGATGCCCTTATTGAGGAGCGATATGCGATGGCCTCCCCGCGTTCCCGCGCATTGTAGGTTATCGGATCGCACGCATCGCATTTCCTCTTCCATGCGGGATGTGCAGCGCTAAACCCGATCCAGCAAAGGGATCCGGGCTTCCTTATCTAATCGCATCAGAAGCATAACTGACTGGCACGAAGTTACATCTTAAATACTCGGCGACTACCCAGGGAGTGAATGGATTTTCAAGCTCTGTTCAGGCTCTCATAATACCTGAAATACCCAACATGGTTCTCGACAGACTCCAGCAGTTGGCTCATCACGTCAACGCGACAATGCCTCCACCGCATCCGTTTGATCCTCTCTCCACCGCGGAGATCGATGCAGCCGTCGCTCTCATTCGCAAGGAACATGGCTCACTCAACTTCAATGCGGTCACATTGTACGAGCCACGCAAAGCGCAGATGATGGCTTGGCTGAAAGATCCCAAAACCGCCCCTCGCCCAGCCCGTGCCGCTGATGTTGTTGCCATTGCACCCGGGGGCAAGATTTATGATGGGGTGGTGGATCTGGACCAAAGAAAGATCGTGGAATGGAAACACACACCCAATGTCCAGCCCTTGATCACCATGGAGGACCTGCAAGAGGTGGAACATATCGCACGCAAAGACCCGAAGGTCATAGAGCAGTGCGGCATCATTGGCATTCCTCCAGAGGACATGCATAAAGTATACTGTGATCCCTGGACCATTGGGTACGACGAACGTTTTGGCACTGGGGTCAGATTACAGCAAGCCCTTATGTATTATCGTCCACATGTCGATGACTCCCAGTATACCTATCCATTGGACTTCTGCCCCATCTATAACGCAGAGACCAAGCAGATCATCCATGTCGACGTGCCTCCAGTACGAAGACCGCTCAGTAAAGCGCCACCAAACAATTATCTCCCCGAATCCATTGAGAAAGACGGTGGCTTCCGTACAGACATCAAGCCAATTCATATCACCCAGCCCGAGGGTGTCTCCTTTCAAGTGAAAGACCGCATCATCGACTGGCAAAACTGGAACATCCACGTCGGCTTTAACTATCGTGAGGGCATTGTCCTCAACAACATTACATTTAATGATAAGGGCAATGTACGGCCGATCTTTTACCGACTCTCACTGGCGGAGATGGTGGTTCCTTACGGGAACCCGGAACATCCGCATCAGCGAAAGCATGCCTTTGATCTAGGTGAATATGGTGGTGGCTATATGACAAACAGCCTATCCCTTGGATGTGACTGCAAGGGAGCCATTCACTATATGGATGCTGCCTTTGTCAACGGTGCCGGTGCCTCGACAATCATCAAGAATGCTATCTGTATCCACGAGGAAGACGCCGGAATCCTCTTCAAACACACGGACTTCCGCGACGAGTCAATGGTTGTGACTCGTGGTCGCAAGTTGATTATCTCGCACATATTCACTGCTGCCAACTACGAATATTGTGTGTACTGGATCTTCCATCAAGATGGTACGGTCCAGCTAGAGATTAAGTTGACCGGTATCTTGAACACATACTCCCTGAACCCGGGCGAGGATACCAAGGGCTGGGGCACTGAGGTCTACCCGGGTGTGAACGCTCATAACCACCAGCACTTGTTCTGCTTACGTGTGGACCCTAATATCGATGGGCCCGACAACACCGTTTTCCAGGTCGATGCCGTTCGTGGTCCTGGGGAGGTTGGCAGTGCTGAGAACAAGTATGGAAATGCCTTCTACGCCAAAAAGACAAAATACACCACTCCCGTGGAGTCCATGTCCGATTATGATGGTTTCACCACGCGCACCTGGGACATGGCCAACACCAACAAGCTCAACCCATATAGCAAGAAGCCGGTCAGCTATAAGCTTGTCAGCCGCGATGTTCCACCACTTCTTCCTAAAGAAGGTAGCCTGGTCTGGAAGCGAGCCGGATTTGCACGCCACGCAATCCATGTTACAAAATGTCAGTTGATTTGCTGTGCTTTTATGTTCCGTGACTTATGTTTGCGATACTAACCGGTCTCTAGACTCTGATGATGAAATCCATCCAGCCGGGCGCCATGTTCCTCAAACTTCGGGTGAGCCCTCGCATGGCTTACCTGCTTGGATCGAGGCTGCTGGACCAGACTGCTCAATTGATAATACGGATGTTGTTTTATGGCACACTTTTGGTTTAACGCATTTCCCAGCACCCGAGGATTACCCCATCATGCCTGCAGAGCCTATGACACTACTTTTGCGCCCACGCAACTTCTTCGATCGTAATCCTGTGCTGGATGTTCCACCTAGCTATGCACGCTCACCATCCCAGGTGCTATCAGGAGCGAACAATTGCGCATGCAAAAAGAATGATGGATCCAGTGTGTTAGTTTAGAATGCGGGTGTTTTGTCAGGATATGATGAGGCGTTGATATATTATTTGATATTTCCATTTAAATTCAACTTATTCATGATATGGCTACCTCTAATGACCTCATTTTCATGTTCTCGAATTGAATGTGGTTTCGGTCCTTCATCGACATGTGTACCCTCCATCTACCACAATATCCGATCCGGTTGTGTAGGTACTAGCATCGCTCGCAAGGTACAGATATGCACCCTTCAGCTCCCGTGGATCACCATCACGCCTCAATGGGGTCAGGCTGTACCACTCTTCCTTCATTTCGAATGGACAGTCTTCGCTCATAGACGTGTCGATGTATCCTGGGCTGACAGAGTTAACGCGGGCGAAGTCGGCCCACTCCACAGCTAACGACTTGGCCAGATGGATCACACCCGCCTTGCAAGCATTGTAACATGCCTGAGCACTATTAGCCTCGTTTCCATCTACACGGTTATTATAACGAACCTGCTGTTGTGGAAAATTCACTGCATGACCAGACATTGAGGCCGTGAATATCATGTTGCCAGAGCCTTGTCTTCGGAATATCTGGCCTGCAACACGAGCGCAATAGTAAGCACCAGAAAAGTCAATGTCAACTACCCTTTGCCAGTCTTCAATTCTATCTTCCAGACCTCCAGCCTTGGAAGGAATTCCCGCATTCGCGATCATAACATCGAGACGGCCGAAGTCGCGCATAAATGCATCGGTGACTGCTTGAACCTGTGGAAATCATTAGCTTTATTATTTGGATTTGTGATCCCACTGCGAAACACACTTCCTCAAAGTTCTGCACTGAGCACTTATACGCCTTTGCCTTGATACCAAAATCATTCTCGAGTGAAGCGGCCAATGCCTCAGCTTGAGAAGAATTATGATACCACAACGCCACATTAGCACCCGCTTCTGCTAGGCCTCGAGCAACGTGATAGCCAATTCCACCGGTCCCGCCTGTGATGATAACAGACTTTCCATGCATCTCAAACATTTGGAAGATGCTATCCGATAGCGTCGGGTCCGAACGTCGAATGCTTTGCTTGGTCGCCATTGTGCAAGTTGGAGGTTAAGGCTACCTTCGGTACTCGCAAAACAGGGCTTTCAAGTTGGAAACCTCAATTCTACTCCAGTTTCAGATCCAAGACGGGCTATTTTATGCTTCAAATACTCTGAGTTGGAGGTCATCGTGGACTTGGTATATTACTTCTCCGCGCCGCACAGCGATGTCCGCATCGTGAATCCACTTTCTCCGGTGTCTGGAAAAGAAGATCCACCACAATTCGGTGTTCGCCACGATTGACAATTATTTTGGGGCCAAAAATGATCTAGAGCTGTAGGAATCAGGGGTGTGGAATCAAGACCGGACACGATCTTCCGTTAAGCGGATGCGATGGTCCGTTGAAAGGATCAGCCAACGATCTCGTCATCATGCAGGAAAGACATGGCAACCCCATGGGGAAATAACCATGCATTTGAGACTGAGTGGCTCCACTTTATGGCTGCCATCTTGATCCCGTGCTTGCCGATGTCTCGTGTTGCTTACCCAAAGGCAGGGATTGTTATACGCGGATATATTAGCTTTCAAGAATCCACCTTGAGGACAGAATTAATCCAGCATTCCTGATTTCCCTCGTTATGAAGGACCAAGATATTGTCGGTGAGGCGCTGGCCTCTGTTCTGCCCCAACATGATCGTCCTTGGTTTCGTATACCAAGCCTGTTGAAGCTCAATCTCATTCTCCTCGTTCCTCTACTGCCATCGGCTGTGGCTGGATATGATGGTACGTCTACCAACAGGCTCTATTTTTCAATTCTCACTCATCGCTTCCACTAGGATCCCTAATGAATGGCCTTCAGTCCATCACAGAGTGGAAAGTGTATTTTGGAAGCCCAGCTGGTGCGGCTCTCGGCGTTGTCAATGCCGCTCAGTCTATCGGAAGTGTCATCTCGCTTCCTTTTGTTGGCATGCTGTCTGACAGAATTGGCAGACGTCTGACTCTTCTGTCTGGTACGATCGTAATCATCATCGCGTCGATCATCCAGGCTGCATCCGTTAATTATGGCATGTTCGTCTTTGCTCGTGTACTCGTCGGGATTGGCTCGATGCTTGTTGTGCAGCCATCACCTATGCTGATTACTGAGCTGGCGTACCCAACGCATCGTGGGAAATATACTAGCGCTTTCTGGACTATGTACTACCTTGGCGCCATTCTTGCTTCTTGGACTTCATATGGAACACAAAAGCATTTGAGCACCTCAATTTGGAGCTGGAGAGTTCCATCCATTGTCCAAGCGGGATTTCCTATTATCCAGATCATATTCTGGTGCTTTGTCCCAGAATCGCCACGGTTAGTTTGGGTCTCATTCTCGGTAACCCTCTCGTATACTGACGCCAAATTCCACAGATGGCTAATTGCCAATGGCAAAAGAGAGGACGCTAGAGAACTACTCGCTCGATTTCATACTGCCGGCGACACCTCACACCCATTAATTCAATTCGAGATGGCGGAGATAGTGCGCACCATTGAAATGGAAAGTCTAGCAGCAGAAACAAAATGGTCGACTCTTATCAAGGGCCCTGGCAATCGCAAGCGCACTTTCATCGCCGTTTCTATCGGGGCTTTCGCCCAATGGAACGGTGTCGCTGTCGTATCCTACTATTTGACTCTCGTCCTGGATACGGTCGGTATTAAAGACTCGGACACACAAACCCTCATCAATGGTCTACTTCAGATATTCAACTTCGTCGTGGCTGGAAGTGCAGCGCTACTAGTGGATCGACTCGGCCGTCGAACCTTGTTCCTCTGGTCAGCAGTCGGAATGCTCCTTTCATTCGTTGTCTGGACTGCCTGCTCGGCGGTGTTTGACAGCACAGGATCGAATTCTCTCGGCCACACGGTCATTGCCTTTGTCTTCATTTTCTACTTTCACTACGACATCGCGTACACTCCATTGTTGCTGGGATACGTTACCGAGATCTTCCCCTATTCCACTCGCAGTAAAGGATTGACTGCTGAGCTTTTGAGTGTATATGGCTCGCTCATCATATTGTCGTTTGTGACATCTATTGCACTAGACAATATTGGTTGGCACTACTACATCTTCTTCTGTTGCTTCGATGTTCTGGTTTTGGTGACCACCTGGTTTTTCTTCCCAGAAACGAAGGGATATTCCTTGGAAGAGATTGCCAATGTTTTTGATGGGCCATCTGCTACCGTTATGGGTTTTGACAAAGGGGAGGACGTGGTCGGCAAGGGAGAGCAGGTTGAACATGCTACAACTGCGCATATCGCATAACCACGTCCCAAATTTGGTAATACTGAATATAACGTTTTCTTGTCTTTTCAGGCCTGTTTTGTTATTTTCTCTTTTTTCTTCTATTTCTTTCTCTACGAGAGATCCATGTTTCCCCGCAGAAAGAGACGAGTCCCTTGCGTCATGCGGACGATCGTGTCCGTCGGAGCAGACTGTCCGCCCGGAGGAAGACCGAGTGTGCGGGGAATCAACAACTCGGAGACAATTTTCGAACTATTAGATAGATTCCTTAAAAGCCAAAAAAAAAAACAGATCGCTGGCTTTTAAGTGCAATCCGACAATATGGTGCTCTCGCAACCCCAGAACCAGCATGTCATGAAAGCATTCGACTTGACTGGGAAAGTCGCCATTGTCACAGGTCTGAGAAATCGCGAACGATATGAAGATCAAAGCTTAGCTGACCGAAATCATAGGCGGCGCCCGTGGAATCGGTCTCGAGGTCACTCGAGGCCTGGCTGAAGCCGGTGCTAATGTACGATCCCTTGGTACTACAACATAACCAGTCTAACACTATATCCTAGGTCGCTCTAATCTACAACTCATCCAAAAACGCCGACTCAATCGCTGAGGAGATTGCATCGACGAACAATGTCAAAGCAGCAGCATATCAAGCCAACGTCACCAGTCAGACTGAGATTGAGGCTACCATCCAGCACATCGCAAAGGACTTTGGTAAACTGGACATCATTGTTTGCAACTCGGGCATTGTATCGTCCATCGCAGCTGAAGACTACACGGATCAACAGTGGAGAGAGATTATGCAGGTGAACCTGGATGGCGCCTTCTTTTCCGCTCAAGCCGCTGCGCGCATCTTCAAGGAACAGGGTCATGGAAATGTGATCTTCACTGCCTCTGTCAGTGCGACATTGGTCAATGTGCCCCAGAAGCAGGCTGCGGTAGGTTCACTTAGAGTCTTTGACCTTTTCACTCGCTGACTTCATACAGTATAACGCTTCCAAGGCCGGCGTGGTTCAGCTAGCCAAGTGCTTGTCTGTGGAGTGGGTGGACTTCTGTCGTGTAAACTGTATTTCTCCGGGATTCATTGCGACTGAGATTCTGGATATTCACCCACAGGAGTGGCGTGACAAGTGGTACGACATGATCCCGGCAAAGCGCATGGCCCAGACTTATGAATTGAAGGGAGTAAGTACCTGAGGTCCATTGAAGCATATTGGTATAACTAATCTTTACGCTAGGCATATGTGTTCTGCGCTTCCGATGCTTCGAGCTACATGACCGGTGCGGATATTATCATAGATGGCGGATATACCTTGCCGTAAGACAAGAGTAAAAGTCTGACGCTATGCTCCTTGTTTGAACTCCCTGTATCTAAGATTATGGTAGTTGATTCATGAAATCAAATATAGTCGACTCTTGCCTAAAAGAATAATCAGTCAGTGCTCAAATTTGTCAATCACATCCCGATCAGAAAACTCTCACAGAATTGAATCTATCCCATCCGGCTGGACTGTATCCAACGTTGGCCACATCAATGGATATAGGTTCGCAAGTTGTGTCTGCGGTGATTCTTCGGTCGCTTCCCATCCAACTATGGAAGAATCAAGATAAGACCCGCACAGAGACCGAATCACTCCAAGACAACGCGAAGACGTAGGGTTCAGGAAGGCCATCGACTCCAAAACCGGCATGGCCTGCAAAATTTGCCTACGCCAGTCTTCTGCCAGTATATGCTGTGGGTTATTGCGCAGGCAAATGACCGGGATGAGTATTGCCTGGAATAGAAAGTACAGTCCGTACCAGCAGGCCATCATGCTCTGTTGTTCCTGTTCCCAGAAATTGGCAATCAGCTCCACCGATTCGCGGGACGCATCCAAGCACCGCTGAATTGCGATGTCGCCTTCTGTGACGTTTTCTTCGCTTGTCAGGCCTCCCCCGGGGCGTGCCATCAGCCGGCCAACTAGTAATGGTCGGTACATGAGGATACGGAAGTTTCTATATCGCCATCGCATTATTGAGTGGCAAAGTAGAAATTTTGGCGCCTGAATTATATGCTCCTGGAAATAAGAAGGTAGATTGGTCATCCAATGTCCAATTAGCCTGTCATCGAGGTCGATAAGCTCTGCTGCAGATGGGAATGGCGACGAGATGATTTTAGAGTAAATGGGACTGGTGGCCATGTGGAATGTTGCCTGGGCTCGGAGATGGGTGTAAACAGTAGTTTCATTGACCGACTTGGGCACATGCTTCGTGCCCGCCGTGATATCCTGTCAGAGGTCAGCATATATCTAGGAGCAGATTCAGTGGGGCTCACGCTGTCATGAACATTCAAAGGAATCTCGACCTCGATGCCTTCCTGGGGATAATCCATTGGTCGGGAGAATGTGATAATAGCGCCCACATCAAAGATATAGAGACAATACCAGATCCTTCGTCTCATTTCCGTTTCCAAAAGACTAGTCTCCCACGTGGGAAATTCTTTGTGAAGACCAATTCCCATTGCTATGCGCCTCGCTAGTCCCATGTAGTTGTATCCCGAATTAGGCTTATTCCTTTTCTGCATGTGGTTCGAGCTCAAAACCAAAGCTTGGACAAGGAGAAGATTGCCAGTCTCAAGCATATCAATCGACATTCGTGCTTTGGCTGCCTCGAACAGACCTAGATCGACATCGGAGGGTTGCGTGGAGGTTGTGAAGGCACCCACTGCGGCTATGACAAAGAGGAGTACCTGCCATGTATTACCACTTGGGCGAGGAATTACCTCCATGAACTGAGCTCGGAAAGTGGCTTCATGTATGATTGGGTACGATCGATGGTAAAGAGAAAAGTATGCTTCCACAAAGGGCTCCAGCTGGCCCAGGGATGTCACAGCATAGGGAATACTTGGAGCTAGGTGATCAGCACGAATGTATTTATCCGAGCTAGAGGAATAGACCGTGTTGGTCGACGTGGTATCTGTCATTCGTAGTAGCGCAGCGCCAGATGCCACCCCTTCCAAGAATTGTCAATGTCAGTTTGTAGAAAAAGACTTGTGGATTGGAAATACCTAAGTAGCCCCCCTCGTTCGCGTCACTAGTCAAGCTAGCCATTCCATCCACAAACCTGTCTCCATTGGGCTTTCCGGTCCGCTCGTCCCATTCAAAGCTATTGGAAGATGGCGGAGTTTCGAGAGACAACCCGGACGTACCACGGGGGTCCGTCTCGCGTGTCAATGTCCGTACAGACTCTTGGGGTGAAGAGGCTCGCAAAGAGGGATACCTCTCAATGATTCGACTCGGCGTGTGTTGTTGAAAGTCTTCTCTGCCATCTTCAATGCCTTCCGATAGGGGCTCATTGAATTCTCCATCATTGTTCTTCGCTTCCTTGTGCGTGAATTGCAAAAGTAGTGCCTTGGTGCGTGCTAACTCACTTTCGACCTGGGACAAGTAACGGCGAGTGAGCGGCGTTCGTGTTTGTTTCTCATAGACACATGAGCGACGAAATTTCTTGCAGAGTAAACAACATGGCGTCACCCGGTTGCACTTATTTCAGTTAGTGTGAACATCTACAAAGGCCGATCCACTTACCTTGGCTTTCCTCCGGTGGCATTCCTTGCACGCTCTGTCGGCTTGGTGGCTACGTCCATCACCTGGACTTTTCCCCGATGACTCTGAAGACATGAGGCGAGTTGCATCAGAGAGTCAAGAAGGTGGGGAAGTTGGGGTGCGGAGAACATCCGATCGGCATGTTTCCGTCCTCTTGACCCCAGCTGTTTACATGGTGTCACAACACCCTACTCATGCATGACTTGATTGTGTAGACTGTCCCAAATACTTATTGTTTGAATTTTGCATTACACGAAAGACTCGCCGCTACGGATATCCCCAATGGTCAGGGCGGTCTTTCCGACGTTGCCCCCACTCTCTAAAGATCGGTGGGCTTCACGGAGACCATCTAGTGTCAACCCAAGCCGTTGCGTCAGATGACAACGAATTGTGCCAGAATCCAACAGTCGGCTCAACTCTTCCAGGACTCGATGGTGAGACTCCACATCTGTCCCATAGACAGGTTTGGTACCAATCAGGCACCAGATGAAGGACAACGACTTTGCCATGAACTCGGTGCCATACATCTTGGCCTGGCCTTGTACGATCGAGCAGACTTTGCCGAATGGGGCACAAATCTTGGCGCACGCATCCATATACTGGTCGGTGGAATGCGTGATAAATATATACCTGAATCTACGTCAGCCATATCCAACCTTGGAATCGGAAATATCAACACCCACTTTACAGGAACATCGAGATTGAGCTTCCGGATTTGCTCTGGCAGACTCTCTCTGTGATTGATAACGTGCGTTGCTCCCATCTGTTTAGTGAAGTCAATACTCTCCGGACGGGACGCGGTCGTGATCACCACTGGCAATTCAAGGAGCTGACGGGCGATTTGACTAGCCACGGCCCCAACGCCACCTGCGCCGTTGATAATAAGCACTGCCGCCTTCTCCTTGGGTTCAATCTTCATTTGTTCAACGAGGGCCTGATACGCGGTGACATATGTAAGTGGCATGGCAGCAGCCTCCGCCATATCCAAGCTTTTTGGTTTGTGTCCCACCGACCGCTCGTCCACGAACTGGAATTCGGCGTTGGACCCGTGTCTGACTGGGCTACCGGAATAGAAGACTTCGTCTCCCTCCTGGAAGAGCGAGCAGTCCGGGCCTGTTTTCTGCACGATTCCCGCGCCATCATAGCCGCAGATCTGATAAGGGCGGGGAACGTGATCGTAATAGTCTAAACATCGTTAGCCTGCAATACTGTAGCGGTGCAAAGATTGAGAGCAATACCGGGATAGTCATCATAAACACCCCCCCGTACTTTCATATCGATGGGATTTACAGAGCATGCCTCTACCCTAATGTCCAATTGTTATGAGACGAACTGCCAGGCAGCATCAGACCACGTACCGTATCAACAAATCGCGGCCCTCCGGTTCCCCTAGATCGGGAACGTTTCGAGCTTGTAGATTTTCGATTGGCCCATATTTCTCAACAACAACAGCCTTCATGGTGTATCGTCTGTACAAATCAAGTCTTTCTCGTCGAAGTCGGATGGTTATTTTACTATCCCAAGAAACAAGACAGAGCATGTACGCATGATCTTTATGGAAAGTTGCCGCTGGTTTGGCATCGTCATTTTGCTTTAATGTTCACGTCACGAATCTCCGTCGAGTGGAGTTGCCGCTGGTTTGGCATCGTCATTTTGCTTTAATGTTCACGTCACGAATCTCCGCCGAGTGGGTATGATCCCTATTGCAGCGCCGTACTGCAAGCGGTCCACCTCTGACCAATTCTTATCCGTATCTACCGGGATCAAAGACGCTGTAAAACAAATGCACACTGAAGTATTTGGAAATTATACTTGATTAAGCTTGACGATCAGTAGGATTAATTAATTTGAACATAGTCTAACTCTCTTACATCGGTCGGCCGAATGCGTCATGATGATGCAAAACCTCGCGGAAAAGCAGCAACGCCTTGTTAGAACACACGTCTCTGGAAGGGCTTTCAATAAATCACTCTAAAGTCATCGTCAATTTCCCTCACCTATTATGGATCAAAATAGGCTTCTTATCTCCGCTACATGTCAGTATGGCTCTAATGCATGCATTGTGTCGACCTCATGCCGACGGGCGGATACCATGGGTTCCGTGAGTTTCCTACCGGACTTTACTTCGGTGAGTGGGTAGAGTGGGGTCATAATCATGTAGCATTGAACTCGAGTCAATTCGGCCCCCTCCAGCCTCGACACTAGACTGATCAACCACACTCAACGTCGCTGGTCTATGGGCAACCCAGATTCCATGAAGATCTGTACCATGGCACGTTTCCTTTTTTTCAATCTACATTTAGCTTCATTGCCTACCTTACAAGCTTATTTCACCTCGGTATATACCTGGAGAGAATAAGCTCGGATGTCGCCCCAAGGATGAAACGTAGAAGGGGCTGCATGAACGCCTGGCAGTTGGGCTCAAGCCTTCTCTATTTACCGACGAACTCGCGCTAGGTAGTTCGGCCATAAGCCCCTGCGGGCTGGTTGAATTGGGATCGATATCCTGGGGCCATAAATGGGGGCAAGCTCTATGCCAACATCAGTATACGGAGTGCCAGACCGTCAGATCCACAAGGTTGCAGGCTCAATCCCTCGCAGAGTCATTCAGAATTTCGAGCCCCTGAGCCTTCAAGGGGCCATATCATGACCCTGTCTCAGCTGCTACCTTCACGAACCGTAATCGCTAATCTATTTTCAGGTCCACTGCCAAGTCAAGAATTAAGGGTCTGGGGGCCAATATCCTCAAATTACTAAATCTGGTTGGCTTCGTTCCGAGTTTGGCTTGAATAAGCTGTTGCCACCAATTCAGGGCGTTTTTAGCTTATCGGTCTAAAATCCGTGGCTGGACTCTGTATAGAGTACATGGAGGGTTAAAGGTATAAAGAGAGTCATGATTCCCGTCCAGGTTGCTCTTCATTCATTCAGCATCACGTACTACCTTGCACATCAATATCCAGCTTTCTCAGCCTTCTCAGTTCTCTCGTCCTTTTTCTCCCATTTTTCTCAATCGTCACTATGCAGTTCAAGCTCACCTTCATCACGGCTCTCTTCGCCGCTTCTGCTATTGCCGCTCCGACCTCTAGCGGGGCTAGCTGCTCCAATGCCGCTGTTGCAGCGCTCCAGGGTGCAACCAAGCAGGTTTCAGACCTCAATTCGAGCCTCGCTGGAACCACCACTGCTGCCTCACTCGCCTCTGCCATCATCACAGGATTGGCGGACAATCTGTCGACTCTCCTGAACGGAATTGTCTTGCCCTGTGGAGCTACCTTGACTGCTCAGGACCAGCATGAAATCTGCAATGCTGCTACCACTGTACGATCTGCCTCGATAAATCAATAAAAGTCCCCTAGCTAACACATTGATAGTTCATCAACACTGACAAGACTCTTGTCTCAACTCTCAGCTCCAAGGCCGACATTCTCTCCGGTCACATCCTCACGATCAATGTCCTTGGTGCGATCAACAACCTCGAGACTGCTACCACCGTAAGCTAACATAGATACATTGTTCGATTGGGAAGAGATGCTAACTCGTTATAGAACTACCTGCGCCCTATCATCAACAACTTGCCCGTCTGTGGCGGTACTGTTCAGGCTGAGCTCAAGGCTCTAGAGTCCGACATCAACGGTGCTGTTGCCGCTTTCTAGATCATTAGCTGGAAGCTTAGTAGACTTGGTTGGCTCAGTGAGGCAAAGAATACTAGGAGAATGGCATTTGGAATAGTCTGATTCATTCAGGATATTTGAGACTATAGATACTATATTGCGTAAATATTTTGCGTTACCTTCTGGAATTGATTATAATTCATCTACAATACGAGCAACTTGGTTCTTTTTGCGACGATAATCTTCCCGAACTCAAGATCCTTGCTAGGAAACCGCTCGCAGGGTTAGAACTAGAGCATGAAGAGTCGCGAAATGTACTTCGCACCTGGATTTAAACCCTGCGGAGATTGTTTCGTTCAATTGCTACTTGAAGTCCAGGGTTGAAGTTCCAAAATTGGATTTCACGTCGTGTGGCTCATTCCCATTTAGCACCGGATTGTATGGTTGGCCTTATTACTAGTCTGTGAGTTCAGGGTCCAGGATACAGTAACCTATGCAAGCTAATGATGAAAAAAAATCCAGGGTACCGTTACAACAGACTTGCAGAATAATAGATGCCAAATAGCTTCAAATCAGGTAGTTGGGAGATGCTCTCTTGGAACAAGGGGATATCATATGTACAACAAAGACGGGGCTTAGCGCAACAAGAAGTAAACAACAGAATGTAAGCAACAACAAAAGCTTAATAAGACATAAGGCTCTAAAACACCACGTAAGAATAGATCGTGAGCAGCCCTGGAGATTACGGCGTCTCGTTGCTCGGCGCAGCTCGTCGCCCCCATCCGCTAAAGAACCCGCCGCCCCCGGCATTGTTTGTGGCATTTGGAGTCTTGACCGGCTCAGTCGAGGCTTTGCTTAGGCTATTCCTATTAGATGCACGCCCCATAAAAGAGTGCCGGTTGTCGAGCTTCGAATTGGGGTGGGCTGCGGGCGCACTGATCATCTTTCGCAAAGATTCCAGTTTGCCCTTGACTTCCTCGAGTTCCTGCTTAGCCACGGCTTCGGCGGTCTTTGAGGCAACAAGCTCTAAGAGCAACGATTCTTCTGGGGCGGGCTTGTTGTTTTCGGTAGCCAGAACGGTTTGAAGTCCCAGGCTGCTAGAACGTTTGTTGTATGTTGGAGACTTCTGAGAGTTACTGCGGGCCAGCTTGAGTTCACGAAGTCCTCGAGGGGAAGCTTTCTCGCTGGTATCAGATGCGGGGGAGACAATCTCCGGTGGTGTTCTTGGTTCGGAGGTGTTGGTCTTGAGGGTGCGAAGCTCTTGGTTCCTTCGCTCCAAGCGCTGTCGATCACGGTAACCATCCTGGATTCGGCTACGGGCCTCGCGGAGCTGGTCCTTCAGAATTGTGTTCTCTTTTTCATAGTCGTCCATGCGTCGGGAGAGGTCCATGCATCGACGGGCTTCTACCTCGTGCATTGCTTTCCATCGGGTCATGTCATCTTGCAGTTGGTGTTTTGTTTGGGGGATTGAGGCGTGCTTGGGTTCACTGGAGGCGTACCGGGCTTGTGCCTTTGACACAAGTTCGGCGGGTCGTGACTCCTCTGGAAGGTCCTGGAGATAATTGAGCATCTCCTTTGCTAGGGCGTGGTCTTCCTCGCGCTCTTCACGTTCTTGTTGTAACTCCAGGCTCAGATCTGCATGTTGATGTTGAAGATCGCCCAATGCCATCAAAAGGTCTTCAATTTGGGTATGAAGATCGCGATCCTTCTGGTTGACAGACATGTTTGATTTAATACGGGACTTGTGACTATCAACGTTCGTACCAGCTGACAATTCAGTTGGGGCAGTGCTGGCATCGGAGGTGGTTTCAACTGAGTTGAGTGTTGACGTGAGGCTTTGTTTTGATGTGGAGCGCCGAATTGAGCTCGTGGGACGCGAGGCACCGGGGTTAGGGTTCAGAGATTTGACAGAGTTGTGATTGTTTGAACCCGCCCACAGACGTCCCAAAAAGCGGGATGCTGCAGCCTGCATCTGTGGGAAAGAAATACCTGTTGGGACACCTTGTGACTGATTGTAACTTGCCTCCAGCGCCTGTAGGCTCTCTTTGGTAACAAGTGAAGTCAGTGACACGAAATCGTTAACAAGGTCATCCGCATTGAAGGCGTATCTAGATTCTTGTCAGTGGACTATCCAATTGAGTGTGAGCAGTGAACTTACGTATCCCAGAGGCTTCGTGACAGAAGTAATTGCATCACATCCTCGAACTCAGCACACGCTAGTATTCTCTTCTCATTTCGCTGCATTAGAGAAAGTGCAACGCGCATCAGAGTCTCACAAGCACCCTCGAGGAAGATGACATCGTAGATTCGAAGGAGCATGGGCAATGGACATGCAACCGCAAAGAACGAAAGGAACCATTGCGATACATAGACAGGCTCAACATTCAGCGACTCCAAATGCTCGAACAAGGTCGGCCGGTGACGTGCCAAAAGGTTCTGGAACTGGTACACGTGAAGGTGAAGACCTGACAAATCTGGCAGATAGCACTGTCGGAGGTTATAGTGATCCATCAAACGAACAAGCACGCAGAAAGCTTCCGCATCCGACATGTGCATGAGCAAAGGACCAACCACAAATCCCAGGCCTTGGCAGTATCCAATCTGAGCATCGTACAAGCTGAAGCATCTCAGCACCCGGGCTAACATCTGCTGGCCCTCACCATTGGGATCCCGAAACATCTCTACGTTGGGAAAGCTGCGACCAATGTCCTTTCCTATCAGACCATCGTATGGGCTGCTCTCCCCCGAGAGTCGTTGGAACTCATCCAAGAGACTGGGGTCGCGAGCCCCGGCCAGACTTGGCCATACCACGCCTCTCAATGGCGGGGGTACACCGCCTTGGATTTTGTTCGAGGTCAGGGTGGGCAGGCGCTGGGCTGTCTGCGGGTAATCCGCCACTAGTGCTGCCCAGAATTCTAGCTCGGTCATCGGTGGGGGTGGAAGTTGCGAGTAGCGTAACTCAGCCCGAGCTGGATCACGGATCAACCGCTTGATCTGGTGAAGCGACTGAGAGCGGGACTGGCGATGATGCGTCTGGATCTTCGGGGTATTGGCTAAGCCAGCTTTGGGATCTGTCGCCAGAGCATTGTTCTCCTGTTCCAACCGAGCCAGTAGCAGAGCAGTGGAATCATCCGAGCCCTCTCCGCGTGGCTCCTGCTCCTCCGTTTTATCCAAGTTCTCCCAATCCACTTCGTGCTCAATATCTTCCTCCAGTTGTCTGGGCTCTGCGGAGGTGGGGGTCGAGGGCTCCGAGGGGAGTGGGCTGGTCTTTGCGGCGTCCCGGAGGGGCATCGGACCGAATGAGTCGGTGGCATTTCGGTTGACATCGGATTCATGGCTTGATTCCACTGGAGTAGGAGGAATGTCGAGGGTGCGCCAAGCTGGTTGGGTGTGTTCTGAGTTGGATTGAATGTCGGACAGCGAAACGGTCACCATCGAATCATGATTAGGGGCGTGTGGCCCATTGGGCGAGGTGGGCGAGGTGGGTGTAGAGTCGGCCATCGTGGCAATTCGGTCGAAACTTCAATTATGGTTACAGATGCACCGGAATAGTTCGATTAGACACAGAATGGTCGCAGGGTGATTCTCGAGGTGAGATGCAAGACCAGCTTCATGTCTGTTCAGAAAAGTGGCATGAGTACGAAGATCAAACTGCTAGGGAAGAGAAAATCCCTAACGTACCTCGAGGTGAACCAGCACCATATAGCACAAAAATTATGTACAAAAAAAAGTGGCAGGACTGGGGAGGCGGAGGAAAAAGGGAGTTCAGGAGAGAAGTAAACTATTTGACTAGCCTCCCCTTTTAGTGTTTCCCCCTCAGAGTCTCGCCCCCGCCGATCTCATACACCGACTGTCTGATGGCTGTTGCACCTATTACTTTAAACCAGATGCTCCGTAATTTAGTCTTGGTTTCACTGTGGCGTTCCTCCTCCCCCTAACATCAATTCCAAGGTTATGATTTCTACTGTATCTATCCATGCGCGTTTCGCGTTTCCCCTCGATCGCTGTACCATGGATCTTCCTCGATCCGTCCCCCACCATATGGGACCTGCAATGGTGACTGTAGTTTTGGCTCATCAAAGTTGCCACTCTGACGTCTTCCTGATAGAGTTAACCCCGGCCCCCTGTTTGAGCTATGAATCCGAGTCTCTGGATCTGGCCAGTTATTCCCCTGCAGGTCACGCTGATATTAGAGGGGGTGGGCAATATGTAATTTACATACGTATTTTAAACAATTTGTAATCTATTTATTTTTTCATTGGCTGCAATGCCTGCGTGTAGGATACCATTGGCCTGCATTCTGTGTAACATATGAAAACTGGGTACTGTCCCTGGCAGGGTTGTTTCACCTTAACTGGTTACGCTGCATGGGTACAACCCTGGAAATGACCGTGTATGTGTCGGGCATGAAGGTTTGGATATATAAATTATATAGGACATGACTGGATTGAAAGGTAAAAGTCTAGAATAAATAAACATAAAATGCAATAAATATCGTGATAATCGACTCAGCTCCCAGAAAGAGAAAGGCAGACATCTGGCCATGTATGGGCTAACGCTCTTATGTTTGGCTAGTACCCCCCTTTATCCAGTGGATCCCGGTCCGTTTTTAGCGCTGGCTGAAATCTCAGGTTTCCTCTTTGAGCATCACTTTGTTCGTCCACAATGCTATCTTTATGAGAAAACTTACAAGATTGACTCTGACGTTTGCCACCGTCAACTAGACCCAGAATGACATCCATGGAACATTTTTAATTTCTTCTTTGGGATAGTTGGGGGCCATGATGTGTGTCCTCGTCGATCTTATCCTGGGGCCCTTTCTGTAAGGACTCCGGGGGCGGGGCTTTTCGAAATTGTCTTCCACTTTATCATAGAAGAATTCTCCTTGGATCAGTACGGATACTTATCTACAATGTCCCTGTTCAAGCTTAGGTCGGGGGCTGGATGAATCTACACGCTGACTATTAAATACATAACCGCCCAGGAGTCTCAACAGCGTCTATGTAGGGTTCAGACATAGTCTCAAGCTGATCATACGCCCAGACAGATCTCGTGTTTATAGATGCAGCCTTGATCTTTTCTCATGAGTAAGGGTTGTATTCCAAGTCACTTCCAAGGTTCTCTCCTTATCTCTGAGTTAAGTTTTGCTAAGAACTATATATGCGAGTTGGGTTTCACCATTATTTAGGCATATTACTCGCCTCTTGATGGTGCAAGAATGCATTATGTACAATCATGTCTGATGATAAAGAGATGTGAGGTGAAGCGATGAGTGAGCTAGACCACTCTTTAGCCGCTAGATATTTATAGTGTTAAGAGGCGTACTCTACTCTAAATCCATAATCACTATGGAATCAATTTTTACCATTATTCGATATACAAGTTGAGCTTGAAGCGGAGCTTAAAGCATAATTCTCATGCGAGACTGAATAGTTACAGTATGTGCTGACTAGACGCAGTGTAGTGAGAGCAATTCACGGTCGCAAGCCGTGACCCGCACGCATCGCGCTTTTGACCCGTTTGTTTAGAAATTACCGCATTGGGCTGCAGACTGTAGGCGGTGAGGAAGAACATTGATCCATGTGGCCAAAGCATCTCACCGCCCGATGTTTGGGTAGGCGCGTTTCACTTTTTGCGAGGAAAACAGCGCATCCCCCCCCCTCTTCTCTCATTTCTTCTATCCTAGCTTGGGCATGCCGGGCTCATCTTTTCTCAGCGCGTAGCTATCTCCCATTCAACACCACTGACCTTCACACTCGTTTGTATCGCGGCTTAAAGCCCGATTGTTCCTTATTCCATTCTGATCCTCACCATGGACGATTCGATCATGGATGATTCGGTCTTCGACATTGACAGCGACGGGGGCAGCTCTGACTTTGTTCCAGAAGTCGCACCAGTAAGCTTTCCTGGTGTATGATTTCATCAACCTCTACTAACCCGAGTGTCTGCTATAGAAGGCGAAGGCCGCTCCGAAGAAGGCGCCTGTTAAATCCGCGCCCAAGAAGACAACCCAGACTACTCTGAAGGCTAAGCCTGCTGCCAAGGCTGCCCCGAAGAAGAAGGCTAAGGCCGACAGTGAGGATGAGATATCCGATGTTCAAATGTCCGATGACGATTCACTCTCTCAAACCCCTCCCAAGGCCAAGAAGGCTGCCGCTCCAAAGAGAGCACCCTCGAAGCCTCTTGCGGATGTGGAAAATGAGTCTTTTGGCGGAGATGCCCCCTCCGATTCCAAGAACGGCAATGCGTCAGAGAAGTACCAGAAAGTGAGTGGCATTACAGAAATGAGGTATCAAAATCTTGATTGCTAACCTGCACAAACTCCATAGCTAACACAACTCGAACACATCATCAAACGTCCCGACACATACATTGGATCGATTGAAGCCACCACACAGAACATGTGGGTTTACAATTCCACGACCGAGTTGATGGAGAACCGCGCAGTCACTTTTGTCCCTGGTCTTTACAAGATTTTTGACGAGATCATTGTCAATGCTGCCGATAACAAACATAACGACAAGAACATGAATGAGATTCGTGTGACTATCAATCGCGAAGAGGGTGAGATCAGTGTGTGGAACAACGGTCGTGGTATCCCCATCGAGATCCACGCCAAGGAAGGAATTTATGTCCCCGAACTTATTTTCGGTCATCTTCTCACCTCGTCCAATTATGATGATACCCAAGAGAAGGTGACTGGTGGTCGCAATGGATTTGGTGCCAAGCTCTGTAACGTATTCTCTAACGAATTTTCTCTTGAAACCCAAGATTCACGTCAGAAGAAGAAGTACAAGCAAGTCTGGACAGCAAATATGTCCAAGGTTGCCAAAGCAAAGATCACGGATGCCAAAGGTGACGACTACACCAAGGTTACCTTCAAGCCTGACTTTGCCAGATTTGGCATGACTGGAATTGATGATGACTTTGAGGCTCTGGTGAAGCGTCGCGTCTATGATTTGGCGGGTACATCCGGCGTCGCTGTCAAGCTTAATGGCACGCGCGTTCCCATCCGGAATTTCAAGCAGTATATGCAGATGTACACCAAGGCAATTCGCTTGGACCGTGGTGATGATGGCCCGCCCGCCAAAGACGAAATCATTACCTGCAGCCCTGACCCACGCTGGGAGATTGGTTTTGCTGTCTCCGACGGTGATTTCCAACAGGTTTCATTTGTAAACTCCATTGCGACCACGTCTGGTGGATCTCACGTGAACTACATCACCGATCAGATCTGTAACAAGCTGGCGGATGCCGTCAAGAAAAAGAACAAGACCGGTGCCACACTGAAGACTGCTCAAATTCGGAGTCACATCTTCATCTTCGTCAATGCTCAGATTGTCAACCCGGCCTTCACATCCCAGACCAAGGAGCAATTGACTACGAAGACTAGCCAGTTTGGTAGCAAGTGTGTCTTGGAGGAGGATTTCTATAAGAAAGTCCTCAAGACCGAGGTCATGACCAACATTTTGCATTTTGCCGCCCAAAAGGCAGATCAAATCCTGAAGAAGGGTGACAGTGGCCGTCGCTCCCGCATGACCAACCCTAAACTAGTTGAGGCTAACAAAGCGGGCACTAAAGATGGTCACCACTGTACGCTTATTTTGACGGAAGGTGACTCCGCCAAGGGTTTGGCAATGGCTGGACGTGCGGTTGTTGGCCCGGACCTATTTGGTGTCTTTCCCCTGCGTGGAAAGCTTCTCAATGTTCGCGATGCGTCTTTTGACCAGATTTCAAAGAACGCGGAAATCCAAAACATTAAGAATTTCATTGGATTACAACACAAGAAAGAGTATACTGAGACCAAGGGTCTTCGTTACGGTCATTTGATGATCATGACCGATCAGGATCATGACGGTAGTCACATCAAGGGACTGCTCATCAACTTCCTTCAGGCGCAATTCCCTAGTTTGCTCAAGATCCCCGAGTTCCTGATTGAGTTCATTACGCCTATCATCAAGGTCTGGAAGGGTGACCCGAAGAACCCTACCAAGTCGAGGGCGTTTTTCACCATGCCTGAGTATGAAGCCTGGCTGGAGACCCACAAAGGCGAGCGTGGTTGGGAACATAAGTACTACAAGGGTCTGGGTACCAGCTCCACGGAGGATGCCCAGGTTTACTTTCGAGACCTTGATCGTCACTTAAAGGAGTTCCACACTATGCAGGATCATGAGGCAGAACTCATTGACCTGGCTTTCTCGAAAAAGAAGGCAGACGAGCGAAAGGAATGGCTGCGTCAGTACAAGCCTGGTACCTTCCTGGATCATTCCATGGCCAAGATCTCCTACACCGACTTCATCAACAAGGAGCTCATTCTTTTCAGTATGGCGGACAACCAGCGGTCCATTCCCTCGGTGGTCGATGGTCTGAAGCCCGGTCAGCGAAAGGTGCTTTATGCCTGTTTCCGCCGTAACTTGAAGAAGGATATGAAGGTTGTGGAACTGGCTGGTCTCGTTTCAGGAATGACTGCCTACCAGCACGGTGAAACCTCACTCCAGCAAACTATTGTTGGTTTGGCTCAGACTTTCGTTGGCTCGAACAATATCAACTGTCTCGAGCCCAGTGGAAACTTCGGTAGTCGACTCCAAGGTGGTAGCGATTGTGCTAGCGCTCGTTACATTTACACTCGCCTCTCACCTTTTGCACGCAAGGTTTTCAACCAGGCTGACGAGCCCCTCCTGACATACAACATGGATGATGGCAAGAAGATTGAACCCGAGGTCTACATGCCGGTTGTCCCCATGGTTTTGATCAACGGTGCCGATGGTATTGGAACCGGTTGGAGTTCTTCTATCCCCAACTACAATCCCGAGGACATTGTGAGAAACCTTAAAGCCTTGATGGATGGTCAGCCCACCGAGCCCATGCAGCCCTGGTTCCGTGGCTTTACCGGCGAGGTTGTCTCCATGGGTGGAGACCGTTTCAAGTTCAGTGGAATTATCAAGGAGACCGGAGACAAGGAGGTTGAAATCACCGAATTGCCCATCCGCACCTGGACCCAAGACTTTAAGGACAAGTTGGAGGAAATCATTAAGGCTGACAAGGCGCCTTCCTTCATCAAGGACTACAAGGATTACAACACCCACAGCAAGGTCCATTTCATTATTCAGCTGGATGAGAAGAATATGAAGACAGCCCTATCCGATGGCCTTGAGGAGAAATTCAAGCTCACTAAAACCATCGGTACCACTAACATGGTTGCATTCGATCCGGAAGGCCGCATCACCAAGTATGCCACTGTTGATGATATTCTCAAGGAGTTCTTCCACATCCGTCTCAAGTACTATGAGAAGCGTAAGCAGCACCAGCTGTCAGAGCTTCAACGGGAATTGGAGAAGCTGAGCAACCAGGCCCGCTTCGTGCAGATGATCATCGATGGAAAGCTGGTCATCTCTAAAAGAAGAAGGCAATCCTCATCGCCGAGTTGAAAGAGAAGGGCTTCAAGCCGTTCCCAAAGGTGGTTGATGCCGCCAAGATGGGCGAGGAGGAAGAAGTTGTAGAAGAGGGCGAGGAATCCGAGGACGCTGAGGTGGAAACACTGTCAAGCGCCTATGATTATCTCCTTGGCATGTCCATGTGGTCGCTGACCCAGGAGCGTGTCGAGAAGCTCCGCCGCCAGATTGGCGACCGTGAGACCGAGATCGATCTTTTGATCAAACTCTCCAAGGAGGACATTTGGCGCAAGGATCTGGATGACTTCATTGCTGAGTGGCGCTTCCAGCTCGAAGATGAAGATCGCCGTGCGCGCAAGGCATTGGGCGCAGGTCGCCGTGCTTCTTCAAAGCTAATGACTGGCGGAGGTCGTGCTCCCGCTTCTCGCAAGCGTAAGGTTGCAAACGGCGATGATCCGGATGATGAAGACTTTGGGGGACCAAAAACCAAGAAGGCTGCGGCACCCAGGAAGAAAAAAGAGACGGCGCCCAAGACGAATAGTCTCGCTAATTTCCTCAACCAATCATCGAGTAAACCAACTCCCTCATCTGGTGACGGAAACGCCGACTCGGATGATGACTTCGACCTGGAAGTGCTTCCCAAGAAGAGCCGTGCTGCGTCAGCAAAGCCCAAGCCCACGCCACCCAAGGATGAGGATATAGACGTGGATATGGACTTTGAGGAGGCGCTAGCACCCACCACTACCGCTCCGGCTGATGACGATATCTTCAATATCGACAGCGAGCCTGAAGAGGCTCCGAAGCCAAAGCCTGCGGCGAAGCGGGGAGCCAAGGCCAAGCCCGCGGTAGAGGACTCGGATGATGACTTCCTCGAGATTGCAAACGAAGCCCCCAAGCAGACCTCTAGCCGTGCCCGCAAGCCCGTGAAGTATGATGCTCCCAGCGACTCTGAGAGCGATAACGGAGACGACCATCTTGGCGATGTCAGCCTCATGGTGAAGGGCATCGGTGGCGGCGATTCGGATTCTCGACAGCTCTTCTCCGAGCGGTCCCGCGCCGGAAGTAGCGCTAGCATGATGGCGCCTGCTAAGCAGTCCAAGATAAGCGAGTTCGATGCGGACGAGACTGACTACAGCAAACTTATCCCTCAGAATTCACCCCGGCGCTCGCTACTAGTCAAGCCGAAGGATGTTTCTCGCATTGAAGACGACGAAGAGATGGAGGAGGCAGCGGCGGAGGATGAGGAAGAGGAGGAGGCACCGGTCAAGCCTGCTGGCAGGGGCAAGGCTGCCCCCAAGGCCAAGGCTGCTCCTAAGGCGGCCGCAAAGCCTAAAGCCGCTCCCAAGGCCAAAGCCGCTCCTAAGGCTGCAGCTTCTGCCCCCAAGCCGCGTGGTCGTCCCAAGAAGGATGCTGCTGCACCTGCCGCTCAATCCGCCCCACCAGCCTTGTCTCCAGCTGCCAAGGCCTACGCTTCAAAGCAAGCCAAGGCGAAGAAGCAGCCCAAAGATGATTACTCCGAGGATGATATTGATGCCATGGCCAACGACATCTTGGACTCCCCTGCCGGCAAGCTTGATGCTGCCTCGGACGATGATGAACCTCCTGCTCCTCGTCGTGCCGCGGCCAGTCGTCCTTCCCGCCGCACTGCGACCCAAGCCAAGAAGAGTTATGCCATTGATATTGACAGTGACGACAATGATGGCTCGGCTGATGATTTCGAGGACGATGATAGCGAGTAAATTGGTATTATTATCTTTAATTTCTTTTCTTTTCTTTCTCCCGGCGTCAGGGAGCACCGTTGGGATATGTGCTTTCTGTTGTTCAGGCGTCTTATGTCCATCTTTCTTAGTTTTACGCATTCCCTATGGTGACGAGGCAGAGCCGACCATTGTATTGCAAGTCATGTGCGAGTTGAATTCCTTTTACCGTTTATTTCAAGCTACGTAAGGCGTACGCTGTCTTCCAATGGACAGCAAGTTGTTTTGAATAGAATCTTTGAGAATCCCACATTTAGGCTCAATTTGAAATATCATTGTTCACAAAGACTAAGTACTGTATTGCCTCAACAAGCTCCGTGAAATACAGACAACCCAGACTCCTAGATCCCGAACTCCACAGACTCTAACGCCATCTCCTTTAGCCGTGAACCCCATAGATGTGAACGAACAAGCAAGAGGAAACAAAAACAGAAAAGCACGAAAAACAAGCCAGAACTGGAAAGATTCCTGAGCAGGTAAATTGAAGTTACCAGCAGGAGAAGCACACAACCCGGATCACACAGAGACCCGGCGCTTCTTCTCATTTCTTGCCTTTGAGCGTCCCAAGGGGGGACCCCAAACAGGCTGATTCCTAGTCTCGCCTTCGTCATCACTGTCAGGCCTGGCCAGCTTCTCCATATGCAGACGAAGTAAAGCATGGGCCGCCGTAACTTCGTGTGGAAAGCCCAAGTCATTGGGACCACGGCACTTGACCTTAGCAGATCGGCCAGGAACTTCTTTCCCCTTGCCCTTTCCATGCCAAGCCACTCGCCTCGAGCTCGAATCCTGGTATTCCTCATCTTCATAGCTGTCGAAATCGTCGCTGCTAATTGAGGAGGTCATACTCGAAGCCTCATCGCCGCTCAGCGCGTCTATGGTGGTATCTCCCGTTGGCTCGGCGCGATGCCACTTACGAGCCAGCTTATTGAGGCCCGACCCGATATCCGCGAGCGTACCTGGACCTGTTTTCATAGGCATCATACGCTGGCCTCCAGGGCTGATCGATCTTTCTAGAGAGGGAACGCTGGAGCGGGCGATATTCTCGGTTGTACGCGGCAGGTTCACAGGCGTGAAGCTGTTGATGACTGCGCTATGGGGCGAGTGACAGAATGCAGGCTCCGGGGAGGAGTCCCGCGCACTACTGACACTATCAGCGTAGCTGCGGCGAGGCACCTTGGGGTGGATCTGTCGGTATGGGATACGATCAGCAAAAGAGTCATCGTTGCCTGGAGCTGGGGCCGGGGCTGAGTTGCGAGTGATAGTGTTTGACGATCCCCGATCTGGCTCGAGACTACGATAGGCCATAGCAGTCTGAGTGGCACGCTGGATGATGGACTTGTCGAGTTTGATGTTGGGGAAGTCGCGCGCTTTGCCATTGACAGTTGGGACGCAGATGGATGGGAAATCAGTTCCGAAGAGTGGTGTCAAGGCGTGGCGGATCTCCCAGCAGAAAGTGGCTGCTACGGCTTTGGCAGCTTCGTATGGCATCCAGTATCCTAATTGCTTGGTCAGATATGGTTATCAGATGTGACTACTTCAAATGGGCTTACCTTGAGCAGCGAGAGCGCCTCCAGTAATACTGTGGCATATGTCGCGCAGGCCGTCAATGCTCTGCATAACTTTGCCAGGGGCAGTCTGCAGACAACTTGTTAGGGCCATTTATTATGACGAGGATCCTCATGTGTTGTTTACCTTTGTGTAGCCATTGCACCTGAACAGGTGAGTTATGCGGACCAGTCCAATGTTGTAGTCCCACATCACCATCCACTCAACATCGTCGCCGGGGATGGTAAATAGATAATGAAATGCTGGAGAACAATTAGTATTCGCAGTCGAGTCAACGCAAAATTCAAGACATACCATTGAAACTGTCACGTCCGGTCTTCTCGTAGAAGTCTTTCTTTTGGCTGTTGTAGGGAATATGACGGGGATAGTCGGCAATATTGCCTAGTGGGTGAAGCTTGAATTCCCGGTGAATTCGAAGGAGTTCCTCATCACGTTCTTCGCAAGGCGGATAGCGAACTTCACCCTGGGGCTTTCCAGGCTTAAAGATAGCACCATCCTTGGGCGTATTAGTCTTAGACTTGGCCTCATGTCCCGTTTTTGGCACCGCTGGTAAGCGTTGTTTGCAGTCCTGAGAAGGCTGACCCTCTGAGGATGGTTTCAGTAAGTCCAACCGAGCCTGCCGGCGTCGACGGAGCTTGTCCATTTCGTATTCGGTGAGAAGGACATAGGGGGCATCAATAAACCCACGGGGAGGGGGTTTTGCTTCGGGCATTGGATTCAGCAAGTCCTTGATGGACGCCATTGTAAAATCCAAGGATGGAAAGGAAAAAATGTTCGGGCGACTGAGGAAGGTGAAGAGGAATAGACAAAGTCGAGGAGATAGAGAACGAGTTAAGTGGAGGAGTGGAACAAGAGGCGTTTTCCAGAAAACTCAGCGAAGGGAAACAAGACACGCCTTTCAATGGAAGAATCCACGATCAAGCGAGACACTGGTTTGATGTGAGATCATCCCCCTCCACTCTTTGTTTTCCGGAGTTTGTTCTCTTTCATAGGGTGAGTACAGTTGTTTGCCTGCTCATGGCTTTTTCAGAGAAAACCACACGAAATGGGACGTGGGAAACGACAGATGGTGGGTGGATGATGTTTCTATACCCCTCGACCCTCGGGCCCAAGAGAATGGACTGTTGGATAGTGGCCTCACCAATTGAGATCATCGCACGAGGAGCTTTAAAGTCGGACGGCTCGCTCTAGGCCTGTTTGCATCTCGAGCCCATATGTTTCCCATTATTATCTTCGACTCTGGACTGACCGCTATGCAGTGTGCATGCTGTCATCGATTTTCCTTGACGCCCCTGGGGTCCGAAACCTATGTTTTTGAGCTTCGAGGTTTGGTTTCACCGTTGTGAATGTGGGTACCTAAGGGCTGTATACCGCCTCAATAACCTGCTTATGTGGTATTTTGGCCCCTTTCTGGTAGCCATGTGGATATTTTGTGGCGGTGATGAAGTCGATGTATCAGCTTGGATCTTCACTCTCCTCCGGGTCCCAGTATGCATGCAAACAGACTGGTGCGGTCGTCTGCGCCATACACACGAGGTCAAAGACCTTAGGTAAACGACCATGTCCATTCAAAACGACCCCACGCTCATTCTCATCTCGGGAGTACAAGATGCAACGCTTGCACCCGTTTTTTTCCGATCAACCAGCAGCGAGTCTTCGCTGAATAGAGTCTGGTGAGGGGATGGAAGATGCCCCATGTCAGAGCGTTGGTTTCGGCGCCAGTAGAAACGGCAGCCAGGGTGCTGCAGTCACCGGAGATTTTGGGTGATCAGCCGAGCACCAATCACGTCCCGACTTACGTCCAAGTAGCTCGATGAGACCGGTATCAAAGAGGCCTGAGACCAGCGGATGGCTGCAGGGCAATCGATTCCTTGTATGACGGGATGTTGCATGGCTTGTTAGCGAGTCCTTTGGAAATTCTGCAACATCTGGGAATGCGGTGCGGCGTACAGAGATAAACTTCTGACCGGAACAAAGATACCGAGCTTTGGCACAGGAACATATGAAAGGCACTTTGGAATCATCATCTCACAGGAGAAATACGCAATGTGATGGCCGGTGGGGTGAGATGCAAAGGGTACGCCCGTTTCGGACGTGATCGATACTCTAGAGGATGCACGACTAACCACCTATCATTGCGACTGCTTTTTGGGTCTACCATCCTGCGCAAGTCCTTTCCGTGCAACCAGCATCGGCTGAGAAAGCCTAGAGAAGCTTCCGTGCATCCTTCAGTGCAGAAGGAGAGAGTTCGACACGCCGGCAGCGATTAGCCTGAACCCACCTTTTTCTCGTTCATATGTTGGGTTCAGATTGTCTGACCCCAGAATACCACACGGACTTACCTTCCAGGTCGTTTTCCAACATTCCCCCATTGTATTCACTTAGCATGCAGTCAGGATGGTGTTGCAACATGTACAGGGGGGGAAGAAGGGGTTTTTACTCCACGCCGGGAAGCATCTTGCAGCCTACGAGCAGGGCACAGCATACAACGGCATGTTGAATGCAATACACTCTATTATAGTATTGATTCCATACATTCAAAAAAACATGGGCATCAAAGTTGGTCTACGTTGGTGGTATTGACAACACCTCTACAGTCCCAGAACCTGAGATGGCGGCCCAACCAGACAAGTCTGAGACCAAGAAAAAGAGGTCAGGATCCCGATGTCTAAGACACAGCTACGCTGGCTGGATTATTGGGGTTCAAAAGAGCGGTAAGACCGAGCATAGTGTATGTTCCCGTGGAATCTTTATTTTTGGCTTCTAGAAAGGGACTATCTTACTCGGGGTCTCGATTGGGTTGTTGCTCTTCAGGGCTCGAGCCCATCAAAATCATGCTCGAACCCTCGGAGGCATATCGCCATGAGAAACGGTTGATGTCTACGGAGGGGAAAGCATTGGAATGCTTCCATTTCAACTGGTCTTCAAGCGGTTTGACCATGTGTATTGCATTGATCTTCCGATAGGCCAAGCAGCAACCACATAGGACCGGCTTCAGGGACAGACAGTCGAGACTCGACATCGAACAGCTCGGTCCTGACTTTACTGAGGGATCCCTGCAAAGGGCAAATACTAGCTTCATATGCACATAAGCTTTATTGAAATATTGTTGGGATGCTTTATAGACATGCATATGCGCTGGCAAGTTTTCCGATCAGTCTGCACCAAGATCAACCCAAACCCATCAGCTCACAGGTAACAACGATCACCTGGACATACGTGTCGGAATATGCATTGGTTAGTGCTAGACATGACAGTGATTCGAAAAAGGGAACCTGAGGATCGGAGCAAGGATAGCAAGAAGAGAAGACCCGCCCCAGCCCAGCCCGAATCATGATGCGGAGAATGGGGTTTGGGGGAAGCTAGACCGGGATGAAACTCAACGGGTGCACTCGTACGTCGCGGGGGCTATTTGTTACATAACGTTCTCATGTGGGAGCGCGGAGCTGCGTGCGAGGTTATTAGCAGGGTTCAAGAACTACCTAGTTTGTCGAGGTCGAGGCTCCTGTGCATCGTGATCTATGTTGCCCTACCGGGTACAGAGCTGTGCTTCAGTCTTTTGGTTTTAGAGGGTGGGGGCATGCTGTGCCTCTTACATTGTCATGCCACGAAAGTAGGAGACACAGCAGAAGAGCTTAATGATATTACCAAGGGTAACCATGTAACCAAGATGAATCGGATTCGGAGTCAAGACGTTAAATTCGTAAATCATCTTACGACAATTACATTAGAACAATATGAGCCCGAAAGGAAAATAAACAAGGGGTTGAAGAAGAGTGCATAGACATGTAAAAGGTTAAAGATAAATGTAGAAGGCAAATGGGTAAAGGGCGAAGGGGAGAAATTGAAGAACCACAGACGTGAGAATCACTTCTTCGTCTGATCGTTCAACGTAAGTTTTTCGTCATCGACATGGAAGATCGGGGTACTGGGGATCCATAATACATTCCAAATGTACCCGAACAGTAAGAACCCCTCTCATTACCACCAATCTTGCATGCCAAGAATATCGGTGAAGAATCGAAGCCGTTTTCAGATTCTTGTCACCATGGGCTGTTTGGCTAGCATGAGTCACAAGATCCTTAGCGAGACTGGGTTTACATTAAACCGCCAGGAGAGGCTCCCGCTCCGCAGCCTGCGGGGCAGACTCAACTGACTCAACTGACTCCACGACCTGGGCTACCGGCTCAACATTGGGGGCCTCCGGGAAGTCCTCAGTCTTGATTGTGGGCTCGGGAGTGGGCTCGGTCTTCACGGGCGTGGGGACCTTGGTCATCTCAGGGGAGACGGAGCGGCGGCCAATGTACTCCTGGGCCTTGTGGCTGTAGTCACCAACGTACTGCTTCATCAGGCCAGTGGCGTGCGAGGTGCGCTCACCAGCCAGATCCTTCAACTGGTTGGTCTGGGCATTGACAATATCCTGAAGGTTCTGGATCTGCTCGTCAATGATCTCGCGGTTGCTGATGTACACAAGAGGACCAATGTAGGCGGTAGTCACGCCGATCACGGTCAATCCCCAAACCGGGACAAAGCGGATCAGCCAGTAACCGAGGAAGGCGGCGGTGAAAGCCTAAAAAACTGTCAGTTATGCTTCTGTACTGCTAGTGTTGGAGCAACATACCGCAACAGTGTGGGCAACATTCTCAGCAAACAAGATACGCTGGAACTCGATCAAGAAGAAGTCCAACAACTGGGACAGATCCTCAAGCACGGCCTCGTGGGTCTCCTTAGGGATGGTGTAGTATCGGCGGGGGCGGAACGAGCTGGCAATGCCCTTCTTGAGAATGACGTGTCCGGCAATCTCAACAGCGGCGGTCACTATCCATAATTCAGTCCTGGGCGCTCAAAATAGAGGGTCACGCGACCAACTCACCTCCCAACGACATGTACAAGAACTTGAAAGCCCAGCGGAGTAGGGGCAGATAACGGGCGGCAAAGATGAAGCCAATGATGCTGGCATAGGAAACGGCGGTCGCGCGTGGTTGTTCCCACTGTAGATCGGAAAGTCGGTTAATAAAGACGGAAAGAGAATTGGCCGATCCAATTTTGCGAGAAAAAAAATTGAATGAAGAACAGAAGAAAATAGGATAGCGGCACTCACGCTCAAAAGGCTGTACAGCAGGGAGTGATAGTCTGTTGCATAGTATTAGCTTGGTGAGCCTTTTGTCGTGGGTTTTCGAATGGAAGGCATACGAGTCAAAGGCTGGCCATTGTTGGTAGTGGTCGAGGGGATGACCCGGGCATTCTTCAATTCTTGCAGCTCTCCGGAGGTCTTGGAAACCTCGGACTTGACGTTATCGACAATCGGGCCTAAAGAGGGGGCGAAAAAGAAAGCATTAGATGGGCCATGTACTAGAACCCTTAGCACACGACTGCCATTTACCCTTGGCCACGATATCTCGGATATCTAAGTCCAGAGTTCCGGATCAGAGGTTGCAGCAGCAGGGTTTAGAGGAGCGAGGTGTATACTGCAAAGGTAATCATGGTCAGTATCATGGCGTAGTCGGGAGGAGTCGGTTGTCGCGGCCTGATGTTTTTTAAAGGGGGATAACGTACCTTACTGCCTGTGTTGGGGTAGCTCACATCACCAGAATCAGCCATGGCGATAATATCAAAAGTAAAATCACCGGTAAATCGGAAAATGGCTTGTCAAGTTGGGGTGGAAGGATGTAGAAGAGTGAAAGATAAGGGAAACCAGGCGGAATTGTTTTGGTGTGATGCAACCACTGTCATGTGCGCCAAGGTTTCCCTGCCGAGCTAATGATGTCAACCTTTTTCCCTTCATACAATCTGCATCATTCAGATCGACCTGATCTCTTTCTATTTCTACGGAGGTTTGGGAAGCTGTGTCACACTGTAGAAAATGTGTTAAACATTTTATGACTTGCCCTAGTGCTCGAATCCGGTCTCCAGCAGCTAATTCTCCGGCATCTTGGCCGGCATATATCGAGAGCATCTATACTTATGGTTATACCGATATTTCACTCGGCAAGTGCTCATAGACTCATCCCGATCTAAAGCTCAGACCTCAAGCCCCAAATATCGCTCTGGCTTTCTCTCGGATACCGGTACCGGCCTAGCCGATGTCAATGGTGAACCAAGGATGGTGAATCACGGTCGAAAGTGGCGCAATATACTCATCGCCGTATAGTTTTGAATTAGGCCTGCCAGAATTGCTCTGAGCAATAACCTTCGTAAACAAATCAGGAGCTTAGTTAGACATGTTCACATGCACCAGAGTTACAGTAGTGCTACATAGCCTATATAGGGTACCGAGTAAGCAGCGAGGTATTTTAGGCATTTTAGCGTAGAGGCATTGCTCCCCGGAAGGATTAGAATCGTCGTGAAATAGTGACCAAGTACTAACGCCTTCCTGTCTCTGAGTAGCAAATGATAGTGAGCAGAAACATCTCTATGATCACCGATTGCTTGATTTACCAAATGATCTATAATCTCGGGATGAGTATGCACGTGACCTACGCGTTGCCTGATTGGGAGGTCTGTTTTGATCCTCTATTCCATTCCCGAACCACACACAGACACACCAACACACTCACCAATCACTCCAACCTCTTCACTTGGACACCCATGGTTGACCATCACCAATAACCGCCTCTTTGACGACCAACCTTTTCCTTTCGACTGCGCCATCGACTTTTCCCTTAACCCCACCTCGGCGCGTTGTTTACATCATGGCCGCCGCTGGCGCGAGGGCTCAAAAGCCCGTCGGCTCTGCCGCATGGATTGCTGCAGAGAAAGAAAACATGGCGGAACTAGTCGAGCAAGAGATGGAGGAGGTTGAATACCCCGTTCGGCACGAAATGGACTGGCTGAATGAGCATATGGCCGAGATCTTCTCCAAAGGTCAAACGTGAGTTGCGACCAACCTGTGGTGGGCACTCGGCTTGGCGCTAACCCAAGATATAGCAATTTTACGGATATTTTCAAAACACCAGGCAAGATGAGAGGGAAGACACCTCGCACGGCACGCAAGCGGAATGTAGAAGAAAGTCGAGTGGTAATGCTATCCCGATGGGTCCCCAGTGCCGTTGCCGAGCTAATCCATTGTCGACAGCCACTAAGCGAGATATTCACCTCTACTCACAAGCAAAGTGAAAACAGGGCAAGCCCTAGTCCTTTCATTCATCGCGTCATCTCAAGATCTACAGCGGCGACAACGTCTGCATCTCCTCGCCCCAAGGATACAGAGAAGGAGGTGCAGCCCCATCATCAAGCCCTCCGCTCAAACTTGAACTCCTTTCAAACCTATAACACCGACTCGGGCTACCATGGAATGGAAGATTATGATGACGTGGTTTTGCCTGATACACAGCCAAATACTCAGGATTCCACACAGCCGATGGAGGTGGAAGAGCCGACAGTGCTGAGCCCTCAGGTCGATATCCCGATGAGCCATCAAGTGACTGAAGATTCCTTTCACTCTGCGCAGGAGAATGTTCGTTCACGGGGGGAGACTGTGGAGCCTACGAATGTGGACCCAGCTCCCACGCAGGAACGGACTACAACGCCTCCAAAGACGATCTTCAAGGAGCCAGAACAAGAGTTGGAAATGAGCTCAACCCCGACACCCAAGACACAGCCTAAGGCCAAGGAGAGCCTCGGTAAGCAGGGGCAGCAAGAGAAGTCAGCAGATCCGCAAGAATCCCACCCCCAGGCCGAGGCCCCAAAGGAGCCACAGGATGAACCCCTAGACGAGCCGGTACCGCAGGCTCGGTCCTCTCCAGCCAAGACAGTCGCTGCTCCGGTGTCAACAGGGCAGCGCAGCCAGGAACAGGAGGACACAGACCTGGACATGGAAGATGATGCGAAGGAAGACACAGTTCTTGACAGTTTCGATGACATTGGGTCTCCGTCCGACAATTCCACCCCCGAACGCCCATTTGTCCGAAAGAGCAGTCTCAGTTTTGCCTCGCTTCCAGCCCGGGAACCTCTAACCAAGAGCATTGGAGCCTCGCGACTTTCCCGTACCAGCCATATTGATCTCCCTAAGTTAACTAATGCCGGTAGACCCAGTTACCTGGGCAGGCAAACCGGGAGCCACAAAACCACTCAGGTCTCATTGGATGACAATATTCGTAGCTCTGGCTCCATGGATCTTGATGACGAGAAGAATGATGGTGACAGCATGGAAGCGGAAAAGGCTAGCAAAATTCACAGCACAAAATCAACACAGAGTCTCCATGAAAGAATCAGCATGCTCGGAAAGGCTCCGCCATCACGACCAAAGAAGTCAATCGCGGCACCGGCTGTGGGGGCTGCATCTGCTGGTCAGGTCGCTTATCCAGAACTACCTGCCACAAAAATTGAGTCTAGGTCCGAGGCTACTGATCCTAAGGCTCGTGACATTCCGACTTCGGATTCCGCAGCAGCTGATGAGGATGACTGGATTCCTCAACGACCAACTCTCGAAAAGAGCAAGACCGCGGACGTTATGGAGAATGTTCAAACCGATAAAAACCAATCTGCCGGCAAGAAGGACGCAATTTCCAACAAAGAGAAGCATTCTGCTGAGCCGGAACGCCCCAAGTCATCATACTCGATCTTTTCTTCACCTCGCCCTCAAGGTCATCAACAAAGCGCTTCTACGTCGTATATGACCCCAGTGGCTTCCACTACTCCCACTGGGTCACCTCGACGGTACGATGGCCCCATCAGTGCTTCAAAAATCCGATTGCAATCAATCATGAAGAGCGCCAAGGGATTATTTACAAGCACCGGCAGTTCGGTCAGAATTGAACCATCCTCACCCGAGCAGCCTCGTGCTCATCCTAAACAGCGAGCGAGTGCGGAAAGGGTTGACGAGGAAGCTGAGCAACAACCACAGCCTCGTCATTTGGCCAATTCTCCACGACAGGAGGGTCGTCGAACTCGCAGTTCCACCGAAAAGGAGCAGAAGCAGCGGCAGAAGGAATTAGAGGATCGACAAGTTGAAGAATCTCGCCAAGAGAAAGCCCGGGAACAAGAAAGACAGCGCGCTATTCAACTGAAAGCCGCTCAAGATAAATCATCTGTCGAACCGGAAGAGCGGACGAACACACAATCCCACAAGCCCTCGCAGTCATTACGAACACAGAGCCGCGAGCCTGAATCGGCTCCGGAAAGCTCAAGGATTGCCATGTCTCAAGCCAAACAGAACGATCGACGCCCTAAACCAACTCGTGAACCCATGCAAAAGCCCAAGCCGCAACCAGTGTCTGTTCGCGTTGGTAGCACCTTGTCCCGCGCAATTCCAATGCCCACGGCTTCTTCCAATGTTCAAGAAGCGAATGCCCCGGCACCTGCATCGAAGCCGACGACTTTGAAAAAGAAGGCCAGTAACAATTCTCTGCACACCGCTTCTTCCACGAGCAGTTTTAAGAGCTCTGTTTCCAGCCAGACGCAGGCTCAGCGAAAGGCCCAGCTTGCTAGCGAAAGGAAACGGGAGCAAGAGGAAAGAAAGCGAGAACAGGAGGAAAGGAAACGGGAGCAGGAAGAACGTGAGGCTCGTCGGAAAGAGGAACAAAGGCGGGAACAGGAACGCAAGCGGGCTTTGCAGCTCAAGCAGCAGGAAGAAGCTCGCCGACAGGCTGAAAGTCGTGCTGAGGCTGATCGAGAGCGCCGAGAGCAGTCTGCTCAGGAGGATTCCCAAAGAGCAGCGAACAAGCAGGCGATTGAGAAATGGCGGATGGAAAATATGCGGAGACAAGAGCCCGGTGTTCCCAGGCCTGCTTCGCGTTTGGGCTCTCTTCAGCCCTACGGACGATCGATCAATACCCCTGCTTCTAACCCTGCTAAGCCGCCCAAGAGAGTGATGGACGAGGAGGCAGGTCACCGGGCAGCCGTTAGCAAGCCCAGCAACGTACAGCCTTCTGGCGAGGCTAAGCGGGTCAAGACAGATGACGAGCAAGGACAGCCCGTACGGACAATAGGGCGCCCAGTCCGCCCGCCTAGCACCATTCGCAAGGTATGCATTAATTCCAATCCTCCCGTAATGACTCTATGCTAATAAGGAATATGAACAGCCTTCAATCTCAATGTTTGGCCAGTCTGGCATGGGGCATCAGGGAGGATCATCAGTCTTGAAAATTGGTCAGCCTCAAAGACCCGGACCGGGGCACCCGCTGGACATGTCTTCGTTGGCAAATGGCAAGATTCCCTTCGCCGAGCCTAACCGGGCACCTCCACCATCGGCACACAAGCCTGCTCCTAGCTCTGTCCATCGAAACCCTGCTCAGCCCAAGCCCTCCCCCAAGTACCCCAGCGGTGACAGTATACACCTTCCCGAAATTGCCACTGACAGTGAGGACGAGGATGACTCAGACTCGGAGATGTTCCCTGTGCCCAAGTGGGCACAGGCTAAGGAACTGAATGATCTCCTTGTTGAGCAGGATGGAATGGAAGTCGACTCGATCTTCGGACCCATTGCACCCTTCTCTCTGGAAGAAACTTTCAAGGCCGACAAGAAGATTAAGAAATACCGCGACAGAACCAGCAGTGCAAACTGGTCTGGACCAGACGGTCTCACGCAGGAGGAGATTCGCAAAGATGTGGCTGATCGACAAAAGCTACGTCGTAATGGTGGATGGTCCTTTAACGCTTAGGGCGGTGGTTTTTCTGGGCTTCCCCGCATATCCGGATGGATTTGGTTTCAAGCAGAACTGGTAGTTAAGGCGTTAGTATGGATTTCAAATCAGGCATTGGGTGCTGTGTGTGGAGTTCTACATTGATATATTGGCGTTATGTATTTTTACCATCAGTCCTGAATCTGTTAGACTACAGCTACATAGGAAGCATCCAGTCCGAATGGTCATTAATTAGACCTTTGGAACATTCTTGACAATTATTTGACGTCTAGAGCTTAGATTCAGGCAAACCTTTGCTGGATCTTGTCGAGTTGTAGGCCCTCCCGATTGTTACCTTCGCTCAGTTGGTCGAGCTTAACATCGAACCTGCTGAATCATTAGATCTAATTCATGAAGCACAAAGCGGCCCTCCATTACATGAACCAGCATCATTGGTCTAGTGGTAGAATTCGTCGTTGCCATCGACGAGGCCCGTGTTCGATTCACGGATGATGCAAGCCTCTTCTTTTTGTGTGTTTGCAATGGAACTTACGACATTTTCTTTTTTTCGCTTCGACTTATCCTAATTATTTTTCATCTTTTTGTCATTGGTGCCAGTTTCATAATTAAACTTTCTAGCAACGTGGTCGTAAGAAAAGCCATGGGTGCTATCTCGTGGCGTGCCAATGATATATATTTCCACGTCACCCTGAGCCTATGTATGTAGCCACTTGCATGCAGATCACATCCCCGCAATGCCCATGGATCTTGACATGGGAACTGCTTTAAATGAACCGAAACACCCCGAATATTCATACCTGTGTATGCGCGTATGGTTCATTGTCTTAAATGTTATAGGGGGCACCCATGGACCGAAAGTAACCCTTGGAAGGTTCAGACCAATCTACCCGGCAAACATTTTTATTCAATCAACAGCATAAATTTGGAAGGAATAATTCAACAAATATGTGACTAATGATAAACAACCCAGAACCCAGCCTGACCTGGTCGCGCCATCCATACCGAATATTGTACAAAACTACTTACTAGAAGAGTATCTATTCCATGTCGGGCTCCATATCGCTACCTCCGCCCTCAAGACCCTCGTCCATCGCATCCGGATTCAAATTTGCCGCATCTGCCGCAATGCCCTGCTTTTCATTGGGCTTGTTGTGGGAGACTGTGCGCCACCCAGCAGCAACAGAGGGGTCCTTAAGATACTCAGACATGGGGAACTAGCAACCATTGTTAGTGATGAAAACTCTCCGTGAAACAAGGCAACACTCACGTAATGGTCGTTCTTCTTCATGGTGACAACCCAGGGGACGTTGTCGAAAGTCACCGCACGCAGACGGAAGTAGGTGTTGTCGGGGATCTTGCGCACTTCATTGACGAACAGGTCGAGGGTGGGAGTCGGGGTGTCATTGACAGCAGTGATGAAGTTGGTCGGTGCCAGACCATAGTGGTAAGCAGGAGAGCCACGGCTCTATAGAAAGGAGTTAGTGACAAGCCGAGTGATACAGGAAATGCAGAATTGACTTACCCTCGCGCTCACATAAACTTCGCTGTGAAGTTTAGAGATTTGCTGTCGCACAGCATGATGAGGTCTCTGCAGAACTGCACCGCAGAAAACGACGGCACGATCTGTTTCCAAATCTTCCGTTGGAACAGTGGGCACCCGGATACGCATCTCTTGGCCGTTTCGGACGATCAACGCCTCGAGAATTTCCTTCTCATACATCACATCCAGTTCTGAAACCCGAGTGATAAGTTGACCATCCAGAGTAAGAATAATATCTGCCTCTTGGAAGCTGTCGGTGTCGGGTGTCGATTCTGCCGTTGGACAATCCACCTTGCGCACCATGAACAGCTGGTGGCGCGAGGGATTGGCTTGCGCAACCTTTTGAATCCACTCCTCGGACACACCCATGATGCGGGCCTGGCTCATCTGAACAACATAGCTCTCCATGTTCAAAATGCGTAGCTGGGGTGTGACACCCTGCTGAACCTTCGAGGTGACGGGAAGAAGCGATGGAGTGGCGAATCCCAAATGGTACTCAACATCCTTGTGAGAACTGGGGGTGCGCTCACCGAGGTAGTTCAACCACAGTGCCTGCACCACGCCATCTTCACCGATCAAAACACCATTGGTGCATTGGCCACTCAGACCCGTGTCCACCGTGATGGCGTCCAGGTTGATTGCTCGGTACCGAGGAGCAGATGCATTGGCTGGGATCGAGACGGTGGTGATATCGGTGACAGCAGTCTTGGCAACCACAATACGGAAGTTCTGGTTGAAACCGACAAAGATGGTATCCTGCCCTTGCTTGATAAAGTCGGAGCTGAGTCGAGCGCTTTGTACAGGCGCCTGAACCAGGCTGGGGTCGTACTGAATGATGGTATAATTTTGGAGCGGGTGGAGGAAGACAACCTTGGCAAGGACAATGACTGAGTCGGCAACAGTGATAGTAATATCACAGAGATCATATGGCACAATGGCTCGCGAAACAACTACTAGACCCTTCTCAGCGTCGATGACCAGACCGAAGCCAGTCTTCTTGGCTTGCGGATACCCATCAAGCTTTAATGGCATTGTGCACGAGACACGCACAAAGCTGCGGACAATCTCAGCTGCTGCAGGCTGGCTTATACCGTCCAGCTGAATGAAGTCTGCCTTGCGCGCAACAGGCGCTTCTGCAGGGATGGCATCGGCAAGATCAGAGAAGTCCCAGAGTCCGGTTTCATCGTTCCGAACCGCAAGACGCATTTTCGGATGCCAATGGCGGTCGACATAGACGATGCTGGTGCCCTTGGTATGAAGATCCCGGATATGGCGATAAGAGATGACCACCCGAGAGCGATCAGGAATAGTTCTCATCACAGCCACAAATTCATCCAAGTTCCGAGTTTGTCGCTTATCAACTGAGTCGATGATCCATCCGGACAAGGTGTTTTCCAGCTTGAAAGAGCCAGCAGCCTCACATACATACACTCCACGGACTGGAATGGCATAAAGCCGAGCTTGCTGGTAGGACAAATCATGGAAAGTGCCACCGGCAACAGTCACAAACCGATCGGGGGTAATCGCATGGAGATCACCAACTCGGCATTCGACCTCAAGATCCTTGCCTCCTCTTTGGACCAGCAGCTGAACTGTACCCCCCACACTGGAGTCCAGAATGTCATCGAGACGCACAAATTGGGTCAGAAGCTCGCCATTCACCTTCAAGAGCACGTCACCTTCCTGCAGTTTCCCATCACCAGGACCCTCAGGTAGGATGATTTCAGCCGCGAGCATATTGGTCTCCGTGGGGGCAGCCGCACGCACAGCAGCCTCCCATTCGGGAGTCAGCCCAAGACGACGACATTCATCGAAAGGCTTGAGAATCCATTGGGTTTGGATGGTACCCCGGGTGACCGGCTTGCCCTGGCGAATGCATTCTAATGCGCGCAAAGGACGATCCAAAGGCAAGAAATAATCGGTTGCCGCACCGTCTGCTCGACCGCCAGCTTGTAGGGCCACGGCATTGCCGTCAAGGTTGACCACGGGACTTCCTGAACTACCACCACTGGCAGCCGCGGCAGCCTGAATATAGTTGGTGTTGAAATCACTGTAGCCCTCGCCATACTCGGGAGCATTACGATCTAACCGACTGATTACACCAGAAAGAATACTGAGCTTCTCACCAGCATCGTTACCAACCACCCGGATTTCCGTACCGACCTGAGCCGCATTGGGTTGGAGCTTGAGCTCGGTGAGCTTCATGTACCGGATGGCCTTCGGATCAAACTTAAGAATACCAAAATCGTGTACGGGATCTCGATAGACAGGGCGGACGTCACACTATTAGGCAACCAGCGTTAGCTTTGTCTTTGCTTTTGCCACTTCTCTTTTTCATTTCCTTTTCCGTCTCTCAACGCGCACTAACAAAACTTACCTCTTCGTGATTGTCAAAGATGACATATCCCCAGAACGGACCAGCGCACACCACATGCCGATTGGTCAAGATGTATCCTCGCTCCGCATCCACGACAAAACCGGTAGCTTGGCTGCTCATTGAAAGGTCTGTGTCGAAGGAGCAGGTCTGACAAAAGTGAATTGACACAACGCTCTTTACGACGGACTCAATTGTAGCCTGCCACTCTGGCGAGTCCGCCTGAGCAGGACCCACGGCAAGCATGCGTCCCGCATCATCATCCTCTTCAACATCGTAGACGGTTCCATTGGCCGGCGTTGAGTCGCCGGGGGTTAAGACTGAGCCTTCAGGCTTCAGATGTTTTGTAGGCCGTTCCACGGCACCAGTAACAGTACTGCGCTTGCGCTTGATGCCGGCATCTCCATTCGCATCCATGGTGTAAATTGAGGGAGAAGATCGGGAGTGGAATGAAGCTCGGAGCGGAGGAGTAACCTGGGGGAAAAAGCGGCGACGGTCCAAGTGGCGATGACCAGGAGAGGAGGGATCGGGTCGTGCAGAAAGAGAGAGAGTAGTAGGAGCGACACGAATCGGCCAATGCACAGCAGAAGCAGTAGCAAAACCTGGGAAGCTCCTGGTCAACAAAGACATTCGCGCTTGAGAGATGAGGCGGACAGAAAGAAGCGGAAGCTGATTGGACGGGACGGGTGCGCCCGTTCGTTCACACGACACGATCCCATGGCCCGGACCACGCGCAGATCGTATTTACGTAGTTACTTTTTAGTGCGCTCATACAGGGAAAAATAAATAGATCATAGAGAGGTCTGATCGCTCTCGGTCATTCGATACATTTGGATATCTTCTTGCTTTCGCTCTTCCAAAGTGGGTCTGTAAATCCAATCTTACACTCATTAAACCTCGGGTGGTTTGATGCCCTGTACTACAACTCCAAGAATCGGCACTCGGAAGGCGCAGAAAATACTGGGCGGGGCGCCTGTGAACGGGAGGCGCCGTCCCCCCAAACCAGGTTGGTACAGTGACGGGGGACCGTGATCCCCCATGATATCTCATCTGACTGGCAGATCGGGGGACAAAAGATGAATGTACCGGTAAAAGAGGGGGTGGATATGTGAAACCCACCTCCCTAAAACATAATATCTTGACACATACACAGTCATCAGACAACCGACTCCGGCATGGGCGAAGGACTAGGCCCGCCGTTTCCCTGCGCTACGGCGGGACTGAACCGTTGAGGTGTGGGAGCCTGACCAGATCGGGGGAAGAGCTCGTTTAGTTTCTGATACAAGTCGTTCAGGATGGGCATACTCGGAGGTGGGGTCATCAAGGCCGGCGCCGGGAGTCTTTTTTGTTTGTCCGTGATAGAGGCAAGATATGACAGGTTGGCCTGTAGTCGTCGCATACAATCAATATACTCTTGGCTTGGCTTTTGAGGGGCAATCGTGCCATCAAGATTAGACACTGAGCCTGCCTTGCCCGACTTCTGTAGATTGACGATCTCCTCTAATAATGTTGAGTTGATGTCGAGAAGTGTCGTCATGCGAACCTTTTCTCGTGCCACCGCCTGCGCTTGCGCTTGTAGTTGGGCCGGGGATGGTCCTTGCATTGGAGTCTGGGATTGTTGGGCCTGCTGAGCCTGGACCTGGCCTTGGACCTGACCCATGTTGGGGGTTCCCGGCTGAGCGGCCCGGGGGGAGTTCATCTGAGGACGTGGTTGGTTGGCCAACAGATTGTTCGCGGATATGGAGGCCATGTTCTGAGAAAAGGTCTGCGCGACAGTGGACGGGGTATTCGGCGCGGGGTTGGCTTGCGAGAATTGGGCCATATTGGCGGGGAGGGGAGGTTGACTAAAGGGCGCAGAGAAATTCTCCATCGGTGCTGTTGTCATATTAGCGGTCAGATCTAACATCAACCAGCGTCAATGAGCTATCGGCTCGCTACCCGAAAAGCGCCTTTCCCCTGCTGACAAAGAATAGCGCAAACAATTGGGAGCGTCTCAGATTGCCAAGAGCCAGTCGAAACAATCGCAGGCGCTACCCAACGGGTAGATCCATGCTGCAGGCCTCCAGAACAAGCAAGACCATCCTGGGAGGGATATTGAATGCGATCAACCCTACGCTCCAGATAGAGGATGCGGCTTTGCTTCCTGCATAGCTAGAGCGAACAGATTGACCCCGCAGGCCCACAGGAGACAGGTGAAGGTGAACGACGCTAGTCGTTATAAAGAAAAAAAAAAAAAAAAAAAAAGGGAAAGGGTTCGATAATGAAAGGGGGGTAATTGGCCACGTACCGGAAGATTGTTGGGGGAAGTTTGAAGGCATCATAGCTCCACCGGGAACACCTGGCTGCATTGGGATGGAGCCAAAGGAATGTTGCTGATGTCCAGGCTGTGACGGGGCCTTGGACTGGGGGAATTGTTGGGGCATCGAGTTTGGGTAGAACGACATCGGATTTGGGGGGCTCTGCGTCGGGACGGGAAAGCCTGTGGGATTGTAACCAGTATTGGGATCCATTGGATAATAAGGCGTGCCCATCACGAAGACAGACTATCAATGTTAAAAAGGGGCCGAGGCGTCCACGGTTGGCCCAGTCAATCCTTCCTGTTCGTGGGGTTTCTTTTTTTTATTTGAACCGCCCAGATCAAGCCCGGGGAAGACAGTCGATTACGCACGCGCCGCACGGACAAAGAGCAAAGGGCTGGACGGACTTCCCTCACTTGGAATCCAGGGATGGGCAGGGGAAATGAGCCACCGGGTATGGAGGAAGTGATTTAGACAATAAAACACCAAATGGAGAGCAATGATTGGCCCAGATGACAATAATGAATGGGCAGGGGGGTTGGAACACGATCGACCGCTGCTTTGGCAGTGCTGGACTCGGAGCAAGACAGATTTTGGTGGGTGTGGTCCGGATTCAGAGTGATCAGCCGTGGGCGGACGGGCTAATGCAGCGGAGCCTTTTCGGTTGGAAGTGGGGACACGGGCCCAATGGTGGATAATGGTTTGCTTTTTTATGGGATTTTTTTTGATTGCTGGTTGATTGGTAGACGATGGGAGTAGGTTTGGATTTTCCAAGAGCAATTCCACCTCAATGAGAAAGCTTAAGAGATGAGGAGTTCTTCAATGACGAGGAAGGTCACGGGACTTCAAAGTCCCTTGTATAATACCAGGCAGAACCTATCACAATACACAATACCTTCTCAAGCGGTGAGACACAAGCAGTAGGGGGAACCAGTACCACGTATGGGCAGTGTACCGCACAAGTATCAGCAGGTGACTTCAAAGCGACATGTGATTGATTGTCAAACACGTGGAAGCCTGATGGCCTGAGGCCTCAATATCACCTTCTTTCAATACGAAATCTGGAATCTGAGCCTAATTTGGATCAAAGTCTCAAAGTCTCTGAAAGTATTGCATCATGACAGGGGTAGATCGGCAGCCCTTTACCGCTCAGTCCTGATGTGTTCATTGCATCCTTCTCAGCCGCAGGAGATGGACTGCGCCACAGGTGGACCCTCTGGTGGCGCAGCCCACATGGGTTTCAGGGTTGTTCAGCGTCGGCTACAGTGTCTTTCTGGCGGACGCAGTGTGTCTCCGTACTACGCAAGGCCGTGAGATCAATCACTTTGAAATTCATTTGCAAGTGGTATCTGAGAGGCATTCTGATTGAAAATCACTTGAGGTCCTATCTGGAATCCATCGAGGTTGTCAACTTCACGGCGGCGTAGACCACGGGAGACGAAAATATTAATTCTCATGGAAATGAAAATGCGCCCGTCTCCGAGTCCATGATTGGCCAGTTCCAGAAATTCGGGAATTGCGAACAAAAACTGACGTGTCCTTGGTCGTGGGGCGCTAACGGCGACTCCGGGTGCATCTGATATCAGATTTGCTTCCAAGACCGTTGAGTGTTGGCATGGCCAATCCAGAACTGCAGATCAGCGATGAGATCTGCATTTCCAGGGAACATGACCATGTGACGCGGTCGACAACAAAATCCAATTTCATACCGCAAGTCATCGGGTATTGGGGGCCCACTACGAGTGCGACGGAAGTTATCTGGAACGGGCGACCTGCATCTCGCTAAAGAGGGGCACGATGGATCAGGTATTCTTGACGCCACTAATGCACTTTGGAGGGATCCATTCTTCCCAGTTTCCAGGAAATGCAGGTCGGTGATCTTTTCCTCGTCCACGCTAAAAGAGATGGTTTGAAGATGGGCCCTGAAAGTCACGGAAGAATGGCAACAACCACCTCAGCCAGCCACCTATCAAGGCGATGTCGGAGTCTGAGTTCCGCCCAGGCACAGCATATGTCCGTTGCCATTTTCGGAATGGCCAGGGCTTGACCTCCCAAAGGCAACTGGTAGTTTCGCCGGGTCGACGTCAAGAATAATGAAGTTCTATGCTTAGTGTCCGTCCTGTGCAGTGTGTTACACAACAGTACGAAGCATCCTGGTGCTCGGTACTGCATGCAGGAGCCCCTCCATGCATATCGCGCGATGTCAGCAAGGTGTGACCAGCACCGGACTCCCATCTTATTGTTTCATCCCCTCGACAGCACTTTAATTTGAACCAGACACTAGATTAGTTCGCCAGACTCACAAGATACGTCCGAACCTAATCTGAAGCCTTATGATAGGCTTGCTTTACGAGCTGCTTGGCGCGGACTACGTATCGAAGCATGCATTAAATCCCTGCACTAGAGAGAACCCCGCCATGCACGGGAATTTGTCAACCCTAAAGTCGATTGGCCCACACCGTGTTACATGACTTGCATCCGGAGAACGCTCCTCTGTGTTCTCCGTTATGGTCTAGCGCGGGAATGTCGGAATTCGCAGGACGATCCCAGAGTGCGTGCCCGGATATCACCAGGGGTCTTGGGAAGAAAATCGGCCCCAAATGTAAGCACGAAAGAGTAGGGAGGGGGCCAAGCTTTGAAAACGAGAACTAATTTGTTGTGGATATCGGGGAACAGAAATCCGGCCCAGACTACCAAGATAAAGTGGGGTTGTAGTTTCTTCATCGAGAACAAGGGCATAGATCCAAAATTTGTAAGAGTGGACCATTTGTGGCGCTTTGTCCCACCAAAAGAAGCAGGTCTTCCCAAATTTGGATGACATCTCTGACAATATTGACAGCCCACTGACAGGACACAATCAATGATAGGGTCTGCACTTGATCAAGTTTACTGGTGGGTCTACTGCAAACGGTTCCCAGCAGCCCAAAAACTGGCTCTCATCTTCAATGCCATTAACTCCAACTTGATCCAAAGGACCACTGAACCAGGGCTTCGGCGAACTACAGCCGAATGTCTCAACAAGGCCCAGTCCAGGCCAAAGACTGGGACCGAGCGGGGTCCGGCCGAGTCGGCCAGTTCTGGGTGGCAAATGAATGATCCATAGTTCGATTTGCTTAAAAAGAAAAACAAAAAGAAAAAAGAAAAACAAAAAGAAGGAAAAGAAAACCGTAGTGCATCTACTGCACACTATTGCATTGACTTTCGGGTATGTTTCAGCTCTCCTCGCGGGGAAAAGCCACTTCATCCGATGGACTGCAAACCTACAGCTTCTACGGTAAGGATCATCTTTCGGTGAAAGGGCGTAAATTGATCGACCGACTCAGCCACAAAGTGGCGCAAAGTTTGTGTAGCCAAGAGCATGTATCCTTCGTGACGAGAACGTGCATCTCAGATACGGAGAGATAGTGACGCTTGTTGACCAGGGTTCCCTGGTGACGAGAGGACCCTTCAATCTTCCTATGGTCATGTTGTCGATGTGTTGTCGGTGCATGTACATCTCTGTATGGACTCTTGCTTGTCTTGCATGGTGGAGAGAGTTCTATCCATGGTCCTAGACTGCACAATCTTTGGTTAACGCTGCTAGTCGTATTGTCATGCTTCTTCTACATTCTTTCCAAAAAGGAGATCATTAGGTCAATCTCGGAGCTCAGATTAAAAGAAACAAATAGACCAGACAAGGGATCATACTGTCATGATCTATAGAATGATTGTATTTGTCAAATACCTTTGATAGCCTCATCAAGGAGAGCAGGTCTCAACGCTGCGTCATTTAAAATTAATGCCAATGTACCACACAGGGCGAAACCCACCCATTCCATCCATACTATGGCCTGAATTGGGAATAATTGACCGGATTCCAGCCTCCAACTGTGGCAACATCACCTGCATTTCTCGGACCTTGTCCTCAACCTCCACTGTACCAGCCTTATCAAAGTGCAAGAATGAAAGCCCCACACGAGCTGGGATGAGAGTTTTACGGTCCATGTGGATAGGCACGGGTATCGTACAGATCTGATCGTCTTGCATTGGCGAATGCGGGCCGGAGCAAAGGAGAATAGGTAAAAAAAAATAAAAAAATAAAAAGAAAAGGAAAAAAACCCCAAAAATAACCAAAAAGAAGCAAGAACCGACATGCTGAAGAGCCACAGTTCGCTAAGATCCAAACTCAATCGACGCTCTTCATTCGCCTACGCCACACCGGCATTTGCTAAAACCCCTGTAGTGGATGAAGGATCATGCACGATCCTAGTTCGACCTGTATACTAATGAAGACCTCTCTGGGTGCCTGAATCAGAGATCGGGTCATAGTTATGCACCCAGCTTGAAACTGCAACGATGCCTAGTTTTAACGAGGGTGAGATGTACTGACTTTTCCGTACTTCTGTCACTGACGGCCGGTAATTGATCTACATTCCAAGTCTCCGGTCCGGCCGAACTGGCGTAATCTAATGGACCCGGCCTTGCGTGGAAAATCCAAATTCTGCCAGACTATCAGCTCCCAGGAGCCGTTGGATACTAGTTCCAATAAGGCGCTGATCTAGTTCTGCCGAGCCACATTTTCTCGCGCTAGGATTGAATCTCTACACGCCATCTGCTAGAGCTCATCCATGGTACTGGAGCGGCTCTTATGGTCGTGCTCAAAGGAAATTTCTTCCGTTGCAACGGGGGGTGTGTGTGCCCATCCATGTATCTTCAGTAGGCTTGACGCTCCCCATGTACGAACCATGCGGCCTAGGGAACATGTATGACACCCAGGGACCCATAGAATTGCCGATCGCCAAAGAAAAATAAAACAGCTGCATGCAATCTGTATCTGTAGCTCAACGGTAAGAAAATTACGGGTAAACATGGTGGATAGTGCGTGGCACTAAGCCCTGTTGGGGATTCTCGCAGTACAGTATCTGAACCAAAGTCCGTGCTTGATCTCTCACGCTCTCTCCTCGCTCTGGAGCCGATTTCTCCACACTGTCAACAGCCCCTTCGGCCCTGAGCGCCACAGCCAGGGCTGGTGGTGGACATATATCGACTATAAAATCTCCGGGGCAGGTCTCCAGGAGGCATTTCTCCCTGGCGGGGCCTCCGGCGGTTAGTGATCATTCCCTTATACTGCTGTGTTCCAATCCCACAAAACAATGCTCCCTGGCTGTAAGCCGTCCTGTTCCTCCCAGCTGGCTGCTTGGAGTCCCTTTCTTCCCAATTCTTTGGCGAAACTTGAATTTAATCCCCAGGTGCTGAGCTTCGGTTATATGGTATGATCATGACTGATCTGCGACGAGATCTCCTGGAAAATAGTCGGATTGGGCACCAAACGTGAAACTGACCACCATCCATAGATCCCTCCAACCATGTCCAACCAGCATGATGAGTTGGCTCATCCACACTTTGCTCTCATCTATATCGACCGCGATGGCAATCTTCGCCATGAGGCGTCACCGTCTATCGCCAATAGTCGCGAAGCTATTCTGTCCCCTCGGGTCACGGACGCATTTTTGCAGGCCGTGGCTCGGTCTGAAGAGCCCGGTTCCTCACGACCATCATGTAAGTATTGGATACCCTCCCTCGCCGCCCCTAGCGAGAACCAGGGGAGGAGTCAGTGTGTTGACCCGAAGGCAGTTGAAGTGGAATCGGGCGCATCAGCCTCACCACCAAGAACAACCACTGGACAGGGCCTGCTTCCTACCCAAGTGAGTCAAGTGCCCCCCAGCACCGAATCCAGAAGCATGGAAAGGCACAGACGAGTGGTACCCGCACCTCAAGGGCCACCGATAGACCCGATCATGTGGCCTGCACAGCAGCAAGAGCCCTGGCCATCACGGTGGTCTCGAAGCCCACAAAACCAACGAGCACAGCCGTGGAATGAAGAAGTCAGCATCACCAGCCCTAATAAGTCCCTCATCTGCGTGCGGGACAAGGAATTCCTGCGCCGATACTATGAAAAGGTTTTCCAAAATCTCCAGCAGACGAATTGCCGTGTCCTGGCCAAAGCATACGTCAAGCTGGTAGAGCCACGGAAGCAGGTGAACTACCCATACAATGGACGCAAGATTATCGATGGTCGGACGCAGCAACTGAATCCAGAAGAGACGAAACCGCCGTGGTGGCCAGCAGGGGTGAGCCACAGAGAGCCTGATCATCTTCCAAAAGCCGGTAAGAAAGACCCCATTGCCTTTGGCTTCTCGAGGAAGATCCCTAACTAACCGCTAACAAACCCTAAAGAGCGAGTTAGACTCCTGGTTTATCTACTTTGCGAGTTGCGCACGGGCTATGGCATCACCGCCCGGCGACTGAGAGAGGCAGACCAGCCGATCCGTCGTCAAATCACCCCAGTCGAACGATTACAAATGATGGACGAACTCTACGAGGTTAGAGAAGAAGAAGAAAAATTCCTAGACGGAAAGACAGGTAAATCATCTGCATCTTATGTCGAAGAAAGAAAAAGAAAAAAAAAAGGAGAAGTATACTCATCAGCTTTGACAGACGGGAAAACCCTAGTATCCATCGCACGCGCGAACCTTCCTGACCCTGTAGAGTCACCAAGCAGCCGAAGAACCTCCCCAAATGAAGAGAAACCCATACAAGAATCTCACTATGAAAACATGTGTATTCGAAGTGGACCGACGCGAACCCCGAAAGACCCCAAGACTACATATGCTGCGAGCGATGTGTCCGCCAACGTGTCTCCAATACCTCTTCCTCCCTCGCACAGCCCTATCAATTATATCAAAACCGAGCCCTCTATAACCCACGGTGGCGATGCTACTCAAGCTGCCATGGCCGCACAGGACCTTAAGAGGAAACGCCAGTGTGTTGAAACGGGAGTTCCGGTGCCTACTAGCACTACACCCAACCCGAATCCCAATCCAAACCCCAACCCCAACCCCAACAACCCCTTGGAGTTTTACGCCCCTGTATACGTTGGAGCACCACCGTATATGCCGGAAGCTTACCATGAACTTCATGGCTTTCCAGCACAAGCCGATTCCACCGCCGCACAACCTCCCACCGAGCCATTTGGAGAGGGCATGGACTCATCCGCGTTCCCTTTCTATTTCCAGTACTAGCGTTCTTCACGTTTTGATTTCCAATAATCTCATGGATCACGACTCTCTTTTGTTTAATGTTGATACGAGGGATGACAGTACCTGATTCCTGATTTACTGAAATCTAAATAGTGCTGATTGACAGCGCAGAACAGTAAATGGCATAGCGACAGGAATTCGAGACCAACTCCAACTCGGGCAAAGCCCTAGCCGTTTCCAACCATAGATAGATCACCAAGACTCAACTATTATACACACTGCGAGTACCAATCATTATAGTACGTACACGTGTACCCACTCACACAAGTTGTTCCTCCAGTCCAGTTCTCACCGCCACATTGTCCATACGCCTGCACACCTGTTGCACTTGAACCCGAGCTAGTAGTAGTACTGCTAGCAGTGTACGTGGCCGTTCCAGTCGCAGTTCCACCCAGCGCAGTCAAAATTCCCGTATAAGCAGGCTTCTTCACAAACTCTTCGTCCCACGGACAAGCACCACCCTGGCCGGAGAAGGTACTAGGAACCCAAGAGTACTTATCCGTCCAATCCCAAATCGTTATGCCCACACAGCCACTAGTAGCCGCACAGGCCGCAACGGTATTAGAGTAATCTGTCTTCTGCTGAGCGAGCAGTGCATCTGTCTCCGGGAGAGTCATTCGGATATCCAGTTCCGTGATTGCGACTTCGACACCCAGAGCGGTGAACGCGGCCATGTTGCTTGCCTGGCTACTCTTACTGGGGGTGCTCCCAACGATAAAGTGGGCTTGTAAACCTACACCATCGATCTTGGCGCCGTAAGATTGAACTAGCTTGACGATGTTCTGGGCGGCAGTGGATTTGCTACCCGCAGACTCGATGTTGTAGTCATTGTAGTAGAGTTTGGCATCTGGGTCGGCTGCTGCTGCCGTTGCAAATGCGATGGGAATATAGGCCTCGCCTATGTATTGGTAGAACACGTTGTCGCGGTAAGTTCCGTCGTCGTTGAGGGCTGTATTCGTGAGATGCATAACTCAGAGGAAGAGGAAGGAGTGTCTTTCGTACCTTCGTTCACAACGTCCCAAGCATAGCATTGACCCTTGTAGTGAGTGGCTACGTTTGTGATATGATTTTTCATTGCAGCGAGCAGGGTCGCATTGGTCCAAGTGCCGCTCGTAACTATGCCGTTGATCAATGACCGTAATTTTGCAAGTCTTCCTGGGAACTTACCCCAACTTGGTAATTGCTCATACCACACAAGGTTATGGCATCGCAGTTTCTGGCCATTAGCCTCTGCCAGATCGGCAATCACATCGCCTTTGGTAAAAGTGAAGGTATTCTGCGTTGGCTCGGTTGCGTCCCACTATAATTGAACTCTATCAGCATCTGAACTCTATGTGGATATACTAGACAAATTTACCTTTTGAGAGTTTCCAGGTGTGATCTGACCAAAGTCTTGCGTGTTATTCAGTTGCGTTTCATAGGCAGTGTCTGTCAGCTCCGAGTTATCGGTCGCAGTCCCAAAGTATAATTTCCCGAGAGCAACAGCAGCAGTGTCTAAACCGGCTGATTGGGCACTGCATTGACTTTAGGTTAGCGGGCTCGACTCCCTACAGCAAAGGGCGCAGTGCTTACAGCTGCGGCAGAATACTGGCAGCTAAGGCCAAAGTCTTGATAGATGGACAAAGCATGTTGGAGTCCTCAAATATGATTCCTCAGTACCCGGCAGAAGTCAAGCTTGATACGGGCCTAAGAGAAATGAAATGCAACAGGACATGGCGCAGACTAGACATCCTTTATACCAACAATCAAGACCGAGGACAACGCTATACTAGTGAGTCTCAGATTATACAATCCGGACACTTACCCCGTGGCGGAGTGGGCGCGGCTTCGAAAGAAAAACAATGCACTATTCGAACATACTATTTTAAGGTACGGCTGTAACCCCTACCTACAATGGCCAATACATTCTTCTTGTCAGTCCATGGGACAGAGAGCTTTGAGGAATCCTGGCTAAACAGTGAAGTTGCTAGTTTTGCCGTTTAAGTTCAGGAACGATAGACGCTTGAATTTAGGGACCCGGCGGATATCCAATGTCAGAGCTCAGACCTCAAACCGCCAACGTTTCAAGTTGCAGATGAAGGCATCATGAACACTGTACTTCAAACAATATGATTTAAATGTCATATTTGACATCTGCGGAACATCTGGATATTCAAGATGAAGGAATTATAATTATCCCATCCTATTGCTTGGTTTGTCGTAACGCTTTGACATTCTGCAGAGAAATGCCAAGTCGGACAGGTCTCCGTCTTCCACACGGCACAGGGCCTGCATATGTTCACTTCCCCGCAACTGGGTGAATAGTAGCCTAAATTAGCTTAAAAGCATTCTTCAGGTAAATAGGCTAAAATCCAGTGTACATCCGCGGTCTTACAATGATGTTGATTCCGTAACGGTGGAACTTTTGACTGCTAGGAGAGCTCCCGTGGGCTTAAATCTATGTTGGTAGACTTTATATACAAAAAGAACAAGTATGATAGGGTATCGAGCTTTTGAGTGCATGACTGAGAAAATGCCGACTGTAGGATTCAGGTCATAGCTCAAGTCTTGGTCAAAGCCAGCATGACACAAGTGAACCCGATTATCGCTGGGAAGGCAACACGCGGTAAATGCGATAATGAAGTACCGACGCAGACGCTTCTTATATGACCAATAGTACTTGATGGGGTCCTGTCGAAAGCGCTATCGCCATGGTTACTCCGGGTGGCGAAGCAGGCAAGCAGTGGTGCGGCGCCGGAGACAGGAGGCATATTGGATAAAGTTTCATAGTATCCGATCTCAACCGGTTTTCCGAGCCTTCATTTCCGCAATGAAAGCTCCAGTCTTGCCACTGGGCACGATGAAGATGCGAACCATCTCATCCACAACCTCGACCTTTCCACCAGTCAAAATCTGCAACAAGGGCAGCTTCTTGCCTGCCTTGATCAGACCACCGGAGACGGTCTGCATGAAGCACTCGACATTCGGAATGGTGTATTCCTTCTTAGTGTCCCACGGCAGAGGGAACATGTAGTCCAAATGATCCGCAATGCAGTGCAACTCCGAGAAACTCTTGATAAAGTCCGACTGGGCGTCCATGGGATAGAGGAAAACGGCAGGAAACTCAACGGAGCTTTCCGGCGAGAGTGGGTCAGGGACCAGTCGAATCTTTGCATCTTCCATCTCGGGCGGCTGGTCGGTCTTGCGGGTTCTAATCTCACGAGCACGAAGAGCGGTGCTAAGAACCAGGTTCTGTTTGCGGAGAAGTTCTGCCTCGGCCTTCTTTCGGGCGGCGACACGCGCCACCGCGGCCTTGCGCTCAGCAATCTTGGAGGCAGCAGTCTGCAATGACTTGTTTTCGGAGTCGACAACCAATCCTCTCTTTGCGGAATCCTCAGCTTCGTCGAGCTTCTCCAATTTCAACAAGGCCATGGAGGAGCGGTAATAAGCCTTAACGTTTCTGGGGTTCAGCTTGATAGTAGCGGCGCAGTCGAGGGTGCAAGCTCGGTAGTTTCCTGTAGTAGCTGTGAGCGTGGATATCAGAATGACATTGTGCGTACCCAAACCTACCTAGTTCAAGATTGCACAAAGCCCGGTTGATATGCGACAGCTCCTCCATCTGAAGTAGCAATTTCTTCTCCGCCGCAAGATCTTCGGGCTTTTCCCATTTGTCTTCCTTGACAGCAATGACCGCAAGGGCCTTGGTGTACATCTCCTTGGCGTCAATCCACCGTTTCTCTTGAACAGCCTCATTGCCTTGCTCCTTGAAGCTCTGTGCAACCTCGCCTCGGGTACCCTCGTTCTGGAGAGCAGTAAGCGCATCGAGCATAGGGTTCTCGCCATCTACAGAATAACAAACGGATTAGCACGGAAACCTCCCGATAGAAGCCGTAGATGTCAACATACTCTCGTCACCTGCTTTGTCGATATCGGTCATGAACAGCGGAGTCTTATTCATCATATCCAACAGCTCTTCGGCTGAATGCGATTTGACCGACGCCATGGCTGGCGGCATATCAGGAGCAGAGGGATCGGTTTTGGCTGCTTTCAAACGCTCCTCGTTGATGGGGAACGGTGTCTCGTTGGAGGCAGCGAACACGTCGAATCCAGAGTGCAGCTGGTCCTGGGGTGCCACAGGAGGCACCTCACTAGGCACCTCATTGAGATTGAGCGACTCATCGAAGTCATCTGGGAGCTCCTCAATTCGTGACATTTTGAATGGCTTTGCACGGTCTACCAACTGCAGGAAACTTTTTTTTTTCTTTGATGTCACTTCCGCGGGGAAAATCAGAGACAAACAGGACAAACACGAGGGGCGATTAGTGAGCAATGTTCCTGGCGGATTCTTTGCAATTCTACCTTATTGAAACTGTTCTATGCATCTCCAATCGAACAGACCAAAATGAAAAAAGAGACCATTTCATTTTCTCTTTGTTATCAGGTATATGCGAAGCCCTATTCCTGCAATATTGGGTGTCGACATTGGTCCGCGTTGCTGCCTGAAGATACAGGGATCCACTATCACTGTCCAACTGGGTATATAGATACTGGAAATAGAAATAAGGACGACATCTGAACAAGGACATGAAATCACTTACTAAAACCCCAATGATCTCCGTCATCGGACACCAAACCATCGGGGCTCGCCCGAGAACAACCAACCCCGCATTCATCGGACGAAAGACCGAATCGCCTATATCGGCACCATTCATAGATACATAGAACCAAAATATACACTTGCACTATCCTCCAAATATACAATACAACGTCAGAAAATGGCCCAAGTACACAAAATCCTCATCCTTCCAGGCGACGGCATCGGTCCCGAAGTAATGACCGAAGCCGTCAAAGTCCTCAAAGCCTTCGAAACACCCCAGCACACCTTCCAACTACGCCAGGAACTGATTGGTGGGTGTAGCATTGATGCAACCGGCAAGTCTGTCACAGAGGAGGTCAAACAGGCAGCTCTAGGTTCCGACGCCGTGCTCTTCGCTGCAGTTGGCGGACCGAAATGGGATAACGCTCGGAGAGGGTTGGATGGACCTGAAGGTGGTTTGTTGCAACTGAGAAAAGCGATGGATATCTATGCAAATTTGCGGCCTTGCTCTGCTGATTCGCCGAGTAGCTCTATCGCCAAAGAATTTAGTCCGTTTCGACACGAGGTCATTGAAGGTGTGGACTTTGTGGTTGTGAGGGAGAATTGCGGAGGTGCTTATTTTGGAAAGAAGATTGAAGACGAAACTTATGGTATGTGTCACACTCAAATGAAAGAAAAAAATCCTGACGAAGGTTGAATAGCAATGGATGAATGGGGCTATAGTGAAGCTGAGATTCAGCGCGTGACTCGTCTATCCGCGGAGATTGCACAACGTCATAATCCTCCGTGGCCGGTCATTTCTCTGGACAAGGCAAATGTCCTAGCATCATCTAGACTGTGGAGGCGGGTGGTGGAGAAAACCATGACGACCGAGTATCCGGATGTCAAGCTAGTGCACCAGCTTGCAGATTCGGCATCTTTGATCATGGCGACAAATCCACGTTCCCTAAACGGTGTGATTCTCGCTGACAATACCTTTGGGGACATGCTGTCTGACCAGGCTGGCTCGATCGTTGGAACCTTGGGGGTTCTCCCAAGTGCCAGTTTGAATGGCCTTCCGGGGGATAAGACGTTAAAGACACGGCCGTATGGGCTGTATGAGCCTACACATGGATCAGCACCGACGTAAGTTCAAATTTGCAGAGATTTACACACACGCCGCGAAGATATGAAATATTTGGGTTACTGATTGGATACTAGAATTGCTGGGCAGAATATTGCCAACCCGGTGGCCATGATCCTCTGCGTTGCATTGATGTTCCGTTACTCTTTGAGTATGGAAGATCAAGCACAGCGGCTGGAAGGTGCTGTACGCAAAGTGCTGGACTCGGGCTTGCGGACTCCTGATTTGGGAGGAAAGGCTGGGACAAATGAAGTGGGCGATGCGATTGTAGCTGCATTGTAAATCGTGGAGCAAGAGTGGACTCTACAATGATCCAGTTCGGGTATTCATACATATTTAACGGCCTCAAGAAATAAGATTGTATATTCTTCTTTGAATGAACACGCATATTCCAAGACAAGAAAAACGGTTACACAGGTCTCAAACTACATCTCCTGCGTTAATTTGTCTATAAAACGTGGACATAAAGAAGCCGATGAACAATGGGATCGTATCGCGCAGCGCAAACAGCTCATCTGTTTGAGCTACATGATTAACATGAGACCAATGTTTCTTTCGCTTTTCTTTTCTTTTACTCCCTACCTTTCGTAACGCCTGCACTACACGTACTTTCATTCTCGTTGTTGACGGTCACACTCCACGGTCTCCTAAGAAGACCCGCAATATCCACCCGATAGCCTCTGTGAGCGGCTGCCAAAACAACTACCATGAACAGCGATCGCAGCGCAAGCGAGCCCGGCGACGTGCTACAAGACCTTTAATTTCAAGTCATGACTGCAGCCGACTTTCAGAGTGAAGGGAAATCAACCCACCAGACCACAATCAACTCAGGCTCGATTACGATGCGCCTGCAAGGCATTGAGGAATGGAGCTCGGAAACCAAGACCACAGTCGTATCATCCATCGCTGACGATATGGTCACGACATTGAAGATCATAGGAAGACACTCAGAAGCCGGTATCCTGGACTATACGCACACAGAGCGAATCAGTGATGTCATTGATATCGTTCTCAACACGAATGAGCGGCTCGAAAGTTGCAAGATACGGCGGCTCCGCCAGCAGAACCGGGACCAGAGACGGGCATATCAAAATTTGGTCAGAAAGACAGAGGAAGTGCTCGACAAGTACAATAGGAAAGTGCAGGGATTGAAAGCACATGTCCGGAATTTGCGGGGTGAACTGCTTAATTCCAAATTAGAGCGAGAGCTGCTGCTTCGGCGGGTTCACTATCTGGAGAAAGGGGGTGATTATGGGGATGATGGAGAGGGCGACACTATTGTAGAGGAAAAGGAGGTGGAAAGTCCCCAGGATCAGGGAATGGCTGGTCTGACGGATGAAGATGGGGAGTGGGAAGAGGATCCCGAGACCGAACTCTAAAGGGTCCGTTGAATTTAGTCCGGAAGGAAAGTCATCAACATAGGGAAATTCGAAAGGAAACATTCCGAGTCCGATGTTGCCGATAGCTTGTTGACTGAAGCCGAAAGTTTCCATGTGTAGACCAGAGGGTATAGATCGGCTTTAAAGTTCCGAGGCATTATGTCTCATGGCCGACGGCATTTGAAACCTGACTGTATTCAAATGGTGAAATTTCTTTGCTGTTTTTCAACGTAGATATCTCCGTTTTCCTCAGTCCGATCCCAGCCGAAATTCGGAAGAATTGGTTGGAGATGTGAATATTCACCCATGGACTCATTTTTCGTCCCATGTGCATTTCAGTGGCAATTGATAGCGGGTTATCGTAGGCCGAGAGGGACCTCGGCATATGGCAAAGTAACGAGTGCGCGCTGATTCGACCTGCGGATCCACTTCCTTTCCCTTCATGTGGTATTCTCTCCATCTTTCTCCAGACTTTTCCTCTTCTTCAATCTTCTTCTTCTCTGTATTCGCACATATTCCAAGATTAGAATATTCAGATAGTCGTGGTTGTGGTGTTCCTGAACCAATCTTTCTGAGAAACTTTGTATCGACGTCACACTTTATCGGCCGAAAGGATGAGCTCTCCCCATGACTATGAGGCGGTCCGCAAGGACATTGTCGCGCAGCTGAAGAAGCCCGACTATGACGATGGAAGCGCAGGCCCAGTGTTTGTGCGACTGGCATGGTGAGTTGACCCGGTTCTTCTTTTTGCGGGGACAGCAAAACTGTCCCCGGGCCTGGACCCGCTCCGGGGGAAAGGAGTCCAGCGCGACCGATGCAAACCAGCTTCGAAACCATCAACTAACCACACAACTTTCGCAGGCACTCCTCGGGCACATATGACCTCGAGTCAGACACCGGTGGCTCGAACGGCGCCGGCATGCGTTATGAAGCGGAAGGTGGCGACCCAGCCAATGCAGGCCTGCAGCACGGTCGGGCTTTCCTGGAACCTGTCAAGGAGAAGCACCCCTGGATCACATACTCTGACCTCTGGACATTGGCCGGTGTCGTAGCGATCAAGGAGATGGGCGGACCCGACGTCCCTTGGCAAGGTGGGCGCACAGACCTGGTAGATGATTCCAAGGTGCCACCCCGGGGGCGTTTGCCCGACGGCGCACTAGGTGCGGACCACCTGCGCTTCATCTTCAACCGGATGGGTTTCAATGATCAGGAGATTGTGGCGTTGGCCGGTGGGCACAACATGGGCCGGTGCCACGGGGACCGCAGTGGGTTCGAAGGGCCGTGGGTGACGAACCCGACGCGCTTCTCGAACTCGTTCTTCAAGCTGCTGTTGCAGTTGGACTGGAAGCCTCGCACATTGTCGACGGGTATGACACAGTTCGTGTATGAAGACCCGGAAGCTGAGGAGGACGAGGAGGCCCTGATGATGCTGCCGACCGATATGGCGCTCAAGACCGACCCTGCATTCTTGCCGTGGGTGCAGAAGTATGCCGAGGACAAGGACTTGTTCTTTGATCACTTTTCCAAGGTCTTTGCCAAGCTCGTCGAGCTAGGTATCCAGCGCGATGAGAAAGGCGCCATCATCAATACTGATAACGTTATGGGTGGTTATTTGTCTGCGCCCAAGAAGAGCAGCACAGCGACTGGCCCTAGCAAGAAGAAGAGCGAGCCTCGTGCCCGTCTGTAGCGATGGATAGGGTTTCTGTTTGTGCTCCTGCGTGTTATATGATTGATTCCCCTTTGTGTTGATAGATCTGGTTTTCGGTATATAACCAGATTAATGTAAATAGATCATAGATCATAAGCGAAATACACCTTCATTTGAATTTGCAAGAGCCCTAGAGCTTCTAAATCATCCAGTATACAGATATCTATAAAATAGATATCAAAGTTGTTGTTTGATCATAGCAGAATAGAAAGCAAGAAGCGGGAGGCAAAGAAGTTGAGAAGCCCAGGAAGAAAGGAGAGAAGAAAGACCTCGAGGGCGAGAGTCTGGGGTATGGAGTGCGGGGGCAAGTCGCACGGACTCGGTCCACCATACAGCGGGATGTTAAATGGCGTCGTTATGATTGGCACAGCGGCCAGTTTACTAGTAACGGCCTTGTTTATCATACAGATTATGACCGCGGAGAGTTTCCATTATTAACATGAATATAATCGCGCATATGTCATTGCAAAATCAATAAGAACCTGAAAATTCAGAGCGTCTACCGGTAAACGTCTATATTACTCCACCGATTTTGCCGATCCCTATGGCCTCATTCTCTTTGATGGCTCCGGTTCCAAATCATCTGCGAATCGAGCCCTCTTGTTAGGTGACTGGCTCATTGCATTCCGCATCGCCGTCTTCCACATCCGAAGTTCCCCTGAGTCAGGCCGGGGAATCCAATAAGGCCTCGGCTCTGGGGGACCTCCATGAGCAGATCTTGCTTCCTTGCATTCCTCGGCATCTCTACCTTTCTTATCCTTTCGAGACTCTCTGGTCGGCTTGCCCTTTGTAGAGGATTTCTGTTTATTCTTCTTGCCAATGTCTTTAGATGTCGCTGTCCGAGCCTCATCATTGGAGGACTTCTCGCCTCGTTTTCCAGCATTGACTGTCGTCTCTCTCGCTGCTTTCTTAATAGAACCAGAGCCCTTTTTTTCGTCCTGCACTTTCTTGCCTGGTACCTTCTTGGTCGGGCGCACACTCGGTAATTCTACTGCAAAGCCCTGCGCAGGGGCTTTCTTCGTGTATTCCTGGTGAGTTTTTCTGGTAGGAGCCTTGTTCTGTTTCTCAGCTGGGGTTTTGTCTCTGGAAGAGGTCATAGAAGGGCCATTGGGCATTTCATCCGAGCCTGTTACCCCTAATAGCCTCCTCAAAGGCTTTTCAGCTCTCGCAAATGGAGCTGAGGGTCGGAAGCGACGTCCAGAGCGTCGGACTGCGCCAGCATGCGTCCCCCACTCCATTCCACCCATGAAAATATCATTATCCGGACTAGGCCAGTGCACATAATCCATGACTGGGGTACGTGGCATGCTGAAAGGCAAGTTATCTGCATCGTCGGCCCGTGGAAGAGACGGGAAGTTGAAGGCGCCGTTATCTCCTGGAAGACCTTGAGGCCACATCTCAGGGAATTCGGCCAACCTGGAGGGTGAATTGAGCACTGAGTCAAACAAGTTATAGTATGCGGGTGGTCTCTCCGAGTTCACTTCATGTACATTATCTGGCGGCCAGGCGTTAAGCAGACTGTCCAGATCTTGCATTTCGATGTCAGCCTGATTTATCCCAGGTGTTGACCCTGCCTTTGACGTAGCGCGCGATGTAATCTGCACTGGAGTGGGAAGTTGGTGAATATTTACATCTCGAAAACGGTTAGTAGTCACGGGTATAACATGATCCTCTCGCGGGAGAATGGAAGTCCTGGAAGTTGGATCTTCAGGGACCGGCAATCGAACATATTCCCACGGGGTGTGGCATGTTAGGACCGATCGACCTAGGGCGGCCATACGCTTAAAGCTATTGGTGCTGAAAATAACAGCATCTAGCATCTCCTTGGAGGGATTGATGACACGTTCGTAGATACCAATCAAGAACCCAATATCGGTCCAGTCATGGGGAACTCGATCCGAGGGATGCTGAGGGGGAATGCCGCCGATAATGACTCCCTCGTTCACTTCGTCATCGTACATGCGGATGTTTTCACCGTCGTTATCGCCTCGCTCTTGGTCAGTCCAATAGACACGCACATGGCCATCTTTGTGGTAGATCCCTCCAAGCCAGCGATAAGCTGCAAATTTCTCCTTTCCATTCGAATCACGGTAGCGAAAGTTGAGGTTTTCAGTGTGGTTGTTGATCCGGACTCGAAACCCCACGTAATTTGATACGACCAAGCGAAGTGGAAGCTCATCAATTCTTGTATCCGAACGAATAGTTCTCGTATCACAATGAGTACATTTGGTTTCACGCGGTTTGAATATGCAACCTTCGATCAACTCTGACATCCATACACCTTCACTGGTGTTGTGATCTGCAATATTGGGTAGTATACAGTTGGCATACTTGTCAGTCTCCGGGGTCTCCTGACCATTGCACTCACACGCCTGGTGGTGTACAGAGAACCTATAATAGAATTGCGCAAAATTTCTTGTACACTCGGACCAGATAGCCCACGCTGGACCGGGCTGTCCAAGCTTGATGGAAGGGACGGTAGCACAGAGCTTCCTCAAGAACAGGTCTCGCAACTTAATATTTGTACTCATGTCAAGGGCCTCCCAGTTGACATTTGTAATCTCGATAAAGGCCTTTTCGAGCTCGGTGATCTCGCCGTATCTCCAGCTTCGACGGTCTATATTGGTGCATCCGATGTCAAGTAACATACCCAAGACGATAACGCAGTCAGCCGAGCAGCTGTACTGATTCCACACTGGACCCCTGCCTCGATATGGGTAGAGAGTAGTCGATCTGTTATCGAAGAGGAGCGTGGTCGGCTCTAGTTTGAGATACGCATGCGCAGGGAAAGTTCCAATCTGAACCGTCTCTAGGTCATGCATGGAGGAAGCCGTTGCGAATGACTCCGGCACTCGGGCCGGTGCGTTGGGGTCCCGCTGGAGGTCATGGTAGGCATAATCTAAGATAGTCCTCTCGACAGCCTCTTTGAGTTTTTGGGTAGTAGCAGCAATGAAATCTAATTCTGAATCTGCTTCTGACTTTGACTCTGACTCTTCCTCTGATTCTGATTCTGGGATTGATCCATTGATTGAATATCCAGATGATCCGGCACGAGAATTAGAAACTAAATGATGTCTTCTTGAGGATGGCTCATGTCTATCAATAGAGTGATGTCTTGGGGACGGCTTATGTGTTTGGTTTGATTTCCCGGGGGAAGGTCCAAACACCGTACCTAGAACTCCCTCATCAGATATTCTTGGTGGTTGTTGCTTCTCCCTCCGACGTTCCGAGCCTTGCGGTCTTTCAGTCTGCTTAGTCCCACTTCCGCGTGACTTTACGGGGTCGGCTATTTCAACCTCCCGCTTCCTGTGCCGTGGCGACCTGACGGGTTCAGGGGGTTCGGACACGGGCAACATGAATTGATGAATGATACTGTCCGATAAATGATCAGGCGCATCACTCGGGCGCACCCATTTAGGATGTACTGGAGCATTGGGAACTGGTCGATCTGGGTAGAGCCGGCTGATCGGTCCAACGTCTTCATCCCAATGCTCCCAGCCCATGAGACGGGGACCAGTATCTCGGCGAAGGTCGAATAGCTCTGCAAAGTACTTGGGACGGTGTCTTTCTGGCATGTAGTAGAGCATCTTCCATAAATTTTGCATGATCATCCTCTTGCTCGGATTTTGGCTGGGTGTATAGTAAATTCCCCAGAACTGCAGTACTCCAAGAATCTTTATAGTCGATAGTCTGATGCTTCTAATATCATGGACACGGTCGAATCGCATGCCGAATATGGTAAAGTCATCAGGGCATGGATCAAGCGCTGACAAGTCCCAGCACATCTCCGGCTCCGGAGGAATGTCGAGGGCGTTCACGCTAGTTGGGTAGTTTCGGAGATAGTCAGGAGGGGAGCCCATTGCGATGGAATTAGTAGAATATTGGAGATATTTAGTCGGACTTCTGGATTGAATAGATAGAATTTCCATGAATGATCAAGATCTGGTTGGAGAGGAAACAAGAAGTTTTCATAAAGGCGAGGAATTGTCAAGTGATTTATGTCTAAGGAGGGAACCTTTCACTTGCGTTTGGCCCAAGCAAGAGTCATATTGGAAGACAAAGAGTCAAACCCAAGGAAACGAAAGCTCACGTATTCTAAAATTGGATATAATTTCTGAGTCCATCAAAGAAAACATGGTCATTGTCGAACGGACGCAATTCACTTCGATTAGGAAAACGATCTCGAATCTTGAAGAGTCCTTTCATTCAACGGATCACAGCTAAGTTGCCGAGTTGTTTAAATTTAAATAGCAGAAGTCTACACCCCTGGAGATTAGTTAGCTAACACGTGCATGATCATCGAGGCATTATTATGTAGACATGATAATTGAACATTCAAAGCAAACTCATCGAAGCTGGCGGCATCAAAGTACTACGTGGGCCAATCAGCAAAGATTTTGTACTGTGTGGCTTTCGAGTTGATCAAAGAGATGTTGTATTCCTCAATCGGGGCGACGCGAGGATCCAAGAGATACAAGCTTACGAAGAAACTTGTGTACAGACACAGACCGGGAGTTATGCGTAAGATACAGGTAACACGGGCATTTCGTTTTCGCTGGTGATTACCTAAGTTACAGCACCGCATATCATGTGACTGTTGAGAGAGATTCAATCACATGATTAACTAATACGGACTAGCGGCAATCAAGCGAGCCCTCACACACTAATTCCCAATATGGTTAGCGTCCCAATTACCCGATCCCACAACGGACAGCAAAGTCACTCGAGACTTTCGAGACTCTGCTCCTCTCCATCCCTCTGTCGACAATTATCGCGAGCCCTCGCGCCCATCGCCCATCATGTGTACGTTCTCTCCCACGCAAGATTCGACTCCCTGCTACGCATACAACACAACAAAAAAAACCGTTGCTGGATTTTTGGGGATCGCTCGACAAACCACCCCCAAGGAATGACCTGGCTAACATGTCGCCTTTTTTGATACAGCGCTCGTGTCCGGCGAGAAGACGAACTTCCAGTACATCCTGCGTCTCCTCAACACCAACGTTGATGGAAAGCAGAAGATCATGTACGCTCTGACCCAGATCAAGGGTGTCGGTCGCCGCTACTCCAACCTCGTCTGCAAGAAGGCCGATGTCGACCTCAGCAAGCGGTACGTTTTCGATACAATCTACAACAAATTTGGAATCTCTGCAATGTCTTTGTCGTCGAACCTTCTTGGAGGGAAATTAAAAGGGAGATAAGGGTCATCATACTACGTCTGCGAGGAGCACCCATTGTGTGTGTCCACGATTCAAAAATTCTGCTTGACAGAACGCACCACCGCACAATGAATACGGAATTGTTCGATCGGAGAAGACATTGCAGAGGCCCGGATAGTTGTTCATCCAAGCTAAGCGGGAATACTGACGTTTTTCTTAGTGCTGGTGAGCTCACCACCGAGGAGCTGGAGCGCATTGTCACCATCCTCCAGACCCCTACCCAGTACAAGATCCCCTCGTGGTTCCTTAACAGACAGCGCGACATCACCGATGGCAAGGACCACCAGGTCGTTTCCAACGGTCTTGACTCCAAGCTCCGTGAGGACCTTGAGCGCTTGAAGAAGATCCGCTCCCACCGTGGTCTCCGTCACTACTGGGGCCTGCGTGTCCGTGGTCAGCACACCAAGACCACTGGCCGCCGTGGACGCACCGTCGGTGTGTCCAAGAAGAAGGGCTAAACTATTCTTGTCGTTTTTCCGGGGGCTTTTTTTGGAGGGATTCCTTTATTGTCGGTGTGTTTCTATGGGCATCCGTGGGATCTTTGTCCCCGCTGGCTGGGTGTGATGCCAGTCTTTAAAATTGAAAATGAATCATACCAATATGAAATGAACCGATTGATTTCCTTACATACGTATGATACTTATTCTCGGGCGTGTTCTTGTCGTCTCGCCTAGCCTTGCATATTGCATGTTGTGGTCCCTTGCGCTTGTGGTACGTATTCCTAAACTTGTGGTGAGACAGAATAGTATACCAGAGGTAGCTAGCGCTACATTGCCCTGCTTCAGTAGTCCGACGCTGCAACGTATAAAATCGCGTGACCTTCCTAGGTCCGAGCCACTCCTTGATCTAACTACATCCAAAGCTTGATCTATTAATTAGAAAGTTTCTAATAGTGCAATTTCGCGTACAACAATATCGGATATTTAGCATAGTTAAGAATGTGCATTGTATATGTACTTGACATTGAGCCAACAACTAAAGCAAGGCGAGCTAGGGACTGCAAACCAATCGGTTTCTTAAATCCTCCCGAGAAAACATTGCATATTGTCACATTCTATGCGAGGCAAATCCAGAGAATAGATAAATGCAGGAAGGATAATCATTTGTAGCCAAGGGTTACTTAGAACCACTCGCCACCCAACCAGCGGTTGAAGAACTCCAGGCTGGACTCAGGCTGGTCCATAGGGACCATGTGACCACCACCGTAGAGACGCATGAAGGTGAAGTTGCCGTGGGACTTGACCTGGCCAATCTTCTTGCCCTTGTGCTCATTGTCCACAATGACAAGGTCGTCCAGCTCAAGACCAGCATACGTCTTCTGACCAGGCCACTCGAGAGCCTCAGTCCAGGCCTTGTTGCCGAGCCAGTTGCAGATGAAGTCGGCATCACCAGCGTAGATGAGCACAGGAATCTGCTCGAGGAGGCCCGGCACCAGACGGTGGAAAGGCTTCATCCAGTCACCGTGGAAAAGGAAGTTGCGGTTGATGTCGAAGTTGCAGGAATCGAAGCCCGAAACCTCGGCACCCACAGCCTCGATAACCTTATCCTGGTTCAGGTACTCACTGACGTAGCTCATACCCTTGTAGCACAGACCAGAATCATCTTCGCATGGTTTGCGGACGTCGTAGACGTTCTTACCGGTCTGCTGGTAAGGAGCCAGGAGGGCATTGTTGCAGTAGATGGAAGCCGGCACACAGATCCAGGCGCTCTCACTGTTGTAGCAAGACTCAATCATAGACAGGCAACGGGGCAAAGCATTGTCCATAGACCGACAGGCGCTCTCGTCCAGGACAGCTGGGTAACCGCCGTCACCGCAAGCCATGGGGCGGTAGTACTCGTACTGAGTGAGGCCATCAGTCAGGCCGTTACCGATAAGCACAGACTTCAGATTGATGTTCCGGTTCTTGTGGGAGAGAATCTCAGTAGCAAAGACAGGGATGTAGTGGCCAGCATAGGACTCGCCAGCGATGTGGAAGTCCTGCTTGGCATACTCGGGGAATTGCTTGAAGAACAGGGACAGCAGGGCGTAGACGTCCTTGCCGGCAGCGACAGTATCACTGACGGCTGAGCCACTGTAGGAGTAGCCAACGTTGACTGGCTGGTCCAAGAAAATCACAGAGGCATTAGAGTTCCAGGAGAAGTTATTGTAGACGGTCTGGATCTTGGCGTTGATGGAGCTAGGTCCAAGCTCCATGAACAGACCGGTAAGAGAAGAGCAGCCGGGACCGCCGTTCAACCAGAGGACAACGGGGTCATTTGCGGGGTCATTACGGGACTCAAAGAACCCTGTGCGAAGCATGAGTTAGAAGTCATACATATTGATCTGTGAAAATCGAACTTACAGTAGAAAAGGTGCTTGTCATTCTCGTTATCGTCGAGGTAACCGCTGTACTGCTTGACCTTGGGGTCGATGCCCAAGGAGCTGGGGTCCACCTTCTTGACACGGAGATCATAGGCCTCTAGCTTTCCATCAATCTCCCGGTGCTTGTAGCCATCGGAACCTTCAACCCATACGCTTTGCACATCCGCGCCACGGACGACAGAGTCCCAGTGGGAGTCAGGTCGGCGAGTGTGCTTCTTGGGGAGCGAAAGCATGGGAGTCTGATCCAGGTTGGGAAAAGAGTCCGAAACTTCCTTCCACATCAGCCGGGCCTCATCAGAGAGGGTCTTGAATTGATCTTGGAGCTTCTGGAGTGGCTTGGACATGAAGTCTGAACCCTCCTGGACTAGAGTCTGTGACTGTTGATAGAGGTCACCCATGACCTGCTGCATGGGGACAGCCGCCGAAGCAGCTCCCACCAGCAATGTGGCTGGCAGAAGTCTCATTCTGGATGGTCTTTAACAGCAAAAGATGTAAAGATGGAGGCAATGATAGCTGATGAATGACAGTGGGTACCTAACGGACTACCGGGCCGGTTCTTATCAGTAAACGAACCAGATGATCATTATCTCACAATGAGAGAGGATTGAAGAAGATAGAGTCAACATACACAATATAATGGTGGATGATAATGATGAAAAGGTAGTAAACAAAACGGATAACAGGGACCCGAATCTGGGAGAGAAGGGAGGAGGTTGGAACCCTGGGGGCGATGACGCCGGACCGAGAGATAAGAGGGGGCACGTGCGGGGTCACGCGCCTGTGACCCGGAATGGATGACTCAGCGGCCGATAAAGATCCTCAGGTGCGCGATCAAGTTAAAACATACAAATACATCGTCGAACTCCAGGACTTATTCTGTGGGATTTTGTTTCAGATTGCGGATCCTCTACACTTTCACTGAATATTCCTTTCGCCTCTGGGGTTTTTTTTGGTTTCGAATTTTCGAGTCCGCTCTTTGCGGCTTCCCCCACTATGCCGATCAACCAACCCTCCAACCAAATCAAATTCACAAATGTGTCTGTTGTTCGTCTGAAGAAAGGTATCAAAAGGCTGAATCACTTATGCTCAGGGAGTGTCTGTTACTCACTGCTTTTTAATTACAGGAAAGAAGCGCTTTGAACTTGCTTGCTACAAGAATAAGTTGCTAGAATACCGATCTGGCGCTGAAAAAGATCTCGACAATGTGCTCCAAGTCCCAACCGTTTTCCTCTCCGTATCAAAAGCCCAGACAGCTCCATCCGCTGAGCTTGCAAAGTCTTTCGGTGCAGACACACCCCGCGATGAAATCTTGCAAGAAATTTTGCGCAAAGGCGAGGTGCAGGTAGGCGAGCGAGAGCGCAAAGACATCCTCGAGCGAGTGGAAAAAGAGGTGCTTGATATCGTGTCTGGAAGACTGGTCGACCCGACCACCAAGCGCGTGTATACTTCGGGTATGATTTCCAAGGCGTTAGACCAGTTGAGCTCGGCCAGTGGGCAGCAGCAGAGTGCAGACTCGAACACGGGCGAGGAGCAGCCCAAAAAGCCACTCTGGACCGGCGTCTCTTCCAACCGATCTGCGAAGAGTCAGGCACTGGACGCTATGAAGGCGCTCATTGCCTGGCAACCCATTCCTGTGATGCGTGCCCGGATGCGCTTACGGGTGACTTGCCCCGTATCGCTCCTCAAGCAGCCGGTTAAGGCCGCGCCCAGTGCGGCATCTGGCAAAGAGAAAGAGGCGCCCTCGGGTGGCTCCAAGTCCAACAAGAAGGGCAAAGGTGGCAAGAAGGCCGCCAAGCGAGGAGACGACTCTGATGCCGAGGCTGCTGGTGCGTCCGACGCTGAGTCTGCTCCCAAGGCCCCGGGTACAGTCAAGGACAAGATTTTGGCCTACATTGAGTCAGTGGAATCTCAGGAAGTGGTTGGTGGGGACGAATGGGAGGTAGTTGGATTTGCTGAGCCAGGTGCCTTCAAGGGATTGAATGATCTCGTTGGCAATGAGACGCGTGGAAGAGGACGCGTGGAGGTCTTGGATATGTCGGTTCGGCATGAAGATTAAAAGCATCAGGAGCAAGCTTAGAATGTCCCTCCTTGAGAGCCCTCACCGCAAACCTGCATACTATACCGCCAAGCATTATGTACATTCATGACGAAGGACGAACCATGCCCCATGACTGATGATCTTGATAGAAAAGCAAATAAAAGTTTCTTGAATTGTTGAAATGATGTCTAGCCAGTCTGATTTGAATTACCTAGAGATTCTCTGCACCATGCCATGAAGATTTGTCTTTAGTGTTTCCAAGGTTGTTGTAAGCCTGGCCCCTGGGCTTGCGATACAGGGCTGATCTTCATATCTACTTCCAAGTTTAGATAGGGAGGTTGTGTACAAAACATTGCCCGAGTGGCAAGATAAGGGAGTGTGATTTGGAAATGAATAGCCTTAACTTGGAAGGTTCTATAAATTAGATACCCTTGGGAGACGCGGAAGAGTTCCTTTGAAGCCTGTAGATATCTTAAAGCTTGATCATCATTCACTAACACGCCATATATATAACTAAACCATGATATAGACATAGGGGTTCATCCAATCCAACTCCTTAAATCAACCTAAAGAATACCTGGGTATAACAGTTGTGCGATGAGAGAAGAAAAAAAAGCAAAATCGAAAAAAGGAAGCAAAAAGAAAAAAAAAAAAAAAAAGAAGAAGAAAAACTCAACCGGAGAATCAAGAGGCAACTGGGGTGAGCGCGTACCAACCCCTCATTCTTTCCTGGACAGGGAGGGGTATCAGAATCAAACATCCATCCCAAGACCAATGGCATCACAGCCTGTCACCAACAAAATGACATTCTTACCTGGGCCAAGGTCTCTTGCCAAACCAAGAGCTGTACTCACCGCGTGACTCGAGTCCAGCCCAGGCAAAATTCCCTCGTGGTATCGCATTGTTTTAAACCCGTCCAGGGCATCCGCATCTGAAGCGGTCTTAATTTCAACACGACCACATTCCTTCCAATGAGCCACCTCGGGGCCCACAGTCGAGAGATTGAGGTCTGGCGAGATTGACTGCGAGTCGAGGATTTGTCCATCCCAATTCTGAAGCATCAAAGTTCGCGCCCCCTGGAGCACGCCAATCTCCCCATTGGTTAGAGCGGCCGCCCCAGTGGCTTCAACACCAACCAACCTAATTGCCGGGTTTTGAAGAAAAGGTCTGAATAAGCCAACAGCACCACTCCCGCTACCGATCGCCGTGACGACAGCATCAGGCTGGCAACAGACCGCCTCTTGCATCTGGACCGCAACCTCCTCGCCTAGGAGAGCCTGGAACGTGCGTGTGAGGGTGGGCAGGGGATTTGGCCCCACCGGGCCTCCCATCAGGTAATACGCAGACTCGTAGTTGCAAACCGAATAGCGGAGTGCTTCTGTGATTGCGGCGCGCAGGGAACCCATTCCTGAAGGGGTTCGTGCGGTTAGGACCTTGGCTCCGAGCTTCTTCATCTGAAGAACGTCCTCTTTCTGCGCTAGTGCATCAGCTGCACCCATAATAACCACACAGCGCATTCCAAGGCGCGCACACATTGCCGCTGTGAAATTACCATGTTTGGCCGCGGCACAGTCGGTGACTATTTCTGTGAAGCCCATGCGGCGGGCCAGTAGAAGCTGACCGATGATATTCCGCGTTTTGTGGCTGCCGTATTCATTCTGGTCCTCTCGCTTCAGCCAGATAGTGGCGCCTCTGGCCAAGGATGTGAGCTTGCTTGCGATCTGCAGTGGAGTGGATTTGACCCGCTGGTACGTGGCGTACTCGGACCAGAACGAGGGGTCCGAGATAGTGGCCTCGAAGAATGAGGTCAGATTGTTGAGGAAGTCTATAAGCGATTCTGGTGCAAACCGGCCACCAAACGAGCCATAGCCGTCGAAGGCAATTGGTGGCGGTCTGAGTGTGCCATCTGCCTGCAGGATCGGAACATACGGTGTGCCGCTACCCAGAGATGGTATAGTGCTAGGTAGCTTTACAAGCGCTTCGGATGATGAGGAGGGGACATCACTGGTTGCAGAGCTGGTGGTGACATGGGACTCTGCATTGGATACGAAAAATGAAGAACAGGTGCTGGCGGTACCGGTCGATGACACACTGTTCTCTCGAGAAAGAGTACTCGCTAGGACCTGACGAGGAACGCGAGCGTAGTAACTTGCTCTGCGAATTGACCTCAGGCGAGGTATATTGTGTGAATCTGTAGGATCAAGGGTCTCAGAACCCTTACACTTGTTGGAAGAAAAGCAAAGGAAGCGCAAAGATTGGAACATGGTGCTTGAGACCCTAGACGCAGGGGCAGTATGGTGCTTCGAGAAGAATCCCAGATGCATATAGAAGTATAGAGTCACCTTTTGACTGCTGACTTTGGGCTGAAAGATGCCAGGCACGAAGATATAAGAGTATCACCACCTGGGCTGCCCACGCGTGTGAGGCGACTCCCACGTGGAAAGATAGACGGTGAACGAGGAACGAGGTTATACAGCAGGATGCAGATTGAAAGCTGACGGGTGTATGCCTTGCTTCAATACGGTTTGAAAATTAGAATATTGAGCGCTCATCTATGGGATCAATGACATCTGCGTGTCTTGTCCAGTATTTTATAACTTACCTCCCATCCCTGGTAAACCTTCGCCTCGGCAACAGGAACCTGTGCCATGCACCAATTCAAATTTTTCCCCTCAGTTGGGCTTGGTCTTGGGTGTTAATTCATCTGCAATATTTGAGATTGGGGGTAGCTATTATTAGTATTTATTCATGGCCTACAACTTTTCCAATGCCCAAAGCGGAACATGCTCCGCAGCAAGGGCAGCGCTGACCATGCCCTTGTTCTCATAGATTATTCGCTCCACAAATCATACTGTAACATTTGGCGTGCGTCATCAAGTTGCAATGGCAAGGTTGATTTCAACGTGCTCATATCCAAGGCCCGCCGCTGCAGAGTTGAAACATGGCGAGGCTTCACCAGTTTACTTCATGTTTACACCTGGGTAGACACCCAGCTCAACCAGCGAAAGGTAACTGTTTCTAACTCCCAACATATTACCGTATAATCAGATGATGTGGAGATCCATTGTTGTGTATTTAATGGCGCCGTATCAAGGAATACGCGCACCTCTTGAAGCGCGACCCACATTTTGACCTTGGAAAGTGATTGAGATATGTTTAAAAAAGTAAATCTCAAGCCATTTCAACTGTGCCCTTCTTTGTCTTCATGCAGTGTTTTGTCAATGGCGATTGTGAAGAGGCGTACTCTGATCACAATGCCTCTGTGGACTAGAGATCGGCGACTATTGAATGTCGTGCATCCCCGTGGAGTTTAAATTTCCTCAAACTTTTCATCCAAAAGCCAGCTAAGGATGAACTGAGCGTCTGTCGGGGCCAGATTTCCTTGACTTGAAATAATCTCAGCACTCGGGTGAAACCGTGCATAATCACATTGGCCACCCTACTGAGCTAGAAATTGATCACTTCCCGGTATCTCGCCCCCATTTATCATATTGAAGATACAAATAGAGCATACCCCACTGGAGCGTCCTGTAACTCTATGTAATCAGCATGCCCCTGTCACTAAATTCAGCCCCTCTTACCATTTGGATGTGACCCTCCCCCTCCATCTTCCTCATCAGAACCATTCAACTAGCCATACCTAGTATGTGCTTTGGTGTCTATGCAACCAGTTAGAAATTGTGAAACGAGTCCTGGGTTAATCGTGAGGTGGAGAGGGCCAATATGCTCATTGCAGTTGGGGCGCCCCCATCAGCGCAGTTCAAGAAACCAAGGCAATGTGATAGATATCCTTAGATGCATCGATTTCATTGGGCAAGGAGAACTTGGCCCTAAAGGGTAACTATTCGTGCTTCTGAGGCAAGGAAGGGAGAATTCGTTACGTAAGTTGTAAGCTTCAGGGCGGCTTAGCAATATAGCATTCAGACTCCAGAGCTTCATGCTTGTAATTTTGTCTTCATACATCGCTATCTATCTATTTCCAATACGGGCGCTTACCAAGATGACACTGGGTAAGATGTGGTGGTTCGTGAGACTATGTTATGCACCAGATCTCGGGAGAAGCAATACTAATGGACAATTTTGGAAGATAGAAGAATAAGAATTGAGTACTACCTCGCAAAACAGATCCCACGACACGCAAAGTCAAATGAATCGATCGAGGCGTTCCAATACGTCATTCACTGCCATTCTCAGTTACGTATACAATTCCACGTATCCCTGCAAATTCTGAGGAGTAATACCTGTATTTGAATAAACCTTTTGGTCTAGGCGTACGGGAATACAAGCTGAGAAACGTAAAGAACCTATAGCAAGGCAGCCTAGATACCCGACAAGTCCCCGACCCCTAGAGCTCCGAGATCCTGCGCCACCTACATGCCCCCACAAGGGAACCCTGCAAACAAACCATAGCGCCGGGGAGCGGAGAATTTGTGCTAGCCAGCTGCTAAGTGCACAATCACACATACGAGCCAGGGGTCCTGAGACGGGGGTATTGAGCTTGGGAGCTTAGCTTAAAGATAAATGGGCGCCCGTCCTTTGCCTGAACTTTTGTTTGGTACGCCTGGTCTTCATATTCCCACGTGGACTTTGATCTCAGCCAGTCAGATTTATTTGAAATTCGGATACCGACTCAAGATGGGCGATGACAATGTGTGTGAATATAACAATGGCGGAAGCACACTGTCGAGATATAACATTGCGGCGTTTGTTGATGGTTTCGTTGCTGATCTGAAATTCATTTTTTGGCTTTCTTATAAAATCGTGAGGAAGCTTGTCAAGAGTATAGCTTTGCTATTGCAGTCATTCACATGGTGAGTACCTACTGCCTTGATGCCTGGTTGGCTTTCTCTAACCATCTCAGAGGCGATATACTCTACTTTTCACCTAAATTTGAACAAGAAAAGAAAAAGCCTCGGCTCCACCGCATCCTGATGTCTGAATTTGCTAGGAACTCATACTAGCAGAAGACTATCAAGGCAGGCAAGAGACCTCATGCTGAACAGAAACTGATATACCCGCCTAACTGGGAGTTATACTCGATTTTGCTGTCAATGAAATGTGAAAAACATGAGAAATCCACTTGTACCTGACCCGAATGCAAATATAGCATGTGATTCTTGGTATAACAAAGCCTATTATAAATGCCATCTCCGGGCCCTTATCAGCGTAGTCCCCCCTTAACGCCACCTCATAACAGACTTATCTAACCTTACAGGCCCTGTCGTCATGGTACGAAGCCAAGTTCGCATGACAACCACTCAGAAAAATAATAGACTAGGATACAAGGCCGATCAGGAAGGATCATTGCCTCGTTTGTGCGATGCCCAGACTTAGTGGCGGTCCAGCGGGGTCAAGAGGCTTGGCTTAGCGGGGTTCACAGGCACCAAAAACGAGACTTCTAGAACTATAGCTTAATTTATTGTTTATTTAGAACTAGTGTAGTTATAGTTTGATATATATTTAATGACTGGGGTTTATATCTATTCTAAGATAAGACACCGTTCTGTCGGGCGATGACACATCGCGTAAAGCCAAAAAAAAAAAAAAAAAACTCCGAACGGGTATACGCTCAAATGCAATGCAGGGTTAAGTCTTGCGGAACAAAGATAAGTTCAAAATATAAGACCCAGGAACCGTCTGGGCTCCTGGACTTAAATCTTTGGGGGAAAGAATCACCAGTCTCACAGAGCTGGTACCGATCGTGTAATCGTATTCCGATCGGGGGGATTCGTGCAAAGGTCGTGGATCGGCGTCCATTCGATCCGAAAGTGGACACTTGGTCGTATTTCGTGGAGGGAACCGATCCGAAGCAAGAGGGATGTCAAGCTAGGACGATCACGGGAGAAAGAGAGAAAAAGACACTCTCCGGGATGTGTTACAAGAATATAGGGTACAAGGTGTACAAGATTACGCGCAGATCTGCACGGCAGCCAGGGCGCGGGTGAGGTCCTCCGGTGCAAAGGGCATTTGTTTGCCCCGAGGCGACTTGGGGGCGGGAGACATGGCGCGCACAATAGGCGAGCAGTACCGGATGGACTCCTTGAACTGGGCGATGGGGTCCTCTGGAATTTCGTAGACAGAAATTTCCGGAAGCAGTGTCATCATGGAGCCGTTGTAGCTGTCTGAGTTGACAATGGTCGACGATTGGGAGCCCGTGTGGACGGGGCGGGGCGAGTCTGTCGAGATGGGGGACACGGGAGAGTGGGAAGGTGCTGCGGCGGCGTCAGGACGGGGTTGTTTCGAGGGGTCGATCGGAGGTATTCCGTGGGCTAATTTAGTACATACCTGGATCGATCGCGACTCCATCATCATCGGGAGAAATATCGCCAGTATCGTCGGAGTCAAATGGGCAGATATCATATATGGCACCCGGGGAAATAGGCAAGTCGAGCGAACGGGGGCGTTCCACCATGGCACCGTCAAAGGACCAAGCCGCTAGGCGTTTTTGGTGTTCCTTATCGAATGGGCCTCGAAACTTGGAGGGAGGAACCTCACTCCGACGATAATATTCAATCTTGGGTTTTCCATTCAGTTGACCGCTGTTGGACGAACGGTGGAACACCCGCTTGACTCTTTCACGGAAGGTCATGATGGCAAGATGGAATGGCCTCACAGACCAGTCCCGGATTGGGAACGGACGCGGGTGTGCAAGCACGTAGTGGAGGAATGATCCAGGAACTGTATGACCATTCTTTGCACGGAGTATTCTGGGGAGAAAATGAAGATGAATTTAAAAGAAAAGAAAAAGAGATCAAACTAAAGGAGACTGGGGGGCAAATATGAGGGAATTGGGGGGTTGTAGACGAAAGTGGATTCTAGATAAGCCAAACCGTGGGAACGAATCCGAGCCACATCCGGTACGTTGACGGAGCACTTACTCCGGACATAACCCCAGTGCTACAGTGCTCCAGTTTCCAACTTATTCCTCTTTCGTCCATCATTGGTGTAATGCGATATCCACTGTCTGTGCGAGAACAACTGATACACTTGCACACCGGGGACGCTATTATGGCCCCAGTAGGAACCACTGAACGCCGATTGCGTGGAGCCCTTGAAGAGGGGCAAAATGCAGTAGCGTGTAGTAATGAATATGACCAACTACATTGTACAGAGTTCGGCATAGGATAAGTTATGATTCATGAATCAATGCTACCCTCCCTGGTCTTGGGCCTGACAATGCTCACTGACACTCCCATGAACCACGGACCGCCTTCAGCCTCGTGCCTGGACACAGTGAGAAAGTTTACGATATGCAGCGAAGGCTTCCAGAAAACTCGGACGAAGCGGCGTCCGATCGAGGCGAAACGCCCAGTTACATCATGGAATCATCAGCAGCGAGTTCATTGGCCTGGGATTCTGATTGCGTAAAAACACAACCCGGTTTTGCCCCGACAGTGACGCCTGTCTCGTCTTTGCTCACCGCCCACTCTTTTCGCCACCGCCTACCTCATACATGGACGCATTTTAGCGTGTGTCTATATCAAAGCCTATGGAAAATGTTAAAATTCTACCTTGAATTCTATCGTAACAAGCTCTTCAACATTTGTCCTGAGACTATATATGTATAGGTGGTTTTGAAACCAAGTAGTGTATGAAGCATTTGAATTCGCACAATTTGGCGGATTTTGTGCGGAAGCTTTCGGGTTCAAAGGTCCACCTTCTCGGCACACTTTTGCCGATTCTAGACCATGGTCACTGGCTTTGGTCTATGTAGCATATTTTTGAATCAACTTCAACAAGGCCGGCTGGCCCAATGGCAAGGCGCTTGACTACGAATCAAGAGATTGCAGGTTCGACCCCTGCGTCGGTCAATCTTTTTTGTGGATTTTTCATTTTTTTCTCCATCTTTCCACCTTACATAGCATATTCTATACAATATATCTGAGCGGCTCGGATATATATATTTGATTTCTTTTTTGCTACACTTAGAGTATTATGTCAATGTTTTGCCAGGAGAAAGACTATGGATGATAGCCCATCTGCAGTCGTGGGTCCTGGTGGGTAGTGCACATCCTTGGAAGCCCTTTGATTAAAGAGTACTATTTTCGTCTACCCAGCTAGTTATTTTTATACATTATTCTTACATATGACATATTATCCTTCTCTACAACGAACGGGGTACCATTGTTTATTATTCGTTTCAGCCAATGATGTCATTGGTCCCAGCCCGTCCCAAGAATGTTCCCTACGAAGAACATACCAGCACTTGAGACTGTAGATGCTGTACACAGGAGAAAACAATCTATATCAGGGGTGTGTAAGGATGTTCTAGGGAGTCTCCTGTATGCTGCCCTGTGTTGACTTAACGTGGAGCCCCAGATTGCCGTTATCCCTAGTGCCAACACTGGCAGCAGCCCTATTACCCGATTCAGCCTTAGGGCTGCGCTATGGCCCGAGCGTGCTGCAGGAGGCACACGACTGAAGGCGGAACTATGAAAGGAGGCATGAATGCCGTCGCTTGCAGGACATCCTTTGTGACAGTGCATGTGCAGTAGATCTAGTCAAAGATGCCGATACAGTGCAGTGTCATGACGCTCGCGGCCATGTGTACAATAGATCTGGTAAACACAGCCAATGGCAAAAGTATTCATTACATTTCTAAAAACAAAAACGGACCAGAAAACTGAAAGAAGCCAATTGTCCTTAAAGAGGTCTACGTAATTAGCAATTGCGATCTTCTCGAAAACCATCCAATTTCCTGCGTTCCAGAAAGTCTCAACAGTGGAGGAACCACGGATAGGGAGCTACATACCATCCCTTACTTGGCCCACTCCGAGACACTTCTTCCTTTCACCATCTCCTCTGCAACGATCAATTCACTCAAGTAAGTCTGCATACCCTGCACCTGTCAAGTGTCAGTGTCAGCCATTGCGATACATTATCAATTGCGACCAAGTCAGCAACCCCAGCGCATTGTGTCGTCATAGTAGCACCAACGTGGCAATATTAACAGTTTGTCGCAGTACCCAACCTCACGAATAATCACGATCATGGCCAAGAAAGGTGGCAAGAAGGGAAAGAAGGGTGGCGCTAAAGCCACTGCTGCCGCTGCTGTTAATAAGGTCACCGACAAGGTCGAGAATGTTGTGTAAGTTCATCGGGGAAGAATTTTTGAGTGGTCGCGTGTGCGACGGGCATCAATATTTGCGCAGCGCTGACGACATCCTCCATAGACACCCCACCGACGAGACCAAGGCCGATGAGACCAAGACCGAGGCCGTTGACAAGACAGAAGCACCTGCTGAGTCGACCACCGAGAGTGCCGCTGTGCCTGCTGTGACTGAGTCCAAGGCAGAGCCCGAGACCGAGAAGAAGGTCGAGGAGCCCAAGGAGACAATTCAGGCGCCCGAAACATCTGCGCCGGTGACAGAGGCTAAGAAGGACGAGAGCGCAGTGCAGGATGCCGTTGACAAGGTCCAGGCCTCCAAGGCCGGCCAAGTCAGCTCCTTGGATGACGGCGAGGCACAGGCCAACAGTAAGAGCTACCATTAAGTGCGTTAGTTTCTCAAAATCGCCTATACTGACCTAGAATCCCAGCTATCCTCCCGGAGAGCAGTGTTAAGGAGACCAGCCTCGGCGCAGAGACCTATCCCTCTACCACCGAGACCTCCGCCGAGGAGTCTGCCATTCCGGCCGTCGCAACTGGCGCCACCGCGCCCACCTCGATTCCCGAGCGCCCCAAGACCGCCGAATTAAGCAAAGCTCCTGCACCCGTCACAGCTGAGCCAGCCAAGGCCTCTGCTCCTACCACAGCTGCCGAGCCTGTGATCACTCCGACCGAGACCGCCGAGGCGGCCCACACCAAGCGTCCGTATGAGAAGCCTATCTTCTCCAATGACGAGGTGAAGCCCCCCAAGATGGCCCGGACTGAGGAGGAGGCCGCCGCCGCTGACAAGGAGAAGGCTTTGGCCGGTGCTGGCCCTGCTTCGACTGCTGCGTACACCGCTCCCGAGCCTGTGCCTGCTACCACCCCTGCCGCCGAGGCCCCTAAGAAGGTCGAGAGTGCCCCCAAGGAGAGTGCTCTCAAGGAAAGTGCCCCCAAGGAGAGCGCCCCCAAGGCTAACCCCGACGCCGTTGCCGCTGCCAATGCCGCCATCAACACCTCCAAGGCCGACAAGAGCGCCTTCGCTGGCCCAGCCGAGTCCGAGGTGAAGAAGCCCGAGGCTGCGATCAAGCGCGGACAAGAGCCCGAGGCGCCCCAGACAGAGACTGCGCAGGAACAACCTGCCAAGGAGACCAAGGCCGACGAGCAGACAGCAGAGCAGCAGGCGACCGAGAAGAAGAAAGGCGGGTTTTTCGCGCGGTTGAAGCGTATGTTCAAGTGAGAAGATTCCCCTTTGCTTTTTTTTTGCTGTACGATATGCGTGACGCGTGACGTGTTTGCTGTTGTCGGACGAGATGAAGGAAACGGAATCCACGGACGGATAGTTGGAACTGGAGGGTGTTTTTGATTTGTTTTGCCGGATTTTTGATGATACACCAACCGAAATTTTATATATCATAGTGCTTATTGACGGAATTATCCTCTCTGGTTTTTGTCTCCTTTTTCTCAGTCTGCTTCTTTTCTGGTGTAGTCGTACTTCACCGCTAGTTGCGTCAATGCGGTGGCCTTGGCTTGGTGGCGGTGGGTAATGCAAGGCTAGTGTGCTTGCTGGGGCCACTGAAGATCATCTCGTCATTACTCTGTGTTCCAAGATTATGGAGATCTGGGTCTTGAGTGGAGTTGATGACGAGACTTGAAGCCCAAGATGGGGGGCTAATGAGGGTCTTTCCATTGGGGTGGATTGAAAATCATTCAGATAATCCCAGGCATTATAGATGATACTACAGGCTAGTTGACGATCAATTGGCGCTAAAATAGCCTTCGACGATATCACTTGCTCTTGTATAGAGCTTTCAGTAGGGTAGGGGCAGATTTGGAGTCGGCAACGGTGGGGCTCATGTGGCAGCATCACTCTAGGAGGAGCATGGGCCAACATGCTGGTAGTACGACTTGGAACTAGTATCGGTTCCAAGTCACTAAATGTGTCTTTTGACTAAGTCCAGTCCCGCTTCATTTTCACTGTTGCCAAATTGATTATTAACATTGAATCAAATACAGTATTTGACCAAAGAGACCGACCCACATAGACAGGGTCACCAGAGGTAGCGAATAAATTATCTACACAAGGTAGCGAGGGGAAATATCTGAGCTAGAAACTAGACACCTGTAAACGCGCATATCAGTGTCAACCGAGAATACATCAATGCGTAAAGCCGGGACTGGACATAAAGGTGCATCAAGAATTAGCTAAGGGGCAGCCTCTGATGGATTCAACGGGTGTACTGCGACCTCGGGAACTGACTGATCTTCTCATTGAGCCAGAAGTGACACTGTGAGAGCAAAAGTGACAAATACCATCTGAAGCAAAACAGAGACAAACAAACACTTCCGCAAACAGAAATCTTATCACAATCTATGATGCTTCTATCGGGTACCATCACCGGGACTCCCACGGATCTGACCCGAAGGCCCAAGATACAAGCTCAAAAGCCTATTATACTCCGCTATCATCTCATGGTTAGTTCTCCACCCCCGCAACCCCGGAGGGTTATTTCTTGGACGTCCCACCGGCCCAGTGGTCAGCGGGGGCAAGCTTTATTAAAGAGACATATTTCTGTCCATATCAAGTTTCAGATCACGAATCGAGTCAAGTCGAGAGAGCCTTGGAGACTTTCATACACCGGCCATGACACTTGATCCCAAAGAGATAAAGATCCCAGAGAATGATGATATCAGTATCGGAATGCTGCAAGTGCAGTACTCCGAAAAGGAGGAAAAGCGAGTGATCAGAAAAACCGACTGTTTCATGTTACCGGTGGTGAGTGGTGACTGTCAATACTAAGCCAATCAAGACACCTAACGCCAACGTCCAGATGTGCCTGGTATTCTTTTTCCAGTGTATGTCTTGAGCCCCTCAGAATGGGACCATCTAATACATGTTAGATTTGGACAAACAGAGCTTAAGCTATGCATCCATCTTCGGACTCATTGATGATCTTGACTTGAAAGGAACGGAATACTCCTGGTGCTCTTCATTATTCTATCTTGGTAAGCACGAGCGTAGATGCACCTACATTACCATGACGAGTGCCAGTTACTTATCTCCTCTATAGGGCAGCTAGTTGCGGAATATCCGTTCATTTATCTCATGAGCCGACTTCCATTGACCAAGTTTGTCGGGGTCACTATGTGGGTCGACAGCTGAGAATCATATTGATAAATACTAATATCGCCACAGCGTATTATGGGGGGCGGTTTGCATGTGCTTAGCAGCGCCTTCTGACTTCGCAGGCTTTGGCAGTGTGCGATTTGTTCTTGGTATGACGGAAGGGGCAGTCTCTCCCGCCTTCGTGACCCTCACCAGTATGTGGTATAGAAGGGAAGAGCATGCTACAAGAGTTGGGTAGGACCTCAATACTGGCAGAAATTGCCCTACCGATGCTAAAATTCTCACAGTATCTGGGTTACAATGAATGGTCTCGCTCAAGTCCTCGGAAGTTTGCTCATGTATGGAATCGGGAAAACACTGAACTCTTCGCTGGCACCTTGGAGAGTTCTATTCCTCATATGTGGAGCGCTCACGGCAACTTTCGGATTTGTATTTTACTTTATTGTGCCCACAGGCCCCGAGAAAGCCTGGTTTCTTTCGACCCGAGAGCGAGAAGTCTTGCTGGCAAGAATGGCTCTTGACAAAGACGGCGGGGATAAAACAAACTTCTCCAAAGCCCAAATGAAGGAAACTCTCCTAGACATTCGATCGTGGTTTGTATTCTTTTTCGGGGTACTTACTACGCTGCAGTCACCGGTTCTGGCGGTAAGTTATTTCATTGCACACCCCGAATTGCCTAGCTAATAGATCTCAGTTCGCCTCTTTGATCATTGAAAATCTGAACTACGACAAATTTCAAACCATGCTGTTTACATCGCCCTCCGGTGCCATTCAGATCTTAGCCATCTGGATTGGGGTCTTTGCCTGTAGATGTCTGCCAAATAATCGATGCTTAGTGATTATTTTGCTTAGCATCCCTCCTTTTGTTGCAAATATTTTGCTTCTGAAACTTCCTCTCACGTCAGGATGGGGCTTAATTGTATCGTCATGGCTGGTAAGTCTCAACTCTCATCAGATTTGAGTCTAAGTTCTAATTTATCTATGAATAGGCGTCGTGCATATCTGATATTATGGTCATAATTCTCAGCCTAAGCGCGTCCAATGTCAAAGGAAACACGAAGCGAGCGATAGTCAACACATTCTACTTTATTGGATACTGCATTGGTTGTATTGCAGGGCCTCAATTGTGGCACACAAATGCGGCTCCAAGGTTCTTCGCAGGAATCGTCACAGCGATCACCACATGGTGCTTGTTCTTAGTGGCTGTGTGCATTTACTGGTATCTTTGCCGGAAGGAGAATGCCAAGCGAGATCATAAAAATCTCACCTCTCGTGACCAGGTGTATCATACCGAAGATATCACCGATATTGAAGACTCGCACTTCCGATACAGCTATTGATACACACAGCACCTGCCGAGAAGATATAATACGGTGTACTTTCATTCATTATCTCACCATCTAACGCCTCTGGTCCCTATTTCGTGGTAGCTACATTCGATTGCAATTTGAAGTGCTAATGCACTCAAACGCCAGGAGCACTGAACACCTTCTCAATCTCCAGCCAGTCCATATGATCCACGCCCGTCAACGGCAAGATCGGACTATGAAAGCTTGAGTAGATACCTTCTGCCTCACCTGTCAGGTCCAAGCTCCAGTCTATCTCCATATCGAATACTGCATCTGAAGCTCCCGATTGAGACCACGGTTCAAGTAATCTGCTCTCATCCAGACGAAATTGACCGGAGTCTTGAGTCATATAAGTTGAAAATGCCGGTGAATACCCAAAAGGACTTTTACTCAATTCTTCTCTTGAAGCAGAATACAGTGCTTGGCTCCTCACAGAATTCATCCGAGTAGTTCGTGTCTCAGGTAGAGCTTCATTGAAGACGTAATTTGGCCAAACATGAGAGCAAGAAAGGGAGATATCCTGGAATCGTTGTTCAGCAGCAGAATTTCCTGACCGAGAAAGAAATTTGAGGACGTGGAATGCCTGGTCTAATGCTGGTGGCGGCTGATCTTTGGACTTGTCCAAGACCCCTGCCATTACCAGGACAAATGCCGCAGAAAAGGTTGCATCCAGATCAAAGAATCCATAACGCGCTATAATGGGTCAGTGCTGGTCAATGTAATAGCTTGTAAAAGCCTTGTAATGGCCAAGCTCGCTTACGAATGATTCGCTGTTGCTGAAGGCTGTACAGAATCGCTAGGCTTCGCATCGAAGCCTCGTGGCAGGTATCGCAGAGTCTGGCTAGGATCTCCGGAACCGGCTCCGGTGGTAAGGAGTTCTGCTGTCTCTGAACTTCTAAACGGACTCTCCTCAATAAAATCGGCCGAGTGCAAAGTATAATAGCCTTTCAAACAGTCAGATAAAGCAAAGAAAGTGAAAAAGAATAGCCTACCTGAAATAGCATTAGGAAGAGAGACGATCCTGTGCGTGTAACTTTCTCTAATCGTCGATTAAAGTCCAAGGCTAGAGACGGTGGGAAAGATTGGCCGATTTTATAAAGTTCTTGAAGAATTGTCTGGATCTTTTTCACCAGCTCGAGCTGAGTGATAGAGGCACTTCCATATAAAGCTGGAAAGAATTAGATGATAAGATGATGAACAAGTCACGCAACTCACAAGACATAATTTCATCAGTGATGCGTGCAATGCGCACGTTAATTGTGATAGCAACTGGTGATTGGAAGCCGACAGCATGTCGAGGAAGCCCTGCTTTCAGCTGTCGTTCATCGGCTCCTGCGGCCAGTCCGAGACCCGACGAAAGACGTCTATCTATATCAGAAAAGATGCTAGGAACAAGTATGACCAAGGGAAATAAATACCTATCCAGCATGTAAACAGTCCACCACAATCTGACCCGGTGGGCACACTCGGAGGGTAGGCAACTCTGTTCATTTTCGGGCAGATTACAGCCGAGGGCAATAGCTAGTCTTAGAGCAAGACCGATCTGATCCGAGTCAAAATTCGAAATCCGGAAGAAAGAGGAAGGGACATACATAAAGGTAAGCGTCATGCTTGCGATCACACCACTGAAGATAAGTAGCAACTAGTGTCAGGATTTCCACAACGATGACTCCTTCTTTTCCAAAATTGTGCAGCGGGGGAAGACACTTTAGTGCTTTTGAGAAAAGCTCAGACCCTGGTGGTTGAGACGTTGGCTGCTCAACATCCATCAGCTTGGCCATTGCCATGACGAGAAGATACTCCGTGTACCATGTCGTCTGTTTCTGTTGCTCTTGGGACTCAGCAGTTTGGAAAAGGAGCCCCATCTGATCAGAAAACGAGCGAGAGTCAAAGAAGTGCTGGCTAACTCCCAGATAATAGAGAAATTGATCCAGTAAATGTTGAGACTCCTCCAGCGATGGAATGGAAGGGTCATCTTTATTATCAACAAGCCCTTGAGCTGATGCCCAGCCGGCTGACCCACTCGACTCGCGGGCATTGTTGAACAATCCACTCGGAGAGGGTATACTAATTGTTTTGGATCCGTGGAGCAGAGATCTTACTTGGGATTCAAATGCAGGACCTGACGTCAGGTCCGTTGCTTTATGTGCAATCAGTTGATCTGCTGGACTTCTCAGATGGATGGAATACCTACCTGGGCTGATTCCATCAGCACCATCATCGTACAGCAGTGCTTCCGGTGGTTGGTCCCTTTGTGAATAATTGCCCGGCGTGACAGGGTCGCCGGGGATTACAGAATCGTGCTGTCGTAATGATCCACTCGGGGTAGGATCCGGGGCAGCCGGGGGCGCCAATGATGGACCTATATAATCTTTAGCACTGGGCTTAATGATAGCAAAAGCGTTTGCCTGACCTTCTGACCTAGATGCAAGCCGCTCCTCGTAAACTCGGATTTTGACCAGCAGCTGTTTTACTTCGGCTTCTGTATACTTCTTACGGCTAGTGGTGCCGAATCTGCATTCCAAATTATGCTTGACACATGAGCGACAAGGCTTCTCGCCGGTACACTTGACCTTTCTTCTGCGGCAGGTCTCACATCTTCCTAGGTTGATCCGAGGTTAGCCACGTAATGTCCGCGCTAGTGATGCAAATAGTATACGTACGCATTTGCTGATCGAGGATTTGAAGGTGCCATGCTGTACTTGCTATCAGCAGCACGTCTTGATGAGTTGTGCTAGGAGCTCGGAAGATTGAACCGAGCTGGTGATTACTTAAGACATCGCTGGTCTCAACTTACTACATAATGAGCTGGGCAACGAACAACTTAGTAAAAATGAAATTTTTGAAAATGGTGAATTGATTAGATAGGTGGCGTATGGATTGAACGTAAACTTGAAAGTCATCGACTCATGACCCATGAAATGATGAGGTTGTTTGTAGAGCTACAATCATGGCCGACCGGATCACGTGACTCACATGGCGATATTGACAGACTCGGTGCCTACTTACACCATGTGCTTAGCCATAATGTAGAGATTCATAGCATCAAGGCCATGCAGAGCCAGATTTGTACGGGTCAATGGGCCATTATAGCCTCACGAACACCAACAAATATTGGCTGCAGCTTCTCGGAGTGAATAGCCGGGGTGTCGGACAATCCAGCCGAACCGAGAAAGGAAATGAAGTTGGAATTTAGCCACTCTACAAGCGACTTTACTATTTGTACCACATTCCAAACCAAGCCAGGAGGGTCTACAGGTAGCCCAATAGCCATCTTTTGATCACCTGGTTTCCCAACAAGACAAGGCATTGCAGAGCAAGGATGCGGAACCGAGTCCACATTGCGGTTCTCGAAACAGACGTACCCTCTCCAGCTGTGTATGCCAAACGAGGTCTCTATCACACACAATTCCGTGCACTTCTCAGTGCAGCCGCAGAACGTCTAAACCGAAGTCCTCAGAATCTCAAACATGGTCCAATCGATGTTCAAGTGACCGCATTCGATGTTGTGGGGGGCTCAATCCCTGATCTCCAAGATTTGAGAGCTGAATCCAATCTACCCAATAGCACAAGCCCTATCGATGCTATACTAGTCACCGGTGCTGTAGCAGCCGCATATGACGATCTTCACTGGATCCCTCCACTCGAATCGTTTATCCAAACAGTACACACGCAATATCCGCTCGTCAAGATTTATGGCTCCTGCTTCGGCCATCAGCTTATAGGTCAAGCATTACTTGTTAAAGGTAGTTCATCTTCTATCAAAGAATGGCCTATAAAGTTTTCAGTCCAGGCGCAATCCAGCCACGAGATAGGTGTCCAATCAATAGCCTTGAACCCGGATTTCGCTTGCAGGTTCTCTCCTCTGGCTAGCTTCAATGAAATGCTCCCATTCAGACTCCAGCTTATTCATGGTGATATTGTGGCTCCTTCTTCAGCTCCTTCCACCGAGCGAGATAGATTAAATGCTTTTCTCCCGGCGCCTTGGATCAATGTTGGTAGCAGCGAAAAATGTCTTATACAGGGTCTCTATTACCCGAGGCGTGTGCTCACTCTTCAAGGTCATTTTGAGTACGATGCTTTCGCAACGGCTGAATTGTGTTTGCATTTTAGCAAGAATTTCTCTTGGTCATCTGATCTCCTATCTTCCCATTTACACGCGATTTGGCGGGAAAATAGAGCAGAGAATGAAGATGGAGATGACTCGAAAGTCGCGGCAGAGGCAGTGCTTTTGTTCTTTGCTGGAGAGGATTGAAATGCGGAGAACATTCGTGACCCGAAATGAATCAGAAATAGCAGTCCAATCCACGAGATGTGGTGAATGATGCTCCCATCGATATGATGGTACCTGGGAACGACTGCACTCCTGGATGGGAAAAAATTCGCTTTAATACGTGTACTGAAATGACAGTAACAAAGGAAGAATAAGAGTACAAGACTGAAAGTCATCATCTCTTGATATTGATCTGCTTTTCATTGTAGGGAATTCTAACTAGGCAGGTAAAAATCCCTCATTGGGGTTGGATGCGACAGGGATCATACATGAAATCGACGGAAAGCCAGGCTGACTTTTTGAAAACGACACGTCCATCTTTAAGAATCGCCACAAGATTGTCTTGGATGTGATCCAAAATGGTTATATCTTCAAGAGGGTTAGATTTCAGTACTAGAATATCAGCAATACTCCCTTTCTTGATGCATCCAAGTTGACCCTCCATTCCCAAGTATTTTGCAGCATTGATAGTAGTTGACTGCAAAATTTCCTTTGCGCTTAGAACACTCGATCGGATGGAAAACTCTTCGTTTTGGAGCGGGTGCAGGCCAGCTAGTAGATCAGATCCGTAGCAGATAGTTGCCCCAGCCTTGCGCAAGATAGACAATGCATTCAAGCCGCTAGCTAAAACCTGACGATTCTTGATTTGACTGGCATTGTCCAAGAACTTATCGAATGGAGGGCGCGACATGCCGTAGTAAGTCACCAAAGTCGGCGTGAATACCACACCCAATCTTGTGCAATAGGCGGCGGTTTCCTCATCGATGAAATTTCCATGCTCGATGCCTCGGACCCCATTGTCGACAGCATGACGAATAGCTTCAACGCTGTATGCATGAGCTGTAACATAGGTCTTAGATTGCTTGGCAGTCGTCGTGATTGCGCGAATTTCTTCCGCAGTGAACTGAACCATATCAAGAGCATCAGACGGTGATGCAACGCCACCTCCACACATGATCTTGACAAAGTCGGCACCCTGCCTCAGTTCATCCCGCACCGCGCTCAGGCACTCAGGAACGCCGTTACACACCCTAGCCAGGTAAACGGAGTGTCCGCCGCAGCATTTGTACTCGTCGCCCTGGTAATTGGCTCGGAAGTCCCCGTGTCCGCCGGTTTGCGACAGAGCTTTCCCTGCTATGAAAAGTCTTGGTCCCATGATCAAGCCTTCCGATATCGCGTCACGGAGAGCATAATCAGCACCACCTGTATCACGAGCTGTAGTAAATCCTCGGAGAAGCATCTCGCGTGCCACAAATGATGTGCGGTATGCAATGCTGTTGGAGTTTGCAGCAAACATGTCTTTAAGAGAGGATGAGCCAGGTGTTGCAGTGAGATGCACATGGCAGTCGATCAAGCCAGGGCAGATGTACTGGCCCATCAGATCTACCGCATTTGGTCCTGAGGGTGGATTATCTGCGCCACCTGTAGTCACACTAACGATACGACCGTTGTTTATATGCACTGTAGAACTTGGAATAACCCGACCAGCTTCAACGTCCACGACATTCGCATTGTAGAATATGATCTCTGGGGCTGCTGTCTGCGGCAACCATGGCTTGCTGCCCTTGCTCATCGTGCTTGATGGAAAGGTGGATTTGTGCGGTGTCAATTGGTAGATTATAAAACTTCCCACAGGTAACATATGAGAGTCAGTTCTGAGCACGAGAATAACTGGGCAAAAGGGTTGATCTTTCAATAGCTGTAAAGCGCCTGCTCTGTCAATAGACGACGATAACACTGTGAATTGCGGTTACATCCGCCAATATCGAGCGGGGAAAGATCTCCAAGGATCTGAGCACCCAGTGCCCACGATAAACCTCCGATTGGCAAAATATAGTGTACGGTAGTGCATTACGTACGGTGAAGTGAGGGGTTCGGCGGGGTTGTGATAGAGATAAAGGTTCGGAGCCCCGACCCGATCCCCTGATTTGACTGCATCATGCCCTTCAATGGCTACAAACATAAGTGTTTTACTGTGAAACATGCTAAGCTTTGGTCGATATTTACGTGTCCAAGTAAGCATGAGGAACTACCCAGTCTATGACCCGGAAGCTGGCACCCTCGGACATATTCGAGTTAATCAACGATAGTTCCGAATGGATATTGCGGGGATTTACCAAGACGAGCGGTTTGCGTGCCGATCTTGTAATGAGCGGAATAGCGTGTGTATATCATCGTGAAGGGAGGACATCAATTGAATGGGGTGGGAATTGAATGGCCTGACTAAACTATCATACTGGCTTATATCCAGCGAATGAATTTTAAGCATCCATTTGCAGAACAGTAGAAACCAAAAGATCATCAGAATAGATCTTGTGTCTCTTCAGCAAGCGCCAAAAGAGTGGACGCTAAACTCTGCGAAATCTTCCAATGGCTGATCCGTTGCAACAGATCAATAATCCTAAACAAAGACCCCATCGCTAATTTACTTGGCTGTAAACCACCTGTCTGTTCCAAAAGGGGCCCGATCCCATCAATGCCCTGCAAACTCAACTCGTTGAATTGGAAATTGTCTCCCGCGACCAGAGTGACTGGGTTTTGGTCTCCTTTAAACGACATAAAGCACGCCCAGATAAGACCACAATAATACAAGCACATCGGAACGTGAAATGCCGGCTCTGCACCTGCGGGGAGAGACTCGAAGCTCTTCTGAGTGAGCATAGCATGCAAAAGACATCGTTTCGCATCCGCAGAGTGAACCCAGGCTCGTGCGTAGGGAAGATGGGTCTGAGCAACGTCGTAGCCTTCTCGACCTAAGACGCATTCCAAGGAGTTGAAATCGACATGGAGCATCATGAAGACCGAGTGCCAAAGCATCATAAGGCAGGCCCAGCTTGGTCTTCCGGCCATGGTGGGCTGGTAATTGTTGTACCAGGTTATGAGGAGGTGGTGACATCTGGATGCTTGTGACGATTCCGTAGGATCAATTCCGGGTTCCTTTTCTCGCTCTTCACTGGCCAGTGCACTGATGCATTCTAGCATTGCACATAGTTCGAAGTCTCCCGTAGGATTAGCTTGGGGAACGCGATTGTGAAATCTGTTCGAGGTCGTTATTAGGGGTGATTGAGGGGCATTTGCGGAGGAGTTCTGAATCTGAGCTTGTATCATTAGTCCTTTCCAGTGATGAGCACTAGATGCCATGAACAGGTCATTGGAGGATAGACAAGGGAGGCGTTCAGGTGAACTTCGTAGAATGGGTTCGTGATGGTGAAGAGTGGCCAGCTCGGCATTATGAATGGTTAAGGCGAGAGCGATCCTGGTGTTCTGTTTAGCTTCGCTTCTTTTCTATAATTCTCCGGTTACTATACCTTTTTTTTACTTCCAACTGAATCCATTTTAGCCACATATCCTCAAGAGCCTTGCCTTCAACGTTGATAGGGTTTTGTTCCAAGCGCGGTAAGTTGAAAAGTTTCGATTTCCGTGCCCACTGAAGCTTTGTAAGTAAACTCATTTTCAAAGGGGGCAATTCACTCACACCAACAATAGTGCCGTGAAATACGTCAATTCCCGTAAGATCTTTGGGTCTCTGTCAAAAAGCGAATTAGTCTTATAATTCTCATCCACGGATTTCAGCGATTCATTTACCCCTAGCAAAAGACCAAAGGTCTGCCCCAACATAACCGCTTGCATAGCTATCAAAGAGTAGCTTCCTGATTTCACAACATATGTTTCCCACTATTCCGGTCAGTTAATCGAGCCCACCAATCAAGCTTTGAGTCATACCGAAGAGAGAATAGCTTTGTTCAGTCTTTCAAACATGCTGATACCATGAGATATTGCACGCGGTGACCCCACTACTAGACTCCCTGCAGAACATATGGAAAGAAGGAGAATCGAGTTCTGAATCCCGGGTCGAAAGGTGGGGACGTGCACAATAGGGAATAAAGGGTGAAACTTGGAGAAGTATGCTTGGATGCACAGGTCCTAAATCAATGTTAATATGAGGAGGGAATTTTGAGGAGAGCAACCATACAAGAAAAGGCGTGGATGGTAATATTCCATGCTGTACGCGGGGCTGGAGACGCTCTGCAAGTCGCTTTCGATAGGAATCATCAATGAGGCTATTTTCCGGTGGGATTGGGGTCATTTGACCAGAGCATAGCTCAGAGAAAGTGTGCCATTTTTCCTGAGCCAGATTGGTATGTTGTTTAGCAGAGTCTGCGACAAGATTAGGAGGTGGTTGAAGCCGACTCCTATCTAATTCGGGTATTGCATCCGGCGATGCTTCCGGCGGAGGAAAGTCTGATGTTGCGCACAGTAAGGACAAATTGACGGCATCCAGATCAAAGTCCTCTCCTGTGAGCAAAGCATCCCACTCCCTATTATCACGTAGATAATCCCACACCGGGGGTGGAAGAGGAGAGGTCTGATCTTTCCAAACATGCTCATCGAGAAGCAGCGAGGTCAAGGGACTCGCATGGTTGGGATAGGTGGTCTTGTCTCCAACAGATACGTTTGGGGTTCGTTTATCAACCGGCGCACTATTTGGCGGAGACATGAGAGACATTATATCGCCGGTCATTGAACCGGAATCCGATCCGATCGGACCTGATGAGTGATTCACGGGGAAAGAAGCGGAAGGCATGATTCCGGCGTCGACATCTGTTTCCTGATATTCCACCGACGTGGATTCCATTTCAGTCAAGTCAAGATTGTCGTTTTTTGAGCAATGAGATCGTGAATGTCGCAAGAGAGTGTCTTGTCGAGCGAAGGACTTCTGGCAAACGGCGCATGAGAATGGTTTTTCTTTTGTGTGGGATCTCATATGGCGTGCTAAATGCTCCCATTTCTTGAAATCGTTCCCGCAGACAGTACAAACGCGTTCACCCTTGGACGTTTTGCGCCGGCGTTTCCTGTCTCCACACAAAGGCTGTTCAGAGGTATTTCCAGACATATCGCCCAAATTGTATCAAAAGTACAACTCTGGTCTTCAAGGTATTATGGTTGTGAGACTCCAAGGATGGTAGGGAAAGACGTGAGAGTTGGGTGGTCGTTTACCCCGGATCCCCCGCTCTCTCCAGGTTTTGGTGGCGATCTCGCCGCGCCACTAATTTGCCAGGGACTGGATCGGATTTCAGCCCAGTGGATTTACAAGTGGAGATTTCGTTTCGGTATTCAGGAAAGTGTTTTATGCAAGTTAGGGAATTTTTGACAATGTAACACAATGTGGGATCTATCATGCGGGGCTAAACCAGCCTTACGTCCGAATAGCCGTGAAACTCAATCATGAACCATCCGGTTTTTGGTTGCAGCAACCCCCTCAATTTCCACTTCCACAACATCTCCATTCTGCAAGAATTCTTTTCGGAAGAATCCTACGCCCGAAGGAGTTCCTGTCATGATGAGCGTTCCCTTGCGAAGAGTCGTTCCTCGCGAGAGATGGCTGATGATCTGGGCCACCGAATAGATCATGTCTCCTGTACTGGTCTCTTGTTTGACAACGCCGTTGACCTTGGTTCTCAGTTGCAGGGCTTGGGGATCTTTAACCTCCTGTGCCGACAGAATAGTGTTCCCGATCGGCGCGAACTTATCGAACGATTTCGCATAGCAGAATTGCCCACCGGATACCTCAGGAAGCTGGAAATTTCTGGCGGAAATGTCGTTACCAGCAGTGTAACCTAGGACATAGCCGAGCGCTTCTTCTTCAGAGACGTTCTTTGCATCCTTGCCGACTACCACGGTCAGCTCTCCCTCGTAGTCCAGAAGCTCCGCCGCGTCAGGGTGAACCGGAATATCTTCAAAGGCACCGGCAAGACTGTCCGCTGGCTTCATAAAGACACTAGGGTACTTGGGAATAGGTAACTGCTCAAGTCAGATACCCTGTATTGCAAACATGTTGGATCTAACTCACATTCGCTTCTGTTGCATGTTGTCTGTAGTTCAGTCCGATACAGATCACAAGTGGTGTGCTTTCGATCGGGCACAAGAGCTATGAAGCGTCAGCTTGAAGGTTTCCGGTATTTGTGTCATTGACAAACGTAACGTACCTTATCTACAGTAAGAACCTCCTCGGTGGTTTGGAGGCTAGTAAATGGGCTTCCCTTCAATTTGCGGACGGTGTAATTGTTTCCAATTGCCGAGATCAAGTCTCCATAGTAAGTTTCGGCACCAGCAGCAAAGCGCACGAGATTTTTGAAAGTGGCCATGATGGATCAATGACTTGACTCTTAATCAAACATAATGAAAATAAGACTTATGGCATATAATTTATAACAATGTCATGGGCGGGGACGAAACAATAGCAGGCCCGGGGCCAGTGCCTACGCGTCAAATGTGGGATCAATCGGAGACCTATACTCCCACATCATGCATGTTGCGGGGACGTCAGTCTCAGTCCCCACCATTATATCTTGCCACATTACAAGGCAAAGAAGATAGTTTCCACCCTAACTTCCTTTATTCTTGTCATATATCATCAACGTGAATACCCTCTGCTGCATTGACTCGAACAACAATCTGCCTCAACATGTCAACGGATAAAATCAAACCCAACCACGGGGCCTCTGTGCCAGACGTGGTTGCTGTTGGTGAATCGAGTGTGTCCCAGACAGAATGGCTTGCGGAACAACAGATCGACACCAAACAGCGTGTCAATTTGAAGAAACTGTCACACATGAGGTATCAACATCCTGACCTGGAAGAAATTCAGGTATTCATGCTTGGTAATTTCCCCGGATCTGAAGAATCAAGATCAAATTCTGACATGAACAGATTTCGGGATGGAAATTGCCAAAAAGACCGAAGACGAGATATGGTTCAAAGGATATGGATCTGATCAGTATGTATACTACGCGCGCAAAGGGCCCAAGAAATTCCTCGGTGGGACTTTCGAGGCCCAGAGCAAGGAGGACTTTGACAGGTGAGATCTAGCTTTTCTCTTCAAAATACGAAAGCTAAATATTGGAACAGAGCTGCAAGCCTCCCCACAGCCAGTGCAGTGCAAGAAATGACCCACGCGCCTGGTGGTGGATGTTTGGTGACCCTCATGGATCCAGAAGGATTTCCAGTGAATGTCGTCTTCGGCCAGGAGCCAGTTACTGTCGAGGTTTCCCACCCCGGAAAGCTCACCCTGAATTATCCGGGCGAGAAGCCGAGACGACGTGAATTCAACCGGTTCGAACCCGGACCCGCAGCTGTTCATAAGGTATCATCAACATTCCCCACTTACTTTCATTTACTAAGTAGAACCATAGCTGGGGCATTTCGGGTACACGACACAGCAACTTCAGCCGCAGCTGAAATTCTATACATCAACATTTAACATCGTTCCAACTGATCTGCTATATGTTGATATAGAAGGTCAGAAAGTTCTCGTGACTATGTTCGCCCACCTTGACCTTGGAGAGACTCATGTTGATCATCATTCGTTCTTCATGGGCTCCAATCCCAAGCACGCTCATGTTCACCACTGCTCATTTGAAGTAAAAGACTATGATACCCAGCAGCTGGGTCATCAATGGCTTGCGAAGAAAGGCTACGAGTCGGTGTGGGGAGTTGGCCGGCACATTCTGGGCTCTCAGATCTTCGACTATTGGTGGGATACCACGGGAAATATGGTCGAGCACTATGCCGATGGCGACTTGGTGAACAAAGACACGCCTATTGGACAAATTCAAGCTGGGAGTGAATCTCTAGCTATATGGGGTCCAGAAGTCCCTACTTCATTCATGGAGTAAACAAATTTCGTGACCCATTTAACAGTTCCCCTTGCTCTTTGACTACTCTAAATTGAATTTGAATTATTGTACGAACACACCAATCGCATAAGAGGTTTTATTAGTACTAAACATTCTCACATTTTCACGTGAATGCATATTCAGGCCGAGCTAGTGGACTCTGAGTCTTGACTCTGGAGGTAACTAGGGCCCTGTTTCAGCCGCTTGCTCTCGTGTTCAACAAGGCGTCTCATTCACACACCACTCCTCGACCGCAAGGAGTTTGACGATGATGAAGCCCCAGAACTCGAAATTTGCCATCCTCCTTCACCGCGGAGACAAGGAAGAAATTTATTACAGGAGATGATGCCCCGTGAGGATAAGACTCGACATAAAAAGAGGGTATTGGAAAGCTGAGCACTTCTGTTCGCGAACACGAGGCGATGGATGAAAATGGGTTTGGATCGACACATGTTGCATCAACAAAAACAGGTTAACAACAACTTTTGACCAGTTTCGGAGGGTGGGGATAAGGTATGAAGTGGAGAAGTAATTTAGCATATTCGTATTGTTTAGAAAGTGAATCGACCCAGAATATTATACTAGATAGAGATACATATGCGAAAGAAAAGACGAACCTTGGAAAGCTTTCTATAAAATTGAACATTAAAGCAGAAATTATAGATAAAATACTAAACACTCTAGGACTAGCGCTCTCACTCAGCATGGCAGATCAACATTGGCGGGGGACTCGGATATAACTGAGACTAAAGAAGGTGTTGCCTAAGGATCCACGTCGTATATTGCGGTACAGGATAGTCGCAGTTAAGGCATTTATTTGCATTAGAGGTCCCACATCATCCGTGTCCTCATTTGCGGGAACCTCAGTTTAGATGACACCGGATATACGGAATTGGCCCAGTACCTTTGTTCCCGCCCGTTGGCCCCGCATTTTTGGCTTCACCGCTACGGGATAATCTCATTCTAGGAAACAAACACGAAGTATAAAGTGGTGCTCTCTTTTTCAGCCCCTGGATTTGGAACTCATCACAAGCTCTCGGAGTCATTAAAGATGGACGATCAGATAGAAACGACAGACGTGCTGATCTGCGGATGTGGACCTACAGGGGCTATGCTGTCTGCGTACCTAGGGCAGATGAACATTCCCAATATTGTCCTCGAGAAAGAGCCCGGCATCACGACCGATCCGCGTGGTATTGCTCTCGATGATGACGGAATTCGACTAGTTCAGGGCCTCGGGCTATACGACCACGTGTTTACAGAGATCGGTTCCAGTATGTACCATATATGTCGAGACTGCCCGGCTTGGAACATGTTCACTAATGCCAGAGTTATTTCAGGCTTGTCCAAAGTTCACTTTGTCAGTGGAACGCATCACAGGCTAGATGAAAAGCCGCTTCTTGTGTTTGATACAGGCTCGGTGAGACCGCAATGATCAACAACTCAATCACTGGAAGCACTAACGTATCAACCCCTAGAGCGAAGGAGTAACTGGACATGTCGGGCTTCTTGCGCATAAACAGCCTGTCCTTGAAAAGTGGTTAAGGAAAGCAGTCGAAAAAGCAGAAACGAGCGAATTGAGAAGTAACTGCACAGTGACTTCCATATCAGAAGATGCGGACTGGGTTTACGTAACTTATGACGATTCTGGGACACAGAAGACTATTCGTGCGCAGTTCCTAGCGGCAGCGGATGGGAAAACAGGTTTCACTCGCAAGAATTATTTGGAACCCAAAGGCATCAGACTGGAATGGGCCGAACAGTATGTCTAGCCCGTCACGAAGGAGAAAAGGAACTGACCAGACAACCAGAACCAAATACCAGGAGACGTGGGTTGCGCTTAATTGGAAGCTACATCTCCCTACGAAGGAAACACATCCTTCATTCCCGCTATGGGAACTGGGATATACACCCCAGCAAGTCTACGACCTTTTTTTTCCAGAGAATTTTCGTTTTCTTTGCAATCCCTCCAGGCCAGCTGTGTGTGGCCGATTCGGTCTACCAGAAGACCGACTTTGGCGGTTTGAATTTGTCGTTGCCCACGATGAAGACGGCATGGAGATGGCAGGGGAGGAGAGAATCCGCCAAGTGGTGTACCCATACTTGACACACCCAGCTAGCCGCTATGGGTAGGTCCCCCCATTCTGCGATTATTTCAAATACTAAATTAGAACACTGGCAGGCTTCAGCAAGATGTCTCATTTCCCGAAGATTGCATCGAAGTCCTCCGATCGCGACCTTTTAGCTTTTCCGCAAGAAGCTGCAACAAATGGGCACTCGGCCGCGTGATTCTTTGCGGTGATGCCGCCCACGTCTTCCCGCCATGTACGTGCCCCCAATCACCGACCAGAAAAAAAGCCCTAACCAGAAACCTTAGTCGGAGGACAAGGGATTGTATCAGGATTTCGAGACGCCATTTCGCTTGCCTGGCGCCTTGCTATCGCATGCTTGCCCACATCCAAGGTAGATCATAGCCGTCTGCTCGAAGGCTGGTACCTCGAAAGAAAGCAGCAACTAGACAAATCTCTCGCAACTACAGTCCGAAATGGTGACATGGTCAATGGGAAAGGCCTATTCCAGATTTTCATCCGCGATTGGGGTTTATGGTTGTTTCAATTAGTCCCTTCCTGGAAGCACTGGCTCGAACGCGGTCCCCGGAAAGATGGGCCCACTCGATACACCTATTCGTCCGGTATGCCTTTCATGCCGGAGCTTGGTGGAGGGGATTATTTCCCTCAAACGTATTGCATCAGACTACTGCGGGACTCAACCGTGCTGTTTACCGATGATGCGATTTTTGCTGGTAAAAAAGGAATTTTTCAGATTGTCGTTCTGCTCGACGATCCTCTTGAGCTCAATGCTGCAATCCGCGACCTGGAGGTAATAAAGCAATGCAAAGGCTTGTTACAAGACGAAGCCACATTTTTCGTGCCTCGTGCCCAGTGCACCGGGGTTGTGGCTCGGGGACTTGAAGACCAATGCCAGCATCTGTTGTTCCGAACTGCGAGTGGTGATGAATTCGGCCGATCGCCTCTGTGTATCTCTCGGCCGATCCCACGCGGATACGATGAATCACTTTTGTTCAACAGCGGCAAACGCTATGTGATATTGAGGTTTGATCGGTTTGTTTACGCTTATTGTGACACCAAAACCGAGTTGGAGAAGGCCGCCGCGCAGATATCCGAGATGTTCTGAAGCAGGCAATTGCACCACTTTTAACTTTTATCACGTCAAAATATGATTCACGATTCCTATACCATGTCCCACAATGAGTACCAAGTAAATATAGCAAACAGTGACAAATAAATCAAGGCCGAGGAATCAATTATCACTCCGCCGTAAGAAGCGTGGAGAAGGTAAAGACTGCGCGGATGAGAGTACGGAGATAGCCCACTAAGTCTTTTCTAAAAAGACATCATTCATTTTTACTATTAGGCCGAGTTTTTTTTTCTTTTAAAGTATATTCGCTTTATAAGGTAGAAGTATGTTAACTGTACTATACCACTTATGCAGGTGGTTAGACGTATCAAAACGTCTGCACAAAATTTGGTCATTGTCGAGGAATTAAGCCTAATCCCGGGCCAATCAAAGATGATGTGAGCATTTCACCGCAGCCGCTAATATCAGAGACATGAGATCAGTTAGACAATCAAGGGTCTCATTATTCAGTTCGTGGGGCTTATGGGGTCCATCAAGTGCGGGGCTTATCGCCCAAACATGGGGCATGAGCGGCCCGCTCTCGCTCCATATCCGACGCTTGGCGCATCTGGACCTCGGCAGGAACTGCTAATAAAGCCCAGCTAATCACTCATCACTGTCCTAAATATCTTCCTTGAGAACTCTGACTGTCAGTATCCACCGTCTATTGCCAGATTTACAACAATGTCAGTACCCGCCCCCCGGAAGCTATGGGAGCATCCAAACCCCGAATCAACAACAATGGGGAGGTTCCGGCATGAGCTGGAGCGGTCCACTGGACGGCGATTTAATGTGAGATCCCTGATAAAAACAGCCAATTCAGCTATCCTTGTTCCTAACGTATAGCGAAATGACAAGGCATTCCATGATATGTACCTCTATTCTATTCAGAACCGCACAGCATTCTGGGACTTTTGCTGGAAGTATTTCCAAATTATTCACGAAGGATCATACACTCAGATCGTAGATGAGTCTGCACGTATGGACAGTGTGCCAGAATGGTTCAATGGTATAAATTTGAACTTTGCCGAGAACATGCTTTTCTACGGCCGTCCGGGGAATACAACGGGCAAAGAGGACCACAAGATTGCAATCACTGAGGTGCGAGAGGGTGCTAACAAAGAGGCCATCCACCTTACCTGGGGAGAATTGCGAAAGAGGGCTGGAGCTTTGATCCAAGCGATGAAGGCTAATGGAGTGGTTCGGGGTGATCGTATCGCGGTCTGCAGTGCCAACTCAATCCACACAATGCTGGTCTTCGTGGCTACAACCGCTCTTGGCGCGATCTTTTCATCTAGCTCTACGGATATGGGCACCAAGGGGGTTTTAGATCGTCTGTTGCAGATTAAGCCGCGCTGGCTTTTCATGGATGATTTTGCTGTCTATAATGGGAAGACGATTGACCTGCGGGCCAAAATGAAGGAAATCGTCCAGGGAATGGATTCGGTATCTGAGTTCCAAGGAGTGATTGCTCAACCACGATTCGCCGAAAACCCAGCCGAGGTGGAATCGATCCCGAGAGCCTCGACGCTGGCAAGCTATCTGGAGAAAGCAGCTGGAAATGACCGTCTCGAGTTTGAGCGGGTTGCTTTCCGGGATCCATTCCTGATCGTTTATTCGTCTGGAACAACTGGCCAGCCCAAGTGCATTGTCCACTCAGTCGGAGGAGTGCTGCTCAATGCCAATAAGGAAGGAATCTTGCATATGGAGAGTACATCAGATAGTGTTGCGCTACAGTATACGACAACTGGGTGGATCATGTATCTAACCGCGATGCAAACTTTGCTATTCGGAGCTCGAGTGGTACTCTACGACGGTAGTCCTTTCATCCCGAATGTGACGGCATTAGTGGACTTGGCAGCTCAAGAGAAGTCAGTGCTTGCAATGAGAAGTGGACCGGAAATCTGCTAATCGATTACGTAGGGTGACACATCTGGGAATCTCCCCACGGTGGCTACAGGAGTTTCAGCAAGCAAACCTCAAGCCCCGGGAATTGTTCGATCTAAGCTCTCTTCGCGTGGTAACCAGCACTGGCATGGTCCTGCGAGATGCGTTGTTTGAGTGGTTCTATGACGAAGGATTTCCATCTCATGTTCGTCTCAACAACATCTCAGGCGGCACAGATCTAGCCGGGTGTTTCGGCGTGGGGAATCCTCTCCTGCCGGTTTACGTCGGGGGCTGTGCCGGGTTCAGCTTAGGAGTGCCAGTGGAAGTATACGATTCAACCATCGAAGGCGACGGTGTCAAGGGTGTTCCTGTGACCGACGGAGAGCCAGGAGACTTGGTCTCTACTGCTGCCTTCCCCAACATGCCGACACAATTCTGGGGCGATCACAGTGGCAAAAAGTATTTCGATGCGTACTTTGGAAGGTTCGACAGTAAGTGGTTTCTAACCTTGTGTGAGGCTATTGGCTTACAACTTCATAGACGTGTGGACCCACGGAGATTTCATCTCGATACACCCTACTACGAAGCAAATTATGTTTATGGGTCGCGCCGATGGAGTTCTGAATCCCTCAGGTACCAAACGAAATCCTGCTTAGTCTATCAATGCTGACCTATCATTCCAGGAGTTCGCTTTGGCTCTGCAGAAATTTACCGAGTTATCGAAGGCCTTTTCTCTCAGGAGATTGCCGATTCCATCTGTGTCGGTCAGCGTCGACCATCCGACAGTGATGAGCGGGTTATGCTCTTCTGCTTAATGAAGAAAGAGGTCCCTTTCACAGATGATTTGGTGAATCGGATTAAACAGGCGATTCGAACGGAACTCAGTGCCCGTCACGTGCCCCTGTACATTTTCGCGACCCCCGAAATCCCGACCACGGTGAATTTCAAGAAGGTCGAACTTCCAGTAAGTTTTCAGGCTCCGAGGTAAAATTCTAGGCTAACTATAGGAAAAGGTGAAGCAAATTGTATCCGGCAAGCGGATCAAGCCCTCGGGCACCCTTCTCAATCCTGGTAGCTTGGAATATTATTACCGATTCGCCGAGGTAGAGAAGCTTAGTCGGGACAGCAAGCTGTAGACGAGAGGCCAGCGCATCATGAATTTCGATTCTTGCTGAACACCGCCACTTCTGATCCACTGATCCACTTATTATTTTGGTCCAGAATCTAGACCCACCCGCTAGCGCAAGACGTGGCCCCAGTAAATTGGAAATAATGAGGGGCTGCTCGGATACATCGGGAGTTCGAAGCTCAAGCCAAGCTTTCGCAAGCTTTCAACAGTTACATTGGAACACAATCAATCAAACCTTGGGCTTCATAGTCATGGGCATTCATTGGACTCGTATACGCCGATCTGGCGAGTAGTGTAGAATAGTAGTGTGGGACAATGGCTTTCTGGAGGATACGTGAAACCAATAGCCACTGCGTCATGCCCCGCACGCTTTGTTCGGGAACTTACCTAACTCCCGAGTTACTCGTATGATAAATTTGCTTTTCCTCCTGATCGCTGCTCTTTCTTCTCTCTACTCAATTATTTTCTCCCCATAGCTCACCATGGTTCATCTTGCTGCCGTTAAGAAGGACGACGAGGTCTTCCACCCCGCTTCCCGGGACTTCGAAACTATCGGCGATGCCCCTACTTTGGATGACATCTCTGCCAATGTCTACGGTAGCCACTTTGCTGCCGACCACCTGCCACAGCATGAGATGCCCGAGGGGGAGATGCCTCGCCAGATCGCTTCTCGCTTGATCAAGGATGAGCTCAGCCTGGATGGCAACCCCAAGCTCAAGTAGGTTTGTTTGTTTTGGTCAATGACAAAAGCTAACCCATGTCTACAGCTTGGCCTCTTTCGTTACCACCTACATGGTATGTGTCATAGCGGAACTTCACACTCTCCATTGGCAAAATAAAGAAAAAAGAAAAAAAGGAATGAAGCTAATAGATTCGCGTCATGTAGGAAGAGGAAATCGAGCAGATCATGACCGACTCCTTCAGCAAGAACTTTATCGACTACGAGGAGTACCCCCACTCTGCAGAAATCCAGAACCGCTGCGTCAACATGATCGCCCGTCTGTACAACTGCCCCACCGACCCCAAGGGCGAGAATGCCATGGGTACCTCTACAATTGGTTCCTCGGAGGCCATCATGCTGGGCACGCTTGCCATGAAGAAACGCTGGCAGAACAAGCGCAAGGCTGAGGGCAAGGACTACTCCAAGCCCAACATTGTCATGAACAGCGCTGTCCAGGTTTGTTGGGAGAAGGCTGCCCGCTACTTCGATGTCGAGGAGCGTTATGTTTTCTGTACCAATGAGCGCTATGTCATCGACCCCAAGGAGGCCGTTGATCTGATCGACGAGAACACCATTGGTATCTGTGCCATTATCGGAACTACCTATACCGGCGAGTATGAGGATGTCAAGGCTATCAACGACCTGCTCGTCGAGCGTAACATTGACTGCCCCATCCACGTTGACGCGGCCAGCGGTGGTTTCGTCGCCCCCTTCACTGTCCCCGAGCTGGAGTGGGATTTCCGTCTGGAGAAGGTTGTCTCTATTAACGTCTCTGGCCACAAGTACGGCCTGGTCTACCCCGGTGTCGGTTGGGTCATTTGGCGCTCTCCGGAGTACTTGCCCCAGGAGCTTGTGTTTAACATTAATTACTTGGGTGCCGACCAGGCTAGCTTCACCCTGAACTTCTCGAAGGGTGCCGCTCAGGTCATTGGTCAGTACTACCAGCTGATTCGTCTTGGCAAGCACGGTTTCCGTTCCATCATGATCAACCTGACCCGGATTGCCGATTACATGTCCAGCGAGCTGCAGAAGATGGGCATGATCATTATGAGCCAGGGTAAGGGCAAGGGTCTGCCCCTGGTGGCATTCCGTCTACCTCCGAACAAAGACCGGATGTACGACGAATTTACCATCGCTCACCAGCTGCGTGAGCGTGGCTGGATTGTTCCGGCCTACACCATGGCCCCTCACAGCGAGAAGCTGCAGCTGATGCGCGTTGTTGTCCGTGAGGACTTCAGCATGAACCGCTGTGATAGTCTGTTGACCGATATCAAGCTGGCTCTGCAGACTCTCGATGACATGGATCAGACCATGGTGGCCAAATACAAGGCGTAAGTTTGCATCGATCCTACCGATTCCCGATCTTACTGACACCTCCCCTTCTCCAGACACATGGTTTCGCACAAGAACAACCCTCGCCACAAGCAAAGCCACCACGCATACCACGGAGAAAAGCACTCCCTGCAGGGCAAGACTGGCAAGACTCATGGTGTATGCTAAATTATTAAGTTGGTGGAAAAGGTATAACGAAAAGGGAGGAACTCATATGTAACTAGGTGTGATGTCAGATGACCTTGTGCACTGGGGAGATTGTTCCCCTTCCTATCGCATATTCTCGGAATTATGAATAACTTATCTACGTTCATCTCCGTGGCCTATATACCTGTAGGATGTAGCGTAGCCAATATACCAGAATTGCATGATATCATCGGATTAGACCGATAACATTATCAGTGGGGTCTCAAAAGGCGCTAGGCCATTTTGGGGGGATATAATTTTGATGCGCATCATTCTCATGGCCCACGGACATTCAACCTCAATTCACCACAAGCTCCCATGATAAGGGACAGGAGGAGGGTGCATTAAAGCCACACACACTAAAACTGTGGATCTTCCCAACCAGCAATCCGCACTGGACAATACCAACAACCGCCAATCAAAGGAAATAAAAATCAAAACAAGGCCATCACAGCTGCCTCAAAGATGAATCCAACAATACCAGGTCTTGACATGGCCTTATTTCACCCAGAAGCAATGCAGGCCTGGCTCTACTCCAATACAGCAGACGGAATGGAAAAGAATCTCCACCTCGACACATCAGCACGCACACCCCCGCCCCCTAGAGGCAACGAAATACTCGTCAAAGTCATCTCAGCTGCTTTAAACCCAGCAGACTACAAAGTCCCCGAGCTAGGATTTCCATTCCGCATGCTGATCGGCACCCCCGCAACGCCCGGCATGGACTTCTGCGGACGCGTAGTCAGCACCGGACCGCTAGCGAAGCATCTCAAAGAAGACACACTAGTCTACGGATGTTCAAGTCGACCGGTGCAGTTCGGCTCGGCTGCTGAGTATATCGTTGTTGCATCAGATACCGTTTCCATCGTACCTGATGGCGTTGCGGTTGATCATGCCGCTGCGATGGGCGTTACCGGGCAGACCGCGTACCAGAGTTTAGACGGGTACGTGAAAGCCGGGGAGAAGGTATTGATTAATGGAGGCTCCGGTGGGTGCGGAGTCTTTGCTATTCAAATTGCCAAGGCGATGGGGTGCCACGTTACGACCACGTGCTCGACACGGAATATGGAGTTGTGTTTAAGGCTTGGGGCGGATGCTGTGATTGATTATACGGCCGAAGAGGATTTGGTTGCGAAGTTACAGCAGATGGGGGTCGCATTCGATCACATAGTGGATAATGTCGGGCTTCCTGACAATCTTTACTACCAATGTCATCTCTTTTCCAAGGAGGAGGCGACGTTCGTTCAGGTGGGCGCTTCGTCGTTGTTGACGTTCGTGGCGAGAATTGGATGGCCTTCTTTCTTGGGTGGTGGGAGAAGGAAATATGTCCCTATGGCGACGAAGATCGATCAGAAGCACTTGGCACAGCTGGGAGAATGGGTGGCTGATGGTACGATTACGATGCAGTTGGATAGTGTGTTTGAATTCTGTGATGCTGTGAAGGCCTATGAGAGGCTTCGGTCTGGTCGATCTAGAGGTAAGATCGTTCTGCATGTCAGTGATCCATCTGCTCGGAACATGGAGCCCTTTGGCATAGGCCTTTGATCGGATAATGCGAGTATATAATTTGATGTCCGTTGGAACATTGTCTGAACTGGCCGAAACATAGGCCGGCATGATCCTCTGCTTTGCATTTGGCCTTTTAAAAGATTAAACACTCGGTAGCAACAATGAGAGAATTTGAAATCAGCTGTCCCCACATGTCTTTTCTCTTTCAGCTACGTATCGAGCTTGAGTAAATCGTGTCAAAGAAGAAAAATAAAAAAGAACGAAACAGTCGGCTATGTCCGATACTGAAGTTTCGTAAATTAGAGAGGCAATTGAAGCGCTCAGCGTGTACATGTAAAATGGAGAGGATGATTACATGCGCTACATGCCTGCTAACATGTAGATCGTCTATCGCCACATCTGGTGGCAAATACCCAAGCAGGTCGAGCATCAGGAGATCCACGGTTCATTGTTGTTTATTTTTAGGTTATTTACATACTTTGACTCTATATCCCTTCACTACTTCATACATGTATGGTCTGATATTCTCGTGGCTTCGACACTTTGACCTGTCCCTCTGCATAGGTTCTTTCGCCCCCAGCTGGAGAACATTCAATTTTCAAACTTAACTTTCTTTGTTCACCTGAGCCTGCTGTGAACCCATAATTTTGTCAGAATTCCAACCCCTTGACGCCTTCTCAGGGTTGATCCGGCGTTTATATATAGAACCTTGGAAGTTCTCTCCCAATCATTTCCCGCCGATCGCTGGGCTCCACCTTGCTTTTGCCCTCCCCTCATTACAGAGAGGGTCGCATCCGTGTCCTTGCCCATCAGATCAAGGATGCCCTTATTCAAGAGATCCAAAGCACCTGCTGTTCAGCCAAGTCGATTTTCTGCCCGGTCAGTCGAGAATCTGAGCCAGCCCACGTTGGCTCCACCGGACCACAGCTCCAACAACTACGTGGACCGCCCCCCAGATCACCGCCTCGCCTACGAGGAATCCTCCGGCCCTCCACAAGCAGCGCAGGACCTCGCTCAGCCGTCATTGCGTCGTGCCCAGAGCCTACGTCAGCAACAGCAGCAGCAACCACAACCGCAACGCGACCGGCAGATCGCCCCTGAGGACTTACAGCCTCGTCGGAAAAAGGCCGGGGGCATATTTCAGCGCCCAACCTCCGGCTTTATCGATCGCAATCCCTCCGTCAAAGGGATCAGACAGGTTTCGCAGCCCCTCTCGCAGCCAAGCTCCCCCCGGCACCCCCCACCCTTCGAAACGCAGGATCAACACCAGAATATACACCTAGAGGAAGAGTCTCCAACAGACCCACCCGTTTATGAACCGCGGTCGGCATCACTAGCCTACCAGCAACAACACCTACAGCACTCTCAACGATCGCTACACCAATCTCACCCTTCTGTCAGTAGTGATATCCAGGACTGGTCGCCGCAACAGTCCGAGCCACAACAGGGCCAGCTTCTCATTCCTCCCGGGCTTGAACGCGCCAACACCGATCCAACGCTGGTTCAGCAGTACGGCCGACCGTCACCAACTGAACGAACCCCGGATTCTCCTCGCTACCTACCCGACCACGGTCACCGGGGCCTGACGCTGTCTCGCCCCGAGCACGATCTGGCATTAAATACATCCCGGCCCCCTTCCCGGCAGACTTACGAGTCCCTTTCCCCGAGTCGTCACCAGAACCCTCCTGACGCCATGCAGCAGGCCTCGCAGGCGACACCACAGGCCCAATCCACCGATCGATCGGGGCAACAGGAGCGTAGGGGGAGCGCTGCTCAGAATATGCCGACGGAGCATACCCGCAACACGCCAACGGGGTCACGAACACGCGATGACTTGGAGAACCTTGACGTTCGGGCATTAATTCAGAAACATGATGAACTACGTAAGTCTGCGACCGAATGCATGTGTAGGACAATATTGACGGGAATTGCAGAGAGCAAATACTCCAAGGTGAAGCGTTACTATTTCGAGAAGGAGGCGCAAGTACAGCATCTCCAGAACACCGTTGCACATCAACGAATGGCGGTTTCTCGTACTGTGCTCGATGACAATGAATATACAAACCGATTCCAGCGACTGGATGGAGCCATCAAGGACCTAGCATTCTCTGTGCGTAAGGACTGGCGGGTCATTCCCACGTGGCTGCAGGGCCTGGTAACGGACGATGCACTGGCGGTGGGAACAAAGGAAATGATGGCATTGGGACGTGCAGTAGTCAGTCGCTGGTTGATGGAAGAAGTTTTTCAACGGCACTTCCATCCGGGGCTGGACCCTGGTCTGAGTATTCAGCTGAAGTCGATCGAGATGAACCTGCGACGACAACAGATGCGACCAGTCACAGATGAGGACCGTGAAAATGCCATTGCCAAACTTTCCAACTGGCGTCGCACCACCTTCGATGGTCTAGGTGATACTCTTGCAAATCCCACCGCCCAGGAGCACCGCGCCGAGTTGATCGAGCATTTGAGCGTGGAGCTAGCCACCTTCCTCAGCACACAGCTGCAAGACCAAGCCCACCCAGGGCTGGAGGCCGGCGTGCGAATGATCATTGAGAACACCATTAATATCGTTGAAAAGATCCCGCTAGAGGCCCGTGATGTCTGCGTTGAGTACTTCCCACCCAACATCTCCTTCCACGACAACTACATGAAGGTTGAAGGTCAACTGCCACCACTTGCGCACCAACCTCCTCCACCAGCGGACCAGGAAATCGACGACGAAGGCGACTCCTCGCCGGCCTCGAACTCCACAGGACCCTGTGCAGACGGGACATCCCCCGCCCCACGCGAACCTCGAAGACGATCCGTGTTTGGCGCCTTAATGGGTCGCCGACCCGCTGACCCACCCGCTCGTCCAGCGGGTGGAGACAAAACAGAGCAAGCCGAGCCGTCTCGCATCCGCTTTGCCTCATTCCTTACCGTCGAAGTACGCGGCAAGGGACCTGCGACTGTCCTAATCAAAGCGCCCGTATGGCTGATCGAGTGAGAATGCCCAAAAAGCGAAATACTTCATGACCCTGAGCGTTGTATATAAATGATAGTTCCACTGTATGTGGCATTGATGACAACCATGATCGCATTGATATCCCATCGAGTTTTCGTTATGTGGCGGTTGTTTGATCTTTGGGAATCTTTTCATATCTTCTTGAGTTAAGCACGGCTTTGGTCCGGTCTATCGCTTTGCTAGCCAAGGTGTTCTTTCATTTAAGGTTACCTACACCGTGATAATCCAAATAGATGGTTTTCTCCATTGACTGTGAAAGTTGGCATTATCATTGACATCGCCCGTGCGTACTGGAGTACATCCATAGAAGCCTCTCCAAAAGAACCCATACGACACATACTTCGTATTTCAAATTTCCATCCCACCAAGACCTAAGATCACGCTGTCATCATCATAGCTCGTATACACATAATCGGTAACCGAAACCTACTGGGCCAGACTATGCGCGCGCTTTCAAGTGTGGAACAAATGGATACAGCTAGCGCTTCATACAGACCCCACTCATGATTGGAATAATTCGTATCACTAATATAGGGACTATGCAGCGCTATTGGAAACGGACCCTCTATGCCAAGTGTGGGGTCAAGATACAACCGCGGAGTCTGAGCAAAATGACATCACTGGAACCTTTTTACTGGATAATATTACCGGATTAGAGTATAGAGTACGGGACTAGCCGTGGTATATTGTACAGTCAATTATATAAACATTCATCAACCTTGGAACCAATTAGTTCATACGCGGGGATGTCCTCCATACCTGGACAGAAGAATTAACCTCAAGACTATGCATGTTACTTGCATACGTTCCACATACGCAGTACGACCCAAAAAAACTCAAATATAGATTGCAAAAGTCACATTCAAATAGTAATCATATATCCAGTCTGGTTATATCTACCTAAGGCATCAACAAAAAGACAATCACAATGGATGACATGACACCCAACCCGGGATAATAACAAGTATATACAAGAACCCACATGTGCAAACCCAGAACATGCTTTTTGTAACACGCGAAGAGTCAAATGCAAATTGATTGGGGAGACAAAAGAATTCATCGAAGAGAAGATAGTTCCCGGGTATAGCGCCTCGCTGATGGATGAGATAAGAATGAAAAAAAAAATTAAAATCCCAAAGGAAATAAAAAAGTCAAGATAAATGAAGAACAATGTCGTTGCTGAATGGCAGATGAGATCGCAAATCGCAGTGGAAACATCGTGAATGCTGAAAGACATATCATAATTATGTGTGGTCGCCCTTTCCCATCCGGGGAGAGAAGGAAAGAGGTTCATATTAGACGGTAAGACCGTGTTCGTTGGCGGCCTGCTGCAAAACGCGAGGCCAGCGCGAGATGAGCTCGACGTCATCCAGGATACCCTTACCCTGGTTGCGCACGTACTGAGTGCTCGGGTCGACGCGTGGCTCCCAGTCCCAGTTCTGGGTTTTACCCTCGATCAAAGCGGAATAGACCAGACGACGGCGGCGTTGCGAGGTCAAGACATCCTGGCGGATCTTCTCCAGGTCCCAGCGAGCATGAACTTCCTCGGTGAAGTAGGCGAGCATCTTGACAGGGTCGGTGGTGTCCGGAAGAGTCTCGAACTTGGCTGGGCTGGGGGTTCGTGGAGGTGTAGGGGCGGGGAAGGGGTAGCCAGCGTTTTCGCCAACACGCTGGGGGATAGGAGACACGCGAGGAGTTTCACCAGGGGTAGGGAGGGGCGCAGGCACGGCTAGAGGGTTGGCAGACTTTACTGCGAGAGGGGTGCGGACGGTTGAAAGGGTGGGGAGACCAGCTGCGAGGTTGATCTTCTCCTCTGGGTCGGCGGCCACGTTGAAGAGCATGGGTGGGTCAATGGTGGAGTAGATGAATTTCCAGCAGCCACGGCGGATCATGATCAGAGGAGCCTGAGTACCTTCACCCATGTACTCGCCATACACGGTGTCGGTACGAGGGCCCTCGCCGCCGGTCAGATAGGGCATCAAGGAGACACCGTCAAGAGGGAGATCCTTGATGAGGGGAGCGCCGACCAAATCGACGAACGTAGGCAACATGTCCATTGTGGACACATTCTCCTTGATGCGCTTGGGCTCAAACAGCTTGGGGGCATAGAAGAGCATTGGCACGCGGGCCGAGTTCTCGAACCAAGTCATCTTGTACCACAGACCACGCTCGCCAAGCATATCACCGTGATCACCAGTGAAACAGATAATGGTATTCTCATCCAGACCAGTGTTCTCCAAAGTCTTCAGCAACTTGCCAATATTGGTGTCAACGTAAGTGCAGGCGGCGTAGTAGGAGCGACGGGCAGCCCGAATGCGGTCTTCCGGCATCTCCTTGCCCCACAGATCAATGCATTTCAGCACGCGCTGGGAGTGAGGATCTTGCTGCTCGTCGGGAACATTGCCGTTTTTAGGAAGCGGAATGTCGACATCTTCGTACATGTCCCAGAACTCCTTGGTCATGGCATATGGGTCGTGAGGGTGTGTCATCGACACTGTCAGACAGAAGGGCTGGTCAGTACGCTGACGCACATGGTCGTACAGGTACTGCTGCGACTTGTAGATAACCTCCTCGTCGAAATCTAATTGGTTTGTGCGCACTACCGGGCCAGCGTCCATCACCGAGGCCATGTTGTGGTAGTAGTCCTGACGAATTTCCTGCGGGATTGTTAGTACTGTCTCGTCATTTGCCAGATTTCCACGTTACTCACCGGCTCATCCCAGTTGACGGACCAGCCGTAGTCACCGGGGTAGATATCGCTCGTCAGACGCTGCTCATAACCGTGCAACTGGTCCGGACCGCAGAAGTGCATTTTCCCGGCCAAGGCCGTGTGGTAACCCTCTCGGCGCAGGTAGTGGGCGTAAGTCGGAGTGTCCGCAGGCAGATCGGCAGCATTGTCATAAGCTCCGATTTTTGAGGGCAACTGGCCGCTCACCATCACATAGCGAGATGGAGCACACAGCGGTGAATTGCAGTAGGCCGAGTCAAAGGTCACACCACCCGCCGCCAAACGGTCCAGATTAGGTGTCTTGATGGGCGAGTTCTTGTCGTGCAAGGACAACAAGGGCGCAGCCATCTGATCGGCCATGATGTAAAGGATGTTAGGCTTCTTGTTCGCCATGATGAAGGATGCTAGTATTCAAGATGGCCCTATAGCAGAACAAAGAAGGTTTAACAGAAGATGGGTTAAAAAGAAAAAGAGACCAGAACCAGGGTTGGGGATGGGGGCTTCATATAAGAATCCCAAAACTGGCACGTGTGGGGAATCAAACCCAAAAAATCGAGAAAAAAAGGATGGAATGGAAAAGTTTTTTTTTTTTTTTACGATTGATAAGAAGGCCCGAGAGCATCTACATACAACAATGCCCAGGTTAGAATAGATTAGCAAGTGGGAACTGTATTGCGCTTACAAGCGCGAGTACAGTATTGCCCACGGGGTTATACTCCCTAAACCCACAGAGGGGCTCTTACAGTCATGTCACCGTGCAGACCGCCACGCAAATCGCAAGCAGAAAAACAGAGCAGGCCCAGATCTCCCCGATAAATCCACAGTAGCGGCTGGACTACTGCATTGAAGATCAGGGGAATGATCCGGCACTGACGTATCCTGAAGGCGCAAGATAGCACAATTTCAGAGTGCGATGGTGTGATTGACCCAGAATTCGAGACGGAGAAGTGGCGTATTGTACGGTATTCGTAATCGCATCAAGTTTGGGTCACTTGGGTCATGTGGCTACTTGCCTATTATTGATCTGAGAGTCAGGAATGGGTGTCCTGCTCGAGAAATCGAGTCCTGTCCACTCAGAATCGTGAAAAAGGAGGCTTGTTGGCCCGCATTCGAAGTCCCGGGACACCGTGATTGCCGAGTTGCCACCAGTGTAACAAGGCCGATACACCCGTAATACCAGATATCGTCGTAATCTTGCTTGCGATTTCCACCCATCCGCCCACTCCCAGCTAGCATGAGCCCATTAATTTCACTCAACTGTTTCAGCCCCATTTGAAGCCGATGCCTTTTTTTCTCGGAGTCCACTCGACCCCGGAGTGGACAGGAAGCTTCGAACGCTGCCGTTGGCTCCGCGACAGACCCTTGTAACGGGGACGATCCCAACCGACTATCAGCCAAAGTTAGGGATCCACCGATCGTGTCATCGCTTTGACGACCAATCACGGCGAAGCTGATGCCCCTGGTATTACCGAACTCAGTTAGCATGATTCCTTAGGGGGGTTTAGGGGCAGGCACTCCACTTGCTTATCTTGAGAGCCAATCAGAAGGGAGAGAAAGCAACCGCAAATTGAACGAGTTGCGAAGCGAATAACGCCCGTGAAGGACCCGCGGAGCAGGCCGACAAGTGGGACAACAAGCGGTGTATACATGCATGTTCAGGCTGACATGGTCTCGCATCGAATGTATCAATTCACTTGATTACCTCAATACAACTTGGAACGAGGCCATTGAAGGGATCTGCATTTCTCCAGTTTCACCACCCAGGTGAGCAATCCCCCCTTGGAATCACGTCACCTTGAACCCCGGATTCATGCCAAGTGGTCACCGCTAGTCTTTCGTGGCGGCTCTTCCGGGAAAGGCGCTGAGGATGTTGCAGTGGTCTCCACTTGGGCACGCATTGCGTGGCGGGACCGGATCACCCGATGCAGAATGGCGCAATCAGAGGATTCGCAATGCTCGAGTCGGAGATAACCTGCACATGCACTCTCTTCGTCACAATCGCAATCAAACCTCCGATCTACTGGCATGGAAATCTACTGTACTGGCATGGAAAGGAGCTGCAACAAATTTATTGACTTTTTTTAGGGGGTTCATTTTTCCTATGGCCACTCCCTTGACCGAATCAAATTATCCTTCAGTCTCAAACTCTCCATATCAATGTCCATGTGACCTCAAAATCAAGAACTCGAAAATTCGCATACCGATAACCTCCAGAACAAAAAGAAAAAGCAAAATCCCTTCTCCCAGCGCGTAGAAACAAACGATAAAAAAAATTAAAAAGAAAAAGACAAGAAAAAGAAACTCGGAACCAGTCGGCTGTGCGCTCGCAAATTCATCATCCAGTCGACTTTGATCACTGGCAGAGGAGAACCAAACGCCAAGGAAAATGGACCAAGTGGGAAATGATTGCGAGGACATAACTCGAACCATCCTTAATTGTGGTAGGCCCTGATCCTCAGAAAAATCCGACATTCATACTCCATTAATTCTTTTTCCCAGTCGCTGGGACCTTTAGGAATGGTTAACTGAATGAGAGGTTCATGATCATCCTGCCGCTTCTCAGGAGACAGATTCCTGGCATACCAGAATACAAGGTCCCGGCAGGCCATTGCGTCTTCGAGGCTATCAAGCCCAAATCGACCCTGTTGAATATTGCGCTTGAGATGCACCATGGCAAGCCGCTTCAAAGTCCGGTTTCTGTCATTCGAAATGCGTCCCTCCAGCTCATGGGTATCAATGATCTTTCCGTGGACCCATCTGAGGTGAATCATATCCTGTGGACCATCGTGCAGGACGACATAAGTGTTAGGCGTCACAAAATCCCAAAGACGTAGAAGAGCTCCTTCGCGGCCTTCTAAGCAGAGGCCCTTGGTGCGAGCATCGTACATCATTGGCCAGGTAATGCAACTGTTCTTGGTGTCGAGGTGCAGGAGGGGATTGTCGGGCCACACGAGGTTATCAATGAGGACCTGGCCGGAATAGAGGTCCACGACACTAAGGCGAATCAATTCTTGTTCACCCCAACGATTAATTCCCGTTTTGAGAGCCACCACCACGCCAGAGCGGGTGTCGGGTGGAATTGGAAATTTCTCCGGGGTGTCGTGGAGGTACCACTCAAGTCCATGGCCTGGATGACTAGGATCATAGTCATACCGTCCGAATTTGATGTCTCGCACGTGGTACCACTTTAGAACACACCCACGTGTGAAAACGCTCTGGTCGCAACACGTAAAGACCTGCAGCCTGGTTAGTGTTGAGTCAAAACACCTCAAAAAAGGGGTTCCCTGACATCATCTCGAGGCTCACCCGGATGGTACAAGCAGTTTGGAACTCGGCTCGTACCTCGCTCAAATTGACCTTCCGCAAGTTCGGCGGATTCGAGTACTTTGAAGTTAAACTTACCGTGTTCATTCTCGAAATTGAGAGTGACAAATCTGTCTTTACCATCGTTGGTAGTTGGGACCTCGTGGGTTCTGGATTCGTCTTCTTTGGCGCTGAAACACACGCATTCGGAGTCCCCATTCTTAGGCAAAGGGGAGCTTTCCCCGGGCACTCCCTTGTTACGCCTGGATGCTTCTTGAAAGAACTCCAGATGCTCCTTGCTGGGGGCCCCACACCCATAATTTCTCCTGAGGACTGCCACTGGATGTCAGCTATGACAGGAAACATATGAGATGAAAAAGTAATTTCAAGAAACTTACGGAAACAACGACAGCAACGGCTTTTTCTTGGGTTCAACCAATTATTCAACCAGCCATAAGGCCGGTATTTCAGTCTGGCCTGATCTTGTGGTTTGAGGTAGAGACCACGCATAATTTCCATTTTTGAACGTGTTTCCTCGATATCCTCCAGCACACGGGGGACTCGCTGAGGATTGAACAGCGGATGGTCCACACTGCTGTACTTAGGGGGAGCCACGGTCTTTAGCACGGTGGATCCAATGATTGAGGACATTATTGTTGCCATGATGATAATGTAAGTTTAAGGTCCCTGAAGCTTGGAACGTTTTGAGATTCGAGGTGAGAAATTTTGAACCAGATGGGTGGAGATGAGAGAGCAAAGACCGTTCAGAAGTCACCGTCCTTATCTATGTTCAAGAGTAGGGACAAGGAACTTCCAGTGGAAGACTCGGGTTGAAGAGACAAGATCTCGAAGCTTACGTAGCAAAAAGGACTGTATAAGGAGTCAGAGTTGAAGCTTGGTTGCCGGATGAAGTGCATAGAAGAAAGAAGTTGTAAGAAAGAAGTTTGAGGAAGGAAGCGGAGGAAGAAAGACCGTGAAAAATGAGTGATTAAATACTTTGCGAATGATGGGTGAAAGCTATGCGATGACGAGGGAGAAAGTAAGTGTGAGGGACGTGTGAAAACGTAACGTGAATAGGGAAGAGTAAATGAAAAAGATAGGGAGGTTGAATGCAGTTGCATTTAGAATGAATAAATCGTCAAAGAAAGACAGTTAAATTGATGCCGGCGAGATAGCTAACGTACAAGATTTGAAAATAATACAACTAGACAATCAACCATCACACGATAATACTCGCTTGTCTAAAATTGCAAAAAAGGGGTCATCGACTCGAGTGAGACGGATAGACAGAAGATGAAGGAAACTATGAAGGGAGAGAGTAGGTTAGATCCAACAGGATCTTCTCGATGAACACGAATTGGCGATAAAGGAGTCGAAAAGATGCAATGAAAAAGACAGTATACGCCGTGGTGGTCAGCTGGATCACCGATGCTTATCAAACAGATTACTTCGTTAAGAGGCGTGGTCGGTTCCATTGTATTTGTGGTGAAGTCTCGAGGTATTTCTAGTCAACCTTAATCGCGCTATACACACGACGAACAAAGGTGTATGCAGCCAGGAATCCGACGGTTCCAGTCAACAAGAAGTACACTGCACAGGCGAGGAAGCTGTAGCTGAAGAACAGCAGGGTGGACACAAATCCAGTGACGTGTAACTTGAACATATAGTACCAGATGCAGTAGGCGAAGATCCAGAAGGCACTGCTGCCACCTGTCAGGAAGCTCTGCCACCACCAGTGGTAATTCTATAAGGGGTAAGCGGGTATACTGAGGACAACTGATTCGGGGGACTTACCTCAGAGCAAAGTTGGCTATATGTTGCAATGACAGTCACTTCAATGACGGTGACTATCAACACAGCAGAAACCACGCTCAAGAAACCAAACACATAGTAGTAACCACTCTTATCCTGCCATAGATTCTTGAATACAAACAGTAATTCAATGAAGAGGACGGCGAATGGGACCAAACCGGTCAACAGGGGGCCAGCGGGGCTACTCAGATACCACGGCTGGCGTGGGATTTGGCGAGCAATAGCATTGGTCTTCAGAGGATGCTCCCAAGGCTTCGCTCGCACATATCCTACCCAGCTACCAAGGTAAACAAGCGGAACTTGAATGAGCAACCAGAGGGCGAGCAAGCCAATCAATGTGCCGAATGGAATCGCCGTGCTGGAAGCCTGAGTCCAGACGAACAAATTCAAGATCAAGACAAGGAGGAAGGTCAGTCCGGGGAAAAGCAAGGCAGTCTGGAAATGAAGTCAGTGAGAATGTCACAATGCCACTGTGTGACTGATCCACCTACAATCAAAGTATTCTTCCGCCATGCTGTTCCACTGAAGGTCTTATAGAGTCTACCAGAGAAATATCCAGAAAACAACCCAGCAAATACAAACAGGCCCATGCCGACGCTGACAAATCCGCCACGGAAGCTGGGATTCAGAACTCCTAGGCAGCTAAGCGCAAGCAAACCAGTTGCCATGAACAATAACTGCATGCCCGATCCGACCAGTGGTGCCAAAAGGCCGCTATAGGCTGGGATTCGGAAAACATCGCCGTGAAGAAGCTTCCAGCCGCTGGTGTCCTCGAGAGGTTCATCATCAGAGGACATGTCGGCGTCATTTTCCACGTCAGCATTGTCCAGTAGTCCTTCCTTGTTCTTCTCGCTGCGCTTCCGACGAGACTGGCCCTTCAGCTTCCGGTCCTCCATGGCTCCATCACCACGGCCCTTGATGTCGCCTTGCACAGTTCGACTCCAAATCACAAACACCGTCGCACCGAGCACAGTGGAGATGATCAAAGAGTTGACAATCGCCAGCCAGTGCGTCATTGAGCCTTCCTCCTGGTTGGTGAAGTACAGATCCCAACGGTTCGCCCAATCAATCTTGGGTTCCTCACGAAAGTAAACGGAGTAGGTGTACGGGATGCTCAAGGTGGACCCATCGTCATCGTCATCGTCATCCTCGGGAATGTAAGATAGACCAGCATATTTCTCCTTCAGCTTTGATTTGTCTGGAGCAATGTACAAACCTAGTCCTTCATGATCTGCGTGAATGTCCTTTGGGCAACCGCCTTCTTTGCGGTCTGCTGCGGTCACGCTTTTTGGATAAACCTCAAATCCATTAATCACCTTTCCTCCCTCCGGTGCGCTCCGCCAGCGGATGACGATCGTAAAGTGGTTGTTAATGAAATAGCGGGATCGGCCGGTAGACGGGGAGATATCACGGTAGCCCATCTTGAACCCCGAAGCATAGTATTTTCGGCTTCTGTCAACGGTCACGAAGCTCGTTGCGCCAGGCAGATTGTCCACAATCCACTCGATCACATAGTTCTGCTCGATGAGGTTACGAGCCCACTTAACATTTGAGCGACTAACCTCACGGGTGCAAAGTGCTTGGCATTCCACGTCCTTGCCCATTGTGAGCTCGAAATCAGATGTCATGATGCGATCGCCGCGCAGCACTTCACCCAGATTGAGAGAAATGCTCTGGCCAGATCCAAAGGGTGAGCCGCCATGTGCCTTACCACTTGGGGGGCAGACGAAGGGGAGATCAAAATAGGCATATTGGAGCTGCGTGTGGTCGGAGAAGATTTTGTTGACAAGGAGTGGGATTGGCTCGTCATCATTGTACCGAGTCACTGAGTATCCTATGACCGAAGCGCCATGTTAACATTGCCTGAGTACCTTGGTCTGGTTGGAAGAAGCTTACCAGGGATGTAAAAAGAACAGGCACAGGACACGAACGATAGCAACAGCAGCGTCCAGGCACCAAGGCCTAGCGACTTCGAAGCTGCCATGGTCACTTCAAAGAATAATCCTTTCCTCCTTGCTATGTGAATCGAATGCGCTGCTGCTGGTTCCCCATGCACTTACACAGCCCGACTACGAGTTTAGTAGTGATCGCACGTCCCCGGAGTGCAGATCAGCAGCGGCTAATCGGGGCAGACCGTTTGATCTTCCAGGGTTCGCCCTGCAAGAACTGAATGACACTTCCTCACGAAGTCGCCTAGGGGCAGGTATATATGCGATTGTCAAGGAGGCGGTAAATGCTCGTTCGGGTGATGCTTGGCAATCGCTAGGGTCCAGTCTTGATTGTCTCAGATCGACGAAGGTGCGATTAGGGAAAGGAAACGTGGAAGGTGGGAAAAGGATAACGAGTGTAATCGGCACCGAATGCCGCAGGTGCCAGCAGAATGGGGATTCGGTGCTCGTCCAGAGAATTTGGAAAGGAAAATGGCCGGAGATGATGCTCTTGGAACGTGTCGTGTCAACACGGATTATCTATCGACCGATTGCAGGACCCTTGAGCTGCAGCAATCTCCAATAAAGTTTCAACGGAATAATCGCCAATCAGATAGATGGAAACTTCCATGGGATATGCAAGAAAATGAGCTAAACTCAGAAGATAATAAGGTCAAAACTCCGTGCGCATGTGGTTTTCAAGGCTGTTAATAGGGCATGACGCATGCAGCCGGAAGGCCACCATAGTATATGTTACTGCCTTGCCCCACAAATGGATATTCGATTATGTACATGCGCCGTATCCACCACAGGTACATAAATAGACCTTGGAACCTTGATCAGACCTCGGAAGAACATTGGAACTCGAAAATAAATCTACATGTTCTGGCTAGTAAATGTATAGTTGGTACCCAGGACCGAAATGACTTGGATTCAAATGTGACTATTCACTAGGGGCCTGTTAATGCCGAGCAGAATAGATATGGAGTAAAAGAAAAATAGATTCACAATCGAAGGTAGGCATGCAAAAAGGGGGAATGGGAGATTCGTCAACTCAGAAGGCCGTTCGGTAGCTAAAAACGGAACGGGGTCATGGAATACATAGGGTAGAAAGATAGACGGCAGAAACGGGGATTGAAAGGACGAGATCTGAACCGCCTATGAGGGGTAGCTTAAGAGGTATTCCACGGCTCCTTGCACACTACCACCAGTTCGTCGCAAGGCTTCAATGTTTCGCTCAAATTCAAAGAATCCCATGTCATTCAGTTGGCGAAGCTGGTCCGCATATCGCTCCTCGGGAGGCCGATTGTCCGCGGGAGGTGGGGTGCCAAAACCACCACCTCCGAACAACGATGGCAATGCGCCGGCAGCGCCCTCTTGGCCACCCATCGCCTGCATCATTTGAGTCATGAGAGCAGGATCGCGCAGGAACGGATTTTGTTGAGGATTGAATGGATTAACGTTGCCACCCATGCCTGCACCCGCCTGACCTGCACCACCGAACATAGACGGGTTTAGCAACGCCGCAAATGGGTTCTGTGCTTCCCCGGTAGTAGGTTGACTGGTGGTGTTTTGTGTGCTCTCAGTACCCTCAGTCTGACCAGCCGTTCCTGTAGCAGCCGGTTGGGTTGGAGGAGCAAAAGGATTGGCTCCAGGATTGGCCCCAAAGAGGCTAGCAAATGGATTTCCGGTGCCCATTTGAGGTAGCTGCCCAAACTGACCCATTTGACCCATTTGAAATGGATTGGGTGGGGTATCTTGTTGTGGGGCGTTCTGATTTCCCTCAGTCGTGTTGGTCACACCAGGAGCTGGGAAGGCACCTTCACCACCCGCACCTCCTCCTCCCATACCCATTGATCGCTGCATTTGCATCATAGAGCGGATGGAGTTGGGATCAGTCAACATGCGGCGGAATTCTGGGCTCTGCATCATCTGTCGCACTCCAGGTCCCATATCCCGCAGCATGGGGTTTTGCTGGATCATCATGTCAATTACCTGGGGATTCTGAAGGGCCTCGTTAATGCTCGATTGGAATTGAGGGTTTTCGAGCATGTTCAACATGGTATCGCTATCGGGAGGTGGACCCATCTGCGATAAATGACATGAGTTAGTATATTGAAAATCACCGGTGTTCCACAAATAGCCAGGGTCTATGTATTAAGCTCACTTACCCCACCATCAGGGCCAAAGAGTCCCGCACCCGGTAGCTGGGCGAATCCAGCGTATCGAGCCCCAGTCAATCCGGCTAGAGGGTTATTGCCAGTTCCTGCAGCAAGATTGGTGGGGACACCTGCTGCAGGCTGACTCGGGGCAGCGGCAGCAGGGGTTGCCGTCGAGGTAGACTGGCCGGATGTATTGGATCGTTGTTGGTTGCTTGCAGCGCTCTTCACTAAGTGGATGGTATGCCCGTCTTTGATCTTGTATGAGTCCAGAGATTCATTATCCTTCAGCACTCGACCGGAGTAAATCAGGCGCTGGCGTTCAGCTGGAGTATCTGCATACTCGGAGCTTGAGAGCTTCTGCTTCAACTCCGAGACAGGAGTAGAAAGAGGAAGGGTGAAAGTGAACTTGGCATCAGTTGAAGATTTGACGGTAAAGGTGATGGGGGCATCTTCTGTAGCACCGCTGTCGGCCATGGTTGTTTGGGGATCGGCTGCTGAGTGGGGTGAGGGGAAGCTGAGCCAGCACCGAGGAACTCAAATTCAAAAGGATTTGATCAGTGACAGAAGCCGGAGCACTGGTGGAATATGTTTCAAGGAGGCAATGGCGGAAAGAAAGCAAAAGGTCTAAAGATGTGATGAAGAGTTGAATGTTGCCTTAAGGTGGTCTACCCTAGCGAAAGCGTTCCAAGAGACTTATTACATAATGGCGGATGATGACAGTTGGAAGGCGGTCGAACCGGATGGTTGGTACCACGTGACAACCCGAGCAAACAGCTTCGCACTTTTCTATTTTGCTCCCGCTTTCCTCTGCCACACCCACACGTTCGTTCTTCACGTAATAGCGGCATCAACCACGGAGTCTTTTGCTTGCTTGTGACTCCACCAAGCAGATATGGGATTGATGTGAAAATTCCATCTTCCTGGACTGCAATTGCCCATATTAACGCGTGTCTTTTGCTTGGTGTCGGAGCTGCAAAGCTCTGCGAGCTAATTGCCCACTATGGCTACTACCTCGCATATGTTCATGTACTCCCTGACTATTCAGCCTCCAACTGCCATCACACAGGCTGTTCTGGGCCAATTTTCTGGAACCAAGGAGCAACAGGTCATTACGGCGTCTGGCTCCAAGCTCACTATCCACCGACCTGACCCGACCCTCGGAAAGGTTACACCCATCTTCTCCCAAGATGTCTTTGGTATCATCCGCTCATTGGCGGTTTTTCGGCTGGCTGGCAGCAACAAAGGTATGTCATTTTTTTAGACCCGAATCTTGCATTTACACGAGTTCAACTTAGTGATTCTTGAAGCTTCCCGGGTAGCACGGTCCTGGTTTTTCGACCCGACCCCTTGAAGGGTGGGGGACCTGCCCTGGCCAGCAACGTGGACGCTGTTAAACCCATGAGCGAAACTTTGCTGAGTCATTTTCCTTTGCAGATTATCTGATAATTGGCTCGGACTCGGGTCGCATCACCATCGTTGAATATGTTCCCTCGCAGAATCGCTTCAACCGGATTCATTTGGAAACATTTGGCAAGTCCGGGGTTCGCAGGGTCGTTCCTGGACAGTATCTCGCGGTGGACCCTAAGGGGCGGGCATGTTTAATCGCCTCGGTGGAAAAGAACAAGCTGGTCTATGTTCTTAACCGCAATTCCCAGGCTGAACTCACAATTTCTTCCCCTCTGGAAGCCCACAAGCCCCAGACTCTTGTGTTTGCAATGATTTCCCTGGATGTCGGCTATGATAACCCTATCTTTGCTGCTCTTGAAGTGGATTACTCAGAGGCGGACCAGGATCCTACTGGCCAAGCGTTTGAGGAAATGGAAAAGGTCCTCGTTTACTACGAGCTTGACCTAGGTCTCAACCATGTCGTACGTAAGTGGTCTGACCCAGTCGACCGCACTGCAAACATGCTTTTCCAAGTGCCGGGAGGCGCAGATGGACCCAGCGGTGTTTTGGTTTGCGCCGAGGACAACATCACCTACCGTCACTCCAACCAAGATGCATTCCGCGTGCCTATTCCACGCCGCAGCGGACCCACCGAAAACCCCGAGCGTAAACGTACCATTGTTTCGGGTGTGATGCACAAAATGCGAGGCGCATTCTTCTTCCTTCTTCAGACCGAAGATGGTGATATCTTCAAGGTAACGCTTGAGATGGTCGAGGATGAGAATGGCCAAGTGACTGGTGAAGTTCAAGGTCTCAAGATTAAATTCTTTGACACTGTTCCTGTCGCATCGAGTCTCCTTATCCTCAAGAGTGGCTTCCTCTACGTTGCTAGTGAATCGGGCAACCACCATTTTTACCAATTTGAAAAACTTGGTGATGATGATGAAGAGGTTGAATTCAGCAGCGAGTCTTTCTCAGCGGATCCCTCGGCTCCATATGAACCAGTATTCTTCCGGCCTCGTCCGGCCGAAAATTTGAACCTCATGGAATCAATCAACTCGTTGAACCCATTGATCGACAGCAAGGTTGCCAACCTTACCGAGGAGGACGCCCCGCAAATCTACTCCGTTTGTGGTACCGGCGCCCGCAGTACATTCCGTACTCTCAAGCATGGACTCGAAGTCTCAGAGCTGGTAGAGTCGGAGCTTCGTGCAGTACCTTCTGCTGTCTGGACTACGAAGTTGACACGATCCGACGAGTATGATCGATACATTGTTCTCTCTTTTACCAATGGAACCATTGTTCTGGGAATTGGTGAGATCGTGGAGGAGATCACTGAGGATTCCGGCTTCCTGTCCACAGCCCCTACACTTGCTGTTCAACAGCTTGGCGAGGACTCGCTCATTCAAGTGCACCCTCGTGGTATCCGTCACCTCCTTGCGGATCACCGAGTGAATGAGTGGCCTGCCCCGCAGCATCGTTCCATCGTCGCTGCTGCCACAAACGAACGTCAGGTTGCTGTCGCCCTCAGCTCTGGAGAAATCGTCTATTTTGAAATGGATGCCGATGGGTCTCTTGCAGAGTATGATGAGCGACGCCAAATGTCCGGCACAGTGACCTGCCTCAGCCTTGGGGAGGTTCCTGAGGGCCGTGTCCGAAGTTCATTCCTGGCTGTTGGATGTGATGATTCAACTGTCCGCATCCTCAGCCTAGACACGAAGAACATGTTGGAAAACATGTCTGTCCAAGCCCTCACATCGGCACCCTCGGCACTCAACATCATGGCCATGGCCGACTCGAGCTCCGGTGGCACAACGCTGTACCTCCACATAGGTCTCTACTCTGGTGTTTACCTGCGTACGGTGCTAGATGACGTGACTGGCGAGCTCTCAGATACCCGAACACGGTTCCTTGGAGCCAAGCCTGTGAAACTGTCTCAGGTCTCGGTTCAAGGTCAAACTGCAGTCCTTGCTCTGAGCTCCCGTTCGTGGCTCGGGTATTCTGACACCCAAACCAAAAGCTTCATGCTAACCCCGCTGGACTACGTTGGTCTGGAATGGGGCTGGAACTTCTCCAGCGAGCAATGTTTGGAGGGCATGGTCGGTATTCAAGGCCGAAATTTACGGTATGTGGCTCACCCTTCCCCTTCTTCCCCTATTGTCTGCTATGATCATATGATGAAAAAATGGGAACCGAACCTCCGTGTGGATCAAAAACATGTTTTTATTTTTCCAATTGTTCCTACTGAGATCAAAAACTGTCATCTTGACTTTCCTCGACTTGCTTTTGCAATGTGCGAATTTTCTTGCTAACGCAGTCTAGGATTTTCTCCATTGAGAAACTCGATAACAACATGCTCCAAGAGTCGATTCCATTGGCTTACACTCCTCGTCGCTTCGTTAAGCACCCAGAGCATCCCCTTTTCTATGTCATTGAATCTGACAATAACGTCCTCTCTCCTGCGACGCGGGAAAGCCTGATCAAGGACTCAGAAGCCCGCAATGGCGAGCCTGCCAGTCTCCCCCCTGCCGAGTTCGGCTACCCCCGTGGAACTGGTCACTGGGCATCATGCATCCAAGTTGTTGATCCAATCTCCGAGAAGGAGGCCGTTTTCACCCTTGATCTGGAAGACAACGAGGCTGCAGTCAGTGTTGCCATCGCCCCATTTTCGAGTCAGGATGATGAGTCATTCTTGGTTGTTGGAACTGCCAAAGATATGGAAGTCAGCCCTCCCAAATCGAAGGGTGGTTTCATCCATATCTACCGATTCTCAGAGGATGGCCGTAAATTCGAGCTTATTCATAAGACGAGCACTGAGGAGCCTCCTCTTGCTCTCCTCCCATTCCAAGGCAAACTGTTAGCAGGCGTTGGTTCCATTCTTCGTCTGTACGACCTAGGTGTGAGGCAACTACTTCGCAAATCCCAAGCTCCTGTGGTCCCCCAGACCATTGTTGGTCTTCAAACCCAAGGTAGCCGAATTGTGGTCAGTGACGTGCGAGAGAGTGTGACCTATGTGGTCTATAAACACCAAGAAAATGTCCTGATTCCCTTTGTGGATGACTCCATTGCCCGCTGGACCTCTTCCACGACCATGGTTGATTACGAAACCGTTGCCGGTGGTGACAAGTTTGGTAATCTGTGGATGCTCCGATGCCCAAGCAAGGTTTCGGAAGAGGCCGACGAAGATGGATCTGGGGCACACCTTGTTCATGAGCGGGGTTATTTGCAGGGAACTCCCAATCGTCTTGAGCTGATGGTTCACTACTACACCCAAGACATCCCCACTAGCCTGCATAAGGCACAGCTTGTGGCTGGTGGTCGTGACATTGTTGTCTGGACTGGTTTCCAGGGGACAATTGGAATGTTTGTCCCCTTTGCTAGCCGTGAAGACGTTGATTTCTTCCAAAGCCTGGAGACGCAGCTGGCTACTCAGCATCCGCCTCTCGCCGGCCGAGACCACCTGATCTATCGCGGTTACTACGCGCCTGTGAAGGGTGTCATCGACGGTGATCTGTGTGAGATGTACTTCCTTCTGCCTAACAATACGAAGATGATGATTGCCGCGGAGTTGGACCGATCTGTGCGGGAGATCGAGCGCAAGATCTCGGTAAGTTGCTTCTGGCACCCTTTTTATGACTTTCATCGACTGACTTGACCTTAGGACATGCGAACACGGGTGGCTTATTAATTTCGGACAGTCCTGGCGTCTTAACGGCGTTTTCATGCCGCCTGGCTTTCACATAGGTATTACGGTTATGCTAATTGATATCCCAATTCGCGGTAAAGACCGCATGATTCTTTTCACTACGATCCTACTTTTTGTCATTTTTCTTCCTTCCAAGACGTCTCTTGCCTCGCTCGGTCTGCCGCTTTCCTCGGCTAATCTTGAGCTGGATGCAGTCCAGTCACTTCGGTGGTTGGGGTTGTATGAGACAAAATTGAGTGTGGTTTCCATGCGTCGACGTTTTTTGAGTACGGTTTTGTCCGCTTTGCACAACGGATCTATACCGTAATTTATCTGTCGGGACATCTCGTAAGTGCCATTGGCATACACATAGCCATCATATAGCCAATTGAACCAAATGAAAGAAGAATCTTCTCTACCCACTCTGTCCATGTCGCGAATAAATCGGAATCGGATGCCGTAAATTACGCCGATCTCAACCTGAGCCGATCAGAGCACCGAATTGTAGGAACTGGCATCAAGGACTTCCCCGTTCACGCCGAAAAAGAACCCACTCGGCATCCAGACAACTCGGTTACGGTCGGAAAGATCTGGATCTTGCCGAACGGCTACCGTCGTCCGCGGGAAACTTCTTGATCACCTCATCGCTTTGGAACTTGATTTATGGGTCTTTGAAGAACATTGTTCCCCTCAAGATAATGCACGAAGTGTGATTCTTTCTGCTTTCAAATCCCGTGTTTGGTCAGCAGGTCTTTGCGCGTGCATGATGGAAATGATTGGCCACATCAAAGCCATGACGCCCTGCGCACGACACCGGGGAATGTGAGTGGGCCAGCCGAGTCGTCCAAAACCCATGAGTGGAGCCACCAAGGGCGTGCATGTCGGCGTAAGGCGCGCTCCACCGGTCTTTCTAGGTTCTGGAGTTGATCCCGATATCGCAAATGCACAACTCTGACAGAAGCTGAAACTTGAGTCCAGAGCTTTCGATTTGCTATACGAAGCAGGCAGAAACTGCGAATCCATGGGTAGAAAGGGATCGAAACCCAGCGCAAAGGATTCCCGCTCTGATCGGTCGAAGGAAAAGCGCCCGAAAAGCATAGCTTGAACTGGGAATGTCAATCCAAGGGCGTGAGCATGGGCCAAGATGTATAAGCCAATCATGCACGATTGGGTACGGGGGCTTTTTCTATGGATCCCTTTCCCTCCAACTCCCTTTAACTGCTTAAACGGGTTCGCTTTCTCTGTGTTAATTCCCGAATGAGTCACGAACAACGAACTGTCAGATGAGAAGGCTAGATGCGATTGGTAAACGTATCTCTGACGACTCCGTGACCCTTTGTACTTTGTATAAAAGCGGGGGTGATGCCCCTCCCCTTGTTATACATGCGCGGTTGTCCACGGCTCCACTTTCTACTTTTTTTTTTTTTTACCCAGATATATCAGGGATTCTTATACATTTTTCATATTTGATTTATATTTTCCCTTCTAGTGACGTGAAAGCCTTTTCCTGTCGTGCTTCCCCAGGGAAACAGGGGTTTGCTTGCCTCGTACATTCCACCATCACAAACAATGGCAACCTCGATTATCAGTCGTGGCTCGGAAGGGCTAGATGTTTTTGCTCGGCGCTCAACTCCCAAGATTGAAATCGATCTGGAAGGACAGAAGCCTGGTCTGGTCACCTCTTACACAACCGGAGATTACATCGAAGGCATTGCCAAGATCACTGTTGACCATGAGACGCGTTTCGATGAAATCGAAATTGTCTTGCAAGGTGATTTCTGAAAGCTCACATGATTTGGTATCTATCGCTAATACCGATCAAGGAACCTCGCACACTACAGTAGAACGAGCAGCATGTCCCGGTCGTACAGGTTCACAGCAGATGTTCCTCAAGCTTCGCCAACCGATTGAAGATACCGACTACCCTACCCCTCGAGTACTGGAAGCCGGTCGTACATACTCATTCCCCTTCACATTCGTGGTCCCGGCGCGCTTGCTGCCCCAGGTTTGCATGCACGCAAAGAAAAATAACCACATCCACCGCTCTCACACGATGCTCCCACCGACATTGGGAGATTCCATGGTGTCAGCAGATGGTAAAACTCTCATAGATGACATGGCACCGGATATGAGCCAAATCGCATATATCGTTCGTGTCACTGTGCTAAAGAGGTCGGGCCACCATGAGAGTAAGACTTTAGCAAATGTTGCCAAGAAGGTCCGCATCATCCCCACTGTGGAGGAGGAACCACCCCTCAACACGGTGGATCACACCAACTATTGCACCCGCAAGGAAAAGACCGTCAAGCGTGGATTCTTGCGCGGAAAGCAGGGTCAGCTCGTCGCGGCTGCCTTACAACCAAAGCCGATCTGTTTACTTCCTCCAAGCTGCGAGACACACGATACAGTCAGCACAGTAGCAAAGGTGCAACTCCGATTCGACCCAGTGGGCAATGAGCAGCCACCACGGCTAGGTTCAATGACCAGCAAGATTAGGGCAAGTACATACTATAGCGCGAACCCTTGGGAAGATTTCCCATGTCAGTCAGGTGCATTGGTGGCACAAGTTGGCCAAGGCCTATACACCGACACCGTCTCCTTATCAAGCATGTGTGTAGCTTCAGCAAAATGGGAGAAGCATTCCTCAAGTGAGCGTCGCGACTCCGTCAACTCAGCCTCCTCGTCCTCCACGGACTCCTCGGTTGACTCAACCGGTCCCTCTGCTTCCTTTACTGGGGATACGTACTACACCGCTTCCCTCGTCGTCCCTGTATCACTTCCAAGCTCGAAGACCTTTGTGCCGACCTTCCACTCTTGTCTGATGTCTCGCACCTACTCGCTTGATTGCTCTTTATCCTACCACACCCCGGGAGCCAACGTTCTGACCCCGACAATTTCCCTCCGACTCCCTATTCAAGTGATCACTCAGCCCAAATACACCGAATCAACAAAGTCAGAATTGGGCTTAGTTGTCACGCAAGAGGAATTGGATGAGTTCTTTCGCCCTCGATCTATGAACCTAGCCTCGAATCTGGTTGTCGATTTGGCAGCACCACCAGGGTATGAGGCCAGGTCTCGACCAAGGCGAAGTGCGCAAGTTACACAGTAAACTGGTGTTTTGTTTTTGTTCTATTTTTGCTTTGAACCTGTCAATACCCTGCTTGTTCTGCTTCTCATAAAAAGTTCTTGTTTCTGCATGGCGCTTACGACGATGGATATGGCTTTATCTCTCATTTGTTTGGATATACCCCTTGAACTCTTGACTAGTTATCTAATGAATCCGAATACCAATTACAATTTATTCATCTACATGAATCATTCATAACGGAACGTGGTTTTTGTATTTCTTTCCAACTTGGGCACGGAAACAGATGGCATGATATGATGACTCAGAGCACATGGAGACGACTGACGTCAGATGCGGCTGAACAACCACAGTACATTATGAGCCCTGGACTGATGGTTACTCTTATGTGGAGCTGACAAGCTTAAATCAAAAGAGCGAAGTAACTTCATTCTTTAAGCCCTGAGATCAATTGTCCTGGTGTAAACATGGATAATTTCATGTCTTCATTATGTCAAAGTCCCGTGTAAAGAGGAATTTTTGTTGGATCGACCACCCTCGGACGAATATACATGATCGGACAGATCTCATCCATGGTGAAGTAATTCAGTTGGCGGGCGGCTAGGTCATAGAGAGAGTCAATCTCCGCTCTCATAAAACCCCGATACTGCATGTTGCAATAGCTCTCACCCTCCACATACTGAGGATCAACAATACCGACAAACCCCGTCGGAGCCCAACTACCCCTGTTATTTTCGGGCTCGTCGAAAGTATTCTGAATGGATTGCAAGCACGCCTCGTCGATCATCATGCATACAGTGGACCGAGGGCTCTCTTCACCAACAGAGCAACCGATTGATTCCAAATGGGCGATGAAATCAGCACGGATCTGTTTAACCGACGCGCCGTCCCAGCGCTCTCGATCTTCAAGGATAACGTTCTTCAATGTTTCTTTGAGAATTCTTTCGGGGGTTTTATCTGCGTATTCCTTTCCGTGTCTGTCGATCTCGCAGCGAACGGATTCTTCGATTTTCTCGAGACAAGCGGACCATATTTTATCTGACTGCGGAGTATAGACCGTGCGATAAATAATGAAACCCCAAGGCCACTTAATTTCGCGCAAGAATCTCACAGAGGTACGGTCTAAGTCATGAAACCAGTCCTGTTCTTTCCAGCGCGCTCGGCGTTCAAGATAAGAGCCCGCAACTTCAGGATGACTCCAGCGCCCTGGCCACGAAGGGTGTTGGAAGAACTTGTCATCAGAGTCTTGAGACATGAGGGGTGATATATGTGTTGTCTTAGGTGACGATGGCGAGGTTGAGCAAACTGATTGAAAGGCTGGAGAGGGAAACAGTGGCTTATAATCAAGCGCCTTGGCATGAACCTACTGTTGCCTAATAAGTAGTGGTAAGCGAGATGGAAATGGAACTCCAGAAACACAGCCAATGTGGATCCAGAGTGGGGTAGTTCCTCTGGAGTATAACCGACGAGACCAGTCACTGTGGATACGGTAACCGCAAGTCTGGTACGCCCCATTCCTTTTAAGGGTCTAACAGCCTAAGAATAAAGTCTACTAAGATAGCTTATGGGAAGATCTTGGGTTTTCATCCTAGGTAAGGGATTTCCGTGCTTATGCCTACCTATAGTACTGGGAGGGCGGTAGCCTTTGTTCGTTGGTCTAAAAAGCGTCCTGGCGGCGAATAGTGTGAGAGCAGAATTTGGATCTTCCAGGCTGTTAATGTGTCGTACTTCTTGACTACTTCTTGTTATAGCCACGGTGTACAACCATTAACAATCACCATTTCATAGTCTTGAGTGGTTCCGATAAGTAGTGGAGATGTTGTATATCAAATAAACTACTATTTAGGTTGCGGCGCGTCCGCCATCCGTTCGTTAACAACGTGGTCACCGTCCTTCTTTGAGATAAAGCTATTCACCTTGTAGGGGAATTATCGCGCGACTTTATTACCAAAGAAGTATTGTTGACTTTTTTCTTTCATCTCCCTTCCTTGTCCACCTATCATCACCTCACGCATCCATTGCTCTAACATTCGCCGCCACCAATCCAGAATCATGGCCCCAACTGCACTTGCTGCATCCACTGCATCCATCACAGCTACACAAAAAGTGCTCCTGATACCAGAGCTTGTTGCTGAGATCCTCTACTGGCTAGCTGGGACACTTCGAAATGCCCCTCACCTGAGGAATTGGTGGTCAAACAATCGTTCCCGACACCATCTGGCAGCCAAGTACATGACGATCAATAGGGTATTCTTCTCAGAGTCTGTCCGGCTTCTCGGAAAAATTCCTCTCAACACCCTTCACCCGGTATGGAAAAGCCACAATCGTCCATTGCTTCCTCGCTTTGAAATAATCACGTCTCGTGAACGTGCGCAATGCTATGCAGACTGCATTGAACAAGCCCGAATCACCTCTGTCAGGCACTCAAAGATTAAAAAGGCCAATGCAGCGTTCAATGGAATTAACTTCCCCAAACTTCATCAGCTAGAAGTGAAGATCAACAACTATGTCAGAAGTGTTAACATTCCTATCATGAACGGCCCAGCCGTAAGATCCCTGAGCATCCTTTTCGATGAAAATGCGGATCCTTGGACTCCCCGAGATCATGACCTGTCTTATCGCAACGCTGTCAGAATATCAAAGTGGATCAAAGTATGTACTCTTTGGCAAATCAAAGTCGATGAACCTAGGACTAAAATTTCTGATTAGACTTCTTTTCCGGCACTGAGAAGCCTGCTTTTTAGAGCTAACGTCCCAGTGAGCGCAATGAATACTCTTTCAGAGCACTTACCGAATGTGAAAGTGGAGCGCATGTGGCAAGGTACATTGCCGGCTCTGCAGCCGCATCCACCTTCGGTATACGGAATAAGAGTGCCACGATGGGCTTACAGACTTGTTCGATACCACACGGAAGTTTAATGGAGGAGTACACATCTCGCGGGACGTGGAGTGTTTCGACACAATGTCAAGTCTGTGATCAAACTCATGGGTGATGGTGCCGCATGACGTTGGGGGATCAGGAGCATTCGAGTTTGGACCTACAATTACGCATTGCATTTATTCTGCATTTCATGATATGAAACCAGTTTTGCCTATTTCTAAGGTCTGTACAGTTCGTCGCTAGAGCTTGTGCGTGGGCCAATCACGTTTCACCTCCAAATCACGTGACCCAACGGCCTGATCCCTCGTACGGAGGACAAGAGTCAAAGTTGTACTCCGTACAATCCATATAACATAAATCAAGGTAAATAAATTAACTTGAGTCTACTGTTTGCACTCAGAGGCCATGTTGACAACACGAAAGGTGTATACCCCCGGAGCTGCTTGGTGGGTCACGACTCCATGATACTGTTAGTGGGTTGACCGGAGCTGGACCGGAACGTCAGAAATTTATAATTAACATCAACAAAATACTAAGAGCCTAGACACTCGACCTTTCAACGGATCAGGGGTTTGTTTCTTGGTAGGAAGTATAAAATAGCAATGGTTATCTTTGGAGCTTCCAGTATACGCACATGTGTGCGTCACTGACTGCGATGTCATGTTTGAAGTGCTGGCCAGCCATCGAATAACAAGGGAGCTTTGTTCAAAAATCGGGTCCATCTAAGACATGCTTTGCGTTAATGAAGCTTGAATATGTATATTATTCATTCAATTGTCAGCACTGACACAAATCTTCCGTCAGGTCTCATTCATGTTGAGCATGCGGATCTTGTTCCCGAGCTACGGCCTTTTCGGGATGCGTTGCTCAAGGCATGGCCTCAATATCAATGACAACATTTACGATGGCACAAAGAGTGGGCTGACCCACTGCGTTAACACTATCTACAAGGGCGTCCGCTCCTCAAGCTGGTCATTCCTTGTTGGGAAACCCAATATACATACTTTGTCATCCTCGCACTGCAAGCGCTTGATTTTCAACGGTGATCGAGTCACCGGAGTCGAAGTCCATGGACCAGATGGCAAGGACATGACCGTGCAGGCACGTAAGGAGGTTATTGTCGCCGGTGGTGTTTATGAATCGCCGAAGTTGTTGATGTTGTCTGGCATTGGCCCTGAGAAGGACCTGGCACAGTTCGGCATCAAAGCAATTTCCAGCTCTCCTCATGTCGGCTGCAACCTACTAGATCATCCTATTATGCCGCATGTCTTTCGCTTGAAAGATGGACTAGGCTTAGACGACCACCTACTCCGCGCGGGTCCCCAAAAGGAGGGGGCAGTCACGGCATACAATCGGAGCCACTCCGGTCCCTTGGGGAGTGGCCTTCTGGAGCTTGTGGGCTTCCCACGCATTGACGATCGCCTCTTTTGAATCAAGGATTACGTCAAAGCAAAACAAGAAAACAACGGAATGGATCCATTTGGACCAGCTGGACAGCCACACTTTCAAATTGACTTTGTGGTGAGTAAATAAATGATAATGTCTTATATGGTAGCTAATCCCTCGCAGCCAATGTTTTCAGATGCGTTTCAGTGGCATTTCCCTGTCCCTCCGGAAGGAAGGTGGCTGACAGTGATCGTTGATCTTCTACGATCTATTTCAAAGCCGGGCTGGGTAAAGCTGCGCTCTAAGGATCCACTGGACGATCCATACATCAATACCAACTATTTCAACAACCACCTTGATGTGATTGCTCTACGGGAGGGTGTCCGGGCTGTTGATGATATTCTTATGACTGGCGAGGTCTTCAAGGACATCATCGGTGAAGATTATCCGTGGCCCATGCCACGAAACTCGGACGAGGCAATGGACAAAATGATTCTCGAGCGCTCTCAGACAGGATACCGTACGTCTCGGAACAACACCCTCTTGTGACCTTACTAAAGTCTTTTAGATCCATGTGGAACCTGTCGCTTTTAAAAGAACATTGATCAGGGAGTGGTCGATGAAACGCTGAAAGTGCATGGTTTCAAGAATCTTCGAGTGACTGATGCATCTGTTTTCCCAGTCATTCCGGACTGCCGTATCCAAAATGCCGTCTAAATGGTTGGAGAAAAGGGCGCTGACCTGATTAAGGTAGACCACAAGGATCTTTACTAAAATAAATTCATGCGAATAGCGAGAACATTCCATTCGACAGACTTCATACAGAATAATGAAAGATGGAATGGTTTTATCTTTGACATAAGAAACTCACAAAGCCTGCGGCTTATACAATACTATCACTATCCCATATCCAATGATTCAAGATTGAATATGGACAAGCCCTCAATACAGTATACAATTGAGGAGGCCGAAAAATCACCTCATTGCAAATTTCGAACGTGGTTTCATATCGGAAATGGAGTTTCCCATATATGATTGACATACCATGAGACCGAGGTATCATTTTGTGTAAAACGCCTCACTCACTCTTCCGTCACTTACCCCCTACACTCCAGTCTTTACCTTCTCTTCCTCCTGTCACCTCCCTCATCGGGATTTTCAATCTTAATCAATGAGTCATCATGGTAGACTCTACCAAGCTTACAGCAGCCCAGAAGGTGTTATCAACATACGAACTAATCAGCGAGATCCTTCAAAATACCATCGACGCGACTAGCGAAACCTCACAACACAGTCCATCTTCCTGGTACTCAATGCTGGCAAAGTATAGCCGCATCAACAAATCCTGGTGTCGTGAAGCAATGCGCCTCCTCTGGCCAAATGGAACAGCAGTCAAGCACTGCTCACTGATTCAGGTCTTAGCCTCAGTCGAGCCCAGCCGCAGACAATTCTACGCCAATTACATCCAAAGCGCCTGTTTTGTGGACGTCTGCAAAGCAAACATCCGCAAAAACAATAAAATTCTCCGTGGGATGGTCTTCCCCAAACTTCAGTACCTGGCTGTCATCATTAAGCAGCATTATCGACAAAAACTCTGGATGCCGTATCTTAATGCCCCGCGACTTGAAGCTTTGAAAATTCGACTGGCGACTGTACAGTGGACTGGTCAGTACAGGAATGTCAAAGCGACGTTTGGGGAAAAAAACCGGCGGGGACCATCGCTCCAGTCAAGCATAGCGATAAGGCTCATCCGCCGCATTCAGGTGCGTTACATGTCCCGCTCATAGACGAAGAAACTAACATATTGAGGTTCACAGAGGGTCTTTAAGGGTGTTAAACTCATCTTACTTGGGATGGAAATAGTTCTAAGGCCGAGGATCACTCGAATGTTTTCCCAGCTTATTCCAAACGTCCAGATTATCTTTGCAAACGACTTTCTTGGAATGACGACAATCGAAAGATACTTGAAGACTTATCAAGCTTAACTTGAGCGCCAAGCTTTGGAAATTGTCCATGAGATTGATTTTTTCTAACTTCGGTTTTCCCAAATTCTCTTTCCATCATACCCTTATGCGCTTTCCATGGCTGTTGAAATTAGTTCAATATTGACAGGAGATTTTCACCTTTGAATCGGATGTGATTCCGAGATCTTTGACTAAAGGCTAGTTGATCGCCTCTTTCCACAAAATTGAATGGTATCACGAGAATTATGGTGTGCAGACTTGAGATCATTGACCAGGACTAGGTACTGTCCAAAGTTTCAAAAGCTCTAGTTGTTCTGACCCTCCCACGTGGGAAATAGACTATGTCAAATAACTATTCCTGTTAGTTTCCAAAGATCTATGGATCTAGAGTAGAAGATAGATAATGAAATAGACTGATTAAAAGTATGACAATCCGATAATAAGGTAGATGCACCCATCAAACAATCATCTTCATCATTGATTCTATTCTCTCTTTTCCTTTACAATACGTGACTTCAGTCTATTTCATTGAAATCCACGTGGCCTACCAAGTGCTAGTCAATGGTGTACTCATAAATGTCATTAGTACCATTAAGCTCTGCAAGGATGGTTGCAGTGCACGCGAGGGGCCAGTAAGTGGCATGGAAGCATTCCAGCACAGCTCAAAGCACCAAATGAACTCAAGGGAAAATGTGAAGCTACATGTCCCACTGGGAGCGGATTGAATATGCCAGATGACGCTAGACCCAATGGGTCCGTACCCGACTCGTTTCAAAGTGAATAAGCCGGGCCTCTCATTATCCCTCTCATAACTTCATGTCTAGTCACGATCAAGGCATGTCAACTCGTGGCTAAATTTGTCTCAAAATACAAGCAAGGGATCGGGTAGGGCTTGCCATCGCGCCCTTGCAGACACATGTTGACCTCGTCCAGTCTTTTAATCAATTGCCGGAGTTTATCTTCAATTTCCACCTTGCGCGAGGGGTTTAATGAAGATAGAGCTATCGGAAATCCATCCGGAATTGACCCAGGGAAATCCGACTGCCTTGGTGGATCTATGTGGATACCTGTCCAAGTACTTAATCTCGCCTTTCCCGGACACTTCCCCGTGTGTCAATCAGCATTCTGGGGGGCTAGGTCTCTCCGCACCCCGCATCCGTATCATATACTGTAATATCCATCTTAGAATATCGGATCGGCTCGGTTCATTGCCCATAGCTCTACCGGGAAGCCCCCCGAAAGCCTATGCACTAGTAAAGCCTGGATCACAAGCGATGCACTTATATTTCGCTCTCCGGAGGTACAGTCAGATGACAAATATGAATTCTCGAACTTCAACGCCAGTCTCGGAAAACATATATCAGATGTTTAGCATAAATATGGAGCTATGACAACATGTGCATTGCCCCTCGCCATGGTACAGCCACAGGCGAAATCAGCATCGAGAGCACTAAAGAGTAATGCTTTAAAATATGGCTACCTTGACCCACTACGAAGCATTAAATTGTGCGGCTTATGCTTTCCCTCATTGGTGGCTATCTCGAGAAATTCTTACTGCACGAGGCAAGGAGAGCTACGATAAGGTCACATCGGCCGTGTGCCCGACCATAAACTAGATTCAGTATAAAAGGGTACTCCACAACCCCCTCACCCCTTACTAGCAGTGGCTCACAATATTGTTATCAACTTCAATCACTTTCATATACCAAAATGCCAGAGAAAAAGGACTATGACGACTTACCCCCCGTTCCTTCTCAAGTGGGTCAAGTTCTTGAGGACCAGTACTACGGGAACGATGCTGTCTTTGGCGAAATCACGGAAGAAGGACCAAACTATCGCAGCGTGCGCATGACCTGATCTGCATACTTTGAATAGACTGACATTTTACTAGTTAGGCTGGATTGGTACCGCTGCACTCATGATGAAGTCCCAGATTGGGTTAGGTGTCCTCAGTATCCCTGGAGCTTTGGATACCCTTGGTATAGTTCCAGGGGCAATAATATTGCTTGCTGTTGCTATAATTACAACGTGGTCAGATTATATGGTTGGTACTTTCAAGCTTCGGCACCGTGAGGTCTATGGACTTGCGGATGTAGGTGGGATGTTATTCGGTCGTCCTGGGAAGATCTTCTTTGGCGTTGCTTTTGTTCTCTGTAAAGACCATACACCTTTCTTTCAACCCAAGGTTTTGCTAATACGAACATAGACTGGATCTTTGTTGCCGGGTCGGGAATGTTGAGCATCTCCATCTCCCTAAATGCCGTATCGAGTCACGGTGCCTGCACTGCGATCTTTGTTGCTATTGCCGCAATCATAGGATTTGTACTGGGTAGCATACAGACATTAGGTCGCATGAGTTGGCTTGCATGGGGTGGATTATCTTGTATTATTACTGCCAGTGAGTCCTTTACCAAGTCCAGTGGACTTCTCTGACAAGATTCTAGTTCTCATAGTGACCATTGGAGTCGGCGTTCAGAATCGCCCATCGGCTGCGCCGCAGGATGGTGTCTGGGTTTCTGATTACCAGATTGCCGCTACCCCGAATTTCACCGATGCTGTAACCGCGGTCTCGACGATCGTATTCGCATATGCTGGAACGCCGTCCTTTTTTTCTATCGTGTCCGAGATGCGGGATCCTCAGTTATACAGCCGATCCCTATTTCTCTGTCAAAGCGTCGTGACGGGGGTATATATAACAATTGGCTGTGTGGTCTATTATTACTGTGGGTCTTATGTCTCACAGCCTGCCCTAGGCTCCGCAGGACCGACGGTGAAGAAAATCAGCTATGGCTTTGCACTTCCAGGTCTCATCGTCACCACTATGCTGGTAGTTCATGTAAGTCAGCCTTGGCGCATGTGGAGATTATTCCATCATTAACAGGGTATCAGCTACCGTCGAAGTACATCTTTCTCCATCTTTTGAAAGGTTCTCGACATCTCACGGCCAACACCGTGACTCACTGGGTGGCCTGGGTCAGCTGTACGTTTGGAATTGCTATGGTTTCTTACATTATCGCGAGTGCTATCCCAATTTTCGGTGGCCTCGTTTCCCTTGTGGGTGCCTTACTCGGCACTCTTATGTCGTTCCAACCCATGGGTTTCATGTGGCTATACGACAACTGGACCCAGGACAAGACCGAAGGGGTACTTAAATGGAAGTTGATGGTCTGCTGGAGTGTTTTTGTCATCGTGTCGGGAACGTTCCTGATGATCGCTGGCACTTATGGTTCCATTGTCAGTATCATTGACAGCTACAAGCAATCCGGGGGCTCGGCAGCCTGGTCATGTGTAGACAACTCTAGCTCATGATGAGATGTACCCCTCTTAACTATTCAGAATGAAAAAGATGCTTGGGTAGCTTTGGGTAGAATCGACCAATATTTCGTACACAAATGATAAATGTCAGTCGCCTTTTTGCCTGACATTGACCTCTCCAGGGGACATGACCCATAGAAGAAAGCGATCAATATCTGTCAGGGTCGCTCAATATTGGGAACAGAGTTCTCTGGCCGTCAGATCGGGCCCGAGCGAAAGACAAAACTGCCGAACAGCAAGGGAGGAACGTGGGACCAACTCTGACGTTTGCAATGCGTTGCGCCTTCTTCACAAATTACAAGCCACGCGAACTTCTTTCTTCCCGAAATCCATCTCCGAAATCCAGGACTCCTGATAAGTAGCTCCTACAGAACCACCTCTGGGTAGCATGGCCAGGTGTTACATCGACTGGGCGCCCAGGTGATGAGTTTCTGAAGCGAGCCCCGACCCCTCCGTTACAACACGCCTTCAAGAACACCTGCGACGTGGAAGATACCGGCCAAGACAGCCCCGGGGCTTTGAACACTGGCGAACCCAAGTTACATTTACCTGTCAGCCCAAAAGCCATCTTGGCCTCTTATCCAAGAGGATGTAACACACACAATGCCTCCTAGCGTGCACGTCGATCCCAAAAGAAGGCTTGATACGCTCCGAGGGTCTGAGGTCTATCAAGAATGAAGGAGACTGACGAAGATGTCGCCATCCCCGGATCTAGGGAAAGCTCGGCCCTCCTATTGGTCCGAAGTGCGCCGAACCACGAGGTCGGGTGCTTGGTCCGCACAAAGTATCGGCGGCTTAGTGGGCTCGTGGCCTTATTTGCGTTACACGGCATAATCTTCAAGTCCTAGAAAGCGACCTCAGAGCCCCATCTAATGGTTCTTGGGCGGGCGGGGTTTGGCTGCACTAGAATGTAGGATCCTGTTATCGCCTTGGTGAATCTGCCATGGTGGGGCAAAGTCTTTTTTTTGGTTCGTCATGTGCAAGCGTGAAATACCCCGTTATGCTGATATGAACCTTGTTTCTGAACAGATACTTCCGTCTTAGGAATATGCGCCTTGGGCATCTTGGAAGAGACTTTCAACAGAGCCACCTCGAGGGAGTGTGGCATCCCATCCCGTCTTGCGCATCTTCACCCTTAGAATGACTTTGAAAATGCTGTTATCGTGGACAGCTATTGTTGACATGAGATGAGAAGATGGTTTGAAGGTTTAGTGTGATGAACTATAAATAATGACGTTCACTCCCTTCGGAGTTCGTTCGATACACTCGACCTTACTGGCGCTTCCACAATCATAACCATAGTCCATCCATACTAACATTGCCTATCATGCGTTTTGTCATTCCTTTCCTCCTTGGCCTGAGCTGGCTTGCAAGGGCTGTCCCCATGACCTCTCAAGATGGCAACATTACTGCGATCGAAGCTCGTGCTGGAGGAGGCGGTTTCCGCTCAGTGGCCTACTTCGTGAACTGGGTTAGTTCTACCGCTGTTGTTTCTATCAGAACTAATCGATTGTTCAAATTCAGGCCATCTATGGAAGAAACTATGTTCCTCAAGATCTACCTATTGATAAACTGACCCATGTTTTGTACGCCTTTGGCAACGTCCAGTCCAATGGGCAGGTCGTTCTATCCGACTCCTGGGCGGATACTGATAAACACTTTGCTGGTGACTCCTGGAATGATCAGGGAAACAATGTTTATGGCTGTGTCAAGCAACTGTACTTGCTTAAGAAGAAAAATCGGAACCTAAAAGTTCTCTTGTCTGTTGGTGGATGGACCTACTCCACTAATTTTGCAGGAGCTCTTAGTACGGCAGCAGGCAGGGCGCAATTTGCTTCATCGGCGACCACTCTGGTTCAGAACTTGGGATTTGATGGAATCGATATTGATTGGGAAGTAAGGCATTTCGCAATACCCTTCTGGGAATGATTTACTAAAATCAGACCCAGTATCCTGCCGACAGTACCCAAGCTGCCAATATGGTAGCCACCTTGCAAGCGCTGCGCCAATCTCTTGATTCCTACAGTGCAGCAAAGGCAAATGGCTATCATTTCCTCATAACTGTTGCTAGTCCAGCTGGTACGGCCCCTATCTTTCAAAATGACACCCGCGCTAACTGATATCCAGGCCCTTCGCACTACCAGCAGCTCCAACTAGCAGCGATGGATAAGTACCTCGACTTTTGGAATCTTATGGCTTATGATTATTCTGGAAGCTGGGATACTATCGCGGGGCATGATGCCAATCTCTACGCATCCAGCTCCAACCCAAGTAGCACTCCATTTAACACCGAACAAGCCATCAACTACTACACTTCCAATGGTGTGCCAGCAAACAAAATAGTTTTAGGAATGCCCCTTTATGGTCGATCTTTCATGAGCACCAACGGACCTGGCACTGCCTATAACGGTGTGGGAAGCGGAAGCTGGGAGAATGGTGTGTGGGACTACAAAGCATTGCCTAGGCCGGGAGCCTCAGTCAATTATCTTGATCAACCCATCGCAAGCTACAGCTATGATCCTTCCCAGAAGATGATGGTCAGCTACGATACTCCACAGGTGGCACAGAAGAAGGCGCAATATATTGCCTCCAAAGGGCTTGGTGGTGGAATGTGGTGGGAGAGTAGCAGTGATAAGACTGGCTCGGACAGTTTGATTGCTACGGTCTGTATTCCACATTCTGTGAAAGCCGATGCTTGTACTGATAATGTTTATTTAGGTTGTGAGCACACTTGGAGGTACTGGCGCTTTGAGACAGTTCCAGAACCAACTTGGCTATCCAGCTTCTGTGTACGACAACATGAAGGCTGGATTCCCCAATCAGTAGAGGGTGATATTAACTTTTTATTGTGGGGCTTGTAGATACAGGAAAGTTATTTGGAAGAAGGGCACCTGATGGACGGATCTCAGTGATGCACATAAGTTTTGAGATTTAAGTGAGATCCGTGGTGAATATGGCTTTTTATCTTTAGATCATCTTTCGCTTAGATCTATTGACCACCGAATATGATGCTGATGCTCCTGCCACGGCAGCAGGAATTCATTGAACCATTTAAGAACTTTAGATCAGACATTCCTCGACGATCCTTGGTCAAGGACCTGGAGTAACTTATCACAAATTAGGAATAGAGACGATCTTTCCAAACTCTCTTCACTCCTTATCCTGAACCTCATCGGAGACGGATACTGCAGACGGGGACGATGCGCCCACTCCCTTGATATTGGAATCATGATTTGGATCGTCATTGCGGCCAATTAGACCGCGATAAATCTGGAGAATCTGCTGGATTCCACCATCGACAAGTGGGTATACAATCGCTATCAACATAGTACCCCAAAGCCAGATGATACCAAATACCACCCAGGCAATGAAAAACTAACCGAATGTCAGCTTTACCTACCAAGAAAGAACCAGTCAATTCACTCCATACCTTCTTCTCAAAGATATAACCAGACCCGTACATAGGCAACGGCCAAATAACCCAATGGCCCAGGAATGTCGCGATAGACCAAAATGCAGCAATACGGCCCCACCTCTTCAGCTCCTGCGCATCCAATGCCGAACTTCGCACACTTCCATCTTCAAGGCTATTGGATTGATCCTGGACAGGTCTCTCACTATGATGTGCGGTAGTCAAATCGGACTCTAGTTTCTCCAATGCCAATTTTTCTTTCTTGAAATCAGCCCAGTCGTACCGCTGGGGCTTGATAGACGTGATTGCAAGAGAATACACAATGGGCGAAAAGCACGAGGCCACAGTGCCGTACATGCAAGGAAGCACTTCACCCGTTGTCTCGACCGAGACCTCCCCACCGAAGTGGGCAGCGGTGCCAAGCCAGACTGCTAGTCCGGTAATCATGCCCAGAATTGGAGAAAGAATAGCAGCGGTCTTGCTTTGGTGGCGCCAGAGGATGGTGAACACCATTGGGAAGATTCCAGGGCAGGTAACGACACCTGGGGATTCTGTCGTCAGCATTATGGGATCTGATGATTTCAACAGAGAGTAAGACTTACCAAGCATGTATAGTGTCCATCCCAGGTTAATCCCAACATAATGTAGCATTGTGCTGAAGGCAGCAGAGAAGGCCGCAAAGAAAATCACGCCAAAGTGACTTGAGCGAATCAAATCTCGATCAGAGGCAGACTTCTTGAAGTACTCACGATACACGTCGAAACTGAGAATGGAGCTGACTGCGATGACTTGAGCGGAGAGTGTGGAGGTACACGCCATAAAGGTGATCAAGAGGGATGCTGCAGCACCACCTTTCCCTGCGATCGTCATCGCCGCATAGGGGAGGACCAGGCCATTACTGACTTCGGATGTAGTCATTCTCTACCAAAAAAGAATTAGCTTAGGTCCTCTGTGCTAAACCCGACAAGAAGCTTACTCGAGGGAAGGTTGGGAAGTTGGGCTGGTTCTCGAGTCCCAGGGCGATAGAGCTCATCACGGTCCCCAATCCCCATGGCACGGCGAAGTAGGCAATACCTCCTATGGTGTATCCGGGGACCACCGCCGCAGGAGATGCTGAGAACGCTTTGATGAAGTAGCTGGTATCCATCTGTAAAATGTGAGATGGACATCTTCGGAGCAAAAAGACCCACTTACAATAACAAGACCAAAGTTGCCCAAAGTATGCAAGATGCCGAAAATAATGGCCTAGAGGCTGTCAACCACTATCGTATGTTTGATACATGACGTTACTTACACTCTTTGATTTCATGGTCAAATAAGTTCCACCTTGATTGCCAGAAACAGGGTGGCGCTCAGCAGCCGCGACAAGGAGCTCGTACAAATTCCCTACAGAGCCAACTTGGTCCACGGAGAACGCTTTGGCCGTAAAATAGCATGCTATAATCAGAATGATTGCAGTGTGGAAATAGTCCGTGAGGAAGCTGTGGTGTGTCAGTAATGGAGAAAGAGAATCGCCAAAAGACAGAACTGACGTTGCTTTAATGCCTCCAACAAATGTATAAACTGTCACGCCGACTGGCAACAAGAATGTCGCAGCAATAATGTGCATTCCGGACCTTGATTCATTAGAAATCTGGATCTTTGCCTTTCCCACTCGGGACTTACATGGCCGTGATCACCGCAGAGGCTCCAAGCAACATGTTTGCACAGGCAAAGATATTGTTGATCAGACACAAAACAATGAAAACAATGTGAGCGGTTCGTCCTAGTAGAAGTTTGGATGTCAAAACTATTCAGAACTAGTCAGGTCACAAGGTTCAACGTACCATAACGAATCCGCACCACTTCGAGGGATGTATGGGCCTCCGGGATCTTTCGCTTGCAAGAGATACCCAGTAAAGCGAAGAAAACAATCATTGGACTGCAGCCAGCAGCAAACCAAAAGGGCCCCGCGACCCCATAATCGTAGCCCACGTATGATGATCCGAGTAATGCCGTCGACCATAGCCAGGACTGTGCATAAAGATTAGAGGTTGGAGTATTCAAATTTGGAAGCGACTCACAGAGATCACAGCCGAGGCAGTGAGACCGGTTCTGACAGTACGATTGGCTGTCATGAACCTATCTCATAGATCAGTATCATCTGCCGATAGAACGGATCAGGCTCCTTACATCTCAGTCTTCTGGTTGTCTTCTCCAGTAGTCTTCTTCAAAACCTTAGTGATTAACATCATGACTGGTTCAGTTAGCTCAGCGCGGGTCAAGGGATGTCACGATAATCAGCTTACCTAGAGCGACAACCAAACCAACGACGACAACGACGACATACCCCACTGCTTGAGACAAAGGTGGTTGCACGCTCGATACACCATCGCGCGTCTGTAGATTGAACATTGTGAGTAAATCCCAGTTGGCGAAATGGGCCAAGTTAAAAAGTACAAGAAATAACAAGTCGAGAAAGCGAAGTTTATGGGGAGTCCACGTCAGTCTTCTTAAGTGGAGATATAGTGATCATGCGACTAAAAACCAGAGAAAGACTTGAGATGTGATTCAGTAAAACATCTGGTTTCGTAGGCGACCAGGGACGAGGCGCATTTAAGTGTGATAGACCCGGTAGACTGGGTGCAGGGGAACCCAGATCTACGACGGCGTAGTACCAGTTGGCGTCAGAACGAATGAAAAGAGCCTGATCCACGATGACTTGATACATACTCGCGATGAGGTGCTCATGGGTGATCAGAGCTCGAAGAACAGGTCGATATTTTAGAGTTTAAGTTGCTGAGATGGTTGATAATGCTGCACAATTATGTCATAGGGAGAACCCTCGCCCACGAGAAGCGTTGAATAGAGCATCAAAAACATTAAAATACTCGTAACAACTGATGTTCTCAACTTTATATGCTGGTCGTACCAATCTGAACAGTCAAGTAGGCGAAGAAACAATTCATTATGATCCCGAGCAGATGCGAGGAATACCCGAGGTCCAGCAAAGGATACAACCATCCAAAAGCATATGAAACAACTGAGATTACGATATATGTTCTCGCCGCGGCCAATTACGCCTCTTCAGATTGGCAGAGCTGATAAATGAAGTGAGACACGCCAGCCCAAACTTTGTCACAGCACATCACTGCGGAGTACCGTGTGCAGGGTTCTACCTCTCGCCCGAGAGAAAGTGCATGCAAAAAGCAATACTGTTGAAGCATAATCTCTTTTAAATGGTCAGCATGCACAAGCCTAATCCACAGTGAACCAATAATGTTGGCTGTTCCTCCGTTTCGTACCCCTCAACGATCTCCTGCATCGCGCCATCCCGCCCCACTTTGATGCTATACTACATCCCGTGGGATGTGACGCACGCGGGGATGTAAGAGATGGTGTGCTCGTCGATCTTTCTGATGATACAAATTGGACGAAGCAGCCCCTACTGTTTACTTGGAATCACATACGGAATTATTGCAAATCTACTGCGAGAATTTATCGTATCTTCTACCAAGAATCCTCGACAAGCGGGAGGACGTGATACTGACAGCCATGTCGGAGTCTAACAATGCAGCTGGCGAGAAGCCTAAGAAGTCCTTGATTCTCAATGCATTTGTGGAGATGTGTATGTTCAGTCGCACATCAATAACGAGACAAGATCTAACTATCATCCAGGCAGTGGACACCAGTCTCCTGGACTGTGGCGACACCCAGAAGATGAATCCCATAAATTTAACGATATCGATCACTGGGTAGAACTTGCTCAACTACTCGAGGCCGCCAAGTTCCATGGAATCTTCATCGCTGATGTTCTTGGTAAGTTGATCTGTAACCGTCAAGGCGAATCTTACTAAAATATCACGCAGGAGGCTATGATGTATATAAGGGACCCCGAAACCTAGATCCAGCAGTTATCTCTGGTGCTCAATGGCCAGTGAATGAGCCTCTGGCCGTAGTGCCGGCTATGGCGGCCGCGACCAAAAACATTGGGTTCGGAGTGACAGTCACGACGACCTATGAGCAGCCCTACCATTTGGCACGTCGTCTATCAACAGTCGACCATCTTACTAAAGGACGGTATGAGAAATCAGTTCTCCATTGTATGACTCTGAGCAAATTGTTAACCCACTAAATCTCAGGTTGGGTTGGAATGTAAGCAAAATATCGCGACCATGGACTAGCAAAGCAGGAGAGGACTAACAGGATAGGTTGTAACTGGATATCTCGACTCTGCAGCCCGAAATATGGGCCAGGCCGAACAACCACATGTAAGTCCTTCTAGTTGAAACAACAAACACCCCGCTGAACGAGGCCACAGCACGATGACCGATACGCCGTGGCAGAAGAATACGTCAAGGTAGCCTACAAGCTCTGGGAGTCATCCTGGCGCCAAGATGCCGTGGTCCTAGATCGCGAGCGAGGCGTCTACACCGAGCCCTCACGAGTGCGACAAATCAATCACTCAGGCAAGTATTTCAATGTACCTGGCCCGCATCTCTGCCAGCCAAGTCCACAGCGCACGCCCGTGATCCTTCAAGCGGGAACATCCAAGGCTGGAAAGACATTTGCAGCGCAACACGCTGAAGCTATTTTCGTCGCGGGTCATAGTCCCGCCGTCGTCGCCAAGAACGTCGCCGAGATCCGCCAGCTTGCGAAGAGTGAGTATGGGCGCGATCCGCAGAGCATCAAGTTCCTGGCTCTGCTTTGTCCGGTGCTCGGTCGGACAGAGGAGGAAGCGCTAGAGAAGTTCAAGTATTATCGTAGTTTAGGCTCGATTGATGGGGCTTTGGCGCTCTTTGGCGGCTGGACGGGGATTGATTTGGATACGTATGGTGAGGATGAGGAGCTGAGGCATGTGGAGAGCAATGCTATTCGGTAAGGAGAGGTTAGAGCAGCCCTAGAAATCAAGTGCTGATTGCTTGTTTAGTTCTGCTGTTGAAGGCTGGTCGAAAGCCACTCCAGAGGTCGCAAAATGGACAAAAGCCACTGTGGGCCAGCATATCACTGTTGGTGGTCTGGGTGCCACTCCTGTTGGTACAGCGGCGCAGGTGGCTGACAACATGGAACGCTGGATCAAAGAGGCCGATGTGGACGGTTTTAACCTGGTAGGATTGAGATTTCGATTCATATGATGAGTTCGTTGCTGACGCGAATATTAGGCCTATGCGGTCAAGCCAGGTTCCTTCAAGGACGTCATTGATTTGCTGATCCCTGAACTACGTCGTCGTGGTTTGTTCTGGGATGACTATGCGGTACAGAAAGGAACATACCGCGAGAATCTGAACGCGACGCCTGGCCAATCTGGTCCTCGAAATGACCATCCTGCGGCGAAGTACAGGTGGAAGGCAGGAGTTGATGCTGCTGACCATCCAGTTCCGGAAAACTGATGTCCTTCAAGATCGAGTAAATCATTCACAGTGCTAGAATATATGAGATATGACGCCTCCAAGGCCATCTTGATGGTAATATTGAAATGAATATATGAGAAAATATCTTTTTGTGCAGATCTTACGCTGCAAGACCTAAGGGTCTATTTTTACAAACGCCAGATAAATGCGATTTTTGTACATGGCCGCATACCCTTAGGTCAACATATCATCCAGTCGCTCACCCAGTACACTCTCAATCTTCTTGACCCATTTCCGTACTTCTCTCTCAACACTCTCATCCTCGTCCTCCATGAGCTCACTGATGTAGGGCAGCATCTCCGGAAGAAGGGCAAGCCACTCCTCGCCAAGCTGCTCAGTAAGAGCCTGCTCGGCCTTCAAGGCCGCAAGGCGAGTGAATGGGTTGTCACCACCAGCGGACTTGGCATTCGGAGCAGTCGAAGGACGGAGGTATCTCATCAAAGCAACGTTTAGCTCCTTGTGGTTATCGGTCGAGTCGGCCGCGGTAGCAAGCTCAGTAATCGCGGGAATAACCTCCTCGACAACGAGTTCTGCTGACCTCGAGGTTGTTGCGTGAGCCAGCTGCGCAATGAGAGGAACTGTGATGCTGCTGAGGTGGGAAGGAGATTGCCAAAATTCTGGATTATAGTTAGTATTTGTGAGTATGGAAAAGGGATGGGGGGAGGACATACCATCTTGGTCATGCTCGAATGAATTGCGCAGAGTGCGGAGTGTGGCCAACCAAAGTGGCTTGGTAGCCTTGGCTGGTCCAGTTGAGCCCAGAATCTTGACGGTGTGCTCCAAAATGTAGCTGGAGTAACCAGTGACAATGGACTGAAGGGTGCCAAAGAACACCTGAAGGAACTTGTAGAAGGTTGTGAGGCGAGAAATTTGAGCTTGCTCATCCTTCTGGGCACCGGTAGCCCATTCAACCATCTTGGTGAACAATGGTCGGAATGTGCTGTCGTTGAGCTTGTAAATCATCTTAATGGTGACATCGTGCATGGTCGTCTCAGCTTCATCCAATTCACCGGCGTCGAACTTAGCACGGTCGCCTAGAGCGATTTGCTCACGTCGCAAATCGAAGGCCTTGAAGAGGATGGTAGTGAGAACACCGATATTATTAGAGACGGTCGACTTGGGGTTCTTCTCGACGGCCAGGCTCAAGACCTGCAGAACCTCAGTGGTGGCAGTAGGTCCGGCCTCGACGGCATTTTGCCAGTTCCGGTCAATTGCACCAAGGGTGGCAGTGAGATCCATCTTCCGAGCAGCCATGAGCCGAAGAGTCTCCTCACGGCTGTCCTCGCAGGATTCATCAAGGTTGGCATTGGTGGACTTGAAAGAGAGAAGCAGGATCTTGTCAAGTGTGGCAGCCGAGATCATGAACGGAAGGTTGTCCAGGAGTGCAGAGAACAGCGAGAAAACGGCGTCGTGCAGGCGTGAGTTCTCCTTTCCGGAAACCAGGCTGAGTTCGAGCAGCTTCACAGACTGGTTGAGGGTATCTGGAAGGGCGGGGATCATCGCCTGGCCCAGGACCTCGGCCATAGAGGCCAGACACAGAACACCCATGATTCGAATGCGCTCATCATCGTAGCCCAGACAGGATTCACTAGCAACAACCTTGGCGGCTGTGATGACCTTCGATGGGTCCTTGCGACCGTACTTCTCGGTGATACGATCAATGCAAGCGACAGCGGCGTGCTTGAGCATGGTGTCAGGGGATGATTCGACAATCTTGACCAGAGTAGGCAAGAAGTCAAGTACACGAATTTGAGACTCGTTGTCACGCTCTGGGTTCTGGCGCAGGCGGTTCTCCAGGAGACGAAGGACCTTACGGCGGAGGTCATCGTTGGGCTCTTGCAGCAAGACCTCGATCGTATCCAGGAAGTCGACGAGAGACAAGGTACTGAAGAGAGCACCGAGGACCTCACCACACGCCTGGCTCACGGGTTTCATATTTTTCACCGATTCGCCAATGTTCAGAACCTGTCCTAAGACGCGGGAGAAGCAAGCGCGAACTTGACCTGCGACGTCATCATCCTTCTCGAAAGCGGCCTCCAGTTTGGACTTGAGGGAGGAATGTTTGAGCAGGTGAGCGAGATCACGCAGCAAATCAACAGCCACCTTCTGAGGGTCACGACCATCGTCGCTTCCAATTCCAAGCAAGATTTGAGAGATGCCAGCCTTAGGCTGGAACGCATCGATGACAAGGTTGAGATACTTGCTGTAAGTGGTGAGCTCGACGACAGGAGTAGTATCCGATGCCACCCCAGTCATCAGCGTAAGAACGTCCTTATCGTTGGAGTAACGATTCGCTAGCATAGCCAAAACGGCAAACAAGAAGTCTTGAGTGCCAAGCTTGGTAATCAATGCATGGAAGAGGCGAAGACGGCGATGCGATGGAATATGTTCAAATGCTGCAGTGAAGCTGAGGAGGAGCTCCGAAGTTCCGGAAACAATATCGCGCTTCTGGCTACGTAACGACTGGATGAGGGCGGGCACAACATGGTCGATAGTCTGGTCGATAACAGAAACAGAGTAGTCGTCATCTTTGCGAAGAACACTCGATCCCATGAACGTGAAGATCGGCATCACGCTGTGAAGGACGAGCTCCGGTGCAATCACAGATAGACCAGCAACCAGGAGAAGAGCGGCATTTTGCACCTGTGGGCTTTCGGTTGTGCGGACGCAATCCACCACCAAGTCGGCCCGGATGACAGAAGTGTCAAATAGTGGTTTAGCAGATGCCTTGGACTTGTTGACGATAGCCAGCAGACTTCCCAGGGTGAGACTCAGGAGGTAGCTCATTCCGGACTGGATCTGCGACTTGAAGTGATGAAGAGCAGCAAGGGTCTGGAAAAGACCACCCGCGAGCTCGGGGTGAGAATCGGGGCTAGAGCTGTCGACAACTTCTAGAATGAAGGTCATCTTGTCCATGAGCTTGCTGAACTCTCCCTCGTCTTTGACAGTCATCGCAACCATGTTGTTCTGGCTGGTGCGTCTCCGCTTTGGTGCGGGGCCAAGGCTCTCAATGTGAGTCAAGGAAATGGGGATCTTGTTCACGAAGCTCACAAGGATAGCACCCGACAGTTCGACACTGCGAAGGACAGAACGGCAGTTGTCTGCGAGAGGTGTTTCATCCGACATGTTAAGAGAAATGTCCAACAGCTTTTCGGCAGCTGTTAATTGGGCATCCTCCGGGATCTTGCTCCAGATCTCCTTCATGCGAGAAAATCCAGCTGTCACAAAGGAGGATCGAACAGATGCGGGGCTAACATTGTTAAGAAGGATTTCGATAGCATCATTGTCCTTGGCGCTGACAATGGCAACGATCTCTTGCTCAACCTCGGGAAGAGTAAGGCGCTCTGATGTGCAAATATCTTCGACTTCCTTCTGACTAGAGCCTCGCCAGTTTTGAAGCAGAGGCAGAAGTTCCTTGGCACGAGTAGTTCCCGAGACCTTCTTAATTTTGTTGAGCAACCGGAGAAGGCCAAACTTGGGACCGTAGACCGGCATCTGGATCGTGTGAGAGGACAGGAAAGTGAAGAAACTGAGACGAAGAGACTTCTTCAGCTCTGAAGCACCCGAGTCCTCCGACAAAACAGATCCGCGCATTGTGGCGTCGAGAACCTTAGCGATATAGGTAGGATCCAGGATATACTCCTCAAGTCCAGGCAGCAATGCACGATCAAGCACCTTCAATGCATCGCTAGTTGACAGCCATGGAATATTGGTAGACTGGCTTCCATTGCCGTAAATAGAATCGTGGGCCCAGGGCTTGCCGTCTCCTTTCTTGTTGTTCTTGTAGATAGTAACAACGAGAGCCAAAACACCAGTGGTTTCACGACGGATCCGCTCGGATGGGTCACTGAGAGCAACGAGCAGGAAGGGCAATAGGGCCTGGGGATCGTAATCAACATTCACGGACGACAGGACAGAAGCAATGGCATTCAATGCAGCAATCTTCGTTCCCATGGGATAAGGTCCGGAAAGAATGCGCGTGAAGAACGACAGGAATTGCGGGGATTTGGTCGCATCGGCCTTGCCAAGAATTGGGAGATCAACAAACTGCGCAACTCTGGATTCAGATTCGACAGCTAATGCAAACACTTGGATGAGGCTGTTGAACTCGGGAATGTACTGCTTGGACAGGAATGAGGAAGGATACTTAGGTTCCTTTGACAATGACTCAAAGGCAGGCGTGAAGTTGTCCACATCACGCTCATCAACGTCTTCCATTTCCACATCTTCAATCAGTTGGGGCTGAATAGGGGCTTCAACCACAGTTTGCAGGTTATGTTCCAATGCTGAGATATTGAGAGATGTTTCAGCCAGCAGGTTTTGGAAGGTAGGCTGGAGGGAGCTGGAGCGGCTAAATCCTTGGACCAACTCGGCAAGCTGGGTCTGAGTATCCAATGACATATCACGAGTCTTTTCCACATCACTTGCTGACTTAATGACCAGGGCCATAGCCTGCTTCATCTCCTCCTCTTGGAAGACGTTCGCTTCGAAGATAGATGACAAGAGGCTGAGGTGCAGGCTGTTCTTCTGCAAATCACTGGCGAAGCCATCAACAAGCCCAATCAAGAGCTTAGATGTGTTATATTGTGTCGCTACTTCTGACAGTTGCTGCATAGGACGATCAAGGCGAACAAGGGCCTTGAACACCTTCTTCGGCAGGGAAGCTGTTGGCTTCTGCTGAGAAAGTACTGACAAGCAAATCAATCCCGAGCTTAATGTTTCTTCTGTCCATGAAGCCACCACGGTCTCCATCAGGCCATTCAAAACATCATCAGAAAGAGAAGCCTTCTGAGCTAGCACAACTGATATCATGTAGCAGCTGATAATCAGCTCCGGCACCTTCTTTAGTGCGAAAGCGTTGCTCAGGACTGGGAGCACACGAATGATAATATCCTCGTGCTTTTGCTTTTCAGCCTCCCGTCGACCGGAGCGAGCACCCTCCAACATGCCTGCGACGGCCTCCGTGGTAATACCCGCCCAGAAGGAGAGCAGGGAGTGGCTCTGGGCTCCTTGCCGACAGGCTTTCAACACATAGTTATTCAGTGCGGCAAAGAAAGGTTTGTTTGTGGTGGCGCTGTGCACGATTGGGTGTCGTGGAGGGTTGATTAAGCCCGTCTTATAAGGGTAGAGCACTTTCAATGTTGGTGTAAGATCATTAGGCAGGATCGAGAGTAGATTCAGGAAAAGTGGTGTGGTGTGGTAAGGCAGGAATGTCAAAACCATATAGGTCGTGTTGTACTCGTGCGATCTAAGATGGAAACAGTCATGATTAGTTCTTCTTCCAAAGAAATGCGTAACGCAAAGACAAGAGCTACATACCTGAACCTTCGCACCAACCAATCCACCGCCTTGACCGCGGGACTTAATTGCAGTCTTCCTCCAACAAGTGCAAGGAAATTTTCAATGACGGCATCCAATTCCTGGTTTTGGCTGGCATTCATCTGTGTTCGATCCTCAGCCTTGCTCTGCTCGCTGAAAATCGTGCGCTCAAACTCCTCAAATCGGCGATCCAAGGAGCAAAGCTCACGAAAACCTTCATAGCAGATATCATAGATGGTATCAAAGTCCTGAGTTCCGGCGACTTGTGTATCAAAGATCAGTGACTGTGAGTGGGCGATTCTCTGAGTTTTGAGATCAAGCTCATGCGTCGATTTTGCCGCAATCTGCGACAACTGCGCCGCAAGAGAGGAGGCCATTGTTGAGGGTGATTAGGCGTGATTTAAAAGAGATCACAGAAGCCCATCTCTTAGAACCAAAGATAATGGGTGTCAATTTGTCAGGTGGGGAGTGGGCGCGCCTCTCTTGTTTGAAGCGGCTTGAATCGCAACTTTTTTTTGTCGCCGATCCCCGCTCACCGCTCACGGAACAACCATACGCCGATCTATGCATCTTCCTGTCTCACCGCCTTCGGAAGAACCCTTGCGCCGAACTATCGGACTCCACGCCCGACAACATTACAAGTGGCGCGCAACGATGGACTCGTCCGGGTCAAAGGTGAGTGTCTCATTTCTAAGCCTCAAATGATATGATCTGACCCCCCGTTTCAGGACAAAAAGCCCGTCCCCAAATTCGGCAGCTTCAAGCTACCTTCAGCCATTGATACAACAGAATCGCCTAATCACCCTCAAAGCAATTCTGAGCTCGCCGATTCCAAGGCTCGTTCATCACGGCGATCTGACAGAAGCACTCGTGAGAGATTGCATGATCACCCATCTCGCTCACATCATAGTCGCCACTCTTCCTCCAAAGACCATCACCATTCACGAAACCGTCCCCCTTCCAGCAAACGCGATCTACCCATCGAACAAAGTTCATCTATCGAATTAAGCAGAACTCAAGGTGGTCACTGGCTCCCTGATCGAGTGCTCGCCGTCCAATTAAATAACCCTGGTAGCAACTTGCCGGAACGAGCAGACACTGTCTCAACAACTAACGATTCCAACCATGACTCCTCACCCGAATTTTTCCTTGATTCCAAGGGTGACCGGGATATCCTCACATATGGCATAGAGAACCGCTGGGGTGTACCACGTTACCGCCGCACTGGGGGAGGCTTTATCCTTGGACTTGGTCGCACACACAGGATTGATCGAGACCAGTCCCATGGGGACCAAATAGTGTTGCGCCCATGCGCGTTCGCAGACTCATCATTGAGAGATGGAGAACACAACCTCTCATTCAAGCCTTCCAAGCTGCCATTGCCCGAGTATCATATTCGTGGCTCGGCTGTGTCTGCCCTCGGGGTAGACGATGACTTCGTCTTGATTGGCGGAGAGGATTGGGGTAAGCCACACCTTTGCACGGTTGACAAAACTGATCGTCGGAAGAGGTCTCAGTTTTAGATGGATGCTGATCGCGAATTTACCAACAGACCCACCGGAGATAGAACAGACCACCGAACAAATCGGTCTCGACGCCGAAAGAAAAACTCGGAACGCAACCCTATGGAAGACAGTTGAAGATAACCCCCAGGATGTCGGTGCATGGCTTCGGTTTATTGATCACCAGAACGTGCTGATTCTCGGCTCGCGAGATGAAACCCAGTGCCTCACACACGATGAGAGGACTAGCCTTGCGGATTTGAAGTTGTCCCTGCATGAAAAGGCCCTAAAGAAAGCCACCGAAAGTCCACACAGAGACCGCCTTTTGTTAGGCAGATTGCAAGCTGGAGCACAGCTGTGGGATTCTGAAAAGTTATTGGCTCAGTGGAAAAAGACTCTATTGGAGAATCCTGAGTTCATCAGCCTATGGGTCAAGTTCCTCGACTTTTGTCAAACCGACTCCCCGGATTTCACATTTGGGAAGTGTCTCGCTCTTCATGAGGAGTACTTGAGCCACGTCTCATCCCTGATTCCTCTCCGCCCCAACATGGTTCAGGTTCTCGTCTACATATTCCTTCGTCTCACGCTTCTCTTCCGGGAAGCAGGCTACAGTGAGATTGCAGTCGGTCTCTGGCAGGCTGTGCTCGAATTTTGTTGCTTCAAACCCGACTTCCTCGATGATTTCGATCAAACTTTGTCTTTGTTTCGTGAATTCTGGGATTCAGAAGTCCCTCGCATTGGAGAAGATGGAGCAAAAGGCTGGAGTAACAACACCAGCTCAGACCCAGACCCCAAAACTACGCATTATTCATTCACTTTCTCCCTTGCATCCAATGTGGCCTCTTGGGTAGAGGCAGAGAGAGAGCATATCATGGAATCTCAATTGCCATGGCGCAGCTTAGATGGATCGATTCCGAACGTCGACGACCCATACAAAGTGACGCTGTTTTGTGACGTGGATCAGATTATACGTTTATTCCGTAATTTGGCCCAGTCAGACGAGCTGATCGATGCTTTCCTGTACTTCAGTCAGTTGCCACACCTGACATTTCCGAGCAATATCCAGACCACTCGTGTGTGGGGATGGGACAACCTCCTACGCAACGAGTTCGTGACAGATCATCGCCTTGGGCTTTCTTCATGGATCCCGCTTCGTGACGAAGAAAGCGACAAGCCAGCAAAACCGTTTCTGTATCCCTTGCAAAACTTTTTGCATACCACTGCCACTCTGTTCGCTTCGCCTTGTCGGTGGTTCCACTCATTCCAGTGGTGGGTCAAATCCCGTTCAGTCCAACCACCTCTCAAGACCCATGACTGGACGTTGCGGGTTTTGCGTGTTCTAGTTGATCGGTATCCGGATGATGAGGAGCTAGCGGAATATTTTTTAGCCTTGGAGTTCGCGTCCAATCCTGTGATGGGTAGGAAGTTTGCTAAGAAGACTGTGAAGAAGAGACCATCCAGCTTGAGATTATGGAACGCGTTTGCTCTGATGGAGTCAAGAAGTGAGGACGATGAGGGTAGGAAAAAAGCGAATGGAGTCTGGGCGACCGCTCTATCAATGAGCGTAACTTTCACAGACACTGAGCAAAAGGCAGACCGTGCTATCCTTTGGCAGTCTTGGATCTGGCAATTCATGGAAAGGGGCGAAAAGGCCCAAGCTTTGTATGTCCTGCACAACATAGCCGAGGAAAAACTTGACCCAGAGCAAATTCCCAAGGAAGAGAGCTCGTCGTCCTTCCACCCCACCACAATTGTCAAAGTACAGCGGTACTTACAAGCATGCCAGGGCCAAGCTTTGGCAGCCAGAAGAGCTCAAGCATATGTAGCCTACACCGATTGCTTGGGCCTCATCTACTACCTTGCTAAGTGGCCGCTGATGAGCACTTTGGATATTTATGGCAATGCCGTTTTGAGGCTCAAGGAACTATCGCCAGACGAAGAGGCTTTCAAGGAGTTCACAGCAGAGCTACTTCATCAAGCCCGCGCAAGAGTGCTGTACGACTGCCTATGCCAAAAGGAACAAGACCACAGCCCTTTGGAAATTCACGAGCTGTTAAGAGAGAGCACAGCCCTATTCCCACATAACACGATCTTCCAGTCAATGAGCATGTGGAATGAGTTCAGAATCACATCACTCGACCGGTTGCGAGATCCGCTGAAGTTCACAAAGGAAGCCATCGACAATCAGTACCAACTAGATCAAGCCTCTTCACCAATCATCCCTCCACAATCGGTGCCGATCTCAAGCTACCTTCTGCCTATTTGGATCCAGCTTTCTAGCCCACGTTCAACCACTGGTCCTGCAAGCTGGATCGTCCGTCCAGCATTCGAGAAGGCTCTAAGCGAAGTCCTCAATCCTGCAGAATTCCGCTCCGGTGGAGCGGCTGTACGGAGCCGCTTCGGCGTGGAAAGCGCAAGATCAAATCTCACAATTTGGAAGCTATATATGCTCTATGAGCGTTACCACGTCAAGGACCTTGAAGCTGCCAAGGCAGTATTTTTCCGCGCTATTCGAGCGTGTCCATGGTCGAAGGAGCTGATCATGTTTGCCTTCGAGCACCTGAGCGGAGGCATGTCAATTCCGCCTGGGGAGATCCCCCCCAAAGGCAAGGGCTTGGAGGAAGACGAGCTGCGCCGGTTGGTGCTTGTTCTCGGTGAGAGGCAGCTTCGTCTACATGTCCCTATCAAGCTTGAGGCCAATTCACCGGATCGCTTTGAGGAAACTCAAGGTAGCTGATGTCATGTGGAGTAGATACCCGTCAACTGAGGGCTGTATAGTATGCCACCGCCGGTGAAGTGACAGGTGAGATGCAGTGGTCAGAAAGACGGATGTTATGGACAGGTCTGATAGGAAAGAGTAGGCTTTGCCGCCCGGGAAGCGAAGTATGCCATAGACATCCTTGTACAATACCCTACCGGCAGGTCAAACCTGCCTAACGAATTAATAATGGTCACGATTCGATATAATATGCTATGTAGCTTTTGACGACACCTCGCGGCACCATCAACTATAGTACAGGAAAACGACCAGTCCGGCGCCCGCGTATATACTTCAACGAACAGGATACAACGTCAACACGATGAGAACATAAACCTAAGAAAGATAAACAGGGAAACTCGTCATTCATAAAGTCATGCGGTGTCATCGACATCGCTCGGAAAACAGAAAGATTCAAAAAAAAAACACATGTACCTAAAAGTTCTCCTTCCAGAACTTAAACCGAATATCCTTCGTCGACGCAAACCTAGCAGCATCATCAATCTGCAAAGCGGCAGTATTAGGTCCACAAAAGTAAACACCGATCTCAGTCGCATGAGCACTCTGTAAACCCCGCATATAAGTCTGATCCAACAACCCGACCCGCATAGCATTAAATAAGCGCTTAAAATCAGGACGACCGAAATTCGTCCGACTCCTCAACTCAGTAAGTGGATCAAGCGCCTGCCCAACAGAATTCAAATAGATATTCGCAGCAGTATCATCATCAAGTCTCTGCGTGAGGTATGTATGGATCCGCAAGAACTCGGTACTACCCTCGAAAGCTGCAGCGCTTGCAGATTGCGCCTCAAGTGACGAAAGAAGAGCCTGGAACCATTCAAAGGAAGAGGTGTCTTTGCAAATCCAGATAAACTCTACACGACGTAGACGACGAGGTGGGTTAGGGCTTGAGCGCAGATGCCAGATATTCTTTAGGATTGAGGCCCAGGGCGTGACACCGATACCTGTTCCGATCAGGACGGCGATCTCGTTTTCGAAGACGTCTTCGGCCGGTGCTCCATATGGTCCGTCGATGCGCATCTTTGGCATTGTTTGCCCGTTTTGGAGGGCGACTTCGTACATTCCGTTTGGATCTAAGCCTTCGAGGTCTTTTGCTTGTGCGGGACCGCAACCGAGAGCATCTCCGAGGGCGCGTGTGAAATCACCGACTTGGCGAACGTGTACACTGATATATGGGTCGAATGGGCAGGATGTAATGGTGAACGGATGCCATTGGGTGGTTGACACATCTGGCACTTGAAGGAAGAGCCATTGTCCTGCTTTGTAGTTCATGCTTGGTTTTTGAAACTGGATTTCCATGGCGGCTACTTCCATGTTAGTATAGACCTTGTGAGATGACAGTTTGCTGACGTACCATACGGGTGACGAATCACCTTGGTGATCACCGTCTCTTTCCGAGATCGAACCTCGCGGTACAGTCGTTCTAATAGGTACATGGTGCCTGCCACGAGCTCCCATCTCCATCCTTCGTAGCCCAGGCAGTGGTTCCAGAACTTCTCACCGTCGAATGGTGAATATCTTTGAGGGCTATCTCGCACAAAGCATCCAGTTGCATGGGTGTAAAGAGCAAGCATGAATGGAATGAAGAGATGGTGAGTATACCAAAAGGTTTCAAATGCCTGTTGACGAATACGAGCATGAGCCGTGGTGTATATTAGCAGCATGCATAATAACATGACATGGCCTGTGATACCAGCCGCGGTCTTGTAGTGGAGCTCCACTGCGAGCACAGGACGGATGTTATCTTTCTCGATATTGTAAAAACTAGAATCGGTTAGTACTGGGTCAATATACCTAAGTACGGATTCACTTACTTGACGTAATGAGCTGCCACATGAGTGCAGGTGAAGAACAACATGGCGTAGGCTATTTGACGATGGAACCAGGCAGACTCGTCCAGAGGTAACCAACGAATTTGAGGTCGAATCCATCGCAGCACGTTTCGACACATAGGGAGAAGGATCAAAGTAGCGTCGATGGAAAGTACAAGGCCCGCGCCACGAGAGATCCAAACCGAATATCTTAGCACATTCAAGCTTGCTAGCTTCTTATTTGAAGCCTGTATCCAACTATCTCCAAATTAGCGATTCTGGTTCCCCACCTTCTGCGATCAAAGACATACCATCCCACGACAAAAATACCGAAATGTATAGCCCAGAATACCAAGTGGAACCAAATCTTGGAAAGCGTCAATTCGGCTCTTTGCCGACGAGACATATTAGACACGGCCATATCGTGTGATTTTGGGGTCGACCAGCGACAATGGTTATTAAAGGAGCGACAAGCAACGTAGGTTGACCGGCAACCGGAAGCCGTGTATAGGGGACCTTGATAGGTAGATCTAAAAACCCCTCTCTTCAAGCTGGATTTTCCTCGGTTCTAAAGATCAAGTGTTATGGAGCTGGGTAGATGCGTCTGTGGATGTGCTGCTCCATGGACTTGACCCAAGACACAGTTTCCGATCAGGGACAATTTCGCGGTTCAAGTGGAATGTGCGACGCTAACAAGTCGCGGTGCAGACAAGGTGCGATGTATTTGCTGCGTTATCAGGCGAGCAGTGGAGGCATTAAATTCTCCGCGGGGATGTTGAGTGTATTTCGGCCCAACTGAGGCTGCTGAGCAGACTTCAGGAGCGAGGACCTCCAATATCTCGATGGAAAAATGGAAGCGACACAGTCGAGGCACGTGGGTAAAGACAAAACCGAAAGAACAGAAATCGCATTGTGGTTTTAGCTGCAGGGGTGGGAAGAGGGGCCGCTCTATAATTACGTCGCTTCTGCCCACCAATCGACTAAACTCTATATTGTACATTGACTCGGTTCCACGATGTGATAGGTAGGTCATAGCAACTGGTTATAGTCGCTTCGTCTAATATTCCCTCTCGCCTGGGCCTGATTGTTTATTTATAGCTATCCCGAGAACTTCTACCAGATCGGCCTAATCACCACATGGCTGAAATCGCTGCAGTCAAAAGCCAAGGGGAGGCATGGTCCACCCTGTGGAAAGCATAATCTCGATTCCGACCTTCCATTGATGTCACCAGGGAAAGAACGCATCTTAATAGCATACATGTACTTTCGTGGCCACATTGTCAATGGCCAGGATTCACGGGGGCTGGTGAGTGGTCAGCGCTAACTGGAAGCTCAGCCGTTGCCGTGGAGTCGACCTATGAGCATCCATCTGCAAGCGCTCAAGTTCCCATCACACCCACGGAAGCTTGGAACTCTGGGGCAAGTCGGTGAAGCATGTCATTCGGTTCGGACACTCCGTTAAGTCCAATTATAGTTCTTAAAGCTTGCGGCATGATTCGTTTCTCGCTATCTCTCGTTTTAGTTCTTGGACACTGTACATTTGTAGGTCTCGACCCACTTGGCACCGCATATCACTTTGGGCACAACTTTTCAAGCTCACATGCTCACGCGCTCACCAGTTCGAACTGATCTGTGTATCGTGGTGCAAGCGGGTGTGAAACTGTATTCAGGGTGCTGATGACTGAATCCAGGGCCAGTATGGTCACCTGATTGGTCGCGTTGGAAATAGATCTATGACTGCTCGTCTCTAACATAACGCTGGAGACTGACAGGGGACCTTGAGGAATACAGCAGCGGGAGAAGGAAATTTCAAAGCCAACCAAGCCCACATAAGCCACTCGAAGTCATACAATTCGAATTGTGCGTGAAACTCCCTGGAAGCGTGTGCCTTGACTTGCATCTCATCACGCCAAGCCATGAATCCACGGCTTCTGATAGGTGCACACCCACGCTAAGATCCGCTTCATCACTTCCCAAACCTCCAATCACACCTCACCCAGACTCCGTGAAGAATTGCAAAAAGAGGGGGTGGCTCAGGACTCGGACCCTTCCAGGGAATCTATTGGTTCAGGGCGCTTAGGTGCATTCGTGCGGATCACGAAGCCCTACTTTCTACATACGAAAGTGGATGAACTGTCGGTCCAGGAGGTGCATCGGTCACGTTTAGCGCCTGGTTGTCACATATTTTGCTTCGGATCTACGGGCCTTCTTCACCGTGGCGACGTCTGTAAGCTAAGTATAGATGCATGTCCTTCCCCCGCTTGCAGGATAAGCCATTTCACCAGTTTCTTCCCCCCAGCAATCTAACCATGCCAACGCAACGAAGCTAAGCGTTGAGTGCGGAACCTCTGCGCATTCCCAGCCAGCATACAACCCTCTCCATGCATCTCTGAAAACTTGGGTTACAAAGTAGACGCTTTCTAGGCGAGCGATCCTACCTCCACCTTCGAGTCGCTCGCTGGCCGAGAGATTCACATCTACAACTACGTTAATTCGCCAAAATGGGAAGATTGATCAAGAATCATTGGGCCCGGTTGCTCATCATGGTTGCCTCAGCTTGTAAGTATCGCATTTCATCTCATACCGAATCTTAGAGTTTGCGCGCTGACCCGTGCGGCATAGATCAAGTCGCCAGCGCAATCGAAGGCTTCATCTGGCCAAAAGTCTTCTGGGACTTTATATCCAAAAACTTGGATGCCGCCGTCAACCCAATACCTGTGCTTCAAATACTGAATTTAATCATGGGCCTGATCGGTCTGGCCTGGGAATGGCCATTGAAACCATTGGCGGGATCATTTCCCCACCGGAGTATCGAGATTCGGCTCATCATCTACCCACTTAGCGCATTACTCGCAGCGCTACTCTATCAAGGCACTGATCCGGCCGGTTACTATCTTATCGGCATTGGTGTGTACTTTTGGGCCTATAGTGAGGGAGAGGTGGTATGTCCTGAACCCTGGACATTACCCAAACGAGCAATGGTCATGAAGGCATAGCCTTCTCTTATCTGCTGGATTGACTGCATCGGATGCATATTATGTATATAGTAATGATATAATACGAATGAAGACATGATGAGTAACTTGCCCAGGCGTTCGAAAGAATGCAATCGAAGTATAGACTCTTCTTAATCCCGACACACATTTCAGGGCATGATCACTATTTGCGTGTAGGTATGATCCTCTGATTTTACCGATCGCATGTTCATCTGCAACGGAATTTGATGAAGAATTCAATCTAAAATACACATCCAAACAGGTCAAATGTTGATGCCCTATTTATATGGCAGTAGTAGCTATCACGTGATGATAACAGGAACTGCGGATCCAAAGCCAACGCCACCTTCACATAAGCAATAATGCTCGCTAAGAATTCGAGGGTGCAAATCAACCTTGGGATCATCTTTATTGGAGCAACTGACTCTAGCGTGTGGTTTGACTTATAGCCTACAGTATGGCACCGCTCGACGCCGCACATGACAGCCATGAACCATACAATGGCTGCATTTCAGATGAAATTGAAGATATGCCAGTCAACAAACTTACCACATTCAACGGCGCTCTAGCCCGGTTTCTGCACTCAGGCAGCTATATTGCGTCTGAGTCCCCCAAAAAGCTAATTAGTCACTCAAAAAAAATTTCTACTCCTGGTGAATCAGAGCAAGAACTACCTGCAACAGACACAGCGCCTACTATGGCAATCACGAGTCGCAAAGCCACAGCAAGTCCCAAGATGAAGAAACAGAATAGTCCCTCGACTCCAATCAAATCAGAAATCACAACATCAAGATATGTTACTCGCTCCAAGACTCCTTCGAGCATCCCACCCTCGCCTACAACCCTCCAAACAACCCCATCCCCGCGCCGTCGTCAACGCAAACCAATATGCGAATCCGACACTCCGCCCGCCTCATCCTCCCTCTTCCGCGATACAATACCTCCCAATCTAATCCTCCTCCTGGTAGGCGTTAACCCGGGCCTGATGACTGGAAGAACAGGCTTCTCCTACGCCCACCCCTCAAACCGCTTCTGGCACCTGCTCCACACATCAGGTATAACCCGAATCCGCCACCCACCCTCAGACACATATAGGCTTCCAGAGCTATACAGTGTCGGCAACACGAACATCGTGGCGAGACCGACGCGAGACGCAAGCATGCTCACAAAAGCCGAGATGAACGAAGGCGTGCCGATTCTCGAGGCGAAGATAGCGGCTCAGCGGCCTGAGGCTGTTTGTCTTGTTGGAAAGAGTATCTGGGAGGCTGTTTGGCGGGTGCGGCATGGGCGGGCGATTCGGAAAGAGGAGTTTACGTATGGTTGGCAGAAGGAGAGCGAGAATATGGGGCGTTTACCTGGGGTTTGGGGCGGTGCACCTGTCTTTGTGGCTACTACTACTAGTGGGCTTGCGGCTTCGATGAGTATCAAGGAGAAGGAGGCGGTTTGGGCGGAGCTTGGAAAGTGGGTTGTGAAGAGGAGAGAGGAGAGAGAGAAAGAGAAGGAGGGTGAAGTTGCTGCTCCTGCTTAGCTTTGGCATTGATGGAGTTACTTTTGGCGGGTTCGCTTTCTTTGCTTGGACATTGGAATGGCAGCAGTGTGTGCACCATATTATTACGTACTATGATCATTACGTCGCTAGCTAAGAACAACCAATTCCATGGCTTTACAACTCGAGAATAGGAACCAAATCTCGACTCTGAATCTTGGGTTTCATTTCAATATTGGTATTTGTATGATGAGTTCGAAAACCCGTCTCATTATCTCATGATATCAATCAAGTATGGGGACCTGCCACTGCTCTTATGCAATACAACCAAGAAAAGAAATAGACAACTCCCGTAGGAATAGAACTTCCCCTCGTGCACGGTCACACGATCACAATCATGTCAGAGCCCCGGAGGTAGCATAGACGAGTGGTTCATTTGGAACGGGGAAGCGGGGGTAAGCGGGGGAATAGTAGCACCGCGAACCCCACTAAGTAGGTTCAATCAAACAAGACATTTACCGACCAATGTTGGCACTGCTCTTGGAATCATTGGTGTTACCGATACGCCCAGAGGTCTGCAAAATATGTCAGTATAACGGCTCTGAAACTAGAGCGGGGGTTATAGAAGGACTAACGCTTTCGGGCTGGTATTCACCACCCTCAAGGATCTTGATCATAACTTCGTCCTCGTTCTTGGTACCGAACTCGTTCTCTAGAGCGGCTTTGCTAGCGGTGTCCAGAATGCCCTGGGCTCCATGGCTATCGTGGATAGAAAGTTAGTGGCGGTTCACAAGGTCGGGTAATGTTGAGATTGAAGCTTACCTGTGAGACACAAGGATCTTCCAGCCGTTCAATACATCGGACAGAGGAATGCTGCGGTCGTTCTTCCACTTCTGCAGGATCTCAAGGTCGTCGACATACACGATAAAGTCCTCAGACTTGCCCTTGTAAAAAACCTTGGAGACTGTGCTGGTTCCGCGAGTCATGATGGAAGATGTAGTTGAAAATTGAGTGAGGAAATTAAGAGAGTATTCAATTGAGGAAATAAGGAGTGAGATGCAGGAGAAAGAGATGTGGGATGGAGGGCTTTAAAGAGCTGATGATGGTATATGACGTCACGGAATGGCTGCTAATGGAAATGCTCGTGTGTCATGGAACATGAGCTCCCTGCTTTAAGACGTCATATGATCTTCCAGGTGGAGAAGAATCCAGTGCAATAATTTACCAATACCTTCCATTCTTTGCGCTTTGTTTCGCCCGGTTAATAACAATGTGTCCTATTGCTTCATCCGACTCCATCCTGCCCCCCCCCCCCCCCCCCACTTCCAAGCTTCAATGATCTTCTTCCCATTCACTCCTCTGTCCCTGTCTCCGCTCGGGACCGGATGAGATTCTTTGGTGACAATGCGCTCAACAGAGTCATCGGTGAGCTCCATTTTTTGCGGGGCGACAATTCGAGATTGTCGTCCTGGCTCGGTCGCTTCTCGCGAGGTAAAGACAGTGACTTTTTGGCCGTACCTCCAAACCGGACGGTCTTGGAGCGCCCCATTGTTGAAATAGGTGTCTTGGGAGACTCACAGTCCGTGATAGGCGATTGCTGGTCACCACACCCATCCTGGCTTGTGACCAATTCCTTTTCCTCCCCGTTATAATCATCAACGGCGTGTGACTCGGTAACCACGGGCCCTGAGTGAGAAGTGCTGACCGAGATAGACCGTTTCGCGAATCCTTTGTGTAAGCTAAGATGTCTCATGATTGACCCGCGACCGAACAATAGGTCCCCTCGTCCAAGAACCATTCCCGGCCATGGCAACACATCGCGCGTGTAGACCTCTGAGATAAGTCGTTCCAGTCGGATCCGATCCATTCGTCTCGCAGTCACAACCCATGGAGTTCGCGCAATTGGGGAGTTAGGCCGCTCAATTTCACTGCTCGATTCAGTGGACTCATCATGGGTCTGTGGGCAGCGTGTTTTCCGAATGACTACGTGTTGGGACGTGGACTTGCGTGAGATCGCTACGGCATCCATAGACCTTCGTGCGAGCGAGGCCACTGTATAGTTGGCCCGATCCAAAGGCACCAAAAGAAGGGCCAGGAGCGAGTACTTGCGAGGTTCCCGTGTGCCTGATTTGCCCATTTCCGCCAAAGCCGCCGAACACTTCAAAGTATCAGTTTTCCAATGTTTCTCTTCAGCCGCAGATGATGCACTGAGTACAAATTCGAAGTTTTCCTCTTGGTCTTGAAATATAATCTTCCATGAAAACGGACAACCATAGCAATAAATCCCTGGCCTGTCAGAAAGTTCTCCGGTCATTATGGAAACGAATCACTTACCCCGTCCATTCTGGATGGTGTCCATTTTCAAATCATCCATATAGATACAAGCGACGACTTCCAGTCGGTGGGAGTCGTCAATGACTTTTGCAATAAGAAAGTAACTGTTAAACAAAACGCATACCATAAAATCGCCAGTAATTAGTTCCGATGTCTGATAGGTGACATGTAGCACCCCACAAAGAATCATCGGTCCAAGGTCCTTGTATACATCTTGTAGCATGAACTGTTGTACATTGGCCAAATTAATAGTCACTCTTAACACGGTTGGGGACAGACATACCGAATCAGCGAATCGAATCTTCTCTTGTAGTAGCAGTGTCTTGTGAATGCGGTCCTTATTGACCGGATTGCCCGTTGCCGAGTTGATCTGCGTCACTAGGGTCCGTATATTGTCCAGGATCTGTCGGATTGCATCATGGGAAGTTGGACAATCACTGACTGGTGTGTATCGGAGAAGGTCTTGGAGGAGCAGTGGATATTTGCACAGGCGTTGGATGGGCTGTTGTGTGGTTAGCGCTTGAATAAAAAAGAAGGTGAGAATATAAACCTTTATCATTAAATCGCCCATCGACATTGACTTGTTCTCCTCATTTCTGCGGCTATTGACAGAGGCTACAGATTTTGACAGTGCTTCAATGCCTTGATCATAGACCGACCAATTCGGGATTGAACGACGCAGGATAGCGACATCCTGTGATAGAAGGTCATAGTTGCTACAGAACTCCTCATATGCTGAGAAAGATGCAGACTTCCATGTTGTTAGTGGACACTCTTCCATATTTGACTATTTTGGAACATACCAATCTATCGATCTCCCGTGCTACTTCCAATACTTCAAATGGGTCTGCCACCAAAGATTTGCGGCGTTGGTCTACTGCTGCTTTCAAGCTGCGGGTTCTCAGCGATCGACTCGGTAGACTCTTGAGTCCTCGGAGGTCGATGCCCCCAAGGCGTTTCGACAGTCCACGAGAAACAAAATCCGAAGCCTCTGTTGTATCTTGGCGGCTCGATAAAGGTGACGCATCCTGCAGTCGACCTTGGAAACTCTCGTGGATGTGACAGATCTGTTGAATGTTGCGCTGAATCTGCGCACGAGCACTAAAGATTGAGAGAACCTTTTCAATGATCAGATCGGTCACACTGATGGATCGGCAGATATAATCACTCACCCCGGTCAGAGCTTTGAGGCCAAGAACATAATCGTCCTCAGTCGTGACCAGTTCCTGCAGCACTAGACGCCTCTTGGTGGCCCGGATTACCGCTGCCTCATCCACATAGTGGCTGGAGCTTGGTCGAGAGCTGTCTCCCGAAGCCCGTACATCAGATAGTACACTTTGAGTCGTCGTGCTGTGTGTTGTTCCCCTCGACCTCGCCTCACTTTGGCTTGCAGTGCTCATCGTGGTAGTCTTCAAGCCCAGATGTGACGAGTGTCCAGAGCTTCTCTCCCACTGCGGATCCTGTGCCAAGAGATGAGCGTTATTTGTCTGTGTAGCATCAGGCCAGCCCTCCACAAATCGCTCAGGAATGCTTGAAGGCACATATTTCCGGGTTCGAAAGGTGTCCATCCACTTTTTGAACGGATGGGCGGTCTGTGTTGGAGTTGTTTCATCCGTGGGGCTCTGGAATTTGTCGGCCAAATCATGCCCAGATGTCAGTGTCTCTGCCTCGATCTCATCCTTTTGCTCCATGATCAAGCCCCGACGCGGCGTGCTGATGTAGTATAGGCGCGGAAGTCATGAAGATCGACGACAAGGATGATGCGCCCCAATCAAATCACACGCAGCGCCCAAAACGATGTCAAGCGTCATGATTTGGCAGTCACGATGGACTGGATACCGTGTGGGAAAGAATGCGTATTCGTCTTGACAAAGGGAAGAAAAATGCTGGTTCTTTCTTTCCTCGGGGCTGCAATTCACCCAATCCGACACGAATAACAAAACCCGCGCCATCGTGGCAGTCGCGTCGGCTCCAGGCAGATGTTGTGCTGAGGAATCAGCAATTTGAATCTCATCCATGTACGTCATAACGTGAGGCCACTGGATAGGTGGGATTCAAATTCATTTTAAATCCTGCTTGCAGGGCCTCAAAATGCAGGGATTGGGTGGTCACTTGAGGATGAAATGATACCGCTCGGCGCCAGTAGCAGGGATGTTCAAGGTGTTGAGGAACATTGACCCTATCGGAATTACCAAGTGATCATACGATGGGAGATATAGAATAAGATCGTGGATTATGTATCCACTCATAGTTGTTGGCGCGGCTATAGGCGCTTATATAAAACTGCCCCACCGCCCACCTTTACACGCGAGCTTCCTTCCCCTCCCCTTTAGCTATTTCTTGCCTTGAAGAGAGAAGCTAAGCTATGGGCGATAACATTCATGCCCCCACAGTCGCCTCCGGACCGACGTCTGGAGGCATCCAGATCGACTGGTCCACATTGTCGATGCCCGAGCTCATGCAGCAGAAGGAGAAGATCGAAGAGGAGCTCAAGGCGCTCAGCTCGGTTCTTACCACGGTGAGCCCCCACTTTCATGATGACGTTCCTTACATTATCTAATGATATACGTTTTGTACAGCATGGAGTGACTATGCGCTCGACACTCACGACCTTTGACGGCTATCCTCGCGACGATATCGACATTCCACAGGGTACTGGACTCTGAACACCCATGGACCACCATTTTACTGAGAACTTCAATAGTACGAGCTACACGCGTTCGGATGATCCACATCCAAAATGACCACAAGGAAGTCATGAAATACCTCGAAAAGGGTCTCCATGCGCACTTTGCGCAATTACAGAAAGCCCAAGCCACTGCCACAACTAACGGTACCACTGCGCCTGTTATTGCACCACCCTCTGCACTCGAGGACAGCATCGCCGATGCGGCTGCCCTCGGGACACCATTCGCCAAGGTCAACAGTGTTGAGTTAGGGAGCCCAGCTAACCAGGCAGGCCTTATGGCTGGTGACCTGGTTCGGGCCTTTGGAAACGTTCACTGGTTGAATCATGAACGTCTTTCTAAGGTCGCCGAAGTGGTTCAACAGAACGAAGGGGTATGTTCGATTTATCTTTGCCTTGATTCAATCGCTGCATGGGCGATCAAGCTAACGAATATTAATGCATAGCGACCAGTGGTGATCAAGGTATCGCGCAAGGAGGAGGGTGGATCCCAAACTATCGAGGTAGAGCTGCAGCTTACTCCCCAACGCAATTGGGGCGGTCGGGGACTTCTAGGATGCCATCTTGTCCCGCTGTAAAGAGGCTGGTCCTCCTGTCTGTGATGACTGACATCTTGGTTGGGTGCTTCATGCGGCTCTGTAGGGCTGCGTGTAGCGTTTGCGCGCAATTTTGAATACATGAATAACGAGGTGATATTTGGGTAAACGTAAAAGCGAATGAGAAGCGAAAGAGTATATCAGTCACATTTCCAGGAAATAATCCAAGTCGGCTATAATTAGGCCGTGATATAGTCATAGAGAATCAAATGTTTTGACAAACTACGTCAGGCCTTCAGGCACACAGACACGTGACCGACCGCCGACCGGGCAAAAATTCCCTTTGAGCATTATTCACCTCCTTCCCTTTCCCCCTTCGAACCTCATCCTCTTTCCCCAGCAACTTTCCCGCGAAATTCCCAGCGGCCCTGTCCATCTCATCAAAAGAGTTTACATCGCCAAATTTCCGCAATGGCTGATCAAAAGGTCCCCACTTTCAAGCTTGTCTTGGTCGGTGACGGTGGTACTGGAAAGGTAAGCGACCATCACTGAATATCCAGGCGTCGGGCGGTCTTCATAAAATGCAAGACGGGTCATTTCAAAGGGAGCGAACGTCATCGAAAGCCGACGAGGGCTACAATAGCCTTGCTACTATCGAACCCCCCTCTCACTCCCCTTGCCCCGCCATTGTCAACAAAGACGAAAAAAAATATCTGCCCGACGACCGCCTCATCATCCACGAATCACTCGATCGCTAACGATCGACCAAATAGACCACCTTCGTCAAGCGCCACCTGACTGGTGAGTTTGAGAAGAAGTACATCGCCACCCTCGGTGTCGAGGTTCACCCGCTTGCCTTCACCACCGTATGTTATACCCCGCCGAGAGCCCCGCTTCCAACAGTTCTCTCCTGTCATCGCCGTATGACAACCAACTAACCAGAAACTCTTAAATAGAACCTGGGCAACATCCAGTTCGATGTCTGGGACACTGCTGGCCAGGAGAAGTTTGGTGGTCTCCGTGACGGTTACTACATCAACGGCCAGGCCGGTATCATCATGTTCGATGTCACCTCCCGTATCACCTACAAGAACGTTCCCAACTGGCACCGTAAGTATTGCAGACAGCAAAATCGCTTGTATTCCACCATCTCACATTATTTTCAGGTGATCTCGTCCGTGTCTGCGAGAACATCCCCATCGTTCTGTGCGGTAACAAGGTCGATGTGAAGGAGCGCAAGGTCAAGGCCAAGACCATCACCTTCCACCGCAAGAAGAACCTCCAGTACTACGATATCTCCGCCAAGTCCAACTACAACTTCGAGAAGCCCTTCCTGTGGCTCGCCCGCAAGTTGGTTGGCAACCCCCAGCTGGTACGTAGCCTCATACCTAGGGACTGGTGATTCTCGTCCAGATTACTTATTCATTCTATAGGAGTTCGTTGCCGGTCTTGCCCTTGCTCCCCCAGAGGTTAGCGTCGACGAGGCCCAGCTCGAGGTCTACCGCAAGGAGATGGAGGATGCCGCCCAGCAGCCCCTTCCCGATGAGGATGACGCTGACCTGTAGAGGACTAATTCCGACTTGGAAAACGGAAGTCCTTGCGCCCTCTCCCCTTTTGGCGTCTTTCAAAGACAGCCAAGGGGGTAGGAAGGGTATCATGATTGCCTGATTTTGTTGCAATGGCATAATCGGTTCTCAAGAATCACGATACAATGAACGCGGTTGGGGCAGTGGCGGCTTGAAGAAAGGGACAGCACGATTATGCATTTCGATTTTTTTTTGTTTTTCTCCCCCTCAACCTTAGTAGCTAGACTCTTACCATCTCAATGCCTTTTTTTTTCTCCCCGAATGAGCTGCTAAATAAAAGCAAGTCCTCTTTCAACAAGATTAAAACAACTTGTTCTCTATTATCTTACCAAAAGCAAGTTACAAGGCAAAAATAGGCCGAGCAAATAACAGAAAATAGACACGATTATTGATTTTGATTCTGTATTGTACTTCCGAAAAAATAAATCAAATAATTGGTAGATCTGATCTCTATCCAGTCTGCACGCGCGTTAAATGACAAAGGGTATAAGAATGAACAACGAAGATTGAACGCCCAGCAAACAGAACGCAGCGAAAAATCATAATGAACAAGTCACAACATGCAATTCCTGCTTGTCAGGAAGAGGATGGGTGATCATTGCATAGTCCAATCTCTGCAAATTTGAGACAAATGCTTGAAAGTAAAACCCAGCCAAAAAAAAAAAAAAAAAAAAAAAAAAAGACAAGCAAAAAACAAATCGTAGTCGAAGTCGATCAAGAGTATAAACCGAGATAAAAAAAAAGCAAAAAGGAATCGAGCAAAATTTGGTCATGCTAGCTCGAAACGCCCTAGAAAGATCGAAACAGGTCAGCAAGATGTCTAACAAAGAAACGAGTAAGCCACATAATGAAGGGAGACTAACAAAGAGAAAGGCCAATTCCCTGGTACCAAGTCGAGAGACGTTCATACTACCACCCTCATCCAGCGCACCCTCGATGAGCTCACGCTTCTTCTCCTGCAGCTCAATGATCCGGTCTTCAACCGTCCCCTCAATGAGCAACCGGTGAACGAAGACATCCCTCGTCTGTCCGATGCGGTGCGCACGATCAATCGCTTGGTCCTCGACATAGGGGTTCCAGAACGGGTCAAAAAGAATAACATGGGATGCGGCGACAAGGTTCAAGCCTGCGTTACCAGCCTTGAGGGAGACAAGCATGATTTTGCAATCCGGCTTATCGGTGAATGTGGCCACAGCGGCGTTACGGTCATGGACATTCATGGTACCGTCGAATCGTACCCATCCCCATCCCCGACGGGCGATAGGAACTTCGAGAAGGTCAAGAAGCGTGGTGAACTGACTAAAGATGATGGTCTTTTCATCAGAGCCGCGGTCTTCATTTGCCTGAAGGATATCGATGGCCTTAGTGATTTTGGCGCTGGGTGTCCAGTTTTTCTCCAGACGACGGAAATACTTTCGTTTTTCAGCCTTGTTCCGCTGGGCCGCAGTACGCAGTTCTGCCAGAGATTTCTTCTTGCGCTTTTTGCCTGACCCATCGGTCTCGGTATCTGAATCGTACTCAGAGTCGGTGTCCTCAGAATGCTCGGATTCCTCGGGTGTAGGTGATTCAGCACCTGCGCCGTGGGCCTTATTGAAAGATGCGGCGTCCGTGACCTTGGTGGGATCAACAGTACCACGGCAGTTTTGGCACTTGACCATACCAGAGGCCGAATCTTGGTGGGCAAGCGTTGCAGGATCAGAAATTTTAGCAAAACACTCCGAACATAGGGAGTGTCCACATGGGATATAGATGACTGAGTTTTCGACACTGTCCATGCAGATAGGGCAAGTGCCATCATCATCATCCTTGTTATTTTTGATCCGGTCCACTGTCTGAGCATCAAGGAGCTTAGCATTGGCAACTAGATCCACGCCTTGTACGACTGTTGAGTTCTCAGCAAAGCCCTGGATCAACAGAGGATGATCGCAGGCCTGTCTGAGCCGAAGAAGAAGAACCAGTACATGACTGTAGTTCTTACCCAGTGTACCTGCATTCAGGTACTTGCGAATCTGGTTCTGGGAATCGGAGTTGAGTTCATCATACAAGCCCTTCTCGTCTTCGTTGAAGACAACATGGATCTTCTCAATGACCTTTGGCGGAAGCTGCAAGATCGGCTGTCCGTCAATCTTGGTCTTCTTTGTACGACGCAAACAGACAGACTTGACAAGGACGCGGAGTTGTTTCATGACATTCTCTTCTCCCCACCCGTTCTTGATAGGTCGAATAAAGTCCTATTTTTTATTTAGCCCTGATATAGTGACTCGCTGATTGTATAGATAGCTTACCCGTTTGAACTTCTCCTTGTTATTATAAGGGCGGATCCGGAGGAATCCCAGTAAAGATTGGAAGTCTTCGAGCCGATTCATCATCGGAGTTCCGGTCAAGCACCATCGGTAAGTGGCATCGAGCCTGCAGCAGGCCCTCGTCGATTTGGCATTTGGGTTCTTAACGTTCTGGGCTTCGTCGAGGATGACGCGATGCCATTTACTCGCTGAGCTAAAGAGCACCGCCCCGTCGCGAACCTGTTTCACGATACTCGCGTCCTTTCCTTCGGACTGGAGTTTTTCCGCGTGTAGTAGGATTTTGTGGTTGGCGGTCAAAGTACCGAATGTCGTGATGATTACATCGTAATTTCGGAGATCCCTCCACGGCACCTGACGATTTAGTCCGTGAAAGATGAATACTGACAATTGAGAATTGCCAGGCTTGATATGTCTGCCAATCTCAAGCCTCCACTGATCCATCAGGGCTTTTGGAGCAATGATCAGAGACGGGTGGCGATCAGGATCTGTGGGCGGGCGAGCGACCATAAGTGCGATTGTCTGGATGGTCTTTCCAAGACCCATGTCGTCTGCGAGAACGCCACCCTTGTGATTGCTCTCTTCCTTTGCCTTCAGCCAGGCCAGACCGACCTTTTGATGCTTCATCAATGTCACTTTCAGCTCTGGGGGTGTATCATCATTATCTGCCTTTGTCGCATTTTTTATGTCCTTGATGCCCGTGAGCAAGTTCTTGATGTCATCGGGAAAATCCGCCTCCTTATACATTCTGCGGACCTCATGTTAGTAGTCTTTGAGGCGGCCCAGTGCAAATAAGATCGAAAAAAAACATACTCGAAATCAATGGCATCTTCCTCCAAGTCCTGCTGTTCACGGATAAGGTCAAAGGCCTTCGTTTCGAGGTGTGGGTTCTGCATCCATGGAAGGCGTCTAGGGGACATATGGGAGAGTGGACCCATACCCATTTGCATGGCAGCAGAAGCTGGAAGATACCCATGCGGCATCTGTGGATATCGTCCCGGCATGGCAGGAGGCATTCCCGGAAAACCCTTATGTGGTGACAAATAGGGTATCTGATACGGGTGGGCCTGCGCCGGCAAGTGAGACGGCGGGCGGGGAGGGTACCCTTGTACCGAGTTGAAATATTCGGGTGTAATTTCTTGAATATCTTCATCTGAGTCCACTATTTCTGTATGGGGTGAGCGATAGTCGTTTCCGTACGTCCGATAGGGGGGTAAGGGCAGGGAGGGAGGCCGCGGCAAGGTCCGGTCAGGAATAGCAAAGCTCGGATGCGAAAGCGGTTGAACTTCCTCGTCATCCTGAGCCTGAATCATGCGAGCATATTCCTCATCTTTCTCGGTCTGACTTATTGAACGAATGATTTTCTCATTCTCAAGCTCCTCCTCGATAGATTCGTGAAGGAATTGTTCCTCAGAAATGCCCTCGTGTCTAGCAGCATTCCGAATCTCCTCAGTCGTTCTCATGTTAGCATAACGTTGGCGGTTGGCTTCCAAGTCTCGAATAAGCTTTGCCTCAATTGCTTGGATGCGATTCCTAGAGTTGTCCACAATTGCCTTCTTTGAAGGCTGCTGTGAGCCGAGAGATCCGAGCGACCCCTCCCGTGGCCGTTTACGAGACCCTTCGCCAGAATTGAATGATGATATCGGTGGCAAAGATGGCCCGGGATGAGCACTGGGCTGGAAGCCAAAGGGTGACGGAGCTGACGAAGGCCAATACGAGCTTGGGACTGACAAAGGCTTTTCCGACCTAGGGGGAGTGTGGGATGTCACTTGAGAAAACTCTGGAGTTGCAGGCTGGGTGGCAGAGTGGCCACCGGGTGGTGGAGAACTTGGAGCAACCTCTCCAAGAAGACCCGAGAGCGTAGCCTGCAACTTTTTGAGGGTGTCGCGTGTCTCCGCGATTGCCTCCACATCGTCCGGCGTGTTTTCCAGTTGATCATTCAAAATGAATTGATGAAGATCCACGTCTTCGAGAATATCCTTGATCTCGTCCTCTTTAGGGTCTGCCATTGTGACAGATAGGAGGAGAGCAAGGGAAATGCAGATTTATACTCGCGAGCAGAGCGTTGTTAGAGAGCAATAGTAATAGGAGTGAGGTTTTGCCAAGGAGAAAAGATTGGAAGTAGTTCAAGAGATAGGTGAGGTTGAATAAAATCAAAATGACAGCAAGGTTGAAGAATAAAGGCAATCTGGTCAATGTTGTTGTGGCGTTGCAGGTTGTATCAGCCTCAGAAAGCCTATGTTGCAGGTGCAAACGGAAAAGTGATGGCTATGTGGGGAGCAGGAAATGAGGCCAAAGGAATGGTTAGGAAAGCCTCGGTTTGAGCACGGCCGTGTATATGGCCCACCTCATGAAGGTGGGGATGATGTGATAACTCAATCTTTCAAGCGGAAGAACTGCACGAAATTGATGACGCTTGGCCTAACCCGGGGGATTGGGCGTTTCGGGTCCGCAGTGGAGCACGGAGAGTGCCCAGCGAGAGTGAGGCTCAGGGATTAACTGCCCTGACTATCTTAGGCTGCCATATCAGACACCTCACACGAGGATGTTAGACTAACGGATGGGCTCGCTGGTGATGAAAATGTGATGTTCAAATTTGAAAGTTGCCAAGGCCAGCAAAATGCTCGCCGACTCTTGTCAGGCAAATTTTAGGCAACCACCCTTATGTGCAGAGCCACTTGTTTGTTGCATTTAAAATAAAGTTCACCGCCTATATTTCATTCCTTTACATGATAATAAATCATTTTCTACATTGTGTTCATCTTCATGGGATACCAATCACGTCTGATCGGGAATTCGATGTCTTATCACCACGTGATGATAGGACGCGGAACGCGTTGTGAGTCAAACCTTGCAAACAGGGCTTCATATGTAAGCCCTGCATTTCACACAGGCCAAACAATGCTGAACCGGACTATACATTCTGCAGTTGCCATTATGACCGCTAGTCTCTTCAGGTTCAGTCTTGAAGTGACTCATTCATGTGGCTGGAAGCATAATTCCCGAATCGGAGGCTGGGTAATGTACACTAGAGATTCCGTGGTGCAGGTTGAGCTTCAATCTATACTTAGACATGCGACATGTTGGGCAAATGTTGGATATATCTAAGCAATAGACATATTAAAATCGCCCAAGGTCGTGGTGAAATTAACGGCGAATATAAGCTAACTAATGGCCCCGGGGCTACTACTGTCAAATGATACCGCAATCCATCCGCCTTACAATTTCTGGTCAGTAAGAATGGCATCAGAACCCATTCTTGCCCGAGCATGGAGGAACAAAGCCATTGGAGATTTGATGGTCTGCCACTTGACAAAACGCGATATCGTCTTATGTCGTTTGGTATGCCAAAGTCTGGCCATCCATTTAGCACCACTTGTTTTCGCAGACATCACGATAACATTCCGAAGTCGTGCATTGAGCCGACCCTCTCGAGTGGCTGCTCTGGAACGCATCGGAAACCACATTAAAGCCGTCACCTTTAGGATCTCACATACGGCAGAAACGTTTCTTCCTCCGGTGCTAGACATGGTCGCAGGCATGGAACAGACATTTGCATATATGCCACAAGGTCACTGGATCTCTTCTAAGATCATCAAGTATGGGAGTCGCGAGATGACCAAGCTGCTGATCCAGCAATACCCGCCATTGTTCCATGCCTCCACCGATGTCCCTTCGTTTGTACAGGCTCTCTCTCTGATGAAATGCCTGCGTCATCTTCGAATCAACTGTGAAGGTCAACCTCCAAGCCATCGGTACCGTCGCAGCGTGGTGGATTATGCATTGATATCATTGCGGATTGCCGTCGAGCGAGCACCGTTGCAGTCCCTGGAGAGTCTCTCTCTGCTGTCAATTCATCCGGGGGCCGCACTTTATCTGCGACCGGATCTAGGGTTCGGTGCATCACCTGCCTCTCGCAAGCGTTGGTCTCAGATCCGGAGTCTGATCATCCATATGGAAAGCTTCCCCCACCACCCAGGATTGCCAACCGATCATTTCAAACTGCTCCACGCCTATCTGCAGAGTTTTCCCGAGCTTAGAAGAATAACATTTCATTGGAAAGGCGAAAGGGGCCTTTCACCATTATCCCTGGCTACGGAGCCATGTCTCCAGAACAAGTCTAAAGCCGCTCTGTCTCAACGCCGTCCTAGTCATCAAAGGCTTTCTCTGAGTCCATTGCGATTCCGCCATCTTGAAAAAATGGAAATGGTCAACGCAATCACAGATGCATCACAGATAGCCTCCTTCATTTATGACCACCGCTATACTCTGCGGGAATTCAATTTCCAGAACACTACCCTGCGTAATGGAACCTGGGACGACGCATTGGCCCCATTAACCCGACGCAAGGGGCCGGAGCCTTGGAAAGAAGAAGAAGAAGACTCCGAGAAAGGTCCCGTTGACGTGCCCATTATGTTGACTCCGGCAGGGATCAATCAGCAACAGTTGCAACGAGTACTTTGCGCTGCTAAACGACAGCGAGGCGGGAAAGCGGTGGGAAAAAGCCGATCACATGAAGCGGCTATTACATCGGTGTTGACTTGGAAGTGACGTGTGTGGAGACACGAAATGAATGCCGGATTTGTACCACCCTTTGAAAGGGTGGAGCCCCAGCTGGGGCAGAATGGGGGGAAAGCCTGTAATACATGTGAGCTTGTGGGGAGATGCAAAGTGGCAGAGATCGACAATTCAACTTTTGGAACGGAGGTTGATAATTGAACACCCTATATTCAATACGACACCTTAGGAACCCATTCGTGAGCTTGCGCGGTAAGCGTAATTCCAGAAAGATGCCGCGTTTGTGTACTCGTTGATATTGCAAATCTGAAATACAATTACCGCGCCACTCCAGTTGTGGGCTAGTAAGGTGCCCAACTAATGTTGTGGTGTACAATGATGGATCTTCTTTAATGGGCCTCGGCCTCGGCCGTACTCGGAGCACGGGCGGCTTCACATGCGCCCTCGTCACGATCTACTTTAACCTCGACTCCGCCCCTGCTTCTTGATTCATCCACACTATATTCATCATGTCTCTCAAGAAAGGTACGTTTGACCTGCCACTGTTTCAGATACATGCTAACCACGCGCCATAGATTCTCACCCTTCCTCCGCCGCGTTCGACGCCATCAACCAGACCCTCCAGGCCGATGAGGCTGGTCGCAAGGAGGCCATCAACGGAGCCAAGGCCATCGTCGCCTTCAACGTCAAGAACAAGGAGGGCAAGGAAGAGAGCTGGTACCTCGACCTGAAGAACAAGGGCGAGGTTGGCCACGGCCCCGCTCCCGCGGGCGCCAAAGCTGACGGTGAGTTGCGCCCTGATCGCATGATAAGCCAGCATTCATACTGATCGTTTTGTTCGCACTGCAGTCACTCTTTCCCTTTCCGATGCCGATTTCGCTTCCCTCGTTTCCGGCAAGGCCAACGCCCAGCGTCTGTTCATGGGTGGCAAGCTCAAGATCAAGGGCAACATTATGAAGGCTACGAAGATGGAGCCTGTCCTCAAGAAGGCCCAGTCCAAGGCCAAGCTGTGAAGATCTAGATACCCCTTTTCTTTCCAAGAAATCTGTATATGAATGTCTCCCTTTGCAGGGTCTAGTTTTCCAGCCTCCGATATGTCTTGGCAGTCTTGCTATACATGTGTAGGATAAATATGAAATTGTTAGCTGCTCTTCAAATCTCACACATAGTTCGTGGGTCTCATGCGCTCCGGACAATGTATTATGAGCGCATTAATAACGACTCTTGATTCATCACGGGTGTAACAGACCCAGAGGAGTTGAAAGTCCGCCCAGTCTCCTCACTTGTACAAATCACACGAGCAAACATCAAGTTGAATACTCAATAAATGCCTATCTATAAGCAGGACTTTTTATTCTCTATCTGCGGCATTGTGCCTATTGAAATCACCAGCCACAGCAAGCTTCTCTATTCCGCAGTCCAAAGTCCAATCCATCTAGAGAAATCCTCTTTCTCCAATATGACCCTGCCGAGCCACTCGGCCCTGATCCAGGACCACATAAAAGTCTGCATCTTTCACAGCTTCCACCCGATGTGCAATAGTGATGACTGTAGATGACTGTAGCTCTTCGCGAACAATCTGCTGCATTTCAAGCGAAGTTTCGTGATCAATAGAGGCCGTGGCCTCGTCAAGAATGACAACAGGGCTTCGTCGAAGTACAGCTCGAGTAAGAGCAATCAGCTGGCGTTGACCCTGACTCAGATTTCGACCACCTGCTTCAATGTGCGTGTCAAGATTCCAGCCATGTCGACCGCAGAGGCGCTGTAAAACCTCTGCGCACTGCTCATTGGCAAACTCTTCGGTTGGGTCGAGATTGAGACGAATACTCCCAGGGAACAGAACTGGGTCCTGTGCCACGAATGTAACTCGGGTTCGGAGAGCTTGGGTGCTCACATCCGCAATGTCGATGCCATCTATCTTGACACAGCCGGTTTCCGGTTTGATGACGCTGAGAAGAGATACTGCCAGCGTAGACTTGCCACTGCCTGTACGGCCAACGATCGCGGTGGTAGATCCTCCGGGGATTCGAAGAGAAATGTCGGTCAGAGAGGGATCCAGGTGTGGCGCATACCGGATAGTGACGTTCTCAAACGTTATATCACTGCCATATTTGGGCCAAGAAGCTGGGGGTTCGAGAGTTCCATGTGACTCTTCTTCGATATGGAGCAACTCGTCAACTCGCTCCACGGAGACGAAGTCCATCTGAAGCTGACCGTACTGCTTACATAGCTGATGCGTTGAGTCAACAAAATTAGTCGCGGCTATCAGCACAAATGCCGTCATTCCGGGTGTTGTATTCGTGTACAACGCCAAGGCAGTAAGAAGGAAAGTCGAGCAAGCTGATAGTGCTTCAAATCGGCTCATGAGCCAGGCTTGAAGCGACCAATAGAAGTGATCCATGCCTTGAAATTTGTCAACAACCGATATGACACGGTTTTGGAACCGCTCCTCTGCACGAAAAGCACGAACTGTTGTCAAGCCGTGCAATAATTCTCCAAAATTGGACAGAAGGGGAGTCAGAGATACCATTTCAAGCCTTCTGAGACTTTGGGATGTTGGGAGGAAATGCAAGAAGATCAACACAAAGGCGATGGTGAGAACGAGTGAGAAGACAAGGAACGTCGGGGTCGCGCTAGCAATTACTAGTACTGAAGAGACCCAGGTGATGGCCTGAAACGCAATGACTTGGAATTGTTCACTGATATTGCCATCTACCACACCAATGTCCGAGGTCAGACGATTCATGAGCCGACCAACGGGAGTCACATCAAAGAATCGGAAGGTTGCGTTGCTAACTCGAACCATCACCTGCCGGAACAGTGATTTTCCAGCGTAGTAGACAATGACCAGCATCAAAAGTTGTCCGACTAGAAGGGCTACTGCTTGAAGCGTGACAATAGCAAAGAATGCCCATAGCCAGGGGCGTACATCGTCACGAGGAGATGGCAGGCGATTAATTGGATCTCGAGGGAGAAAGAATGCGTCAACATTCGATGTCGATGCCATCAAGGTATCGCTTGGGAGATTCTCATTGAGAGAAGATGCAGTCCGATTGTAAGCTTCACCCCATCCCTTGAGAAACCATGATTGGCCAACGTTGATAAGTCGATAGATAGTCAAGACTAAGACGAGGGTAATCCACCAGCGGTATTTCCCGGCCTTGATATAGGTCCAGTAGACTCGAGCTTTAACGCCCCATTCTGCACGGTGCTCCTCTTCGATGAACTTGTCCGGCACAGCATTTGCGTGATCCTCAGCATTGGTTTCCTCTTCATTCTCGGTTTCAGATTCCTGGAATGGAATGGAATTTGCGATGGCAGTTTTATCGATCGAATTAGCAACAGAAGTTTTGTCATAAAATGTGGCTCGTCCATCATCTATCTCAATTATCTGATCTGCGATTTCTCGAACAAGTGCGACTCGATGCGTTACAAGAACAATAGTGCGGCGATGCATCAGGGGACCAGACAAGCACTTCCGGACCACGAAATCAGCGGTGTTATGATCAAGTGCAGATAACGGATCATCCAGCAATAGCACTCGAGATGAGCTGTATACGGCACGAGCAAGCGCCACACGTGCTTTCTGTCCACCAGAAAGACCGATTCCATTCTCACCCACAAAGGTCAGGTCTCCGTGTTTGAATTGTGAGAGATCCGGAAGAAGAGCACAAGCCTCCAAGGTCTGTTTATAGCGTACTTCCTCATAGGGAGCGGAGAAGAGGATATTGTCGCGAATACTCATGCTCTGAAGCCAAGGCGTCTGCGCACAGTAACCCATCATCTCGTTTGGAATGTGGGACTTTCCGCTCAGCGGATCGAGTTCCCCTAATAAAGCTTGGAGGAAAGCCGTCTTTCCTGCTCCTACTTTTCCAACAACAACTGTGAGACCTTTGGGAATAGTCACGCTTATATCATTTAGCACTGGGGACAGCTTCCCAGGCCATGCGAAGAAGGAGGATTGCATTTCCAACTTTGTGTCAGTCACTTGGCTATCAAGTGGAATATTCTCTTTGTTCGGTTCGGCCATAAAATCTTCAATTCGTCCAAGGGCGATATAGGCATTTATCATGGTCGTGATAAGCCGAGGAAAATCGCGCAAGCGCACCTCCAACATACTGAATAGCTGAAGTGCGGGGAAAATTATGTCGATGCGCAATTCATGACCTGCAAGTCTGGTGTAGGCATATAGAGCGATAACTGGGAAAACACCACTGGAAAACGCATTGACAAAACGGATGACAATGTTCCACAGACTAGTGATGATGCGTAAATTCAATTCATGCTGTCGCGCCTCCATGACTTGGCGAAGCCAGTGATTTTGCCATCCATACCATCGCAGATGGCGAAGCGCTTCCACAAACTGCGACGTAATCTGCAGTCGAGCATCTGTTGCGGCTCGTCTAGTCTTTTCCCATTTAAACAGATACCGAGTGATAACTGCGTTGACGACTTGGCCAAGCAGAACAGCCAGGACACCGAGGAAGCATGATGGTCCAAAGAGTGACCACACGAGGCTGATGGCAATGAACAAACCGACGGGTCCATCAATCAAGGTATCAACCTCCCAGAACCTTTGGGCCACTTCATAGACATCTCCTCGTAGAAGATTAAAGATTTTTCCGATAGAAGCAGCCTCTTTGGCCTTGACTTCTTTGTCTTTGCGCTTCCTTGGCTTAAAACAGCTCCATATACTAGGCTTTGATGGTGCTGTTTCAGCCCCTTGATCGGGAGCTTCACGTTCTGGGGTTGATTCCTCCTCAGGAATGATATCAACTTTCTCGATTCTTTCCCCAAGAATATTCTTTCGTGACAATGCTTTCTCATAAACCATCATGACCATCTCGCCTCGGGATCTTTCATAACAGCGTCGACCATACCAGAGGCTCAGAACTTGAGATTGCGCCGCAATCAGTCGAGTTATCAGCCAGATAAATGCGTAGGTCAATGGTACGCGCTTAGGCTTGGTTCTATCTTGCATCGCTTGTAAAAGCAGTTGAAGCAAAACTGGAGTGGAGAATTCTGCAACAAACATAAGTTAACTGTGCTAATGAATTGCCGACGGGTCCAACATACGGCAAGCTAGTTGTACGGTAGCAATTGCGGAGATAATGAGAACATCAAGACTGTTTGCCTTTAGAACTCGAGATAGAACGGATCCTCTCATACGACGGAATTTTTCATGAAGGCGCTTGTGCTGGAATTCGAACCCAAGAAACCAGACATCGGGCTCATTGAGTTGCCTTTTTCGGCCAAGGGATATAAGGGGCGCCATCCACGAGACGGTAAGGAACTGCCAGAGTCGCAGGCTGTCTTCCGGGCTGCGAAGCATGCTGGATGGTGCTTCCCCCACAGCACTGATATCAGAACTTGGGAGCGATTCTTCCCGAAATGGCATCAGCAGGATTGTAGAGCAAGCCGCCAAGGCCGCCATGGCAGAAACATAACAGGCAATCCCTTTCGCTCTCAGGCGAGCATCAGTGTGCGCTGCTAGTATTATTTCGACCACAAAGGTGAACAAAAAAAATGCAAGCAGCCAGATAGAACACGATCTTGGTCGTTTGATGGCGATTAGAAAGCATATTGTTGCCTAGATAGTGGTGAATAACCAAGTCCAAGGTCCATATTAACAAGGAAACGTACCCATGATGCGACAAGCACCAGTGAAGGAACATTGACAGTCGGGGGGAAGCATTGCACAATTTCCCCTGATAAACCGATGGCTGAAAGGGCCAAAAGAGTAACGGTCCATTGAAGAGATCGCTTCGGCCCTTCAGAAGGGATGTCTGGTTGATCATCCCACTCTGAAATGAATGGACGTGTCCATTGCGGACTATATCGTCGAAATAATGGACCAGTGAAATGACCGAATGCAATGAGCAGAGCAATACTCGCCGGAGCAACGACGAGGTACGGCAATGCACACGAGGATAACCATGCGTTATCCGCATCCTGGATTGGTCAGTTCCGCGCTTCCCACTGCAAGGAGGTGTCGTACCCAAAATTGGCGACAACCGCGCTCGGTGTCAATGAGAGGAATCTGATACATGGTTTAGTCCATTGGAACCAAATCAATTCTCGAGATCCATGGGGAGAGAGTGAGTGCAATGCGTTGCATTCGCGCGGGGGCGTGGGAACAATATTCCTCCGGTGGGGCGTCTAGGCGTCAATCTAGGCGTCAATGGATGATAGATTGGAAATTTGGAATGTATATAGTTTTGCGATGTGCCAAACGCACAATTTGGGAAGTTTGAGTATCTCGTTCCTAAAACAATTCATATCTAGCTCCTGGTGAGATGGCTCAATGAAATCCTAGCTTTTTCCCCCAAAAGTTCAAGCTCTACTGATCTACGCCACGGTGTACAAGAATCTGCTCAACGTAGCTTTCATTCAGTAAAGACCGACTACGGTTGATCAACCTCGATAACTAAGATTATCCAGAGCTAATGGTGCCAACTAGTGCCAGCCACCACCATGTCCCCAACCACCACCGTGTCCCCAACCACCACCGTATCCCCAGCCAGGGTGTCCCCATCCCCATCCATAACCACCACCAGGTCCCCACCACTGACCATTCTGGCCATTCTGGCCATTTTGTGCATTACCCTGAGCCTCTTCGCTTCGTCGCATCATCTCTGTAGTAATATAATGTATTTAGCAGGTGCGGTACAGTGCGGGCATATGAGTAGTTTGGGCCTTCTCTATACATACCGGGCTCGGCCTCGGGCTGAGGGGCTGCCACTGCAGCACCCACTAGGCCAATGAGAGCAACAAAGATGTTGAAATGCATGTTGTCCTTTTATGACAGATGGGATGGTCTTGACTACTCTGCCTGTTAACTCGCGGGGCCTGTCCAGGTGAGATAGGGCAAGGTGAGTTGTAAGAAGATTTACCAGGGTATTGGATATGGCGATGTGATTATTGATGTTTCTGTCTTGGATAACTTCAAAGGTCGAAGGACTTGACTCCTTTTATATCTTTCTCCCGTCCTTCTAAAACCTCGAGATGACGAAACCCATGGGCTAGACAATTCGAGCTGTGATTTGAATACACCCCGAGATCTCCAGTTTTGGAGCCAGTGATGCTGTGTCCATTGGATCCGAATGAAGATTGGTTGGAAGAGGAGCTTTTTATCCTGCTTTTTTGTCTGTTGTTCCTCGGAGAAGGGATTTGCCTCGTCCTACATATTGAAATGGCTGAATGATTGGCCTGACTCTCGATTATCCTTGTGTCAACATCATTGAATATGTAATTTGAAGGCCTTCATTGGCTATCAAAAGCAATAGAGAGTGAGAATCCAAAGTGGCGAAGTAACTCAGTCAATTTGCATCAACTCAAGTTAATGCCTCGACTCTTTGGCGCCATGGATAACCTTGTTTTCCAATGTTCCAAGATTCCCAATTACCCAGTCCTTTCTCATTTGATTTCATATTTTTCGAAATGTATCACCAGTTGGTACATTATTTGGTTTGACAAGTATTCCCCATGTAAATACAAGGTCATGGTGTATATGCCCGGCTTTTGCTCCACGCCATTCGAAACCATTCCTTCAGATCCGCAGTTTGGTATATTCCCATGATGGGCAGTGGGGAAAGGCATCACGTCAATCATTCTATCATGATGATGAGCAAATCTGACTAGTCATATCTTCCAAAGCAAGGCATGAGCGATATGGTTGCACACGTCGTGAGAAGGTACAATCCAGCGGAGGAACTCTTCAATGTCTATAGGGAAATCCTTATAATTGCAAATGGTTCCAGTGCTTATGTCTCTATTTTCTCAGGGCTACTCCTGCTGGATATGAGGGATATCAGTCAAACACTGGACATCATTATAGATTCGCGATAGGTTTCATGCTTCTTGAATCATGTGGAAAGTCCGAACCAGTCTGACGGTGTTCCGTGAGTGGCATGATGCCATCATGATATCCTACTGGTACGTAGAAGTCAACTTACTTAAAACACGGGAAACTCGTCAGCAGTGACTTTTGCAGTTCGTCACTACTGATGTGCAGAAGAAAGCACCTGGTTGATTCGTTGCTTTTTTTTTAACTTTTTATGCATCCAAAGTCAAAACCAGGAATATTAAGCGAGTGATTCCAAGCCAGCCGTGGAAGATCCTTCATTCCTGCTTGGAAGGCAAACATCAATTGACTGTAACGCCCAAGGTCCTTCGATGTGAACATTGAGTTTCGCCTAGGTCTTCGGGGGATATGCTAGGCCCAGTCGTACAAGATCCTGAGCCTCCGACCACGAGTCAAAATGAAATATGTGGAGAGCTCCGTGGTTGACGTGAGCCATTTGTTCCCTGTAAGGTTACATACCAAAGTTTCTAGCAACATCCTAGTACCTCGCTCCGATGCGAACCATAATCAACAAGGATGAGCTTAGACGCTCTCAGTAGTACAGAAGTGTGGGCTTCGAAGCTAATCGAACAATGTTTGTTTGCTCGGTGACTCTTAGATGGATACTGCTATTAACGGGGCGGGCCATTGTGTGTGTATTCCAGAGTTTCGCTCATAATCCGTATGTACACTGAAATCTGGACATTCCATTAATCAAAGAAAAATTCACTCCTTAAAAAATAGCGAAAGCATTCGGTGGACTAGCCACTCCACCAACCACCTGGTATTGAGTTAGTCGAATGTCCAATTTTCAATGAAAGGATGCCTAGACATACCTTGAGCGGCATACTAGACAAGAAGAAGCTATATCTTCCTGTAGCCTTGCAATGCGCCGAGAGCTTCTCCAAATCGAACATCTCCCCAATGGGCGTCCCCCATCCCGCCAAAACCCACTCGTGAATATTGTAGTCAGGGTCCGCATGGCTACCACGAATCGGAGCCCGCTCAAAGCTCGGTGCATCTCCTCCAACAGCGGCAAACTGGTGCTCCCATAGCCATCGCACCATCCCTTCAGTGGCTTCGACACCGCTGAAGTCCGGGTTTGGGCGATTCGGCATCTCTATCCGTTGCTGTTCGCTCAAGCTGTTGTAGGCTACAGTGAATCCACTGCGGATGAACAGAATGTCACCCTGTCTGAACTCGAGTTTGTGGTCTTTCACAACCTTCTTGAGGCTGTCTAACGTGATAGCTTCAGACTCGAGCGCCGAGACTGAGACGGAGTTTGTTGCCGCCCAGTCGGCATAATCTAACAAGACGCCACGGCCAGTCATACCGCCGTGCTCAGCAACAGCTGCAAGACAGAATCATCAGTATAGTCACAGTCTGCGGGAGGGTTTTCTTACTATGAAGACCGATCACATCCGAATTCTGAATTTCGTCCGTTGTGTGTCCATTATAAAACTTCCGTGCCTTCTGATTAGCTGCGACGAATGATCAGCTCAGTCCTTGCGGAGGGTTTTGCTCGATACGGCTCACCATAGTGTCTGAAGCCATCCCACTGAGAAGAGCCTTGACTGTTAAACGTCAAGATGTCATCAAAAACACAGTTCGGGTTCCTCAGCACGATCTCCTGCTTAAACGGATTCCGATTGAAGCTTGGATAAGAAGGCATGCTGAGTGGCCAGTCCAGCGAGATGCGTACTCCCGTCTTGATCTCCTTGGCTGCCTCTACAATCACCTCCGGCGTGAGGAGGTTCAAAGTTCCCAACTCATCGTTAGGTCCGAACCGTCCCCAGGCATTTCCGCGAGGGCCGGTAGGATCTAGTGGGAGAGCTTCGAAGGGTATCATCTGATTTGTGCCCGCCATTGTGGGTGTTGATTTGGGTGAGCAGGAAGATGATCCATATGGGAAATCTACTATTTAACAGACGGTTCTCGGCGTATCTTTACTTTGTTTGCCGAATCATGACCGCCTCGCTGCTCCACTACCCCACACTCGTCATGCCGGATTCATTTCCGCCTTGTCTATCCGGAGTTCTCTCCGCTTGCCTTAGAGACTGGATAGGAAAGATCGCTGGAGAAAGGAGAAAATGTTGGTGAGCTTTTCGCTCGTTCACCCCTTGTCCCCGCAAAGTGGGGAGTTGTGTTGGCGAATGACGATAAGCTGGCGCGGGTGCGTTTCCTCTCAGTCACTTGGGCTCAATGGACGGTACCCCCTCGGACCCAAAGGTGTTGGGACAACATCTCCATGAGCGCCGATCTGATTCTTCAATCTGAGAATGTGATCTGCCGCCCAAAATTGAAAAATCATTTATTTATCTCCGCGTCTTGGGTGCTTCCGAGACGGACGATCCAATGAAGTTAGATGTCGCTCTTACTCCGGTCACTGCCATCTCTTTGTTGAAAACGACAAAGAAAATATTTTGGCGAAACCCATCTCTCCGAAACAAGGAAGGGACACTGGGAACTCAAAATGTAGCAACTTGATTCACGGCTTCAAGACTACTGTCTTTGTGAGATTTCTCAAGCAAACAATTTTTTCGGCCATTTATTGAAAAACGTGTCCATTTCCCCCACGGCCCAAGATTCTTAGTTCTAAGCAGCTCGCTATCCACTCGTTGCATCTGACCTTTATTCTTCGGCTGTACACTGTTTCGGCAAAGAAAGTGTGCTCGGTCCTCAGAGCTCTGAAAGATGAATAAGCACAAGGCTGGAACATCGATATCAAATGGCCCTCAGAAGCTACATCCCAGGCCCCAAAGACAGCGGTGGACACATCCAGGCAAACAACCTCTAAATGACTGGACACAGCTGCCTCAAGGATGGAGTATCGACGAGCCTGATCTTGACCCCCTAGATCTAGGCGCTCAAATCCAAAGATGCAAGGAAAGAATCGAAGACAACATTATGCCTTACATATTCAAAATTAGACTGAAGGTCTTAGAAGATGCCAAGGCCAGTCGCGGGTGAGATCCAAAGGTCAAGTTTGCAATAACGAACATTGCTAACTGTTCATCTAGTCTCATTATTGCTCCATATCAAGGGCAAGGACTAAGCTGGGACGTCATCCAGCGATTAGAAAGTCTCAAGGCTCTCAGAGAGGAGCTAACAGCAAATGGCGATGTTTTTGAAGAATTGTCCAATGTCGAGTCCATCATCAAAGCTTACGAGTCCGGTGATCTGGAGTTAGATGAAAAGATTACATTCTGGTCCTATGGAAGGGTCGTCCACCGCTCGAATTCATTTGACTGGGATGAATTCAAGTGGGCAAATCGGATGCATCAAGGCTACAAAGGATTTTGGGTGGAAGGGGTAGGTCAACTAAAAACAAATATGAATAGTGCAAGGCTTTAACTGATATTTAGCGAGGCGACCCAGGACCATCATCTGTGAATTCATACAAAGCCATCTGTTCTGCAGATAACGACGGACAATACGTGGTACGTGCTTCCCGCTCCTCGAACAAGTGCAGACTCTACTGATCACCGATATGAAGATCCCACTAGTCCTCAGGCTAGGACAGGATTTAATGAAAGATAAAAACGCATCAAAAACCGAGCCAGAAATTGAATTCGACTTTATTGATGATACAGGGTGTGGCCCGTTGAAGATTTACACAGACGACGTAGCAATACTACAAGGACCCAATGCTGCTGAGGGAATCCACTGGCCCTGGCCACAGCTGATAGGATACGAGCCAATGAAGAGCGCAGATGGCTCAGTCAGCTATGTTCTCGCTATCATGGTCGAGGTCAATATGTACGATGCGCCGAAAGGCCGCCCGAATCGCCAATTAATGATCCCGTCATGGGTCCCGGCCGTGGCTCTAGTCGACCCTGCCAAGTCGATGGGCCCGGTCGGGCCTAATGAGAGGCTGAGTGGGCGTTGGATGAGGTATTCCCTCTTCACGGCGACGGCACCGGGATCTCAACAGCGTCTATTTATCAGTTCTACGAAAACGGGGCTGACGGAAAGAGACATGTTGCCTGGGGTAGATACGAAGGATATCAAGCCGATGAGGCTGGTGCGGTCTAGGCATCTTGGTAGAATTCGCAGAGTTCAGGGGAAGGTTAAAAGGGCATGTTCATATGTCGCCCCAGAGGAGGGGATATCGACGGAAAGGAGGGAACTAAAGTATATACGGTTTAAACGTGAGATTTGATAAGCTGGGGCTGAAAATTATATAGACATTGAATAGAAAATCGAATATATTCCAGGGTATATTCCACAGAAGGGATTGCATATAGCAAAGTATGTACAAGGACATGATACGAAAATACCTACAATGAAAGTCCTATAGGGTAAAGTATGCGATCGTAGCGGCGTACGTGTCCAAGTTATCACTCACGACGGCCAAAGAAGTCCCATCCTTGACAATCATGTTGGTTGTGCCTACTGTGCTGAGGGTATAGACCGTCAGACCACTGGTGGAGCCCTCAACACTGAAGATCTCGCTCTGACAGTTCTCTGGTGTCGGAAATGTGGAGCAATCGGTGCTGTAGTTATTGAAGAAGCTGTACAGACCAGCACCGTAAATAAGGATGTTGTCGCTATTGAGAACACGTAGACCGAGAGCATCACAGTTGCCGGAAAGACAGGTGCTGTAGTCGGGGTCGTTGAGAGCAGAATTTGTTGGATATGGGCTGTCGGCCGCATCGGGGTTGGGCTGGTAGTACCTGAGAGGTAATTTGTTAATATGAAAATGGTCGATTCAAGGTTCTGCCCAGGTTTGCTTACGGTGATTCGGTCTGGATGAAGCCTGCCACAACCGAGCTGGCACCGGAGAACTGGTATTGGTAGAGCGAGTGGTGCTCAACCGCGGTTCCATATCTGAAAGGGTAAGCAAGAATTCAATCAAAGGAGAGATATCATCAACTCACAGCCAAATATTCGTTCCTTCAACCAGCAGACCACGACCAGAATAAAGAGAGACACGAGTGTAGCTTGCATCATCAATGTCGTGGTCAGCGGTCCACAGCCAGTTATTCTCCATGTATACACCACTTGCTGAGCTGGTGATGTGCATAGACATGTACGCATTTTCACACGCTGCAGAGACGGCTGCGGAAGTAGGGCACTGGGCAACTTGTTGGTCTGAGCCATCGAAGCCACCAATCCGGGTGTGCACATCCCACATCCCGGAGCCTGACACGGCTGCTAGGTTCCATTCAATGAGTACGGCGCCTGGTGCGGATCCCTGGGTGCTAACAATCATATCAGACCATTCGATTGAGCCTGACTCTCCACTCTTGCCGACTTGAATCACTGGGACAGGAGTGGAGATGTCGGAGAAGACGCTACCGCTGGCCATGATCACAGGGTAGGCCTCACCCACGACTCGAAGGCCAGGAGGAAAGTAGAGAGTTTTGGTGACCTTGTATGTTCCTTGATCGAAGAAAACGATTGAGCCGGAGGACGCAGCCGACGTCAGGGCCGATTGAATAGCTGTGGTATCGTCGGTTGTGCCATCACCTGCGGCACCTGCACTTCTTATACTGACAAAAGAAGAGGTGGGCGAAGCTGAGTACTGGGGCTTCGTCTTGGTGTAGTATCTGGAAGACCCACTGGCAAGCAAAGCAGATGGGCGCGTCGGGGCAGTGAATGTGCCCTGGAAGCTGGTAGGGCCATTAGGGGAGTACTTGTGGCCTTGACCCCACGCACTGATGGTCATTGCGCCCGATGACCCGGCAAGGACGGTACCGCTGGGCCCCTTCACAGCGACAGGGACGTCAGTAAGAGCGATGTTCTCCAGGATAAGACTGCCATTGGACGAAGTGGAGGTTTGCCAGGCTGTGGTAATGAAAGTCGAACAGTCTGTGATGCTGCTGTCGAAGACATTGACGGAGCCAACAAGCTGGTTGCCAGCACCGCCATTGTTGATCGAGATTGCAGTGGTGCAATTTGTGATGGTCAGACCCTGGTAAGTCCAGCCCCAGTTCCAGATCTGCGAAATAGCTGTAACTGCATTGGAGATGACCAGGTTGTGCATGGTAAATTGCTGACTGCCGATGTTTGCACCATACAGACCACCAGTGATGGTGATGTCGGTCAAGAAGCCTCCGGATCCTAGGAAATAATCACAATCAATTTTGGCTCGAACACTATCGGATGGTCAACTTACCATTCTCAATGAAAAGGCCTTGGTGTTGAGTTCCAGAGGCAGAGCTCATCACGATCTGAACATTCTGGATACTAGTAGCCTGTCCTACAGGCCAGTGGATCCCCGTCGCGGCAGTTGCTGCTGGAATAGAGGTGAGATCCAGTTTCAAATTCCGAATCTGCCTGAAGAACACGTTCGTCGCAGTCCAACCCGCATTTCCGCTGCTTTGGTATTGGTCCCCATCAATCATACCCAGGCCCGTGAAACCAGCAGTGGCCTTGATCACCGGGATTGAGTTTGCATTGCCGATCAATTGAGTGAAGTCATAGTTGATGATGGAGGTGGAGATCAAGTAGGTTCCCGACGGGAAGTATACAATAGCAGGCGTGGTGGTAGACGTACGTCCGCTCGACGGTCCATAACGACCTCCGGAACTAATGGCGAGATTGATGGCTGCAGTATCATCGGTTACACCGTCGCCTTTTTGTTAAGAAAAATAATAATGTGAGCAATTGCATTCCTATTGGAAGAATACTTGTAGACATTACCTTTGGCACCATAGTCCTTGACATTGCGGAAGACAGTATAGTCTGAGGGATTGGAATTGAAAGCCGCGATACCCTGGTGCGCGATATCTGCCAGCCAGTATGAAGCATCATCTGTCGCGTCAATAGACACGTCCACCGAGAAGTCGAGAGACGCGATGGGTGTTGGGACACTAAAGTCAGCGTCTACTGAATTGCCAGGCGCATGGACCGATCGACGACCGGGATGAGAGTCCCGGTGTTGCTTACCCACATGCCGTGTGTCTAGCACATGGGCATGCGCGTATGCTAGCAATGAAAAACCGGAGATCAGCGAAGCAAAATGCATCTTAACACCAAGCCTTCGCTAGACAATGGGAAGTGGGGATGGATCCATGATGCAGAGGGGAATGACCTGGTCTTGTATCCACCTGGCATACAGTCCCGGACATCTAGTTCGATGTGATGCATGATACGCGCGTGTCAACACAGAGCCAGGGGGTGGAGCTGGAACGCCTCCACACCATTCTTAGTCCATCACGAACCAGTCATAGAATCCTACCCCGGAATACAACTTGACACGGGGTTATAGATTGCGAATGACCCTTAAATCAAAGCATGACAGCCTGGTCCAATAGATCGCCTTTTCCATTGTCCGCTAGGACTCAGATTGTCACGCTGGTCGGACTGCCTCATGATCTAGGTGGAAAGAATTGGAATCAACATGCCGATCCTGCCCCACTGGGCGTTCCCCTGTCGATATATTCGGGCGTGGCCTATAGGGGTTGATCATGTCAGCAATAAATACATCATGTCGGTAATCCATTCGGGCTAGTCGAGCGGAGCTGATCGAAAAGCGGAAAGGAATGTGACTAGCTGCAGATTCTATTGCCGCCACAGTTGAAGAAAATGCGACTCAGGGGTCATGCCGGGTGTGCGATGTGTCACAGGGATGAAAGGAGACGAAAGTTTTCTTGTCAACTTCTCAAACATGAAGGGAGATGATACTTTTGTGATTTTCCTTCATGCGGGGTGGGTCAGCCGGCCGTGCTTGATCCCCAGAAAATAAAAAGCCGATTGGAGAAATCATCCGCTGCGAATTAGTGAAGAATTACCAGGTCTCCAGGTTCAGCATAAGTCCTGGAAACTCCTAGTTCTCCAGTACATAGAATTGGTTGATCATGACGCCTTATTACCATGGTTTGGAAATGGCAAGCGCTCGTGGCTCAAGGTGACGAATGCCATGTTACATTTGGCGCAGGAGTAGGATCTATTCGGTCCATATAATGACTTGGAACAGAATGCGAAACAAGTGAATCATCAATAAGAGTTCGAGAAGACGCCAAAGTTTCATCCTTGGAAGGTTGGTTGGGCCTAATATCTAAGTGTGCAGGTGGCCAGGTGCCATGGAGCGAGTAACCTTGTAACCTTGAAGGAACTACTCACATGAGTGCCTCTAAAGATTTTACCATTTCCTTGTTTGAACCCTCGAGCCTTAAAATACAGGATCTTGACGAGTTTTAGGGGTTTACTGAGGACTGAGAATTGAAATACGTTTGGGATTCTGGATAGGGATGTCTATTTTACAGTTGAAGTTGTTGTGGGAAGATATATACTTTCATCCAGGCACTCAACCTTGCAAGTGCTTCTGTACTATGCAGGTGGCATAGATAGCAAATTTGCCGAATGTGGAAAATAGGTTTAAAAAACTTGCAATATAAATCGTTAGATATTAAATAACTGAATCAACAGTACGTTGAGGTGTACAGAATACTCCCTGACGAATCCAGACCAATGTGCACGGGAACTTGCAGCAACCAGCCCAACGGGTTTAAGACGGACTTTTCCTTCGCTGCGTCATAATCCGAGACTCCAACCGGACGCGAGATCAACCCAGCCTTGGGACTTCGTCTCATAACATCTGTCACTTGAGAACTAGTATTCGCGTCCTTGCAGTCAAGGACTCAGATACTGTAGTCTGTAAGTAGTAAAAACAACTTTGCCAAGAAGTGCTGCATCACGTGACCGAGATTTTTCTCGCCTTCTGTTTCTCCGCGAGGCCATCACGGAAAAAACCTCCAACCAGGCACTTCTCCATTTCCATTCTAACCCACCCAGAGTAGCTTCTCGATCATCAAGAGACATCCTTCCAGTCTCACACTTCTCTTGATTCTCTTGATTCTGACTCTGGTGACCGTTGTAGTTTGCGCGACGGATCGCGAACAAGGTCGTGTCAACCGGGACACCACAACTTAACCCATCGAGTTCATTCCTCATCAACTCGCATTCGCCTTCCCTCGATTGATTGTCTCTGTACCAGTTCCCGTTGGAGTGGTGCCTTGGCTTCTCGTGAAGTCTTGGATTCAGAGCTCCGCCTGCGACAACAGATCACCACTACGCGTGACGGACTCGAGTGCGGACCGCTCCCGAGCGCGAACGGAGATCGAAGTCGAATAATCCATTGAGAGCTATCAAGCTCATAGAAAGGCCATAACACCTGCAAGCCTGTGTCGTGCATGTGCACAGCTTGAATTGAGGGATCGTCATCGATCTTTGGAGAGTGTGCATCAGGTCCCTGTGATTCACGACTGTGAATGATAAGCTTTGAACGCCGTGAAAAGATCACCACACATACCACAATAAATATCGCCACAGATGTCTAAACGCACGGCGCAAGGTCCTCAGGGATCCAAGGAAGATGAAAACATTTTTGGCATGCATGGCACACCGGAAGAGAAGCCTCAGCGGGCAACAGCTGCGCAGCTAGCCAGTAGAAAGTAAGTTGTGTGCATTTATTTTACTTGCTATATTTATTGTCGAGTGTTGTTACTTGAACGATGGGAGGAGAGTGTTGAGGCGGGATCGGGAGTTGATACTAGGTGACAAACCTGCTTCCCTTGGAGACAGTGAATATGGCAACGTTTCGTTTCAAATTGGGATTGATCGTTGCCTGCCGAAAGTACTGGAGATTCACTGCATCCCTCCAGTGTCTTCGACTACAATTTCTTCCTCTCTTCTCCCCGTCGTTTACATTTCCCTTCTCTGCCTGCAACTCTTTCTCCCCGTTCTTTTTTCTTTCCATAAACAACAATGGTTCTTTCTGAGTTCAGTGTTCGGGGCTCCTATGGGCTTCAGTCCCCGCAGGCCCGCGATGGGGGTGTGAAAAAGAGAAAGGCTAACGAGGAGTTGGATGATAATAGAATTAAAGACATCCGGAAGCGTCCCAGAGGGACAACCCCAGTGTCTGGAGCTGGCGCCCCCCAGCAATCTGGCGGTGCCTTCTCCTCCCTATCCACCGCTCCTACTGCTGGATTCAGTGCTCCCCCGGCCCAGTCGACAGGCTTTAATTTCGGCCAGACTCAAAGTTTCCCGGGAGCCAGCTCGACTCCCACGCAGTCCAGCCAAGCCAATTCAACCCCCTTCTCCTTTGGCGGCGGTAGCCAGCCAGGTTTCAATTTCTCTGGAGGCTTTGGCTCCTCTAGCTCTGCTCCTGCTGCTAACCCCTTTGCCACTGGCTCTTCTTTTTCTGCTGGTTCTTTCGGTACTGGTGACTCCACCTCCTCTCAGCCAGCCCAACAAAACACTCCCTTCTCTTTTGGCGGCTTCGGAAGCAACCAATCTACTACCCAACAGCCATCTTTCGCATCCACTCCGTTCGGAGCCCAGCCCGCAAGCACAGCTACCGGGACTGGCCTGTTCGGACAGCCGGCTACCAATAATGCCGGAACGAATTCTGTTGCAGACTCCATGCAAACCTCGCCTGATAGCAAGCCCAAGGCGCCTGCTGGAAACACTTCGCCCTCCTTGCCCTCTGCGCCTTCTCTGAATCGTAGTCTGTTCGGTGACTCGGGATCTTCGACTCCCTTGTTTGGTGCTGCTACGCCTGCTTCACAACCAGAGAAATCGAACACCGCTTCATCCACAGCTCCCAATATCTTTTCCGCAACAAAGGCTGCCGCACCAGTATCCTCAAGCAATCCGTTTGCTGGGCTCGGCGCTTCATCGGCATCAGAGAAGCCGTCATCCCCGTTTTCCTTTACTCCAGCGGCTTCGAAGCCTGCGGAGCCCGAAGCGGTCAATGGAACGCAAAAAGCACCCCTCTTCGGCGCTGCTACGCCTTCTGGTTCACAGCCAGAGAAAGTGAACACCAATCCATCGACAGCCCCCAGTCTCTTTGGCGCCACAATGGCTGCAACCCCAGTACCCTCAGGCAATCTTTTTGCTGGACTCGGCGCCTCATCAACAGCAGAGAAGCCTTCTCAACCAGATGGATTTAAGTCCACCTCAACCTCAGCTCCCAATCTCTTCTCCGCCACAAAAACGGCGGCACCAGCATCCTCAAGCAATCCGTTTGCTGGGCTCGGCGCTTCATCGACAACAGAGAAGCCATCATCCCCGTTCTCCTTCACTCCAGCGGCTTCGAAGCCTGCGGAGCCCGAAGCTAATGAAACGCAAAAAGCGCCACTCTTCGGTGCTTCTACACCTGCTTCACAGCCAGAGACAGTGAAAACCACTCCATTCACTGCTCCAAATATCTTTTCCAACACAAAGGCTACCACACCGGCATCATCAGGCAATCTATTTGCGGGACTTAGCGCCTCATCAACAGCAGAGAAGCCTTCTCAGCCAGATGGATCAAAATCCACTCCGACTAAAGCTCCCAACCTCTTTTCTGCCGCAAACACTGCCGCACCAACACCCTCAGGCAATCCGTTTGCTGGACTTAGCGCCTCGACGATAGCAGAGAAGCCGTCATCACCATTCTCCTTCACTCCAGCGGCTTCAAAGTCTGCGGAGCCCGAAGCGGTCAATGGAACGCAAAAAGCACCCCTCTTCGGCGCTGCTACGCCTTCTGGTTCACAGCCAGAGAAAGTGAACACCACTCCATCGACAGCCTCCAATCTCTTTTCCGCCACAAATACTGCCGCACCAGCACCCTCAGGCAATCCGTTTGCTGGACTCAGCGCCTCCTCGACAACAGAGAAGCCTTCCGCCCCATTATCATTCACTCCAGCGACTTCGAAGCCCGAGAAAGTGAATGGGAATCCTTCTCCCGTTACTGGGTCCGCGCACGAAATGTCCGGTCAGAAACCAATTGCGGGCCGTAATACCACCACTTCAAATGATGTGAGAGGGCAGTTTCCAACTCCGGACTTCGGCGACGATTTGACCCAGGAACTCAAGGACAAAGCTGAGGTGCTTTGGAAGATTCGGACCTTGGATATGCATTTCCAACAGCAAATCGCCAAGGTCAAGCCTGGAGAGACATCGTTTGATAATATCCTTCTTTTCTACATGAAGGTTCGCAAGAGCTTGGGTGAACCAGTCAAGAAGCGTGACAACGAATCCTGGTCCTCTGAGAAAACTCCCACTCAGAATGGTCAATCTAAAGTTCCTGTGACCAATGGCGTAAATGGTTCCGCCACGTCCAACATTTTTGCGAAGTCGTTCTCTTCCCCTAAACCTACTCCCCCTGAGTTGGAAAATGGCTCGCTTCAGTCTGCTTCCACTAAGCTCGGCGGTGCGCCGGCTTCTCCTGCCCCGTCATTGTTCGGTGGTGCATCCTCTCCTGCTCCCCCCAAATTTGGTGGTGCATCTTCATCTCCTGCCCCGTCATTGTTCGGTGGTGCATCCTCTCCTGCTCCCCCCAAGTCTGGTGATGCATCTTCATCTCCTGCCCCGCCATTGTTCGGTGGTGCATCCTCTCCTGCTCCCCCCAAGTTTGGTGGTGCATCTTCATCTCCTGCCCCACCATTGTTCGGTGGTCCGTCGTCTTCTGCTCCACCTAAGTTTGGGAATGCAACCTCCGGCCCTGTCGATTTTATGGCACAGTTCAAGAAGACAGCCGAAAGCACTGCGGCCAAGGAGAAGGCCAAGCGCAAGGCTGAGGAGTTTGACTCTGAAGAAGACGACGAGGAAGAATGGGAACGTCGCGACGCCGAAAAACAACGCGAGAAGCTTGCAAAGTTTGCGGCCGATGCTGGAAAGGCTGAAACCGCTAAAGCCGTCTGGGTTCCAGGACAAGGCTTCAAGCCGGCGGAATCCGCCAAGTCAGCCACACCTACTCCTGCTGAGTCCCCCGCTCCATCTTCTTCTGCTTCGATTTTCGAGTCATCTTTAGTCCCTCTTTCCGACTCCGAGAATATCTTTGGTCGTATCTCTACACCGAAGATCTTGGAGAATGACAAAGATAGCGACGAGTCTGATTCTGGGGATAAGACTACCTCTCCCAAACCCCGTGCTGAAGATGATACCGCCGGAAATGCCCTGCGTGATTCCAAGCAGGCCAAGTCTTCTGACCAGACTTGGAAACCCACGCAACCAATTCAATTTGGAGTCTCTCAGACTCCCTTGAAGCCTGCTGCTGAAACTACTGAGAAAAGCAACTCTGAGGCCAATGATGATGAGTCAGCACCTGGTGCCATCTTCAGTCTGGCTGAAGACGCAGCTGAAACGGAGGGTGAAGAGTGTGTCTTCAAGTGTCGTGCTCGCGCTTTCAAGCTCGGCACCGGCTGGGTATCTCAGGGCACTGGGTTTGCCAGCCTTCTCGTTCACGAGAGTGGTCGTGCACGCATCGTCATTCGTGCAGACCCAAGCGGCTCCGTTATCTTAAACTCACTCCTAAAGAAAGAGTTCGATTACCAACTCAGCAATAACTCGGTGCAGTTCATGGTCCCGCGGGCAGATGGCCCGCCTGAGCACTGGGCCGTCCGGGTAAAGGCCGATGCAATCAAGGGTTTCCACGAGAAAGTGGAGGCCATCAAGTACTAGACGTGGCTAGATACTCTCAAAACCAAAATCCACGGCGATTCAGAAAACATGTACTTTACGATATGGATAGTCATTTCCGGAGTTCAATTCTAATTACTGCATCCTTTCCCTCTTTCCAACGAATGGTACTGTCTCCCTCCAATTTATTACTAGTTAGAAGTGCTTGGTTAGCCGAGCTTAAGGTCTTGAGCACCCCTGCGAAAATTGTACTGCCGACCAGTACTTAAGAACTACCAAATTCACTTTTGATTAGACTCCCCAGGAATACAAGGCACGATTCATACATCGAGTTTCATTAGTGTGATGTTCAATATTACAAGTTACCCACACCATCATGTTCATTTCCAGCTACGAATGCCGAGGTTTGACTATTATATTTGTGCATCCAAGTACTTCCAAGGCGGTGTGTTGACGATGATCGCCTCGAGTAGTCCGTTGCAAGCTGGTAACACGGACAGAAGGATTGAAGCACTTCAAGATTACCCTTGATAACTGGGTTCGTGTCTGCCAACATTGACCTGGCGTAGTCGAAACGAACAGTAAGATAGGATCTACCTAATATCTACAAGCAGGAACAGAAGCAAAGGTATGAAAAAGGTATTTTTATTTTGAAAAAGCCCCAACCGAACCCCAAGTGTAACATGGAATCATAGAAGCGAAGATAACGACAAGGTGGACCTCATTTACGCGTCATCGACGGTAGCGGTGTGCAGACCCTTGGGGTTCTTGACGTTGACAGCCTGGACGTGGGAGTACAGACGCTCCTCAGCACCCTCCTCATCGTTACGCTTGCGGGAGATGCGAACGCGGAGACGGAAAGGAACACCCTTGATACCGGCCTCCCAGACCTTCTTGTTCAGCTGGGGGTCGAGGCGGACATCCTTGGTGCCCTATAATGCGCAAAAGAAAAGAACCGAGTCAGAAATCTGAGACCAGACGAAAATTCCCCGCAGAGGAAAGAAGATTTGCTAGACTCACCATAGCATGCTCGGCGAAAGCACGGATCTCCTTGATGGCACGAGGAGCGCGCTTCTTGAAGCTAACACCGTGGCACTATATTCCCGAAAAGAAGTTGTAATTAGTCTTCCGCCCGAATGCCATCGTGTAGAGACAAAGCTCTGTGATGTTCTGGTTTCGGCCATATAGGTGGACTTCATCAAACTAATTCTTCTTTTTTTTTTGTGGTTCCCGTTCCCGTTTATAGGGTCTGGGATGTCACTTGCAAAACTATATTTCAAATCTGCAGATGACAGGTTCGTCGCGAAGACGAGTTAAAACCGCGGTTGCCCACAGATCACATTCCGAGGGGACTGGCATGGGTTTTCGAGTCGGGTTGGAGAAAAAGGAATTTTACATCCAAATCACCAAGCCAAGACAAGAACCCGCGCACAAGGACCCTCAAAATTCATTGAAGAATTCAAAACCCCGACTCCGTATTTCAGAAGCAAGGTGTTCTCTGTCCATTTCCATATTATGCCTCCACAGATTCCTCACACTTTTGTCGTGGGTAAAGGGTTTCGGGTTCAACATACTCTGCGGTGCAGGTTGATGGTGTACTCGCGGGACACCACGTCGGCAATGGCCGAGCGCTGCTTCTTTCCGGTCTGCTGGACGTTGGACATCTCTGCAGGAGTGTTAGAGAGAGTTGGGAGGGTGAATGTGCGCAGGAATACTGACTGGAAGGGTTCGGTGTCGACTGTGGGCGAAAGTGGTCGATGAGTGGAAATTCACAATTTGTGGTTTCGGGTGAGTGTGGCTCGCTTAGGCGGCGGGAGGACGGTGATTGGTTGTGGATCATGTGATGTTGCAGGGATCTATTGCTGCCACGAACTTCGGGTGTCAACCTTTCAGTCCTCAGCCCTCCTTAATAATCAGGCATCACTTTTTGCTGGTTAGTCAATTCTCCGATACGACCCACGGACAGAGCGAGAATTGGAAGAAAGCTACATATTTTGTATTCAATTGTCCTCTAAGTAGGTGTGGAGTACATTTATTGAGATCCCTCACCGCTCACATCAGGGTAAAGGTCAAACCGCCGCTGAGTGTAAATGGGAATGCTCTTGCGAATGTTCACGATGCTATCGTTATCCAAATCCGCATAAATAATAGTCTCCTTTTCTTCCGCCTCGGTCAAGATATTGGCGCTAGGGTCAGTAATCAAACTGTGACCGTAGGCATGATAAGTGGCGTCCAGATCACGGGCAGGACTGCACAGCGCCACATACGACTGGTTATCCACAGCGCGCGCCCGGCCAAGCAGGGACCAGTGGACTGGGCCGGTAGTTGTATTGAATGCACCAGGGTACACGAGTAAGAAAGCGCCCTTGCGGGCTGCGATCATAGCGGCTTCGGGGAACCGGATGTCGTAACAGATGGCCAGACCAATCTTTCCATATTCTGGGAGATCAATCACGGTCAATTGATTACCTGGCGACAACACATCGCTCTCCTTGAACGCGATCTTGCCCGGGATATCAATGTCAAACAAGTGTGTCTTGCGATGGGTGCCGATCAATGAGCCAGATGGCGAGAAGACCAGTGAGGTGTTGTAGTACTTATTGGTGGACTGTTCGAGCTCAGGGATACTGCCGCCGATCAAGTATGCGTTCGCTTCGGCGGCGATGGCCGATAGCGCGTGAAATGAGGGTGACTGTTCCTTCGTGGGGGGAGAAGGGTGGAGGGTTTCGGCGAATTTAGGGAAATATTGTGTGCCGTAGGGTGAGTTGAAGCACTCTGGGAGCACAATCAAGCGTGCGCCAGCTTGTGCAGCCTCGAGGACCTTGCTCCGGGCGTGCGAAAGGTTGACGGCCTTGTCCGCACCTAGAAAGGTTAGCCATCAAACTGGAGTATTTCAAGAATATCCATACCGGATGCAAGCTGCACCAGGGCAAGCTTTAAGGGCTTCTTCAGAAAGGTAGCCATGGTGATGGAATGTGTGTTCAGAGGGGAGATTGGAAGTTGCGTAACGGGGTCGCTCCGAATTGCGAACTGCGGGGAGTCGCTGATAAGACCGAGTGCAGCCGACATCGCGCCAGGGACCACCAGATAAAGCAAATGTTCAGTACGCAAATGATAGGATAATTGTGTAAGCTTCACTCTATGTATTGTCTGTCAAATTGTTATTTTGCAACACTTAAAGCCACCTGTCCTCGATCTTTGAGTCGTTTATCGGAGAACCTTATGATGCATATATATAGCAGTGTACAGTATACTAAGGCTATCTTGGCATGAACACCCACTGAAATTTCGATATGTAATGTCCTACGATACCAAGAATTAAGGTGGAGGAATGCACAACATCAGTTATATGAGAAACTAACACAACTAAATTTGAACAATGAATATGTACCATGTTCTAGTCAAGGCAACCACAATCAAGGCTGCTGTGAAGGTTTAATGATAAGAATATCCGTTAATCCACGGAAATGCTTTATTCTAGGATCATAGATTTGGACCCCGATCACCTTCGGGATTGAACAGCAGGCTGCTGTTATAGCTCGGATATCCGGATGTAAGTTTGCGGCATTGGCACATTGAAGCAGCCATATGAGGGCAGACTCCAGGAACATATTAGGCGCTTTAGAAGCGACATCGGCAGAGCTAAAAATTGCTTCATAATAGAGAGCAAATTTTGTAATCACCGTCCCTAAGAGAAGAAAACCACTAGGCATGTCTCCCATGGTCTTTCCCGGTAATGGATCTAGCTGCTTCGTCGACCGTATGGCTCGAAGGGCAAGACTGCGGAAACGATAGCCATAACAATATAAAGCGCGGCACAGATGTAGATCGGGACTGCTGTCTTGGTCTACATAACAGTTAGTTTTGCTTGGGAAAATTCAGGCGTGCAACTTACATTGGCAAAATGGGCCACGATGGCACTGACGATACCCATAATTCGATTGAGTCCGATGGCAACACCATTTCCAGTGCCTCGGTGAGCCGAGGGGAAAACCTCAGGGGTATACGCGTATAGAGTGCCATAGTAGATATTCAAACAGAACGATATCGTGCATGTGAAGCCGACGTTCTGATTTTCTGTGCGCACCTGGGTGTAACAGAAGAAGAAAATCATGGTGATCAAAGCGCCGATGATCATGGTTCCACGACGGCCCCAGAACCAGGGTGAACGGCACATGAAGCCCGCCAGGACAGGTCCAAAGATACTGCAAGTGTTGTTGATCGCATAGTTGCGCCATGTAACGTACTGACTTGACTCTCCGAATTGGGCGCCACGGGATGACAGATATGAAGGTAGAAAGACGTTGTACAATGGGTAGGCGAGACCAATCAGAAGCCAGGAGAACCACACCAAGGTAGTGGACAACGCCATTTTCCGTGTCGCATACAGTCCCTTGAAGTGGAATATAATTTCTCGTGGATCGATCAGTCGTTGGGTCATACCGGCCGTTGTCGTCTTGCGTTGGGTTGTAATTCCACACGCTTGGAGGCGCTCGAGGGTCAGGCTACAAGGGCGCTGGTATTTTTCAGCGATATTGCGGAGAACGCGCAAAGCATCCTCGTCCTTTCCCTCAGAGAGAAGGAACTTGGGAGTCTCCTCCAGCCGGATGATCGTGATACGCAAGATAGACAGAACAAACACAAAGGCGCCCGATGTATACCAGACGTAGCGCCAGCCCATGTTGTTGTCATGTGTGCAACTAGCCGCATCGGCACACGAGTAGTTCGGGAGGAAAGCCCAGGCAAACAGACCGGCGATAAGCTGACCGAGACCTAGGAGATGGGAGAAGTGGTTAGTCGTCGCTTTTCACTGATTCTCGAAGCCACGCTTACCCCACCAGGCTGCCATCAGCGTCAGCAGCCATTGGTTCTTGCTAGGAAGATACTCGAGAAAAACAGTGGTGTCTAGCACCAGGTTTCCACCGGCACCAAATGCGCTGAGGCAGATGAAGAGACCCAGGACAATCCACGATGGCGACGCGCCGGCCACAATAGTGAAGACCGCGGAGACGAACAGGGAAACATTGAACGCAAAGCGACGACCGATAATGTCCGCGGAGAATCCCCAAAAGATGGCACCCACCAGCATTCCTACATAGACAGCGATTGTCAAGCCTGTCGAAAAGCTAGGCTGAAATTCGTACCCGGCCTGCGTCGAGATGATCGACTGGATAAGAAGGATAAGAGAGTCGACAGCATATCCGAAACCGTTCAGACAGAACAACTTCCAGTGATGAGGGGTGAATCCGATCTCATCGATCGTCTGGACCAGGGGAAACCATTAGTCTTTCCATAGCCATTGGGTAGTACCGCGGGAACTCACGTCGTTGATCAGGTTCATCTTGGCCGCCAGAACCTGGTCCACTCTCTCTCCTCCCAGTAAATCATTTTCGCCATGCGCAATCGAGCGGTCAGCCAATGAAGTATTGCTGCGCGACTTGAACTTGTCGCCTGCGGAAGCAGTACTTGCAGTTGCCTCGACGTCCATTGGTATGATGCTTATCAGCTTATCGGGAGAATCTGGGGAAATCACGAATTTTGGATATTGAAGTCCAAAATAAGGCGATATTCAAAAGAAAAACGAGGGACAGAGACGAGAAAAAAGACAGAGGGGTAGCCGTCGCATGTTCATTTCCCTCTTTCCGCTCCCACGCGGGTTCTCCTCGTGGCAAAGTCCTGCATCGTCGAAGCTACTCGCGCACGAGGCAAGCTGATTGGCTATGAAGAGGGTCCGTGGAAGGTCAACCAGCGCACTAGCCGTTTCGGGCAACAATCGGCCCTTTTCATTCCGCAGAACCAACCAGCGTACTTCTGCCCGCATGCCGGTTGATAACCCTCGGCTTCCCCCTGGTGGCATTGCACGGAATTTCCGGCTTCCATGCATGTCATAGCCCAAGGGCATAGGATAACTGGCAATGTGGATCAGAGGGGGTTTAGAGAACTTGTGAACCTCGACAGAACTCGAACCTACCGTAAACAATCAATTGGGCCTCATGCCAAGGTTCCTAATGCTCAATTCAGCCGGAATAAGACTTTCCCCCCTTACCTAGATCTATGGTTATCACCCTATCCAAGTATCTGGGTTATCACCCCACTCTTGCACGTGTAAGATCAGGACTAGACTACTCGAAGAGGAAGTGTTTCTCTGGGGCTCGATAGGGAGACTGCAGGCTTTAAGAAACTACACGGACAGATACAGTACAGTGCAAGGAGCCGAATTGGTCGTGACAGCCCCTAGATAAAGATAAATTGCCGAAGTCACAGGATTGGTGCTTCTGCCACACCATGAACTAGTCTCCGATGATTTCCAAGAAATCCAGACTGCCGATGCCTTTGAAATACTCTCAGGTAAAAAAGACGGGAAAAATCTCACTCCAAGGACAAAGAGTAGACCCAGTCATTTGAAACATTTCCAAAGAACAAGTGAACCTCTTTCTCTGTTCCGTACTGGTATCTTCCCATCAATTTTAAAGGTGCTCTAAAATACTCGATAGCCTCGATAAGAAAGCAGTATTGGCTTCGTGGACAGGAAAAAACTTTGACTAGATATAACCACGCTATTGGCCTCGGAGCCTTACATATTTGCTTTTACCTACATATCTTCTAGATAGTATCTAAGCGTTATCTTGTCCTTTGTATTGAGCGCATCAGAGTCCCCCGATGTCCGTCCATGTTCTCATCATGATTCATCTGAGAAACCTGCTAGAAACCTGCTCCCTTGAACATGCCCAGTCTCCAGAATCGACGGCAATGGTACCAGGGAAAGGGCACCTCAAAAAGATTTTGCGAAGCGTGGCGAAAACACCTATATCACGTATGGAAAAACGATTGAAAGAAGCATGAATTGTGGAATTGTAGATAAAAAGCTTTACTCGAAGTGTATGAGAGAAGATAAGAAACAAAATAAAAAGAAGAGAAGTTTGGGATCAAAGAAAGAAGGGCCAGGAATTTATACTCGAAAACGCGCCTACTTTGGGAAACGAAACATCCCATACAAGCCAATCCAAGACTTTCAACGCAAAGAAAATAACAATAATGATAAACACTGAAAATCTAAACTCAAACATTCAAACGTTATGAGAAACCGAGTCGAGCCACAATAATTTGGTTACAGATGACATTTAAAATTTGCTCGTTAATGGACAAACCATACCTTGACTAGCACCGATCAAGCTAGCCAATGATCTAGGCAGCGCAGACCTTTCTGCTCCACAATGTACTGCCGCAGAAGCGTACCAATCTCGAAAAGAAAAAAAAAGCTCAAAGACTTGGAGGGGTCCTTCAGAGTAGAAGCCTTCATGTCCAGGTGTGTGTTTTTGGATGTCGAGAAGATTCTTTGGTGTCTACCCTGCCAATTCAATAGCTTGTCAGCTCAATCCTGACGTCTTCTTGTGGTGATTACTTATGCGGATTCAAGATGGAAACTTCAGAGTAGAAACTGGTCCCAACCATACCACGGATGAGTTGCCTCAGAATTCCCTCATACTGTCATACTGTAGCTAACGTGATAAGGCAATATCAATGGGATATCTAAGTGCCGGAGCAAGCTGGATTTGTTGTCTCAAATAGATTCTCAAAGTGCGCTCAGGAGCCGGCCAAAATATGCACCCCTTGATAGCATGTTTCCAATTCCTGTAGTTGCTCTTGGTTTGAATATCCACTATCATGTTTTTGACGCTTTCCATAGCTGGCATGGGAGTGGTCCTGAGAAAAAGTCTTAATATCTCATTGTCACTAGATGGTCTAAACAAAGATTGGAGGGCAATTTAAATCATTGAGTTGTATATGAAGAAAGCCAGGAGCCATAAGGTGACTGTTCACAGAGACGGACAAGCTTGAAATCCCCGCAAGAGTTGATGAAGACACTTTCACTATGTTATATTGGACAATTTCCCAATTTGTTGGATATAGCAATTGATCAATAGTCATAGTCAAGTTGGAATGATAGTACGTGCCATTCGTGGTCTCAAGTACTCCAGTGAAGGATGATGATCTTCGCTACCAAAATAGTGGGTCAATCCCAAAGTGCTATCCTAGCTCGTGAAATAAGAAGCTCAGTTGTACCTCATTCTTGTCTTCTTGGGAAGTACGTGCTGATGACCTTCGACTGCCTTTATGGTATAGTCTGATATTCTGGGGGGATCAGCACGAAGTGCAAATAAACTTGCAGTAGTTTGCATTGATTGGTTTAGCGATAAGGCTTTCAGTTCATGTGGCTGAGGTGGATCTTCGGTGTCTGTATGTTCGAGATTCTTTGTCGATCCTTGCCTGGTGCTCACTGATCTACTCCATATTCTGCAATATCAGATGTTCTGATGGAATCTAGCCCGCTCTGGGTTCATTAAGCAGACCCACTACTCATGAGGGGTTGACGGGGGTAGAAGTCTCTTTATAGTAGAGGGGAGACTATCATACGATCGAATTGATGCGGCTGCATCTGTCCAGCAGTCTATGCTGAAATTTTCCAGGCCAAGAACGTTCTTCCTCGTCTTACCGAGAGCCTCCGTGGAGGTCTTGGAATTGTAGCAATTACCGGAGATCTATGCTTTAGAGATCATGAGCTCTTGCATTTTGAGCGGAAGGTTCTATCAAGAGCCATAATAGCTACCCACTCTGGACAAACCAGGTAAAATTCTTCTCATCGGGATGGCACCTAAAGTTAGGCAATATCCATGACACCACTCTATGTACCATGCTGATGGCGCCACGCGAGATGGCAAACTGACAGCTCCACAACCACGCCTCAGCTCTCACGAACCCTACATCGGAGCGACAAATAACGTATGACACCTCCAATTCTAGTTTTGATCTGATAAAACTCTTCGCTGTCTCAGCCAAGACAAAGACCCACCCATTTTATTACCAGGCCTACTCCACTCATTTACGTAACGACCGAAACACGGCGAAATCCCGTCAGTCATCAACTAAGAACCACTAAGAACCGCTTGGCAGCTTGGCAATGTCATGGCATTCATACCCAGCTCCATCTCGATTAATTTCGACTTCCCCCAACACCCGCACTTCGCGGGCCTTTACGGGATAGGTGGATCGAAGTCTCACAAGCGGTGTAACTAACCATGGACACGGACCTTGCAGTCTCGAAACCAAAGAAATGAAACCGGAGGGAAATCTAATCAGATGATCTTAACCATGGTTGGAAGTTACCTTTAGAAGAGACTGGGTTGTTGGTGGAGAAAATGTGTTAGCTGCTGGCGGATGTAGCCAATCAAGAGATTTATCACGCCGCAGACCAACTCGGTTGGAGGATTATCCTCTTCGCGGATTTCTTCTTGGCTGCTTGCAGGATCATCAAGTTACGCGGCCACGTGGATGGCAATCGTTTGTATGCCCGAATCCTGACATAAGTTTCATTTGCTCGGTGGTCCGCTCCAAGGTCCGTGTCCGCGCCAAAGAAAGTTATCTGATCGTTTCCGCCCGTGGGTCGGCGCCGGGAGCCGAATTATCACCGGTGGTTGAATTTGGATGTAGACGGAGTGCTCCGTCTTTTGCCTCGTGAAGGTTTGTGTAGCCGCGTCAATTGGGGCCCAATTGAGCCTGAAGCCTGGAAACATCGGTGGACACGAAAATTAACTTCGAAATCCACGAGCAAGAAACTCGTTCTTTAGGGCTCCACTGCGCACCAGGCTGCATAACGTATGTAAAACTGGATGTAATTTACCGCGTAACTTACCACACAATTATACTGTAAGTAAGATTGGTAAATTACATAAATTACAGTGGAGTGATCTATCCTGGTGGAGTCATTAATCTTACTGGACCTCGTTGAATCATACCATAATATGCCCTTGTGGAAAAAAATAAAAAAAAACTCCCCAGTGACTTGATCATGAGAACGTCGTCCAGCTTGCTTTCTCCCGAATTGGCTAGTTCCAGGCCACAAAAAGAAGAAATACAATTCTCTTGTCCCAAAACAAGAATTATCTGATCTTTACCGGGAAACACAAACAGAAAACCCGCATAGCAACCCATGGTAATATCTTACTAGCGCATGCCACACCTTATCACTCATCTGATAAGACTGATAAGATGATTTTATCTACAATTTCAATTTTTGCCTCAGAGCTTGGAATCAATCCAATTCGGCGGGCGCTTCTCCACAAACGCCCGAATTCCTTCGGCAAAGTTGGCACCGGCATACAATCGTGGATACCACTGATCCGCCAGACTCGTAACGGCGTCCTCTGCGCTGCCAGCTTCCCAGCTTAGCCGAACCCCGAGACGACCCACAATGAGCGCATCCGGACTGTTCTTACACATTTCCTCCGCGAGCTGCACTGCAGCTTGCGCAACGTCCTTGTCGGCATCCACAATCTGGGTGACCAGACCGTAGTCGTAAAGTGTCTTGGCTGGCACTGTGCGTCCGGTCAAGACGAGATCCATGGTCCGCTGGAGACCGATGGTCCGAGTGAGCCGCGGCAGACAACCTGCGACGGGGACAATGCCCCGTTTCACTTCAGGCAGCGAGAAAACGGCGGATGCGGATGCGATAACCAGATCGCAATTCGCCACCATCTCGAAGCCGCCGCCCATACAGATGCCGTTCACCGCGGCGATAATCGGCTTCTTGCCATTGCGACGTGGGAGACCGGCGAGACCGGGTGGTGACATATCATTGACTACACCTGCCTTGACCATTGCATTCCATTCTAGTAAACGTCAGTAAGAATACAACAAAGGGCTGTATGGATATCTGAATCTCGTGACATACCGCCAAGATCGGCACCGGTACAAAAGGCTCGGCCATGGCCAGTAATGATTCCCACCCATAGACTCTCATCTTGATCGAACAAGTTCCAGATCTCTGCGATCTCGGCACTAGTCTCCTTGTTGATGGAGTTAAGTTTCTCTGGCCGATTTAGAGTGACCTGCACCACGCGTTCATGCGGGAAGGAGACATTGAAATGCCGATAGGACAAGGGTCTCGATCGAAGTGACATGGTAGGATTATGCAGGACTGTGGCACCAAGAGACCCGGTTTTACCTTTATAAATAAGCTAGAGCCAAGCTGGCGGAGTTACACAGACAATCCGAGAAATTTCGCACTGACGAGCAGAAATGTGGCGCCGGCTTGAGCCTTGGAACCCCAATGATAAACCCGCCCTGTGGAGAACCGAGGGTAACTCGGAGGCCTGGGTTTTGAAAATTCCATTCAAAACATGCCTTTCTCGGTCTAGTCAAGACAGAAAGGTTCGCTTAGACTGTTCAATATCGCATTCCGAGACAGTTTTGCCTCGGCTTCTATTTATTTCCAGGGTCTGCACTTTATTCCGGCATATCCTCTAGAATCCTTCAAACCAATCCCGAGTGATTATTAGATCTGATAATCTGACAATTTTTTGGGACTCACCACTTCCTCCTCTATACTGCCGTGGGTCTTTCAATAAACTCAATTCGACTGTGCGACGAGAATCTTCATAGAACCGCTATAATGGCTGGACACACCTATCCCGCCGTTAAACTTCCCCATCCCTTCCTCACCGCCTATCAAGTGCGCGCCGTCGGCAACGCAACTCCAACAAAGCGTGTGTTGGTCTTGCAAGATCAGCCTGCTGCTGGCAAACCCTTATCGGAACCGCTACACCTCGATTCGCTCTCATGGCGTGACTTGACCTACCGCCCTAAGGAGGAGCAACCCCCCGCCAACAACAACACCGCCTGGGGCCGAGCCCGCCGTAGCCCCGAGACTATCTTTCAATGGACTCAAGACACTCCCTCCCTGGGCCAGATCTGGGGTATCGTCCACGCGATCTACCTAGCCTACCCCACAAACGAGTACTTCCGGGTAACTCTGGACGGTACAGGCAAGGAGACGTTGCGGAGTGAGCTGCTCGCGACCGGCCTAGCCGTTGAGCACCCCAAGCCATTCGGCTCCAAGGAGATCGCATCAGAGCAAGCAGAGGAACTGCTGATCCTGCGAAGTTCATTCTGGCAAGGCGCCGCCTCACCGGCAGGCCCACGCCCGATTTGGGCTGCCGGCGATGGAATCGATGGACCTGCCCGCGAGTCATTGGCTCGGTACCCCGTTCTACCTGAGAACTACCACTTCACAAACAAGTTCCCCGAAGAGCCTGTGTACACCCGGCACCCTATTCGTCGGCCCAAGCCCGCACCCGGCTCTATTGCATATAGTCGGTACATCCCCGAGGTTGACGAGCATTTCTCGTTGGAGGTTGTCAACTGGGAGGATGCGGAGCATCTGAAGCTTTTCAACACTTGGCAAAATGATCCGCGTGTGGCTAAAGGCTGGAATGAGACTGGTACATTGGATCAGCACCGGGAGTACCTGCGTAAGCTGCACTTTGACCCGCACGTTCTGTGCTTGTTTGGCCGGTTCAATGAGACCCGATTTTCATACTATGAGTTGTACTGGGCGAAGGTAAGCTAAACCATTCATTAGTCCTATTACATGGTCGATTAAATGCTAACAAAATTCATAGGAGGACCACTACGGCGCTCACTACAATGCTGGTGACTATGACCGTGGCCGCCACTCTCTCGTCGGTGACGCCTCTTTCCGTGGTTCCCAGCGTGTGAACGCTTGGTACTCTAGCTGTATTCACTACTGCTTCCTTGACGACCCACGAACAGCAAATGTCGTGGGCGAGCCACGCGCTACGGGCTCCATCATCCTGTCGTATGAAAATGCACAGGGTCTTACGATTGGCTCGTACGTTGATCTGGGACACAAGCGCTCTGTGCACTCCATCGCCAGCCGAGAAAAATGGTTCCAGCTGTGCCCGATCTTTTGGGATGGCCGGGAGCGCCCGTTAGAGTCTGCTGATCGTGCGGCATGGAATGCCAAGCTGTAATTGGGCTTGAGGGTGTTTTATTACAATCGCTTCTTATGTAATTTCATTGCCGGGTACAGTTATAGTGTTTTCATGTTTATTCCTAAAATCACAGCCTGATTCTGTTCTTCATCGATGATCATCCCTGTTTTTACTGCTTAAGTCCTTACTTTCTAGAGTAGATCCATACTTCTCGTGGATGATGAGTCGTTTTGATGTGACCCACTTCCAAGGTAGGTAGGTTTATAGGTACCCAGGTATGTGTGTAGGTCACTTCAACGGATCCATCGGCAATGCATACATTCGTGCCTCATATGCAAAGCTCATGTCTTAGAACTAGTAGAGATAGGATCTGCACTGGACGAGAACAGAGAAGTATAGACAAAACCAAGATTCTTTTTTAAGCGGCTGCACTCGTAGAAGTAATCTACAATGCAACAACTATGGAACTAACTATTACTATAGCACATTCGCTGCGTGAACAGCCATTACATATCGTATCATATCAAGACTTCAACTTCGATCTCATCCTGTTGTGAAACTACTTAAGGTAGTGGTATAAACAGGTTTCTGGGTATATAAAGAGGGACAAAGAAACGGGTATATAGATCTCTTCCCAGGCACTCGAACCATCCTCCAAGATAATAAGCTTAGAAGACCATTCCCTTGACCTGGGGCACCTTGCGAAGATCAATGTTGCGGATCATCATGGTCCAGATGAAAGCAAGAGCGAAGACACCAGTTCCGACAGCCAACATGCGGGTCTGGGCGTACGCGTAAGCCTGCTGGATAGCAATGCGAGTGGCGCTACCAACGGGGTAGCTGAGCTGGGTGGTAAGATCCTCGTAGATGTTATCGAAGTTGTCCATCGCAGAATCGGGGAGGAGTCTGCGGAGGGCGTTGGGGTAGGTGTTTTGCCAGATGACACCGGAGATGGTAGCACCAATGGCATCACCGACGGTACCGACGACATTAAGCAGACCCAGGACGGCGGCGACGTGCTGGTGGTCGACGGCAGCGAGAATAGCGAGCTGTTCGATGATGATGAACACACTACCACCGATGGAGATGAGGACCTGGCAGAAGATGAGGTAGCCGACCGACTGGTTGGGGCGACGGAAGTAGATCATCAGACCCTGGGCGAAGATGTACAGGGGCACGGCAATCCAAAGGAGCCACTTGAAGCGACCGGTGCGGCGGATCAGGAAACCAACGAAGAGCAGCAGAACACCAGAGACAATGTCGAAGATGTTGCTGACGTATCCAGCCTCGGCAACGGTGAGGTCATTGACAACCTGCAGGAAGGAAGAGAAGTAGTAGTCCCAACAGTAGTAGCAAAGCTGGTAGGTAGCGTCCAGCAAACAGGCACCGAGAACAGTGCGGTTCCAGAGGAAGCCGAATTCGAATAGACGTCTGGGAGCAAACTTCCACTCGTAAATGAGGAAAACAAACAGCAGGCAGAAGCCAACCACGATCATAGCAATAATGTAGTCAGTGCCCCAGCTGTTCGGGGCACTGCCGGCAATATCGAAGGGCAGGAAGAAGAGGACAAGACCGGCGGAGAAGAGGAAAAGACCAAGGACTATTCATCAGGTTAGTATGTTACACAATGGGGGTTCTCGAGGTATGTCTTACTGTCCAACTCAACAATATAGAACCAGATGCTCTGCTGCAGAGTACGGCCGCTGGAAGCCTTGACAACGTGACCGGCCTTGACGGCCTTGCGCAGGTTGTACTTCAGGATGAAATATAGAGGAGCAGCGACGAAAGGGAAGACAATGGCGAAGACACCGAAACCCCACTTCATGCCAATCTGGTCGAGGATATCATTGGCAGCTTTAGCTCCACCGAACGCGGTGATGATGTAGGGAGAGGAGGTGAAAGCGTATGCAAGACCTCGACTCTTGAGCATGGACGCATCGGCAGTCAGGACATCAACGGTATAGGTCATACCGCTGAAACCGAGAGTGTAGAACACCTATTATTTATGTCCGTTAACGAAGTCACAGCTGGAAGAGCGGAGTGCACATACGTAGGCAGCACAGAAAGTGGGCAAGTTGTTGCAAGCCGCCATCATGATCAATCCAACGGTGGAGCAGAATGCCATGAAGGCGAAACCCTCGGCACGACCCCAGATGTCCATAATCTTACCAAGCGGAACATAACAAGCAGCAGTGATGGCATCGGCAACAACGTAGATGACACTTAGCAAGGAGTGAGAATCCCAGTCACTTGTCAGGTAGGGAATCAGGTTGCTCAGGACGGAGCTTTGGAAGGCATTGATAAAGTATAGCAGCCAGATGCTGTGCGAATATCAGTATAAAAGAAATCATATAAAAATGAGAAAGCAAAACATACTTGACGAAGACTGCAATCAGCGACCGCCGCGACCAAGTCTGGGTCATGGCCTCCATATCGGCAACACCACGCTGTGTATTCTCATCCGGGGCCTCAAAGACAGGACCCTGGTGCTCAGGCTCGGAAACCACAGGGTTCTCGGTATCAACGGCACCCTTCTCGTTGACAGCATTCTCCGAGCTGGCATTGTCGGAATCAGCCGTGGCCTTGCGATCATACTCAGTCTTGGACTCCTCAGAGCTCACGTTGACCGTGGTGACAGCATCTTCGGTCGACTGACGATGAAAGACTTTCCGGAATCCCGCCATGATCCGCGATCTTGACGAAAGATGGAAAAAGAAAGATAAGATGAAAGATCAAGAGGACCAAGCTTCGAGGGAAAAACTCTGTCCCTTATAGCCCTGTACAGCTTCCCGCAATCCACAGATTGATAAAGGCCGAACCTCGCTAGTCTGGAATGGAACTAATATCACCCACCGATGAAGCCACGCAAGCCCAGACCCAAGACGCAATAGTTACCAGGGCATTTCATTTGTCGATAAGTGCGGCAAAACAGGAAAAAAGTGAGCCGATCCACCTACCCACCTGTGGCGTATGTTCCCTCGCGAGACTAACGCAAAGGTTGTTCTAGCGCTCGGGCATTTCCTACGACTCGTTTAGTGGAAACCGTGAAATCGGGCTTGGTATGCGCTAGTATCGACCAGTATTACGCATCGAATACTCGTATTCTATCCGTCACGGACCCGTATCGCGTTATTCGCGGAACATGCGTAATGTCCAAGCCAAAAAGCCCACCTCGCTTCCATGCAACGTGTGAGTGGGGAAAGTTATCTGATCATCATTGACAGTAGTGGACCGATGTCGGCTGAATCCGAACGCTTTCACCCCTGGTGGTGCTGATTTTTCTTTCCTAGCAAAAACCCACGCCGGACCAGCGAGGAGCCGGACAGACTTTTGCACAAAAAAGTGGTTCTCGTCAGAATCGAATAGAAAGCGTGCAAGTGGGTTCGGCAGGCTCCTTTTCAGGCTTAGTCTCCCCTGATTGATAAGATTCGGCTCAGATTCCTTCGACAGAGCTCTTTTAGCTTTAGCAACCCACTCGCTTTCAAACCATTGCCCGTTTCTCTACACTCTTTCGAGAATTCGATGCATGGACACGTTTCTGGTGATTCGTCCAAGTAACTCCTACCCTCGCGGTCGATAATCACCCAATTGGTAGCGAAGGCCGGGTCCTACTCGTCGCCATGAAGGGCTTCTCAAAACTCACGAGCTATTGTAAGCTCTTGGTGGCCTGCAACCCCTCTAGACGTGAAATCTGCATGCTAGTAGTGGGATTCTTCAGTGCAATTGCATCCGGTGTCCCATTCCCGATCATTGGTATTGTCTTTGGTGCACTGCTTGACGATTTCAACTCGGCAACTTGCGCCCAGAAGGATGGGACCGCAACCGCCTCCACCGAGTCTTCCGACCAGAGCTCTATCAACAGCGAGATTCTTCTGATCGTCTACCTGGCTATTGCTCAGTTCGTCACGATCTATATTCACCTCACATGTTGGACCATGACTGGTGCCCGATTGGCGCAGCGACTCCGCGAGAACTACCTGAAGAACTTGCTCCGCCAAGAGCCATCTTACTTCGATAACCTGCCTCCCGGCGAGGTCGCCTCGCGTCTCAACAGCGATATTCAAACCATTCGATCTGGTACATCCGAGAAAGTCGGAATTGTCCTCTCGGCGGTCGCGTTTTTTGTCACCGCCTACATCGTTGCCTTTATCAAGGACTGGAGGCTTGCTTGCATGCTGCTGTCACTGATCCCAGCCTACATGTTGATGTCGTTTGTCGGCAGTCATTATATTGAAAAGTACTCTGTGCTCATGTCCGATCATGCTGCTAGTGCTGCATCTATTGCTTCCGAAGCGCTGTCCAACACTGTTGTGGTGCAGGCCTTTGGCGCCAATACTCGTCTGGAGGAGAAGTTCTCCAAGGCGCTCAAACTCTCGGAAGGCGAAGGCCTGAAAAAGGCTTTGGTGGTGGGTATCCAGTCTGGTGTTCTATACTTTGTTGCATACGGTGCGAACGGTCTGGCCTTCTGGCAAGGTGCCAAGTCAGTTGCGAAGTCAGTGGCAACTGGGGATGCAGGTGTCACTGTTGGTGCAACCTTCACTGTGATCTTTGTATTGATTGAAGCCACCTTGATGTTCAGTCAAGTTTCGCCATTCCTCCACTTGTTTGTCCAGGCTGTTGCTTCCTACTCCAAGATTAAAGAAGATCTTGAGCGTGTGCCCAAGATTGACGGCACTTCTGAATCCGGAATTCGTATCACTCAGGCCGAGGGTGGCTTCGAGTTCAAGAATGTCTCTTTCACTTATCCTTCCCGCCCTGAGATCACTGTCCTTGACAACATCAGCCTGAGCATCCCTGCCAACAAACACACTGCTCTGGTTGGCCTCTCTGGCAGTGGAAAATCAACTATTGCGGGCCTGATCACAAGACTGTATGACCCCAACTCGGGTCAAATTACCTTTGATGGCCATGATATCCAGGAAGTCAACGTGAAGGATCTCAGAAGTTTCCTCAGCCTGGTTCAGCAGGAACCCTCTCTACTTGACCGCTCTCTTCTGGAGAACATCGCCCACGGTTTGATCAACTCAAGCAATCCGAACCACGCCCACCTCAAGGAGGTCTTCATCCGTCCTGATCTGGAAGAGCTCGCAGCCAAACTGCGTGATGGAATGGACCTCATGACTGAAGCCGCGAAATTCGGCTCCGACGTTGTCGAAATTGTGGAATTGGTTAAGAAGGCTACCGTGCTCGCCGATGCGGAAGGGTTCATCTCTCGCTTGCAATATGGACTCGGTACTGTTGTTGGATCCAGTGGGCGGTTGATCAGTGGTGGCCAGAAGCAGCGTATTTCGCTCGCTCGTGCCCTAATCCGTGACCCTGCTGTCCTCATTCTCGACGAGGCCACTGCCTCTCTGGATTCCCACAGTGAACAGCGTATTCAAAAGGCCATCAACAACATTGCCACCGGACGTACCGTTGTCACTATTGCTCACCGATTGTCCACCATCACTGGAGCGGATAACATCATCGTAATGCACAAGGGTGTCATCATCGAGCAAGGTAACCATGCCGAGCTGATGGCCAAGGATGGATCTTATGCCGAGCTCGTCAAGTTGCAGACCCTCAGCAGCACCCCTGATAAAAATGAAACTACCATCACCGTGGAGACTATCAGCAAGTCTGATCAGAACTCTGTGACAGCTGGTGACATTGAGAAGGCTGAATCATCCAATACTGCTTATGAGAACATCAAGGAGAAGGTTCCCTCAATTGAGGAAAACCCGGTTGGGGACTCTGGCGACGAGGCCGAGGAAGAAGAGCTCGAGGCCCCCAGAAAGTCTCTTTGGGCTCTTTGCAAAGGCTTTGCCCCAACTCTGCGCCCGCATATGCTCGTCATTTTTCTTGCCCTGCTCGGCTCCGTCATTGTCGGAGGAGCTTTCTCTGGCGAGGCTGTCATTTTCGGAAACACCGTCGGTAGTTTGAACCCATGTAACAGTGCGGCCTACATTCGGTCGCAGGGTGACTTTTATGGACTCATGTTCTTTGTTCTCGCTATAATTGAGTTCTTCGCCAACGTCGTCAGTTGGGCTGGGTTCGGCTGGGTCTCCGAGAAGGTTGTATACACGGTCCGTGTTTTGTCTTTCCGATCTTTGTTCGAGCAGGATCTCCAGTGGCACCAGTCGAATGGACGTACTCCCCCCTTGCTTCTTTCCTACATTACCAGAGACGGTAATGCTCTTGCTGGCCTGAGTGGTTCCATCATTGGTACTCTGTTCTCTATCACCGTTAACCTCTTCGCCGCTATCATCCTAACCCACATCATTGCTTGGAAGATCGCCTTGGTCTGTCTTGCACTGGTTCCCCTTCTTCTCGGAGCTGGTTTTATGGAACTCCTTATCCTCGGCCGATTTGAGGAACGTCACGAGAACGCCTATTCCCTGTCCGTGGACATTGGCGTTGAGGCTATTACCAACATCAAGACCATTGCCTCCCTTTCCCTCGAAGACCAGACCCTCAAGACCTACCGCAAGTCTCTCAATGGCCCTCGCAAGGAGACCCTCAATGTTACCCTGCAGGCCAGCGCCTGGCAGTCCACTACCTACTTCCTCGGTAACTGTGTGAACGCCCTGGCATACTGGTGGGGTGCCAAGCAGATCATCAACGGTACCTACACTCAGACTCAATTCCTGATTGTCGTCTTTTCCCTTCTGGTCAGCGCTCTCTTGTGGAGTCAGATGTTCGCTCTTGCCCCCGAACTTTCTCAAGCCCGTGCTGCCATGGCCAGGATTCTGGATCTCATCGAGCAGGGCTCTGACAAGATGCGTGGTCGTGTTCCTACTCATGCTCCCAATGTCGTCCCGAAAGACGGAGATATCGAGTCTGTCGAGCCCAAGGCCATCCAGTCCAACTCAACTGCATCCAGCGTCCAGCTTCGCGATGTCCACTTTGCCTACCCCGCTCGCCCGGATATGAAGGTTCTGAACGGCCTGTCCGTCGATATCAAGCCAGGCCAGTTCTGCGCCCTCGTCGGCCCAAGTGGTGCCGGTAAATCGACAATCATCTCCCTGGCCGAGCGCCTCTACCTCCCAGAGTCTGGATCAATCCTGATCGACGGTCTTGACGTAACAAAGACCCGAGACCCCTCTTTCCGCGACAACATCTCCCTGGTACCCCAGGAGAGTGTTCTCTTCGAGGGAACAGTTGAATTCAACATCGGCCTCGGCGCCAAACCCGGCAAAGAAGCTACACACGAGGAGATTGTCGAAGCCTGCAAGCTCGCCAACATTCACGAGACCATCGAGTCATTGCCTGAGGGATACAACACCATGTGTGGACCGAACGGTAACCAGTTCTCCGGTGGTCAGAAGCAGAGATTGTCCATTGCCCGTGCGCTGGTTCGCAAGCCTAAGCTGTTGATCTTGGATGAGTCGACCAGTGCGTTGGACGCTGAGTCTGAGAAGCTTCTCCAGGACGGTCTTAGCAAGGCTGCTAAGGGTATCACTGTTATTGCGATTGCTCATCGTCTGCACACTATCCGCAAGGCTGATGTCATTTTCTTGATTGACGCTGGACGTTGCACTGATAGTGGATCACATGAGGAGTTGCTTGAGAGGTCCGAGAGTTATCGGACTAATGTTATGCACCAGACTGTTGCCACTTAAGTGGTGACGGCTTGATACTTGAATATCTTGATTTTAATACCTGGCGGTGCTGAACTGGGCCGTCACCTTCGCATGTACATAGCGTTGCTTTAATTTTTTTTTCTCTCTTTATAGATGTCTTATAGACAATTCCAATCAACATTTCTGTCAACTTTATTTCAATATGGCACCAGGTTAGACCTGTGCAAACCGGGACCCATGGGACTAAGTGCCTGTCCAAGTCCCAACTGCCAAGATCCTATGGGACTTACGTAAGTGGGAATCCCAAATTCCATCATGGGATTCCCGTGGGGTCCCATGGGTCCCGGTCCTAAATGCACAGTTCTACCAGGAGGACACAAGATTTAATTTCAGGGGGCTTGTTATCGCAAAGTTCCTCATTGCGGCTAGCACATTTCACTCATTTCAAGTCTTTGAACCCTTACAAGGTTGAAAAACCTAGGTAACAGGTAACTAAGGGCGCTGATTTAGTAATTTCTTTTATCGATAGTCTACCGTGTTGGAAACTCATATTTGGAATATGAAGATCAAAAGAGAATAAATATCAATCTACCCATAAAGACAAGAGAGAAAAAAAAGATCAAAATAAAAAAAATAGATACAAAGCATATAAATTAAATTCCAATTGCATCTAGAAAACCTCAGCATCAAGCAAGGCCTCCGCACTCTGACAACTCAATTCCTGCACAGTAGCAGCCAACTCATCCAAAGCCCCATCAACAAACACTGAATCATTCTCACTGCCAACAAGACCAACATTGACCTTGCCTTCCTTAACGAACGAAACAACCTTCATCGGATAAGGGGAATCACCATGAGGATTCAAAATATCAACCTTGCACGTTCCGCCGGCGAAAGGCATGGTATCGAAATCATCCCAATCCTGATGATGAACAAGGGAATCATAGAACTGACCAGCAGACCACTCAACCTGCTGAGAAATCTTCTCATAACCAAGGAAATCGTAGGCAGCTGACTCGGCACTTTGTTTCTGGACGTACTGCAGGAGATCCATAGCTGTCCAGTGGGACTCGAAGAGGACGCGGATAGGAGTGAGTTGGTAGCAGGGACCAACGATGTTCTCGACATTAGGCAGATCAATCGTGCGACCAGATGTAACACCTCCAAATGTGACATCTGCCTTGCGGAGACGGCGGGCCAGTACCAACGCCCAGGCTGCAGTGAGCAGATTTGCGGTAGTAATGTATTCCAGTGGCTGTGCGTTCTCGACAGTCTTTGTCTTGAAGACGCCTCTGTCGCCGGCCTTGACGGACGTTCCTTCGAGGACGGACAAAGAAGAGCCCTTGAGGAGGTTACCCCAGTAGTTAATCGCGGTCTGCTGAACGCGCGCGTCTGACACACGACCCATGTATACGGAGAAAGGCTCATGGGCAGCAATCTCACCACCAGTGTAGAATGTCTCGAGATCCTGCAGCACCTTCGGGAGAGAGACACCGTCGTATTGAGCGTGTGACAAGCCCAGCACGAGGCATTCGCTGCCATTTCTGCCCTCGACGTGCAAAATTTGCAGGAAAGATGAGCCGAGGTTGTAGTCCAGCTCGGCGTGAACGGCGCACACCTCCTTGACGGACTTTTCGAGATCATCGTCTGCCAAGTGCTTGGTCAAGGGTGTTTCCATCTCATTCAGGACAACTTGGTAGAACTTAGACTCGTGTTCGATGAAGACCGTGCGCAAGATTTCGTGGGTCTTGATGAGTTCATCACAAGCGTGGAGAAGCTTCTCCCGGTCAATGCCTTCATCGAAGAATAACATGGTGTACTGAATGGCGGTGCGAGGTGTGTTGACAGTGGCCTTGATATCCACGACTTGGGAATCGGTCACAGGGGTGACATCGTGAAGGGTCCACTCGGGATTGGCCAGCTTAGGGCAGACGATATCGGAAAGGAAGGAGTCCAAATTCGACTGATCCAAGGTAGAGAATGGCTTGTATGGCTTGATGTTCTGCTGGGAAGCCTGATCAAGCTTCAAGACCCGTGCCGCATCTCCGAGGCGCATGTGCTGGAAAATATCTGCCACGGTCAAGCCGTGCCCTTGCGCACGCAGACTGGATACCAATTTCATGGCCAGGACGGAGTCACCACCCAGACGGAAGAAGTTATCATCGAGATCAATTTTCTCCGCCTCCATGCGAAGGATCATGGCCCAGGCAGCTCGGAGGATGTTCTCCTTGGGAGTAAGGTTAGCCTGTGCTGAGGTTTTCTTCCATGCCTCTTGGAAGCCCTCACGGAGCTTCTCGAGCACCTGTGCAGGAATACTGGAGGCCAGCTGGTTGAGAAGAGTTTGGTAATCAACTGATTCGGACTCTTCGGGCAACTTCTCAATGACCACATACGCCGAGGGGGCTAAGTAGGTGGGAAGAGAGTCGTGAATGAACTTATCAAGCTTCTTCAGTCCCAGAGCCAGACTAGAAGTGACAGCCGTACAAGTTGTCGCTTTGCAGCCCTTTGATCCAATCTCGTGCTTCTCAGCCATGATGTCAACGGTCTTCTCTTTAGAAGCCCGCGGCTGGAGGAGGACAATTAATTCCGGCTGCTGATCCTTCTGACCTTCCGAGGCCGATTGAACCACTGCAGTAGCAGCACGAACTGTCGGGGGAAGATATTTAGCGAAGTGGGTCTCTAGCTCTGCGATATTCACTGCATGCCCTTGAACTGGCAGAAGATTCTCTTTGCGACCGACAAAAACCAGGCTTCCATCCTCCTGTAATCGGACAATGTCTCCCGTAGGCTGGACCTTTCCAGTACGACCACCATAGGCCGAGCTTCCGGCCACGAGCCACGCTGGAGAGTCAATGGTCTCTCCAGCAAGCATGGCTCCCTCGAGCCAAAGCTCACCAACACAGCCAATAGGCGAAAGAAGTGAAGGGTTTCGAACATCAACCACCCAAGGCACCAAGGCGCTGGGATACGGGGATCCGGCCTTGATGCTCGCATTGGCACGGAGTGTGTTGGTGGGCCCATCGAGCGACAAAGGAGGCGTTTCATTCCACTGCCAAATCTGATTCAACTCGGTGGAAGGGATACAAGATATCTCATCCAGTCTCCTTGAAAGATTGCGGGTCAACTCAAAGCAGACTGCCTCCATTTGCGCAAGAACGCGCTCCATCTGAGAAGCCTGAACTAAAGAAGTATCAAAGTTGGCGCGAATCCTGAAGCCGCCCTTTCGGATTCCACAACCGATCATCAGCGGGTAGGGGTTGAAGTGAAGCGCTTCGCGAACGACATCACCATGTGCGAAACCAAGCTCACCGACTGCAACAGAGTCGGGATCTGGCTGGATGACCAAACCAGTCGGAGCCTCGCATGCATGCTGAGCATCACGGCTGACCTTGCGGATATTTTGCATACCCATGTGTTGGTATGGGCTGCGAGTGAGCACTCCCGACTGGACGGCCTGAAGGAAGGATTCGATGGTGGTTTGTCGGTTAACACGAATGCGCACTGGGACAGTAGCGATAAGAGGTCCAACTATCCCTTCGACTCCAGGTAGAGAGATATCACGTCCGGTGAGAGTCTCGCCAAAGACGACATCATCACTTCCCGAGTATTGAGAGGAAACAAGAGCCCAGGCACCGCGAATTAATGTTGCCAAAGTGAAAGGATATCCAGCGCCTGTCTGGACTGAAACTGAGTGCTCGACATTTCCATCGGGGTGTGGGACGAAATCTCTTGAAGGGAGACGAGGGAACTGGGGACCGACGGCATTCTTCAATTCTCGGCGCCAGAATTCTTCCATGGCACCTTCATCGGTATCCTTCACCCACTTCACAAATTCTCGCATCTGAGTCTGGATTTCAATCGGTTGCTCTTTCAAAGCATTGCTGACTTGAGCAAGAACCAACGGCTCGGACCATCCATCGTACACGACGTGGTGAATGGTCCAGACCATATAGTTCTTACCATTATCCTCAACGATAGCATAGCGGGCAAGGCGGTCTCCAAGCTGCATCCTGTCATTTCGATCCTTTTCCAGGTAAGCTTCAAGATTATCCGAGTCTCTCCAGTAGATGGTGTCCTGCAGTACAACTTGCTGAAGGCCGGGTTCCTGAAGCTGAGCGAGACGAGTGCGCAGGATAGGGCTGTTAGTGACGACCTTCTCCCAAGCCGTCTTCCAAGCAGTGAGTTCGATATTAGATGGGATAGTTGCGACTCGCTGCGCGACATATGGCTTGACGGATTTCAGGGAGAATGTGAAAAGCGACTCTTGCGTAGGTGTGCAGGGGTAAATATCCTCAATGGCAGTCTTCTTAAATCCATAGACCTGAGAAGCTTCGACACAAGCACTCTCAGCAGCTTGGGAAATCATGGAGAATGCAGATGTCTCGGTTTGCAGTGCAGCGCCACTATCCAACGTTTCAATAACACTGGCCATAGCGGCAAGTGATGGGTTGCTGAACATGCCAATGACAGAAAGGTCAAGGCCCTTAGACCGGCAGACGGAGACAAGCTTCATTGCTGCCACGGAGTCACCACCCAGAGCAAAGAAATTGTCATTGGGCTTAATGCCTTCCGCATCAAGCTTCAGTGTTTGAGCCCAGACATCGCGCAACTGCTTTTCCAAGTCGGTCAACTCGCGGTTAGCCGCAGCTCCATTGTCGGAGTCCAACTCGCGCAGGTCAATGGTGGCTCCAAATGCTCTGAGCTGCTTGCGGTCGGTCTTGCCAGAAATCAAAACTGGGATATCATTGACTGGGATATAGGCTGTGGGGACCATGTATCGTGGAACGACCTTGGCTAGTTCTGTGCTGACATTGGGCAGGATCTCACGCAGCTCATCAGAGGGCTCGGCCGAGTGAACACCAGGGCCGCCTTGCTCTTTCATGGAGGGAGTAGTCACGAATGCGATGAGGGTGGCCTGGCCTCCGGTTCCTTGGGGTACGATCACTTCGGCGATTACGTTGGACTCCGCTGGCAAGATAGCGCGAAGCTGACTCTCAATCTCGCCAAGTTCAACACGCTGACCACGCAGTTTGACCTGTGTATCCTTTCGTCCGGCAAAGACAATGCCACCAGATCCATCGGGGTCGTATCGTCCAAGGTCACCAGTCTTGTAAAGGCGGCCCTTGCGACCAGCATGGCCTTTGTAGCCAGCGACGAGCCATGGAGGGTCTTCGATGAACACAGAAGCAGTTTTTTCTGGGTCGCCCAGGTATCCCTGTCCGACAATCGGTCCCTCGACCAGCAATTCGCCAACTGCACCAATGGGCATGAGCTGGTCGTGATCATTTGGATCCACGATCCACATGGCCGCGCCATTGCCGGGTCCAATAGAGAGGTAATCTCTACCTGTGGCAGCACTGCTGTTGATGGTACAACCAATGGTACACTCACAGGGACCATATCCAATGATGATACGGGCATCCTGGCCCCAGATGTTGGCATCTCTTGCAGGCACGGCCTCTCCACCAAGGCCAAGACCATTTGTGAGCGACTTGATCACATCCGGGTCCAAGATACGGGCTACGGAAGGTGTCATACCGGCATAGTTGATTTTCATGCCCCGGATCACCGCATTAATATCATTCAGGCGGTCTTCGTCAGATGGAATGCAGAGAGTACCACCCTTGGTCAGAGTGCAGAGCATACTGTCAATACTGACATCAAAGGCATATGACGCGAAATCAAGAACACGGGAATCCTCTTTGTAGCCCACAGCCTCGGATCGTGGAATGCAACTGCTAGTATATGTTTCATGCGAAATTGTGACACCCTTTGGTGTACCGGTACTTCCAGATGTAAAGATGATGTACATCAAGGTCTGCGGGGGGACTGTTGGCAATGGGGCAATGACCTCCGTCTTGGAAATATTGGCGAAGGCCTGTGCCTCCACCACGAAGATTTTGTCGCTTGGCATGATCTCTGTTGAGAATTCGTACTGGTTTCGAGATGAGACCATTGCCTTTGCGCCTACTTGCTTTGCCATATTTTGTAATCGAGCAAGCGGGAGAGTGGGATCCATAAGCGCAAAGGTTGCGCCTACCTTCATGACGGCGAGTACTGCGACGATGGTCCACTTGGACTTCTCGAAGCACACGGGCAGCACGTCATTTAGCTCGACGCCCATATCTTCCTTGAGCTTCCATGCAGCGTAAGATGACCATTGATCGATCTCGCCGTATGTCAATTGGCCGTCCCATGAATCAATAGCGACCTTGTTGGGAATTTGCTGAGCTCGTTCGGAGAACAATTCGTGTGTTCCGAAGCTGTATGTGGGAGGAAGCTCATGGTTGATGCGCCAAGTTTCCTCGATATCGCATTCAACTGGTTTCAGGCTTTCTTCAATGGATGCGGACGGGTTTGCGAGGCAAGTCTTAATAGTGTCTGAGAATTGCTCGACAGTGTGTTTAACGGTATGTTGTAGCATATTGTCGGTTTGCCACACTGGACGAATTCGAAGTTGGTCGTTCTCAAAGCGAACTTCGAAGTGCATTGCTCCCTGAAGCTCAGTCAGTCTCCATTACCCCACCATCGTCATTTAAGCGTATACTCACTTCTTCATTCGCTTCCGCATCGTACGTCAAAGAGCCGGAGCTCAAGACGAGCGACATTGAGTTTGGGGCAGCTCCCAGTTCCACCGGGGTCACTGCTTTAATGTGTCGTGAAATGGCTGCCGCAATCTGCTCAACGCTGCTATCCAGGCCGGGCACCAGAGTTTCAGTGGGCAGTTCGTAGTTAACGGACTTAATGCTGGCATCCTCTGCGCGACTCTTGTAGGCCCATTCAAAGCGAGGCAAGGTACCCTCGCGTGTGCGCATGAGTACAACCAGCCAAGCGAGAAGTACAACCTCCTCCTTCATGCCCGAGGGCGTTGAGACCTCGGGCGCAAGTTCAGCAAGCTGGAAGCAGCGGAAGCCGTCGCGATCCACCGGACGCGACGGCAAGGCAACGCCATTACTCTGAAATTGATCGCGCAGATCATTCTCGTGTATGAAGCCCATACTGGCGACCGTCCTTCTTCTCCGTGGGATCTAGGAACGGATTGAAGTTGGGGAACCTTGGGAAAGAGGAGTCGAACCTCGGTCGTCCGTGAGCTTTGCGCAGGTCTTAATTGACAGAAAGGGTATAGTGTGGAATATATAGCAAGACAACTTGCATGATGCTAACTGTCCCTTTTCCGTGACGAGCCAACCGCGGGGCTGAAGGAAATATTCCGTACAGTTACTGCATACAGAGCGAGATCGGCAAGTGTGAGTGGATTCATGCTTTGGCACGTTTTAGGTCTAAGCGGGGGTCTCCTGCACCAAGAAACCAAAGGAAAGTCTCGTAAAGAATTCCAGTCTGTCATTTTGACTGGTCTGTTGGAATCCATACCAAGAATTCCCACAGCACTCAATCCACACGGGAACCGGTATATTGAATATTTTTGTGAGGAAGAAAATTTTTTATCTGATCCGCACGGTGGATCAATCTTATCCGGTTGGCGTATTCGTCATGTTTTGGGTTTCAAAGTTACGACACCGTAATTCACATGTACGCTGTACAGTATAATACCATAAAGAGTATCACCGCGCCTGGCGCCATGAGTTTCTTGGCTCGCTTGCTTTTCCCACTAATATACGGAGATACCACCATTCTTATTGCCCATGTCCTCGTGGATGTTGCTTAATCTGGTCACTCATGTTTCCATCTCAGTCTTGAGCACCCAATATCTGATCGAAGGTTCAATGTCGGTAGGAACCGCAATGCTTCAGATGGGTCTTCGCTGACACAGAATCGCATCAGCCGAGACTAAAGCCTGCCCCGTCGGACCCATCTTCGTTGATGCGGGAATCACTGATCCGAATCGATTCAAGGGTGCGGACCCAGCAACGTCAGACAGGTACAGTCGTCTCTATTTGGACCAGATCGCTGAATCAAGCTGCACCCGCACAGATGAAACATGCACAACCATGAAAACGAGGTCTCCTGATGCACATTAAACTAGCACGGTGCGCCATTGCTTGCATAAATGGGTTACAGTAGTGTAGGCTTTTGACCCTGACTAGGCATTCGGACCCGTCCCAGTCCGAAAACAGAGGGTCGTGCGCCGATAATCTGATTGTTTCTCATTATTCTCCGGTCTTACCGCCACAAAATCTAATCTCCTAAGACTGTTAGCACCGGAGCTGGACCCACGTTGATTCCACGTTTCGTATGGATACCGGACGGATTACCCGTATTACAGTACCAGTTGTCCAGTACGCCATATGTACCGCATACCGCATACCGCATACCGCAATACGGGTATGGTCTAGATACACCAGCACAGGCTCCAAGACATTTGACATTGTTGATTTCGGTATGGCTTAACGGAGGAAGCCCCATAATTAACATGAGCGATGAATCGGGGAAGCGAGAACCCGAATGAGATCATTTCAAAGTGGGTCTGGTATGGAAGAGGTTTAGGGCACATCCGTTGCGGTGCCGACACACAGCCGGTTGTCGGAAATTGCTTTTTAGTTCGATCTGATAACGGCAAAGCTGCATGAACCCCGCGGCTGAATACATAACCCCGTCTGATCTCGGGGAATTATTCACTGTCACATTCATACAATCCCACACGTCCACCACGCGAACCTCTCACAGCTCCAAAATGTACTCCAAGTTCTGGCCAAAAGGGGGTCTCCCAGGAATCCTGCACCATTATGTGAGTTTCTCCCACCATCTCCCTTGTGCGCCAATTACCCCTCACGGCATAGCTAACGCATCCCACCCAGACTGAGTCCCTCGTCACATTCGAATACACCAATGCCGCCGTCCGTAAACCTCACAGTCTTCTCTTCGTCGGTGGTCTCGGCGATGGCCTCGCAACAACATCCTACATGGCCGATCTAGCCAAGGCCCTCCAGCCAACCGAATGGTCCCTCTTCACGCTCAACCTCACATCCTCCTACCAATCCTGGGGCCTTGGCCACTTAGACCGCGACACAAATGAGATCGCACAATGCATCCGCTATATCAAGGAATACAAGACTGAGAAGTTCGGCGAGGGAAAAATCGTCATGATGGGCCACTCAACCGGCAGCCAGTGCGTCATGCACTACCTCTACCGACCGAACCCGCACCTCTCCCAACCGGCTTTCGATGCCGGCCTCGAGCACACAGACCGCTTACCCCTGGACGGAGCGATTATGCAGGCACCGGTCTCCGATCGGGAGGCTGTGCAGTTGTGCATTGAGCATGGATTTGGCAGTAACTCGCCAGACCAGATGCGGGAGATCTGCGATAAGATGGAGTCCATTGCAAAAGAGGCTTTGAAGTCGAATAGTACCTATGACACTATGTTGCCGCTTGAGTTGACATCTGCTATCTACCCGTCCAATACGCCAATTAGCTGTCGTCGGTTCTTGAGTCTTTATAGCCCTGAGAGCCCTCATATCCCGGGTGAAGATGATTTGTTCAGTGCGGATCTGAGTGATGATCAGCTGGCTGCGACGTTTGGTTTGATTCAGCAGCAGGGACTGTTGAGGCATAGACTGATGGTCTTGTACTCTGGGGCTGATCAGGCCATTCCTGGCTGGGTTGATAAGGAAAAGAATCTGGCCCGGTGGAAGAAGGCCGTTAATCACGGTGATAAGTTCCAAATCTGGGATGACAAGCACAGTGCTATTATCCCCAATGCTTCTCATGCGTTGAGTAACGATGATCAAGCTGAGCCGCGCAAGTTCCTTGTTGGCAAGGTTACGGGATACCTGGAAACCGCACTTGCGAAATAGATGATCACGGTCATAACTAGATGGAGTTGGATTGTCATGCAGTTTTAGCCGGTGCTTCTTGTGTCTATTTTTGGGACGCGAAAATGTTATAGCGATTGGATATATTATATTGCATAGAAGTATACAGTTTCTATAAATGTACCTCCTTCTACCGAACAAATCAAGCTAAATACAAGTTCAAATTATAAGGGACCGGCAATATTAGCTCGCAGCCAGCACAGCAACCGACCACGCAGGCATAGTGAATGTGAAGGTCCCATCCGAGGCTGTAAGGGTCGATTCCACAGGCGCAACAGGAGTCTCATCAACTGTATTTGAAGCATTCGCGTCATCATCTCCAACCACTGTAAGCTTCGCAGTGGTCATTCCATCGATAGTAATACTTAGATCCTGAGTATCACTGCCATAGTTCGCCAGCTTCACAAAGTAGGACGAATCATTGGAACTGGATGCAACCCAGTAGACAGGTCCAAATGCCGAATCACTAGTCACCTTTTTGACGGTGTCTCCGAGATTAGAAGCAAACATCTGTTGAACATAGTAGCTTGTAGTCTCGATAACCACATTAGGGCTCTGAGTAAATGGAATCAAGTTGGGCTGGAAAGAAAATTTGTTAGCATGAAGATATAGAATTTGTCAGGATCCACATACAGTCCATTGAGTAGAGTTGGTAAGCTGCAGGAGTGGAGCGTATGATGCCATCTTGATCAGATCACTGTTACGCTCCATACCAATCATAAACACAGCCTCACCCACAGAGCCCTGCATGATAGGGTAATCGGAACCGGTCTGTGCGTACTCTCCGACGAGGTATGTCACGTTGCGGCTGACATTATCGAAATAGTTGAATTGCGACACCAGTCCATCGGGGCTGTTGTAGTCGTGATAATCCACCATAGATCCATTTGGCATCGTGCTCGGAAGACAGCTCTGCTCGCTTGTACTGGCGATCAGAGTTAAATCGGGATAGGCAGCGTGAATCGCGTCATAGAATGCGGTAAATCGCTCGGCGTAGGTGTCACAGCCGCCTCCTAGCATGTCCTCGTTGCCAATCTCCACCATGGTGAGATCCCAGGGGTCGGTTTGCCCATTCGCTGCGCGGATTGCACCGTAGGTCGTGCTTGAGTCACCCAGAATGTACTATTTAGAGTTAGCAAAGGGCTCGAGACTTTCGCAAGTTTTGGTAATTACCTCTAGTTCGTTCAAAACATCGTCAATGTAAGGTGTGAGGGCATCACCAGTCACTGGGGTACCGGCGCCGGATTCCAGAGCGAAGCCGTCCCAGACAGCCAATAAAGGTGTCAAACCCATATCCTCACACCAGTAAAAGTACTCGGCAAGTCCAAGGCCATCTGTGTTGTAGTAGGTCCATGTGCCTGTGTTTTGATAATTGTTAATCGTCTGATCCATAGAATACCTGATGGCTGCATTGCTTACCCATCCGTCCAGGGCGGTCTTGAACATCTCCGATTGTTTCATTCCATTTCCAGCGATTATCCAAAGATTCACCTTCCCTTTACTGGTATTAATATGGATATGAAGAAGTAAGTCGACAGTAACTCACATGTTGTTGCCACCCGGGAATCTCAGGAAGGAGGCCTCGACAGCCTCCAATACGTTAGCGATCCGAGGCTGAAGACCATTGTATCTAGAATGCCTTGTCAGTATGTTGTATCTCTCCAGGGTGGCCATCAAACATCATACCTGTTCTTGTAGGTAGTAGGAAATAGCTGAACAAGACCAAAGTAGAGCGAAGAGCCAGCCACAGCCGAAGCATCCAAAGAGAGCTCATAGTAGACATTTCCATCGGGCGCTTTGGTCGTTGACAAAGAAGCATCAATGTACGTAAAGCTGTCCGCGGTCGAGGTGACGGGAATTGCAGTTGATCCATACACTGTTCCGGTGCCATTGCCTACCAGTCTTGCAGTGATATCTCCAGACAGGTCTCCCTTCACCCAGAAATAAGTCTTATGCTCACTACCGTCCACTGGGATTCCCCAATAGCCGGCGTTGGTGACACCAACGGTTCCAGTAGCATCGCTAGGAACATCCAAGCGTAGGGATCGCGGGATAGCTGAGCTGAGCGGGTTGTCGTAGTCAATTGCTATCGTAGCATCGCCGACAGTACCCCAAGCAGTTAAGTTTGGATCAGCGCCCTGCAGACCATTGTTTTGTAGCATCTGACCATAGAGTCCTCCATCACCAGAGTGGTTGATATCCTATGAGCTGATGAGCATCCATCCGAAACTGTTGAACCGAGGCACTCTTACTTCAAACATAAATCCATACATGAGAGGGCTTGAAGCATTTCCGCCACTTGTCGAGACTTCAAGCGAAATAGCCTGCGCAGTTTGAAAAAGTCCACTGCAAAGCGCAAGAGCACCGAGCCCAGGCTTCAAAGACGAAAGTCTCATGAAAGTCATATTGTCGTGCTTAATGAATTTCTTGAACTTGGAAGCTATATACCATGCGGATTTTCCCTTTTATATTTACCAAACAGGTACAGGAAATTAACCGAGAAGAGACGCATTTTATCCTCGAACCGCGATCGTCCCCTGCATCAACTGGCCCTTTCTCCCGAGGGTGCCTGTATATCATCCGACAAAGGCATCAGCCAATGCCATTCAGCCGAAGGTGGAGATGTCTAAGACCTGCTTGACGTCTACCAAGACCCCCAAGAGTTCGGGCATTTTGTTCTTGGTCGGACGACCACTTACCCCGCAGATATATTGAGGAACCGAACAAAACATGAGCTTTCAAGGTTCAAGTGGAGACAGGGCTGTCAAGAATCCAGTTTTTCGGCTCGTTCGCGGCATATTGTAGATGGATCTCACGGTCAAACCTCGGGGGATCATCCGAGTCTCCGGAATGCGGGGTCAGGAACCCCATACCCCTGAAGATGGCTTTCGGAAAGGGCCCTGGTACAGATCGGTGGCTGATGCTAGACGCTGCTTATTATTCAGCCATCAAGCCATCTTCACACAAGGGAATCACGGCATAAACACCCTGGTCACTCTCGGGATTCCGTTCGGCTTTTGTTGGTTGCAGTATCGTGCATATGCGACCATGCCTGTTCGCGTGGTAAAAGTGCAGATCGGTTGTGTCTGGCAAAACCCCGGCGGAGTAGCGTTGGATTTCATGGTGTCTCCACAAATGCCCCATCCGAGCAAAGCTTATTGGTTGATGCGGAGAATAAGTTAGATCCCTCCATGGTGTTCTTCATGCAGGCTATCGTCATTCAATGTAGGTTCCTGGTGACCATGCGCTCAGGAGCATTATCAAGTCGCCGTGTGGCTGCTGTATTTGCTTCACAGTCATTGGTGAGCCAAACAAAGGCTCCCCGCCAAAGAGCTCACGACTGTGACGGGAGGGATCGTGGTTTGAATCATGGCCTGCAGCATAAAAGGTACAACAGAGACCAACAGCCAGCATGAACAGAGGAGGGGCAATAACGAAAAAGACAATACAGGATAGAACAGTTAACAAAAAGAATTGCCGACGGAAGGATTTGAACCTCCGACTGTCAGAGTCCCCGCCCATCCGAGACGTGGCAGGACCGACCTTGCGACCCATTGCGCGTAAGGATAATATGGTGATAAGAATGCCTAAGATACCTAAGAATAGGGAATGGGCATTCGGTCCTACCACGAATCGAACATGGGGCGGTTATTGGGAGTTGAGCGTGATAACCACTACACCACATCGGCTTCGTTGTTGAAGAGATGAGGAGGAACTGCGCGATAGCGGATCACACTAAACCACAAGTAGCAATTGATCGCCGCTTCCTTCCCCACACCGGCTCCATCGGTCTCCACCAACCAATATTCTGCACCCATACAGCCGAAGCAAGGGACAGCTCTCCAACCTTCTGAAATCTGTGTAAAAAGCGCTTGAAAATACAGTGGAGATTGTGTGAACTGTAGCTTCATGGGATGTGTGCAAGCGGGGTAGAAAAGAGAGACGTGTAGCCGGGGCGAAAGGATACTTGCTGTAATTCACCGTGTCAACAACTCTTGGCAAACGGCTACGCATAACGATTGCGCGACTTCTCATCTGCCATAAATCCCTTAATCAATCAACTCGATGGCTTTGACTATCAAGGTTTATAAGTAGCATATTTTCAACATCCATGGGCCCTGCACTCTCCAAGGTCGGGCACAATATATTCCGAATGGGTTTCTTCAACTCAGTTCATGTACACGCATGATGAGTAATATGTAAGCCCGTAGCCTACACCCACAGCTATGCTTTCATGTATTCTCGGACTATTCTTGACTTTTGTACCGACATGATTCCTTGAAAATCGAACCAAAAAGGTAAACGTTATTGGTGATATCCCCAGGGCTTGAAGATAACGGAAACGTCAGGTGCTCAGGTGGGGGATTTAAGTGTCGACATCGGCATGTTTCAGACTATCTCAAGAAGGGACCAGACATTTGGAAACATAATGAAGCCCTCCAAAAGGAGAATATTCAACTTCATGCCGTTGCATCAAAGCCGGCATATTTCCCCTTTGGCTTTCAAGTCCCGAGGTCCTGCGGAAACCTGTCTTAGGCCGCTCCAGCACAGACACCAGGAACGTACGAAATCCACCACTCGGTGCAGCAAATCTCAGCCCACACACCATTATCCTCAGCTGGATTATACCTGCACAAGATCACCCCACATGCTGTTTAACCTTATTCACTCATTTCTGCATGAATTAAGCATTTCCCAGAAAGGTTGTCCGCCCGTGCCGCACCAAGCTTTTACTGCTATTTCCACGAATGAGTCTTGGCCCGAGATGAGGGCCAAGCTTGTTTCTGATGTTAAATAGATCGGTATCTGCTGGAGGTGTTTTCAAAGTCAATCTCCACAGATAATTGTACTTGGCAACTCGCGATCATGCACCCTCGGCAATTGACAGTACCGGTGGCGCTTTTCGCAGCACTAGGGTCCGGATATGCAGATCCGGAAGGCTGTTCTGGTGCATGTGTGGTTTACGACCCGACAATCATTCAAAGGTCGTCGGACAGTACATACTTTCGTTTTTCTACTGGAAATGAGATTTCTTATGCTAGTGCATCGAGCCTTTTGGGACCATGGACAACTATTGGATCTGTGCTGCCAGATGGCTCGTCCATTGATCTCGATGGAAATACTGACCTTTGGGTGAGTTCAACTCCCAAAAAATTTCCCTTACGTCCCGGAAGTCATGTTGTCGTTATGGCGATTGGCATCTATCCCCTGGCTCTTTTTATTCTGATAGTGTTTCTACCACAGGCCCCCGACGCCCATTACATTGACGGTCTGTACTATGTCTACTATGCCGTCTCGACCTTCGGCTCGCAGGACTCTGCCATCGGTCTCGCAACTTCCGAGACAATGGAGCTAGACTCCTGGACGGATCACGGTTCTGTCGGCATCCAGTCCTCGTCTTCAAAGGTCTACAACGCGATTGATCCTAGTCTGATCGAAGTTGACGGCACCTATTACATGAACTTTGGCTCATTCTGGGACGACATCTACCAGGTGGAGATGAACTCTGCGGCAACTGCTGCCAGTGGGTCTTCCTACAACATTGCCTACTATCCAGATGGGACCCACCAAGAGGAGGGTTCATACATGTACAAGTATGGAAGCTACTATTACCTATTTTATTCGTGGGGTGTTTGCTGCGACTACAGTGATGACCTACCTGCCTCGGGGCAGGAATATCATATCAAGGTCTGTCGGTCGACATCTGCGACTGGTAGCTTTGTGAGTTTCCTTGACCGCTTCCCACCTGATTTGATTGCTAATGTCTATTAGGTCGACGCGGATGGCACTGATTGCACAGATGGTGGTGGTACGATCGTTTTGGAGAGCCATGGAGAGGTTTATGGACCTGGGGGACAGTAAGTGGTATCCTTGGTTCTCATGATTATTTTGACATGGATACTAAATGTGTGCAGGGGTGTGTACGATGACCCGACTTACGGTACGGTACTCTACTATGCCTACACGAACACCAGCATCGGTTACGCCGACGATGAAAAGCAGTTTGGTTGGAATGTTATTGACTGGTCTACTGGATGGCCTGTCGTATAAGTGGGCGAGGCGAGGCGTCTTGACGATACGAGCGTTAAGCATTCCCCAAAACGCTGGATTTATCTCCTCTTAGGCACCATGTATCAGATTATTCGAATTTCGAGTCCATCTAGCTCCACCTGCCATCTATTTATTTTTCATTTCTTCCCAGTTTATTTGCATAAAAAATCAGGGTCCAGCCCGGGTAGGTTAGATCTTGTCGCCAAGACCTAGACCAAATTGCAACAAATCGTGGAAATGGCTATCCTCACCATGATCAAAGACCCTCATTGGCTAGGGATCAATTCTAAAGCCGTCAGCCGTATGCAAGACTCTCGCCTAGTGATTCCATTAAATCCCTAGCTCTGCCAAGGCGACGCCCCAGCGGGTGCTCCAGGGCAATTTCAGCCGATTGCTGACAGTCCAACCCATTGGTCGTTTTGGAGGGATACAGTCGCGGAATCCATAGCCAAGAGAGATGGGACTGGAACAGGAAGGGTCACATTGGCCGTCATCCTCGTATTCAGCCTGCGGGCTGTACTCGCCTTGATAAGTCTTTCTCCAAGAGGTGGCCTTCTCTATCAGTCTTTTTCCTTTCACTTATACACATCCACGTTTTAACGTTTAAAATGGTATGGAATATATCCCACTTCCTGGTTAGATTTGTGCCTAATACCTCGTTCATGTGGTAGGACGGGGAGCAGTACGAGTTTCCGTTCCTACAGGAAGTTTATACCCCACGCGATGCTGCTAAAGTCGAGTAAGATGCTCTTCCACTCCCCTGAGACTTCTATTAGAATACCTCATTGATATTCATCGCCTCTAGCTTTGTGTTTGTTCATGGTCTGAATCCTCGCGGTCGAAATGACCATCCTTTCGAGACATGGACGCATGCGAACGGCAAGTTCTGGCCGACGGATTTCTTGGCCGAGGACATGCCGTTCGCTCGCGTGTTTGTTTATGGGTATAATTCAAATATCACCAACGCTCAGACTATGTCGACGGCCAGTATCAAAGACCATGCGAACACACTTTTGAATCTTTTGGATATGGAGCGGGAACCGTCGATGGTAAGAATACTTTCAGCATACATGGATGGCGATGAGCTGACTTGTAGTAGCACGCATTGCCACCGAAAATTATTTTTATCGGACACAGTCTCGGTGGGTTGGTAATAAAGCAGGTAGGACGATATCCAGTGCCTAACTTCGTGTGTCAAGTGACTGAAATGACGTGGAATCATAGGCACTTCTCAATGCAAAGGAAGACCCCAAGTACAACTCTATCCGCACGGCTACATCTGGACTCGTCTTCTTTGGAACCCCACACCGAGGTGCAAAAGCTGTTGAGCTGGGAAAGATCGCGGCAAGGGTTGCGCGTTTCATTTCAAAAGGTCAAGCTAGCAATGACTTACTTGACTGTTTGGAACATAACTCCCTCTTCACGCGACAAATGTCCGACCGATTTCGACACCAACTGGAGGACTATCGCGTTGTCAGTTTCATCGAAGGGAAGGAAGTCCAAATCGCAGGTGTGGGCCCGGCATCTCTAAGCCATGTGAGTGCATGAGACTACCACCATACATACCGGTGCCTAATTCAAGTAGTTGGTTGTGGATGAAGAGTCCGCCGTTCTTGGTCTTTCTGGATTGCGCGAAACCCAACTAAAACTCGACGCGGACCATTCGCAGATGTGTAAAGTGGCAGCCCGGGGCCCGATGTACAAGCTCATCAAGGGAAACATCAAGCAATTGGTCGACCAGGCCATGCTGGCGGATCAAGGGTTCATTCCTCAACCTCAAGCAACACCCCATCCCACAGCAGGTCGGTCTCCGCCTCCAGTACCACCTCGCATGCATTCCAACAGCAGCACGCCATATGCTCCCCCTGGACGGCCTAGTGAGCCTGCTCAGAGAATAGCGGGGACAATCTTTGTCGCAACGGATAGGGATCCCCGGTCGATCAGATCTGCCGAGTTGAAAAATGCTGCGAAATGGGAAGAAGCTCGGAAGATCGACTATGAGATCTTCCAAGAACATCTCAGAACGCTCGGTGCAGACCATGTCAGCACCTTGACCGTCGGCTATCAGTTAGCGGAAGTGGAGTTCGAAGGCATCTTCTTCCCCAAAGCAATGGAATGGGGCCAGTGGGTATCTGAGAATGCGCAGAGGGTACTTGGAACACGACATGCATTGTCCATGAAGACAGAGAGTCTGATGGCCGAAATCATCTGCGCCAAGGGCAGATATCAAGAGGCTGAGTCGATGTGCGCAAATGTGCTAGCCCGGCAGCAGATGACAATTGGCGAAGATCACTTCGACACCATACAAACCCGTCGCCGATTGGGCTTGGCATATAATGGATTGAAGCGACGAGAAAACGCTCTCATGACAGCAGAAAAAATCGCCGAAACCTACAAACGTCTGCTAGGCGAGAATCACATCAAAGTATTCGCTGCAATCCTGGACACGCTCGAATGGGTTCTCTTCAATCACTCAGAAACCACCTACGTCACGATCCATCTGCAACCCGACGTCCGACAAGCAGTAGATATGCTCCCAAACGTCCACGAGGAGCTCAAGGCCGCCCTCGGACAGTCTCACCCGCTCACCGTCCGAGCCCTGTCTCTAGTGGGCCGGGGATTGACGCGCGCACAACAAACCGTCGAAGCATCTGAGACCCTCCGACGAGCCCTCGCGCTCTCCGAGGAAGCCTTTGGCCCTGACCACCCACTGACAATGGAGATCGTCAGTAACATTGGATTAATGTACATGTTCCAGGGTCCGCAGTATATGATTGGCGCGAACACGAAGACCGAGGGACTTCCCTGGTTGACTCGCTACCTAAATTGGCTGGAGCGGCGCAGCGGCATAGATAACCCAGAAACTCAAACCGTCTTAGAGATGCTTGGCAATCTCCACATGCAGGCAGGGGAGTACGCGCCCGCTCAGAAATACTATGAGCGGTGTTTGGCTGCTTATGGGGGGACAAATCCGACTGTGACGCAGCGCATCAGTACCAATTTGCAGCTATGCCGGGCAAATACCATGTTTACCAATCGTGGTTCGGGCGGTATCGGGGGATTCTTGTCCTCTCTGCAGCGATACTAGTTTTAGGTTTGGGCGTTTGGATTTGACTAGGAACATACGCGTTCTACTGTGAGCTTTGGAAATATGATGGTTATTGTGGACATATTGGTATTGCCACGCAACTGATTAATTGCCCAGGTGCGGGGTATCATGTCTTAAATAGTATGTAGCATGAATTGACTAGTCTTTGGTATCACGTCGTATCCTAGCAGCCCGTCATCATTGCCGAGCGATGGTATCAAAAGATGTTCCTAGTTGGAAATCTTCCCGGGGACCTTCTTGCTGTACGTGGGAAGAAAGTCAGTACCATATTACATTTGCGCCAGTGAGGTTCAAAAAACACTTACCCAGTAGCACTCTCAAACTTCTCACGCGCGGTGTCGGTAATCTTCTCGTTGGTGGAGCGCATCTTGGCAGGGTCAACCTTGCCGCCGCCAAACTTCTTCTCTCCGGAATCAAGAGCTAGAAAAGATTAGAGAATGAAGGTAATTTGCTTATCGTGGTACTTACCCTTGTCAACGTAGTCCTCATTACCAGCAGCCTGGTTGGAGGAGCCATGGGAGCTGCTGCCACCACCGAGCTTGTGTGCGAGACCAGAAAGCTTATCCATTGCGTGTGATGATAAAATTGGTTGGAGATAAAGTTGGTTGAAAATAAAGATAGCAGTAGTTGAAGATTGGAAAAGAAAGGGAACGGAGGATCAATTTATAGGACGGTCTACATCATGGATACAACGATTTGGTTTGGAATCGTCATTGCTGTGGTCAGATCGATACTGTTGGATGGCTGCCCCACGGACCCCTTCTTTGTTGATGCTCTGTGGCTAGGTCATATTAGCTAGACTTTTTTGGATCTGAGGTCATTGCTGCCGATCCGATCAAGTTGGCAATGATCATTGGTTGTGGCGCAGGAGATACAACATTGGCTGACGTCATGGAGTTTTCTCAAAAATAGTTTGGGGCCCCAGGCATGCACGCAGCTGACACCCCGTATTCCAGGCATCATTAAGGCAATCAGTCATGAGCTCAAATCAGCATCTCGACTGTCGATCACTTTTGTCCGGTCTTTTCTCCGAGTTGGGGTGCAAGGCGGAGATTTCCGACTGCTAGCACGCTTGGGCCCAGACTATACTCGCCTAATGTGTGTGGATGCTTGACTACCGCAATTGTGCCTTCCATATATTTCAGCGCATTCACTGTCGCGTGTTGGTCAGACGACACGATCTCGAACGGCAATCAAAATGGATCCAGCAGCTTCGTTTATATCTAGCAGAATATGAATATCTCGGGTCTCGCTCCCCCGAGCGAGACCATTTCCCCGCGCTCCACTTTTGGACACTGAATCCCACCAATTTCCCCATGGGTAACGAACCAATCAAAGGCCCCAAAGGCCCTGGGTCAAACCATGTTTTACAATTCCAGACCCTGAACGGCAGGATGTGTTGTTCACGCGAGGTATTCTTTGTGTTCTCCCCACGGGGCACTTGGCATCCTATCGGACTTGCACCGAGAGACCTGTACTTCCTCGTCTTCTGGCGGGTTTCGGGTTTCCTATAAAGAGAAATACCCCGGCAGAGCGTGAAAGATCACTACTCTGTTTATACAGATTGTCGAGTCAACGCCATGGCTAAGTCAGACGCAGAACAAATTGAGTACCAAGAGACATCGGCGAAGGGTGCCGAGCTTGAACAAGATGCGCTCTATCAAGCCTATGTCACAAAAAGTCCTGAATGGCATCAGAAGATGACTCGCTCTCTTTTACGCAAAGTGGACTTGCATCTTTTGCCATTCTTGATCTTGATGTATCTGCTCAATTTTTTGGACCGCAAGTAAGAACTTGATCCTGCCTCAAGCCTTTCTCTTTCAAAAGTGTTAATGGTTCCCGTTCCAGCAATTTGTCACAAGCGCGTCTAGGATCCCTCGAGAAAGATCTAGGAATGAAAGGGACTGACTATAACTTGGCTACGAGCATTCTGTTCGTTGGTTATTTATTGATGCAGCTGCCATCTAACCTCCTTCTGACTCAAATCCGACCGTCACTATTCTTGGGGATTGCCATGGCCATTTGGTAAGCACTGAAGCGAATATGGATCGGGAGCATAAATATTCATTGTTTCGATAGGGGTGTCATATCTGCCTGCCAAGCTGCTACTCAATCTTTCGCAGGCCTGGTCGTTACACGGTTCTTCCTCGGCTTTGTCGAAGCCCCATTCTTCCCGGGTGCTGTCATGTTAATGTGAGTGCCGCCGCCTGAACACGACATCCACAGTCTCTGACTACTTGTCCTAGGTCGAGTTGGTATACAAGAAAAGAGCTCAGTGTTCGCATCGCATGGTTCTATGCGGGTAGCTCGCTAGCGAACGCGTTTGGTGGATTGATTGGAGCTGGTGTTCTGGGTAACCTAGATGGTGCACATGGCCTTGCCGGATGGCGTTGGCTATTCATCATCGAGGGCAGTATCACAACCGGAATATCTCTTCTTGCAGCGTAAGTCCTTCCATGCACTTGTTGTTTATTCTTCGTTTCTCATCCCTCCTAGCATCTTCCTTCCAAATTACCCTGCAACCACCTCATGGCTAGACGCCCAGGAGCAAGCATATGCCCAATGGCGTTTGATCGATGATGCAGGCGAAGCCGATGACGCGAGTACCAGTAGCATCAAGGAAGCTCTGGCTCTGGTATTTGCTGACAAGCGTATCTACCTCTTCATCCTGCTTCAGCATGTCTCGCTTCTATCTCAGAACTTCCAGTACTTTTTCCCGACCATCGTGCAAACTCTTGGGTACAATAACATCGAGACTCTTTTAATCACAGCACCCGTGTGGATCGCCACTTTTTTTGTCTCACTTTTCGTCACCTGGACATCTGGCAAGACAAACGACCGCAGCTGGCACATTATTTGTTTGATGATGATCAGTGTGGTAGGAGGAGTAATCTGCACTGCAACAACAAATACCGGCGCAAGATTCTTCGCCATGTTCCTGTAAGCCAATTCCAACAAGTTCCATTGAAAATCATCGCTAACCCGGTCAGAATGCCAATGGGTGCTGTTTCCGCTTATCAGATCATTCTCGCGTGGGTCGCAAATTCTTTCCCTAGACCTCTGGTCAAGCGATCTGCTGCCATTGCTCTGGCCAATATGATTGGTAATACTGCTTCAATCTATGGAAGCTACATGTGGCCTGACTCGTCGGGTCCCCGCTACATCCCGGGTGGCACTGCTACTGCTGTGATCGCATTGCTGGTTGCTGTTGTGGCTCTAGTCATTCGACTAGTTCATGTGAAGATGAATAAGCGATTAGAAGAGGCGGAGTCCTCGCAAGACATTCCCTCTTCAGATGTCTATGACCTGGATAGTCGCGTCACTGGCTTCCGTTATATCCTTTGAGTGTTTCACGATATCTATGTTTCGCTTCGCTGTGATGAGATTCCACGTTAGCTATTCCAGTAATGTTACTATACAGCTCGGATAGAGTATAATAGTTAGAATATACCCAAGACGTGATGTTCCATTTCAATTGATGAGGACTGCTTGTTTGTCCCGTGTTCGCTTCCGCTGGGAGCGCAGGCATAGATAGTACTTCCCCGCCTGGGCGGATTCCCACCAGCTCCGAGATCGATGGTACCTTGCACAAAAACTTTCATATTCAATTCAAAGGTCTTCAAGAAGCGGCAATTTTTGATAGTCGATATACTCCGTGTCACGAGCTGCACATGTGTGTTGATTCATAGCGGGGCAGCTTTTACACGCTCGTCATCACAGCCCAATCAGAATGCCCGTTTCCCAGCGCGGAGTCAGTGAGGCATTGTGCCACCTTCCACCCATGAATATCCTTCAAGGTACATCGAAGTGCTTCAGCTGTTCCGGAAACATTCCAGATCAAACCGCGTTCGCCGTCTCTTCAGGCGTTGGAACAAAGATTCCCCCGAAGAAGGCGATAACTACGAGTCTACAAGTCCACCACGCACGCCGATCAACATTTACATCCGAAATGGTGAGTATTCATCCATTTACCCAAAAACGATTGGAAATGTTAACCAGATCAGTCAAAAAATAAAGAATCATATTCTGCTGCTTTTACGTCAATTCCCATTCTGGATTTTTCTCAAACGTCATCCCCATCAACGAAGCCGGAGTTTCTTAACAAGCTTCGAGAAGCTCTGATCAATGTTGGTTTTTTCTATCTCGAGAATCCACCAGTATCACCTTCATCCCGGTCTACCTTGATCGAGAAAGGGCTGGAGCTTTTTGAGTTGCCTTTAGAAAAGAAATTGGAAATCGAGATGGTGCATAGTCCTCATTTCCTAGGGTACTCTAGACTGGGTGCTGAGATCACTACTCTTAAAACTGATCATCGCGAGCAATTTGACGTGATTATCCCTTATACCGTTTGCCAAGCTTCATACTAACTTATCCTAGTTTGCTACTGAGCTTCCTGCTCCCGGTGCTCAAGAGCCACTTTATAGAAATATTGTTGGTCCCAATCAGGTAGGATCCACGGATAAATCCCCATAGCTTTTGACTAAGTCTCCGATGATCTCAGTGGCCCGATGAAGAAGCGATTCCAGGATTCCGGCAGACACTAGAACATTACATCGACGAAGTGACTGAATTCGCGGGGATTTTCACGGCTCTCGTTGCAGAGGCTCTGGATCTTCCACCGACAGCTTTAGATCAAGCCTTCAACAATCCCCAGCAGCATAAAATAAAACTCATCAAATATCCTCTCCCCGCGACTGCCAATGACAACGACCCTGGTTTTCAAGGGGTGGGTGCACACAAAGACTCCGGCTTCCTCACCTATCTTCTCCAAGCCACACCACACCATGGTCTTGAAGTCCAAAACAAAGCCGGAGCGTGGATCTCAGCACCCCCAATCCCAAACTCTTTCGTCATCAACATCGGCCGAGCTCTCGAGGCATTAACAGGAGGTATTTGTACAGCCACCACTCATCGGGTCAGCCTCCGACCCGAGAACTTTGTTGATCCAGAAGGAAATCACCTCGGTCCTCGATTTTCGTTTCCGTTCTTTCAAGGTGTTAACCCCGATCTATCTGCCGATAAAATTAATCTGGTCCTCCCGAGTCACATCCGAGACCTGGTCAAGGACGAGAAAGTAAAATCGGACGCCGAAGCAACCTTCAACGCAATGTTCCAAACGAGTATTGGTGAAGGTACTTTTGTTGCTCGAATCACCAGTCATCAAGATGTTGGTCAGCGATGGTATCCGGATGTCCTGGCGAAGGCTCTAAAAGGGCAACAAGATTTTGTGGCTTGATAAGCCCCACCTTGTAATCTCGTGGCAAATGAAGGGTTGTCCTCTCCTTAGTCTTTTGGCGTGGAATTTGATAGAAGATCGGCACATGTAGGATCGGTTGGCTGTAGTGCGTGCACCGTGCGGGGTTTGCATGGTGCAAGACCGTATCTTGGACTCTGACAGGCGCGATTAGAGGGTTTCAGGGGAAATGCATAAATAACCTTGATTAGTCTGTATTTGTTTATTTTCTTTTATGTTTACTGAGGCTCCTTGTATTGTCGGTATACCATGTTGTGGACAAAGTTGTTGATTGGGCTCTTTGCCGCGTCAGGGGTAGCTCAGTCCACCGACGGTCTCTATGATCTGGTTAAGCGGAGATTGCCGAACCACGTTGATAATTTTCGCTTTAGTCTGGTTTCCAATATCACTGAAGGCAATGGCGGTTATGATCAATTTATGGTTCAGGAAGCTCCGAATGGCAAGGTAATCGTGCAGGGAACATCTCTTAGTGCGCTGTCGTCAGGGTAGGCCGTCAAAGTCTGACAGAAATTGAAACATCCGCTCACCAATTCAGTCTCCATCGTTATTTGACCGATATCGCCCATGTCGACATATACTGGTTCATTGGCAGCCAGCTGGATCAGGCACCTGCTAATCTTCCTCGTCTCCGCGCTCCAATTGTCGGCGCGAGTACTGTTCCCTGGAGATACCACTTCAATACAGGTAATTTGATTCCACCCCTCCATGTAATATAATTGGTGATTAACAAGCCATAGTCACCTTTTCTTATACCACTGCTTACTGGTCATGGGAGGACTGGGAGACTGAGCTAGACTGGATGGCCCTGCGTGGCATCAATCTCCCTCTTGCGTGGGTCGGCGCCGAGAAGATCATGGTAGAGGTATTCCGAGAAGTCGGACTCACCGACGCAGAGATTGCAACTTTCCTCAGCGGGCCAGCTTTCCAAGCCTGGAACAGATTCGGAAATATCCAAGGCTCTTGGGGTGGCGACTTGCCCTCGGCATGGATCGACGGACAATTCGCTCTTCAGAAGAAAATTGTACGTCGCATGGTCGAGTTAGGAATGACCCCTGTGCTCCCTGCATTTACCGGTTTCGTTCCCGACAATTTCACCCGCGTATATCCAAATGCGAGTGTTGTCCGTTCATCATCTTGGAATGGGTTCCAGACCCAATACACCAATGATTCATTCCTTGAGCCGTTTGATGATCACTTTGCGCCACTACAAACTAGTTTCCTTCAAAAGCAACAAGCAGCTTATGGTAACGTGACTCACGTTTATACTTTGGATCAGTATAATGAAATGAATCCTTACTCAGGAGACTTGGATTATCTCCGCAACGTTACCAGCACTACTTGGCAGAGTCTCAAGAATGTTGACCCTGACGCGATTTGGATGATGCAGGGCTGGTTGTTTTACAGCTCGGAGGACTTTTGGACTGATGAGCGGGTGGAGGCTTATCTTTCTGGTGTTGAAGACGACAACGATATGTTGATTCTCGATCTTTTCTCCGAGTCCGCGCCTCAATGGCGTCGCACAGACTCCTATTATGGCAAGCCGTGGATCTGGTGTCAACTGCACGACTACGGTGGCAACATGGGCCTTTACGGTCAGATCTCGAACATTACTCAGAACGCGTCACAGGCGCTGACCGAGTCTTCTTCTATGGTCGGATATGGACTCAGTCCTGAAGGTCAAGAAGGCAATGAGATCGTTTATGATTTGCTCTTGGACCAGGCTTGGTCCTCAACTCCGATCAACACACAGAAATACTTCCACAACTGGGTGACTAGCCGGTACTCCGGCTCTGGGTCTATTTCCCAGGGGCTGTATGATGCATGGGAAACTATGCGAAAGCCCGTCTATGACAACACCGATCTCGACGACATTGTCTCTGTGGTCAAATCTATTTTCGAGCTTAAGCCAGCTATTCAGGGTCTTGTCAACAAGACTGGTCACCATGGCACAATGCTTACCTACGACCCATCGGTGGTCGCACAGGCATGGCAATCTATGTATCACGCTGCTAATAGTGAGCCAAAACTGTGGAGCAACCCGGCCTACCAGCATGATATGGTCGATGTAACTCGCCAGGTGATGGCCAACGCCTTCATCTCACTGTATAACAATCTGATCTCGAGCTGGAATTCATCTAATCCGAACAGCACAACACTGTCGCACGAAGGAGAGAAGTTGATCCAGCTTTTGACTGACCTTGACTCTGTCCTTTCGACCAATGAGAACTTCCGACTTTCAACATGGATTAAATCCGCTCGAGCCTGGGCTCATGGCGACAAAAGTCAAGCTTCATTCTACGAGTACGACGCTCGTAATCAAATCACTCTGTGGGGTCCCCGCGGGGAAATCACTGACTACGCCTCAAAACAATGGGGCGGTCTTGTGTTGTCGTACTATGTCCCTCGATGGAAGATTTTTGTGGAATATTTACAGTCAACCACTGTGTCGGCATACAATGCTACAGCTTTGGGGGATCAATTGCTAGATTTTGAACTTGGATGGCAAGACCAGACGTGGTCGGACGAATCTTCCGAGAACACAGCTGACCTAAAGAAGGTGCTGACACAAGTGCATCAACGGTGGCAAACTGTTTTTGCTGCGTGATACACAACATGGATCGACGCCAAGATAAAACCGTTTATTTAGAGCATCATATAGAAATGAGATCCTTCGCTGAGTATCATTTGAAGTAGGAGTTGCATCGAATACAATGATGGTATCTAATGGCATTTGTGTACTCAATGAATGAAAACAGGCCGATCTCACGCACTTTATGTCATTGTTGACAACGATGTCGAATCGGGACGTGGTTCCCCGCATCCCGAGATTGGCTGCAACGGCTCTTATCTACACGTCCCAACATGATTAGAAATACACAGCCGCTTAACTCCGAGTCCCTTTATTCACTGAATCCAATGGCTTCTTATCCATCTTACCATCTCCTTTCCGGCTTTGAATTCATCGCATTCCATCATGGCCGATACACAAACACCACCATCTGAACAAACGCCGCTCATCGAGCCAGCATCAAAACATGACTCTCTTGACCTGAGCACCCTCAGAGGATGGGGAATCTCTGCCCTGATGTCCGTTTTGATTTTCATTCAAGGTAAAACCGAGTCTGGCTGCTTTGATCAGATGATATGCTGATTAATTGATTCAAAAAGCAACCAACATCTCAATGATGACAACCGCCCAATCCGAGGTCGCTGCGGACTTAGATGCTTTCGCCGAGGCCACATGGTTTACCTCCGCATTCATGGTAGGACATCGGAATCCCCGGGATTAGCAATGCAGTATTTAATTATTTGAAGATCGCAGCCTCGAGTGTAACTCCGCTAGCAGGACGATTCGCGGCGATCTTCACCGCACGTCTTTGCTTGGTTTTCTCAAGCACCATCCTGGCAATTGGCCTTTTCATTACTGCTGCCGCCCCTTCCCTGGCAATTTTCCTATTGGGTCGTGCTGTCACAGGATTAGGAAGTGGAGGGTTGATGAGTATCGCTATTATATTGATTTTGGACTTTACCAGTGACCGGAGACGAGGACTGTTTATTGGGCTTATCAGCACCAACTATACTGTAGGACTTGCTTCGGGCGCTGTCCTAGCGGGACTTCTGACTCCGATAATTGGATGGGTATGCTAGCTATTATCTCAGATTTGTTATAGTGACTAACCTAATCTAATGCTTAGCGTCTCATATTTTGGATTCAAGCTCCGGCTGCGCTTGTTCTGGGACCTCTGCTATACTTCGCTATTCCACCCCCAGCCGAAGATCATAGCTCCCTCCGGGAAGGTACTTTACTTCAAAGCCTTGCTCGCATAGATTATGCTGGTGCCCTGACAATTGTAAGTTTATTATGATTGCTCGAGAAGACACTGCTAACAAGGTAGACAATCTCGGTCGTCCTCTTTCTCACTAGCTTGGCCTCCCCTGAGGTTCTCATCTGGCCCATTCCATTATCATTGGCCTTTTTCCTTATCTTTCTTCTCATTGAGTCTCGATGGGCTCGCGAGCCCATTATTCCAGTCCACCTGTTCCGCAACCGCAGCGTCCTGCTGTCATGCCTGGCTGGCGTAGGCTTAATGATGTCTCGCTGGTGCGTCGTATTTTTCACTCCGGTCTATGCAATTGCAGTTCGGGGGTGGGCCCCCGCATCCGCAGGACTTATTCTCGTCCCGACAAATGCAGGGTTCGGAACTGGTGGGATACTTGTGGGCTGGCTTCATATCCGCAAAGGAGGTAGCTACTATGTGTGAGTTACTCGCCAATATTGTCCCATCAGTCATAAACTGAGCCCAACTAACAAAATAGCTCTTGTCTGGTTCTTTTCACCCTCTTTGCGTTCGCGACAATGGCCCTCTCGATTTTGTCTTCAGAGGACTCCCCAGCAGCATTGTTTATGATGGCAACCTTCTTGAACGGATTCTTTGCTGGTGCACTAATGAACTACACCATGTCCCATCTGCTACACCTTACGAGCCCTCACATGCACTACATCGTAAGTGCCCTATTTACTACATTCCGCGGGCTCGCAGGTAGCTTTGGATCCGCTGTCGGAGGAGGCTTCTTCACTCGGATCCTTAAAGGAGCATTGGAAACGGGATTCTTGCGGGAAGGACTCGCGCCTAAACCAGATCTGGTTCGCACTCTTCTTGGTAGTCCTGCTACAGTATCCCATTTGGATGGCATTGAGCGGCTGGTCGCTATTCAGAGCTATGCACATGCATTCCGTATGCTGTTTCTGGCGGCTACGTTCCTGATACTGGTGGCTGCTGCGCTCCAGTCAGGGACTGGGTGGACAGCAGGAAGCGAGGATAAGGTTGATGAATGGGAAGAAGACCGGGTATAGAGACTAATGCTTCCTCCTTCAGCTATCATGAACTCAATTGGGAACCAATAAACAAGCTTAGATAAAAGGATTGAAATCCCATGGAAGAACAAAGAGCGGGCTAGGTGCAATGAAAAGAAGATGCGGTAAAACGACTAGAGCTATGTATACCAAATATATGCATTTGACAATCATTGATCCGCTTTCTAGTCTCTGCTCTTCACTTAGCACACACAATTTTTGTTCTGAGCGCTCTCATTCCAAGGTGAGGCTGCAGTCGCTAAGAAAGGAAAGCCCGAGATAGGGTTCGTGTATATCAATAGTCATGATTGAAACGCCATTTTCCCTAATGCGCCATCCAAAAACTGCCATGTTAGAATGGCCGACATAATTAACAGATCTGTTCGGACTTATGCATCTTCTTTTCTTCAATGAATACCATTAACTAGTTTTCGTTCACTGCGAGGTATCTCCGAAAATACGAGTGCCTTGATGCCTTGATGCCTTATTGGCGCCTTATCTCCTTCATAGCTCCACCTCCACCTCAATCTCCAACGCGAACTCTTACTCTACTTTCACTCACGCACCACCTCTAAATACTTGCCAACCATAACCGCCACAACTCACAATGCCACGCGCTGTTAGAGGTAGGAGAAAATCCAATCACCGGAAAATCTGCGCTCACGTGGACTACCAGGCCTGCTCATCGAGTGCGATCCCTCGATTAAGTCCATGATCTTGAAGTACGACGAGGAACGACATGACTATATTGTAGAAGACCTGGATGATGAGAATCATCTGGTCATCAAGGAGAGTCAGCTGGAAAACCTGAAGGCACGCCTGGACCATGTATGTGCCCGATGAGCCTCGACTCGCCATCTCCACACCCGGGGCTTGGCGCATTCGAAACACTATCTGACATGCGTGCAATTAGGATCTCGATGAGAAAATCATGCAGCTTGACGAATCCGAATCCGAGTAAAGCGACCGTGTCTAGGAAGAACTCAACCTCCTCGAAACATTATGCTCTCAAAGGGCACGATCACGATTTCAATATGATAACTACCGAGATGGCTGCCGGCACACAACCCTTTGCGCCTTCTGTGTTGTATCTGCGTGCATCCTCCACTGTTGGAGCAGCTTGACAGGCCCACGTGCGAAGACGAATCTTTACGAGCCACTCTATGATACCCACCATTCAACCCCTACTGTGGATTCGCCCTACCTGTCGTTCTACTTGAAGAGTTCACTGCAAAGGGCGCCCTAGAAAAGCGACCAGTGACTAATGGCTATTTAGACGGATGGCGAATACGGACAATTCATTGACTTATGAGATATCCCCTGAAGCAAATCTTCGAAATATTCTGTTGGCTTTGACTGGTTTCTTGCTGCATGCATCAATTTGATATCGGGTTGGAGCCCACCAGCTCCGATGTTGATATTGACTGCAGGCTAGCAACTCATTTTCTCGTTCTATCCATTTCTTAGGGGGACTCCCATAATTAATATGCACTGGAGACTCTGGACCAATTCATTCTTCAAATTCTTACCCTTCTTCCCCTCGTATAATTTCCTCCAGGTTTCTTGGTACCCACGGATCGCCCGAAGGACTACTGTACGAATCTGTACATCATAGAATCGACAGTAGCAATGACAGAATCATCTTCCCAAGGCTCCAGTCAGGTACTCTCTAAGTCTACAATGCCCACTTGCCCGTAAAATGTGCATATGATGTTGCCAATTATACGATTTTGTTGATTTTCACCAAGCAGGCTTTGAGACTCTTCTCAATCTGGCCGGGTCTCCGCAGAGCACCGTCTCGCCGTGGTAATGAGGCACGAGATTACCTTGCGCCGTTTCTAAAAGCTTGTCTTTTCCTCGGCTTCAAAGTCGGTTTCCTAGTCCTTCTTTCGTGTCTTGATTATGATGACTGGCGGTAGACACCCCCCTGGCAGACGTAATCCGCGCCCAAAGAAACCGAGCATATAGCCTCATCCCTATATATTCAAATCTAGACTTTGACATTTAGATATTGATTGGGACATTTTGGTGTGAGGACCGTTGTCTAACCCAGAAACGTTGACAAATGAGTCTTATTCATGACCATCCAATGGATAATTGTTCGAATTGTGAATTATTAATTACAAAATCCGAGAAGTCTCTAGAAACAGAGTCCAGACTAGGTCTAAGGTAACCCTCATGCCCCTGTGTGTGACATGATGTCAATCGATCAATCAACTAACCAAGTCGCCACCCTGTATGCATTACACGAAAGCCACCTCAACAAACTTCAGGACGAATGACAAGGCAAGCTCCAGGATCACATGTAGCCTGGGAAGTATCCCGGTGCTTCTAGAAATGAGAAGTATATACTCCGTACTGTACTGATGATGTCAAAGTTTGGATATCTACAGTGTACGGATCACGTGGTAGAATCGTGGAGAAGGATCCACCCGCGACGGGAAGGCACGACCCACATCCAGCGAAACATCTAGTAAACACGTGAAGATGCAACCAGCTCCTGAAATCTTCCAGAACTACAGGCAGAATGACATCTGGACTGGGTGACAGCTGTCGGCCGTGATGCATAAATACCTCCTTCACCTCTGGTCTTTTCATCCCATCGCACAACAAACAACTCTCTTGACTACTAAAGCATCAAGCTCCAAACTACATCTTTACACACTCTAAATCCATTCTCCAACTTCAACCATGTCTCTTCAATTCCGTTCTCACTTCCCCACGGATGACTTCACCCGTGACTTATCCTCCGTCTTTCGTCTCTTTGACGACTATGATGTCCACCGTCGAGCCAACCGCCACCTAGCTCCACGACCCTTCACCCCCCGCTTCGATGTTCGCGAGACTGAAGATGCTTACCACCTGGATGGTGAGCTGCCCGGAGTCTCTCAGAAGAACATCGAGATCGAGTTCTCTGACCCCCACAATCTCACCGTGAAGGGTCGCACCGAGCGCGAGTATCACACCGAGCCTGAGGCCGCGGCCGAGACTGAGGAAAACAACTCCGATACCGACACTGGTTCCAACAAGCGAGACAAGCCTGCCGCTCCCCGTTACTGGGTTAGCGAGCGAACTATCGGCGAGTTCCAGCGCACTTTCACCTTCTCCAAACGCGTGGACCAGGACGCCGTCAAGGCTAGCCTCACGGGTGGTGTTCTCTCTATTGTCCTTCCCAAGGTCACTGCTACCGCCCCCAAGAAGATTACCATCCAGTAAAGGATGTGATTCGACCACAAGCGTCTTTTTGACGTCAATTACGAGACGCAACACGAGCTACGATGTTAATACTTTTTCTTGATCGCATTGCGGGGGGAGTTTCATCAGTCTGACAGTTCTTGACAGTTCTAATTTTCAACATGTATCTTAATAGTCTCTTTTCAATCAACATCTCAGAATCAATTTGTTTTCTATAAATTTAATTCAGGCAACGTAGTCTAGACTCTACGTAGATCTAAATCAGTAGCCATGCACGTAAAGGCGGTGGACTTATCGCCCCTTATCTCTGAGCCGAGGCAAATCAGTGATGCCGAGTACGCTACCTCCCCGCTCATTAAGTATTTAGACTCTTACCTGTCAATCATTTGGAGTTTCCTGAATAAATCAAGTCCAGATTTCAGATAACTTCCTATCAAACGCCAGCGCCCCACACTCCTCCGGACTCCCGCCACGACCTATCTGGGCTATCCCTGATTCCCATCCAATATGGCGCAAGGCTACTCGTTCAAATATTTCACGGTGGAGTTCCCAGCGGACCACCCCTATGTCGCGCACGTGGAAATCAACCGTGCAGATAAGTTGAATGCCTTCCTTGAAGCGTAAGCCCTTGACCCAATCAACTATGCTCCAAACGCTACTAACAACAACAGCATGTGGCTCGAAATGGGCCAGCTATTCGCCCGACTCTCCGACGACCCGAACGTACGCGCAGTAGTCTTCAGTGGAGCCGGCGACAAAGCCTTCACAGCCGGTCTCGACGTGAAAGCCGCATCAGAAGGCAGCGCCCTCGCCAAGGACGGCATAGACGGCACAGACCCTGCCCGCAAAGCCGCACACTTCCGCCGCCACGTCGCCGAATTCCAAAACTGCATCACAGCCATCGAGAAATGCGAGAAGCCCGTCATCGTCGCTATGCACGGGTACAGCTTCGGGCTGGCAATTGATATGTCGACAACGGCAGATGTGCGTCTCTGTTCGCGCGATGTGAAATTCTCGGTGAAGGAAGTGGATATCGGCATTGCGGCTGATATTGGAACGCTTACTCGCCTTCCTAAGGTTGTTGGAAACTTTGGGTGGGTGAAGGAGGTTGCGCTTTCTGCCCGTGTATTTGGAGCGGAGGAGGCGCTGCGAGTTGGGTTTGTGAATGCAGTTTATGAGAATAAGCAGGAGACTGTTGCTGCAGCTTTGAAGATGGCGGGACTTATTGCTAGTAAAAGTCCCGTTGCTGTGCAGGGGACCAAGGAGATTTTGAATTGGTCGAGGGACCACCCCGTCCAGGATGGATTGCGGTATACTGGTGTGTGGAATGCTGCGGCTATCCAGACAAAGGATGTTTCTAAGGCGCTTTTGTCTGGGATTCAGAAGCGGACACCGACTTTTGAGAAGCTATAAATAGTAAGTGCTGTATCATATAGCGGAGGGCGGAGGTGTTCTTTTAGGAGGTATCACGGACGCATTTATCTTCCTTTGGACTATTTTAGCGGTTATAGCTGCACCTGGATTCGCTGGGCAGTCAATCGTAAATCACAAATCATGTATATAGTTTAAATATTATGGCTTCCATTTTAGTCATCTGAAGCATGATCTCGCTCGCCTCAGGCGGGTTTGCTTTGTCTTGGGAATCAAAGAAACAATAACGGAATAGATAAAGGAATCAAAGTCGCTTACGCAGGGTATTTAGACTCATCCATAACCAACTTCAATTCCTGATTTCATGACCTTTCTACCTTCCGTCTATCTTCCAAGCTCTACGTCTAAGCGTTTGAATTCATTGGCAGAAGCTATCCACTACTGTTTCCCAATATGTATGTGTTCTTTCATGAATTACTACAGAGATCATATGGTTAACGCACTTGAACTAGTTGCATCTAACATGCCCTCTTCGGTTCCCTCACCTCAAAGTGTGTCGGAGGCCGAACAGTTGACGGGCCTGAGGAGCCGGAGTATCGATTCCGACACCTGCACCATCTTCCATTTTTGTACCATAGATCTCAGCATGTGGAGTGAAAAAAAGAAGGCAATTTTACGTCAAAGATGTTCAGCAGACATAGGATCTTCCACTCTGGTATTCGAGCCTGCGTGAGGCTGGACGCTGATTGGACTTCATTTCAGTGAGGCTCACCTGGCCCCAAGGCTTATCAGATGTCTCGAGTCTTCTGGTCCACAGCCACGGTATAAACTACTCGGTGGAGAAGCCAGTATTTGGCACCTGTTTTAGATACAGTAATAGAAATGCATATCACCACTCAACTTGGACTATTACTAGTAGCCTTGTAAACTATTTGCAGATTTTATACATATGTTAGGGAACAAATACACTGGAGAATGCGTAGACATGCGGCAATCCGTGTACTCGGGAACCCGGGCATTCGTTGCTCTACCACCTCCCGGGGCCGCCTCGGACCCCGATTTCCCTTTCTCCATTCGATACGGTGTGATAGGCGCATATATGAGTCCATAATGATCACCGTATCTCCACAACGCAGCATACACCTATTCACCTCCAGAACTTGCATCAACACCAAATCACTACACCTTCCACCATGAAAGCCATCCAAATCCTAGGCGACATTTCCTCGCCCGAAATTACCACAAACCGCTCAATGACCAAACCGGTTCCCAAAAACTCGGAACTTCTCGTCGCGGTCCACGCTGCCGGAATAACCGGTGACGAAATCATCTGGCCGGAGCCATACGCCACTCCAACCCGGATCCCGGGACACGACATCTCAGGCGTGATCTCCTCCACTGGACCAGAGTACCAAGGCCCACTACAAATCGGCCAAGAAGTCTATGCTTACCTCGGGGCGGATCAAGGCCAAGGCCAAGCGGATTATGTGATATGTCTGCCGAGCGAAGTTGCGCTAAAACCGACAAAACTCTCTCATGCGGAAGCAGCCGCGCTGCCTATCCCGCTTCTTACGGCTTGGGAAGCACTTTTCGATCATGGAGCACTGAAAGCTGGAATGAAGGTTCTTGTGACAGGCGCTTCGGGGGCAGTTGGTACATTTGCTATTCAGTTCGCAGCACAGACGCTCGGTGTGCATGTTATTGCGCTGGCTTCGTCTCGGAATCATGAAATGCTGAGACGGCTTGGTGCGAGTGAGGTTCATGACTATGGAATCACCGATTGGGAAAAGCACATTGCCGACGTGGATGTGGTTTTCGATACGGTTGGAGGTGATGTCTTGAAAAAGACTTGGAATTGCGTCAAGGATGACGGGGTTATTGTGACCGTTGGGGATCCTGCGCCTGCGTGGGCATTCGGACAAGGCCAGGCCGAAGAATCTGCTGATCATCCGAATGTGCGATATGTGCATTTTATCGTGTCTCCGAATGCGGAGATACTAGGGAAGGCAGGGGAAATGATTGACTCCGGTTCCCTGGAGAAATTTGCAGTCAAAACTTTTCCATTTGATGAAGCGAAAACAGCGTGGGATCACGCTCAGCGGAGGAATCGTGGATATAAGGTGGTTATTGACTTTATTGAGAATAGCGCTTCGAATTGTTAAGCATTTACTCAATGGAGTTTGTTACGAGATTGGATCTGCTGCTAGTTCTCATCATATCATTATTTTTGACCTTCATTAGCTTGTCCAAGCTTTAGGCCTTAGCTTTCCCAGGCAACATTTGAATCCAGATCTCCAATATTATACCACCCACATAAATCATCTATAGACCCCAAGGAAGGCACCACATTGAAATCATCGCTAGATGCTCCCGTTTCAGATCCAAACGCACCCCCCTGTGATTGGCTACTGGAAAAGTCCGACCCTTCGCGGGGCTGGGTTGTCACTTTAGATGCCAGTCCAAGAACATGGTGGGCAATGGTCTGAAGTTCCCGCACGTTCCTTGCTGTTCGAGGCCACAGCTCAGCAAGCGCTTTGAGACATCCAATGGTCATGCGGATTTGTTCTCGTGCAATTGCCAATTCTTTTCCCTTCAGCAAAAAGCTACAAGCAGAGAGAAGGGCGAGCGTTCCTTCGCTGACCATGCAGGTCGTAAAGGGGGAATGGTGAAAGTATTCTGTAGGTAATGCTAACAGGCGGATTTGTTCCTCAACAGCCCGTAGTACGCGGACGGTGTGTATGTTCACCAAATCTGGTGAGGGAATAGCTTCAGGTGGCTCCCTAGCACAGCTTGACGTCTCTTCCACGGGGTTGAATTTGAGGTCTGAAAATGGACGATGCAAACCAATACTCGCGCTAGAGAAGATTTAATATCAAGACCGTTTTCCTTCATCACGGATCAAAACTTACACTTGAATAAGATGATGGGCCTGGAACATGAGCTCGTCGATTTCTCCATTCTTGCTCATGACTTCTTTGCGATTCTTGGGCAATAAAAGGAGCCACCCATTCAGGATTGAGTCTGCAGTCTGGATCACCTGCGGGGAATCTTCTTTCCGGGCATTCTTGGGAGCCGTGGAGATAGCAAATGCCGCACCTTTCACAGCACCAATGAGATAAGCAAAAGATGAGAAAACGGGATCATCGGGAGCGAACTCGCGACAGTCAAAGTCGTACAAGGTTTTCGGGGTGGGAATATGCTACACTGTGGTAAGATATACAACCTAGTCAAGAGCCGAACGATGCACTTACCCCAAGCTCATATTCGTCTTCTTCACAGGGTAGTTCCACGGTAGCATCGATGTTCCGTAGAACTTGAAAGTTCATGGTCCCAAGCGTCCCCTGGTAATAAGCTTCAATGGTATATAGCATCCACCAAGTTCGCCTCCAGCTTTCCTGCAACACCAAATCATCATCTCCATGAGTCACTGCGAATTCTTGTCGGAACATTCCCAATGCACGAGCGGCTTGAACCGCTATATTCATTTGACATTGGGATTCACTCTTGTACTCATACCAGAATAATGCGATTGAGTATAGCAGCCGACATTGAACCATGACAGGATCCGTTGGTAGTAATTGTAAAAGTCCAGCTTCTACGTGATCCTTCAATGGAATCGACCATTCATGCGACTTATAAATGTTTCCAACAAGGCGCATGACAGCAATGAGTGAATTCAAAGAATTTTGTCGCATCGGATCTTCATAGGCTTTTGTCAGGTATCTCCGAGGTAAAAGGAAAGGATGAAGCTTATGAAAATTCTTGTAGTATAAATCGATCAATGGATCGCTTCCTATGCTGCTGAACTGCACTGGAACTGTACTGGGAGACCCAGTACTAGACAGTTGACCCCCAAAACTACTTCCGTTAAGCAATTCATAGCTGTTCGAGAGATCCAGATCGACGATTCCAGTACTGAAATCCTGATGAACCTGTGGCCCCGCCGATCGCTGCAGGCTCAGACTGGTGTTCAGTCTGGAATCCTCAATAGCCGCAAGTCGCTTGCGCCTCTCGGTTAAAGCTGCACGGTCCAGCCCGCCCCGACGTGATTGGGCATATTGGCATTCCCTGGAGAATTCCGCGCAGCGAGTACAGCGGGGTTTTTTGGCGTCGCATTTGAGGTGACGCGAGCGACAGGGCAGACACGCTAGCGAAGTTCGTGTCGCTCTGCCATTATGCGGTGACCTATTGACTTTGTTGTTGTCGACGTCCATATCAAGATGGAGAGTCATCGGCTGGCTGGAGACGAGTTGGTGGTCGTCAAGACGAGCGGGTATCCGGCAATCCGGGTATCCACACCGGCGACGGTTTAGCGGGGAAACACCGGTTGCCTGATTTAAGGCTCGGGAACCTTATTTCTAATCTCCGTCACGCCATCTACTCGATTAGCCTTTTCGGGGGTCGCATCTCCATTCAACTTGTACGGATACTGAAGTCGGGATAGATGACATCAAATTGGCCACATAAAAGAGATAAAAGAGCACTAGTTTCTGTGATTCAGCCTTGATTTTCACTATCTATCCACCTTGCCAGCATTTGAGTATCTAAACAAACATTTACCAATTGACTACCCATATCGAAGAATGGCGAAGATCGTGATTATCGGTGCGGGCTTTGCTGGCGTCTGGAGTGCCCTTTCAGCCAAGCGTCTGGCAACCCTTGTGAACAAGCAAAGCAGCTTGGAGATCCAAGTCATCGCTCCAGAGCCATCCTTGGTCATGCGTCCACGACTCTACGAAGCCAAGCCATCCGAGATGACGCACTCTCTTGGTCCTCTCTTCGAGGAAGCAGGTATTACCTTTTTCCAGGGCATCGCCCAGGCAATTGATACCCAAACCAACACGATTCATGTTCGATCCCTCGAAGGGGGTGAATCAACAGTCACATATGACCGTTTGGTTCTAGCCGCCGGTAGCTCCGTCATGCACCCCCGTGGAATCACCGGCATTGAACAGAACGCCTTCGACATCGATTCCTTGGCGTCTTCTGAGAAACTAGATGCCCACCTCCAGAGCCTGACTACCCTTCCGGCAAGCCCATCACATAATACGATCGTCGTATGCGGTGCAGGGTTCACAGGCATCGAAGCCGCAGCGGAGCTACCTAAAAGACTTGGTCATATGCCAAACGTCCGTGTCATCTTGGTCAGTGGTGCCGACCAGATCGGTCCTGACTTTGCCCCGAGTTCTCGCTCTGTTATCACGCAAGCTTTGACCGAGCTCGGAGTTGAGCTGAAGCTTGGATCTGCCGTCACAGCCATCGACGCGGACGGCGTAACCCTTGCATCTGGGGAATGTATCCCAGCAAAGACTGCAATTTGGACAGCAGGCGTTCGGGCTACACCTTTGACACAGCAGATTCCCGGTGAGAAGGACAACCTCAACCGCCTTCGTGTCAATCAGCATCTGCGTGTGCCATCGGCCAATGATGTGTTCGCTACTGGTGATGCGGCTTGTGTTTTTGCTGATACAGAGGGACAGCATTATGCATTGATGAGCTGCCAGCACGCTCTCTCACTGGGTCGTGTGTCGGGACATAATGTTGCGGCGGATCTCCTCGGGGAACCTTTGGTGGATTATCAACAGGCTGCGTATAATTGCTGTCTAGACCTTGGTGACTGGGGTGCTGTTATCTCTGCGGGTTGGGATAGGGAGCTTAATATCTCCGGGGCTGAGGCAAAGAAAGTCAAGTGCTTCATCAATCAGAGATTGATCTATCCACCTGGTGACGTGGAGCAGGCGCTAGCCCAAGCAAACCCGATCTTGCCAGACTCTGACGAGCTATTTAGACAGGTGCAGGAAGCTGTGGCATAATTCCTCCGCGTTTTCAAGCTCTCTTGACACTTGTATATTTAGAAAGTTCATGTTCATTACCATGCATCATACTATGTACCACATATGTACCACAACCATAAAATACCTCTGGACCATTTCATTTCCAAAGAGTATAAAACGTATCCAACGCCATCACCTAATCTGACACACTTCCATCCGTACCCGATCCTGTCAAGTTTCAAGAAAATACACCACTCGGTTTCCTCTACCCCGAAACAAAGTAAGTTTCAGTACCAGGAATTCCCTCTCCGCACCTCCATCTAAGGCTTACCCCGAAAGCCAAGGGCTTTCCACCGTGGATCGCAGAAACCCAGCTTCCATGAATCAAAATAAGCGCTACTCCCGTCGATCACGTCAATGCGGACTTCTTTCCTGTCTTCGCTTTGGACGCTCATGCATATAATCTGCACATCGAACCCTCTTTTCCCGCTGATCCGAGCGTCCGTGGGTCAGATGACACTGGTAGACATTGCTGTCAGAGTTTCATGGGCTGCTTTTTTCCGCGTGTCTTATGAGGAAGTATCTCCGGAAACATGGACGTCGGAATATTAATTCAAGCTTATAGTGAATGAAGTTGCGGTGGCTATAAAGAGCATGTGTGCCTCTGTTCGGGGAAGCAAGCACATCGAATCAATCCTGTTCAAAGTTCTTTCTATACCTACTTCCTAGCTATGAAGACTGCTACACTTTTCTCGGTGCTTATCCCAAGTGTCCTTGGAAGCACGATCTACTTCGCTGGTGATTCTACCATGGCGAAGGGCGGAGGTGGAACTAGCACAAATGGTACATACAAATATCTATACCGGGTAGCCATCAGAGCAGATGAAGCTAACACAATCAGGATGGGCTGAATATGTGTCAACGTTCACCACATCGACAATCTCCAACCAAGCAATTGCAGGCCGCAGCGCACGTTCATATACCCGTGAGGGCCGGTTCACCACCATTGCCAACGAAGTCAAAGCTGGCGACTGGGTAGTCATCGAATTCGGCCACAACGACGGCGGGTCCCTGACGCCAACAGACAATGGACGTACCGACTGTTCCGGGACAGGGACTGAGACCTGCACTACGGTGTACGATGGGGTGACTGAAACGGTTCTGACATTCCCTGCGTACTTGGAGAATGCAGCGAAGACGTTCAAGGCGCTTGGGGCAAATGTGTTGATCTCTAGTCAGACACCCAATAACCCGTGGGAGACTGGGTCATTTGTTTACTCACCATCGCGGTTTGTGGCGTATGCGGAGTTGGCAGCGGAGACGGCGGGGGTGGCGTATGTTGATCATGGGGCTTATGTTGCGAGTATCTTTGATACTCTTGGAGACGATGTAGTTACTGAGTATTATCCTCTTGATCATACCCATACTAGTCCTGCGGGTGCGTTGGTGGTTGCCGAGGCCTTTTTCAAGGCTGTTGTCTGCGGAGGCGTTGCGCTGAAGAGTGCTTTGAACACTACTTCTTTCCCAGGCAATTGTCTGTAGAGTCACTGGGTCAACGGTGGGGTAGCCAAGGCAATATTCGGAATGTAAAGTGTTCATGGAAGTTTGGCTAATCGCCAGTAGATTCATTACGTTTCATAATATGTCCGTAGATGCAGGTGTAATGGGTATCAAATTTACCGCCATCACGGTTTCTCAGACCACTGTCATCGGGACTCTAGGATGCCTCGAACGATGCCACGTCTGTCAACTCGATGATAGTACTGGGTCAGGTTGGCGAACCGAGCATCGAAAGGTCCTTGGGTCTGTACGATCTCCCATAAGACTGGCCAAAGCCCACAATCGTCGATGCCTAACACTGTGCCTCCCAAGAAATACTGTCCCTCCAGAGCACGCTCCCAGTGTCGCAGGCCGCCACTGAATTCCTCCATGGGCTTGCTTGCATAATGTTCACGCCATTCTAATTGCAAGTCTTCTATCCATGAGAGATGGCTTCCACCTCTTAGAATATCGACTCCAGGTCGTGAAGTGTCGGCGGGTCGTGAACCCAGATGTCTTAAGATGGCCAGGTCACCAGTGACAGTTGTTCCCTGGGAATCAATGTACCCTGGTCGTTTGGTTTCGCTGACATTGACTTCCATATCTGGCTTGTCGGAGATCTCGTATCGGATACCATTTTCTCCCAGGGCAAGGCGTACCCTAAGGTCGGCCACTGGATCTCCACTTAGTGTTAGTTGCGCCGACGATGCAGTAACAAAATTCACCACATCAAAGCCACCGCCATAGACATCATTCCAGCGAAACTCGGACAAGCGATTCTCCTGGCCAAACGCACGAATTATTCGTTCCGTCTCTTCAGGGTTTCCGTGGATAGCGGGGCGGGCTGTATCTTGAGATTTTCCCACCGCACCCTGGCCCCAGATCAAATTTTTGGTTGGGTGGAGATATGTGCCAATATGCCGAAAGGTTAACGAGATACGCTCGCCACCGTATGCTAGTTCCTCTGCGGTCTTGGTGTTCTCTTGGCGTTTATCCGGCCGGATGCCATGTAACCAGCGCATGTTGGTTTTCTGGCCAAGGATGAATAGTGATCGATGCGGTAGTGGCACTCGCTGTGTGGTTCGGCCTGATTCTGTTTCACTTTTGCGCTCTGAGGAAGTTTTGGTGCGAAGGATCATAACTCGCTGGGCCCCTAAGCTCACATTGCAAATGGAAGAACCTCGAACAATATCCAACGTCTTGTCAGAATGCTCCGAAATGTTATCCTGTCCATCTCGGTAGAGTTGGATCAAACAATGGTTGAGCGGGTGGCCCAAAATTTTCTCGACTGCGATGCGAACTTCATCAATGGTAGATGTGAATGAGGTTAGGGGTGGAGACTCGTCGGCGGGGTGTCGATAGATTGGAATGGCCTCATCCGGCTCAATTTGGCCCTGGACTGCGACCAGTCGAGGTACCTGACCGGAAAGGTGGTACATTTTCTGCCAGGAAACCTCATTTCGGATGCGCTCGAAAGCATTTTTGGGGATATCGAGTTCTTGGACAAGACGCGAATCGCCTTCGCCGATGGTAGGTTCATCTGGTTTCCGTACTTTTTCTGCAGGCGGATTTGATGGGGGATCGTCTGTTTTCTCTGCAGCATCTGGAGCTGGGCGCCGCTTGGGTCGGCGCACTCGCGCGCGTACTTGCTTCTTTCCCTCGACAGGAGACCGCGCAGTTCCTGCAGCGCTTCGGTGCAGTCGAGTAAGAGAAGCGATCTCTGCTATATTAAATGCATCTTCTGGGTCTTCCTCGCGTATCTCGTCGTGTTCCTCCGCCTCCACCCCCAAAGTATCCATGACACTCTCGATGCCAAGCGATGCACCAGCAGGCCGTTTGGGTTGTGGTGCTCCCCGAGCAATAGCGTTTGTCTCTTCCCAATCCAGTTCCTGGTATAGCTCCTCGGCAGTCAAACCAGTTGCGCCAAGGATGTCTGCCATGCGGCGCATCGCTTCACGATGGCGCCCAAACTCCCGGTATCCCAAGCAATCTTCGATCAACGTGACCGAAAAACCATTGCGAACGGCATCTAACGCAGTGGCGTAGACTGAGACATTGGACAAAGAACCACAGAGATATACCTCCGTCACAAATCGAGTTCGGAATGAGAGCACGAGGTCATTCGACTCCAGTGCGGAGTACCCAGTCTTGTCCAATACCTTGTCATGCTCCGGGTTGATGGCAGCAAGGACGGGCGCGGGGAATTGGAACCCAGCGGTTTGCGCGGCACAGCAAATAGGCGACTGAGCTGATAGAAAAGCCTCAGTATCGACGGGCTCTGGAGAATCGCGATCTGATGCGACTTCAATTACCTCCGTCTGGGGCATGGTGTGTTTCTTGGGCGGTTCTTTTGCCAAGACGATGCGATCGCCGAAATTCCAGTCCGAGATCGACTGAGGAGCTTCATATTGTGAGCGAACCCAAATCACATCACCGACTTTCCGGAATGCTGCCGCGAGTGGGGGCAGTATCTCCAGGATCTCAGCGGTATTGGGGATGTGAAGCCCTCCGGACGGGCGAACGAAGTCATTCTGGAAGTCGAGCAACAAGAGCGCCTTCCGCGTCTTAATTCTGGGAATGTTATTAAATGAGAAGAAACTCATTGTAAAGACATGATCCGGAGGCCCATCCGACAACCTTGTCAATATGAGGGGTTTGGGGAGGGGGAGCTTGGAATTGGAGAAGCGGGTTTGTTTTACTTTGGTTCCGTGGGGCACAACTTTCAAGCGGAGGTGGACACCTCAGGCAGGAAATTAAGTTTCACACTTTTCCTCAAATTTACAATGACTGAAAGGGTGCGAATGATCTGGTTTATGTGAGCGTTGGGGTGGGAATCCACCCGAAGGTAACCCTGGGACCATCAACGGTGAGGGTGACTGGCGCTGCCAACGAGCATGGTGTCCGTCGTGTCGGGTCAATTGAGCGGGCGTCATTGGCCATCAGATGTGATGTGGTTCAGTCTAGAGAGGTCTCTGGTAACTAGTTTACCGTATAGAAGGAAGGGAGAATTCGATAGGTCTATTCGCATAATATGCTAGTTGCCAGCATGCGATACCGTTCTAGAGCAACTGTCCTAAGGCCCAAACCATGGATTTCAGATCACTATGGAGCACCTGAGTCACAGCGGTGGATATCTCTCTCGGTGGCCTCCCCGAGTCGACATCGGAGGTGATTTCATCTGGTCTGACACAATGACCAGGCACTACAGTAAGGTGCATACCTTCCAATGGGTAGATCGGTATTTTTATAAAGAATCACATTGTATAAATCAGATGGTACTTCAGATCGGTACTTTTCCTTCATAGGTTAAATGATATAGGCCGGGGTTAACCCCTCTAGGGCTACGTCATGGGACTTCGGGAGTATTGCACAATGGAGCTGCATTCAATGTTGAGTTTAATTTATAAATATCCTCACGCTTGGTGGAATGTTAGATTCCCCGGAACAACATACAAGGTCCCCGGAAATAATTCAACACATTAGCATCACGTTGGTGGCGATTGGCAGATCTGCAAACAACGTAACAGACTCAACCTAGATTGTCACCGACTGCGCGCGGTGATTACCTAACCCGGCCACGGAGGCCAATCAGAGCAGCCCCGGTGTCGGCCCGGGGAGCAAGAGCACCTCTCCGGGGCTCACGTGAGGTGACTCGCAGGGAAAAGTGGAGCCTCGAAGCTTTCCCACCCCAACCGGCACTACATTTAAGTCTCCAGATTTCCTCCCCCCAGCTCAAGATTTCTTTCTCTCTTCACTCTCCACTCCCCAATTCACATTCACAATGGCTTCCCGTGGTCTTCCCCGTGCCCTCCGCATGGCCCGTGTGGCCGCCCCTCGCTCGGTCGTCACCGCTGCCCTTCCCCGGCCTGCTCTGGCCAAGGTTGTGCCCCGTGTCATCGCTCCCATGACCCCCGTCCGTGGTATCAAGACCATTGACTTCGCCGGTGTCAAGGAGGATGTCTACGAGCGTGCCGATTGGCCTCGTGAGAAGCTCCACGAGTTCTTCAAGAACGACACCCTTGCCCTCATCGGTTACGGCTCCCAGGGTCACGGCCAGGGTCTCAACCTCCGTGACCAGGGCCTCAACGTCATTGTCGGTGTCCGCAAGGATGGTGCTTCCTGGAAGGAGGCCATCGAGGACGGCTGGGTCCCCGGCAAGAACCTGTTCGACATGAACACTGCCATCGAGAAGGGTACCATCGTCATGAACCTGCTCTCCGATGCCGCCCAGTCTGAGACTTGGCCCGCTATTAAGCCCCTCATCACTAAGGGCAAGACCCTCTACTTCTCTCACGGTTTCTCCCCCGTCTTCAAGGACCTCACCAAGGTCGAGGTCCCCAAGGACGTCGACGTCATCCTCGTTGCCCCCAAGGGTTCCGGCCGTACCGTCCGCTCTCTCTACCGTGAGGGCCGTGGTATCAACTCCTCCATTGCCGTCTACCAGGATGTCACTGGCCAGGCCAAGGAGAAGGCTATTGCCATGGGTGTTGCCGTCGGCTCTGGCTACCTCTACGAGACCACCTTCGAGAAGGAGGTCTACTCTGACCTCTACGGTGAGCGTGGTTGCTTGATGGGCGGTATCCACGGTATGTTCCTCGCTCAGTACGAGGTTCTGCGTGAGCGTGGCCACTCCCCCTCCGAGGCCTTCAACGAGACCGTTGAGGAGGCCACTCAGTCCCTCTACCCCCTCATCGGTGGTAACGGTATGGACTGGATGTACGCTGCCTGCTCCACCACCGCCCGCCGCGGTGCCCTCGACTGGTCCCCCCGCTTCAAGGATGCCCTGAAGCCCGTCTTCAACGACCTCTACAACGCCGTCAAGGACGGTTCCGAGACCCAGCGCTCCCTCGACTACAACTCCCAGCCCGACTACCGCCAGAAGTACGAGAAGGAGATGGAGGAGATCCGTGAGCTCGAGATCTGGCGCGCCGGAAAGGCCGTCCGCTCTCTCCGCCCCGAGAACCAGAAATAAATGAAATAATTATCGTGATACCCGCTGGAAGGGAGAGTTTGGATAAAAAGTTATGAATGTACTATGAACTTGTTTTTTGGGTCCGGGTATACGAAAATATCATCGCGGCACTGCCGTTTCCAAATTTCTCTCAACCCTTTTCATCTTCCATTTGTAGAATCGTAAGCAAATTCAAATATGACTCAAATTGAGCGAACCCCGCCCCTGAAGAATTGAGCGCTGCGGAGAAATCTCCGGGAAAGAGCACACCTTCCTTTGCGCCAGACCAACTCACCTTCCCCGATCCTATACTCACCACCAGCACCAGTGCCTGAACCAAGACCAAAATGCCTACTCCCTCCGAACAAGCCCGAGCTCTAACGCCGGCAGCCATCCACGAAGCCTACGAACTCATAAAACCATACGTCCACCTCACCCCGCTCCTCACTTGCAAGACCCTCGACCAGATCGCCTCGACCCCGCAAACCCCAGAAGCCCTCGTCGGAACCCCATTCGAAGGCCAGACCCCCGCGAAACCACAAATCCGCTTCCATTTCAAATGCGAGAACCTACAGCGTATAGGCGCATTCAAGGCGAGGGGTGCGCACCACGCACTCCTGCGATTGATTCAAGAGCAGGGTGAGGAGGAGGTAAAGCGGCGGGGCGTTATAACGCACAGTTCTGGTATGACCATCATGAATTCTCTGGTCTCTTTGGTGTTGGAGGTCATGCTCGCCAGCCTTAGCGCATGGACACAGTATCAATTGAATAGGACAGGATAGAGAGCTAACGATCATTTTCAACAGGTAACCATGCCCAAGCGCTCGCTCTCGCTGCCTCAACACTCAACGTCCCTGCCTACATCGTCATGCCGGAGATAAGCACAGCGTCCAAGATCGCCGGAACACGCTCGCACGGCGCACAGGTAATATTCAGTGGCTCAACGAGTGTAGAGCGTGAAGCTGTCGTCGCAGAAATCCAAGCCAAGACAAATGCGTTCCTTATCCCTCCCTACGACGATTTCAACGTCATTTGCGGACAAGGAACTGTTGCCCTAGAAATGGTGCGGCAATTCGATGAGGCGGGCAAGTCTAAGGACAAGAACTTTAGCAAGAAACTCGATGCTGTGGTCACGCCCGTAGGCGGAGGTGGACTGAACGCCGGTGTTGCGACATACCTCTCGAATACAAAGACCTATGTCTTTGGCGCCGAGCCTAGTTTCCAAGGCGCCGATGATTGTCGGCGTGGCCTTCGTGATGGTGCTCGGGTGGAGAAGGTGTCGACGCTTACCATTGCAGATGGATTGAGAACGCCAGTTGGTGTGTTAAACTGGGAGGTTATTTCTAATGCAAACAAGGTCAAAGGTGTGTATTCTGTAACGGAGGAGCAGATCAAGGCCGCGTTGAGATTGGTGCTTGAGCGGATGAAGGTTTTTGTTGAGCCAAGTGCTGTGGTTGGGTTAGCTGTTTGTCTTTTCAATGAAGATTTCAGGAATTTTGTGGAGCAAGAAGGTAAGGTTGAAGGGTTCGATATTGGGATTGTGTTTAGTGGGGGCAACACGACTGTCGAGGCGATTGCGAAATTATTTAGTTGATTTTGTGTACGCACATAATAGCTTCACCAAGGGTGATAGATCACATAGAATCACGGAGGACATAAGATATCATATATCCGCTTCATCATGTCCAGGTAGAGGGATCTCGATTCCATCATTTTTGACATAAAATGCAAAGCTTCCATTGCCATAGGGCCTAAGTCCATCTACCACCCGGCGAGGCCACTCTTCTTGTCTCCATGCATTGACATAGGCCGAGAATTTGCCCTGGCGAACTGCGCTTTGCCGCATAGGGGCATCGTTCCTAGCATCATGCGCACTCATCGCTGGCGGGAATGAACGAACAGCATCCCGCTGCACAACTAGACGTAGGAGGGGAAATTCTCCCCACGGCGCCGGAAGAGCAGGCTGGAGAGCCGGAGTCTGGGATACAGGTGTGTCATAAGGGCCCAGAGGACCAGTTTGGTCGTCTTTAATATTCTTCGGCCGGAACCCAGTGACGGTCGTTGTGTAGACAATCGTGCATCCAAAAAGGGCTTGTAAACGCTTTAATTCAGTGACAATTTCAGCGTAAAGATCGATGAAATGGAAGCTATTCTTCATTTCTCGTAGCTTGTCATTTTCCTCTCGAGAACGTCCGACATCCTCGGCTCGAGCGAGACTGTCACGCAATTTGTCTTGCCAGATAAAAGCCGTGGCGCTATCTATGGCAATCATATGCAGGGGACATGATGCAGATTGATGGCGAGAGATATCATAAAGATATGTATTCAGGCTGGCAAGTGTAGCCAGGAGCGCAGAGGATGATTGTGGACGGAAAATATGAACGTGTTTTAGCGCGGAGGAGAGCACAGCTTCCAGCTCATCATCAGGTATCTTTGCAGAGAATTCATCCTCTAGTTTCTCTGGATCAATAGATTTCTGTGCCTGCTGAACAATTCCTCGAGCTACCATCTGCAGCCTGCGTACATCAAACCGGTCATCGGCATCGATGAAAACCACGGCCGAACCTTGTCCACCAATGGGAATATTACCATGCTCGCGAGGCAAAACCGCACGCGCGGTCATGTAATAAAGTAACTGTGATTTACCAGCACCTGAAAGACTGCTAGAGATCTCCACGGTGGGTATTGGCCGCTTTCTCCTGTAGGCAGAGTCTAGGAAGAAGAGATTGGACCGGGTTACTTGTTCATCAAATGCGGCATCACCGTACTCGTCGGTAAAAAGCATATCCTCGCCAGCTTCGTTCAGCTCCTGGTCCTGTTCATGCAGCAATGGCGGGTACAGATCTTGCTGATTCTGGTGGTGGTGATCAGGGACAGGGCCCATAGTTCTTAACATGAAGACCTCAACAAGCGCATCGAGAACTGGGACGCCTAGTGACGGACCATGAAAGTCATCGTCAGGATAGATATTTGCAAGATCATGCAGAAGCTACCAGAATTAGAATTCATCATCATTCAAAGAGGTAATTCGCAGTAGCACCTACCTCGTCCAGCCCCTCATGATGCACATCACCTAGTGACGCTGCGCCTAAGCTGGCAGCCATCGCAGACTAAAGCCCAAGATGCCAGGATCATGCATGCCTCAAATTCATAATATGACAGCCAGAAACACGCAGCATATAAATCGCGCTTCAAGACCGTGACATGAGAAGCGTTATTTGACTTGATATCGAAAAGGAAGAGAAGTCAAGTGTATGACAGCTCGGAGACCGGGAACTCGGAGCTCCAACTTAAACTGCAAGTACTCGGACCCGCAGGAACTTTGCTTCACCCGAACCGACCACTTCTATTCCGAACATACTCGCAACCAGCTTCGCTGCACTCAAACTACATCATTGAGGACGACTGCTACGCGTCGCAACCCCTACCGCCCAAATGGCCCCCCTCGTCCCCGTCTTCTCCGCCGACACGCTCCCCGACAACGTCAACATCGTGCGCCGCAATTTCATAGAGAAGAAGCGCAAAGGCGAACAAGTCAACTTGAAGGAGTGCGCACTGCTAGAAATGATGCAATACTCTTGCAATCCACCCTCAGAGCAGGTTCCACAACCGGGAGTGATTGTCTGTCAGCCTGTTGTGCGGCTGTTTCGACGGTAAGTCTGGGAGGAACGCCACTGTGACTAGAAATAGTGGCTGATCGTTTCTGATAGATGCGCTGGTGGGTTGACGGTCGAGACTACATCGTGGGAACCATTGAGGCAGATTGAAGAAGCGAAGGAGAAATTGGCATCTGGGTCTAATGCACCATCATCATAAATCTCGAAGCCCTGGAGGTTACGTTGAATGCATTGGGTGGAGTTTAGCTTAAATTTTTATTATGTACTATACAGAGCGCATTGAGAATTTCAATGAATGTCATTATGACTTGCTGCCACGGGGTATCTCCTCAAAACGACTCCAAACACAGCGCCAACCCATGAATAGAGCACCTAGACAACGCCGATATCCAAAAACAAGTAAAACCAGATCAAATCAACCTCCCTGTCCCTGTACGTATCTTATGTGCCCATGACATTTACTGGTTCAGCACTAGCAGATGGCTTTGTTGCCTTGTCCTCCTTCCCCCGCGAACCTGTCGCGGGACGACGCCAGAAGTCCCGCTCACAGTTTACGATAGGTCCCATTTCCAAATGCCATGACGCTTGTGAGCGAGCTTTCCCATCTCCATCGCCTGGTTTCCCCGAGTCGATCTCCATAGCAGAACCGAGTGCAGGAGCGTACGGATCTTTTTGGTCTTTCTGAAGTTTCTTCGCGAGGCCCTTCACCGTTTTTTCGAACATGGTTTCCATGCTCTCCATGCGCCGACCCCAGAGCTTCTTATCCTTGCCACTTGAGCTGGTCGGATTATCCCGGAACGCGGCACTAGCTAGCTTGCGCAACGCCTCTTCACCGTGACGACCATCTTCAGCTGCGCGCTCGCGAATCTTGCGTGGGTCACCGTCTCTCTCAGTGAATACCGCGGTGGCGGAATAGGTGTGTTTGCTTGGGAAGTCGGGGAAATGTTTCGGAATATAGGAGCGATTGGTGACAGTTTCTTCCCCTCGCAAAGCATTCAAGAAGGGAAGTTTGCGCTTGAGCTCGTCTTCTGGTGGAGGTGATGGGAGGAGTGTCGGGATAGGAGCAACGGTTTTTGATGATTTCAGATATGGACGGAGGTCATCGGGGGACAGATTCACGCGGCCAAGAGCATGCTCGAAGTCGGGAGGAATAGGTTGAACCCGACGAGATGACAACATAGACTGGCGAACATATGTGGATATCCGATTCAAATCTAATCATCCGCGCATCGAGTCAGTTAATCTTGCTTAAGGCCAACGAGTTTGCCTGCTCTCTGTTCTTCACGTACATGTATCTGCGGCGCTGCGCAAGCTGGATAGCGCGGCGGGATCCGCTAGTTCAAAGCCCGCTTCTTTGAGGATATGGCCGATCGAACGGTTCATCAGATGGTCGAAATGAACCTCATCTTGCACGGCCGGCTCGGACGAAAGTGGCAGGGTGATAGGCTCCTGCAGGCGGTGATGATGATGATAATGGTGTTTCGGGCGCTTATTCTCAGCAGCCTCGAGGTGAGACGAAGAACGTTTCACTTGTAGGCCCGTCGAAGCCATAGCCATAGACGGAGCTGCGGAGCAAAGACGAAGCTGTAGAGAAGGAGCTTGGCAAGTTGTTGATCAAATGGGGGAGTGAGGTAGCACGTGATCATGAATGCCCGAGATGTCAGGTGTCAGCCTTCCCATACTTAACAAAGCCATATCACAGTGAAGTCAGGGTACCAGTATTGAATTTAATTTCAATTTAATGCTACCTACACTAGACTCACTAGAGACAATAATACCCCATTGAGCATAGTAACCCCATAATGAGCCCATAACCATGTCATAAGTCCATCAAATCTCCAACCTCAATCGACCAATCCGGAGCCTCGCTTACCGCCCGAAAGCTTCAACTTCAGTTCCCGTCCACATCACCCCGACACTCTCTCCCCTCCACCTCTCCAACCCCCAACGTTCGAGGCAGGTCCCCACAAACGCCTTACAAAGTTAATATCGCACCGAGCATCGATTAACGTTATTCTCTAGTCACAATGCCTGCCGCTATCCCCCCAATCACCGGCGTAAGTGTGCCCCTTCGCCCAGCCGGCTTGCCCCGATCGGACTGGCCGGATGAGTCGCAAAGACAAAGAACAGAAGCTAACTTGCGCAACAGATGCTCCGCCGGGGTCTCGTCCTGGACCTGAGCGTCGCTTTCGGTGAGTGCTTTCAATACGCAGATTAGAGGTGGAAGTCGATGGTCGGGTGGCATGATCCACTCGAAAACGGATCGGGTTCAATCTGCGCAATACTCGCAAAACCGACTGCGATACGATATGGAATGGAATTGATGGGACAGGCTACGCAAGGAACAATTTACTAACCATGCTCTCCAACAGGCTTCGGTACTACCTTCGGCTACCTCTGGTGGTACGGTAAGTAGAGCACATCATTCACCCTTCTTCTCGCCAGAATACGCTCTAATAAATCTGGTTCCAGGCTTCCACCTTCCCCGTGTCCGTGAGCGTGATGTCTACTACGCTCGCCTCGAGGCTGACCGTGCCGCTGGCCGCGTTTAAATCGGTCAACGATGATCATCACCTCTGAACCAACTTGGCTCGTCTCGTTTCGCCCGTCGGCATCTCCTGTTGTCAATCTCGATTTTTAAAAGACATTCAAAATCCAATATACAACCCGTTCCAAGGCAGACTAGATCCGCGACTCTTCATTTCGTCTCCTGTAATCTTTCGCCGGGTTGAAGGTGTCGACTGTGTTCGAGGGAGGTGACATTTTGGATCGATTGTATATATACGCTATGATCAATTTGTTTTGTTTAATTCGTTCCAGTGAATTGGACATGCTGCCAGTCTTATGGTGTTGTGTGGGCAATATCACATGTTATTCTACTTTGAAGATTTGCGTAGACCGTGATTGTAGGCCTGATCTATCAATAAATTGAACGCTAAATACGCCGGTATATGTACGTTGAAAACTCCCACAGCCACCTGGACAGCGGAACCTGGGACACTGAATCCCACTTCGTCACCTTCGAGCTCCTTAGATACTCCCGCATGCTCTTTCGCAAGTCCCATCAGGCCATGATCAGAACATTGAAACGATGAACGATAAGGCAATGATGATATTGCACGCCGACATTGAAACACTTCGGAGATAACCGAAGCAATCATTCTCCGCTCTTCATTCCCACGGCAAGTAAGCAGCTTGCCCTCATCCGTTCTATCGAAGAACACGCTCATAAGCGACACGCCGAACAGTTCCACCAGCCATTGAAGCGCGCACATTCCGCTTGAAAGCATCACGATTCGAGCGCAAATCCTCTGCAGCCTCCTTGTTAAGCGGATCCGAAGCGTTGGGTTCAAGGAAAAGGAACTAAACGTCATTTGTCAGCCCTCGCACGGTAATCAAGTATAATGACAGAAAAAGAGGGAGTATGAAACGCACCTGCATGCCAACAATAACCGCATTCAAGTTAAGCACAGGCTTCCAATCCTCTCTAAGGATGTTCAAACACACATTTCCCTCAAGATCGATATTGGGATGATAGATCTTCTGCGTACACTTGACTTTGGGCGGGTCATGAGGGAAATTCTGGTTCACGGAGAAGGTAAAGTTGAAAAGCCCTCCTTTATACATGCCCTCGTCGGGCTCGATGCTGAGCGTGAAATTTAGGATGTCATCGGGGTTTGGGAAGGTCATTTTCATTGTGTTGCCGAGGGTAAGTTCTTGGAGATCTAAAAGCAGGAAGACGAGGTTAGAAATGGATCTAAACTGCGTATAGAGGCCGAAAAAGTGTCAAACTAGATCTGGAAGGTGGTTGTGGTGGTTTTGGTATGAGGGGGTATCTACCTCGTTGCACGCGCAGCTGTGCGGCTGTGACCTTCTTCTTCTTTTTGCCTCCGCCTTCGGCATTCTCAGCTTGTTGCTGCTGCTGTTTCTTTGCGGGTGTAAGTATTTGGATCGCCGGTTACATGTTATGGATTGGGCTAGGATAGTCTATTCACCATGGACCAAATCTTCAACATCTTGGCTGTAAATCACCACCCCGCCGGTGGAGGTCGTGTGCGGGCAGGAAACGGCGGTCAGAGGAAAGATAGAACGGGGATGTAAATCCGAGTAGCCCTCTCGTCAATATGCAGCGAGATTGTGCTCGTAAAGGAGGAAGGTGTGGCAAAGCAAGTCGACTAAGTTATTAAAGCAGTGCTAACCTTGCGGGGTCCTTAGGCACGATGCTGCGGTGTTATAAGGCGGTCGCCCCCGACAGAATCTACTATCTTACGCCATGCATTTACCGCTCTACACACCGCCCTTTACCTATTACACCGTACGACACGAGATATCAGTTCAAGGGCAGAACAGCTACAGTCCGGCTACGCTGAAGAAGTTCTACTAAGTCACGAAGGAGCCTTGAAAACCTGAGTATCGGATTCAGATTTGAAAATTCATTACGCCCCGAATGCATCCCTTGCATCGCTATCCGACAAAAACATGACGGTAAGAGGCTGTTGCTAACGTCCATCACGCTACATACTGGCATCAAACCAACACAAATAAACCAGGCATCCTTAGGTAGAATACATATCGCAAGAAGACAGAAAGAGAAGAAAAATAAAAGTCAGTAAGGGGGAACATGTGCCGAGAAAAGAGGTCGTGTATCCATGGTCCATCATCTAGTTCATTCTCTACCGGCGCGCAAAGCAGCACTTGATACCGGTACGACCCAGGAACCAACAGGCTCCAGTGAAACGGAAAAGGGCCATAACAGCGTTAGACCACAAGAGGGCCTGGAAAAATCGGGAAGTACGGGTGGTAGCCGTGTTCTGGAGAGAATAATTAGTACTTTGACACGTTCTGATGTACAGATTGGGGACATACCGTAAATCCAAACTTGTCCACTGCTTCACTTGTGATGCAAACTGCCAGGAAAGCATTACTGAAAATCCAAAAGGTCACCAGGCGAGTACGGAAACTCTTGTAGGAATCTTCGAGGGACTTTTCGTCGTTCTCCACAGGGGCAACATAAGGAGTGAGGGCACGTTTCACAGTAGCCTCAAACTGGCTGTCGATATCTGCTTGAGGCTTGTCGATTTCCTCAATGACAGCATCTTTGCTACCTTCGTCCTTGGTCGTCTTGGCAGAGGGTAAAGCATCGGCCTTGTCAGATCCCTTAGTACCCCAGGACACATCGTGCCAATTGCTGAATGCATACACGTTGAGAATGTTGATGTAGGAGGACTGCAAGACGAGATATTGGGGGAAGGAGGTAAACATGTGCCACGGATCAGCGTACATGAAGGAAGCCACGAAGTAAAGACCGAAGGTGGCAGCCAACGCAATGATGATGATACCAGCACCGGAAGATCCGAAAAATGACTTCAAGAAAGCACCCACACCTTCGTTGGTTACGAAGTCCATTGGTGCGCCACCGCCAAAGGCACGGATAACCAGGTAAAGTGAGTCGATGACAATGTACAGCTGAATGATTCCAAATGCGACGAAAGATGCAAGGTATGAGAACTTTGAGCCTTTGGGACGGTTACCAAGCGCAAGAATAAACTGCAGAAGCAGGAAGCCCAAGTAGACGTATTTGACGACGGTATTAACAATAGGTGTAGCAGTTTTGCCGAATGGGAAGGCAGTCTCCTTGTTGCTCGCACTGGGAGTACCGACCAGATCAATGATGACGGTGGTGGTAAGCCAGTATGAAGCCAGGGAGAACCAGGTGAGGAAAGTGTTGAAGATGTTGTAGAGCATCTGAATATGCAGGAAGAACATGCGGATCAAGTTGTGACCACTCTTGTACATACGGCCGAAGTGCATCAACGAATAGATACCAGCCGCAAACGAACCATTAAGCCAACGACGGCGCTGCGAGATAAATTCGGCAGCACCTTCGGGCACGTCAGTCTCAGCCTTGGAGGCTTTAACATATGACAAGTGCCATTTAGAGCCAGCCTTGGCGACCAGCTCGAAACAGAGAATACGATCCTCGGCCAAGAACATGTTTTTCTTGAAAATGTTCATTCCTTCAATACCTTTTTTACCCAGTTGCTTGGATAAGGTGTGATCACCGTGGAAATATTGCTCCAGAGGGCGACCCATGATCGCACGGAATCGATAGGCGGAGAATGCACCAGGCAGCACACTGACGTAGCCAAACGAACTTTCAAGGGGCTTGTCGAGAATGTTACTGATTTTGTACTCGAAGTTCTGGGCAGCCACGAGGGGGTTGACCAAGTTACGCCAACCTTTGCCCAACATGGCGTGGATCTCACCACATGCACCACCGAGATCCTTGTCGTTATAGAAGGCCTCCCAGAGAGAGAGTAACGATTTGGGACCAGGCTTTGTTCCTGCGTCAAGCAAGATGCAAATCTCAGGGTTCAAAATGCGACCAAATGCATTAAAGAGCCAACGGTGTGAGTTGATCTTCTTGCTGTTCTTTTGTTTGAGACAAAACATCATTTGCACGGGAGGCAAAGTAGAAGGGCCATCCTCTGTAGGGCGGATAAGCTGCTGGCTCGGCGTTACCGATAGCTGGGTGGTATATTCGAACTAAGAGACAGTTTTAGCGGGCCGTGTTCTCTCTCCTCCAAGGTTGTCAGTCACCTACCACATGAGCTACAGTCTCCTTTCCATCAACGTCACGCTTCATCACGCCATCTTGGTAAATACCGACGGTCGCGAGGACATCCAAGACATCCTTATCGCAAGGATCGATACCATCGAAGACGAGACACACAACAATCTTTTGCCAAGCAGGCCCACCCTTGTTCCAGAACTCAGATTTCTTCAGGTTGACAATATCGCGAATGTTTTGCATCACACCGTGCAAAGTACGCGCAGTCAGCGTCTTATCCTCGTTGTAATAGGTAATCGCAATAAGCAGCTCAGTATGGCGATTATACATAGCCGGACGCAGGTTGTAACCGTTGTGGAGAGTAAATTCATTCGGATCGCAAGTCGCCGCGGTATCTGAATGATGATCTGATTAGTTTCCTGTCCCTGTTCCTGGCGAACTCGATTTCTCCGTCACGTACATCGCATGTGGGTGAATTCTTCACTGCCACCCTCGAGATCATTGCGGTACTTGGCTTGAATGGCGTTCTGAATGGCACTGGGCACCGGGTAATCGACACTCAGGACGGATCCTTGAACCAGCTTCACCTTGCGAGTAGCATAACGGCGCAGGTTGCCCCCGCCATTTCCACCTCCAGGAGCTTGACGCTGGCGCCACGCCTCAGTAGATGAGGTCTCACTGCGAGCGTAAGGCGATTCAACTCGAGCTGGGACTCCAAAGGCGGTTGCGGGATTCTCTGTTCCCACGCTGTAGGGATCGTGGTAGGCTGGTGCGGCATCCGTAGCGTAAGTTTCGGTCAAGCTGTAGCCGGAAGCTGGGCGGATGGGCGACTGGCCCCGGATGGGAGACTGGCCGCGGGATTGAGGGTCATCAAAGGGTGTCGCAAATGGCCCCTGCTGGTGGGACAGGAGTCCATGCGATGCATCCTCGTCTTCACGATACTGTCCAAGTCACGCGTTAGTCTGTTCATCGCAAAGGGTG